CCTTCCCGGACCATGAGTTCAGGTGCGGAGTCGTCATGTGGGTACGAAGCAAGGTTCGTCAGTGCTAGGAGACTTTCAAACACTGGAAGGAGGTCGCGAGGTTGGTCGGCGGAGAGCGAGGCAGACTCGGACGACGAGAGGAGAGAGAGAAGGGGACGGACGGCGGATGTAACCTGGGGGAATCCGGATGATGGGAAAACATGTGAAGGATCAACAGAGATGAGGATGCGGGCCAGCGCATGGGATGCGATGCGTGTAGTTTCGTTCGTCACGGGGCCAGAGCTACTCTGCTTGGGGGCTGCAAGGCCGAGTAACAGCTTCACCGCGCCTTGTTGTGCCAGTGTGCCACGGGACCTCTGAGGCCTTGTCAAGGATTGTAGAATCTTTGCCGTGAGCTCATTGGTGGAAGGTGAGGAGATTCGGCCGCACTCAACAAGCAGAGTCATGATGCCTGCATCGATAACGGCGCGACATCGCCTTAGGACAGCTTCCTCTTCATCTCGAGTATCTATTTCTGGTGCTGCCTTAACCTTTCCAGTAGACGGGTCCGCGTAGTCCTTCAACTGTGCCATCTTCTTCTGCTCTTCGGATAGGTTGGGTAAGAATTTCGTAAGGTTTAGAATGACCATCAAACCGCCATAGAGCACGGATAAGTCACATGTGTTTTGTTTCAAAGCCACAATGAAGTTTCGCAAGAATGTCGGATCATTGGCAAGTTGATCCTTGACGGACGGCTTGACGGAAGTATAAGCCAGTCCTTCGATTGCGTGGGAGTTATGTTCAACCTTTTGTTCAGACATCAGTCCCATGAATCGATGAACTAGTTCAGACTCGCTGTCTTGCTCCAAGACCTTACCGTTGCCAGCCGAGGGTTTCTCGGGCTCAGATGCCCGGATCTTTGCAAGAGCCACTGCGGCCAATTCCGAGCTATGATCACTTCCATTGGTCAGGACATGTGACAACCATTCCCCAAATTTCTTTGAGATAGCCTCACGGCACGGACGGTTGATGCAAGCGGCATTAAGAAGTTCCAACACGGGAACTTCCACCTTCTTGCTCTTGGCATCTCGCGATGCCATCGGGATGAGGAATGTCATGAATTCTTCCGACAAGAAGAGATTGGCAGCTGCAGAGGGGGCTACGGGGAAGACGGCGGCCACCGCGGAGAACGCAACTATGAGATCGTTGACACGGCCTTTACCAAGAATTGACATAATCAGTGTCAAAAACTTCTGCTCGCCCGTCTCCTTGGCGACCTCAAGATATTTCGCAGTAGCCAAGGTCGCCTGGCTCCGAACTTCTAACGGCAACCGATTGTCCAAGGATGAGAGGATCACCTCAAACCCTTCATCGTCGATCAAATGTTCGAGTTCAACGGCATGGACGGCGAGCAATCGAGTAATTCCCTTTAAAGAGCGACCATCGAGATCATGGCCCGATTCCATCAACTTGGCAATGAAAAGCTGGAATAATTCACTCTCGCAGTGGGAGCGTGTTTCCTCCGATGCCCACACTGTGGGGTCTAACACCACCGTGTCCAGACAGACCGCTGCTCGATCACCCCGGTCATAAATTTCATCGAAGAATGCTGTGACAGAAACCTGGAGCTCTGTAGAGAAGTATTGTCGAACACTGACGCTCTGTCGCACCAACCCAGATATGATCTCATCCTGTGTCGTCGATAAAGAGTGCGGGCGCTGTGCGAGCAACAATTTGAGAGATTCCAAAGCGACAGTTTCCGGTGGTTTCAGACCATCTGTCCGAAGATAAGTAGCAGCTTCTTTGCCTGCATTTTCATCGTTATGTGTGGTGTATCGGCGGCAGAGATCGAGAAGCTGGTGGCCGTCCGTATCTTCATACTGAACTTTCAGGAAAGCGGCCTTCACTTGAGGATTTTCGGGGGCGATTGAAAGGGCTTCTCTAAGATTTCTAGAAGCAGCCTATTTAGTGAGCTATATGTCAGTACTCCGCTATCTTCCTCAGGTGTTCAAAAAGCAGATCACATACCTCTCTGTGACCCGCGTCAACCAGTTCGACGGCCTCTCGGGCCAGGTTTACAGCGCGCTCTTCGCCCGTTGCTTGACCCATTGCAAGGTTGCGCGAGAGAAGACCAAAAATGAATACTCCAGTTATTAGTTTGGAAAGTTAAAGGTGAATAAAGGAAGCTTTTTTTTTTTCCTTGAGGGGAGGGGCGGAGCGGAGAGAAAGAGCGATAAGGTGGGAACAGAGTGATTTTTATGGGGAACAGGGAAAAGGTCCTAAAAGAAGGAAACGTATTATATATTTTTTTATAATTTCGGATTGCCGCGTTGGCCCGTTTGAAATATAATGACACCTTATACTTTTCCCCGGACCGTCTCAGATGTACATCGATGTAATCGATGTAATACACCGGGTCTTACAGTTCCACGCCATTTCCTTCACGAATCGCCATTATCAATTGGCCCGATAAGACACCAACCACATCGACGAACGCCGACACGTTGTCGATAAGCATATACTCAGCTTAGTCCTTTGTTTCGTGTGACAAGCTACATTCCAAGTTTTCTGATATATCCTACCTCCGGTGTCGCCGAATTCCTATATAAGATACCGGGGTTACGGAGAAAGGCAACCATCCGCCTTGCCACTAGAGAATACATGCAATAGTCTCATCTTGGCGCGTCCAAGGGATACGCCAAGAGAAACCAAGTCCTGCACCTTTCAAGGCCACCGAAAATAGAACACTTCTCGGAGATGATCACAAATTCAGGGTAATTTCAGTCACCCACGGCTTCACAGGATGGGAGTCAATCCGATTGGAGTATTGGCTCCCGGTCCTGATTCGGAATTGCTGGTGAGTCACTCGAAGATCCCAAAGGGTCAATTCATTGTTAGTATGTAAAGAATAAAATATGAAATTCGAGTCCGGACATAGGTTGGAGAGTTATGTACGGAGTTAGAAACAGATAGATATAGGAAACACCTGGCAGCCCTGGAGCTATCCATAGCTTCGTTATCACCCCGTGACTGGCTTATCGCTTCAAGATCCTCAGCTGGCGTGCCGCTGCTAACTAGAGCTTGGACTTCAAAATTAATCCTGGCTTTATATGCAGAACCTTCGGGATTCCAGTCTGACTGGCCTGGCATCAGTCCGAGAGATCCCGAACTCACAAGAATGAACACCAGCCTCTACTGATCCGACCATCTCAGCACAATGAATATCGTGGATGCTTCGGAGCATTATGAGTTGGGAGCTACAGGTGCGCATTTTCTACCCTCTGCAAAAGACGAACCGCTAGCTAACCAGATCACCATTTAGACCTCTCCCCATCTCTGCTCACCATAGTCATCGACACGAACCCACACGCCTGGGCCCTCCTCGAAGACTCCCTCCCGCTCTCCAAAGCAATCGCCAACATCCTAGTCTTCATCAATGCCCACCTAGCCTGCAACTACGCCAACGAAGTCGCGGTCGTTGCATCACACAGCCAAAAAGCAGCATGGCTCTACCCATCCCACAATGCCCCCCGAAAACGCTCCGCCGATCCTGACGGCGACGTCGCAATGAATGGCGCAAGCGACACCCAACCCCCGGAAACAAACAAATACCGTCCCTTCCGCATCGTCGAAGAACAAGTCACCCGCAACCTCAAAGAACTAATGGACTCAACGACCGGTGATGATCTGCGCGGCAACATGTCCACGATGCTGGCGGGTGCGCTAACCCTCGCCCTGAGCCACATCAATCGACGCACGCTTGCCTGGGCGGAGGAGCACGGTGGCGCCAACGCCGAAGACGCAGCGGCTGATGGTAACGGCGGGAATGGTAGCACAGCCACGAACCGATACTCAGCCTCGAATGAGGACGAGCGGCTGCAGAGCCGCATCTTGGTCATTTCCGTGAGCGGATCTACCGATGCGGCCCACCAGTATATCCCTGTCATGAACAGCATCTTTGCCTGCCAGCGCTTGAGCATCCCTATTGATGTGTGCAAGCTCAGTGGCGATGCGGTCTTCCTGCAACAGGCGTCTGATGCTACCAAAGGTGTTTATATGGCTCTTGCTGAGCCGCGGGGCCTGCTACAGTATCTGATGATGGCGTTTTTGCCGGATCAGCGCTCGCGCCGGCATTTGGTTCTTCCAACGCGGGTGGATGTTGATTTCCGGGCTGCTTGCTTTTGCCATCGCCGGGTTGTTGATGTTGGCTTTGTGTGCTCCATTTGTCTCAGTATCTTCTGCGAGCCACCCCCTGGTAATGACTGCATGACTTGTGGCACACATCTAGATACCGGAGACAATGCTAAACCTGCTTTATTGCCAAGGAGAAAGAAGAAGAAGAAGCGTGTTAATGGTGCATCCGGAACGGGGACACCCATGTCGACACCCACACCGGGTCCTTGATATTTGTTCCGCGGAAGGTGATATCGTTAGGGCAAAATAACCATATGATGGGACCTGACTTTATCAAGACCGGGTTGGCATTACTCCTGGAACACACATTGACTTGATGCTATGAGCAACACTACATATAGCTAGTTTACAAGGAAATAATTTGGGACAGCTCTCATTTACTAGTGTGAAACGAATAGGTACGCACAGGGAGGAATGCCGGGGCTTTCTGAAACATACTCCGATCACATCATTGGTGCCCGGTCTTGAAAGAGAAGACTGTCCAGGGAAAGCATGCAAGGGCCATTGAGGCAATCGCTCGTCTTGTCATCTTGTCACCATGCAGGTGCGACATATGTGCCGCAAGGCTGGGAAAAGCAGCGGGAAATTGGGCATACCAGCGCAGAAAACGCAAAGGCGAGGGGACAACAGAAGTAGATACAAATGGTTATGGGTGAAACCCATCTCAACCACTGATGAGTATCGAAAGACCAGACGTCGGTGGAGCAAAAAAGGCTTCGCTGCAACATAGTTGTGGCTATCATCCAGGGTGCAATGCAATTCTGATTAAACCATCCGTGTCAGCACTCATAACTTCAAGTATCTTCAACTTGATGACCAAACTTACAATGACTTGGAAACTTGATTCGGCAACCTCCCTGGGCAATGGTTCCACGCGAGCCTCGCGACATTAGACAAGATGGTCTTTTTGCATTACTGGACATAGATGCAATGGCCTGTGAGATATATTTAGCAACGAATCCTTCATAGCGACTAATGAAAAACTCACGAAAGAGTCGGTATTGTGAGCAAAGTAGAGTTCAATACCAGAATTATTTTTCTTCACAATGAGCACGCCGAGGGCTCCAAAGAGAATGCTGTTACTCACAGCAGTGTGTTCTAACAGACAAAAGCAAACAAATATTAGTGTTCGGGAAGCTTCAGCAGTGAAAAGCAGAGAACATACCATTAAACTCCCTTTTCATCCATCCTGTGAGAGCTTCTTCCTCCATGACCTGGGTAAAAACACCGTTGTCGCCCATCTTCTGACTGTAATACATCCTTTGCGCGCATGTACTTGCCGCTAGTGTTGAGGCGATGAGCTCTCCAGTCCCAGATGTAACGACTGCGCATGTGGTTCCATCTGGATCAGTCGGGTCTTGTGGAATAACATGGGTGCCAATGCCAATTAGGGCCGCAGGTCCGATTCGACCTCGGTGCTTCATGCCAATGCCCCCCGAAGAAGATCCTGCTGCAATATTTCCATACTTGTCAATGGCAATCGCGCCAACAGTGTCTGTGATCGAGTCCTCCCCATCTTGTTCGATTTCGGCAGCATCGGGGCTACCATCTCGAAAGGAGGTCAGAGATGAGACAGGCTGCACGGGTAGATGTGACTTCGTGAGCTTGGCCTTTTTCTGAGTTTGATTCTCCAGTGATGCTACCGGGCGCCCCTTCACATCGGCAAAAAGGCTTGGATCGGGCAGAGTTCTTATTTCCTCGTCCGCTACATTGCAGGCAGGATGAGCTCCAGCTTCAGAACCATGCTCGAGACGTTCAATGCGAATGTCGAGGGGAGTTATGGGCCGGCGAACCCAGGGATCCATCTCTTCGCCGCGGGTCTCATGTTCATAATCATTGACTTCTGAAGCCCATACCTGATAGCGTTCCAGAGCGACGGGCGATATCAAGGCTTCCTCCGGCATAATCACTATGCCATGCTCCCATGCAAAGTCCTTGGCACCTTCTCCAACCAAGAAGTTCGGGGGCACTCTTGACATGCCCATCTGCACATTTGACTTGTCATAAATCTTCCGAGCAAGCATGATTGGATTCCTAATGTCTAGCAGACACATATGTTAGACAAGACTTTCCGAGACAGAGACACACCAAACTTACTGGGCACAGCTCCAACCGCTCCACTTAAGCCGTGATGATCGACAATCGAGGCATCGCCTTCGACCACACCTTTTGCGTTTAAGTTGCTCCCAAACCCTGCATTTGTAATCGGATTATCTTCAAGCACCATCAGAGCTGCTTCAACGGCATCAACGGCGGTGCCACCACCCTTCAAGAATGCCATGGCCTTGAGCGCAGCGCTAGTTCAATTCACCTGTTAGACTGCGTAACCATCAAAGACATGAAATACTAAGACTAACACTTCACAGGCCTTCAAATGCTTGTGCTCATTCTCGTGGCTGTGGAAGCCCGCTCCGGCATGAATGAAGATGGCACAAACGCCCTCGTTCCCGGTCGTTTGCGACATGGTAAGAGTGATGAGACAAGTGCGGTTTCGGGATCTACCACAGGATTGTGCACGATTGATCGAGGTATCACGTCTCAGATACCGATATAAGAAAATTGTCGCCGATTGGGTCCGAATATCAAAGATGATCTATCGAATCAGGTACGTCGAAAACTTGCAATTTGCCACGGGATCAGGTTAAAGGGAAGATATGGATACAACGCGTGAACTGGCAAATCTTGGACGCGTCGGTGATGGGCTCGCCGATTGTTGATTGCAATGCGGTAGCTCTTTGTGGGCTCTGCACTTCAAACTGAACGATGGAACGCCTGGATTTTTGAGCTAAAGGACCACTGGAAACCAATGCTCTAAAGCGATGGCAGATTTGGGCACGGAAAGTGAAGCGAGAGGAGACAAGAGCCTACGGCAAGACCATCCGTGCTGAGGTGAGAGATGAATACAGAGAACGAAGGGCAGCACTATACATGCCCCACCCACCAGAAATGATACTGTTGGAAGAATAAAAGAAGAATGAGGAAGAATGAGAAGCGTCTTAGGGATTGAGGATGTGCGAGTGGACAGTCAAAAAAGATTGTAAATTTATGGGAGCTCTCATAGCACTGGTCGTTCTTGCCATTTTGGTCAAGTTTCACTTTTCAGTTGAAATTAGGCAGTGAAATATGCATCAGCTAAGCGGCATACCTTCAGTGGTCGCTCGCTTTCTTATGTAGAAACCTAAGGATCTTGATACCAGCCGGCTTGATACTTCCCGGCACATGATGTTGACGTGTGACCCCTTAGGTAATCGGACCTCCGGGCACTGCATCTCCCCCCGCCTTGTCTGCCTGTCCTCTTGGTCTCTTGAAGTTAGGGCGATTTCGGCTACCAATTGAGATTCAGCCGATTCTCTCGTCATTACCTTGTTCTATACATCGCGTACGCTTCTTTCAACTCCTCACCGCATCGTGATCGTGCCCAGACACAACCACCCGCCATGGCGTCCCAAACCCCAGCCGTTGTCATGGACAAGTAAGTTCACAGCTGCAAGCATCAAATTAATATCGGGTGCTGACTCTATACTCCTCCCTAGCGGAACTGGCTATTCCAAGCTTGGTATGTGCTATCTGTAGTGTTTAGGGAGCTTGCGATTACAGATTAGGCTGACATGCTACCTCTACTATTCCAGGTTTCGCCGGTAACGACTCCCCCTCATTTGTGTTTCCGACCGCAATTGCAACCAGAGCTGCTGGAAGTGCTGGAAGCTCTGGGGGCCGGCCCCCAGTCGCAAACAAGCCCTCGTTCTTAGGCACTGGCAGTGGTAGCTCCAACCTGTCTGCGAAGCGTGGCACGGAAGACCTGGATTTCTTTATTGGCGATGAAGCGCTGGCTGCAGGCAATGGCCCAGGATATGGCGTCAACTACCCGATCCGACACGGACAGATTGAGAACTGGGACCACATGGAACGATTCTGGTCGAACTCGATCTTCAAATATCTGCGTGTGGAGCCCGAGGACCACTACTTCCTACTCACCGAACCTGTAAGTCGACTGTGCATGCTGGCAGTGAGCTGTGTTTAACAGGATGAGACCTGACGTTTATGGATTATAGCCTCTGAACCCTCCCGAGAACCGCGAGAACACCGCTGAAATCATGTTCGAGTCGTTCAACTGCGCCGGTCTTTACATTGCTGTGCAAGCAGTTCTTGCCCTTGCTGCTTCGTGGACATCCTCCAAGGTGACAGACCGCTCCCTGACCGGAACGGTCATCGACTCGGGTGAAGGTGTTACTCACGTTATCCCCGTCGCCGAAGGCTACGTCATCGGGTCCTCTATCAAGAGCATCCCGATTGCCGGCCGAGACATCACATATTTCGTGCAGAGCTTGCTGCGTGACCGTGGAGAACCCGACAGCAGCTTGAAGACAGCAGAGAAAGTGAAGGAGGAGTACTGCTACGTCAGCCCCGATATTGTCAAGGAGTTCGCACGTTACGACCGCGAACCAGATCGCTTCCTGAAGCACACCGTCACTGCGCCGAACGGGCGGAGTATAAACATCGACATTGGATACGAACGTTTCCTCGCCCCGGAGATCTTCTTCAACCCCGAAATCTATTCCTCCGACTTCCTCACCCCGCTCCCCAATGTTGTTGACGGCGTCATCCAGTCCTCCCCCATCGATGTCCGGAGAGGTCTCTATAAGAACATTGTGCTCTCTGGTGGTTCTACTCTGTACAAGGACTTTGGCCGTCGTCTACAGCGTGACATTCGTCACTTGGTGGATGCACGAATCCGTGCCTCCGAGGCTCGTAGCGGTGGCGCACGGAGCGGTGGTCTCGATGTCGCTGTTGTCACCCACAAGCGTCAGCGCCACGGTCCCTGGTTCGGAGGTAGTCTGCTGGGCCAGACGCCTGAGTTCCGGAGCTACTGCCACACTAAGGCGGAGTATGACGAGATAGGCCCCAGCATTGTGCGGCGGTTCGCGCTGCTTGGTGGCCCGGGAAGCTCGTAGATAGAAAATGTGTGAACCTTATCATTAGATACTTGTCAATCGATGTAGCTCAGCCTTTTGTTCATAGTTTGTTTTATCTCTTTTCTTTCTCCGTCCGGTGGTGCTCTCTATTTTCTTTTTACCCAAGCTTGGCGCCTAATACAAGTTAGGAGATGGTAAAGATGGTTTATTCCTATCTAGCTTGGACTAGCTAATTGTGCTAAGTGACCAATACACTTCCAGTGTTGGTCGCTTAGCAAGATTGATAGCGAAATAAAAGCAAACGCTCTACATGAGCTTAATGCCGCTCCGCTTGAATGCATATTCCGTCCTAGGCTCTAGGGGCCACATGATAAAATAAAACGGGAATTATCGAGCTTCCGGGCTTAGATATAGTATTATAAAATATATTAGAATGAAAATAAGGTTAGGTAAAGAGGATTTCGTGCCATGAAAGCTACAACATTCAATGAGCACCATATATATATCTCCATGTCGAGGATAACAACAACTACCGTCAGCGGCAATTCATATCTCATTTACTACTTCAACAAAAGGTATTCTCTCACGATCAATATGGAACACATACATGCCCGGCTGGCTTCGACCAACCGTGACCCAAATACATAGTTATTCCACATCGTATAAAGATTGACAGCATTCCACGGGAAGCAACTAGACTACGCTCTTAATAAAGCTCTGGCTCACAGTTCCCAGGTGAGTAAATACCCAACCTAGGATTAAAGGGAAACTTACACCCTCGAATGACCGAGAGTATACTGCGAAGAAGAGCCATATAAGACAAAAATGCCCACCGTAATAGACCTAAAAAAGAGTCCGACCTCAAATGACCGAGAGGGAGAAATGTGCTAACAATAACCGCCTTCAGTGGAAATTTGTGGAGCATGAGCCGTATGAAGTAGATGATAATGACCATAAGTGCAAGGTGCACGCCGACAATCACTGTCTCACATGTCGTAAAGGTGTATTCTCACAAGATGCCACCTGCCTGTTCCCGGTACAAAGTACAGACAATCAAGTCAACTAGGTTACCTGCATATTCTGAATTTCACCGAATCTGTCCTTTACTCGCCGATGTACCTAATGTACAAAATACCAAAAGGGGCAAAGATTTCCATATACTACTACTCCGTATTCACCAGTTTATATTTAGAAATTCAAGTTGCACCAGCTATTCTCCGCACTTCCCAGAAAACGACCCCACCTTGGGGCTCTCGAATGTCCACAGTCGTACTTACCAACAAAATCAACATGTCGGAAGATCCATACTTTGATCTCGGCTCATATCGATTGCCCGTGAAGACAAACTCTCCAGAATGCCAGGTTTGGTTTGATCGCGGATACCGTTGGGCCCAGGGTTTCAATCATGGAGAAGCAGCCCGTTGCTTCAGGAACGCTATTGCACATGACGAAACTTGTGCTATGGCATATTGGGGTCTTTCCTATGCCATAGGACCAAACTACAACAAAGCCTGGATTCGATTTGATCGATCAGACTTACTTAACACAACCACCGAAGCCCCGCTCCTTCTTCAAAAAGCCCAAGCATGCACTACCCAAGAAGCCCCAGTAGAATTTGCTCTAATCGAGGCGCTGAAAGCTCGGTTTCCACAATCCCAAGTGATACCTGAAGATCTTGGCTCGCTGGATCGAAGCTATGGGGAGGCTATGCGTGCGGTGTATGAAAAGTTTCCGGATGATTTGGATATTTCCGCTCTGACCGCAGAAGCCTTGATGTGTCTCACTCCACGTGGTCTATGGAACCTCGATACGGGAAAGCCTACTGGCCATCATACGGTACTGGCTCGTGAGATAATAGAGAGGGCGATGACACTTCCAGGGGGCGCAGAACATCCCGCGTTATGCCATCTCTATATCCATTTAATGGAAATGTCTCCATATCCAGAAACCGCCTTGCCAGCAGCCGATCGGCTACGCTCTTTAATGCCCGAGGCATCCCATATGCTTCATATGCCGACTCACATCGATATCGCCTGTGGCGATTATCGTAGAGCCGTGGACTCGAATCACCAAGCTATGCTTGCCGATGATAAGTTCTTTGCTCGCACAGAAGGAACCCATCTCTACAAGTTATACCGGGCGCATAACATCTATGTGAAACTGTATAGTGCCTTGATTTCTGGCCGCTCCCAGGACGCGCTCTCTGCGGCACATCGTCTCCCTGGAGTACTTACCACCGAGGTGCTTTCTATTTCGAGCCCGCCAATAGCAGATTGGGCAGAGAGCTTTCTCGGTGCGATTGTTCATGTCCTAGTCCGATTTGGTCGCTGGGAGGAAATTCTACAAAATCTCCCGATACCAGAGAACAAGCAGTTGTACTGTTCTACAACAAGTATGATCTATTATGGCCGAGGTATTGCACTTGCGGTACTTGGTCGAGTTGATGAAGCAAAGCTCGAACAAACCAAGTTTGAAGAGATCAGAGCCCTCGTGCCGAGAACCCGTCTTAGTAGCCAGCCGGCTCTGGAGGTCGATGTATTGAATGTTGCATCGGCTATGCTACAAGGCGAGATCCATTACAGAGAGGGAAATTTCGAGGTTGCATTTCGCAGCTTGCGAGAGGCCGTTGCTCTGGAAGATAATCTCCCTTATTCAGACCCCCCGCCTTGGATGCAGCCAACTCGGCATGCGCTGGGCGCCTTACTTTTAGAACAAGGCCATGTCGAGGAAGCAGAGCTAGTATACCGAGAGGACCTTGGACTGAGCGACAACTTACCCAGGCGCAAAGCAAGATTGAATAATATTTGGGGACTTCATGGTCTCCATGAATGCTTGACCAAGACCGGCAAGATTGCAGAGGCAAAGATCATTGGCATCCAGAAAGAACTAGCTTTAGCGTCTGCAGATGTTCCCATTGCTGCTTCATGTTTCTGCCGTCTTTCTGCTTCGCAGGCAACAAATGATCCCCAACCCTCCAAATCGAAATGCTGCGCCTGAAAGTCTCGGAAAAATCGGGGGTTGATACATGTTGCTGTGTAGCGCAATTCTAGTTTTTTTCTTCTTCTTTTTTTTTTGGAAGTAATACGACAACTAGCCGATGTTTGTCACTTGGCCTCATTCAAAGTGGCATCAAGCCTATGTAGTCGCATGTCAGGACATGGAAGTGGTAACTTACCACTGGGGACTGACCAGTTGCATTGGATCCAATATCTCTTTATGTACCTTTTTTATACAAAGTCATTCAGATTTGTAACTCTGTTGTTATAACCATCGAGAATCGGTGTATTCCACCCGAGCATGTTTCATCTTACCCTGAATCGCACGGTATTTTCCTTTGTCTCTCTCCGATCTAGACTCAGAGCATATTTACAACACAGAGCAAATTAAGTCTATAGCCTGAAGATCATTAAACAAAATAGAAAATGAAAATGTATTAAACAGCGTACATATCCACAATCGCCATCATGCTTTTTTGGACTTCCCTCCCAAAACGCCACGAATTATGCAATATCAGACAAATATATAGCCCCCAAAGGCTCAATACTATTACTTTTCAGACATCCCATCACTCAAACAGTCTCGGTTTGAGGGAAAGAGGTGCGGTTCAAAATAGCGACACCCTCTACATGACCGGTCTGAGGGAAGAAATCAAAGCCACGGACACTCTCAATCTCATAGCGGACATTCTGCTTCTCATCACCCTGCACCATGACAGCAACGTCGCGAGCCTGGGTATGGACGTTACAGCTGACATAGACAACACGACGTGGCTTGAAATCAAGCATCTGGCGCAGGAAGTCTTCTGAACAACCCTTGCGAGGTGGGTCAATAACCAGCAATGTCTGATCTGATGGGTATGGGACATCCTTGAAGAGAGTGGCGGCATCGGCAGCGGCGAAGCCTGTGTTGGGGAGATTGTTTGCACGTGCGTTCTCGCGTGCCGAAACAATGGAATCACCTCCAATATCGACACCGAGACTGGACTTAAACAATGGGGAGAGGGTAATTGTGAACAGGCCCGAGCCGGAATACGCATCCAGAAGGTATTTGATTGGCTTTGCGTCCTGATCGTTGCCTGCGGGGATGGCTTGCGAGCGGATGTACTCTGTGAAGCCGGACAAAATGGAGTTGTTGTTTTGGAAGAAAGCACCTGCTTTGTTGCTAAAGATATAATCATCAACGTACTCGAAGGACGTGGCGTTGTTGTCTGTGATGCAGCGCTTTTCTTCGATATAATTTTCGCGCTCAATGCGGATCACATCGCCGGTATCTGCGTTGGGAGTGGCGGCAATCCCGCCGACAGTGGGAGCCTCTCCTTCGGGGGTAGGCGCAGCATCTTTGGGGATTCGTGCGGTAGACTCCCGCATCAGGAGAGTGGCACCTCGCTTGTAAGAACGGATGTTCTCCGCAACTCGTTTCCTCTCACTGGTGAGTCCGCGACGCACAATATCTGTCCCCAGGGGACAATCTTCAATGTCCATATCCAGTCGTCGGTTCTTGTATGTGAATCCAATCGGGGGGACCTTCGGTTCGTCGCCGTCTTGCTTGGAGCCTTTGCCGCAGCCACCATTTGCGAAATGCGGTGTGAGTTTTGTGCGATATCCATATTGCATTGGCGAAGCAAAGGTTTCTCCGACGGTAGGAACAAGCTCAGGGATCAACCCAGAGAAATTGGCATAGGCTTTCTCCACGATGCGCCGTTTGTGAGCAAGCTGATCCTCGTAGGACATCATCTGAAGCTGACACCCAGAACACTCGCCGAAGTATTTGCACCCAATCAGCGCATCGTTTCTCTGAGGACCCGGTTCAATCACTTTGACAAAATCAGTCAAACTGTATGACAATGACTCGAAATGCTTGACCAATTTGACCCGCACGGTGTCTCCAGGGACTGTGAACGGAACAACATAGACATATTTGCCATTTTCGGCGAGCGCTAGACCGTCGCCTGTTGAGGAAAGCTCAACAATCTTCACATCAATCTCGGTGAACTTCTCGGGAAGGGACAGAGGCGTGCTGTCACCGTTGATTTCATCCTGCTCGGTTTCGTTGCGTTTGATAAGGTTGTTGATATCGCAAAGCAGGACCTCGTCATGTCCACTGCTCTTGTTATTCTTGTCAACTCTCGCCTTCTTGCGCTTGCCGTCAAAGTGTTTCTTGGGACCGTTTTGCATTATTGCGGGGACTGGCGCATTCGTTGAACAGCGTTGGTGATAGAATTTGGAGGCTGGTCGCAATTGAAGAACTGGTAAAATCCAGGAAGACAAAGAAGGGGTCAAGCGCCAAACAGATGACCGTATTGCAAACATATAAGTTGGAAAGCGACAACGAAATAATTTCTGGAAACGAAAATCATCAAATGGGAAATTTATTAGAAACCCATCTAACGCGTCGCTGATTGGTTGCAGACTGACCGCCCGCAAGAAAGAATTCATCCCGACGCTTCACCTCCGACTGGCCTCTTTTGCCTTTGCGTCCTCCAATTGTCTCCGCATTTCGCGTGTTTCTTTATTTTTAAAGCTCTCAACCGGCCTACCTTGGCTGGGGAGCCCATTACACCGCCATTATGAACATCACACGGCCAGCACGATGCCTTTTATGCAGCTTCACCCGTGCTGCCACCCCAAGCACGCGAGTGCCTCGACGCCAATTCCATCCTACTCCCGCCTCTCTCTCAAACCGGAAACCCAAGTTCCCCAACATCAAGGCTCCTCGGGTGGAGGAATGCAAGCCTTACACGGAAGAGCAGAAGGCTGAACTCGCCAAGGAGTACTCGGAGGCACAGATGGCCGCCATCGAAGCCGGCGAAGCTGCTATCGACCCTAAGGATCTGGCAGAGCAGATGAGCGAACGCAGTGATCCCATGGCATTCAAATACATTGACGACTTTTCGGTGATTGAGCCCGGTATTGATCGACACCAGCGCGCCCCGGAGTCGAACTCGGATTACAATTTCAAGCTGAAGAGCGAGGACGATTTCGTTAATGACTTCGGAAAGTTCTTCGCCGAGATGCCTGATAATGCCACAGGTGCAGACTTCGTTCGGTTCGCGGACAGCCTGCGCGTCACCCTCGGCAAGGAGGAAAGCGAGCTGGCCCCACACAGCGCACTTGTTCCGGATCTCTTCGGACCCGGAGAGACCATCGATGAGCCCCGTGTCGAAGAGCGGAAGACAGCCGCTGAGAAGGGCGAGAAGGAGCGGTCAGCGGAGGCTGAGGAAATGACAGATGCCCTCAAGAGCTTGCTTCTGGCTACGGGCTACACGGAGAGCCAGGTCAAGGGCCTCCGCACCAAGACCCTTGTTCAACACAGTGTCACCAACCAGACCCGACTAGGAAAGGTCCGCCGTGCCTACCGTCTTTCCATTGCGGGTAATGGAAATGGTCTGCTAGGTATTGGTGAGGCCAAGTCCGATGAAGCTTCTGACGCAAAGATCCAATCGCAATACCGTGCGATCAGAAACATGCAGCCTATCCCCCGCTACGAGAACCGAACCATCTTCGGCGATGTCAAGGGTAAGGTGGGAGCCACAGAGTTGCAGCTGATGCACCGTCCACCAGGTATGTTTAGTTTCATTCCCTCCCGGTATGTTACTTTTTTGCTAATAATAATAGGTTTCGGACTCCGTGTCCAATACCTTATCTACGAGATGTGCCGCGCTGCCGGCATTCACGATCTGTCCGCCCGAGTCGGTCGCTCAAGGAACCAAATGAACACAGTCAAGGCCGCCTACGAGGCGTTCATGAGCCAGCGTAACCCAGAGCAGGTTGCTCACGCACTCGGCAGAAAGATTGTCGATGTGCGCAAGGTGTACTACGCAGGTAAGATTTAGGGCCTCCCATAGCCCCAACTTGCTGCTTCGTCCCAGCGTGTATATAATGCTTCTCTTTTCCTATATTTCTTCTTGTGTCTTTTGCATGTACTTGTATAAGTTGGTTGTTAAACATGAAGGGTCATCAATTCTCCAGTATTATGGGCTATTCATAGCATATTTGGAAAATCATATATCAACAAGGTTCTTTTGCATAAACACTATCTGATTCGCGCCAAAACGAAAATTTCCGGGTATAATACGCGAGTAAACAAAAAACAAAACAAAAACAAAGAACCATCCAACATTGAACATAACAGACGATTTTGATGCTTTCTTGCCTTATTGAAACGTCACGTCTCCCTCATATCCTCCGCCATGCTGATATTCATGGTCTTGGAAACGCCGCTCCTCGTTCTGATGTTGTTGCTGTTGCTCTTCATTTTCGTTCCAGATCTGCTGCTGCAAGACAATGCTATACACACTGGCCTTGAGCAGGGTGCATACAGTCGCAGTCTTGCGCTCAAGGAGACGGAGACCATCGAGTGGCATGGAGGCGGGGTCACCGGCGAGGTCAGCGAGTTTATCGGAGAGCTGTGCACGAGTCATTAATCAGTAACGAGCACAACCAATACGAACACTGTTAACAGCTCATATAATTCCCCATGGTACATTATTTGAACACTGTTCCTTGAAGAGATTGTCCCAAAAAGATAAGATCAAGACCAACAAGGTCTTCTCCCACGTACCTGGTTGACATTCCGCAGCAATCGAGCGTATTCTTCCAGCACTTCTTGCTCCAAATCTGAAACGAGGGGGTTATCTGATCCCAAGAGGGGATTATTCGAGTGGCCCCGGCCGTGAGAGGCGTCTGCGTCGCTCATTGATTGGGGAATTGGAGGGGTGGATGTTTCCGCGGGGTCGACCTCGGCGTACGAGTAATCGTTATCCGAACTCTCGGGCGCGAAGGCGGACATTGTAGATGATTTTAGGGTTTATTTGCTGAAAGTTGTGGATGTTGAGCTGGTAAGCTGTGAAGGATGTATTTTGGCGTTGTGTTTTCTGGGGTTCCGCTGAGACGCGTTCCTAAGCTTACGATATCTACGGTGGGTTTCATGAACTTATTTCAACGTCATTCAATAGGCCATATCTATATAGCCTTTAATGTTCTTTTCAAAAATCGCCTCAAAAACTTTCTTGATGCCTAATGGGAATATCCTAAGAACACAGTTATAAAAAACAAACGCATGTGCTATCAATAACATTCGACTCCTTCAGAATACGGTCTGACCCTATTAATACCTCGGTTGAGGTTTTTGTTTTTTTTTATTTGAAAAACTATTTTTGTCTGACCACTGGCTATAATAAGAAATCTGTCTCAGTTCCTCGATGTTGCGATTTGATACATGTTATTACGCAGCTGCTAGGCATACATATATATAGTAAGCCCACGTACTTTTTTTAAACGGAAATGTGACTTCTATTAGAAGTTTGTTTTATGAAGCTTTGGTAAGTTCCCCTAGAAAGTATCTATATAGTACATTATACATTGATTTGAGCAAAGCCTCCAGAATTCACTCCATACTACAATCATGTATATATAGGGTAGGATGCTTATCTTAAGAAATTGCATTGAACAACTCCGCACGGAGTCCAAAGCTAGCTGTCGTATTAGTCAAGCGCCAGCCACACCAGCCTCATTATTGGACAACACGTGTGGCCTTGTTTAGTTACATCCACGAATGTGTTAGCGTTGCTCTCAGACGCGGCAGCGTCTCCGCGAGTTCTACGGTGCGGAGTATCTAGGACAGAATCTCGGCAAAATCCAGCGCTCGGGGGAAGGCCTTTTTTTTTTAATAACTACCACAGGGAGAGCGCAAACTACTGTGACGGCAGATATTGTAGTGCGCTGTTCGCCCCTGTTGCCTTCCGGCCCTGACAACTGAGAAAGAAAAAGAAACCCCCTATAAAATCTTTATTGTATACTTTGTATCTAGCAGACGCCTAAAGGTGGAGAGCTCCGCCGGAGGCGCAAGCTGCATGCAGCAATTGTATAGACTGACCAACTACAAGCATTGTGAAGCCCATTGAATGATTGACTCGTTCCTGAAACACTATTGCTATATTGTATAAAGCAATGATCATCATGGCGCATCCTGCTGGTGCGTAGCGTATATTTCATATTTTGGAGACCTGAAAATAATAATACGCGGCGGGGCCCTGTCTATGTACTCCAGTCTTCAGAATCCTTTAGCCCAGCCAGCCAGCCAGCCAGCCAAGTAGTTCTGATGTGGATATCTACAGCCAATTTAATCCCAGCTACCCACCACACTGTAACGGTTTCTCTTGCAACCGTGTCGACAATCTCAGTTATCAACGATGATCCCATGACGAGAGAGGGGTTGAGTAACCGCATTGTCGACTAGGATGCAAGCCTTCTCAAATTGACTGGGACGGGCTAGTGAAGTGCTTGGGTGGGTCAATTTTGCAATTTATATTACTGCCTCAGGCTATAGTTTCTCAATCGACATTTTCGAGGTCATTTCCCTAATTGATATAGGATAGATTCACTTCGAGTCACGCAGTTGACTGCGAAAATTACAGATCCTTCAGAGATAGAATTATTATGTGTGAATGTAAAAACCCCTGTGACCTGAGAAATAATATTGTGTCTCATTCTGGATCCAGAAATCCCTATTTAGGAGTGGATATTCTTTATCGCAAACACCTTGTGGGAGTCTCCTATCCTGTACGAGTACGACAATGTAGTACCACACACTCTTTTAGGATAAGTTCCCCTGAAAAAGGTGACGCCAAGAGTCTAGAGATAGTAGTATGATTACTCCATAGAAGGTGGCACTCTCCAGAAACTTTCTTGCCCCCGCGAAACTCCCATGAGGTCTTTTCCCGCGCCGCGTCCGAGTCATGGGCCACCTGCGCCTCTACTTTATTTGGAAGCCTAAATCCATGTATCTACTCTGTATATAGATTTCCGATGTAACATCGTCGCGTCGAATAACTGATTTAAAAATGACAATTCAACTAATATCACCTTGTGTGAATTTGACACCCCTAACAACGGATTGACTCTAGTGCAGGAAATGAGTCTTGGCTTTGCGTTTTCCACAATAAAATCATGTCCCTCCAACTCCTTTCTGGGTCGTGTTATCATGATCCACAATATGAGATAATGATCGAGGATATTTAAGAAAGACACATTGCAAATGGTCAGGTGGCGACTTCGGTAGAGAGGAAGACAACGTAAATACGTAAGTGTCCTTAACTAGGAAGTTGGCAACATTAGCCAGTCGCCCCAGATGCGGGGCTTGAGCGGCAATAATAGAGGGGCAGAAAAGGCAGATCTGTTTTCGCCTCGACAGTTCGCGGACGTTTTTCTAAATTTATGGGACCTGGTCCCTTGAGCCGAAAGAATAATAAAGTTGGTCTGGGATACTACGTTTTCCTAGGGCTGGGGTGGACACGTGTCAAGGTTTTCCCAAAGAGGTTAGTTCCCTAGAGGCTTTCCACTGTTAGGCAAGGTTCCAAGATTAGGCCAAGGTTAAAGCCAAGGTCAAGCCAAGATACGTTAACCAGGAAAGGTTAGCCAATATCTCAATCTCATTGCGAATACGAATCGCCACTTTTGAATACAATTGTCTTTTGAGGTTTTCAGGGGTGAGGGAACCAAATGTAATTCATTTTTAGGGGGAATGGAGAATGGAGAATATCCTCTGTGGATTCTACTCCGTATTTAGTTTGATTATTCAGTGTACTATTTAGAAACGTGCCATGCACGGAGTAGAGTGGAGTAGAATTTTCGACATGGGATAGGGGAAGGCTAATTCTAGAGATCTAACCTTTCAATTTCCGACAGGGGCACCCAAGGTTTAAGCTTGTTTTAGCTCGACTTATCAACGGGACATACAAAGTATGGTATAGTTGACGAGGTACGCGTATGGACCATATTTTATCTTTCGCCACAGTGCCCACAGCCCTGTCACACTGCTTTGATTCCGAGGTCCAATAACACTTTACACACCTCAACATCGCACTTCGACCTCTCCACTTCATTCCCCATGGAGTTCTCCCGTGTCCACATCTCGGTTGGACAGACCAATTTACACTGCCCCCTTTGTGTCTGTCCCCTGGGTCGAAACAAACGGAATGTCTTGCGCTACGTACTGCCGCGCTATGTTAGGCTAGGTAACTTAATAGATTAATCGAATCATCAGTAAAAAAGCAAAAAGAGATGCCCCCAGGGAATTGTTCCTTATAATTGTCTTAATGCCATATCCTTCTCTTATGTCAAACCTTTTGACCGAGAAAAATAACGGCCATATCTCATCGGATTCCTCCATGAGCAAGATGTCCACCTCAACTAAGGCTAGGGACAATGTCTTCTCCAGACGTGAGATCGAGGGCATGCTTGCTGAAGACAAGTTGATTATCATTGTCGACCGTAATGTCCTCAGACTAGATGCCTGGATCAAATATCACCCTGGAGGTGATATGGCTATCAAGCATATGATTGGAAAAGATGCCACGGACGAAGTAAATGCGTGAGTCTCCCAAAATCTCTCTGCTCTTGTTCAATTCAATCGGCGCATTATACTAATACTCCTTTGAAAGACTCCATTCACAGGAAGCCCGTGACCGCATGATCAAGTTCAAGATTGGCCGAGTTGAGGGCCGTTGGACCAACTTCCTCCCTCCCATCCAAGGAGGCAAATTCCGCTCATTAATCGAAAATGAGTTCGAGGAAGAAGACCTGATGAGCTCAGAGCTCTCAAGCGAAGAGATTTCAGCACCACCATCTCCCATATTCGAAGCCGAAGACGAAAGATTGGGCTTAAGACGCAGACTATCAGTATCAACAATCGCATCAGCAGTCAGCGCCATCCCTTCAACAGAAGACAAAGAAAACAAACCCCGAACCTACGTGATTGATGCTCGAACTCAAGAGGAGATTGAGATGGATTCAGTCAACTATCCCCCTCTTGACGCAGAACACCAAGAGTATGTCACAAAGAAATACCGCGAGTTGAATCTGCGTATCCGTGCAGCAGGGCTATATAACTGCAACTACAAAGCCTACGCTATAGAGATCAGTCGATACTCCCTCTTCTTTGGGCTGTTCCTCTTCTTCCTTAAACATTCCTGGTTCTGCACATCTGCTTTCTTCCTCGGCTGTTTCTGGCACCAACTTGTCTTCTCTGCCCATGATGCCGGCCACATGGGTATCACACACAACTATCAGATCGATACCACCATCGGCATGATCATCGCCGACTATTTGGGCGGCCTAAGCCTAGGCTGGTGGAAGCGCAGCCATAACGTGCACCACATCGTAACCAACGCTCCCGAGCACGATCCCGATATCGAACTGATGCCCTTCTTCGCGCTCTCGCACCGCTTCTTCAGCTCTCTCCGCAGCACCTACTACGACCGCATCATGGACTACGACGCAGTGGCCCAGGTCACCGTCAAATATCAGCACTATCTGTACTACCCCATCCTACTCTTCGGCCGCTTCAACCTCTACTTCCTCAGCTGGGAACACATCATTGTCGGGCGCGGGCCGAAACACGGCGCCGGCTGGTGGCACCGCTGGTTCGAGTTCGCCGGCCACATTTTCTTCTGGATTTGGTTCGGCTACGGCGTTGTCTGGTGTAGCATTCCCACCTGGTTCAACCGTGTTGTCTTCGTTCTGATCTCGCATATGGTGACTTCACCGCTACATGTGCAGATTACCCTGTCACACTACGCTATGTCCACTGCTGATCTCGGCCCGCTGGAATCTTTCCCCCAGAAGATGCTCCGCACTACTATGGATGTCGACTGCCCGGAATGGTTGGACTTCTTCCATGGCGGTCTCCAGTTCCAGGCTATTCACCATTTGTATCCTCGTATCCCTCGGCACAATCTGCGCAAGACGCAGCAGTTCGTTCGAGAATTCTGTGAGGATGTGAAGATTCCATATGCGGTCTTTACTTTCTATGACGGTAATAAGGAGGTTATTGGTCGGCTCGCAGACGTTGCCAGACAAGCGAAACTCCTGGAGGAATGCCGCAAGGCTTGTGCGGCAGATCCTCATATGCATTGAAGATGTTCGCTCTTTTGGAGTTGAGCTTCTTAGATACCCATTATGTAGTTTGCACAATTTTGCAAATTGGGCTTTGAATTGCGTTATTATATTGTAATTATCCAAGCGAAACTCATCAAATGTTAGACATGGAAAAGCCAATTTTACCAAAATGATCTCTCAAAGCCGCATAAGCGTACTTTGCTTGTAACTATTTTATAAATTCGTTTTTTCTTCTTCCAATGCTCATGGCCTGGATTTCGAGTATACTGTGCTCTATTCTATAGAGACTTCGCTTTTTTCTGTGAGCCAATCGAGGTTTGCCATCACACTATTCTTAGAGATGCCCTTCATATAACATATCTCTGTATTGTAACACTCTTATTTCCATGAATTGAGGCCTGTTTACAGGGTGCGAAATGAGAGGCGCATCCGCTTGAGATAAGTAAATTAAACGACATGGATAAATCATCATATAGTGAATCAAAAGCCAAAAGCTTCTCAAAAAACTTGGCTTCACAACAGTGAACTTCAAAACGTAAATTTGAGATTGAAAACAGCAAGTAGTAGTTGAGCCATACAAATGTCACGCTGAAGGAGTAACCCGAAAAGGTGAATCCCTAACGCCGTCCGCTGCGAAGTAGGATAAAAAAGCAAATGTATAGCACAGTTTTCAAGGAGACGCGCAAGGGAAAAACAAAAACAAAAACCACCAGCCCAAACAGGTTGCGACACGAACCATGTGGCAATGCCAACGAACGGTTCAGTGTCGATTCTATGTCAAGCCTGTATTGGAGGCGCAACGAAGCGTGATCCAAGGCCTTAGGATATGAGGGAAATGCAATATGCAAAGCAATCAACAAGCAATTAAGGCATAACAATGGAATGAAAAAGAAGAAAAAAGAAAAAAGCTCGAGTAGATCCACCAAGAAAAAAGTCCCGAAACACTCCATACACCCAGCGAGGATTGCAATGAAGAAGAATATCATCTAAATACAGTCGTTAATGCATCATCGTCGTCAGCGAGCCGACGCACATACGGCTGTTTTCCTCGTGTATCGGATAAAAGAAACAAGTGACAAAAAAAGAAAAGAACTCAGGCTTTACATATCCCCCTCGTGGTGAAGGGTGACACTGTTGAACTCCTCGAAGGGATCATTGAGTTCGCCGTTCGGGGTTGCGAGGCCTGAATCCATTGGAACACCTTTCATCCTGCTAGAATCGGTGCCGCCAATATCTACGCTAGCGCTCTCCTTGACATTGCGGAAATTCACCGTATCCGTGCCAACACGACCTTGGTGGGGAATCATAGGTGGCTTCATGTGACGAATGAGTGCCCATTGAGTCTGCCGGAAGAAGGGGTGAGTTTTGACATCGGAGGCACCAGCGCGGGCTCCTAGGCGCTTGGTTTCATCCTTGATCAGGAGTTTGCGGATCAGGGACTTGCACAGGTTTGATATCGGTTGCATACCCGAGTGCTCTGGGAAATTCACTTCATCCCGCAGAATGCTGGCAAACGTCGCGTTTCGGTTCTTGCCTTTGAATGGAGTAGTGCCGTACAACATTTCGTAAATTAGAATGCCCAGGGTCCACCAATCAACGGCGCTGGTGTGACCACACCCCTTGATCACCTCGGGTGCAATATATTCTTCCGTCCCAACAAAAGAATTTGTTCGGAAATCGGCAATACATGACTTGGTATCAATCGTAGGCAAACCTGTAGTGGAGTTGCCACCACTGCGTGCAGGAATCATTGTTGGGGCACCTCCGGGTCCAGATTGCTTCGATAGATCGAAATCAGAAAGCATGATATGACCAGACTGGTGAAGAAGAATATTTTCCGGTTTCAAGTCACGGTAGATGAAACCCATGAGATGGAGATATTCCAGCGCAGCAATAACCTCTGCGGCGTAAAAGCGAGCTGCATCCTCGGAGATACTCTTGCCGGGACGGGTTTGCAGGGCTAGAGATGCACAAGTCAGCAATAAATACTACAAAGATAAGATGTAAAGGTAAACGCACTCCTGAAGAACTCGCCACCACTGCAATACTCCATGCAAAGATACAGATAATCCTCCGATTGGAATGAATGATATAAGGTGACAATGAACGGGTGATTGCTGGTAGCCAGAATCTCTTGTTCGGCCAAAGCTCGTTTAATCTTGTTCCGTTTGATCATCTCCTTCTTGCTCAAAACTAGCCGCAAGTTAGTATGTGGCGCCGTACAATCGTTGATCAATAAGTAAAACATACCCTTCATGGCATACAGACGGCCCGATTTCTTCTCGCGCACCAGATAAACTTTGCCAACATCACCCTTGCCGATAAGCTTGATCTTGTCAAAGCTAGCAGGGCCGACCTCCACATTTCGAACTTTAATGGAGTTCGAACTGTAGGTGCGGCGGAAAGCAGCGTTACTGCCGAAATCTGAACTAAGTGAAGAAGGTACCGCGAGATTGAACTCCTCGCTGTTTGGATCTGCGAGACCCATTGATCCGCCCGACTGTTCAACCAGGGGCTCCTTGCCCAGTTCTGCTGTCTGAGGGCGGTTACCCTGACCAGTTGTAAATAGACCTTGGGCATTCGGAGCGGAAGCCACACGTCGTAACTTGCGCGCTAATTCCTCTTTATTTGCAGTGGTCGCCTGTTCTACTGCCGAGACCCCTGTGACTTGCAATTCAGGAGTGTCAGGGGGAGAGGATGGCACTGATCCATCATTGCGGTGTCGCAATGCTGGCTGGCCCTGGTGGGCGAAGTATGGGTTGGCGGATGCGGTAGGTGACATCGCATCGTCGAGGGGGTTGCCTTCACTAGCAACGGTTGTTGATCGATTGCGGCCTATGCCTGGCAAGAATCGAGACTGCCGGGCAGCAGGCTTCTCGTTCTTGGTCGACCCATGGCTATCCCGTTCGCGTTCGGTACTTCCGGAGGCGTTGGGGGAAGAGTGGCTGCTTGAACTGTTGATACGGAAAAAATTCTTGATCCTCGTAGGCAAGTGGCCGGACTCGTTGGAGTGTTTTCGTGAGGGAAGGGAGAGAGCGGGGAAATTCCCGCGCTTCTCATTATTTGTCACCGCCGACGGACTGGAGGCGAAGAGCTGCGTCATATTGGGTGGGTCGCCGATATCAAAATCGAGACCGAAATGACAGTCACCTAGGACCTGTCGAAAAGATGATCCGAAGGGTGTAAAAGCAAGGCGTGAAGTGGGTGAAAGGGCGGTAATCTTCCAAATGCCAAGTGCTGCTGGCTGGGGATATAATGGCGCGGCGGGGGCAATTGTTAGTAACAAGTGGTACAACGGGGGATGTCCACCCAAAGAACTCAAACGACAAAAGCCACGAAACCTAGGCTCATGGATAAGGCGACATGTCAGAACAAGTAAAGAATGAAGATCAAGAATTGAGAAACCAGGAAAAGAGGAGGCAAGGAGGTATTTCGAGTGGAGAAGGACGCGGAGGCCAAGGCTTAGTCATCTAAAATATGGGCAGGGCAATCCCCGGGGGGCCATGTGTCCAACGTCCAACTACGTCAGGAGTGTTGAGAATAGTTTGAGGAAAACGCCATAGATATGCTTAGAAACATCAGTCAGAGATAAGTCATTTCAATATGACTTTACCGTAGTCAACAGTATTCTAAATATAGAGAGAATTCCTCAATTCAGGAACTGCCCAGGTGGCGATATCCCGAGTATAAATAACTCTCCAGGGCTCTACAATGTACCGGTCCACGTGATAATAATAATAATAACTTCATTCCGCTAGAAGAATATCGGTAGATAATAATACCATAAGGCCATACAACATACAGATCCATGTTTCATCCCTTCGATATCGTTTCCTCTCACTCGACTTGAACTTGATCCATGTTTTCTATCTTTTTTTTGATGTTTTTCTCTGGATTTTCTGCTTTCATCATTTGAAACTTCGCGAACTTCAGGAACAAATACGTCTGGGCTCGATTCCTCATACCCAACGTCATGGTGGCATAGTATCAACGGTGACGAAGCGCGTTGATTCTGCTGATGTTCACAATAGCGGGCGCAGTATGTCTGATACTGGCATCAATCAACTGCGGATACGCAGGCAAGTAATTGGAGTTTTGCTGGCTGTCTGGTGGGTTGAAACCAAGAATAACTGTTGCAGGTACTTCGTCTCTCAAGTCTTCGATCAATCTTGATGAAGTTGAGAGTGAGCGGCGGGCATTTCGGATATTTTCACGTGCATCATGTCGTCGACGGGCATCCAGACTCGATGAGATCATACGAGACCCAGTCCTGCTGCTGAGACCACCCATACGGCGAGCACCTGACCTCGAGACTAACCTGCTTGGGCTATTCCGGGAAAGTGGGCTCATGCCGAATGGGCTATACCTACCGAATGGGCTATTTCGAGCCAAGAGGGGTGTATCCGACATGTCGTCTGGGTAATCACTTCCGAAGCCGTTCATTGTCAGGGTGACACTCCCATTGCGGCTACTATGTGTCAAAACTGGCCCTTCACACAAACAAGTGAGCTCGAATGGGACTTACCTGTGACTCATGCCATCCTCCGATTGTTCAGTGAAAGCGCCTCCTCTGTGTTCACCGGACTCTTCCACTTCCCAATCACCGTGCACATCTAACACAAACATATCGAAAAAGTTCTCCAGAACCCCAGTGCTTCTGCGCTGCTGATCAAAGGAAAGTCCTGAGACCACGTCTTCAATCGATTCAGTTCCGGGGCGAGAATCTTTTACCACTTGTTCCTCTTCATCTGAATGGTCTGGAACTGATACATCGTGGAGCTCATTCTGAGTTGCATTCTCTTCAGTTGGATAATTCACTTCATCTTCATCACTGCGGCTCTAGAGTTAGCATTCTCCCAATGCTGATCTGGGGCCAAGAACTTACATGCTAAACACAAGGGTTGCTTCAAGACTCTCATTATCTGCAGCTGTGCTAGCCAATCTGGCGGTGTGTCCTTCATGTTGAACTTCAGTAATGGAATGCAACGGCGATCTATGGTTGTAGACATTGCGGCCGAAGTTTCGAGGCACGGTTTCGCTGATACGCTTTCCATTTCTCGGACGGCGTTCTGTCCATGTCTCCTCGGGGATCCATGATATGATGCTTTCCGTCTCAGAACTCATTTCAGGAGAAACGTAACCGCCCAGTCGGCTGTCAGCATCAAAGAGCAAGTCATTGCCTTGCCTAGGCGGATCTCCGCTTGTCCCATTCATACCATGAAAGAAATCTGATTGTCTGTCAACCTGAATCTCATTGAAGAATGAGGTTCGTTTGTTTGTGTTGTGATTTCCATCTCCATGATTACGGATCAACAACTCTGCGGTTCCATCAAGCTGCGTGTTATCAAAGCCTGGATCATTCCCGTTTGTGCGGCCTGCTCCATTACCGTTGTTGTTGTTTGTTGTTGATGGCTGCCTCTGGAATTGAATGGGATGGCCAGTATCCGGGTTAATGATCTCAACTCGACGATTGGTGTTGGGACGCTCAACCTCATTGGTACCATCAGTCGACGGGTTATCATGTGAACCACCACCGATCGTTCTCTCTGTTTCCGCTTGAACTTGGGCGTGATTTCGATGTGCTGGATCCACGGCAAGACCTGCTGAATAACCGGGGTTGTTCACGCGAATTGCCTCGGCATAGTCCATAAGCATATCGTGTTCATCAAGAGCGTTGAGCACTCTTGCTCGTTCATTGATGTTGTAAACACGCAACTTATAATAAGGATCGTCAGGTGAAATCTGTGGGTTTAGAGCGATCACTTCGTTAACCTCCTCCAGATATTTCCCATGATTCCGGAGTTTAGCTTTCAGTCGCGATCTTGCCTCAATCATGGCTTCAAAGCCGCACATCCACGACGCTTTCACATATTGAACATAAAAGTCGCAAGTTCGGAACATACCAAACGGGGACATGACTGACAAAAACTGCGCAATTGCAGTATCCTCATGATGAATTAGACGCTCGATCGACACCCATCGTGCCCGGCGCTCCTCAGCCTCGCAGGTAGGCTCATGGCTCTGCACTGCGTTTGGAGTATGGGGAATGAAATCTGTATTGACTTCGTCTAGCAGTTGGTGCTCAATCCATTCAGCATATGGAATGTCTGGGTCCATTGTTTGGGGAACAGTCGAATCCTGTGAATTGACAGGAGCTGCGAACTGGGATGTGCTTGCCAGCAAAGGCGATGGCAACGGATCCTGCAAGTTATTATCAGACTCTGTGGAAGAACGGATAATTGCCAAGATATCTTGTGCTGCTCTATTGTGACCATCACTCACAAGTGGACCATCAACAAAGGTATGCGAACCAATGGATTCATCGTCATTCATTACAGTCCTCGGCGCAAATGAAAAGCCACCAAGACGGGGTGGCTTTGGTGGCTCCATTGGAACGATTCTTCCCCCAGCTGTGACTCGCTGGTGTTTCGGGGAAGTGTGCTTTTTTAGAAACTGAGCAAATCCTGCATCCCTTGTGGAGAACACAGGCTCAGATGGCTTTTTGCTGGTACGGGTTGGGCGATTCTTGGAGGTTTTCGATGCCGGATTTTTGTTCGGTCGCAATGACCTAGCTGACTCTCTGTGTGGCTGGTTTCTTGGGGTTTCTGAAAGGATAGGCTTCTTTCTTCGACCAGGATGCAATATTCTGCCTGTGTGAATGGTCAGCAAGACTCTTTTCATCGGGTTATGTAGAGTCGATGCAGCGTCGATGGGTCCTGAGACCTATGGCAGCTCTGATCGATGTACTAGAACCTAGTTCACACCAGCAACCCAATTGGATCTTCAGCTCTTTGAAAAAGATCATCGAAGATCAAGAGCATCATCAAAGGGAAACTCACAGTGTTTGGCTTGACTGGTCCACTTGATGTGCACACCTGTATCCTGGCACAATGCCAGCAGTGTTGGCAGGTTATACCTCATTTTGTTCATGGGGATGGAATATTTACCTGTCGAGAATGATGGAAACGATGCAATTCGATGAAAAAGAGTTTCTGAGGTGATTCGGGTGGAAGGTACAGGGTTGAGGAGAAGGAACGAGGGCTCGAGGCTATTCAGAGATTGGGGTCACGAGGTCTATACTCGACGCGTCTGTTACGATCCAGCACGCGTCGATGTTGGCTACAGTAGACTTAACCAGAAAAAAGAATGCTCGAGGAAGGCAGAGTTGGAAGACAACAAGTTCGAAAAAGAAAAGGTGTTTGGTTCAAAAATACGGCGACGACCTAATACGATTCTCGGCGACGACATAATACGATCTATACACTCTCCCGGGCTTTCACAGGCTGCATACCATTGTACATATCACAATCCTCTTCATGCTCCTCAAAAGGCGAAGTCAATTCCCTGCCATCGGGCTGGATATCCTCAATCTCTTTTTTTCCCGGTCCCATCTCCCAGCTTCCAGTGCATTCGTGGCCCTGCACAGCAACACCAACTCCGGCAGCAAGACCAATGGATGCTTGCGTATCGTTGGCCTTGGAGTTTCCCCATATGGGTTCACCGAATGACACATCGGTATCGCTGGCAAGTTTACCAGAGCCTTTGAACCCTCCCAGACTTCCTTTGTTTGGGTTGCGCTTACGAGCACCGCACATGAGAAACACAATGATTGCTGCAAATCCAACAACAGCAAGAGTTGTAACAGCACCAATGACTCCGGCTACAGCGGGAGCCATTTCTTTGTTCTTCTTCCATGGCTGAGATCCAGTCTGGTCGAATACTCCATTGCAGAACACGGATTCGGCGTTACAGCGGAGACACCATTCCTGGGTTGAGGCCACGACAAATGTCTCCAGCTCGGAGTGGAATTCAGTATACGGGATTGAGCTTTGGCTAGGACCGTGGCCAAATAGAGAATACGCTTGGAAGTCGGTGGTATTGTCGGTCCCGTTGTGAAGCAAGAATCTCACATACAAATTGTCAATTCCAGGGTATGATGGATACAAGTTGCTGCTGTTCTCGAAGCTGTACAGCTCGAAAACGAACGAGCCACCTCGTACCAGGCGGGAGAAGAAGTTAGATTGGTGTTGGTTTGCGAGTCCCACCACAGACGACAGGGCAACAGCTGGCTCATCGCCACCGAACAACAGCGTCATCTTCTGCCGGGTGCCACTTTCCTGGATGTTCAGATCAAAGGCTTCCAGAATGCTCGATGCCAATGTCTGCCCTGCAATTGGACTGGCTGCTCCGATTATAGACCCACTGGAAGATGATTGTTGGCTGTTTGTGCTCCATAGGTACTGGTCCGCTAACAAGCGAGCACGGAGGATGTCGGCCTGATTCAGAGTTTCAAACAAACTGTCATTGTGCACAACTTCATAATCCAAATATTCCGAGATTGAAACGGCATTCGTATAAGTTACGGAAGATGCGTCGTAGACGTCAGATAATGCCAGTCTCCACAGTTTCCTATAAAAGGCTTCTGTGTCTCGCGTGATATCCTGGGCTTCGTCGCTGTTACGGTATTCATCCTCGGCGGTGTGATACATGCCACACATTGCATGACCTTCAATCAAAAGAGACTGTGGATCTCCCTCACCAACGGTGACGATCCGAGGATATTGGTATCCGTTCAATGGCGCCTGTGCAAACGATCCGTTCGCAATCTCGGTACTCGGTATGTTCATTGATCCGAGTGGTGGGTATAGACCCTGCATGAATGCTTGCGCGGAGCCAACAATATTCTGCTCCGTTGTCGAGAGCACATCCACGTCATTTGAGTCCAAAATGATTGGGGATATGTTCTGGATTCCAGTCTGGGAGCCTGCGACGGTTGATATATAACGATAGCGGAAAGCCGATGCCGCCGCAGCGAGTTCGCTGGCTCCATAGTCGGTCAAAGTCCGAGAGCTGGTGAGTGCACTTGGCTTGCTGTCTCCATAGACAGTAAATGCAAAGACTCCCCACACTTTCTCAGTGGAGTGGGAGTCTTGAGCTGAAACCATTGCCGGACCCTGTAGGGCCAGGAGAGCGATGGATAGGCCGAAGGTCAACATGTTCTTCTAAGCATTGAAGAGGAGCCTCGAGTAGATTGATTAACTTCCTTTAAACCCTACGGGGGGGGAACCACTTTGTAATAAAGAAACTCAGGCCTCCATTGCCCAGATCGAATCGTAGTGTTAGGGCTGTCGGGATATCAGGAACCAAACGATGAGATATCCGCTTTTGAGGACCGGTACTACCCAGGTATCTACTGGAAGTAGACATACTGGCTTTCTATACGTGGAAATTAAAATTGAAGGCACTGTAACTTTCGGGTTCCTCGGATGATGGGGATGAGCTGAATCTTGACGACATTAATCATAGATACAAATGACCTCAGCAGCTTTTTTGTTTTATAAAGAGGGATCGAAAAGGATATTTATTCAAGGAGTCCCTGAAAGCTAAAAGAAATACCCAATTGATGCCAATAAGATTCCGACAAGTCAAATATGATATATATTGCCCAGTAGGATAACTTCATTGAATTTGTAGATTCAGAAAGTATCATAATAGGATCTTCTAAGGTTGAATTATTGTGTGGATACCTATCACAACTCGGATTTGATACTAAAGTGACATTTTTGATAGAATTGGCAGGTTCAAGGTTGCATTTATATCCAGATGAAATGGGATTGATGACGCGCACAAATTATCCGCAAGGCTGAGTGGACGGAACTTCTATATAGATCAACCTCCCTACGTACTATTCTATTAATCAAAGACAACAGTATATAAGGATCGAATATCGTCTAAAAAGCACATCCATCAAAATATTATGTAACATATATGTAGGCATCATCAGTAGACAAATCGCCCAAGGTACTAATACGCTAGTCTTAGAACGGCGGGTTCTGCCCAGGTTGCCCCTGGATGTACCTGTCGACCTAAAATATAGGTACCATAGGTTTATTCCTCTACATGTAATGCGAGAAAGAGGAGAAAAAAGTTGGGATGATGCCTATATGATTATGTAGTATTTTCTGTGCCCGTTCAACATTGGAAGCCAACAAGAGAGTATGTGCTAACTATCGTAGATCTGATAGTCGATAAGAAATCGGATTATTTCCCCGCATTCTTCCAAGGAACAGTCGAGCTACATAATACATATGTAGATTATTTCAATAAGAGATGGGTTTCATGCTAGGCTTATAAGCTGAATCAAAGTACGGAGTACAGAGAAGCTATTCTGCATAAGTGGATGATATATGTACGCTTCCCCTGGTGTGCTAGAGCCTAAAATACGAATGATGTACCGTATGTAAAACACACAAAAAAGATACCTGTGTATTGACGATGTAAATATACGCACATTCATCAATTTATCCACGCACCTTCTTCACCAATATGTCCTTCTCTCCTCTCCATCTACCTCGCTCCCATACATCTCCACGCACCCTTTCTTCAAGGCCCACGCTTCCACTCACCTTCCCCGAAATCTTACCGCCTGGCAGAAAAATCATCTTTTCGCTCCTCCATCCTTCTTCCGCAAGCCCTACAAATGCGCCCTACCCCTAAGCCCTCATTTCTGCTCTCGGAAGTTGATACCCCGACCCCAGTCAGGCGCTTTGTCCAAATGGTCGAGACTCGAGGCGCGCGGCCATCATTTGATGGCCAGGAAACATCTGACTTTCCTCCTTTTCCCTCTGATGGAGGTGACATTGGTAAGTGTTCTCTTCAAGCGCCTCATCCGATCGTCCCGTTCACCAGTCTCGACGACTCCCCACCCATATCTATCGCCCTCACCGCCAATGAACCTCAATGTAACCTTGAAATCAATACTCACCATTTAAATTCGCACTATAGACCAAAAAGTGCCCCATTCCCTTGATGATGAGGAACATGGCTCGCCTCCGGCTGCCAAAAAGCGCCGTACAGGCGATGGCCCCGACGGTGATATGTCTCTGCCCAACGAAGTCATCTTGATGGCCGATCAGCATGGCCCTGGTCACAAGATTGAAGAAGAATTGGCCTCGGCTCTGGGTGAAGGCGTTATTGATACCGTTGAGCACACCGATCATAATGTAAACCAAACTCTTCAGCATGGCACCCATGACACCCATGACACCCCTACTGGAGTCACAACCACCCAGGACGGTACTGATCTCAATACCGATGTGGCTACAATCATTTCCGAGATCATGGATCACACAGAGCGTCAGGAGCAAACCGTCGCAATGGGACCTCAAGAACTACCACCGTCGAATGATTTCCCGGGAGCCAGAGGTTTTGCTTTCCTCAAGGCCAACTCTCACCTCAAGATTCAGAGTCTTCCTATTCTAGACAATCTCGTGAGTGGAATGGATACTATCTATGTGATGATTTGTTTGTTCTAACATTTACCCAATCACTTTCTAGTCTACGCAAATCTTGTCGTTCCTTTCCAAGAACACCTACCAAGACCTCACTGCTATGGTTTCCGAACCGGACTCCGAAAATGGCCAAGCATATGCAACCATGCGCTCCTTGTTTGATCACACAAAGCGAGTTTACACCGTAAAACACTCATTCCTTCAACCTACGGACCTTGAAATCACAGATCCTTCTCAAGTTGATGTCATTCGCAAAGCAAACCTGGCTTCCTTTGTCTCTAGTATCTTCGGGTCTCAGGAAATTGGGTTTGCGGACCTCAACGATCATTTCTTAGACGTGTTCGTCCCTGAAGGCGGTCGTTTACTAAAGGTTCAAGGTGCTTTGTACCTTGAACTCAAGACGCAGGCTTTCATCGCGGCTATGCATAACAAATCTCTCACCCGTACGCAACTCCTCTACAATCTGTTTCCAGACGACATGGAACAGCGATTGCTGGCGAGACGTCCTGGTACCCGACAGCTGGCACCATCTGAGACAGATTTCGTGAATCGTCTCACCTCTCGGCGTGACATTCTTCTCAATGAGATCAACAATGAGGAAGCGCTGAATGCCCTGCCGGATAAGTATCATTGGGAAGATTTCCTCCGAGATCTCAGCTCCTACATTTCCAAGAACTTTGATGCTATCAACACTCAGCAGGTTCGTTCTTGCTTTTATGTTTCTCAAATTTATGCGTGTACTAATATAATCTAGGGAAAGAAAGCTGTCAAGGGACGTCAGCCCTCGAGTTCAAATGGTGATGCTCACGAGTCACCCAACACCACCCACCAGGGTCAATTCTCACTCAATCAACAAGTTGAAGTTCCAGTGGACCGAAACATGCATGGTGACCTTGTCGCACGTGCTGCCCGAGCTGCACAGATTGCCCTACAGGGTCATGGTCTCCGACGTTCTCAGCAGCAGTCGCAACAACAGCATCAACAACAAACCCAACAGCCCCAGTCTCAGGCTAGTCCATCGCCTCTACCGCAGCAACCCCAGCACCAACAACAGCAACAACAACCACCGCCACAACAACATCAACCACAGCAGCAACAGCCGAACCAAAGCGAGAACCAGTATCTTCATGGCTACACCGCTGCACAACAACCGCAGCCAGCTCACCAACAATATCATCATAGTCCCACCCCCCTGGAGGTTATCAAACACAGCAGGTCTCTCCTTTGACTTTCCAGCAGAGTCCATTGCAGGCCACCTTCCAGCAATACAACCCCAATGCAGCACAAGCTATGCAAGCCAGGGCAAATGGCATGTCCTCCAACCATGGATACATGCCGGGGATTCCCCATTACTCTCAGTCACAGCCCACTCAGGTCCTCTATGAACGTGCCCGAATGGCTGCATCCGCAAAGTCTTCTCCGACTAGCCGCAAATCCGGTCTTCCCAGCCAACGTCGACCTTGGACCACCGAAGAAGAGAACGCGTTGATGGCAGGCCTAGACCGCGTTAAGGGCCCCCACTGGAGTCAGATTCTTGCTATGTTTGGACCTGGTGGAACGATCAGCGAAGCACTCAAAGATCGTAACCAAGTGCAGCTGAAAGACAAGGCTCGCAACCTGAAGCTTTTCTTCTTGAAAAGTGGAATTGAGGTACCATACTACCTGAAGTTCGTCACTGGCGAGTTGAAAACCCGCGCTCCCGCCCAGGCAGCTAAGCGGGAAGCCCGCGAAAGACAGAAAAAGCAGGGCGAAGAAGACAAGGCTCACGTAGAAGGAATCAAGGGTATGATGGCCCTTGCTGGAGCCCATGGGGCGCCCGTGTCGGGCCATGATATGTCCGCATCGCCTAGCCTTCCACCGGATGCCAACAGCCAATCCGTGTTTGATCAAACCGCGGAACAGAACCTGATGCAGACTCTGAGCCAGGAGGTCCACGGAAGTCAGTACCCTCAGCAGCATGCTCAGCAAACCCCTGACCACATCGATCCTCATATGCAATTGGGACAGTAGATTGTCACATGCACCCATTTATCTTGTTCTTTTAGCTTTTCATCCGCAAGCCTCGTCATGAGCTTCGGATTTGCAATTTTGTTTCGGAGTCTAGGGCTTGAGATTTGTTCCTTCGGGAACCACATTTGTTTTACTATGGGATTGCCACATTGCGCCGGGTTGGGCCATTGCTTTTATTGCATTCCAAGTGTATGAATACATAGTGTTAGAGTTCAAAATGAATAATGAAAAAACAACACTTGTTTTTATAGATGTAGAAGTCGAAGTATAGGTTTTGAAAAAAAGCCCCCCCGAGGTCCACCTAGGCCAGGTGGTCCGTGCACTATCCGTGTGACTTTGAATCTCCCTATAAACGAACGCATAACCGCCGCAGCCATTGATTGGCCTTGTACTTGGAAGTCTGCAGCCCAGTCTCAATTAAAAAAAGAATACTTGCAGGGGGTTTCCGCCGATATTTGCCCACCATGGCCGACTCTCAAACATCGCAACCTCCACAACCCACACCTCAGAACGGATCACAAGAACATCCCCCTCCGTCCGAATCTGAAGATAACATCAAAACTGAGCCTGATCTTGATGCTTCCATCGAAAAAGACGTCGAGATGAACACCGAAAACCAAGCCGGAGCGAACCCGAATGCCACGGCGCCTGGCCAAGATCCCATGGCCCCTGCGCCAGAACCCTCCAAGAAGGAAACAAGCTTGCGCGAGTTCCTAGGCAAGATGGATGAATATGCTCCAATTGTAAGTCATTTTTGAAACAAGACTGTAATCCCTCTGAGCTTCCCCTGATCGCCTGGTCACATGGTGGATCACGATGTCCCCGCCACCATCGATCTACCCCAACCAAGCACATGTGAAACCAAGACCCACGATCCAAAACACAAAATCCATGAGATACCCCAAAGAAAAGCAAGAGAAAACTGACCCTCGATCTCCAGATTCCCGACGCAGTCACCGCTCACTACCTCACTCTCGCCGGCCTCCCACCACCAGGCACAGGGCCCGGCCAAACCCCACCTCACCTTGCGCGCCTCTTGGCTCTCGCCGCGCAAAAGTTCGTCTCAGACATCGCAGCAGACTCGTACCAGTTTGCCCGCATCCGCGCATCAAACAGCTCCTCTGCAAACAACCCCATCGGCAGTCTAGCAGCTGCAGCTGGTCTCGGCGCTCCGGCTGGCGCAGGTGGTGCCCCAGCTCCTGGCGGCGATGGCGGAAAGAGCAAAGCTGGAACCCATCTCGGTATCCAGCGGCCTGGATTTGGAGGTGGTGGTTCAGGTGGCTCTGGTCAAGGACGCACAGTGCTGACCATGGAGGACTTGGGCATGGCGGTTTCGGAATATGGAGTCAGTGTGAAGCGAGGCGAGTTCTACAGGTAGTGCGGTGATGGAAAACTGGTCTTCGGGGGGTTTCTCATTTGTGGCCTGGTTTTTATTTGCACTTTTTCACTCATTTGTCTTTTGCGTTTTGAGAGTTATGGCGTTTCAGGTGTGCAAATGGTCTTGAGTGACCCGGGATCATGACTGCATTGCTAGTCTGGGCTGGTGGCTGGGCGGATCCAATGGATGGCGTTCTCTTTTTTCTTTTTACTTGTGATTTTCTTGGTTACTACATGAATCTGTGTATGCAATGCTACAGAACCTAGTTATGGAATGATATGAAATATGTCCTATGTGTTGCTGGTTTGGAAATATGTATTGGAATCCATAAGAACACAGTATATCAACCCAGGCCTAGTGATTAACAGGGTATTGACACATTTCAATTACTATGTAGGTTCTATATTTGGGTATTGTATACGAGTCGCATTGCACTTTGCGACTTGCGGTTTGCATCTAGGAAAAAGAAGAATGTATATTGAACTCCGACCCAAAAGCAGCTAATGTCACATGGAACCCAACGATATATCTGTACATGGTGTAGCAAAATAAAGAGATGCAATGCAGCTCTCCTAGCGCAAAGAGGTATCTGCACAAGGCGATCATGCGAATCGTTTATTTGTTCTTAGACTGCTTGTATGTGAAGCGCTTGCGAGTTCTAAAAGCAAATGGAATGTTAGTCATTAACAACATCAACCCGAACCTGCTCATCATGCTCATGCTGAACAGGCGTAGAAAGATGTATACATACGCAACATATTCTCCAAGCTTCCGTCCGACCATCTCCTCTGTCACCTGGATCTCGACATATGTCTTGCCATTGTGCACAGCAAAGCGTAGACCGACAAAGTTTGGGAGGATGGTTGCGGCGCGTTTCGTAGTGCGGATCGGGGGAGTGTTGGGTGGAGGGGGAAGGGTCCGAGGGAGAGGGAGGCTGTTTTGGATATCCAGTTAGCTTTTAGTTCGAGTATGACATATTCCCATTATGAGAAGATTTTCTAGGTCAAAGATAGGGCGGGTTTGGTTTTTATTCGGCATGGATTGGATGTGACGTACGGGACGATGTTTGGGCCTGTTGTGAGTGTTAGCGTGTGGTCTTTTAGGAATTGATCCTGGAATATAGATCTTCGAGATCTAGCAAGGCTCACCTTTCCAGACCGACCGGCCGAAAAGGGCGCGTGTGGGGAACATTTTGACTTGAGGGTTTCCGCAGCTGTAATTCCACGATGTTGAAGATCAATGTCGAAGTCTCGGCGGGATTATGTCAGCAGAGTTATACACCCTGGAGCTTGAATAATAAAAGAAAGAACGTATTAAGTTGGCTGGGTGATAAATGAAGATATGATCTAGCTAACTGAAATCATACAAAATCATACAAAACTTCGAGATAGTAGCGCGCCCAACGGCTGCCCGCAACTGTGGGCACATGCAATTATATACTGTATTTCACTCTGCCAGTTCCTCGAAGACCTTGACGAGGCTGCGCACACCCCTGAGAAGATTCTCATCCGGGCCCTGTCCAGGGGTCCAACTAGCATGTGCGAAATCAATCAGACGGAGGGCATAGACTTTGGGAGTTTCGTCCTCTTCCTCGTCGTCGTCGTCGTCGGCCATCTGCATGGTTTCGGGATCAATGCTGATATTGATAGCCTGTTGAGGCATCCCATCGCCAAGCTGTTGTACATCGACCATCTCCAAAGCTCCTTCAGGAATTTCAAATTCCTCGTCATCTTCATCTTCATCATCTTCTTCTTCCCGAGAAAGAGACACTGGGGCTTTCTTTTCCTCTTCAATTGCATGTTCCATCGCTTCAACATCTCCTTCGTAGACCACTAGCACACTCGCAGAGTACATCCGGCTCTCTTCAGATTCGAGAACCCGCTGCAAGTTCTTCAATTCTTCTGCCACGCGCTGGGCAACCATCTTTGATCGGTCTATCTTGCCCGCCTTTGCGCCAGCAAGGAAGGTTTCAAAGCCTTGCTTGACAGTATCCTTATTGAAAGAGCGGCCGTACCACTTATCATACCTCCGATAGCCATCCTTCTCAATGACTTCACCCTTTTCACCCTCTGCGCCCTCGTATTTCGTAGCATACGGATCTGTCCGGTCGCCCTCGTCGGTCTCCCCCTCGTGGCCAGTCCAAACTTTCATGCCCGCGATGCGATATCCAAGGCTAGAGCTGGTAGTTTCTTCAGACACCACATCAAGCTTATTCCGCTTATCGAGTGGCGCATCGTCGGCCCACAAACGTGCGCCGAGCTTGACATCCAGCACGTTCGGCCGATGGAAGCCACAGGCGACGTTCTCCAGCACAATCGACAAGCCAGTATCAATTTTCTTGCCGCCAGATGGTACCCACGCGCCTTCCTCTTTGGCAGGGGCAGCGCCATCTTCGTGGGCGGAGGCTGTGTAGGATAACGGTTGGCTAGGAAGGGGGGAATCGATGGCCACGTTGACGGAGTCGGGAAGAGGAAGGACGCCAGATTCTTGGGCGGCAGCAATTGCCAGTGGTTCCTGTTGCTCGGAAGAAGAGAGCGATCCGACGTAGAGGGGCATAAACTCCTGGAATGCGGGGTGGAGCGCGCTGGATTCATAGAACTCTACCTCCTGCCGCGTGCATGGTTTCGCGATTAGGGCGCCAGAAGGCGTACAGCGAACGCCTTCGCTGGATAAATATATCTTGTTAGCATGGCTATAAATCTGATATTGTACTTGAGTCCGCCCCAGAGTTGGGGTCCCTCCGCGCATCCAGTTAGGCAAATCCGTGCGGGACGTCGCGTCAGGAACAGAACGGGAGTGTGGAACTTACTGTCCCGCAGCAGCATGGTCAAAAGGAACCAGGTCTTCGCTGCCTAGCTGTGGTGTCTTTCGAATTTCTGGATTCGAGGGCATTTTGGTACACTCGGCTTGATTTGAGGTCTGTATTTCGGATAACCCAAACAATTGGAGCAGGTCTGAGATATGGAGGTTCACTGGTAGACCTTTGAAATGGGCAAATAGAATGCAGATAAGGTGAATGATTTAGATAAATGCTAATATCTAATATCTGAAGAATTAGTTGAAATGTAGGTACATATAGAACTGGCAGACATCACAACAAGTCCTCAGCCGAAACCAAGATGAGGGGGCCGATGTCACATTTTCGGCCCTAACTCCATATCATCTTTACCGATCTATATATTTCAACTCAACAGGGCATTCAGCACTACAATTCGTAATTTTCTTCTCTTCTCTTTTCTTCTTTATCTAATATATGTAGCTCAATATAATTTAGTAATCATCAAACATCTTTTAGAGTGAAGGAGATGTGAAAACCAGGTTATTTAATCTCATTATCGTTGCCAGCAGCCCTGACCTCGGGAGCTTCAACATCACGACGACTAAGCACCACGACGACTAAGCACCGCGGCGACTAAGCATCACGACGACTAAGCACACGTGGAGCTTTGGAACTTTTTAAACTGCTTGCTATCCATTCTTTTGTTTTTCTTCTTATCCTTTCTCATCTCCTTACGTGACAAGGAAACATCTTTTAAACCTCCTTCATCATTCATCATGGATGATAATCCTGATCCTACTCGCGAAGACAATTCGTCTATTGCGGCTTCTCCGCTACTGGATTCCAGTGCTTCTGATGTGCATCTGAAGCCTACTGAAGCTATGACTACTGGCGACGGTGCCACTGCTCACGCTGGCCCCGCCATCCCGGACCAAGAGCATGCTGAAGCAATCAAAGAAGCATCTTCTACTCCGCAGTCAATTTCCAAGAAGCAGCGTCCGTCGTCTGCTAATGTTGCTCGTGTTCATTTCCTGGACCCGGCTGAGCTCGAGAAGCTTGAGGTCGCATACAAGAGCGAGCATAATGTGAGTGTCCCAGATCCAGATCCCTTCAGACTTTCAAATAAAATACTATGCTGACAGTACTCTAAAGGTTGAGGAGCTTAACAAGCATGCTTCGCAGGGTCAAGCTGAAGCTGAGCATGGAGGCACTTTGCCGAAATCACCTAAGTTTGCTATCGTTACAAAAGAGCCGGAGAAAACTGCAAAGACCTCGGGTGTGGACGATGGTGCAGTCTCGGAGAAAGATCCCAAAGTGGGATTCAAGCATGATCCAGATGAGGAAAGGATTCTTGCAAACATGGAGCTTGACGCTAATGCTTCTTCGAAGTCGAAGAAGAAAAAGAGGAAGAATAGAAGGCGCCCCAAGAGTCAGAGGGGAGAGGTACGACCGTGGTACTGATACTTGCTGCCTAGATTTTGTCTAACAGTCTCTATAGAATGCACCCTCGGGATTCGAACCCTTCTATGCCGATGCACCAATTACTCCAGCGGAGTTTGAAGAGAATAAGAAGATCTATGATCCGTATGTACATCCATATTGACCCCTCCTAGACTGAAATAACATCTAACTCTTGACAACAGTGCTTTGCCGATCCTCGAGTAAGATCCTTGAAGATTATGATTATGACATAACACCTACTAATATGACCCATCTAGTCGAATTGATGAGGGCATCAAGCGCTTCTTGTACAAGCGACGCCTAGAGCCCTACAGACGCAAGGTTTTTCTCAAGTACCTACAGTACGGCGGTGTCAGCGTGGGCCCCAAGTATTTGCAGGGAGTGACTCCTTCGGAGTTGAAGGAGATGACCAAAGAAGAGGCAATGGACGCTCGCTGCACCACGGCCATCTTTCCGAAGAGGGATAAGCCATATCCAATCACCTTCAACGATGTTGCCACTGGCTATCTGTGAGTGTTGAAATATCTGAATACTTATCCAAAGTCACAAATGCTAATCTATTTGATAGGACTGGGTACTTCATGGGTTATTACAACCCCGAGACTGAGGAGGATATCAAAGTTTGCACTGATACAATGAAGAATTTTTTCTCTTACCTCCTCTACCACGATGTTTGTCCCGAGCAGACGGAGGATCTCGAGAAAGCTCGCATTTCCTGTGATCGATCTGCCAAAGAGTTGTGGATGAATCGGCAACTTCTCCGGCATCCGGGTCCTGGCGCCTTTAACCGTGCCTGCTCCATGCTATTTGGTGGCTACTACTTCAACGATGTGGATGACCCCGAGGCTTGGACACATGTTCGACATGCTGACCCAAATATCTTCACCACTGATATGGCTCGGAAGGCCGTCAAATATGGCATAGCAATTGTCGGAAATGATCGGACTGCTCGCAAATTCCAGGTTCTCGCCAACATGAAGCTGATCGAAGCCAAAATGGTTCAAGACATCGATGGCTTTGAGATTATCTCTTTGGAGGAACCTACCGATGAAACCATCGCGCTCTACGGGGAAATGGCCCCCGATCTCCTCCCACTGGGAAGGGTTCGAGCCAAGGAATTCCGTGATCCCGCTAGAGGCCCCTTCGACCTCGCTCCCTGGGAAAAGATCGACTGGGATGCTGGTTTTGCCCCAACCTACGATTTCGAATTTTTCCTCGAGGGGGATATGTTTCCCCATCTCTTGCCTGGCATGAAGGTTATCGCGAATGTCTATGAAACCAACTTCGGACAGTACTTCTTCGATGAAATCCTGGACGTTCTGCCAAGCAACTACAAGTTCATGTACAACGACTGGATGATGGATTACGTGGAGCCCGCTCCTATCAAGTTCATTCCCGATGAAGAAGAAGTCGCACGCCGCCGCGCAAAGGAGTCTATCATTGAGCCACCTGAGCCCACCCCGGCTGAGTGGGCTTTGCACATGGTGACACATGAGTTGAGCTTTGACCGGCCGTTGGGTGAGGATCCCATGATTGTCGTTTGGCAAATTATCCACGCGCTTGAGAACTTCGGCTGGGACTTGGAGGAAGTTAAAGACTTGATGGGTTTGGTGGACCCGCACCCTGAGGAAGGCAAGAAAAGCATGCGCCAGGGAGAGCCGCGCCCCGTCCGCCTTAGCAATGAGCCACCACACAACGTTCCGTTCGGTGAGACCCCTAAGGAGCGCCTTGATCGAACCATCGGATATTTCGTCAATCCGGAGAGGATCAAGCCTGTTATCGCACCGGAGGTCATCGCCAAGACGCTCCAGCAGAAAAAGGAGCAGCTGGAAAAGCAACAGGCCAAGAAAGCGGCCGAGGCTTTGAACAAGCAGAAGGCTGCGAAGAAGAAGGGACTTGAGGAACAGCCCTGTGGTGGACCAACCGACAGGCAGGCAACCCAGATTTCGGATGAGCAGAAGATTGCGAAGAAGCAGGAACCTAAGGGACAGCCCAGGGGTGGACGAACCCGCAGCCAGGGAACCCAGACTTCGGATGAGCAGGAAACTGTGAAGGACCAGGACCCCGAGGGCCAGCCCAGCCGGGAACTAACCGAGACTTCGAAGGAGACTATTGTTATTGAGAAGAACGAGGAAACTAAGGGTTAACTGGAGGGAGAGGACCAGTGACTGAAAAGTCGCTGAGTGCAGTTATCTGTTTACTGCGTAATCAGTCTGCTGCGAATCCGCCCGGATGATTCCAAATATGTTTTTAACTCAAATGCTGAAGCGAAATGAAACCCATATGGATTATTATTGAGGAATATTCACACCCTTCTAGTGCCAAATCGTAGTCTTGAATTCAGTGGATCATCATATATTTGTAATATTTAAAATAATGATGCCTTGCTTCATGGCTTCAGGAGTGGCTTTCCCATGGTCTTCCGTCCTTCCAGATCCTATCGAGCGAGTTAGAATACACAATAACTACAATATCCCGCGAATAGCGACAGAGACGACATACCTTGTGCACCTGAGCAATGTCCTCCAAGGGATAGATTTTGTGGATCTTGGTCTTGAGCTGGCCCGACTTCAGCAGGCTGAATAGCTCATTGGTGTAGAAATCAAACTCTTCACGAGTCTGAATGTATCCAAAGAGTGTCGGCCGAGCAATCTTGACACACTTGGGGGTAATTTTCCTATTGAAATATCATGAGTATCACTAGCCAAGACTAATATGGAGAGAGAGATGCCATACGCAAGAGGAAGCGGGGGCACAGGCCCGCTGGCATTGCCAAACCAAACGATAGTACCCTTGCGTTTGACCGCTTCCAAGCTTCCCTCCCAGGTATCTTTGCCGACAGAATCGTAGACAACATCGGCACCACGACCACCAGTGGCTTCCTTGACTTTTTTGACCCAGTCCTTACCCTCCTCGCTACGGTAATCAATCACCACATCGGCACCGAGGCTCTTCACAAGCGCACACTTCTCTGCGCCGCCGGCGGTACCAATGACGTTGGCACCCAGGGTCTTCAAAATCTGCGTCATAAGAAAACCAGCACCACCAGCTGCTGCATGGAGAAGCACCCAGTCACCCTTCTGCACGGGATAAGTCTCCTTTACGAAAGCAAGCACCGTCATACCACTCAGGAACGACGCCATGACATCCTCATCACTGATCCCCTCGGGGATCTTCGTAGTGTAAGCTGCTGGCACTGCAGTGTACTCAGCATACCCACCATTGGCTAGCCATGCAACCCGATCGCCAACCTGGAAGCCAGAGGTCTCGGGACCGACAGCAACGACAATGCCAGCGCCTTCACGGCCCAAGATCTCGGGCTTGGGTGAGGCGTACAAGCCAGTTCGAAAGTAGGTATCAATGTAATTTACGCCGGAAATATTGTTGCGCACTAGAAGCTGCCCTGCTTGTGGGGTAGGAACTGGGTGTGAGGTCTTGAATTGCAGTACTTCGGGGCCACCTGTCTCCTCGACCACTACGGCCTTCATGGTTGCTGGGACGGACATGCTGCGAATTGGAATGAATTGGTTCACGAGTGGAGGGGCGGTATGATTGCGAAGTGCTGTAAGTCGAGGACTACTGCGTAGAAGAGAGCGAAACATAGTAAATAAGTAGGTGGGGGTAGCAACGGAAATACGGAGATATCTTTTCACAGCTTCATATTTGTCATCGATCCCCGCAATCCATCTCCAGGGGTACTACGGAATTGTTGCGCTTCCTTCTTTCCTCTTCTCTTCACTGTTTTTTCTTTCTTTTTTTTTTTACAAGACTCAACAATTCCATTCTTGGTATTTATACAGCACATTTGAATTTGATCATGTGGTTAACACAGGCCCCAAATCCAACACAATTGACAGGCTGACTATTCAAACATACAGAGATATGACGCCATTTCCGTCGGGTCGGAACAAGGGGTATATACGTACTCCGTATACATACTTCCTATAGTATACGCAACACAGGCTTTCTAAAACACAGAGATATCCAACAGATTCAAAGAAGCTGTGCCTTCTCAGAGAGACTCATGGCGCCCATCCCTCCTGGTTTGATCTGCCGCCGTATTGGCGCTTCTGTTCTCCGTACAAAATCGAGATGCAAGCCACCCGGAGCCCCATGAGGGGCAAATCCACGACCCACGTCCCCGGCATGTTTATTGACCTGCATGACAAGGGCGACATAGCACCGACTTTGCATCATCTGCCGCTGACTGCATCATGGAAACCTTGGATGAAAATATATCTCCCCCCGCTCCATACATACCTACACTTCAGACATTCGAGACATCACGCAGGCCATTAGCCTCGGATCTGTTTGAAATTTTCTAAACAACCCCCTGAGGTAGTGGGATGTGAAGATTTCCATTTGTTGCCCAATGACCCAGTGGTCTGATTTGATTTTAAATAAGTCGACCTGAAACGCAACGGCAGTACCCGGGAGGTTCCAGTTCGTGCCCAATGATCAACAAGCTGCCCATAGCCACACCCCTTTGTGGTGACGGTGACTCAACCATTTGTTTCACAGTTCCACTACTATCCTTGCCTCGTGATTTTCCTTCGGCCTGAAGCTATTCCTGTTAGTATTTTTGCTCTGGCCCAATCACTCAAATGGCCTATCAGAGGCCTATTCTCTCAGGGTGCTGCCCGATGCCATCCACCAATGTTTATATACCCTGGTACACCCGGCGCGCGCACGCACTTAAAGCGTGCATCTTTGTCTACTCTCGTGAAAAATTTTCTCTCTTTCATACGTAACATAGTTTTCTGCCCCTCTGCAATTTTTACACTTTTCAAATCCGACTATTTATACTATGAGCCACACTTCCCGAGCTATTCCACGAGACGTCAACGCCCCAGGTTAACGTCCTAAAACAAACATATTCCATACTCTCTGTCTGGCCAAAACAAATTTTTAGAAATGACTCTCTCTCGAGGCCCTCGACGGGCGCGATCGCAATGGCCTCCAGCGCCCTGCGTCGAGGAAGAGCCCCAGTCCCTCTCAAAGGAGCTAAACGGTCTCTCCAAGCTTAGCGATAAGCCGGGGGTCGACGGTGTCCATACAAGAGGGGCTGTTGATCAGTATCCCATCATAGTTTCCGCCAACTCACCCCCTCCATCGTCGACCACCCCTGACAGTGTTCCCAGTGTGTCTGGTCTCGGGAGTGTGTCTTCAGATGAAAGCACAGGGCCAATGACGCCGCCTGTTCAAGAGCCGGTCTTTCGGAACACTGTCAGATTTGAGACGGACGATCTGCCAAAACGTCCGCCGCCCTCAACTGCAAGCCAACCACGCGGCCCACCATCTCGGCCTCCGGCCCAGCAACAGCCCATTCGTGAGCTTGATATACAGCGGGAACCCCCGCCGACCTCTCAGGGCCAGAATATCAATGCTGGCAGACAGGCGCTGCCAATGCAAAATACGTTCCATGGCTCCCGTGGACCGAGTGGGCCGGATCGTAGTGGTGCTCGAGCTCCTGTACACGACATGGCATATTTACAGCCGCTCAAGCCTTCCATAAGTCGATCCAACAGTGCAAGGCATGCACCTCCGATGACAAGACCAACGACAGAGCGCTTTCGACGGGAGCCTAGCTTGGGATATTTGTCCGATTCGGCCACCACATACAACAAACCACCCTCACAGCAACCCCAGGCGCCTGTGTCCACGGTTCCTGTATCAGCTCTGCCGAGCGGGCCCACTCTCGCAGAGCGCATTGATGAGAAGCTCCGCCAGCGACAAGAACAGCGGGACCCAGGGTCTATGTCGGACCCGGAGGTACGACAAATTTCCATAACCGTGAAGCCTATCAAAATAAACCCTCTCGACATCTCTCTGCCCCCTCCAGCCCCAGCTCCTGCTACATCATCGCACTCACCTTCGCGTGGGCCTCCGCGTGTGCCTATCCAACGAACGCAACATGAAGTGCCCCCAGCCTCACGTGCCCGCGCAGCATCGGTGACAATGCCGCCTGCTCGGTCGATGTCTGGAGCTCTCCATCCCTTGCGAGCAGCACCCGAGATGAATATGCCCAAGCCTACATCAACTCAAGTCGCAACCCAATTCAACGCCGACAGATCGCTGGCTCATACTCATACCTCACCCACTCGACCCCAAGGCACATCCCCACAGCGCTCTAGCTCGGTGGGCCTGGGGCTCTCTCCGTGCCCGCGAACCATCGCCGTAGCAGGCTATCAAGACTGGTATACGCTCAAGGGCCTTACCCACCTAGACATTTGCCCATCCTGCATGAGCCAAATTGCGCACTCCCGCTACCGCGACTACTTCATCCAAAGCGCCTTGAAGGCAACCGGGCAAAAGACACGTTGTGCCTTCGCGAACGCATGGACCCGTCTCGCCTGGGCTCAGATGATAAAAAAACAACACGACAGCCTCGAGCTCCTCTATCAAATGACCCGCCCACCGCCCGGCACGCGCCCCTGTCCTGGCCGCATCGTTGCCGAACAGTCCTGGTACCGGATATACGACCCAGAGACCGGCGGCGACCTCGCAGGTTTCCACGTTTGCAGCAGCTGTGCGCGCAACATACGCATCCTGATGCCCAGCCACCGGGACACCTTCCAGCCAAACCCCGACCCGGTCGAGCGGGTGTGCGACTTCGTGACGTCCAGTCCACGATTCGTGAAATTCATCGATCTCCTCGATGGGTCTGCTTCCCGTGCTGAACTGGATTCCTCGCGCACCCGCCGGCCAGATACGCGCGAGTTCCTTAACTACGCGCGGCGCAAGGTCGTGCTGCGTGATTGTCGTCGTGATAGACCTGCTCTTAGTACGTGGCACTTTATCCCGTCGCTGCCGGAGATGTGTGTCTGTGAAGACTGCTATGATGAGGTTGTTTGGCCGCTGGCGAGATTGAGCCATCCTATTGCGTGCATGGTCACGACGAAGATGCGGATCTTGCCCGGTGATGGACCTGGTCGCACTCGGGAGGCCAGCTGTCAGCTTTACTCGCCGCGTATGCGGGCGAAGTTCAAGGAGGCGGTTCTTAGGGATGATTTCGGGTTGCTGAGGTCTGTTGCGCAGAGGAGAGTTGAGGCTGAACGGAGGTTCCTTGATAGGAGGGAGGAGTTGTTGGTTGCTCAGTCGAAGGGGTATGATTGTGATGAGGAGATGAGGAAGGCTGTTGATGAATGGAGGAGATGGGAGTGAGGATTATGGGTGATTATTGCCTCGTGTACTTCATGTGGTTTGATTTCTGAAAAAGCGTGTATATTTGGGAGCATTGTGTACAAGGATTGGATGGAGTTTTGTATTGTATTGTACTAGCATAGCATTAGCATAGCATCCATAGCATAGCATAGCATATATACCTAGGAAATAGCCCTGTTTTTACCCCTCATCACCGGCTTGATGCCGGAGTCCGTCAAAGTCCGAAACTGTATGTAGACTGTTGTCATACATATTCCAGTATTTGCTTCTTATGCCCGTCGTCGTTGGGATTTCCATATGTTCGATCTGAAGAAGAGTCTCTTTCCTAGTTTTAGCACTCATCATCCTAAACTCATCGATCTGTGATGCTTTCGACCCGCGGAGAAAGATATGCTAAGGCAGGCTTGGCTGATGGCTACCTAAGCAAGATGCACTTTGACACAGATAACAAGCAGAATGTTGTGTCTTTCAGCAATGCTGAAAATGTAAGATGACCACAAAAGCCTACTAGCCAATATCAATTATGGACATGCATGTACTTACTCATATGGTAGTTCCTGATGCAAGATGTAATGCTTGAATATATCCGCAAGCATGTAAATTTCTAACCTACCCATCTACCCACTGTACTCCTCACAGGAAACAAGACCGCTAAGACAAGGGTAAATAACAGGTATCACCAGGCCTTGACAGCACGAATCTCACCTACCATGAAGGCTCCTTCGGCTCAAGCCGCCTTCGAGCCGCCATGACCAATCTAATTACGACCTACTTTCACCCCGCTACACCAATCTCACCTGACAACATTGTTTTCGCAAATGGCGTGACAAGCCTCAACGCCCTCTGTGCTCTCAGTCTAACCAATCCCGGCGACGGAATTTTACTAGGTCAACCTATCTACGGGTCCTTCACGGGAGATCTCCGCGTTCCCTCGGACTGCCAACTAATCTACACTCCCTTCCACGGGGACGACCCATTTAGCCCAGATGCTGTGGCTCGATATGAGGAGACCTTCCTACAAGCGCGAGATGAGACAGGGGTAACAATAAAGGCCCTCCTGATTTGTAACCCGCACAACCCGCTTGGTCGATGCTACTCTCGCGAGACACTGGAGGCGCTATTGCTGTTCTGTCAGAAGTACCAGATCCATCTCATCAGTGACGAGGTTTACGCACTATCGGTGTACGGGGACAGTGATCCTGTTGGCTTTGTTTCTGTTTTGTCAATTGACGCTGTCCCGCTCGGGGTGGATCCGGCCCTAATCCATGTGCTATATGGGATGTCGAAAGATTTCGCTGCAGCGGGGCTACGGCTGGGATGTTTGATTAGCCATAATGAGAGGCTTTTACAAGCGGCTTTATCAATGAGGTAATTCAAAGCTTGGCTCCACGGTATGTTAGGGCTAAATGATTTACAATATAGTCGATTCCATTGGCCGTCGAATATATCCTGCAGTATTGCTACCGCTGTTCTCGAGGACCAAGACTTTGTGGGGACATTTCTCCAGAAAAGTTGTCAATTACTTCGTTCACATCGGGATTTAGCTGGACAAGCCTTGCAGGAGGCGGGCATTCCTTTTGCACAAGGCAGGTCGGTTCTCCCCTACACTTTGCATATCTTCAACTTCCCTGGAGAGGTTTGGAACTAAGCTTCAGTATGTCTCTAGTATTGCTGGATTTTTCCTATGGATTGACCTGTCCAAGTGCTTGGATAACACTATTGTCACTAGTCAAGGCGAGTGGACTGCAGAGTTAGATTTGTCCCGCCGGCTGCAACAGATTGGGGTGGTGATGTCGTCGGGACATGCCTATCATAATGAGGTTGCAGGCTGGTTCCGCGTCATCTTCTCAGTAGAGGTGGAAAGACTAAAGCTTGGTTTATCAAGGATTATCGAATTCTATCATAGCTCAAATAGCAATATTTAGATGATTTCCAGATGGCTACTGTTTAATAATATTTGTTTGCATAACCAGAGGTAAAACTTCCTTTGTTAATAGCAAACAGCTGTGGGCTGGCTTATATACTGATTTAGCTCCTCGTTGCTAGAACTGCTCATCCAACTACTATAATATGTTGACAAGAAGCTTCAGGATGCATGTACAAACCGCAAACCGTACAAACAGCCTGGAATCAGTTAGGGCTTGGACTAGGCTAGATAGTATGCCGTCATCAAACATTCCTTTCAAGGTTGATCGCTATGATCTATTTTTCCCCATTCACCTGTGTATATCAATTCTGTCATGTGTTATGCTCCCTGATTTCATATGTTTAATATCAGAGATCTTGCATTTTATTATCCTTTGTACACTTCCTCACTAGCATTTGTTAGGATATTCTACGAATGTACCAATTTGGTATCTTCATATATATATTTCCAAACATCTTTTCGCATGTCTTTCCAAATATCCTTTCGAATATAATGATGTTCACCAGCACCTCATATCCTACCTTATATACACAAACAGGCCTAGATGGCCCTTTCCAGAACAGTTTTTCAACGTCTCTTGTCTTATTGAAATTCAAATCTGCACTCAGGACGTTTCAAGGGCTGTTTGAGTGCCTCCTGGACTCCTCATGCTGATTCCAACGACCTATTTCCAAATCCGTCGAGTGGCCACGCCGATATGGATATCGAGGTAAATCTTGAGGCAATACCAGGTCCAGAAGGAGATGACCTATACTCTGATGAAGAGGGAGAGTGGGCCACATGATATGATCAAAGAGATCCCCGCGATCTCATGGCAGCCGGTTTCGAGCCTGTGTGATCCTCTCTCTACGCATACCCCGGACAGCAGCTGTTCCCAGATCTTACTGAATGAATCGACCCAGAAGTAGGGTCCAATATTATGAAAGAATCAGTCTCCCCCCCCTCCCCTCCCCCGAGGTAGGTCAAAGCCAGCCGGGAAATTCTTCGAAATACCTAGACTAATGATATCTGTGTATAGACCGCAAGGTTCAAGGTCATTTCTTAACCCTCTCGCGCCTTGGGCAGTGGAATTCTCGCTCTTCTTTTTCTAGCTTACTCCTAGGGTTCTAATGGCTATTTCTTTGTGTAACCAAAAGGCCAACAAAATTACTTCAGTGGGAAAAAGCGGATGGATCGTTCCATTTAGAAGTATCTCGCCATCAAGAGACACACATACGAAAAACACAGTTTTGAGAAAACCAACAAGTGAACAATATGTTATTGTACAAGATTATAAACTACACGCATGTTGGGCACCCGTAAAATGACTGCACATGTGATTGTATTGTATGTATGCAATAACGAGCCATAACCCCATGCTAAGTGAAATGGTAAATCACCAACTCCATATCCCAAAGATGCAAATATCCAATGCAGGCAAGAACAATGCGACTGAAAGAAACCCCCTAACCCACCAACCCCACCAACTCCCCAGGCCAACGCTTCGCCCATATAATAGCGCGTGGAGGCATTCTCCCGCCAACAGGCGCAAGCACACGGATCTTTCCCTTCTCCACGTCAACGTCGGCGACATATAAGAAGCCCATGATGCTTGCGTCGCGGACTTCAGCGGGGGACGCCGTGGTCGGTGCATGGGTGATTGCAAGAAGCGTATTTGCCAGAGCAGAGGGAGCGGGTGGGAGGATCTTCTTCAGAGGAACGCTGCTGCCATCGTTGGCGTTGGCATTGGAATTCGCGTTGTCGGCAGCCTCGGAGAATGAGCCCACGACGCCAGGGAGGGGCACGGCGCGGTCTTGCTCTTGCTTCGTTTCTTGTGGGGCATAGTCATCCATGCCGCCACCCCCAGGAAGGAAGGAGTCACCTGTGCCCAGCTGGGAAGGGTCGTATTCGTCTTCGTCTTCATCTTCTGCTGTCGAGACGGTGTAGTTGTATACGGGGAGGGAGGCGAAGTCGAGTTGTTGTGCGTGGGGGGAGAGTGTGATGGCGGAAGAGGGTGAAGAGGAGGGGATTGGGTTGCCAAAGAAGTAGGAACGGATTTGGGACTCGCGTGTTGCCTTTCGGAAGGCTTCGTCACGGTCAACACAACCACCCGATTTCGAAAGCTTGACGACGGAGATCTGTTCGTCAAAGACAGCTGCTGTTGCGCTGGAACTGGGCTTGTTGTCATATTGTCTGGCAACGGTACTGTACAGGCGTTCCGAGCCCAGTACCAGGATCGTTGTGATTGCGAACTCTGTGACAATGTGATTAATGAGTTCCATGGTGCCCGGCTTGTCTGTTCCAAGGATTCCGGGCGTGTCAACGATGATTCCCGTTTCACGCGCATCCTCATCTTCGGCCATCCGGCCCGTGACAGACAGTGCCAGGCGCGAGACGACTGGTCTGTATACGACACCTTCGCCATCCAGCGGGCTTTGCATCGGGTAGCTGTACACAAGCGGCAGCTTGACAGGTACGGGACTGGGACCAGACATGGGGCTGCTTCCCCAGCCATCTTCAACGTCCAATATGGTACGGAATGCGGTCGCAGTCAGTGTACCAGGGACGCCAAGCATACCCTCCGTGGGGTCGAGGTTCACGACCAACGGCTGGCGGCCGATCTTTGTGGCATAGGCGGTCAAGATCTTAGCCAAACTGGTTTTTCCAGTGTTTTCAGATCCGAGAAGGAGCACGCGCGGGCCATCCTTGCCTATCGATTGAGCTTCTTCGCGCATTGTCTCCAGCGCAAAGTGGACATTGGCATATTCTACCATTGGCGTCTCTTCTGCCGTGTATTCGCTTTGACAGCCTCCTGCGCCGTGACCTAATGCCGGTGTGACTCCATCAGAGGTAGTCGGGGCTGTCTCAACTGCTGCGACTTCCAGCGCACAGCCATGCCATGTGAAGATTGCCGCCTTCGTACCGGTGAATGTGTAGGTTTGCGATTCGGCAAGCTCTGTGCCGAAGAGTTCGGCGGTTCCATTGAGAAGCTGCAAGACTTGAATCAGAAGGAGGTCAATCATATCTGAGAGTATCACATACCTTTACTTTGATAACGTGCCCGAAGGCGACCTCAAACCGCCATTCCGAGCCTGGGTTCAGGTTGATCTGTGATGGTAGTGCGGGTGCCTGCGATCTTTCCTCAGATGGCTGCGTTAACTCAAGACCCGGGAGCGACATGTTACCAGTCAATTTGAAAAACCTTGGGTTATGTGCAAATGCGGAGAGGAGTGAAAGAGATGGAATTGTTATCGGGGTGCGGAGCTTGATGGATGTTTTGCATGTTTGCATTGGTTACTTTGTCGTCATTGGCCAATTGATGGGAATAACTTCTACGAAGTAAGTATATATCCTATTTTTACATGGTTGGCTATAGATGTCTAAACCAACACTTTCTATACTATAGGACGTTATTTTTCACCTATTGCCTAACAGGGCTTAGGGCCCTGTTTGACAAGGGGAGAAGGTGCTTTCACGATCGCCCCATATTCTCGCTTCCGCCACTTTACTCGTTCTATATACATCGTTTTGTGAGAAAGTCCCGCTACTCAACTAGGGTATTGGCTTGGTCAAGGAACTCCATCTTCGAGTCCATCGGCTTCAAAATAATATATCTTCCGACTCCTCTACTCCATCCTACCCATATGACTTGGCGAATGTCCTTGACTTATAAACCTCAGTTCAGCCTTGGAGTAGCCAAACAGCACAAACATGAGAACATGAAAAGTTTTTGATATCAACTATACTAAGATCGCATTAAACCAATGTACTCTTAATCCTACAAGAAATGCAAACTGGTAACATCAAAGCATATCACTATCATTGAGCGAAGCATCCTTGACTACTTGGAAGGCTGCCACATGGCAGTAGAAGGCGGGAGAGGGGAAGTTGGTATCAGGGGAGCAAGGGTAAAAGGCAATCCAAATAACCAAGTCTGGTGCAAAACATAGGGAGAGGGAGGGAAATGGGAGGGCAGAATATTAGAAAAAAGGTGTCAATAACTGGCACAGGGCATTCAGGATCGCCGGCGAGGAATATATTTATGATAACGACAAGGGGAATTGGGCATCAGAAGCGAATATTTGGGTAGTTGGGCTGTCGCAAGCGACAGACGTGCCGAAAAGAAGAGACCAAAATTTCAAACAGACTGGACTTTGTCAAGCAAATCCTCATTCTATTTAGAAAAAGTATGGAATAGAAGCCCTAGATATGATGTTAGCGTTGATTCAAGGTCTTTGTAGCGTAGAATAACTTACGCAAGGGCAAATGCCACGGAGACACCGAAGATAGAGCGGTTACGGACACGTTCCTGCTTGAGCTTGTTCTCGAGCACCTTGGCTTTCTTGGCCCGTTGGGAAGATTCGGCTGTCTCTTCTTCATCGTCCTCCTCCGACTTGCGCTTCTTGATTATCTTTACAGATGTGGACTCCACTGTAGCGCCCTCAGCTTCCGCCTTGATAGCCTCTTCCACCATGCCCTTAGCCTGGGCGATCATCTCTGCAGTCTCAGCGGCAGAGGGCACTTCTGGTAGACTGATAGGCATATCCAAGGAAACAGTAGTGTGAGTTGTCTCGATAGCACCAGTAGCATCGTCGGCCACTGGAGCCTCGACTGGCTCCTCCTGTTCCTTGATCTCTTCCTTCTTCTTCTCTTTCTTCTCGGCCTTCTTCTTTTCTTTCTTCTTCTCCTCCTTTGTCTCTTCTTCGGGCTCCGCGGTAGCAGATCTCGTTAACTTGCGCATGCTGAATGCACTCTTTCCAGGGGATCTACTGGATACAACTTCCGGTTCGGCATTCACAGCTGCCAAATCAGGGATCAACTCAGGGATCAGGGCTGAAGCAGTGATATCCAGTGCCGACTGAAGGTTAGCGTTGGCGGCCGTTGTGGACGGGGTACTAGGGACGTCCTTGGTGGTGCGGGTGGTACGCGACTTCCGAGGAGATGCCAACCTCTTGCTTGGAGAAGCGGATCGACCTCTGCGGTTGCGGTGCTGTGACACGGGCGGCTCATCGGCGGGGATTTCGAATTTCGGCGGGGGAGTGATCTGTTTCTTTGCGCTGGAAGGACTCTGAATGATGTCCGTTGGGTCCAGCAGTGCTCGCACCCAATCGTACATTTGGTATTCCTTGGAAAGCTCAAGGGCTAAGTATAAAGTCAGGATTTGTTTCACGGAGAGAACATCCCGGGCAGAACATACCAAATGCGGGGGAGATCCACACATTGCCAGCAACCTCCTCCTCACTCGTGTACTCCCGAGCCTTCAGATACTCACGCTCTGTGCGCTCTTCCTCAGCCTTCGCCCAGGGGAATGCAATTTTGAACATTCCAGTAGCGCTGACAAATCCATCCTTACTACGGCGCTGTATGATGAGGCCGTCAGTTAGTGATCGTTGGCTTCCAAATTCGACAAAACGGGCGGTCTCACCATCAAGAAGTAAGTGTCTGGGTGCTGCTGGGGACTGTGGGAAGGGAAGATCTCCGAGCCCTTCAGGTCCTTGGGCAACGGAGCACGAAGGTGGGCGTACTCGAACACGCCTAGGTTCTCCGGCTTGGTTGCGTTTGTGGTGCCAATCTGGGCAGGCTTTACAGAGAGGTTTGTCTTTCCAAGACGACGGCGCGAAAGAAGCTCCTCATCTATAGTCAAAAGTAACACGGAATTGTTAGCGATAATCTCGAGGCTAAGGGTGCACGAGGCGGGCAGATAGCCGATGCGCGCGATCGCGCCACCATGCGCGAGTATTCCAACTTACATGTAGGAGCAACCTCGGCCAGGATGAGCGGATTAAACTGTTTTGGGAGTGTTCGCGACATAGTGGGGGGATGTCGAGTGAGGTGGAAATGAAGATGGGGTGACTTGAGAGGGAAAGGTGCGCCAACGATGGCCACGTAGCAGGCGCGTCTAGCGACAAAAATCAAGAATCAAATATTACCACCAACAAATCACACACTAGTTGGGAGAGTAGAAGCGCAACCAAAATTACGATTGATAAGGAAAAAAAAAAGGACAGCCAAAAAGATAAAGAAGACAATCAGGAGAGATGAGAAGATGCGAGTCGCGACTAATCGTTGCGTCGTTCTGAAGCTTGACCACTTCCGGTAAGGTCCGGTAAATGATCTGTTATGTGGGGTATTCAACAGCTTTGGTTGGTTAATTGCATCAATACAGTGTATTGTATATACCCCAATGTATTCTATTTGTTGAACCCGTGACATTTACATTCTGGACACTTCCCTTTGCGGACTTGATTTTCATCTTTCGCTCTACGAAAACTGTCTTTGTCTATTAAAATGTCTCTTGATAGTGCATACTTACTTACATACATACGTAAGGCTGATTATATACAAGAATTCCCCAAATATTGCATTCAATTGCTACATATGTACATATGTAGTTATAGAAATCCCCCCTTTTCCCACGGAATATATGTGAGGTATCTTTACATATTTTTGTGATAAATCTACATATGCACCGGATGTTGTAAGTTCCGTATGGATTCCCTTTCTACTCCGTAAAACTCACTCATTGTATCCGGTTTCGGATCGTTTGGAGCGCTTTGGAGTCCTATAGACATGATAAGCTTTTCTCAACTGCCAAATGAATTGTTTCTTCTGGTAGCTTAATCTCTTTCCAACTAGAAAGACATTCCTGCACTCATTTCTGTGTCAATTCAATGCTCAACATCACCAAAGTTCTGGGCTTCTATCCGCCGCCAGAAATGGAAACCGTCTCTTGTCAAAAGATTCCTGCATGTTGGTACCAACATTGCATCCTTTGAGCCACTGCTCAACGATACTGATTTAGCCTACGAGCGCGAAACACAGCGCAATCCGCTTCTCCTAGGTGCTCAAAATGACCACATGGAGACTTATGAGATATTGCGTTCCCAGACTCGACCAAGCCGTATGTGTGTACCGTCACAGCTGAATACCGTGCTACATTGGGCAATTGGCGCTGGCCATCAAGCTTCGAGTTAATAGTTGTAAGCAAAGCCCTATTAGGTCCTTCAACCCGCCCAGACGACTCTACGGCGTTAGTCGAAGCCATTAAGGAGGGGTACGAAGCTATTCTCGAATATCTTCTAAAGGCAAAGGCGAAGCCATCAAGCAGCTCTTTGCTTAGAATCTCCTTACCCTTGAAAAAGAGTCATGAAAACTGGGTATATAGCAACTGATCAAACCGATTTCTCCTTGTTAAAACTCCTCGAACATGGGATTCGCCCGAAATCTGATGACATTCGAAAAACTGTGTTCGATAATGAGAGGAGAAGCGGTTTGCGGGTCCTGACTCCTGATTTCCAGCCGATTGAATGGGAGTCCTAAGTTGTTGGCTTAAGTAGTCCCTATACTGAGGAGCATGGTCCTGATCCCGAAGTGATTGTTTGTTCGGGTATCAATGACGACGGGATACATCTCGATGATATCGACTTCAATGTAGGTATACTTTGATGATTATGCTATGTATTCGGACTAGTAGCTCTATAGGGCCTAGGTAACTAGCATTAGTACTAGTTTTATATAGTTATGTATAGAATATAGGGGAACTTGGACTTTGAAAACCTGGATTTAACAAATTTTTATCTGTGTCTCATTTGATTCGTTATAAATAGGTTTCGCTGTATGATATGTATTCGGCCCCACACTTAGAATTGGGGCATAGTTGGGGTCTACGGAGTAGTGTACGGAATAAGATCATTCCAATTATCTACACCTACACATTGCAAGTAGAAAACATAGCCTGATCCATACACCGTAGGCAATCAGTAAACAGCCTATTAATATAACCGTGCAGGACCAACGGTGCGTAAACATGTGCATACGGTAGGAATCCGAATAGCCTCGCCCCTCTCCCCACCGCCTTTCCAACCCCCACCAATTCTCAGGGGACGCTTCGAGCTTTAGCCCTTTTTTTTTCTTTATCATATCGAGTTTCGAACTTGTTTCGTCTTTTCTCCTCATTGTCCAGTCCCCCCTTCCCCCGACATCCTTTTCCGAACTCCAATCCTTGGTTCCGTCGCCCCCGCCTTTTAAATCAATCTGTAAACAATGGCCGACCACCACGAGGATGAGCTCGCTGCCAGCCAGACCGAGGGTTTCAAGGTCGGAGAGAAGAAGACTCTCGATGAGTACAACCAGCTTGGTGCGTTGATTCAGTTACAATCGATTGGCAATACATATCCCTCGGTGATTTCCCAGCTAACCGTCTTTCTCTCCCCCGCAATAGACGCAGACGATGAAGCTATGAGACGTTGGAAGGCCTCTTTGGGCCTCAATTCTGGTGATGCCATTGCTGATCCAAATGACCCCCGCAAGTGCATCATCAAGTCCCTGGCTCTGCAAGTCGACGGGCGCGAGGATGTCGTTATCGACCTGTCCTCCCCGGGCTCTGTTGATAGCCTCAAGGATAAGCCTTTCAAGATCAAGGAAGGTTCCAAGTTCCACATCAAGGTCACCTTCCAGGTCCACCATGAGGTTCTCAGTGGCCTCAAGTACCTGCAGGTCGTCAAGCGTAAGGGAATCCGGGTCAGCAAGGACGAGGAGATGCTGGGCAGCTACGCACCCAACACCACCACCAAGGTTGACTACTCCAAGGAATGTGAGTATTTAAACCTTCTTTCTATTTCTTAATTTTCAAATATAGCTTTGACTAACACTATGCCTTTCTAGTCAACGAGGAGGAGGCCCCATCTGGCATGATCGCCCGTGGCCACTACAACGCCGTCTCGAAGTTCATTGATGATGACCAGCACACTCACCTGCTGTTCGAGTGGTCCTTTGACATTGCCAAGGACTGGTAAATGTTGAAAAAGCTATCTCGTTAAGTTATTGAGCGATCGTTTATTTTTCAAAGCGTGATGAGTTTCTTTCTTTGACAAAGCTGTTAGAGATGCGTCCCACTGTACCGATGATTTGGACCCTAGTTTATTGTTTATGCGTCATACTGAGTCTCAATTATTGGTGTATGATATTTTCGTTTCAGATGCCAAGTAGCACATCTAGCTGTTTGTGAATGCACAGCTATATCCCGAACTCCTGTCTAGTGCTGGGGTCTTAAAAAAAAAAGAAAATTGAAATACATGAACATTAACATCAAACAAAACATTAACAGTAACCAATGGGTATCATGAGAAGATTCAGGGATTCACAAGAAGTAGTCGACCATTGGATTAGAGCCATCCTTGATCTGCTGCTGCTGCTGACCCAGCTGTTCAAGGCGGTGGGCATCATTTTCCGGTGCGGCATCAAAAATATTGAAAAAGCGCTCGCCCGTGTCGCTTACTTCGAGCACACTAGCCAGGTTTCCACAGCGGTAGCAGTAGTTTGGTGCACTCCAGACCGTGCTCAGACGATCATCGTAAAGAACCTGGTAGCCTTCTTGGCAGAGTTGATGTGCGCGCAGGATGTGGGACATGCTGTTCACCTCTAGGAACTTCCGCACAACCTGTGCTCCAAAAGTGTATCCAGCACCTCGGGGTGAGAGTGAGAATTCATCCCGCTCTGTATCAGGGTCTGACCAGACCAGATCTGCCATAGGACCTTCGTGTGGGATCTCACGGAAACGGTCGATAATCTTGATTTGGTCAATTGAATGGATAGACGGCGACAAGCCGCCATGCACACAAAATATCTCATCGTTAATCACAACGCTCAGCGTCAAAAAGTCGAACATGTCGGTGAAGTAATGCCAAACATTGGCATTGCCGTATTTGCGGGCACACTCGGTATAGAAGCCATATGATTGGGTGACTCCACGAGACTCGTGGTTGCCGCGGATAAGGTGTACTCGTTGGGGGTATCGTAGCTTGAGACACACCAGGAGTGAGATGGTCTCAACACTAAACAAGCCGCGGTCGACATAATCGCCTGTCGGTTCTCTTATCAGCAAGACTTCACACCAAAAGCGGGCAACAAATATGTTCAAGCCCGATGCCTGCTTTCAACAAAGCATCCTCTGAGTGTTTGCGGGTGTGACTAACCAAGGAATAAGTAATTTGTATCCGGACAGAAGCCGCCGATTTTGAATATCTCGATCATATCAAAAAATTGGCCGTGGATATCGCCGACCACAGTGACCGGAGCAGCAATATGTACCACATTGCTCTCCTTCATCAAGAGTTCCTTCGCCTTGAGGCAGATCGCCTCTATTACTGAATCCGCGAGCAGCTCTTTTCGGTAGAGCCGGGCGATACACTCGTCAAGATCGATATTTGCTGTGAGGCGACAGGTCAGCACAACCCCGGAGATAACCATATGAAACAAAAATTCATGCACATACTCGGTAAGCCAGGCATTTTGGCGAAATGCAGATACAGTAACTCCAAGACAAATGAGCGGCAGTGACTCCTTCTGGAAATTATTTTTATTAAATGATGCAGAGCTCCCTGTGCTTGATTTCGGTGTCCAAGGTAGACGAGTGCGGAGAGGTAAAGGAAAGTAATATTCGAGAGGACAAGGTCAAGGTCGAGATGGGAGATTAAATAGATGACAGTAGACGAGATGGGTGCGTCAATCTGGCAGCAAGCATCCTGAGTGTAGCCAATCCTCGTTTCCAGTGCGGAGAGAAGGCTGGAATTAAAGATCGAAGCGACATAAGGGCCGAACTGCGGGATGAGCTCAGGCACATGAGCGCGGTTATATCCACACCGCTTTTGTTCCTGGGCGCCTGAATTATAAGGCGATGATTGGAACAAACCACCTTGAGATAGTTATGGTGATGGATGAATTCGTATGGCATAAAAATCTTCATTTGTTTGGAGGCTAGCGCCGAGGCAGAACTTTTCTTAATAAGATCTCTCGGCTCCCTGGCTATGACAAACAGGATTTCTTGGACAGCCCCCTCGACCAGTCTACCAGCGATTGGTCTCAATACTCCCAGTTGTCAACTCCTTGGCCACAAGTGGTGATTCTATACTGTTTCCCCCCTTGAATAGGGTGACCAAAATATTAACGCGCAAGATAGCAGCTCTGGGTCAAAATCTTTTACAGACTCTCCCGAGTTGACTGCCCCTAACTTGCAGCACTTTTGCAGGACAATGCGTTGGCATTGAAAATATCTTAGCCATCCTAAGAAAGGATTCGGTATGGCAATATCGGGTACTGGATTCCGTCAATGATTTGGATTGCCGATATATAATTAGCTCCCTTCAAACAAGCAAGGTATTACCTTGCTAAAACCCTATTTTGACTATGTGAACACAGTCTTGCCCGTTCACCACCAAAAATTGTTCATGCCTTTGGTGCTTTTTGTGTATGACCGAATGATATGTGCCAGCTCAGAACTTGTAGCAAATATCATTAGGTCAGCAATTGCTCAAATAAGACTTGCGTTGGAATGGTATGTGTATGTAGAGGGAATATCCTGTCCCTTCCCCATGACAATGGTTTTGTTTTGCTTAACAGATCAACTGAGCATAGGCATTTGTTTTGAGTATAAATGGCGATATTAAGTCCGCCTCACCTTTGATTACAACATCTCCTCAATTATCCTACCAGTTTAGATTCTATGGGTATAAGTGCATCAATCTAGAGTATTGAACAGAGCAAAGAACGCGTGTGATGTGTGCTGCTTATATCCTCGATACAAGGTGTGTACTAAAGTAACATTCTCCAGTTGGGTATTTATCAATTCCTTTGCATCAGTATCTCTGACTGTGCTCTTTGCGTTGCACGGCGAAGGGTATGATGCAACGATGAAACAGAACTCCGTACTTCAACCTTGGAAAGTTACTACCAACCCTGGAAAACAAGACGGCCCACCTCATATCAAGTAACCATGGAACTATTTATGTTTTATTTAGGGTTATTGGGCGGAGCTCGGCAAGCGCCCCGCCCCGAACCCGAACAGGATTAGCCTGGTTTTCATGAAGTATAAACTTTGACAGATTGCTGGGGTGGGAACCCTTGGAAGTTTACAGAAGAGGTTTAATATTCTCAATCACCCCTCATAAACCCCAGAGTAGCTTCGATATGTGATAAAACAGCAATAGAACCCGGGTTATAGTGCGATGTAACGTTTCTTTTGCCTGTGCTAGGTGTCGGGACCGAGCACCATCATTCAAGTGGCCATATACAGGTCTTCGGTATCATTGATATAACAAAAAAATGCATTATATACCCTAAAGGCCTCAAAGATCCACCTTGACTTTGTCCCAACGTGAGGTAGTAACCCTCCCATCTTTGATCACAGCCAGAATGTGCTCCTCCACTCGATCCAAAATGGTGATATCCTCCAACGGATTTCCTTTCAAGATCAAAAGATCTGCCACGAATCCCTCCTGGACCTGACCCAGTTTGTCTTCCTGCATAACAAGCCGAGCACCATTAACAGTAGCACTGCGCAGAATCTGCAATGGCGTCAAAACCGAACTGCGCACCGAAAACTCCTTGCTTTGAGCAAAATGCATCGGACCAAGAAGATCAGTCCCGAAACAGACAGTCACGCCCGCATCAATAGCCAACTTCATTGCCTTCAGTCCCTTCTCAAGAACCTCCTCGTTCTTAGCAGCGCCATCAGCAGAAAGGAAATTCATCTGCTTGGACATGACATGCGTGATGAGCGTCGGAGTCAAGAAAACATCCATTTCAGCCATCATCTTTGCCGTCTCAAGGTCAAGAAGATTCCCATGCTCGATACCGCGCACCCCTAGCTTGATGGCCTGCTGAATCGCCCGAGGCGTGTAGCTATGACTCGTGACATATGTGCCCGCGTTCCGTGCAACAGTAACAATAGCCCTAATCTCCTCATCTGAGAACTGCACATGTTCAATACTGTCCGTGGGGCTAGCAACACCGCCACCACCCATGATCTTGATAAAGTCCGCTCCCTGGCGCAACTCATCGCGCGTGTATCTGTAGCACTCCGCTGGGCCGTCGACAATCCTGCTGATTCCGGAGATGGAGCCACTGCAGCAGAGCTGGGTGTTGTGGGACCCGCGCAAGTCGCCGTGTCCACCAGTTTGGGAGAGTGCGTATCCAGCGATGAAGAGACGAGGGCCTGGGATCACACCGTCCTCGACGGCTTCCTTGATCGCGAGGCTTGCGCCGCCACAATCACGAATTGAGGTGAAGCCGCGGTCTAACATGGATTTGAGCACGTACGGCTGCCGCAGGAGACTGACTCGCTCGGTCATGTGTTTGTATGATCGTAGATCGGCTTCGCCGGGAACTACCGCGATGTGAACATGGCAATCGATCAAGCCCGGACACAGGTATTTCCCGCTCAGGTCAATCACATTTTCTCCGGGAAGGTCGTCTGTGGCTGTAGTGGAGTTATCTGTGACGATTTGGATGATCTTGCCCCCTGAGATTCGGACTGTAGCATTCCAGATCAATTTGCCCTTGGATGGATCAACGATCGTCGCGTTTACAAAGACTAAATTTCTTTGATCGTTGAGTTTCCAGGGCTTGATACCTCGGGAGATGTCCATATTGGCAGTATATTTCTTGCTTGTCTTCTTTGAGGAATTGTGTATATCAAGACAACCCCTATCCGACTAGGTAACCATATCTCTCAAGTAAAAGATAGCTCCGCAGGAAAAAGTAATAAGAGTACATATCTCAGCTTATAACTAACAGTCCGGGGAGGTCCGGGGGGTCCGGGGAGCCTAGCTCTTTATATAGAACACACGTTCCGCCTCGGCTGTTTTGATATGAACCAACCGGGTCTGTGCCGAATTCATTAGATTCTCTGTTATTTACTCCACCCGCATTCGAGTTGGCTGATCTAGCCGATCCAATCCAACCAATTAAATGCAACAGAAGCTAGGGGCAACATGAAGCTGCATATTTCCTCCGTTGGCGATCTAGTTCACTAGCTGCTGGTTGGCGTTGTGATGATTCTCCCCGCTTTCTTAACGAAGGATTGCCTGCAGAGTAGAGTAGTTCGGAGAATGTTGATAAAACGTATCTCCTCGGCCACTATAGAGACGGAATCTTCTTGGGGGGCTGACATGCCTATAGAAAAGTGAAGGTTAGTATAACTTGCTAGTACCACGAAGTAACGGAAGGGATCTATCAAGTTAAATGAAGAAGTGTATTTTAGCATATAAATGGATTAGAGTTCAAGGGAGAAAAACTGGGGGGTTTATGGTGAAAGGAAAATGAGAGGTTTTTATATTCACCTAAATAATAAGAAGTGTTATTCCCACTAGGCAAGTTTGCCTACAACATACTAGTAAATTTCTCATTTGCCTTCACTATTTAGATGCAGAGTCCCGCATCATTATGCGCGATATATTACAGCGCGACCAGTTGCAAATTGGTCTGGATATGCATGCAGGTCACCATCGACTACTTATGCAACTCTGTTGAGCGCCATGATCCAGTTTCCCCCTAAATCCCTTGCGTCTCCTATTCAGATTGTCATATATAGTTCCAATGATCAGAGATCCTGCACGTCATCCTTCTCTAATACACTGGTCCTTACTACCATGCGCCATTCACTCGTCACTTACTTGATAACTTTTTTGAGAAGCACAGAGCCGAATATTGTAAGATATCGTCAAGCTGTAGGTGTAAAGAGGCACAAGAGAGACAACACAAACAGCCTGGAGAATTCCCAGCCCCCGCCTCAGAAACTAAAAGACTGTAGTTATTCCTGTGTACATAAGCTCTCCAGGATCAAGGATATATATCCGACAACCTTCTAAGCATCTACGCTAGGTACCGAAACCACTCTAGAGACATCATTCAAAATCATTTTCTCATATTTTCAATATACCCAAAAGGTTGTCCAATAAGCCAACATCTATACACGTGACCATCATTCGAACAAGTTCAATGAAGCAACTGCCGTGCCTCTTTATTCACAGCTTCAGTCTCAGAATCAGTCTCTTCTTCAGAGTCATCTTCCTCCTCTGAGCCAGACTCTTCTTCCGAGTCCGTCTCCTCTTCCTCTGAATCCGTTTCGCCTTCCTCGGAATCTGTTTCAGACTCCGTCTCGGTTTCCTCCTCCTCCTCCTCCTCCTCTTGTAGCCACTGGTCAAGAGTCTTCTTCCCGGCCGGGTCTATAGGCATAGCCGGACTATTTCGGCTTGGAACAGAAGTGGGTTTGTGCTCACGAAGTGCTTTATCGAGGCGGTCACCTGCAGTCAGAGAAGTGGTGTTGCTGGATGTATCTAATTTCACATCTTCAGTGCGGAGATTGGGGTTGGGCTCTTGGCCTGGCTCAACCCAGTCTGGGATATTCGTGTAGCCTCGAATTCCGTGGTAACCAGCGTCGGGGCCGACAACAAGAGTGGTAGAGCCGATTAGCAAGTCTTTGCGCGTCTCAGATGGGCTGGGGGCGTGGGGGACGGGCTTTGGTGCCAGGAGAAGGAGGTTGGCAAGTTGGGTGGAAGACGGCGTTTCCAAGAGGTTTTTGTAGAGACGTGCTCGATCACGTAAATCGTAGGATGTGTCATATCGTGCGAGAAGGAGGATATACCGCCATAATAACGTAATACGGTCTTCGGTGGCTTCTTCTGTTTCCTTCGTTTCAGTCCCCTCAGTTTTTTGACGGCTTTCGTCCTCCTCTTCATTTCGCTCCGCATCTTGCGGTTCATCATCCCTATTGTCATTCCATTCGTTGTGGAACTCTTGTTGGGGTTTGGCGGGGGCTTCGGGAGATGGCGGCGATGCAACTTGTTCCGGCTGTTCTTTTGGTGGATTCTGCAAGAGATGGTGTAAATACACCTTGGCACCGAGGAGAACAATCTGCTGCTTGACAATTTCCATCTCATCTGCGAACCCTTTGATCAAAACGCGGAGGACATCGGGCGCGATATTGTGCTCTGGGTCAATTCCAGCGAACTCGCCAACCAACCAGACAATGGTAGCTCGTGCATCTGGATGGGTTGTTGAAGCTAGGTTTTTAACGAGCTGGAGGACAGTATTTTTATGTGAGGCTGGATCTTGTTGGATCAAGTGACGAATAACAGTCAGCGACTCTGACACGAGGTTGCCGTCTGGACTAGATATCTGGCCTAGAAGGATCCGTAGGCACATGCCTGCGGTACTTGTATCCCCTTGCGCACAGCGCCCAATAGCTCGGACACTCTCTCGTACTAGCTCAGGATCTGTACCTTTGGAGAAGTGCTCCAGTTCGCTGATTATGACTCCCTTCCAGTGTCTTCCACAATGCGGGAACAAGATGGTGAGCACCTCCAGTTTGAGGCGCCAGATATGCGGTGGGTCGTTGGCGTGGACAAGGAAATGGGCCGTGTACTTCGCGAAAGGCTTGGGGGCCCTTAAAGCAACGGCAACAATATTGTACAGAGCGATGAGTTGCATATCCCGAGGGCTTCGTAGAAGAGCCACAAGGGGACCAACTGCTGACGCAATATATTCTGGTGGAGCAAGGTAAAGGAAACAACGGACAACGCTGACAATGACAGCGGAGTTTCGGCTCTGCAGTAGAATCTTGCAAGCTCGGAGTAGAAGTTCAAGATCAGGGTCTATTACCGAAACTTCATACTCTTCGGCATCATTTTGCTCCTGCTGCTGATTTTCATTGTCGTAGAATGCCTCTGGGGCTGTGCGCTTAACCTTCTGAGTTCGGCGAGGGAAACATTTTCGTGCATAAAATGTCAACAGACGCAAAGTTGCTAGCTGGCCCCATTCATCCATATCAGCCAGCTTCTTGACTAAGCTGCGATAGTGTTTATGGATTAGGCCAATCTCATCCGGACACAGATCCAAGAATGCTGCGACTGTGGGGCCAACGACGAAGTATTGAGAATCACCCAAAAGTGTCTCAAGATATCCCATCAGTTGTGGCAATGTGTTGGGGTCCAGACGATAACATTTTGGAATAGCCAAAGCGGCCGCTTTGCGCACGTGTGGACTCATATCCCCACATCCTCTCTTGATGGCCAGCGACACAATCTGGCTGATCACCGGAACCCGGATCCCCGACATAGTCCGAAGCGCCATTGTTCGAACCTGTGGGCTTGAATCGGTCAGCGATTTCTGGATCGTGTTGATGGATAGTAGTGCCAGATCCGGCTCCGCCTCCGCATGATGGACCAAGTAGATGTAAACCAATTTCTTGACTTCGAGGTTGGCGCTAGACACATTCTTGACAACTGCTGAAAAGAAAGTAAGGGAGGGCTCGGACCGGTACATCAACTATAACAGCAAATTAAGTCAGCCATTGCCGTTTCCATAATTCTTGTTCATGGTCCCCGTACCGAGATGACCCTCCGCATTCCATCCAGGACTTCCCGCTCATGGCGACTGTCAAGGAGCTTCTTGATGTGTGCGGGGCTGTATGTTCGCGAGGTATAGTCGGTCCCTGAGGTCCGATTGATAGCAGCGGACTGGGCAGCCTCTAATGTGAGCTCTCGAGCTATGCGCACAGTGACGTTCCACGGTCAGTTCAGGCCAAAGCGGATTGCAACTCAACCTGACATACCTGTTTCCAGCATCGAGGATATCCTGGAAATTGTTTCCATCTTTCCAGTCTCTGAGCGCCCAGTCCAAGGGCTTTGGGTAAGTCGAAGGAAATGGGTGAGAGAGAGGGGGGAGGAAAGGCGGAGCAGCTCCGCGGAAGTGAGGTGGATGATGCCGCAACTCTTCGTCCGCTTTCGATCTGCAACGTTCTACTCTACTTTATACACCACACCTGACTCAATATCCACGACCACCATGGCTTTTTGTGGTTGACAGATTATGAGTTGAAGGATGAAATGATTCATTTCTTGTTCATCATCTCAGAGGGGCAATAAGTCGGGGCTACAACAGTTATCTGAAGCAATGACACCAACATTCACGATCGCTCACTGCGATTTGGTGTCAGATCTCCTGCAGCAATTACTCAAAGGCAATTCAGACACTCACCTCATCGTCTGTGCAACCAGATCCGAGTTTCTGGTGCAACTTACAGCAGCCATTCGCTCACAGCGTGCTGATCCAGACACTGCCGCAAGACATGACCTGCTTACAAAAACTATCGGGCTGCTTGCACGGTCCAGCAAAATACAGCTGGCATTCTGCCCGAGTTTAGAGAGTCTTCGGGCATATCTTGCCATTTTTAGTCCCGCTGTCGGAGCGGCTACCGAGGACGGATCACTTTCCCATGATCGACACCTCCTTGCTGTCCTTGATATGATGGCGTTGCATGTTACGACTTCGGAATTCTCAGCACAGGGACTTTCAAGAACACTTGCTTCTGTCGTTGAGGCTTCCTCTAGGATGGGGATGGATCTCCGGCTTTATGAGTGCATGGATGCTCTAAGCCCTTCAAGTGCTGTTCGGGGAGGAAAGCTATGGGATGTGAACGTTCCCTTACTGAATGGGTCAGTTCGAATACGATCAGACCAAAATACCTGGGGTGGACGAGGTGTTACCGTGAGACGGGTTGCCGAACGCTGGTTTGAATTTGACCAGAACCATTGAACTGGGAGAAAATGAAATAACGCTTAATGCTAAAATCAGATATGATATTGTAACATAATAAAACGCCTGAGAATGAATTGTACCGTCCGGGTATCCTGTAGCTGACCGCTAAACTCCTGTTTCGTACATAAATGACAACTGATTGATCATAGAGACTTCTCCATCTCTGTCATGTACAGCTTGATATGTGACTCTAGCTTTAGGTACTGGTCGTGAGCTGACTGAATCTCGCTCTCAATGTTCTCCTTCAAGTCGACCATCTAGAACAGTGTGTTAGCAATAGACCATCCCTTATGACACAGGGTAAAAGATACCTTCTTCTCTGTCTGTTCAATGCGAATGCGTCTCCGCTCCATGTCACGTTGTTTGTCCGCACGTTCCTCGCGGAGTTGTTTTTGAATATTTCGGAGCTCTTCCATGCGTGCCTGCGCAAATTCGGCTTTCTCCTGTGCATTTTTCTGAAGTGCCTCGATACGCTCGACCCAACGGGCGAGTTGACGCCGTAAGAGCTTCTCAGTCTGCTCGACCTCGCGGACGCTGTTCCCCCTATCCGAGATAGCCTCTGCGGTTCTAGCAGCGCGGGACTCCTCTTCATCCTCTTTTTGCATTTCAGCTGCAATGTCATCGAGCAATTTAACACATCCCTGCACATCGTTGGAAACCACGGTGAACGTATCTGAGGAGGTCTGCAGTGCACGTGCCCGCCTCTCCATCGCATCAATGGAGGCTTTTTCGCGTATCAAATTCTCGGATAGTTCAGCCAGTGAAGACTGGAGGGTAGCCGGAGACTCGAGCACATAAGGCCGCAGTTTCTCCGCTTCTTGACGAGAACGGACAGTTCGTTCGGTTTTCTCTTCCAACTGCTGCTGCCGCCGAGCTCTTTCCGTTTTAACTCGATCCAGTGTTTCTGCGACTCGGGATTGCTCTCGACCCAGTTCTAATAACCGCGCCTTGAGCGCGTCGTTTCGGGAAACTTTCTCCCTCACATGCGCTTCATTGGATTGGAGATCCTGTCGCATCTCCCTCAGCCTTAATTCCATCTCCTGGTTTTCCGCAAGAAGTTCGTCAATGCGCGATTTCGTTTTCTCTGTCTTATTAAAGTGCTCGTCGATCACAGGTGTTTGCGATTCTCGGAATCGAACAAAGTTGATCAAGTACGAGAAGATTTTGACGAGTCGCTCATGCGTCGGTCTGGTCAGGTCTGTGAAGGTAAAGTCGTTGACACCACACTATTTGGTACCAGAAGCATTAGCATACTGTTCAGAGTTTCTGTGGCTAGAGGTGAGCAATTACCTCCGCCAATAGCTTTCGGAGCATCATGAAGAAACCCATGAGGTTGCGAGTGTCATTGGGAACTATATCAGGGTAGTCGCCGCAGATATCTTCTGCAGCTGCATGCATCGCGGGCTCCACTGTCTCCCGGGTCGTGTTCATGAGCAGTTCTGCGAACCATTCAAATACCATCTGGATTTGCTGGGCGTTTGGTTTAGCCAGGTCGGCGAGCGTAAACGGTATACCGATATCGTTGATGCATCCTGCGATCTCTTTATCGGGCTAATTTATGTTAGTATTAGACGCAAACTCCAGCAAAAATCAAGCTCACCAGGCGCATGAGGGCGTCATTCTCGTCTTCCTTCTTACGACCTCGACCGTGGTTTTGGGTGCCTTGGAATTGCTGGCTCATACGGCTGTTATATCCCATCGCGGCTGAATTGCGCGACATGATAGTCTGGGAACCTTTCACCAGGTAAGGGGCTTATTCCAAAGTTGACGAAGGGGATAGGCTAATTGTTGTTGATTGGGGTCGATTGTTTACTTGGAGACGATCCAATCCCGCACACCGCCCGATCTGGGTTAGTGCCTGGAGGGGCATTATGCAAACCAGGCAAACATAGAATTCATGACTCTTTCTCTTCCTTCTACGTTGCTTTGTTCTCACTTACACATCCTCCACACTCAAACGTCATGGCTTCTACAAATTCAGACGCGGCGGTGGCCGATACTAAACCATTTGAGTAAGTAAAATGCGCTCCCTCGAAGCCCTCGTACCTGCTCACCGTTCCTTCAGCATTGTCGCAACCTACAATGAACTCCTCAGCTCCGATGCCGACCTCACTATGCCTATCGCGGCCATTGAAGCTCTGGTGCTTCTTCTCACACAGTCAGCCTCTTCGACGATATCAGAGACCTTGGATCTACTCGAAAAGTCTACCGCGCACCTGAAACGATCTATTCCCAACCCTATCGGTCTCTCTGCCGGAACCGATCTTTTCCAACGATACCTGATTACCACACTACAACGCCCTGGACAGCTAGGCCCTGCAGGCGATTTCAAAGCCATCCGCACACATCTCTTGTCAAACGGACGGCTGTTTATCCGACGTGCCAAGGAAAGCCGAGACAAAATCGCATCATTCGGCCGCGGCTTCATTCGCGATGGCAGCACCATCCTCACAAACGGTGGCTCCCGAGCTGTCGCAGCCCTATTGCAAAAGGCCGCAGATGATGAAGGCGGCCATTCCGCTGTGCGTTTCCGTGTTATCTACGTTCTGTCTTCGACCTCCCAGGATTGCAACCACCCGAATGAAGAACCTGAGGGTATGGAAACAGTCCGTGCTTTGAGATCAAAGGGTGTGCCAGTTGCAACAATTCCAGAGTCCGCGGTGGCATATTCTCTCGGCAAGGCTGATATGGTTATTGTGGGTGCGGAGGGTGTGGTGGAGAACGGAGGCATCGTGTCTCGCATGGGAACCTACCAGATTGGTCTCCTCGCCAAGGCTATTGGGAAACCATTCTACGTGGTAGCAGAGAGCCACAAGTTTGTTCGCTTGTACCCTCTTGGTCAGTACGACCTGCCAATTGAGCAACAGGTTGTTGAGTTCAAGTCCGAGGAAGACCTTGCAGAGGACTGCAAGCCGCAGTCCATCGCTGACACAAACGGAGACACCTCAATCAAGCTCCCCCTCTGCGACTCAGTTGATTTCACTCCCCCTCGCCTGATCTCCGCACTCATCACAGATAGCGGTGTCTTGACGCCCAGTGCTGTCAGTGAGGAATTGATCAAAATCTGGTTCTGAAGGAAACACTATGTTGGAGCAGAGCCTTTTCTTTTGTGAATATCCCAATCGGCTACTAAAAGAGTTTCATCAAGATGGTATGGCGGGGAATAATCTAATGCGACATCTGCATTTCATATGGCCCTTCCATGTGAAAGGATCATCTGAGGCGAACAAGACGGAACTGCCACTCTTCACGCCTCTAAATCCAACGTGGATATCTGTCACATATATCCAGTGTGCAGCACAAATATAAGCTGCAGGGACGCGGGCAATCACACCCTTCTATTCCTGTCATCGAACACCTCGGTATTGATAGACATGGATATGAAATGGCTTTCAAGCTTTCAATTGGGGTGGTTCTTGTCTTAACAAAAGGCTGATTGAACGCAAAAAGTAATTTTTAAAAAAATGTGAATCTCAAGTCTTTTAAACAAGGTACAGAAATGTACATAATCTCGTCTCCCATGGTATCAAACGCCTTCGACAAAGCCATGCAGTCGTCATCATCAATAACCATCAAATACTCTGGTTGTAGAACCCCTTCGCAGTCTCATATGTTGAACATTTTGTATGGAACCTGTACATGGATAGGTTCTTTCTCTAGGCCCAGTAGGCCTAGAGATAATCAGCCATATCTCTTCACCTCTCAGTTCATCAGAAGAATAAATCGTAAAAATAGTCGTGTATCATAGCTCAGGGACGGGCAATCGAACCTCTCCAAAACCGCACATTGCCAATGCGCAGCCAAGCATGGAAAGAATTCGTTCGATCACAAGGCAGAATTTAGACCGAGGCACAGCCGTCTGTCCCCTGACTTGCCTATCACACCAAAAACCTCAATTGGCAATGCGGTTGGCGATAATATACCATTCCTGCGTTTGCATCGCAGCGAACGCATACAGCAGCAAGTAACCGAGAGCCACAAATATCCACAATTCTATCATGTTTGAAGGATTCCAGAAAGTCGGTGAAGAGTGGGACGTTTATGTAGGCGTAATGAGAAAGGGATCAAGGGTGTCAGGCGACCAGGACGATGGGGTTGAGATATGTGATGCCAGCGTTTGGTCGGATGTATCGTCTCTGGTATGGATGAGTGTTTCAAAGAGGTTCGGGACGATGACAGATTCTCTGTTAGAACACATAGGAAATAGAAAGACGGAGTGACTATTCATTCCATGAGATCTTATGCTCCCCGGACATTTTAAACATAGCCAGACCGACACTTGACAGGTTCTGATTTAAAAAATTTAACTGGCACTCTTCCTTCCGGGTTCTTCCACCCAATACGATCCGAGGCTTGGGTTGTCTATTCCGTCCATTAAAACCCCTTGTCAAGGCATGGGACTACACCTACAGATGCGGGGTTCTTGGAAGATTATTACTTCATGTGGTCTCCATTCCTAGAGATATCAGGATCGTGAAACAGTGGTTCTAGACTTATTTGTGTGCAATTCCGGGGATTTCCTGTTCGAGCGATGGATCGCCAGATCCATCACGGATGTTGGACATATTAGGGCATGGAAACGGGAGAGATTCGAGAATTTAGCCTATTTTTCCAATTCGGACTATGTTCTGTTGAAAATTGTTTGGAGATTCCACTCATTACTTACATACGCGTCTTGCATTCTTGTGCATTATCCCTGTAGCTTTGCGGGGGAATATCAAGCAAGTGATATAGAACTGCACATCAAACATATCACAAGGGCCTGACATGGCTGCTTGACGAACTTTAATCACGAAAGTATCTAAGGAACCTCGAGCAGTACAGTGTACAATATCCCTAGTTATAGAAAAGTCAGCTGTACAGTTTATGCTTTTGCCACCTTTTCATCTTTCTAGGTGTAAAACTGAGGAGGAGAATATTTCATTAAGAACAAGTCCTGAGGGTATCTAAGAAGATATACTACCAAAAAGCTACCAAAAACGACATAATAAGGCTGCATAAGCGGCCGGTTATACTCCGTACTTTTTCTCGCTATGCAGTGTTGAAGTTATATATGATTGTAAGCCCCATAAGCATAAGCAAGACTATTTATATATTTTGATTACGGCCCTGGATCCCCCAAACAGAAATGGATCACCATTAGAACTTGCATCAAAATCGTATCACTTGATAGCAAAAATAGGATCTAAGCTGCCTCGCCGAGAACACCTGGAACAACCGGAAGTTTCAAGTGACCACATCATTGGAGCAGCTGCATGTTGACCGAACGCCCTGAACTCTGAGTGCTCTACTCCATACAATATACCGAGTCACTTGTTTACCTTCAGATCGAAGAAGATCAACAAAAACCAAAGTATCTCGTCATGCCCCACAAGATCCAACCCCGCTCTCCGGTCCCTACCCAAACACCCCCAACCTCATCTCTAAGAGAAACCCTGAGAATTACACTCCAAAAGTAGTCTAGGCTACTCAAACGAACTACGCCTGCACGCGAGAAGATCCAACGGCCGTCCGACAGATACCAGCCACCCCCGCTCCTTGTGCCCACACGCCTTACCGTTGACAACACTCAAAATCATGGATGCCCAACTGCGAACGACAGGCTCCGAGCTCCAGCATAAGCTCCACCTAGGATCCGAGACCCAGGGTTCCGGTCCGCAGTCTACATCCGATGCCCACTGCCACAGCGGCTGGTCTATCAGGCGCCTTCTGAGCCGACGCGGGAGCCGCAACTACAGCGTTCTGGAGCGGGAACCGAATCGGCTGAGGAAGCGCATGAACACCTGAGTTTCCACAACTGGAGAAACCATCCTGTTTTAATTGGAGGCGGTGATAATACCGGCACTTGGTCTGGGGCGAATCTGGTTAGCGTCAGAGTTGGGGGGACATATCCCATCGAGTTTCGCCGTTTATTTCTATCCGGGGGTCACATGGAATGCGGGTCCGTCTTATTTTAATTTCGGCGTTTGTTTAGAATTGGCGGGAAGGGGCATTTTTTGGGAGGGAGTTTTGGGGGAGGATTCTGCGTTGTCTTTCAATCTTTTTTTGGACTGGTCAAATTGAGATCATACGTACTCTGTTAAAGTGCAAGTCATTGGCTGTGATCTTTGCTCTGGCCGACTTTTCTGTATCTTGCGGTGGCGGTTGCCTTCGTGGCGAATTCTCAATGGCTTGCCACGGTCCTTCCCAGGGTCTGATCTTTTACGGCCTGATCCAAGTATTGACTTGGGAGAAATTACTGTGTTTGGAATACGATGTCATTTCAAACAGTGCAATGTATAGAAATGTCTATGGAGAGCTGAAGAATAAGATCGGAAATAGGAACGGGACCATTGGTCGAATATTCCAAATGTTTATGAGCTTATGTTTTAGTGAAAACCAAAAAATTAAAATACCGAAATTTCACGGCTGTCTGCTCCTTGCATATTTCGTGGCTTTGTCAAACCCCTACTATACCCGATTTGCGATTGTCTCTGACCTGTACTTGGCATCTAAGACCGAACAGCGTTCTCCGCTGATCAGACATGGGAAAACTGAGCGGTCTACCGTTGTGATCAAAATGCAGGAACCATAGTGGAACAATCTGAGACTAAAAGTGGAGTTGGTATTATATTATTGTAAAGCCATGTTATATATTAGAAAGGCACGGAATATGGGATAAGAGAATCCAATATATGTGGCAGTATGGAGTATGGAATGCACATGTGGAAAATAGAGGCAAGGAGGGTGCTCTAGACAACAATAGACAATACGCTAGACAGTACTCTGTAGACACCCATCTAAGATGAACATTGAATTGAAATTAAATAACAGCGTTGGCACCTTACAATCCGTCGGATTCTCAATTGGATATCAGATATAATTAGCGTGCCCGTGTTCCGTAGTATGGAGTATGTCGTACTAGTTTAAATGACTTTGAACATATTGAATAGAACTAAGAAATGAATAGTAATATACAAAGTATAATAGGCAGCCGATTATAATTGGTACAATACTAATACTTATACTAGTAATCAATTGTAATCTATATCGTATAGAGAAGAAACCCAAATCCCCATAACCACTGGCCGATCAATTCCCCATTTTAGTATATGCTACTATTCTTCCTATAAGTAAATAATATGTATATTCTATGTATCAAATACTACATACTCCGTAAACCCTGCAGGCTTATGGCTAGTTTGAAGGTGCAGAAACTTTTCGACTATTGACGATCCTATAGGTTCAAGTGCTAGAAAGTGCGTAGGATCGACTCCATTCCCGTCAACCCAACGAAAGGTTACCGGACTCGGCTTGGGCTCCACCGGGCGTTTAAACGGTGGCTTGGCTTTCCCGCGTGAGAGTGCACGAGGGTCAAGGGTAAATGCAGTTATGAAGTTGTACAGGGTTATAAGATTACATTAGATATTACTTACCTATACGAAGTAGGTATATAGCTATATACATAATATGATATACACACTATTGTAATGTCAATCTAGTAAATATAAACAAAATGCGTCATTCTGGAGAACCAAGTGGATATATCTTCTTCCCCACAGGTCCAACTGCCAATTTCCAAAAATCTAGGCTCTGTGTGACTGTTTAACGAGATTTGCATATACAATTTAGGGCCAAGGTACCAGGTACCAGTGCAACTGTACAAAATAAAACATACTAGCATAATAAGATCCTATACAGTACTTCGTAGTAGGCAAAATAAAATATATAAAAAAAGACCAGGGAATGCCAAGTCTTTCTTTTGTCATTAGAAAATAAGGCCCTTTTTTGGATTTCCCTTGCCATTTTCTTTTTCTGCCTTTCGGTTTTCCTGTTTCATTCCTTTCTTTCCTCTTCCTCCTTTCCCTCTTTCCCTCTGAATCTCTCAACTTTTACAACTTCCTTACTCTATCCAACCCCGTGACTCTTGATGATGACTATGTCCTTACCCTGACTTCTAGTCACTTCAACTCTCCTTTCCACCCTCCATGATTTCAGCCATTCTGTTGCGCCACACCGATAACGATAACTGATATCCCACTTGTTCCTGGGCTTGTGCCCCAAAAGTGCCATGGCGATATGGCCCTTTAATCGCAAGAGCAAGCGGCACACAATCCAAGTGACCGGTGCCGAAGCTGCTGACCTTCACTCTTCGTTTGCCGAACCTACTGTTGAGCCCACCTTGGGCCGCAAATCTTCCAAACGACAAAGCAACCGGACGTCACGGGCGGAGGCTACGGACAGCCGGCGTAGCTCGGCACGAGGACTGCCAAATCGACCTGTCTCATCTCTAGACCGCTCTGCTTCCCTCACCGACCAGTCACGGAACCCTCCACGCGACCCGCCACTCTCAAGAACAGGTTCCCTGCTGAGGCGGAAACCAAGCCAAAATGCAAATGTTCCGAATAAACTACGGCGAAAGCTGAGCAAGCGCAAAGCAAACGAGATCATGCGCGAGCGTGAAATTCGTCTTCTCTCCTCCACCCCCATCGATATCCCTCATCATACGACAACTGCCAGTGCAGATTATGCACTGGAAAAACGCCGCCGAAAGGCAAATGGTAGGCGTGCCGACCGGTATATGTCTGACATCAGCCTCTCTATCCGTGACTCCGCCACATCCTCTACGTCCGACATGTCCGACCCATACACTTACAAAGTCAACGCTTTTGCCGCCTTGACCCCACGCCCCATCGTTCGTTACGTGGAAGCACCTCGCCTGCAGACCGCCAGAAGCACTAACCAACCCGTCCCTGCCCGACAGGACAAAGATAGGCTTCAGGGCCTGACCATGTCCGACCAGGATTTCTATTATTCTAAGCGACGAGTCAATGAACTCGCTGACTCATTAGATGCCGGGGCCTTGAGAGAGCTGCTGGACCGTGATCGTCGCCGCCGGGAGAAGAGACAGGTCGACGAGCAGGAACGACTTCGGCGTAAACTGCAAGAGAGGGCTGATGCTCAACAGGCAGAGGAACAAAAGGTCCAGGTCGCCACCGAGCCCGTCCCCGAGCCTGTACCGGAACCCGAAACCGAAGTCGCTCAACCAGAGCCGTCCGTGGCTAAAGTCGCTGAACCTGAGAACTTTGTCTCGAACGAAGAGACCACCGCCCCTCAAGTTGATGAACCAATGGCTGTCGTACCGGAGCATGGATCGTGGTTGCTGGGAGCTTCCAAGGGCAGCGAGAACACTGGACGCGAATCACGGGAAAGCTCTCACGCAGTGAGCAATATCGATGATAGTTCTGTTCGTGAGCGGAGATTGGCTCAACGCCCCAGCTTCGCCCTGTCACACGACATTACCATGTCCCGGACTACTCTTTCCCCATCCCAATCATCAGTTCGACATGGGCTAACTAGCCCAAGCCATTCGCAAACCTGTGGGTCGGATATCTCTAGAGGAGTTGACTCTGAACGCCGACTTTCCGAAACCAGCGGCCGCCGGGGCAATACCATCACTTCCCTGTTCAGGCGTGGTTCTTCGCGCCTCAAGCGGACATACAAAGAGCGATTCCACGACAGTACCCCGGAAGTCTCCAACGCCTCGCATGAATCTTTCTACAAAATTCACACTCAATCATCACCTCCTCCACCCTCGATTATCCCTCCGAGAATTCTAATGCCCACTGGGACCCTGATGCGCTCCCAATCCAAGTTCACCGAACACTTTGGCGATGAACCCCTGTCGCCTCCTGATTCCCGCCTACAGTCGCCAGATATCCCGGAAGAAGTTCTCCCGGAAGAGGTTCTGGAGCCATCCCTCGAGAGGGATGAGACTTTCTTGCGTGAACCAACACCCAGCCCCGGCGTGGACATCAAAAATCCGAACCGAAGCCACCATCGGTCGTGGGCTTCCGATAGTATTGACACCGAGGCCGACAACGTGCCACTTTCTCAATCTCTGGCTTCGATTGATTCCGAGGGATCTTGGATGTCAGGTCAGTTTTTCCGCCGGATGTCACAAAAGCCCAGCAGCCCAGTTCGGTCGAATTTGAACTCATTTGGCCGAGACTCGGTGGAACCCCCGGCAGATGCCCTAGAAGATGTTGAATCGCTAGATGAGTCCCGCCGTCAAAGCAGCAACATCCTTGGTGAGCCAGAGCTTGAAACGGAAGCCGCAGACAGCTCGGCAAGCAACCTTGCTGAAAGATGGCACAACGAAGTCGGCCGCCGCGCTGTTCTGGTGAACCCGGTGGTCCGTCCTAAGTCCACGCAAGGACTTCTTAGAGGATACTCTTCATTGACGCCCATCTCCGCAGAGGAAGATTATATTGTGGCGGAGACAACTCCCTCGGAACTGCAGCGCATCCCTAGCGCGAAAGCCGAAATTGGTTATGCCGAATAGACTGGATATTGGTGATCACCCATCGCCATTTAATAACCGTCCAACTGGATCTACCATCCACGATTGCCTCATTTATCTCCGTGTTATGGCGTGCCAGACGGGTAACATTGGCCCATCGACCATCGCCATGACTAACACACAATCTTCCACCCCCTTTGCCCCCTTCCCTTGTCACTTTCCTTTGTCAAAATATCCATCCGTAAGCCTCAGGTTTACCCTCTGGCTATCTGTACGATTCTGATATCCCCATTGCCCTGTAACCCATTATTGCCCCTGCGAGCTCGTCATTCTGATTCGATCTGTTGATACCCCCTCGTCGCCCCATGCTTTATCTTTACCATATGCATAAATCCTATTCCTTTTTGTTCTTGCTGTTGAATACATAACCAAGCCGATAAATTCTTATTCCCCTTCGAGCGCTTTTCTTCTTTGCACATAGTTGATGGCTCCTGGCCCTTTTTATCTACCCTTCCATTGCTGATATTAATAAGACATATTCTTTTCCAGGGTTGGCAATTTTTTGACTTCTGGATCAAGCATATATTTAGCCTATATTGAGATATATATAGTCATGAGGTGGCTTTTTTTTTTTGAGGCTTCTATTTCATGTATTTAGTAAAGTCCAGCAGCCATTACTGGCAATCTAATGTTACAGTCACCTATGATTTCTAATATTCATATATTTCCCTGCTCCTGGAAAATTGCTTTCCAAATTACCATATAAGAATTTGTTGATATATTAATATGTGCTATTATTGTATAATTGCCCGTATAGTGTGAAGATGGTAAATATTTGCTAACAGTTCCAGACTCCATCTTATTCGTAAGCGACTCCGGGACCCGAAGGCCAGGGAGCACGTCATCCCCTATCAGCTTCAACCTCTCTTGAATCCCAGCATTGATATCGACCTGTACAACAAATACAACAAAAAAGTACTGACTAATCTCACGATGGTAAGTCCACGGCTCTCTACAATTATCCAGCCTTGGAAAAAAATCCCATCGAAACCCCCAACTCCAGAGGCTTCCGGACCAGGCCCTCGGGATCCAGCTCCAATTATTCAGCGTCTTACCTAAGCTCTGCTGAGAACGTCATCGCCCTATAAAAACCTAGCGCCCCTCACTCTACCCCTCCAATCGAAATACTTATATCTACTCCAGTTCAAGCCTTCCACCGTCGCATCTCTTCGTTCTACTACTAGACTCATCGCCGGAATCCAGCGCCCCGCTTTCCGACCCTTTTCTTCCACACCCATCCCCCGCTTCACGCCTTCTTCTCTCAAAATGGGTGTCACTCCTATCACCTCGTAAGTGCCTGTCATAGTCCCTGCTTTCGCGTCTGCACGTGGATTCCAGAATATGTAATATGTCTTGCATATTCGTCCTGGTCTAGATCTACATACTCGTGGTCATTTCGCAAAACATTGCAAAAACACTCCGGCTAACACATCCTTCAGCGCCGAGGAGTACAAGGCCAAGGTCACTGATGCCACCGGCCCCGTCGTTGTCGACTTCCACGCCGTCTGGTGCGGTCCCTGCAAGGCCATTGCCCCTACCCTCGAGAAGCTCAGCGAGACCCACTCCAACGTCCAGTTCTACAAGGTCGACGTCGATGATCTCTCCGAGGTCGCTGCTGCCAACGGTGTCTCCGCTATGCCCACCTTCCACTTCTACAACGGTGGTGAGCGCAAGCAGGAGGTCAAGGGTGCCAACCCCCCTGCCATCCAGGCTGGTCTCAAGGCTATCCTTGAATAGATTTGAAAATTGAGATGAGGGCTTGTGAATACCATTGATCGATGTTTTTTTTTTCTGGATGGGCGATCTAATTGAATACTGAATACATACCATTCCACAAATTTTGTGTCTGCGGTGTAGACTTGCTTTTTTTGGGGGTGTTTGACTTGGGAAGCTGGGTTTGGGGTAATATTGTTTCTGTAAAAATATGTAAAGGAAGAAAAGTGTTGCCTGTTTAAGAGGAACATTGGTTTTGAGTTGGAAAAAGGAAAGTGTACATTCTGTACAAATTGTGTTCTACAGCTTGCATGCAGCCTGGCACATTACATGCATCAACGTGCAGATCTTTTAGAACGATCGGAGAACAATCGGAGAACAGCATGTCCAATATACGGATAAATTAACTACCACGGTAGCATATACCCCATTCCTATTTGAATATCGTACTCTAATTGGTATGTTTTGATAATTCGTATTTTCAACATCTTAAGGGGAAGTTTGAGTGAAAGGATATAGGAGATGGACATATTTTGCTAAAAAGAGAAGCGTACCCATACCCAAGAGCCGCGGAGCGCAAACAACCATGGAAAAAATGCTAGGACAAACAGCGAAATTCAAACTGCATGACGCAGATGTGAAAGGCTGAAAGGAGTTGCGTCTACAGGACGACAAATAATTCAATAGCTGCCTATATACATATACCGTGGGTTGTTGTAGCTTCTCCATTCCTCTTTCCCTCCATCTACCATACCCATCCACATCCCCAGCCTACTCTCACATAATATCAGCAGTCAAGTATGGATTCTGAATTAAACAGCGATCAAATCGAGGAGCTCCCCTCGAAGGGATTCCACTCCACGAACCTAGAATTCACCAGCTACAACTCCAGAGAACATGATAGGTTCTTCAAGTCTTTTCAGGAGTATTCATCTTCAATCATAGATGCCTGCGCATCAAGCCCACAACGGATGGACCTCAAATTCACCTCCAGCGTTGCCAAACACCTCCAGAGGAACTCACATTTGTTTATGATCATCTACGGAAACACCGCCTACTGCGAGGATATACCCATTGGTACACTTTTCTTCGAGTCCTCTCATCGAGATATGGCCCACCACCGGTGCTCCAAGCTGGGAATCGGGATCCTAAAGGAGTACCAACTTTACCAAGTCGAGGCGGTCGACTGGGCTTTGAATTGGGCGTTCAATAGCGCCAATCTGCATCGGGTGGAGATGACTGTTCCCTCGTGGAATACGCAAATGGGTAAGGTGTGTGAGGCGACGGGGTTTAGAATAGAGGGGGCGAGAAGGGAATGTTATTTCAAGGATGGTGAGTGGTGGGACGAGGTGATTATGTCTGTTCTGAAGAAGGAGTGGAAGCAGCGTGAGGCCGCGAGGAAGAAGTAGTCGTCCTGGATGTGGCTGTTGATAACAAGCAAGGGTGCTTTTTATGCTTCGATGATAAGTCTACTTTGATTTTGGTTTTGACTTTTGAGTGGTTTTAGTAAGTCTAAGCGAGAGAGAGGAAAATTGAAGAAAATTGAAGAAATAGAACTGATCTATACTAAACCTTGCACGTGCGGCTAAAGATCTAACTCTCCCCAAGGTCAGTATAAAGCTACCATGCATTTAGATAAGTCTGAGTTTGCGACGTTTATTATCTATCATATGTAGGAGTACTCCATATAGGCATAGCCACGCGATTGACAAGTGACAGAACCATGTGACTTCGGACCATTTGTCTGAATAGAGAATAGTAGATCCATCACGCCCACTATTTACGGTATAACCAGGGATACAATATCTAGAACCTATCCACCACATAAGGTGCCAAAGAAAAAAACCTTTAAAAGTGGGAAAACAGGCACACAAACCCTAAGCCAAGTGTAAAAGGTGCCTATTAAGCCGACGCTGTGATCTGAGTGGACTTGAAAAGCAGAAGCAATTTCTTGTCTTTGGACAAACTTTTTCAATTTGATTCATCAGGGAAAAGAAAAGTCAATCTCTGGGGAATGCGCCTCAAACTCGGGATTCTGAGATCATTTAATCTATATATCTTCAAAAAAGGTGGGACTTTATGTGGGCCTTTATATATTTTTTTTCTCTTTTCTTACTCTTCCGCTGTGCCGAGGTAAATTTATTAGATTAATTGGCATCACATCTTGGATTTCGTACTCCGTATAGTAATATAGCTTGAGCTTCCCAAGCCGTGTGTGATCCAGGGGCACATCCCCGATCCCCGAAGGCTGATTTTCGTTACCCTTGGTGGCGCTCGTGTTAGTGGTGATAATGTGATTGATCAGTTCTCTGTATGCTCCGTATTTCTGCATATCTGGACGAACGATTTACTTGTCTGCATATTTTTATATGTTACGGAGTATATTATAATCCGTACTTATGTTATATAGGGAAGTTCAAACATCAAAGTGCGGGGCCCATTTTTGTTCCCCCTTGGATTTGGCAGCTGAATTCGCTTGTTAGCTTCGTTTGAGGCTCCAATAATTAATATAAATGGAAGATCAAATCACGGGTTTTTTAGATTGTATTTACAATCTCGGGAGACAGTCTCGGAGACTCCGTTGAATCAGGTTTCCAAGGGTTGATACAACCCCATTATCGGAGTTGTATCAAATGCAGACAGAGGAAAAGTATAATTCTACAAAGGAAGAAACACTAAAAAGACTAAAATGTGATTCTCATGGACTGGCTTTATCTTCGGGCTGTGATACGCCCAAAAGCCCATGTCCACCTATATGTCCATCTATATGTCCACTGTATGTCCACTTCTGTCCACATATCGTTCCTTATCCGCCCCGATCCGATCTAGATCTCTCAAGTAAATCATGGCTGGCATCGCTTGTGAGAATCCACCAGAACCGAATCGGGGCTTGGGCCTTGTCATCCCTGTTGTTTATTTCGTACTATTGGATCAGTTTAATCTATTTCGAAATGATTCTAGCAGGGTCCGTGTTGGCCTACGCTTTTCGGGGCTTTCTTTGTAAGGTTTTATAAGTTTCTGATATACAAAAATTTGTGGGCGCGGGGTCCATGTGAATGCTGGTGCAGCTGAATGGCCCTCTTGGTGGAGTTCACGTTGAGATCGGACTAGGGCATCGGTGGTACATGCCAATTTGTTAAGCGCTCGGAGGATTTTTTTTTGGGTCGGTCTTATTACATGCTTGAGGACCTCGGGCTTATAAGATCTTTACCTCTGGCCCTGTTTCACTGGTTTGGATGTAATCTTTTTTTTTTCAGGCTTTTTGCTCTGCTTATACGCTATCACTCCATGTCACATTTATATTGATTAGAACAGTCGTCTTCGACTATACACCAACTATACGCCTCTCGTTGATGACCAAATAACGAAAATACCATCTATTTCTCTCTTTCACAATGTCGACAGACAATAATGAACCCCTTGTCCGCGTCACGTACCTGGCCGGGTACATAGTCCTTTCTTATGTGATCAGTGCAATGGGATGCATAACCACGTTGGAACTGCTCCATCGCCGGACTTCAAGGTCCGGTCTTTACAATTGGTATGTCCCAAAACTAGATTCTCGCAACTTCAGAAATAATGTAACTTAACAATTTTTCTAAAAAGGTACCTTCTCCTCACCTCCTCGATCACAATGGGCGGCATAGGAATTTGGTGTATGCATTTTATCGGCAATCGCGCCATCGTCCTGGGCGAAGGCGAGGCTAACGTGCAAGCCATGTATAATGTCGCCTTTACCGGTACTTCCTTCGTACTCCCCGTGGTGGTACTACTATTTGCCTTCTATGCCGTGGGCGTCGAGGAGAAGGCCGGCTATACTCGCATCTTCATCGGAGGCTTGCTCACCGGTAGCTCTGTCTGCGGTATGCACTATGTCGGTCAACTCGGAATCTCGAACTATAGATGCTCCTACCATACCGAAAATGTCGTGGGCGCGGCGATCATTGCTATCGTTTCCAGTACTGCTGCACTTGGCATCTTCTTCCGCTGGCGAGCCACTTGGACTGATAGCTGGTGGAGACGAGGAATCTGTGCCTGCTTATTGGCAGGTGCTGTCTCCGGAATGCATTGGACTGCGGCTGTTGGAACTGTCTATCTGGACCACAATCGCAAGGCCATGAATGGAACCCAGTTGTCGAGAAGTCAGGTTGTTATTGTCTGCACTATTCTGGTATGTTGTTCTTCGAAGATGTTGGAGGCTTGGAGACTGACAGCTGTATAGGCCTGTGTTGCATGCTTGATTTTGTCCATGTGCGCTATTCTTGCTGGCCGAAATCGGAGAATATCGACCACACGTGCCCATCAGCTTGTTCTCGCCTGTGCTTACTTTGATCCTACTGGACGGATCATGGTTACGACGCAGGCTATGCTTCCTACGAAGAAGATTGTCGATCATTATATCGGACGGGTATGTCTCTTAGCCAGATTATATATGGTAGGAATCTTGACTAACGAATTTGCGAACTAGACATTCAAAGATGATGATCTCACTCGCACCCATCCTACCTTCCTCTGGGCGTTTAGGGCAACTCGCAACTGGCCCGCCGTGAAAGATCTCGTTCCCTTCATGCGAAACCGCCTTAATTCCGAAGAAAGCGCCATTGAGAAACACATGCTATCCCGAGGAGTGTTTATGGACAAGGATACGGAGTTGCAAACTGACTTTGACACCTTGTTCAAGCAACTTTTCTGTGTCACAGCCCAAGAGCTCTCAGATGACCTGCGTCTGCCTCTCCAGGATCTAGGTACACTCTACGACGATGTTCTTTCCACCGCTATCCCCATCTCCCGAATTTCTCAAGCCATGGGCCGCTCATCCCTCCGCACCGGCAAGGGCCAAGTGATGTTCACTGTTCGCCAGCTAGATAAAAACGAAGCTGCGCGCTTGGGATCACAGGGATACCGGTTCGCAACCATCGAGCATGTCACAGGAATGCTTTCTCGACGAATCCACGTCCCCGAAGCAAACCTAGCCGACTCACTCCGCGATATGCGCGACTACGCAAGCTCAAACCGCGGCTTCGATGAGGGAGTACACCTCATCTCCTTCATGATGCGCCCAACAGTCCACGACCATTTCGAGATCCTGACCGCAAAGGGCGTCGGCAACCCCCTCCCATCCGCAACCCTCCCAATGAAACAACTCCAAGTCCACCACCTAGAACTCATCTCCCACATGGAAGGCTGGTCCATGGACGCATGCGTCCGCTATCTCCATTCAACCGCCGCATCCCAAGCCTTCCCCAGTCTATCCGAATTCCGCACCAGCCTCACCAAAGCCATCATCTCCCTCTCAAACATCATCCCAGAAGACATGCGCGCCGCAGCGCAACTCTCCTCCCGCCCATTAACAGCGCCCTGCCGCAGCAGGGGCTCCAATCCCGAAATAGCAGTGCAGAAAACCTGCACCCTCCTAACATTCTGCGTCGTCGGCACGCTCGACACCCAAATCTCAAACCCAGACTACAAATTCACACCCTTCCGTCTCTTCCGCGTCCAGCAACAAATCAACGAAGCCCTCACCGACGGCGATGATTTCGCCCGCGAACTGGGCCAAGAACTCTTCTGCACAGACGTGCGTTCCGGCTCGACTGCCAGCGAGGGCGATTTCGCCTCCACGGCTAAAATGGCCATCCTGCGTCTGTGGCCGTCGCGCAAGAGCACGCCGACTTCGAGCTCGGGATCTGGACCGCGATACTCGCAGGAGTCGTATGTGGATCCTAAAGCGGTGACGTTGAGGGATATCACTGTCCACAAGGAGGTTCGCGTTGATTATACACACCTTCATGAGAACTCGAATCAGAATAATCTCAGTAACCGCGACTCGAGGGTCGTTGTTGCTGCTGGTGGTGAAAATACACCTGCGAATTATGTCGACGAGTTGTATAGTCTTTGCTATTCGCCGGATATCCGGTTGAGGGCTGATGCGTCGTTGCAGAATATTTCGCGTGGATCGACTGCGTGCTAATTACTTTTTGTTTGCTTTTCTTTTGGCATGTTATGACTGGCGCAAGATGGAATCCATGCAGGAATTGGGACTGGTTTTTTATGGGAGATACCTGGGAAAGACTGGATAGGGTCTAGGATTGTATATATAACTTTTCTTTGACGAGCACATATGTAGATGATATCAATACAAAGGCGCGCATGTTTCATGTCCCAGTTGCTTTTCCAAAAGTCTTATTATCAAAAAGAGCCAAAATAACACCTGTTATTACATGAGATGAACTCCAGTAGGTGACAGAGCAAAAGCAGAATATCGTCACACATCAAGACAAGCCCCAAACACAAAGAGACTCGTTAACCAACACATGCAAGAGATGTCATATACATCATGCTGCACACCCGCCTCGAGGCGAGCCGAGAATAAATGCAATATGGAAAGAAGCACTAGCCGTCCAATCAAAGACCAGCGAATCCAATGCTCAAATAAATACTATAGAGCACAGATCCCACAGATCAGACATTGGCTGTAGGATCCTCGCGCTCCAAAAACGTAGGATCAACCTCAATGCGACGCTCAAACTTGGCCCACCAATCTTGGAAGCTCTTCAACGGCACAACATCCTGGCCCTTATCATTCTCCGCAAAGCTAGCGAGGAAATTAAACGCGTTTCCAATAATGCGCTGCGCCAACACCTTCGTCGAGACCTGTCTCTGAGCCGCAGCCTGCGGAACCAGCGCCGTAGACATCCGACCCGAAGGACGCTCCGCTTCCAGCGCAGCCAGCTGCGGCGCGATATTTTGCCCTTCTTCGATCGAAATGCCCAGTGTCAAGACGCCCGCTGCGGCAGAGTTACCGGCGCCGCCCTCGTCGAGCATGTCATCTTCTTCCTCGGCTTCTGAGCGGTGCTGTGCGCTGCCTGGTGGGCGCACGGTGAAGATCCCTGAGGGGCTTTCGTTTGATAATGCGCCGATGAAGCGGAAGTTGGAGGGAGCGCCGGTGTTTGGGTCTGGGAGTTGGGCGTAGATTGCGGCGCCCGTGTTGGGTGGGAGGGTTGTTCCTGGTAGGAAGAAGACGACTATGTCGCTGAGCGATGGGCTGAGCGGGATCGTGAAGGCGAACTTGCTTGCTTGGCCGTTCGGTTGCCCGTCTATTGCGATGATGTCTGTTAGGCACGGGCGGCCTGGGACCACGACGGAGAACATGGTGGGTGGTGGTAGGGGGCTGGAGGGGGAGGCAGCTTGAGCAGCTGGTGATGTTGGCGAGGTGAGGTGCGATTAAGATTCTTTGTATAGTTCTGTAGACTTCTTTAAGCTTCTCTTTGTCCTGTTTTTCGATGACGAAAGTGACATTTAGAGGGGCTGCCCTTATCGACGGCTGATAAGGGTTTGGTTTGGCTAAACAGAGGGCCGGCGTACTAACTTGCGACGTCTGCTTCACAACTGTGATCTGTTTCTGCAGAAGAAGTCATTATGGGCAAATCCAACTTAAAACTGGTCGTCGAATGCGATAAGTACAGCTGTCCCAACTCGATCGCTCCCTCGCGCGTTTTCGTCTTACACCCCGCAGCTTCCCCTACTACGAGGATGATCGCATCGCATACACGGAGAACCTGAACAACTACCATGCATTCAAAGTATCCGGATACGAGTGTACACTCGGCTACATCCTCAATGCCGTCGTGGAGAAATTCCCCTGGTCCGAGAACAGCTGGGCCATCGACTCGGCCGCGCAAACCGTGACGCTAGTGACACCGGCAGGAGCCACCCCGGCGCACCGAAGCCAGCTCGTCGCAACAGATCTCGCCGAAGCCGTGAAGCAAGGCACGTTCGAAGTCCTGAAAGGCTGGCGCAACGAGAACTACGCAGTCTACGGGCCGGGCGGAGAATTCCTCCTCGAGATGGAGCGCTCCGCAACCCCGCTCTTCGGCATCGTCTCCTACGGCGCCCATATGACAGGCTACGTGGAAGACGAATCCGGAATCAAGATCTGGGTCCCGCGCCGCGCAAAGAACAAGCAGACCTACCCAGGCCTCCTTGATAACACCGTCGCCGGCGGCATGTGCACCAACGAGACCCCGTTCGAGTGTATCGTCCGCGAAGCTATGGAAGAGGCTTCCTTGCCTGAGGATGTGGTGCGCGCGGCGATGGTCTCCACGGGCTGTGTCACATACTCGCATGTGCGGGATGTGCGCGCGGGCGGCGAGACGGGCCTCATCCAGCCTGAGGTTGAGTATGTGTACGACCTTAGACTTGATCCTGAGACTATTCCGAAACCTGGGGATAATGAGGTTGAGGAATTCAAGTTGCTGTCGATTGAGGAGGTGAAGGCGGCTTTGGCGCGCGGAGAGTTCAAGCCTAATTGTGCTAATATCATGATTGATTTCTTTGTCAGGCATGGGCTGCTGACGCCGGAGAATGAGCCGGATTTCTTGCAGATTGTTGCGAGATTGCATCGGCGATTGGAGTATCCGACTGCTTCGCATTGTGCGAGGTAGATTATTTGTTTGATAACCTGAGTCAAACAGTACATATAGATATGTTGTACATACGATCTATCAATTTCGCATTTGAATTTGAATTTGCATTCGCACGGGTTCCTTTCCCATTGGCGCAATCGAGGTAGTCTGTAAGACTTGCAGTCCGCATATATCAAATGATTCGATAGATGCATGGTGACAACGCACTGCCATCTACTATAAGTGCGACCAAGAATCCAAATGAATCAGGATTCAAGTCTTAAGCGCATAGCCAGAAAAGAGATGAAGGCACACTGCGCGGCTGCCATCAGCAATTACAGCTCTATGCGGAGTCAACCCACCCCGAGACTCGTTTTGACAATTGAACGGCCAAGGTTCATCTGATCCCATGAAAATCATGTTTGTTATGATAATCTATTGGTATTCCCAAATCAAAATGCAAAGAACGCCTGCGCTGCACCCCATAAGAACGATATGAACATCGGTCCGGCTTAAATACACCGACTTTTTCCCCATATGGGCTTTGCCTCAAGATCAATCCAAGATCCATCTCATCTTGTGTCAAGGTCGTAAGCAAAAAAAAAAAGAGTTCCAACAATTGCAAGCTTATTTCTTAAGCAGCAAGTACACGTAATCGATTCTCAACGGAGCAAGCTTCTTGTAGGGACCCTCCAGGTAGAGTAACAGACCTCCGAAGGACACAAAGACAGCCCTGAAATGTAAACGTCAGTCTCCGCAAGAACCAACACATCAGTAACGAAACTCACATGGTATCCTTAGTGGCACCCTCCTCAAAGCGGTACACCTTGCCGTGGCAAACATAATCGTAGTCATCCGCTAGGGTCTGTTCACCCATGCTGACCTCCCTCCAGCTGGCGCGGGTATCCTCCTTGCCGTCAAGAGAGAGAGTTGAGGCCAGAGCGAGGGACAGTGACTCGCCGACCGCGCACGGGTAAAGCTCGGTGTTCACATCCAGGGTGAAAGTGATGGAGGCATCGTTGGAGCTGCAAGTAAGACGGGAGACGCGGTCATACTTCTGGGCGTTGATCGAGGTGATCGTGAAGGTATCTTCGAAGAGGAGCGGGTCGGACATGATGAAGGTTGCGACCGCTGGTTTTTCAGTCTATGTGTGGAGTTTTTGGTAGAGCGGAATATGCGCAGACAATCGCACACAAAGAACTGTAGGGTTAAAGGCCCGCAATGGCTGGTTGATGGTGCGAGAGTGGTGAAGAGAAGAGTTGGAGTCGGAGGTGGAGAGGTTGATCGGAGAATTGAAGCTTTTTTTTCTGCCGCCTTTTGGTCCCCGCCGATAACGATTTCGTTGGTTTGACATCAGCTCCTTGCTTATAGCTTTACTGGAATCTTTTATACTTGATTTGAACTTCTCTGTCATGTCCTTTCGCAAGCGAAACATCGGTCTCTCTCCTGGAGTTGACCGTAACGCTGTTCCCAATGCTACCGCACAGCCCGCTACGCCAGAAAGCACGCCGGGCATTCGCCCCTCCCCCGATGATGGACGACCAACAACCTCGACAGGCACTCGTTCTCTAGATAATCTTCTTGCAGGCCATGCAGGGCTTCCAATGGGAAAACTTTTGTTGATTGAAGAAAACGGAACTACAGATTTTGCGGGCGCATTGCTACGTTACTATGCGGCGGAGGGTGTGGTTCAAGATCAAAAAGTTCATGTGGTTGGAGTGCCAGAGCAATGGGGCCGAAGTTTGCCTGGTCTAATCGGCTCTGCAGAGTCCCTTGATGAGAAGAGATCCGCGCGCAAGGACGATCGCATGAAAATTGCATGGCGATACGAGCGATTGGGCGAGTTTGGGGCAGTCGCTGGTTCGCGAGGTGGTGAGCATTGAAAACAAAACACTGCTTCTAACTTCAATATGCTGATAAATATAGCCCCGACTAATCCTGGGGAACAGGATGCACCAGCAAAAGAAGCGCCCGCTTTCTGTCATGCCTTCGATCTCACGAAACGTCTCACTCATCCGTCTATCACAAACATGTCCTTCATCCCACTTATGCCCTCAAAAGAGTCACCATTCCTCGCTATCCTCAAACGACTCCAGACTGCAATCACATCCAGCACCGCCAATACAATCCACCGCATCCTCATCCCTTCTCTACTTAACCCCACAATTTACCCGCCGAACGCCTGTCAACCCGAACATGTGCTCCAGTTCTTCCACGCCCTCAAGGCGCTGATGAGTGCGCACAGCACCCGCGTGACTGCAATGATCACCATGCCTCTTTCTCTATATCCCCGCTCATCGGGGCTGGTTCGCTGGATCGAACTGCTTAGTGACGGCGTCATTGAGCTTTGTCCCTTTCCGCACTCTGCAGATGCCATGGCTACCTCGGGAGCGGCGACCTCACAAGAAGAACCTCCGCAGGGTATGCTCAAGACGCATCGGCTCCCAGTTTTGCATGAGCGTGGAGGTGGAAGTGATCAGAATGTTGGAGAGGATTGGGCGTTTATTCTGAGCCGCCGGCGATTCGAGATTAAACCGTTCAGTCTGCCACCGGCTGAAGGAGACACAGAAGCGCAGGATGCATCGGCCCCGGGCGGAAAACCCAAGAAATCGGATCTCGAATTCTGAGACGCTTGATGATTGGTGTGGTCCACTCGACTCAATCGTCTTCTTCGTACTGTCGTTGGGTCCCTGGTTCGACTAGCATATTGTCCATCTCGATCTGCTCGGACATGGCAGGGCCCGAATTGGCCATTGTGCGGAGGTAGCTTGCTCCGTATCCATCCAATCCTGGTCGTATAGAACGGAGGCGATTCCCCAGGCAGGATGAAGCTGCAAGCCATGCTGTTCGGTGTTAGTAATACGGTCGTGACTAGGTAGCTGTCCAAGAACGGATGCCGTGCGATACTGACCAACAAAGAGTAGCAGGGGCGCAAAGAATACCAGGAATAGCAGTAGTAGGATACCCATGATGCCTTATAAAAGAAGAATATAGAATACTCAACGAATGCCAATGAAGATGATGATAAACAACGATGCTCAGCCAGTTCGCTTGCCAAGACGACTATTCCCAAAATAGACTAGCGTATAAGCTGAGCTTTTCCTTTTCTTCTTTTTTTTTGGTTCTCTCATTCTTCTCTTCTCTCTACAATCAACCCTAGCTTTGTTAAATCCAAAGATACTGGGTGTTTGATTATGATCTCGACACTCTAATACTTTTTAATGGTAAGCTTCACCCTCATCTTTCCACATCACTTCCACAACCCCCACTTCGCATGATTATTTAACTACAATCTGTCAATCCCCTGAAGCTCTTTGATACGTCACTGAGCGCTTGCTGAGAAACGTACTGGAAAATGAATTGCGATACCCAAATTTACCTTGCTGGAAACCTGCATATTTGCATAGTGGACAAGCGCTAACTGTCCTTGCCACAGAATCTTTGAAAAAATTCCCACAAATCTCAAATCAAAAAGAAAAAAAAAATGGATTTTCAACCAGACCTTCCCATTCCGATCTCTTATGTATCCGGTAGATACCTGTTGTTCTCAATTGACGCCGTGACGTATCTGCGACGTGAACATAACATCTGTGGTGTACTCATCGGGACGCTGCCTCAGATTCCTCAGCAGAATGTCTTCTTGGGTCTCCCACTGGAGCTGATGCCCGAGGAGGCACGGCTGTTAGTGGATAAGGGTGTAGCTTGCATCGTAGACGAAGCCAAGGCACACGACGGCATGAACACCCTCTTAGAAGAGGATCGCCGACGGTACCTCCGCGACCTCGAATCCCAAGGCCTGCATGTCTCGCGCATCCAATTGGATCGCAAAGAGCGCAACCGGGAACAGACATTGAAGAAATTAGAAGAAAAGAAAGCAAAAGCTAAGGCCAAAGCCAGTGCTGCTGCCGAGGCACCTACCGTTCCTGAGGAGGGCACTTCCACCCCGTCGCCGAAGAACGCTGCCATCGTTGACCTCTTCAACGCAGAGGAACGCTCGTCGTCTCCATCCGCCTCGATGAGCACTCCCCCTCAGGCCGCAACGGCCATTACGCCCGCAACATCTTACCCGCCTCTCTCCACACCTTCGCCATCGAGCTACCTCTCAGCACCCGCGGTGCCATCCTCATATCCTCTCTTCGCCCACCTCCACTCTAAAGGATACTTCCTCTCTCCCGGCCTGCGATTCGGTTGCCAGTACGTGGCTTACCCGGGCGACCCACTGCGTTTCCACTCGCATTTCCTCGTCGTGTCCTACGACTGGGACCAACAAATCGATCTGATGGATCTCGTTGTCGGCGGCAGACTGGGTACTGGTGTGAAGAAGGGTTTCCTGATCGGTGGACCACAGAAGGGAATCGATTCGGTCGATTCGGAGGCTGATCGTGTGGATACTGTGCGGGCTTTCAGTCTTGAATGGGCTGGAATGTGAGGAATGAAGGACTTGAAGGGTTTCATATCCTTCATTTGTTTTGATTTCTCATCCACCAGGCTTATGGCTTTGACTTGCCCTTGCCAGGGCTCCATGGCTCATGCACCACGCTACCGGGTCGTCCTTGCCTGCCTTTGGGCCCTTCGAGCCAGATGCACAACTTTACACTGTGCCTGGTCTCCTTGAACCTTGGGAAGAGACACATCACTTGTGCTTCTGATCATCCTTCAACAAAGATCCAGAGGATATTCCCGTCCCAAAGGTGGTTTACCATGGCCTCGCCTTCCAGCAACTCAGGTTGGAGGCTTGGAAGGGCAACAGCATATGGCTAAGAAGGGTCATCATGTCTCTGGTCTATCATGCATTGCCCGACTCAGAATAGCATATCATATGACAATGTTGCTATTCATAGAAAACTCTTCATCAAAGAAACATTTACATATTACACTGCTTGTCCTCATAAATCTGTAGTATCATGCCGCAATTATGAATTGTATGTTTCGCCTGCTAGGCATCTCTAGCAAAGTGATGGGATGAAATTTATTCATAAACATCGTTATTGCAATTGACTCTTCTCCCCGGCGACTCAATGGGTTCTTCGAGCTGAACTTTGTGTGCGTCGCTTTTTCATTTGGTGGGGTATGTTCATTTGCATGTTGGGGTGCCACCTCGCGCATTGTGATATCATTCAGTGGGCCTGATGAAACAAGAACGAGTCTAGCTTCATAGAACACTGGCGTGCCTCTGCGAAGTATGGGCATGAAGCTTGAATCTCAAAGACCCTCAGCTGTCCAGCGCGCAGGTATCGGCTTTTATGGCAAGAGCGCACTTGCAACGCCCGAGACCACTTCGCGATTGAGCAGTCAATCCCATCGGTGGTAAATTGATGACAACCAAATCCAATGACGGTCTCAAATGTAATCGATGTTCCTCCACTTGAACTTCTTATTCGCTCTGTCCACAGGCCGATTCTCAAACTGGTTTCCATGCAACTCGAAAACCAACGGCATGGGAGCTTTTGCATCAGACTGAGTCTGCTCATCCTGCACGCCCTCGGACGATGATGCTGGCACAGGCACCGTGAACCGGAAAATAGTATGTTCCTTCGGTATAGCTGTACAAACAGAACCGAGTCAGCATGGCCTGTCTCATCGTACCTCCCACTCCACAAGTTAAACTCACTCTTCATCTCATCCTTCTCGGTAATAATAACGAAGGTAAACTTCGTATCCCGCACCACAATTCCCTTAGTACCAACTCTCCCAGCACACCCACTCCTAACAACCTCGACCTCAGCACCATGGTAATCCGCACTGACAAGCTTGCTTCCATGCGACGCCGGCGAAACATGGCCACGTGCTCCGCCCTTCACATCCAGTATCTCCTGCATATACCCGATCCACAGGTCGTGCAGGCCTTTGAAGATTTCATATTTACATTCTTCCTTGGGCAGGTCGTACAGCCCGGACTTGCGCTTTTCGCGGGCTGACAGGGGTTGCGGCTTCTGGTGTCGGAGGAAGTATTCTTTCTTGCGGAGACGGTGGAGGCGGCGCCGAGAGCGGTTGTCGGATGCTGTGGGGGAGGTTGCGCGGAGGAAGAGTGGTTTTTGTTTGATGCGCTCGGTGAATTGTTGGGTTGCGCTGTCTGGGGAGTGGGCGCGTGAGAGAAGGGTGTGCGCGATGTGGGTTTTTGGGGCTGGCGAGGAGGCCATCTTGGATTTTGATGTGGATTTTATACGGGCGTTTTTTTGTCAGGGCTAGGGGATGGTTTAGACCTGGGAGTTCGTGGAAGGTGTGGTTGTTGGAGGTTGGAGAAAAATTATTTGATGTCACACACCGATAAGATAGGCCATCTATAGAAACATTGAAGGTATAACCAGTTTTATATACATTATTCGAACATGATCTAAGTCTAATCTTCTATTTTATACATTTAGATCCTCGGATGTTAAACTGTCTCATCTCAGTAATTAGGCCTAGATCGTCCCTCGGCTCTTTAATGCTTCCCCGCATATATCGCCTTTGAGTTTATATATTTTAGAGCCAAACACCAGTTCTGTGACATGATATCTACAAAAGCATCTTGAGATAGCTATTATCTACTATTGACACACCATATTTTGCCTTTATCAACATGCAGTTGCAGTCTCAGACCGATCAAAAGGATATCCTTAACAACTTCTCAGGAATTCCACCCTTCCCAGATGATGTCTCTACAGCACCCCTTCTTCGACTATCGTCGGAAAAGCTGCTAGCAGGTGACCCTATAGAGTACAAAAGACTGTTCCAAGCATCTACCGACATTGGGTTCTTCTATCTCGATTTATCAGACTCAGAGCAAGGTTCAGCACTTCTCGGCGACGCAGATAATCTGTTCCAAGTCGGCGAGAGATTATTTGAGCTGAGCCTTGAGGAGAAAAAGAAGTATGATTTGAGCGGAGAGAACTCGTATTTTGGATATAAAGCGCAAGGAGCTGCGGTGATTGACAAGCAGGGAAATCTAGACCGGAACGAGTTCTACAATGTATGTCAGCACTGAGCACATCCACCTAGACCCTCACAGCAGCTGACACAACTATCCACAGGTTTCTAAAGATGATATTTTGGGCATTAGTGATCCTCTACCAGCACCGGAGACTCTGCATCAAAACCGAGCCCGACTAGCATCATTCATGCAAGGGTCACATGCAACCGTAACCCTAATTCTGGACATACTGAACGACCAACTTGCCCTACCAAAAGACACACTACAAAATCTGCATCGACAACAAGCCATAAGTGGCGACCAGGTGCGGTTCATCAAAGCCCCGCCACAGCCAGTAGACGACAGACGTACCGCGATGGGCCAGCACACCGACTTTGGAAGTGTGACTATTCTTTTCAACCGACTGGGAGGCCTGCAAGTGCTACCGCCCGGTGCTGATGCCGAATGGGTCTATGTCAGACCACTTCCTGGCCATGCTATTGTTAACCTTGGGGATGCAATGGTCAAGTTTACGAATGGGCTGTTTCGATCGAACATTCACCGGGTTGTGGCGCCGCCGGGGCTTCAAGCTAGGTCGACGCGGTATAGTCTCGTGTACTTTGCACGACCCGAGGATAGTGTGATGTTGCGTCGGTTGGAGGGATCGGATCGGATCCCGGTCATGGAGGATGGTCAGACTGAAGAGGAGATGAATAGCAAGGACTGGATTATTAGGCGGGCTTTGGGTCATCGGGTGGGCCGTGTTAATGAGATTGGTTTTGAGAAGTCTGCAGGAACGGAGGAACTAAGTCGGAGAATCAAGGCTTAGCATTTCTCTGAGTTTATTTTGTGAATAATGAATAAGGGGAATCCTGGAGTGGGTACGACTTGAACTTCAACGTGTTTGCAAGCAACGTGTTAGGTAGACCTTTATAGGGAAGGGGATGGCCAGCCATCTCTACATGTATGATCTATAGCCATATTATAGAGCACATATACGTCAATTTAGTACTCCGTAGAGCCGACTGATTATTCGGATGATCTTACCCTAACACAAAATAGAAGGCGGCAGTCATGACTTCACCCTGAAATTTTCCAAATCGGGAAGGTACCAATTCTCGTGAGAGTATTGTTTTTCAGTTGGGACTATTTGTACATCTCAAGCCCCTGAAGAAAATAATCGGTTTTCCATCGATATACCATATATCTCCCCTAGATTGTCATTCCAAAAAATCATAAAACATAATGGATAGGCTCGATAAGGGGTAAAACTGGCAGAAACAACCGAGTTTACCAAGCTCAACAGCTGTACTATACACTACACCTCTCTAGGCAAGGGGGTTTACTCTAAATCAGCCCATTCAGCCCATTCATGAAGACAAACTTTAACTAGATTAAGGAAAATATATCCCACGAACGGGCAATTAGAACCCCCTGAAAAAATGACAGCTTCGATTCTTCAGCCCGATTCTTCAGCCCGATACTTTGGTAAAGACAGTTTGGTGGAGAGAATCTAGACACTTCCCCGGACTCCTATATTGGTCATATTTTGTGTGTTGGCGATACTGTCCCTGGGTGGAAATAAAAGTCCCATAGAACTTTGCGTCCGTAGCCAGTTCAATGAGGTTAGAACACTTACTACATCTAGATCTTGGCACGTCAATACCCACGATGTCGGATTGCACTATACCACTTTCTGTTTTGGGGAGAATGTGTAATATGTCAAATTGCAGTTATTATTTCCATAGGCAAATGTTTGCTCCAACATGACAGCCTGTTCTCACATAGTCTGTCGATCATCCATGATCTACCAATTTCAGTCATATACAAAGTAGTTCGAACTGTAGTTAGTGACCTTGTAGAACTATTTTCCAGTGACAGCAGTGGGTTGTCGATCTTTTTTCCTGGGTCTCGGCCTATTTTCGCCCTCTACGGGAGTACTCCGCAGAGCGATGGAGAATAAAGGGACCGTAATAGCTTCTTAATTGGGTTAGTTGACCGTTGAAATGGATTCCAATCTCCAGTCCCTAGCCACTATTAAAAAATTTTAAATGGCACATTTCGGCCGCCTTTCCCCCCTCTCCCACCCGCTCAATTCCCGGTGTTCTGGAACTGGGACCCTTGCTCGCCCCGAAGCGACCCTTTTTACCCCCTGACTTAGGTACTGGCGGCATTATCCTCCGGACATATTTAACCAAAAAAAATGGAACAAAAAATGTAATTTTGACTGAACCCTCTTATAAGTACTCCGTAGCCGTCCAGCACTCGGGATTTGAGGAAATGCAAATCCCGCGACCCAACAATTTGGACTTAATGCGTTGTGACAGCGGGTGACCCTTACGTCCCCGGGCTTTCGGGTGCTTATTTCCTGTCCAGTCGTTTCTATGCAGGAATTTACATACTTCGTTACTCTGTACAGTAGGTAGTTGGTTAAGACGGGATAAGTGACAGGGGTAGGTACCTTTGTTAACCGAAAAAGCAAATATTGTATAGATCTTGAACTGGGCTAACTAGTCGGATCAAATGGATAAGCTACATTGAAAAAACATTAAATAATACGAACAGTCCACCTACTATACTCCGTAATCATCTTCAGCCCTTTAAACCCACAACGCCATCAAATTACACCGATCAATACTATAACAGGAGGCAGTCTCGCCGAACTCAAAGTGTCAGAAATCGAGATATCAGTGGTTTATGGGGAATTTCTCCAGGCCAATAACCTTCAGCTTATATCCCTATTTGCCCCACTATGCATTATTATTGTCTGATGTAGCTTTTTGATGTACTCCAACCTGGAAAAATAATCCCTGTAACAAAATTATATACAATATTGTCCGGAGTACCAGGTGCTTGGTAATTCAAAATCATGCACCGCTCTCAACTGGGTCCAATCTACTCCGTATGTATATAAAAATAAAAAGACGGCTCGGACCGTCCAAACGGAACCACACGGGCTGTGTTTCCCACCTACCCGTCCTACTCAAGTCGCTTTTGAAACGCTAAGTACATCCAGAGCCGTTGTTTACGTTTCATATGTGGTACGATCGATATCCTCTTCGGCCGAATTCGCTCTTCTACCTGAGGGTGCATTCTCGGAAGAGTTCCGGTTTGCGCTTACCTTCCGTGGCGCTGTGCCACCATCGTTTTAAGGTAAATATCAGTTCAGGGAACAGGGCACTGCAGTAGATTTGGAATCTTGGGAATCGGCGATAGACGGTCGAAGACAGAAAATGAGCACGATGTACAAACACTCCGTACAATGTACTTGGATGAGGTAATTGCACATGCGGATCCCCGCAATGAGGCATGACGTAGGAAATTACATTTTAATTCGGACTAAACCAAGATCCCCGTTTAGAAATAAACGCTCTTAGATAGTGGAGAGGTTTGGTGCAGCGTTCTTTTTTTTGGGTAATGGGAATCATGCCAGGTATCGACTTAAAGTATTGTGTAATGATATCTGATATCACAGGAAACGGAAATTGGGCATGATAGGTTCTATTTTTATGGCGTAGTATTAGGTCCCCGTTACATTGCCGCCGGGTTTCATACTATGACAACTGCAAATGTGAAAATTGCTATCTACTTACATGTGAACATCAAGCCATAGGCCCATATGTTTAAAACGTGGTGGGTAATACATGTACGATATACACGTCCGTCCCGGGCGTTGTGAAAATATACACATCATCGGGATTTATGTCGGAGGTGCATGATCAGGCATGTGCAACCTAGAAATTGGGAAAATGAGGCGTTGGTAGTTCAGGTACGGTGAAGAACCCTGGACTCAACCCTGGTCACGTAAATGTGTTCATTTGTGCAGAAGTTAATGCCACTCCATGTATGTGTATGCCATGTATGTTCTGTTCTGTCTTGCTTTGGTAAGGGTGTGGCGTATAAAAAAAAAAGAGGTTGGGGAAGTATGAATAACTTGGAAAATAAAATTAATGGGGTGAAATGGGGGATATCATAAAGGGTTGTGTTGTTGGGCTGTAAAGATCAATCGGGTAGAAAATGGTGTATGTTCCAAGCTCAAGCCGCCCCTTCCACAATGTCCGGGGTATGTCCAAGCGCCATAGCTGCTAGTTTTTCTTCAATACTCCTAAGAATCTCAGGGCTTGTTTCTGGTTTCACCCTTTTAGGTCTGCAAAAGAAATTTAATGTTAGCGAAAATTCCCAAGCCACGTGAATTGTAGAATTGATATCACACGTACGGGATTCGTATAGTTTCATCACACTTCGCCTGACCACACTTCACACAAGTTTCCCCATTACCCTGGAACCAAGTCCGACAAACATGACATTCATAATGGACTCTGCGACGAGTCTTCTTAAACGTGCGCTCGGGTCTAGCTTTTGGGCGATCAGCATCACCCGCGTAGCCATCAGGATATTTATGAAGTTTAGCCGGGTCCCGCGGGCAAATCTTACAGCGCACATGACTGCAATTTGGACATTCCTTGGATCCAGAAGTAAATAGAAAGTCGCAGTTGTGACAGTAGCGGTGTACACGCTGGCGCACTGGCCGATGAATGAAATCTTGGCCGCCCGTGGGTGATGGCATCTTGAATGAAATTTCCTTGGTGGTGCTGAGCTTGAGGTGCGAGGTCCTGGGGAACAGTCGGGGTTGGAGAACATAAATCCCTGGGTTCTTGGCCTTCCGGATTACTGGTTCGGCATCTGTGTTGCGTGCGGTTGGATAGCGGGGACACTTTGTGCAGCGTGTGTGCTGGCAGTTGATGCATATTTTCTCTGCGCCGAAGGTCGTTTCGCAGCGGTGGCAGGTGCGATGCACTCGCATGCGGATTGGCTTTGTTACGCGCGTTATCTTGGGGTCGGTGGGAGTCTTCCATTCGCTGGTGTCGATGGCCAGGCCGTATTTGGCGAAGAGGGCGCGTGCCTTTTCACGCTGGACCGTGCTGTAGTCGGTGATCATGACGGGACCCGGTGTGCTAGGCTCTTGGGGTGGTGCTGATGCTGGTCCTGATTCCGATGCTGGCTTTGATGCTGACGCTGGTCCTGATCCTGGCTCTGGCCCTGGTGCCGACCCTGATGCTGGTGCTGGTGCTGGTGCTGGTGCCGGTGATGGTGCCTTTGGTGCACTGGATTTAGGTCGTGTTAGTAAGTATATAGTGTCGAAATAGAAGAATGCTGTATATCGTACGTAGTTTCGGCTGGGGTGGCTACCCCAGGAGCTATAGATTGTCGTTTGGACATTGACCGGGGACGAAGGATGGTCTTGATACGCTTAAGGTATTTAGAGAAGCCATCAGGCTTGTCTGCGGGGCGATCACCTTGAGGCATTATTCAATCGAAGTACTGGAATGTATGATGTCAAATGCTTTTCTGATATCCAGAGTGTCAGGATTCATTCCACGCAAAATAGGTCGAGTGTGAAGAATATCAAAGTGGACTGGAGGTGGGATTTCCGTGAAGAAGTTGACAGTTGACAGCGGAAGAGTAGGGACAACCCAATTATTATAGAGGATTGAATCAGGAATCAGACTGTAATACCGAAAAAGGTATTAATGTATAACAATTGTATAAAAAAAAGTCCAAAGCTCAGACGTGGGGATTTCCGATACTGTGGTTCTGTGGATTCGGATGGTTTGGGATGCTATTGGAATATTTCAATGATTTATTTTCATTTTGTTTTACTTCATTTGCCTTTGAAAATGGATTTATTTTATATATTTTATGGTATTTATCCAAAGTATTCTCCGGGCAAATTAGATAATACATGAGCCAAAGTATTTCTCCATACTAGCCATTGCAGGGAGATACCGACATTCAGGTACCCACCATATGATAAACTGGTAATAACTCCTGGCAACTCTGACATCTCCCATTTTGTCTCTGATGTGCAAATCCCCACTCTTCCTCCTCCAACCCGGTGACACCTTGGGGAAAAAAATGGCTTTGGCCTCGAAACTCTCTGCCTTCAGGAGGTTCTCTCCATAAAAAATCATATCCGAGAATAGCGTGCCTTTTAACTGGCTCCCGGCGCACATCAGACATGGGACCCCCTGTTCCGCGGCATGCAATTGGTTTCTCTGGGTCCCGTTGGACTACCTTCACGGAGCAACGTTTGTGTCTTTCGTCATGCTTAGTACAAAAGTACAAAGCACGAAGTACACATAATTAGTCTTCCATCCGTCGATGGCGTGGCATGCAACAAAGCTTTGAGTGCAAGAGTGGGCCGGGGAGGGAGGAGTGACATCTGGCTCCAACTGGTCTTCCTACGGCAGCACCCGCCATCCCGGTTGCCTTTCCAAAAACCCCCTAACTTATCGGTCTATCAGTGAAAGTGGATCGGAGAAAAAGAATAGTCGAAGAGCACATGAGCGATGAGCGTGTCTTTAATTTCTTCGCTGTTACTGTAGTCGATCAGGAGGGTTTGAATGGGTTCCTTTTGAAACCGGGATTTGAATTGGATTTGAATTGCCGTGGAGATCGTGAACGACCTAGTTTTTAAGTTTGGTCCTTTGTCCATAGTATTCATATATCTGGTGGTAACTTGTACTCTGTGCTCTGTACATTGTACAACATTGATAAGGCGATTGTTACTAGATTGGAGATTAGTACTCCGTGTGTGACTCGGTATAACCCATTGTTTCATTGATATGGTATCTTGTCTTTCCTGTCTCTACAGCCGTACTTCGTCCTCTTTATAGTGCTGACTGGGTTATTGATAACTAGGATTGTGAAGAAACCCATGCATAATCCATCTAGCACCGAAGGGTGGCAAAAGAAAGAACATTTCGACAGCCACACGGCTCCCCAACTGGACCAGAAGAGGCCATGCAATATGCATGACACGAGGATCCCAAAGCGCAAAGTACAAAAAGTATAAACACGAGCGGTTCGTCCTACAATACACGATGTACTCCGGAATGCTGAAATCTAAGACCAAATACAAAAAGGAAAAGTAAGGAGAATAAAACTGACTTCAAGCCGAGGGTACTACTGCAACACTACTAACTCAACTGTTGATCATCCCTTATTTTGAATTTTATCCCTCAACGGTCTGTTTAGCCTGCCAATTGTCTTTAACCTTTCTGTCACTTTCCAACCCCTGTAATGAAAAGTGGGCTTAAAATGTCAGTATGAAGGAAAAACTGGGATAGTATCAGATAGTATCAATATTTTTTTTATAAATTCCAACAGATCCAGTCCCCTGTGAAAATCAAAAAAGCAGAGTAATTTTACTTGGGGTGGGCCCAAAAGGTGGGACTGAGAAGTGGATGTTGGTGGTCGGATCGCTGGGTCCCAGAGCCCTGGTGCGGCATAGTATGGTACCTACTGGGCTTAACCTTGGATACAAATACTTTGATAAGATACTTCGATATCTGATACTATTTATATGGTCTTAATCCCAACCTTGTAGGTACATATATGTACGTTGCATACAAAAAGGCATCATACACATATCGTGTCCGAAATGACCTCCCTGTACTTGATGGTCCCGGGGGCCCTTCTGCATGCAGTAAGCATGAATGACCCGTCCCATGTGCACGGGAGTATAGACCTGTGCATTTGATACAATGGAAAAATGCATACGGATACTGTATGCTGTATAAGTATCCTGTATCCTGTACACTGTAATCCAGGATCATAGAGTACTCTAAACTTCGTATATAACTAATGATGCTCTATGGAGTACAACATTCCATTCCACCTACATTATTCTAAACTTCTAGAAACATTACTATCCTTTGTTACATGTCGAAGAATATGACTGTTCCAATATCGTACATGATTACTCCACCCGGCGCAATGGTAAAGCTACACACGGCTGACAGGCCCTCTTTGCCACCGCTATTCTAGATGCCACGAAATTTCGTCGGGCTTCCGGCCCTTTTGTACCATCCGATTGGTAATAGAAAGCATCGACTGCATCAATATTATATTATAGTATTACTACAAGGTATACGGTGTACAATATTGAAATTATTGGAATGGTATTTGGATGAAATGACAATCAAAGGCCTAGTAACAAGGCATCTATAAAATCTATAAAATGCGCACGTTGTAAAAGATCTCCAGGGCGTTGACTTTATGTATAGTAAACCCTATCTCGACAAGATATCAGTCCCACGGGAATATTCCAGAACATACAACCTGCACAGACACCAGACCCATCGACCAACTTCCAGCCAAACGAGATCAAAATCAGAGTTGAGTAAACGTATCTCGTAGTGGGCGATCACATTTGCAAAGGGACCAATCAACCACCCCTGTATATATTGCACTTCCACTTACCCACCCATTATAAGAAAACAAAAATAACCCGCCAATTGCATTAACTAAAAGACCCGGAATCCTTTTCAGAGATCCCGTATATGGCGGGACTAGCGGAGCCATACGAATGTGTATGTTGTATATGGGCTACGGGCTACAAAGATAATCATTGCTTTCCAAAAGACTTGTGAGATTGAAAGAACTTTGCACTGAATAACTAAGGCTGACTCCCTAGTGGGAATTAGGTCTAGTTGCATCGCTTAGCATAGCCTGTTCATCCGTGGCTGGCGGCGATCAATCCTGGGGACATATTGGGTACATCGCCCCTCCAGGCAGAAGGACTGGCTATTCTTGAATGAGGGATGTTGATACCCAAAAATCATGACAAACATTATGTCACCAAGGCCTAGGCCACACAGTGCCAATCAACTACAACATAGACTGGCCGAGCCCATATGCGCATCGTCATCCCCAATGACGGGCGTAGGCCATTTTCCTCTACGAAACAAGGAACAGAGTTATGTCGGAGTCGATATCTCGTGAGATCTACCACTGGCCAGGACATACGAATTGCTTGTTAAAACATATCCGGTTGATAGATCACAAATTCCATTCTAGCAATGCTCTCGTGTGATCGACACCAACTTGGGATCCCGGGGATTTGGTTAGTCCAGGCAATCAGGTGCATGTCAGATTTCGAATTCCAGAAGTACTAGATTCGACACCCGCATAGAATATCTGCGCGTATGCATGGGCGGAATTTCCAAGCCAATAGGATCCAGCCAGTCCGCAGAAGAAAAAAAGAAAAAACGCCCTCTATACAAAACCCACGCCTTGGGTATATGCTCAATCCACCAACGAACATGCTCTCCAACCAAGTGATACATCCATTAACACATGTGGCTTAATCCGACCCTGTCAGCTTGGACTTGATGTCGATGATATCTTCATCGGCCTCGACCTCAATCACCCGGTTGACTTGGGCACTGCTGCGCATCAGCTCCACTGCGTTTGCATACGACATCCGTTGCATCGGGTTACAGTTCTCCGGGAGCCAGTAGAGGAGAACATAAGGGACTGTGGGACGTCCGTCCTTCTGTGAGTGCATATTTCATTTAGTACACGTATGTCATCAGACAGGCCAGGTCTATATTCTTGATCTAAAACTCACGGTAGTCATTGGGTAGCTGAGCAGAATGAATCGTGGTGAGGAGTCGGGGAGATCGTCGGACAGATCTTCCATATTGGAGTAGACTTTATCGTCTTGAGGCCTAATCTCCTGGCTCTTTGCATCAATGATATCTATCATGCCCCACTTGTCAGCCTAAGACGCAAGCAAGGAAGGCAACCGGTATGGTTATGGTTGGCACTGTGCATTTGCACGTGCTATATATCCCGGCTTCTCTCAAAGTGCATGGGAGATATGGGAAAGCGCAGATCTAGGGGCGCGTACAGATGATAGCTTGCGCGTCCTTGGCTCTGGATGTGCCCAGGCGGAACTTGCGCAGCTTCTCCTTAGTCTCGGGTGAGAAGGAATATAGTCGTGAATCAGACTACCATAAGTCAGCAACTGATGGAGGAAACTTGCAAGTAGGTCGCGTGGCATGTGTCAATGAACCTGGTGCAGGAAGACATCTCACCATTTTGGATGTTAACTGTGAGACACGCAGAGAAGACAAAGAAATGAAAGCCCTGAGTTAAGCGTTAATAATGCACGGGATAAAGATGATACTGGATATATTCAACCTGGCAAACGGAGAAGAGAGTAAGGAATGCCAGACGATGGAAATGCGGGCGGAGTTTCCCTGTTCCCCCCACTTCACCTCCTCCGCGCTTTGAACAATCCAGATCCCAATTACTCCTACACCTATATCTCCATGCTCAACCGACTGAATCTACTGACCCGACATTTCTCGCGTCCATTCAGTCCATCTCGTCCCACTAGCCCGTCCTTCTCGACCCCGTCCCTGGCCCCTCGTTCAGGTCTCTCCGCGATGACATCAGCCGCGATCGCAAAGCCCATCCACACGGCAGCATGTCTCATTATTGGCGATGAGGTTCTCGGTGGAAAGGTAATCTGAGATATCCACGGGCTCTCCCATGAGCAGAACAGGGATTCTGACATTATCTCAACCCGCCATTAGACCATCGACACCAACTCGCCGTTCCTAGCCAAGTTCTGCTTCTCGCTCGGCATCGAACTGAAGCGAGTCGAGGTTATCCCCGATGATGAAGAGGACATAATGGAAGCCGTACGACGCATGAGCGCCCGCTATGATTTCGTCGTTACCAGCGGCGGTATTGGGCCCACGTGCGTACCTACAACTCCATCCCTAGTTTCTCCGCATCCAAGCCGAAATGCATCCACACCGACAACGCGCAAGCAACGCGGCACTTCATGAAAACCCGCCGCTAACACATTCATCCCCCAATTTACAGTCACGATGATATCACATACTCCTCAATTGCCAAGGCTTTCAACCTGAAGTTGGAATTGCACCAGGCGGCCTTCGAGCGCATGAAGCGCCTCTCCAAGCCTCACCCCATGCAAATCAACTTCGACTGGGATACACCCTCACCGAACCTAACCGCCAAGCTGCGCATGGTCGAGCTGCCCTTCGACCCCAAGGTCTCCCCTGAGTCGCAGGCCGTATTCGTCGCCGATGACTTGTGGGTGCCGATCGCCGTAGTGAACGGCAACGTGCACATCCTGCCCGGAGTGCCTCGGCTCTTTGAGCGTCTGCTCTTGAACTTGAAGCCCTTGCTTATCCCCCGTCTGACTGACCCAGAGGGCAAGGGGACGTTCCGCTTGATGATCAGCACCCCGTTGCCTGAGAGTGCGGTGGCGCCGTACCTGACTGAGCTTGCGGCTAAGGTTGAGCCTCGGGGAATTAAGGTCGGCAGCTATCCCCGTTGGGGCAAAAAGCGCAATACTGTTACTTTGGTCGGAGCGGATAAGGCTTACATGGACTCATTGATCAGTGAGGTTGAGGAGAATGTGCAGGGTAAGCTGGTGACCAAGGAGGATGAGTTGGATCCTTCCTCCGACTCGGAGCAAGTTTTCAGCCAGTAGATTGTTTACTATATTTGATATCCTTGGAGTAAACCGCGATGCTCGAGACGGCGCAGTGCATAGAGCATAGCAATTTGACATGATATGTACATATGTATATTTTCAGTTAGAGTGTCGAATATGTGAACATTGACCAGACTAGATTATCACATGAAACTATAAGCGAGACTGTTGGATTGAGAACTCATGATCTAGTAGCTGTCATAGCAGCCCTTCAACAAGGGAACCCTTGTCAACAGATCATTATAATATCCTTGATATAATCTATCAGACCGGATAGATTGCAATATCAGGGATAGGTAGGCATATAATTTCATACACAGAGTACTAGAACAAGCAAGATATCAGGACCTCAAACTCAAAGGTACACGCCGCAACGATGAAAATGAATCCACCTTGCTATGAAAGAACATATATTGACAGCCATGTCGTCTGAAGCGACAATGATAATGATAATAAAAAAGCGATAGATAACAAACACCAGGAATCTTTCGCAAAGACTTGAACAGTAAAAAGGTAATAAAAGGGACTAAAACACGCAATCGGACAACAAAAGGGGAATCAAAATGTTTCGTGAGACGAGGTTGGGCGTCAAGGTCGGCAGTCATCAAGAATGCGAGTTGAAGAACCCACAAACATCCGTAACACAAACGACAATGCCACTTCTTTGGTTATTTTTTTTCTTCTGTTTTGGTTGTTTTCTGTTCTGCCGAGGTTGCAATCGGGTTGCAAGTCTCCGTATTTCCCATTTGTGATCTGAGTGGCGGGTTATTGCAGATTATGGCCATTCAAAGGTAAACAAGATATCCAACTTTCTCAAGGGTGTGCACTACACCCTCGGATGTATAAATCCTCCACCTAACTCGTCTCGACATTGTATACATATTTCGGATTTGGGGGAGTTTGTCGAGATTCGAGGGCGTCGCAGCGATTCGGATCATTTTGGTATGTTGGCTTTTTTTTACATGATGACGCACTTCGAGCAGCAGCCAGCGCTCTCTTCCGGATCGCTCACGTCCATCTTGCCCTCTGGTGCGCGAGCACCGAATGCACCGGAGCCGGAGGGGTACGATGACATCTCCTTGTTGTAGCGACGGATCTCGCGGACGAGGTCGTAGAAGGCGTCCTCGACGTGGATGCGAGACTTGGCGGAGGTTTCGATGAACTTGCAGCCGAACTGGCGGGCGAGCGCTTCGCCCTCTGTTGTAAGGAGTGAATTGTTAGCGGAATTCGGAATTCGGATTTAAGTTCAGGTTTCAAGGGGAGAGTTTCAGGGGAAGTTGGAATGTGGCGATGCAACACATACCTTGTTCAGAGACAACACGCTCCTTCTCCAAATCGCACTTGTTGGCAACGACAATGATGGGGAAGTAATCCTTGTCCTTGACGCGCAAAATTTGCTGTTGGAAGGTCATGATTTCTTCGAAGGATTGGCGCGATGTAATGGAGTAGATGAGAAGGAATCCCTCGCCGGTTCGCATGTATTGTTCTCGCATAGCCGAGTATTCCTCCTGGCCTGCTGTATCCAAGACATCCAACAAAGCAACTTCATCATCGATCAAACACTGCTTGCGGTAGGAATCTATAGGCGGAAGAAGGTTCCGAATCAGCCATGTTGTTCAACTAAGGTCCGGCATCCCTAGAAAGAAGCGAAAAGATCCGCGCGGTTGATGGTTGATGAAACGGGGGGGGGGCTTGAATGTGCTTACCTTCAATTGTTGGATCGTACTCGTCCACGAAGTGACTCTGGATCAGCTGGATGGTCAAACAGGACTTGCCGACGCCACCACCGCCGACAACCACCAGCTTGTATTCTCTTAGGAACTGTTAAATATTAGTTAGCCATTGGGAACCTTGAAATGTCCAGAACAAGTCTCATTTGGAAGCAGATGGGATGAATAGCTTACCTTTGAGGCCATTATGAGTTTCAAGTCGAGAAGATGAAACGAAAAAGAGATATTAAGGCGATAATAAAGGAATCGCAGGCCAATTTAAAGAGAAATCCACCTAAGTCCTTAAAAAAAACAAAGGGTGGGAGAATTAGGGGGAGAGTTCGGAGGTTGGAATTGGCGGGAAGAAATAAATGGAGCCAGAGAGCTTCCAAGGTCCCAAGGTTGTTCTTTTTGTAGACTCTTTTTCAATATTCCAAGGTCTGGGGTAAACAAAAATATTATAAAACAAGATAAAAGAGATCTGTTTCTTTTTGTTTTCTTTTCCTTCTAGAGAAAATAACGAAGGAAGGGAAAGAAGGGGCAAAAGGGAAATTCAGGAGAGAGATAGTGGGGAGAAAATGGTGATTGGGTCAGGAAAAGGGGACATGCGCGCCATTGAATTGTGCTACTCCGTAGATTGCTTTTATATATTTACATTTCTCTCTTCATTTTTTGGGGGCGATTTTCATCTTTCTTGTTTTATCTTGGAGATTTGGGTTCTTCGAGTCTTTTTGCTTTTTTATTGCAGCCCAAATCTATATAGTAACAGTACTGTTGATCTGTTCTGTTATTTCCTTACGGAGTACGGGCTTAACACTTCTCCTTTCTAGAATTCTTAGTCCGTGCTAATACTATATGGCTTTGGTACTAAATTGTATGTCTACAAGGGGATTGATTGGCTTAAGCCACGGCCCCATCGAGGAACGTGCAATTAATCACAATATATATGGAGTTGTGGAAATTATATCATGCCTTCTCCTTTTATTTGCAATTTACACCAAGTCCACAATTACCATATACCTCATGTCTTGTCTACTACAATATACCATCGTACAGGAGTTAGCAAACCCAGTTCCTCCAGAGTGGATCTGCCGTCCCGGTGGAGATGGGGGGGTCCCTCTTTGGCGCTTTTAGGGCATCGGCTGATATTGTACACTGGAATGGGTTCATAAATAACAAGCATCCAGATGACAAGATCGTGTTGGGCAACAATATGGTTTGCTTGACACCGCATATTCATCTTGGCTTTCTTATACCGCTGGATTACCCTGAATGGCTTGCAGTAGACGCCCGCCTTGCATAATTGCATCATCCCGCCGCAACACCATCACCTCTGTCACTTTTTATGATTGGATACATCGGAAAAATTCCTATTCTCACCAATGTCCCACTTTTCGAATCATACACAAATCATCGCAGCGTCCCATGCCGATCAACTAATTTTTCACCACGATCGCCTTATGCCTTACCTAGCTCCCGGCCACGCCGTTTTTATTTATTTTTTTGACAGATTCAATATCTGCAGATCGGGAATTTGATCCGTACTATTTTCCTACCCTTCTTTTCTTCCATATTCTCCTAGATCCTACTGAAATCCACAGCTGGCTTGCTCATGAAATGCTTATTTTGCTTTCGCAGGCTTAAACCCCACGATTTAAGACTTGGATTCGGCCCTGGAGGATGTGTATAGAGTAATATATATTTGGGTGCGGATCACCTTGAACTGGGTACTGATCGTCTATATATTTCACTAGCCATGCTTTGTACTTTCGATTATAGGCTTCTAAGGGTGATGTCGAAGCAGAAATATGAATTGTATTCTATCCACGGTTCTCCTCCGGGCGCGATGCTTGTCTTGACTTAGATGGGACTCTGTTGCTTCCATTTCCATAGATGACCGGAACTTAATTCCTTGTCAGCTTTCCAAGGTTGTCGAACTCGAACAACTCAAGGTTGGAAAAGAGCCGACATCAAATGCCGATATTTGGTGGTCGACATTCAAATTTTAATTACTCCGTTGTATTCCATAGATTATTCTTAGAAGGTGTTGATAATCAGTAAGGCTACATCCGTTTGATTTCCAATGTGGGCTGATCCTGATATGATCTGTCAAACAGACCTGCGGTCTGTGATTGAGCATGACTCGGGTGATCATGCATCTGTCGGCATCCGGTAAGTAGGACGAGGGACTGTGTTTCGAAGAAGCGCTTAGGAAGAACTACCATGGGATGATGATGAGACGACTGGCGATGAGCCGCATGAGAGGATGTGATAAGAAAGGCTATTGGTAGGCATTGTCCAATATCTACTGACAAATCTACTTGGTCACACAAACGTGATACATACAAAAATAAGTTTCTAGAAACAATGAACTCCCTACTTGCATAGTGTGGAGAGATCGACAATAATTCCAACGGTTAATGCAATTTGAAATCGAGGCGGAGAACGGTCTATATCAAGTTCTTTCGTGCAGATACTAGACAGATTGAGAAATGTGGATTCGGAATTACAGCAGGCCTAGGGGATAAAAAAGATCCGGCGAGAACCGGACATATGCCCTAGAATCGCAATCGCTCGTCAGTTAATAACCTTAGGGCCAAATCGCACTTAACTTAACCTAAGATGCGAGGGATCACCAATCGCGTTCGACGTGCAACAAGCCATGGGTGTACAAGTCCCTGGGCACATGAACACAGTATAATTAACACGACGTGTCCAATCTGTCAGAAATTTAAATGTCTGACTGTGAAGAAATCACCGTAATAATCAATCTGCCTCCGTTGTGAAGATATAATGCGCGCTACCTAACTCGTACCTACCCGACGCCCAAGGAGGCTAAACACACTGCCAGCAAGCCCAGATCTGAAGGTCCCGTGCATCAGCCAATCATCTCCAAATGTCTCTTGCAGATCTCAAAGTCGGCGGACTATATGTCATTCTTCAAGCGCGTCAAGAACCACCCGAGCCCAATGAGTTTTACTGGGGTCTATATCTCCACTCGGATTCCGTTGGAGGGATGGCATACCATGTCGTAGATGCAGGATCTGGCCTGAGACCTGAGCATGAGTATACTGGTGCAGTATTCAGTACTCCCCTTCTTACGGGCCTATTCCGAGTTGCCGATATCGCTCGCCCCTTGCATCCATTTGTCGACAGAGTAATAAGATCCTACGATAGCAGCCTCAACTGCCCCGGAAGAAGCAGTAACAGCAAGTTCTGGGTTTTGAATGTTCTTGCACTGCTGATCCAACCCACAGCTACGGGATGGCTCCCAGTGAATTGTCATAACTTGCCGATCTTGGAGCAGGAAATTCGCGATTGGGGCAACCGAATGTCTCAGGGGAGATGTATCTATCAAAGACCCAAACCAGTTGGATCTTCTACAATTTGCGGCTTGCCAGAATGGAAGACACAGCGTGAGTTACCCACTTCCCTCGGTCAATCTCAGTGTGGGGGAGACATAGATTAACACAACAGCAATGGAATAAATAGCCGATCGCCCAATCTATCCAACTAGGTGACCCAATTATCCGAGTAGGATTTCTCGTATCGAGCGCTGATTGACCGCTATACTTCGTATTTTCAAATGAAGCAATTGCATATTATACTTGTCCAATTTTTCTGAATCTGACTTATGGAATCCTCAATCTAAAGCACACCCCCTTTAGCCGCAGTAGCCCGCTCTCCATCAAGTGCCGAGATGACCCCCGCCATAATCTCCTTCGGCGGCTCAAGTCCTGTCCAGAGTAGAAACTGGTCAAATGCCTGTGCGAGTAGTACCTCCATCCCTGTAACTGTGTCCCACCCTAAATTCTGCTGTGCTGCTGTCAAGAGCGGCGTCTGCCTCGGCTTGTACGACATATCGACACACAGACCCCGATCTCCAAACATCGAGGAGAACTGATCTTCTGTAGTCGTCTCCGCAGGAACAGTGCCGATAACGACTTCTGGCTTCTCTGGAAGATCTTGGAGACTTGTCACAACCTTGATCTCAAACACGGTCTTGAAATTGTCCCTGACTTTCTTGGCGGTGGCTAGGGTTCGGTTCACGAGGTAGATCCGTTTTACTCCAGCTTTGTGTAGAGCATAGAGTGCGGCTCTTGATGCGCCCCCGGCCCCTATCACTAGTCCGGTCCTGGGTTGGATTTGTGTTTTTGTCGAGTGTGCAGTCATGAGACTGTACAGGCCAGACCAATCTGTGTTATCGCCAGAGATTATACGATCGCTGCCATTGCCATTCACGATGAGAGTGTTGATTGCGCCGATTAGTTGAGCACTTTCGCTTTTCTTGTTGCAGAATTTGTGAATTTCCAGTTTGTGTGGCATTGTGACACTCGCCCCGCCAAAAGAATCGCTTGCAATCAATGCAGTAGCTTCATCAATGCTCTCAGACTCATGAATTGCGTAGGTAAATGGAAGACCATAGTGTTGAAACCCTGCGTTGTGGATGGCGGGCGAAACACTGAATGATATCCCCTTGCCGAAGATGTAGAAGTTCTTTACCATGATGGCTTGAAGTGAATGGTATAGAGAGCAATCAAGATTATTTGTTCCCTGTATTATAAAACCCTGGAAATACATAGGTGATCTCGAACTATCGCATCGGCTATGAATTTAATCGACTGTGGGGCGGGCCCATCTCCGTCAACATGGATACTATACATCCGCCTAATTATCAGGATTCCAGCGTAGAAACTCAACTAGCGCTTAATATTCAAATTGGTTACCAGTGCGTCAGATTGTCATTCGCATCTTTTCCAATCTGAAATTCCCTCAGGCAAGAATGACGCAGTCGCAAACCCAAGAGATGACCCTCCACCTGGTGGGATTGGGTGTCACCCACTCCATCGCCTATAGCATGCACAATTATATTGCAAAATCCCTCGGCCTCCCTTGGAAATTCTACTCAACAGAATGTCCCACAATTGATGACCTACTCAAGCTTGCCAACACACCCACCACAGCCGGTTTGGTGGTGACCATGCCATACAAAAACTCGATCATGAAACATGTTGATGAACTGGATGAGCTGTCTACCATGATTGGGGCCTGCAATAATATCTATTACGAGGGTAGTGCCGCACGGCTTATGTGTGGCACCAACACAGACTGGCGCGGGATCAAGGGTTGTCTGCTGGAAAAAGGAAATGAGAACGAGAGGCCATCGGCGACTTCACCTGCCACGGCCTTGATTGTGGGAGCTGGAGGCGCAAGCCGCGCAGCAGTCTATGCCCTGTCGCTGCACTTGCACTGTCCGACGATTTACGTTCTGAACCGTGACGACCAGGAAGTTACCGATCTCATTCGCGATACGCAAAAACTGGGCAGGGTCCCGACGATTATCCACGTGAAAACACCCGAACAGGCAAAGGAGCTACCCAGCCCGTACTACATCGTTGGAACAGTTCCTGATTTTGAGCCGCAGACTGAGACTGAGGTCACAGTGGCTGATGTGCTTGAGTCATTCCTGTCGCGGGCGGAAAAGGGTGTTCTGTTGGACATGTGTTTCAAACCGCGGAGGACAAGGATGATCAAGCTGGGCGAGAAGCTGGGATGGCCTTGTGTGGAGGGAACGCATATTATCGGGTACCAGATTGAGGAGCAGTGGCGTTTGTGGGCTGGGGAGGAATATGTCCTGAAACTGGACCGGGAGGGCGCATGGGATGTCTTGCTCAAGGCAGCCGAAGAGAGCAAAGGGATCAACTTCTAGTGAAAATAGAGTACTACATACTAATAAATGCTAAGGGATTTTTTTTGTCTATAACGAATGTTGCTAGATTAGAATCATTGGCTTTATCTAGACGTTTTGCCTATATAAAGCGGCGCAATATACGGAGTATATAATCGGAGTTCCGATCGGTAATGGATTCAGCCGTCAAAATGATTACCCGCCCTAATGCACCCCGCAAAAAGAGTGTACCTGTATTTTATAATCTTCTGGGCTGACAATCTACACTAACTCAATTTCATGATGCCTAACTTGCACTCCTTGCCCGAGGGAACCTGGCCCGAACATGCCATTCGCAACAATGGACCAGATAACCTGGTTCTTGAGCGAGCGAAACTCCGCGAGCTAGCCGAGGGATGGCCTTGCTACCGGTAAGGACAACCTACAAAAATATGTTTTTGATTTTAAGCTGAGCAATAAATCTAGTGACGCTTGTGAATGGGAGAATTTCGAATCAATCTTCCACCCAGGAGCATATGTCTACACCACATGGTCTGGCCGAGTTTCTTATCTGGACTTCATGGCAGCCTCCAAAGCGGGGATGGATAAGGGAGCATTCATCATGCATCGATGCCATGGCGTGGCGACCGATATTACCTCTGATGCTAGCCGTGCCGTTACCAAGATGAAGGCTACTATCACGCAACGATTCACAATTGACGGAATAGAAGTGGACGCAGAGGCAGACTGCCGTTTTTGCTTCTTCTTTGAGAAAGTTGACGGTCGCTGGGGTGCGCGGTTCGTGCGACATTGGTACGAGAAGGATAAGCTGTTGCCTGTGATCCCGAATCTATTCCCCGAAATTGACGTCCAGAAGCTCAACTCATATCCCGAGGGATATAAGTGTCTCGCATATTGCCAGGAGCTTACCATGGGGGTCTCGGTGCTGAGAGATATGCCTGGTCATCGCCGACATGCTGGAACTGTTTGTGGCGATAAGCATGATTTGTTGTATCGGCTTGCCAAAGAGTGGTTAGATGGGAAAGAAATTGATATATAGAAGAGTGGGGTCGCGGGGAAATACTAAATCATATAAATAATAGCTTATGTGGTCGTAACTTCGCTTTCTTTGAGTATTTCATAGAAACATTAATTGAGATGAAGTCTCTCCTGTAGCTTCTTCCAAGACACGATGCCCCTCTGCGCATGCTGATCAGGTACATGCTGACCCTTTTCAGCCATCGTTCTCGAAAACAACTCCATCGAAACCCATCCCTTGTATCCCAATCCTGACACAATGGTCCTTGCAACATCCTCGACTGGCAGATATGCTCCGCGGTCATCCTCGTACATATATGCTCTCGCATTCCGCGACCAATTCATTCGCGCTGGCTGGCCTTCCACGTGGAAGGGATGACCAGGCACTAGTGGCGATTCCATCCTCTCTGCATCCACAACCTGAAGATAAAATACCTTTGTGACATCAATCTCAGCTACCATTCGCTCGAGAGACTCCTTCAAATCCGAATCCGCATTGACTGTCTTGCCAGTCTGCGAGGCGGGATCGGCCCACACTCTCCCCGCGATGTTGAATGTGTCAAGACATATGCCGAAATTAGGTCGATCAACACCCTTGACCATATCCCAGACTTTCTCCCAGGTGTCGTTGATTGTACTCCAGCAGAGATTCTCATATGCATAGCGGATAACAGGAGTTTCGGCTGCGCCCATATCTGCCAGTTGCCTCAGATCGGCAACTATGACGTCAATGTTGTCTGTGAGTTCGTCTGCTGGGAGAAAATTGGCGGGTATTTGAATGGTGGTGGTGTTTAAGCGTTTAGCGAGCTGAAGCCAGAGTTTCATCTTTTCGATAAGCTTTGCATGCTGCACTCGGTCTTTGAGTCCCTCGTAGGAGAGGAACGGTTGCAGCGTGATGATATCGAGGGCGTGGGCTTGACAGATTGACTGAATCTCATCTGCTGCTTGGAGCAGCTGATCGGCTGTTGGAGTGTCGTTTTTAGAGATATTTCTTGCGAAATAATCGAGGTCCTCATAGAAGATTTCTATTCCTTTGAAACCTGCTTTTGAAGCTTGGCCCATCTTGTATTCAAAATCATGGAGCCATGCTCGCCCTAAAGAGACGCTCATGATAGCAGGCTGGTAGGCCATGGTGTCTGTTTGGGGATTTGGATTTGAAAATAAGTGGGAGTTGCTGAGATGCCTTGAACAATATCTTCAGGAAGTCAGAGATTCTGCTACTGAGCGATGTACCCACTCATTTGTGGGGCCGGTCAAGGCCTTGCCCTGGTCGTTCTAGATCTTAGCCGTAAATGTGGAGGATGGTTCTACGACTCAATCGAATGAGATATTTCTCCACGCCATGAAGGTGTTTATGTAATTAGGTAGAATTGGGTGCCAACTCGACCAGCGAATCGACCAAGACTCCAACAGTCGTAAATTACCACATATGGAAGTACCCTTTCTTGATGGCCTCTTCTTGAACGGCTCGTCGCATGACGTGAACAGGAGCTGGTCTCTGAGTGAAGAGCTCGTATTGGGTAATACCCTGTTTGACAAGGACCTTCAATCCATCGACAATGATCCACCCTTTCATGGACCACTGAGTCATCTGCTCCATCAACGAGGTTTTCGATGGACCATAACCAACCTAATAAGAATGTAAGTTGCCCGATGCGAACAAGAAGAGATAAAAACAGCTTACCTCAACGAATACTCCTCCCGTTCGACTTTCAAGCCAAGTACCAGAAACTTGGAAGAGGACAGGCAATTGGGTGCCTACGTGCCTCCCAGGAATGCATGAAATCACGATTGTTGGAAGACGAAAATCCGATGGCCAGCGGTCCTCTGTTGACTGAAGAACATGCAAATGGAAGATGTTGTCCCCCTTGGACCTCGCCCATACATTGTAGTAACGGGCCAGCTTTTGTGCGTTCGAAAGAGTTCTGTTGTAAACGAATACCTGCCGAACTCCTAATTGATAGCAGGCATACACAGCAGCATGAGCCATCCCACCAGCCCCTATGATCAGAGCGGTACTCCCACCTCGGATGGCATTCGCGGGAGAGAGGTGGCTGTGTACACAATCTTTGATTCCCGTGTAGTCTGTGTTATATCCACGGTAAAAGGGAGTTCTCACCCCGTTCGGCTGAAGCTTGTACTCCAGTACCACAGTATTTACTGCATTGATGTCTCTGGCGTCGGGACTGGTCTCATCGAGCAAGGGCAGAATATCGTTTTTGAATGGCAGGGAAATGATCAAACCACCAAGAAAGTCATCAAAAGATGGCGTTTTCAGTATGACTTCAATTTCATGGAATGTTTGAATCTCATCATAGTCATACTTATGGGGCAGACCACAGGCGGCGTAGGCTGCATTGTGCATTGCTGGTGACAGACTATGACGGAGATCTTGACCCACAATCTTAAACAATTTACTAGGACGTAGAGAGAAAGAGCTCAGCGCATGCTGCATGTCTCGCAGAGAGTATATCTGGTCTTGACCAGGACTGACCCGTATCGGAGATAAAGTTGGGTTCAAGAGTATGGAAGCCCGCTCCTCAGGGTCAGTATTGTATGCAATAACTGGAATATTGAGGGCGCTTGTCAACATTTGGCGAAAGGCAACGCATGCGAGTGCGTCTCCTGCGACTGCGTGTTGGCCAGTAATGCAGAGAGCTTCGAAACCCAAGTCTTCGAGCCATATACGAAGGTTAGGAATTTCGGAGGGTAACATGTCAACTCCCAACGGACCCATTTGCTGGTATAGGGCAATCATTCTAGAATGACCTTTTGTCGCATGAATTCGCCGAACAGTATCTTTGTTTTGGAGCATACAAGTGAATGCGTCAGGAGCTACACGTAGTGCTACTGTTTCCAAGAATTTCAAATAGCCCGTCGAGTCTTTCTCTGGATCTGTTTGCGCATCAAGAATTATTGGAACACGGGTGTGCTTTCTGAGAATCGTCATACAGCGTGGAAGCCTAACAGATATTTCTCCATGGCTGTATTCTTCATGGTTCAATGTCAGCTTAATGGCATCAGCACCTGCATCCAAAAATTCGGTGTCTAGATCCGTCTCAAGCTGTTTCAAAGACAAATCAAGGGCGTATGTATGAGTCGCAGAAAATGCGTCGGCAGAGAAAAGCTGCTTGTGCGGATCGCCAAATATGCGATAGAGAAAAGCCACAAAGATGCGTTCAACCTCTTTTAGCTTGAGTGGTGCGTGAATCTGACTTTTGGTCTGTTGATTCGGCTCTTGCGTGATGTTGAAAAAGTCAAAGTTGGAACATGACTCGAAGAAAGCATTCTCCAATTCAAAGATGTGGTCAAAATTATTGGAAGGGATTCTGATAAAATGTTGAAGGTCTGCTTTGCTTCTCCGCACATACACAACGGGGTGATTTTGCGCAAAGGCCCCTAATAACTGCCGTTGGGTCGGACTGGCTGCGAACCCAAGTCCAGCAATGACACAGCCAGTTTGATATTTTGTGAGAACATCTCGAGACACCTCTGTCTCTACCTCGCGATATCGTCTGAATCCATGTTCTGCGATAAACTCTTGAGGCGAACAATGGATTTGGTCCCGGAAGAATGAGTCGAAGTCAACAAAGCACCGACGAAGAGCAACGGAGGCAATGAGTCCTAGGGTTTTCTTGCCGGCTCCAAAAAATCCAACTAGTAAGATGGTAGCATCCGCGCTGTATCGTCGCGAACCAGGACCTTCGGGATGTGGGCCGGGTGTCCTTGAGGAAGATGGCGGCTGTGGTGCTGACATGTTGACTGCCAGAATGAGTATCTCGAAAGGACCTAGCCTTGGTGCTTTTCTCCTGTCAATAAACCATTTCCTTGCCTAAAGGTAAGGAAGTCGTCGCCCCCTTGGGGTTGGTTTCGGTTAAATCCATTCCGATCACGTGATACAACGGACGACGTCAGTTTGGATGACCATGACAGCTCGAGAACCAATGGCTTTTGTTTTATTTTCGAGCACATATGCCCAGCCCTCGACCTTCCAAGCGGCAACGAATTTGCCGGGCATGCGATCAATGTCGTCGGCGGAAGTCCAAGTGTGACGGGGCACAGCCTGCTTGTTCCATCTGCCGCACGGCTAATCGCACCTGCAGTTATCAGAATGGCGGTGGACGACGAGGCTTGGCCCCTGGATATGTCCGAAGCTTAGAGACAGTCCTTGGGCTTGTTCTACAGCATGTCCCAAATAGCGAGAAAACAGTGCATGATCTTTTGATTAAGTCACGAAACAATGACCACTTCCTTGCTAAAGATCCCGCAACTATCTGGCGGCAGTCTCGATTGGCCAAAGATCTGTCCAAGTTGACTGAAAATGATCCTCAAGAAATCTCCACAGTGACCATCCCTGATGAATCCGAATGGGACATTCTAGAGATGATCAATACTCCAGGCATCATTACTGCTGGCACTGAGCCTGCAACCTCGGGCCCAAATGAGCCTGCCCTACAGCAAGAAATTCCAAATATTGGGACAAGCCAAATAGATTGTGTCCATCTACCGTTTCCAGTCGATACCCTCGGCATGCTGGAAATTTATTTCACGTATACACACTGCTGGTTCCCGATTCTAGAGCGGCATGATCTATTTCGGACAATGCATACAAGTCTCGAATCTGAGACGATCCCAAGTCAAGGTTCAAGCCTAGTTCTTTGGGCAGTTGTGGCTTACGAATCATCCACAAAAGATGGCAGTAACCCAAGGCAGCCAGATCCTTTGCAAATACAACAATCAATCTATGCACGAGTCATGACACAATCGACAAATTTAGAACTAGGACACATACAAGCTGTGATTGTTCTTGCTCTACTACAGCTGAAGCTAGGAGACATCAAAAACTCGTGGAGGCTTGCTGGCCAGGCTTCCAGAATGCTGGCGACATTACCGATAGCAGCTTCCAGGAACAACCGATATCATAATACTTTCCATGGGTGTATCTTCCTTGACAATATTTTGTCTGCGATTTTGAACAAAGCGCCCTGCATGTCGTTGGAAGAGCAACAAGAAGAAGGACCAATCAACGAAGAAAACATAGAAGAATGGGACGTATGGTCGATATCTCTACGAGCTTCAGAAGGCGGATGCCGAAACACTCCCAAAGGACCACTGCGAGCATTGAGCATCTTTAATAACATCAGTCAGCTCATGAAGTACTTGGCTCGAATATTGTATATGTCGACCAATATGCCGCTCGCAGATGAGCGCGAGTTGTTAGCAAATCTGCAAGCCCAACAGAAAATACTTATCGAAAAGTACCCACATAGCAAAAGCACAGAGTACAATACACCTCCATTACTCACTTTACATCTCACATGCTCCTTTGTGATGTTGGATTTCATGAAAAGAAGCCCAATGATTGACATGACCGGAAAGGAGTTAGTTGTCAATCTCGTGCGATCCAGCCTGAGTTTGTTGGATCAATATCAGCAGATGACCGGATCACTACAAATATCACCATTATTGTCTTGTTTTGCTCTACAGTGCGGGCAGTGCATTGGTATCGTTTACTCCGACCCCAACTCCGAGGAACGACTGGCTCTCGAAAACAGACTTTGCTCATACCTGCAGAATTTGGAGGCCGGGATGGGAAGCCTCCAGAGGTCGGTCAACATCCGATCTTCAAGAGCCGAGGATGCTCGCATGGAACCTCCTTACATTGGGTTCGTTCAGCCGTCTGATTTACAAGTGTTGGAAACTCGACCCGAAAACTCCGTCATTGCTCCCCCAGCGAATCCCGCTCCTGACTCATGTGTTATTTCGACTTTCCAATCACCGGTCGCGGTTGCACTTGCAGACACCGAGGGATTTGATGCACTGTTTGAGGAAATGGTCACCTCTATCCCGGTGAACAGGTATGCGGTGTCTTTCTCAAGTGTCCTCTGCATACTGACTCTATGCAGGCAACAACCTCTCTTCGCTCAGAATTTAGGTTTCTACGCTGGGAATTTGGATAAAGACTTCTTGGAGCAACTTCAACAGCCAGCGGACGGTTGACCTCGTGGGGCCTTGCAAATGCATAACCACAACAGTCAGATGATGATCCTTCGAAATGATATTAATTCATTTCTTCACTGTGTCTGAAAAGCAAAACTCGGTATCATGGAAAGGAGAAATATATGCAGTGAAAAATAATAATCCGAGTTTCCTCGTCAGGATTTCATGCCAAATCCGCAGCAAGGGCAAGCCAACCCAGACTAGCCGTTGCTACCTCGATACCCTTGGTATCCTTCTGCGGGGGATAGCTAGCGCGAGCCAATCTCGACAACTGGACCGCGAGCAAGTGCTCCCTAAAATAAGTATCCAAGCCACCGACCATGTGGATGCTGTGATCAGCGCCAGGAGCCCCCTTCTTCTCTCCCCAGCACAGCCTGGAACCAACAATTTCATCTTCCATCTTGCCAGTCCTGCTTCCGCTCTTAGCCCACACACGCTTAGTCTCATACAAAGTCTCCCAAGGGATGCCAAAGCTCCTAAACATCCCACTCTCCTTTTTACCCTCTGCCGCTGCACTCTTCCAGACGAAATTGCGCCCTCCATACTCAAATCGTCGCGGCGACCAATCCTTTCTCTGCATCTCTCCATCCGGAATCTCGGTGATTGCGCCCATGTCCGGGATTGTCCGTGTAATCAGCCGGAAAGTGCCTCCTTTCATCTTCTGCACTTTAACACTCGTCGCCCCGATTTGGGGTAAGAATTCTCCAGCACGTCGGAGGACCGTCTCGACGATGGGTACCTCGTTGCTCCAGACGAATTGGAGGGCGTAAAGGACGTGTGTATTTGTCTCGTCTTTGACGAAAAACCAATATGAACGCATACCCAAGTGCACAAGCTCCGAGGAATGCGAAATCCGATAGGTGACTGTGGGCGCAGAGGGAGAAAGCGTCAGCGAGAAGAAAGGGCGTTGCGAGCTGTCGGTATTGAGGAATGGCTGGATGTGGGCTGGAGCTGTGCTGATATCCTTTGGTGGTTGACTGGGATCATCTCCTCGGAAAGTATTAAGATCCCGGCGGATCTGGCAGTTGACAAGAATCAGTGATCTGGAACAGGTGTCACATCCCAAAGTGGGCGGCTTACCTGGGTCAGTGACCAGTTCTGCCCGTCCTCTTTTTCCACCTCTTCCATCGCATCCAAAATCGTCGGAGGTAATATTATACCATCGAAACTGCCTTTGCGCTTTAGGTCTTCAAGATAGGCCAGACGTTCTCGATGAACTTGGACCTGTCTCTCGAACATTTTTCTGTTGATTTTGGGGACATCTCCTTTCTTGTATACTTTAATTGCTCCGTCTAAGATAGTTATAGCGCTCTTGTAGATAGCGATGGCTTCATCGTAGTCACCCTTGCGTTCCAAAATGAACGGCATAGCGGCCAGCTTATAAACCTTATTGTTGACATCGATCTTTCCTGCCATTGCGTTGGTAGTAAAACAGTTGACCGATATGGAAAAAAATGAGTTATCTAGTATTGATGATACTTTTCACTCTTGATATGTTGAGTTAGTGGGACTTTTGTAGATGGTTCATAGAGCGTTCCTTTATAGAGAATCGAAGAAGTCGGAGCTCCTCTTTGTAGTTTATGCCAAGGTATGAATATGCCTTGCCAAGTGGTTTCAATGCATAAAGTTGAGCCTATATCGGAGCTTTGTGCTTGTAGCCGTTGTCGCGAACGACTTTCTTCGAATCAAGTTGCAGCGTGGGCCTCCTTCGGAACAGAGAACTTGGAAAGTTGGCGGGAAATGATCACCTGGAGCTTCAGCCACAATGGTACCCTGTCTCAAAAAGACCCTTATGCACCTCAGTTGAGATACTCTATGGTTGGCTCTTGTAGATAATGACACTGGCTAATCGCTTAGCATTACTCCCTTCGAAGCTTGGCAATTAGGTTCAGCCAACCACCCTGTTAGCTTAGCGGATATCCGGTGGATGCCTTCGCGCACATGGCTATCAAGTAGGCCATCTGGAATGGCGCGACTTAGCGTTCACGGATAATTTTCATAAGGCTGTGTTTGCGGCACAGACTCGGGTAATCCAAGGAGAGATCCCCAGGCAATTTACTTTGATTTGGGGGTTATCTAGATACGAGTACTCCGTAGAAAAAAATTAAAAAAAGGAGAACCTCTGACAGAATAGAAGACATAGGAATGGTGATGGCCATCGGAAATCCCCCAAAAAATCAGTCGAGTCTATCATCTGACTATTTTGACTCGAGAAACGATATATGTCCTGATGAAACATGAGTCATGCATGGTGTACGGCGGTACAGAGTACCAAGAAAATAGTATCTTATCTGATAGTAAAAACTCAACAGGCTAATGAAGTAATGTTGAATAACTGCTAAAATGCCAAAAAGGCCGTCAACTTGTATAAGAATAAAGAAAAAATAATAATAATGGCCAGAGTCAAGAAGAAATCCGTGACAGAACGGGGGGTTGAGGCTGAGGGCGGTGCCGACTAGGTACTCCACTAAGAGACTAGCTTAGAAATTTGCCCTTATTGCTGACATTTAATTAAATTGCCACTGCCACCCTGGTAAAAGTCTACTTGGATACTGTGTTATTTGCGATATTGGTGTATTTTTCTGGCTATCTTTATACTTGAATGACTTTTTTGAGAGAAGAGTGTACATCTTATACTCAAAAACAAGATCCTATATAAGACACGGGTACTTACATGTATCCTACCGCCTTTTAAAATTGGTTGAAATACGAGAGTTCAATAAATGAGTCTTCTTGGGGGTAAAGATCGTCTGCCTCCTGGCTTCCTCTGGCTTCCTTTGGCGTGTGGCTTTTTTTTTTCCAGGGCTATTTTGGCTGCCACGGAGTAAGGGGCCAACGTAGCCTGATTTGGGTATAGCGGTATAACTTTCAGTAAAATTAGTCCCGCTAGTGTCTAAACAGGTTAGATGATATCGCTGAGTCAAGAATATAACGAAATAGCCAATAAGACTGGAGACTCTGTTCCTAGCTCATTCTAGACTAAGCAGTAGGTAAGCCCCTAAAATAAATCTAACCTTGGAATCCTCCTATATATGGGATGTTCTATCTCTCCATTATCTGATCTTCTTTCTTTCCACAATTTCTATTCCTGTCGCTCGTTTGAATACCCTCACTTTCGTTAATTAAATCTAAATATGCGTATCCAATCTCTCGTTCTTTTGGCCGGTGCCACTACCGCCCTCGCTGCTGAGACAGTCACTCTTTTCCTGCCCGGCTTCGATCAGCAACAAGCTGTGGGGAAGGTCATTGGCACTGTATGCACAACCCCCCTGTTCATTTCGCACAGAATACTAAGCAATATCATTCCAGAGCGGCTCTATGACCAAATACCTCATTAACTGTCCCGACGAAGTTGAATCTGACGAATGTGGTATCCCCCCTAACGGTGTCACCGTCGCTCAAGGCCCTTCAACCGTCAGCCTGTGGTACGGCATATACGATATGTAAGTATCCAGCCCTACAAAGAATCCACCTTGGACTCTATACCCCACAAATCAAAGCTGATCCTTTCCTGAAACAGCACTCTCGTCGAGAGCTGTACGTATGATTCCAAAACCGCGAAGTGCGGCGCAACCATGGACGAGCATGGAACGACCTCTTCTTCAGAGGAGTCTATCGCTATCACTGATATCCCCGGTGGCGCGTTTATGCCTGTGACTATTACCGCAACTGGAACCGACAACGCTTCCGCTACTACTGGTGCCTCCGTCTCGGCTTCCACTGCTGCCTCGACTAGCGGTGCGACTTTGACTACCTCCGCTTCTACTAGCACCGCTACTGGTACCAGCACTGCTGGCGAGTCTTCCGACAGCAGCAGTGCTGCCGCTACCAGTGCGACTGAGACTGGTAACGCTGCTATGCCTATGATCACTGGGAATGTGCGCTGGGCTGCTGGCGGTGTTGCAGCTGCACTGGCCCTCGCTGCTCTCTGATTATCGGGAAAACGAGGGATTACATTTGGGCTTGAGGCAGCAATTTACCTTGACGTGGAGGTATCTATGGATGTCGGTAGGGTAATATAAAAAGATGGAATCTCTAGCAGATTAGTCGATGTAGGGAGAGTGATGTCTATCTGAAATCAAAATTAGCTAGGTCCATTGTCTGATTATTTTGACTTGAGAAACGCTATATATATCCTGACGAAACATGAATCATGCATAGTGTACAAAGAAAAGAATATCTTATCTGATATAAAACCCCCACGCTGGGATTAAATAAGGTTAAGTGCTAAAATGCCAAACTGGTTATTAATTTGCATAAAAAGATGGAAAGGAAGAAAAATGGTCGGCATCGAGAAGAAATCCGTGCCAGAATGGGGGTTGAGCGGCGAGTCCACTAAGAGACTAGCTTGGTAGAAATTTGCCCTTATTGCTGACGTTTATCTAATAACTACCCTGGTAAAATTCTACTTGGACACGGTATTTATTTAGGATATTGGTATGTTTTTCTGGCTATCTTTATAGAATAATCTTTTTGAGACTCGAAGAGTGGAAATGTGAATTATTGTCAAAAACTAGATCCTAAAGAGATAAGACACAGATACTTACATATATCCCAGTGCCATTTAAAATTAGTCGAAACACACAGAGTACACAGAGTTCAAGCACATATAACGTATAATACGGAGTAGATGAGTCTTCTTGGGGGCAAAGATCGTCTGACTCCGTCGTTCTCAGGACTTTTTCAGGGCTATTTTGGCTGCTACTACTCCGTATGGGGGTAAGGGCTTTCAGTAACTAGGACTAGCCGCTAGTACTAAGTACCTAAACAGGGTCCAATGTTAGATGATATAGTGAAACAGCCAATAGGAAGACTCTATTCCAAGGCCACTCTAGACTACAGAGCAGATAAGCCCCCTAAAACAAATTCAATGCTTCTGAAGTCCTATATGAAGGTGACAGCCGCCCAATCTCTCTCTAAGTCCACTATCTTATCTCATTTTGGTCGCTCGTTTGACTACCCTCACTTTCGTTAATCAAAACGAAACATGCGTGTCCAAGCTCTCGCTCTTTTGGCCGGTGCCACTGCCGCCGCCCTGGCTGCCGAGACGGTCACTCTTTTCCTGCCTGGTTACAATAATCAAGAAATCGAAGGCGAGGTCCTTGGAACTGTATAAACAACCACCCCTCTGTTGATTTAGCACAGAAAACTAATCAATCTCATTCCAGATCGGCTCTATGACCAAATACCGACTCAACTGTGCTGTCGACTTTGCATTTGACAAATGTAAATTCCCTGGGGGTATATCCATGGACCAAGGTCCTTCAACTATCAGTATGTCGTATGGCAAGAACGATATGTAAGTATCTAGCCTTACAAACTATACACTTGTACCCTATAACCCAAAGTCATAGCTTATCTTTTCCTGAAACAGCACCTTTGCGCAGAGCTGCACGTATGATTCCAAAACCGCGAAGTGCAGCACATCCTTCGACGAGATGGGGTTAATATCCTCTTGGAACTCCGCTATCACCTTCACTGATGTTCCCGGTGGGGTATTTGTGACTGTGACTATTACCGCAACTGGAACCGATAATGCTTCCGCTACTACTGGTGCCTCCGTCTCGGCTTCTACAGCCGCCTCGACCGGAAGCGCTACTTTGACCACCTCCGCCTTTACTAGTATCGCTACTTTGACCGACTCTGCCTCTGCCAGCACTGCTACTGGTACCAGCACTGCTAGCGAGTCCTCGGATAGCAGCAGTGCTGCCGCTACCAGTGCGACTGAGACTGGTAACGCTGCTATGCCTATGATCACTGGGAATGCGCGCTGGGCTGCTGGCGGTGTTGCAGCTGCACTGGCCCTCGCTGCTCTCTGATCGTCGGGTCTTTTTTTGGGAATGAGCTTATGGGCAATAGTCGTGGCTCGGTTAACGTCTCTGTGCCTTATAAATATTTAATTTTCTGATGTATACTATGTAATATATGAAGCGTGAAATTTTTTTTAAACATTAGTCTTATTGACCTAATAAGAATCTATATTGTTGGTGATCGAATATGTACTTCCTATTCACGCTACACAATGTGCGAGCTTGGAACATGTACACTGAGCACTATTTAAACCATTGCTAAATCTTGATTTGGATTCGTGGCGTGTAAATTATAACTTGCGGTGTAAGATACCTGCGGCAGCCTGAAGAATAGTCAGAACCTGTCTATAAAAAAACCGAACTGCGAAATAAACTTACTTGGTGGTTGGGGAAGACGAGGGTATCAGCGATCACAACATTCTCACGACGACCAGCGGAGAAGACAACAATCTCGGCGATGTCATCACCAGTCAATGGCTCGACGCCCCTGCGAATCGTTAGTTATATTGTACTTCTCAGCTTATTCAGCATGACTTACTTGTAGACAGCATCAGCCTTGGCCTTATCTCCACCGAATCGAACAACAGAGAACTCCTAATCACGAATATTAGCTTCATATCACGGCTATAAGTGTATAGGGTAACCATACAGTCTCAACCTGACCGGGGTCGATTTCAATAACACGAATTCTCGTGGCAATGAGCTCCTTTCTCATCGCATCAGTGAAGGAGCGGACAGCAGCCTTGGTGGCGCAGTAGATGCTACCACCAGAGTAAGGCTCGCGACCAGCAATGCTGCCAATGTTAATGATATCACCACGGCCACCATCAGAGCGCTTCTTGAAGATGGGCAGGATGGCCTGGGTCATGTTAATGAGACCGGTCACGTTGGTGTCAAACATGACCTTGATATCTGCGGTATCGATATCAGGTGCCTGAGCAACACCCTTGACCAAGCCACTGTATCGCAAATGTCAGTATCGACCGTGCATATCGATCAGGGTAGCTTGATGGACATGACTCACGCATTGTTAACAAGGACATCAATATCCCTGAACTCCTCAGGCAGAGAGGAAACAAAGTTGCTGATTTCCTCTGGGTTGCTGACATCCAACTTAACGGGAAGAACCTGAACACCATCACCAACCTCCTGCTTGATCTCTGCTGCGACCTCCTTCAATGTTTCGATACGGCGCGCAGTGATGATCAACTTCAGGTTGTTGGGGGATGTGCGGGCGAACTCCTTGGCAGTGCTCTTTCCAATGCCAGATGAGGCACCAGTAACGATGATAGTCTTGCCTTCGAGGCGCTTTCCCATTGCGGAAACCATAGTGCGTCGGAGATATGTGTGGTAGGTTGTGATAGGGAAGGTAGGGGTTGCGGAGAGAGGTGAGGATGTAAAGGGGTGTGAGAGGTGTCGAAAATAACCAATTGATCTGGTGTAAGTCCGTAGAAGGGTCATGGATCAAGGTATTTATATTTCGAGGAGAAATGAGAACTAGCAGCCAAAATAAATAGAACGACCATGAAACGTGCCCGCTGCGGGGGATTCTGGCGTCATTTCATTATGTAATCACATACAAACGCGGGCGGACGGCAACAAAGCCGATTCCTTATCTCGATTGTGCCAAGCGTCTAATACACTGGGACCACTACGACAACAGGGGAAATTTTACTCGCTTTGCAGAAGATTAGTAAGCTAATAGGTAGGTAATTTCGACCCCATAGAGGAATACTAGCCGGCGCCGCGATTTAGGTTGTTCCATTTCTTCTATCACTGTTATCTCGTATCGAATACTTATCTTCAAGTATAGAACATCAGATAGAATACTAAGCATAAACACATGTAGTCATAATCTCAGTTTTATTAACGCTTAAAATAGTTTGGAAGTATATCGGAGGATATATAGCTTAAATAAAGCTTCAATTACTTAATATCAACCTTGGCGCATATGTAAATATTATCACATATGTTTGAAGCAAGAAAATGGGTTAAGCTTTGATGTACAACATTTATTTGTAGTGTTTTTCAACAGATTCTTCGTACTTCCACGTTATATTTAGAATCAATTTAAGCGGTAGATCGATAGAAGTAGCTATATAATAACTTTGTATTCGGATTTTTCTTTTAGCTAGTGAGAGTTGAGGAAAAGCCATGTTATGGTCATGTTGCAGTTAGGTATCTTTTGTACAGAGTTGATATACAAAAAGTACTTGACCCTCACAATTCGTAGGCCTCAAAAACACAACGAAGGTGCTTGACACGATTATTCGGAGAAAATGCGCATAATGGATTTTGTTTATTAATGCACGTTATTATATTCTTTGTGTACGCTTGGAACTGACCAGAATGAGTGAGACAAAGCCTCTTCTGATTGAAATTTCTCAAAGAAATAGTTTGTTTTTGAACAAAAATGCCCTAATTGGGATGGTCATCTTTAAATTGACAAAGAGCTATATGCAATATTATGATGAATGACACGAGACTCGTTGTGGTTGTACAAAGATCAAATGAATGCCATTGTTTCTAGTTCACTGGAGGATATCGATTAATAGTTCCAAAGGTCAGTCACTGCCCCCAAGGCATGTAATAAATAGCCTTGATGATTCCCATCTGAAAGTGTAGACCTGGAGCAATCACAGTTTTGGCACTCCCCCTCGAACGCTGTTGTCATCTTTTTTTCAGACAGAAAGAGCAAAGCACAGCGTTCCTGCCATATTCAGGACAAACACCACGGTAATCTATCAACTCTTCCTAGATATCTTGTTTACTTTCTAACCTTCAATTCACATACACATCTCGATCCTAGTCACGTACTCTCTGATATTTCACATACATCTATTATCATTAGTTCAAAACTATTAGTCTTGATATTAGGACAAATCCGATCAACATGTCGTGCCCTTCTAAGGTTTGCTATGTGGCCCCTCTGAACATTGTGAAAAAGCGTGATAGACTCTTACGCGAGCCTCTGGCAATCCAGACTGCTTCATTTGATAACCTTCTTCGCCGGTGTGACTTTGATTGGGCTGAAGACGCCGAGGAGGCGGCTGCCCATTGCAATGCTTCTATTGCAAGTACGACTCTTGATGATTTCTTGCCACAGGCAGACCTCAACAATCAATGTACCACTCCTCACCATCTTACAAGTTTCGATTACAAGCCAACGGTTGCAGCTGTCGATGAAGAGGATTTCAATGCCTGCACCAGAAGGAACACCCTGAACCATTCGTTGCCAAAGGTAAAGGCCAACCGTTACAATGAAATGTATCCCGCTCTCAACTATACCGGACGTTTCAAGTACACACCCTCTCTCCCAACTATCTATGAAGAGGTCTGGGATGAGATAATGGGCTGGGTAGATGGCACCCCCGAGACAGCCTCCAGCCCCTCGGAGAGCATATCGACAGAGTCCTACGATCATACCACCGGTCCCTGGAGAAACGAGACGCCTTTCACAGATAACGATGATTTGGATGGTAATTTGGCTGCCCTGCAAGCCATTGGAAACATCTTTGCCGATCGACAGGCGTGGATCGATGTTGACGAAGCCATCCACCACTATAATTGGATGGGCCGTAGGGTTTACACCCGCAGCTCGACTTCTCCATCTGATTCTTTGGCTATGATCCTCGCAACGCCCAAAAATCCACAAGGAAGCGATCTGTGGAGGATCCAATCTGTTATTAACCGGGCTTTGCCGTACATTGACCCAGTAGTGGTGTTTCTCAATGACACCGGTGATAGGTTGCTCGAACTCCGGGGCTCAGAATTGGTGCGAGCCTCCACGGGGCGTGTTTTCAAATTTTATACCCCTCATGGAAGATGGATGGAGGATTCGGGAGACAAGAAAGATGAAACAACAACAGACTTTGGCAGTACCCAAACTTATGACGCAACGGATTTGGCTGTTGGAAATGGCTTTGTGGAATCAAGTCCTATTTGCTCGCTGTCACAATGGACGGAGTGCCGCGATCGAGCCTTTGACAGCTCTGAACAATTGAATCGACTGCCGCGAAAGTTGACTTGGAAGCACACACCCTCACCTTTGCGACAATGCGAATCAATTTCACCTCCAGAAACCTTTGAGGCACCATGCACAACCCCACCTTTGCGACAATGTGAGTCAATCTCACCTCTAGAAACCTCCGAGGCACTATGCCCACAGGGCGTCAGTAAGGCAAAGAGACCAGCCTGGAAGATCACAACTTGTGTAGCTGGAGCACCCAGCGAGGAATATTTCTCCTTCCCGACTCCTACGTTTGGTCGCCCTAAAGGAATCAAACCAGCATTTGCAAAAGCTCAGAAGGGACTCAAATCTCTGTTCAACTCGGTGAAGAGCACTATAAGCTAGGTCGTTATGTCTCTTCTCCCCAGTCACGTCAACTTTGCTTTGCATCTAGTTTCAGTTATTTTTGATATTGATCTCACATATGATAGGTATTACTTTGTTCTCTGGTCGCCATTAATTTTGAATGGTAATTGGGTTGAGCTCACTTTTGGATTTGTTTAGGATCGTGTCTTATTTAGCAGACTTCTTGTGGTTTGTCTGGTGTTCTTTTGGAATTATCTCATATCAATATTTGAAATTTATTTTGATGAAATCTGGAACTGAAAAAAAAGGGTGAGGTCTCTCAGGTGGTCTGTCTTTTGTAATTTCTTTTGTCTTCTGTGCTACTTTCATATCTCGATGAATGCCTAAAGTCTATCATACTTTCCTTTGATTTTCCTTTGTATGAGTTTTCAGATGAAGTGTCATTGTTTTATATGTATGAAGGGGACACCCCTATTAGAGTGCCCGTATCAAATAAGATGTAATCAATGATTCCTTCAATATCAAGTAGAAAATTAGAAGGTGTATGTAGTTGAAGTTGAAGTATTACAAGCAAGAGATGCGAATGGCTAAGGCCCGTTACTTTTGATGAAAGACCTACATAAGAATCAAATCTTTCTTGAATCTAGGAGCGTAGACAGCAAGCACATTTTTTTGCACCTTCCCTCGGACGCATTTGTGATCTTTTGGTTGAGACGGAAAGAGTAAAGCAACGCGTTATTGCCATAGTCAGGACAAACACCATGGTAACTAATTTATCACCTCTTCCTAGATATCTTGTTTACTTCCTAACTGTTAATTCACGCACACAACACCATTGATCTAGAATAACGTATTGAATTGCCATTAATTGGACATCAATATTGATATTCCCATACATCTATCAGATACTAACAAGATCTTCGCAAAAATGATCTCACCTTCTAAGGTTTGCTATATAACTCCTCTGAACGTTGTGTCAAAGCGTGATAAATACTTATACGGACCTCCTTCAATCCAGGCCGCTTCCTTTGACGAGCTTCTTCAACCATGCGACTTCGATTGTCCCGAAGAAGCTGAAGAAGCTGAAAATAGCAGTAGTTCACCTATGGCCGCCCCGGAAAACTCTCTTGATTCCTCATTGCCCAAGGCCAAGTGGAACAAACCATTCCCAGATATAAACTACATCCTCACTCCCCATTTTGAGCCATCCCTTCCAACTATCTACGAAGAAAATTGGAATGAGCGATGGGGTTGGCTTTACGGAACTGGAAATACAACAGCTTCAAGCCCATCCAATGAGATCTGGGCCGAGTCTGATGATACTCTTCCAGCAAATTTTCGAGTCATGACAGACCTTGCCCGAATGACGAGTTCCACCGGCAAGAAACGACACCCAACGCGGAATCCGAAGCCTATTCAGTCGCACAACAAGCTGTCGACAAAATCTTTTCTGATCGTCAGTCTTGGATTGAAGTGGATTCCAATATCCATCACTTTAACTGGCTAGGCATGCGAGTATACACCCACAGTGCAACCTGCCCATCTGATTCGCTCGCCATAATATTGGCGAAGCCTAAGCCTCCCAAAAGGGATTCGGATTTCAGAATCCAGCTTCTTTTGGGACGCGCAGCCCAATTTATTGACCCAATTCTTGTAACACTTAACGGAGCTGAGGATGGCTTACTTGACCTTCGGGGATCGCAGCTCGTCCGCGAGTCAACCGGACGTGTCTTCAAGTTTTACTCGCCACACGGAAAGTGGTTAGAAGACCCAAATGATACGAGTGAAGATACAACCACTGACGTTGGTAACTTGCGGGTTTATGATACTGCCGAGCTGGCCATTGGGAATGGCTTTGTGGAGTCGAGTGCTATCCCATCAGTGTCCAAATAGACAGAGGCTCGGGATGAGGCCTGGAATGCCTCCAAGGGATATCGGTGCCCATGAAAGATGACCTGGCAGTGTAAGCCTTCATCACTGAGGTAATGCAAATCGATCATGCCAGAAACAACACCCCAAATACCACGACCGCAACCACAGCCACCAAAGACTACCAATGGGGGGAAGAAGCCCCCTCGCAAGATCACAACTTGTGTTGACGGGGCACTACCCGAGGAATATTTCTCCTTCCCAACTATTGTCATTACTCGTCGTGGGAGATTGAAGAAAGTAGTTACAAAGGCCAAGCAGGGACTGCAATCTGTGTTCACATCATTGAAACGCAAGTTCAGATAGGCATTTGTCTATTTTCTTCCTGACCGCACTGTTTATACTTCACTCTTGATTTCATTTTGTTTTTGAATCGTATCGAATTGGCGTTTTAGGTTGGCTTCGAGTCACCGTGCCATTTGCGTGAGGTCAGACTGAGCTTCTATTTTGTAATATTTCTTTTGGTGTTGATATTTGACATTTGTTGTTTAAAATCTGAAAAGCTTTCAAAAAAGGGGTGAGATTATCTTTCATTTATCTTTCATTCTTCTTTCATTTATTTTTCAGTTATCATTTATTATATCTACACAAAGCGTTTTCATTGTGCTATGTTCATATCTTGATGGGCCTTCAGCGAGATATAGAAGATGAAAGCCTATCGTACTTTGATATTATTTTTCTTTGAACAAATTATCTAGTGGTTAAGTTTCATTGCTTTTCTATATGCGCGTGATATCCATGTTCAAGTGTCTGTATCACTATCAAATGTTATTTGATCAAAGCTTCATTTAATATTAACTAGATAGATAGGACCCTTACATGATTCAAGTTGAAGTCTCTTAGCAAAGGCAAGTAGCTGGCTATGTATGTATAATTACATACTTCTTGAGAGATCCCAGGACCTTCAAGGCCGGCAAAAGATGTTGGCATTGGCATGGTGGTTCCTTCCAGTCCACAGCGCGCCAAGATATCTTTACGCTCCCTTCCGTTCGTTTCCTCCTTGAACAGCTACCGACCGAGATTAAAGCTATTCTGGGACTGAGATAGCTAGTACTCTCATGGTACTTACTAGATTGACTACATGTAGAAATTGTACGAGCTGTTTTTCGACCAGATAAACAGAACTGCCAGTTTAATATAATACATTACTACATCAACAAAGGACCATCTCCAATCCCCGAAGGTTGAATAAGTCATCACCAGTGCCATCCAGAAGTATAAGAACACCGTATATGGACTGGGATGCTTGGGTCGGAGGTATTTTAATTTTAAAAGTAACACTTCCTCGTAGAGTCTTGGGCTTTGCCAATATAGTGAGAGGACTTAGTGGGATATACCAGCTCGACCCACTGACGCAGTTCGACTGGCTATGGGAAGTGGAAAATCTCCATCCTTCCACCAATCAAACTTATGACGGACTAATATCAATGAATGTTCATCTGGCTATATAGTATAGCCGACATTAGTGTATCTGAGCTCTTGAGTGTATATGGGAGATAGAAGTGGGGTAAATACTAGTCTAATAGGCATGCTGCTAGTAGACGTCTTGATGGGGGTGTCCTCGACATCCTGCCACCAGTCAAAATTATGACGGACCGACATCCATGCATGTTCCCCTGACTATATAGTATAGCCGCTGTTAGTGCATCCGAACTCTTGAGCGTATATCGGAGAAAGAAGTTGGGTAAATACTAGTTTCATATGTGTGGTGATTCCAGGGGTCTTTACGGGCTTGAGCCTTCACGGGATAGTTTTATCAACATTTTCCCACCAGCCGAACCTCTCACAAAATAATAGCCGCACATATTCGTCGGACTATATAGTGTTTCTGCTGTTAGTATATATGATGTCTCAAGTGTATAGGGGAGATGGTGTGATAGAAGTTGATAGTATATACCAGTTTCATAGCATGTCTTCCAGGTCAGTCTTCGAGGAGAGCAAGCGGGCTTCCGGGTGGCAGCGATCAGTTGGTCTTTCCCATCCATCCCGATACAAATTGCAAATACCTTAGTATCTGGAATGGCCATCCGGCGTATGGAAAAGTCATCTCTCATTCAGTTTTTGTGGAGGGAATAATGCGTGTAAGTGAGGCTAGTATATCACAACGGGCTCTATGTGCTAGTTGTGGCACCGGACATGTGAACTGAATATAATAAAATAGGTGTTAGCACGAAATATATATCCGTATTGACAAAGGGAAGAACAGACAGAGAGAGCGAGAGGGGGGAAGGAGGAGGGAAGAAGAGGAGTAGCCGCCTTATATATGTAGATTTTGACCTCATGAGTGCCTTGGGCCACCAAGCCTTGTTTGACATGTTGTATAATCCTCTCTGGGTCATTAAAGTAGAGTGGATGTATACACGTAGGTAGTGAATCTCGTTCCTGTCTTGTTCTGTCTTCTCTAGCAATGTATGATATCCTATCTGTTTATTCGTGCGCAAATGATTAAGTAATCATGCAAGGAGAAGCAAGTGTGTACCATCAATGATAAAATCCCCTTTTTGTTCTTTGTTATTTTCAATAGAGAAAGAAAAGTGAGAGTACAGTGACCTGAATCTGAGCTTGCTCTCAGCAAAATGTCAACTGCAAGCAAAATGATGAGGAGACAAAAATTTAAATCCCAAGCACCTAGATCCCAAATATTATTGCATTTCCATATTCCCACTTGGGGCAAAGCAAAACAGACGAGGGAGGTCGGTCAGGTATTCAAGATTCACGGGCTCAAGGGGGTTGATAACATATGGAATATTGACCGAACCTGGCACTTTCGGTGCACTCAAGAAGCCAGAGTGACGCGAGAGGCTAAGCAAATAATCGAGATCAAGTGACTCTAAAGATTGGATGATATGTTGAAGGTCGGCTAAACTTGGTACCTTCGGTGGACTCGAAAAGTTGAAGCGACACGGGAGGCTGATCAGGTCATCGAGGTCAAGTGGCTCCCAAACCTGTATGATATGTTGAAGGTCGGCTGAAATTGACACCTTGACCGGCTCCAAGTTCTCAAAACGCCGTGGGAGGCTAACCAGGTCATCGAGGTCAAATGGCTTCGGAGCCTCGATGACATATGTGGTCTCGGGGTGGGAGCTTGCAGTGGGGATAATTACTAGCGTGGTGGCTTTGACAGCGCTGTTATTTGTTGTGAGCAACCCCTTTTTAATAACCACTGTTAGTATATCCGATGCCTCAAGTGTATGAGGGAGATAAAATGGGGGTGCGTACTAATTTCATAGATATGGAAATAGTGAGCGTCTTTATGGGGAAGGTGTCGTCGACATCCTGCCACCAGTCAAACTTATGACGGGCTATCATCAATGAATGTTCATCCGAAGATATAGTATAGCCACTGTTAGTGTATCTGAGGTCTTAAGTGTATAGGGGAGATCCGAGTGGGGTACATACTAGTCTCGTTGGTGGAATGGCGATGATAGACGCCATACGGGCTTTAGTCTTTGTATTAGCCTACATATATAATGTAGCCATCATTAGTATCGGGTCATCTGATACAATAGATCAACAGAAATCCGGGCAAAATACCATTTTCCTCTAGACAAACATTAATCGAAAAGATGCCATCTGATAACCACCGCATGTCAATATGTCTACATAGTTGTATAGGCCCGGTTAGGTATTTACGTTATCTACAGACTGGAACTATCACGAGAATAATAGTAGTATTCCAATTTTATACATTTACCAAGTAGCCCTCGTATTTCGAAGGCTGATAATTTTAGACTATTACGAATTCTACAAGTGTTTTTGGTTAGTACCTAAGCTCCTAGTATATGCTATAGGCCTCATTAGATAGCCTATAGTATGTTTTACTGTTTATCTTAAGACGACGTTCGTCGACCATCGTACTCCTTCCTTTTTAGTGTTATTATGAAGATAGCTCAAAGCGCGTCCGGTTATCAAATATTCTCCTTGTTTATTTCTGGATCCGGCAAGCTCGAAGTGGTTGAGAAACATCTAGAAGGGGGAAGGAGAGGAGTAGCCGCCTTATGTAGGTTTTGACCTCCTGAGTGCCTTAGGCCACGAAGAATTGTTCCACATATTTTATAATCCTCTCTAGGTCATTACAGTAGACTTAGTGTATACATGTAGGTGGTGAATCTCGTTCCTGTCTTCTCTGTTGATTCAGCGGTGCTGAAAGGTGTAGTCTTATTGAAGATTCCTGGGTTTGAGGGCTTAGCTGTCCGGTGAGTGGCTTGTATCAAATGTGACTAATGATACCCTCAAGGCTGGATTCTGACAAGCGTACGATATAACGCTGTTAGTTAGCTTTGAACTCTAGCACATCTATCGGGATTAAAAGCCCGAATTCTTTGTCGGTAAGGGAATCAAGCTCGACATTGCCCGGAGTTTTGTAGAGAATATTCAATAGGTCCAGAACGGAAAGAACGGAATACCCGTTATTGAAATAGTATAGAAAAATGGGTCGGCGTTCGGTATTGGTATTTCGGGGTACTAGTTGAACATGTTTGTCGTAATAAATCACGCGGCCCTAGCTCGCGCGATCTATTTGCTTAATTTGTCCATTAATCTTGAGCGTTACCCAGCAAATCGAGTGCCTCTTCTGCAGTAAGGCGACTAGACGGTAAAAATCGCATCGATCCTTGGATCACATGAAGTAGAGGTTTGAGTGTTGGATTGGGCACCAAACTAGCAAACTTCCGTTCAAGCTTCGAGGTTCCGTAATCTGCGCGCAAAATTAGCAATAGTTCTGTACGTGGGTCAATTTCATTACCTTCTTCTAGCTCCAGATTATGGCTAGAACTTGTCAGCATCGATTCCCACTTGGACTTCCATTCAGCTGGCAACCCCTCCACAAAGCCAATCATCTGGTAAATTAAAACTTCGTCCTCGCCAAGATACCAGAACGGCCAGGTAGTGAATTAGAAGGAATAAATCTACAATTCATATCGCCGTAAGTATATTTCCTTCGAGGAAATGATATGTTGACGTACCATACAACCTGTGCGCCATAAATCGACGCGATAATCAAAGCAGTCGGTGAAAATCGTCTCCGGTACCCTCAATGAAGCTGGCTGGGCCAGCTTCTGAGGTTCCTGTCCTTGATAAAAGCTTTCTCCAAAATCGAGGAGCCGAATATCTTCATCATCCTCGTCTATCCACTCAGTCCATTCTGCTGCCTTGATCAGTTGGGCCGGCAATTCATTGCCTAGAGGCGTGCTATCAACCCGTTTCAGCGGCTCGATTTCCGGGAATCCAAGAACATCAAAAAGCTGCTCCTCAGTTTGTTTGGACAACTGAGTGCAAGTAAATGCAATGTTTCGACCACTGATATCTAATAAGATATGAGCAAAATAGCACTAACTATATAAAACAACTACAAAGGGGCAATCTCCCTCACCTCCATGGCACATGCCGGCACTGTGGATGAATTTGACAGCTTTCAAAAGCTGCGTAGAAATTCGGAGCACAGTTTCCGGGTGGAGTTTGTCGTGAGCCTCATGGTAGTCGGAGAGGACCTTATCAACCGAAGGACCAAGTAATTCAAAAACAAGGCATTGGTGTGCCCCGTTGGGGCCTTTGTGTGTGAAGGCATCAAGCAGCTGGACAACATAGTTTGAAGAAAGCCCGCTCCGAGATTGCCTCTCTAGAATTTTCAAATTTTGCAGCTCTCGCGATATCGACGAATTTGCGGTCATGATTTTCAACGAGACCCATTGATTTCGCCTGGCGTGAGATTAGCTAGAAATGAGCAAGGTTGATGCGGGAGGAACACACTCTCTGTCTTTAGCAAGCCATACTGTGGAAAAGCCACCCCATCCTAGCTTGTGATGTATCTTGTAACGATCATTTTCAAATGTATCTCCGAGGTTGACTGGATGGTATCCTCCAGGTTGATATTTTGACAATGACTCCTGTGTATAGAGAAGGTTGCTCTGGCAGTACAGAGATAGATCCATCTTAGAACACAAAGTGGACGAGAGTAGGGAGGCGTTGGTGGGGGAGGCGACCGTTACAATTTGAGAAGTCGTGATGCGTTCGGGGTAAATTGGCCCGCAAGGTTGGATGACTAACTAGGCAGGTGTATAATAGCGGCCAGGGGTCGGATGCGGTTTTCTGTAGCATTGGTGCCTGAAAGCTTCTTGGGATGCCTAAATTAAAGCTAACAAAAAATATGAATACCTAAATTACTATATCCGCATCCGCCTTACTTGGTAGCCATCCATGGATGGATGCCTTGCTAACCTGGGTGATTAAGATTGCTTTGCTTTGGACATGAGGCTGCTTTTGGATTAATCCCAAGAATTTATCAGCTTAATCTGTAAATAAGTCCATACCCGTATCTGGAGATTCTTGATTTGGTGATGAAGAGATTGATATTCTTACCCTGTCAGCAACCGGGATATCCACCACTATGTCTACTCCCAAGTCCACCACCGCATCAAACTATGGATCTTTTCACTCTACGGTCTCCCATACATTTGTCCAAGTAGAAAGAATGTAGCAAACATACAGAGAAAATGAAACATCTAAGAATAATTAATGATTTTTTCTTCTTTTATTTTTTTAATAGATAAAGAAATGTAAGCACACGGTGAAGTGAATCTGAGCATGGTGTCACCAACAAGTGAGCCGCAAGTGACAAGTACGTAACTACAAATTAAATCTACAAGCATCAAACTCTAAAGGATCAGTAAATCAGAATATTCAAACATGTGAAAAAAAAAGTGAAAATACATCGACCTTGGAAAGGTCCCAACTCCACTACAATGCCGCCTTAATACATTTAATGAAAATTCAAATAAAGGTTGCCTAAGTTTGGCAACGACAGAAGAATCTGCAATATGCAGTTGATGGGTTGAAGACAGCCTTTACAATGTGCCATGACTTCTTCAAGATTCCAATGGGGAAGGAAATTGATTTGTGCACAACTTCCTTCGCGGTGAAAAAAGCCTTTTGAACCACCGTTCTCACGATGGCAAGAGGTCCAAGGGTGTATTTATGAATGAAGCTTGGTGATGATAGCTTCTTGTCAATGGTTGATGGTAGGGACTCGATGTTGAGCTTGGAAGGAGATGCATTCCAAGTCATCTTTCGAGGGGTGAGAGCTGGTGTTTGCGTCGCAGCAACAAGTTCATTGCGCCACTCCATCCATTTTTTTCGAGAAATCAATGGCCCATTTGCAAAGATGCCATTTCCAATGGCAAATTGTGGCAGCGCGGGCGCCTCCATATCCGGGATCGTCATTCTTCGCGTAGAAAAGTCGTACTTCGTCCAAGTTCCGTGGAGGGAATAATGCGTGTAGGTAAGCCCATCGCATGCTCGAATCATCGCAGACCCATGCATTTGTAGAATTGCTTCATTTCCCCTGTCGACTTTCAAAATCACTGGATCAATTTGATGAATTGCACGGTTCATGATGGAGGTTACAAGAAGTTCATCACTCCCCTTCGGTGCTTTTGGCTCAGCTTGCATGAATGCAAGTGACTCCACTGGTGGTGTTGTTGACGGTTGGTAAACAGGGCGGCCGAACCAGTTCCAGTGATGAATGTGATCATCTTGGTTGCTAACAAGTGAACGCCACTCGTATTCATTGATGGCAGTCTCCATGGACTCTTCATCTGTTTTTGGAGGACTAACGGGCTCTGGTACATTAACTGATTGGCGAGTGTCCATTGGCTCTTGAGACTCAAAGAATGCGTGATCGACCGAGTTTAGCACATCAACGGCCTCCGGGGGGCTAACTTGCTTCATGGCGTTGCTATGGCATGGTAGATCGAGCCACTCACGCAGTCTGCCTGCCTGGAAGGAATCAATGGAGCATAGGGGAGCCTTGACATCGCTAGCAAAATCAAATGTCTCAGGTTGCGGAAGGTGACCACACCAATCATTCTATATATTGGGATCGAAGTTAGTCTGAAAGGATTTCGAAGAGGTAAAGAAGTTAGTGGGAGGAATTACAAATTTGATGGCTGTGAAGCCGTTTGTACGAAGAAATTCATTGTGGATGGTGTGATGTTTGGTTTTCATAGCGTGGGTCTTTGTTTCCGTAGTAATGTTATCCTCAACGTCCTGCCACCAATCAAACTGTTCCTGAACAGGTGGCTGGGCGAGCTTGTCGTCCTGTATAGTAGCTATTGTTACTCACAAAGGTCTGAAATATTTGACCGAGCTAGGACTGGGGATGAATAAATACCGATTTGGTGGCGGTGGTAGGGCCAGTGGAGTTAGTAGCTAGGGCTGTAGTATCCACAGGGATGTCACGCTCCACGTCGTCCCACCAGTCAAAGTTGTCACGCATAAGAAGATGCTCATGTTCCTGATGCTATAAAATTCAACCACAATTAGTATATATGTTTCATAGATATGTATAGAAATGGGGTAAATACCTGCTGAATGGCCGTGGCGGAGCCGGTGGGCGTTGTAGTTGGGGCTGCAGTATTCATAGCAATTTCATGCTCCACATCGTCCCACCAGTCAAAGTGCTCACGCACAAGAAGGCGCTCAGATTGCGGATCCTATACAGTGCAACCACTGTTAGTATCCAAGATGTCGAGTATTAGTAGTGGCAATGCATACCAGTTTGTTGACTGTGATGGGGAGGGCGGAGGCTTTAGCCTTCGGGTCAGCCTACATAGTAAATCTTGTTAGTAGCCGGTTGTTTGAAGGAATAGATCAACTTGAATCTCGGCATAATACCATTATAGACTGTTCCATTAGGTTTAGATGGCCTTTGGTTGGAAAGAATAACATATGACTTGAAGATATGATGAAGATAGATGGTATGCGAGTTGATAGATGAAGATAGAAGATATGTTTTAGAATAGTGACGTATGAGAAGTACGAAGTAAAAAGTAAACAAAGACAATTGTCGAGGATTCCTTTTATACCCAAGCAACAAACCGAAAACAGAAAGCGTCTCGAGAACGCTCTTTCCTCTAGATACCATCTGATACCTGCCATATGTTGACAAATATACATAGGTAGGTCTGTTTGGGTATAACAAGTCTTGTGGGAACACAGGTTTGGAACTTGGTGCTCGTAGAATTCATCTACCGAATAGTTCACCTATTGGCGAGATTTTCATTCGTCTATACCTTCAAGTAAAGATAACTAGTACAAATGGGCATGGTTTCATAGTATTGGAGATATTCGATTAGACGGAAAGTGCGATAGTAAAAAGTTTATCTTCAATCATTTTATACAATGGACAGACTAAAGCCTCCACGTCAGTGCTAACGAATGCGGAATATAAAATAATCTACGGATCTCTACAAATAATATCATGTTCATACTTCAGTGATGATGGCAGAAGTAAAAGACAAGGATGGTGGTAATTTTCTAGAGCTTGGACAGGTAGCGATAATATTTCGAAGGCTAATAATGTTGAACTGTTACTAGGTCCCATGAGTGTCATTCCTAGGTTGGTCCCTAGACTCCTAATATGTTCTAAGCCTCGTTAAGTACATATTCTACAAAACTTTAGGAAGTTATGTGGTATTTCTGCGTTGTGTTTGTGTCTGGAGTCAACTTATGTGGACACTCATTGGTCCCTCCTTACAGCGTCATGAAAGTAGGAAGGAACACTTCAACTTAGCAAATAGTCTCTCTGTTTACTTCATATTCCCAAAGTCTCGACGTGGCTAACGGCCTACGTATTCTATAGTCAACAACATCATGTCGAGGTTTCTTTGCTTCATCCTTTTATCATCCATCATCTACAATCGAGACCATCGAGTCTCCATCAGCCCATTATTTTCATCGAAATCCAATCTTTTTTTCATCTACTCTCTCTCCATTAGAGCTATTCCTCGGTTCCTACCACTACTCATTCCTCGTGGGAGAAATAACCACAACCATGGATGTAGTTTTTCTAGTCCTTGTGATAATTTTGAGTTTGTGTAATGAATGCTGGCCTAACATCCTGCGATATAAGCCAAGAAGCTGGCTGGTCTGCTCAAGCCATCCTTATTCAACTGGGCCGAGGGTGTCGAAGAGACACTAGGTACCATCAACTCTGCGACTACACCCGATATCTATCCTATCACTTAGGCCGTTGCTGAGTTTGATGGAGATGCTACTCTGAGTTGATGCTCTCACCAGAGAATACAGACGTTTCACCCTTCGCTGCCACCAATTTATGAGGAAATCTATAACATATCTTCTGAAACCTCCGCAAATTACAACATGGAGAGCATTTATGGGAAATCTGCCAATTCAGAGAGTGTCTTGCCCCTGCTGAAAGACTGGAAATAAAGAGCGGTACTAGGAACCTGAGGGGTTACACGACCAGGAAGGACACGGCCACCTCACCAGAGGAAGATAGCCTGTCTACGAGAAAACTGAGTACGAAGGAAGCTGATACACTCGGCAGCCTCTCCAAATCTGACCTCAAAGCATCTGATAAGAATGACGAGCTTCTCCCATTTCATAATATATCTTACGACCAAGTTCTCCAAGTCCCCCTCGCCCTCGTGTTCATTTCCACAAGTCTGCTGGGAAGAGGGACTTGCAGGGGTGCTTTCCTGGTGACTAGGGGATCCAAACCCTGGGAACGGGATTGGTGGAGCAGTGACATTCGGTCCTCACTATATAGAGTTAGTATAATAAGTACATCTGGTAAGCATATGGTTGACATCAACTCACACGACGAGAACGACGGCCGGAACCAGGGGTGGTCGGGACTGGGAATCGGTGAAAGCGTCGACCAAATGTATTCGCGAATTGCGCATCACTTTGCCTGTAATTATAGTTAACACCTGTATACACCCATGAATAATACATAGACGCACGCAATCCGCTCCAGGGCATCGCACCAGAAGCCAACTAGGCCATTCTCAGGCCCGCGTCCTGGTTCGTGCAGGTATGAAGCCTGTTGCCAGCCGTGACTTAGAATCCAACGCTTAATTGCGTTCTGACCCATAACAATTTCAAGTCTGCTCTTCGCAAAGCGCTACCTCGTCAAAAGAAGATGGTAAAGTGGAGAACGAACATCAAGAAGGTCTGGAGGAAACTTCGGAGCCTGCTACGTCGAAATTGGAATTACGTGGGGCAAAGTGTTTGGATCAACCTGTGATCTCAATGGTTTCCCGTTTGCCTGTAATTGAATTTGTCAATATTTCGGGGCATCAGGTGTTTTTTGGTTACATTGATGGGTAGGCTTTCTCCAGTTGACTGTCAGTCAAATATTAGACACTTTCAAATTTCTTTCACTCTCGACTGAAACCTAATTCACTGGATTTCCAAAGAAATTCCCAATACCAGCATTTGAAATATTATATATGGAGAAGTCGGTTTACCACCTATATCCTATACATTGTATGACTGACTTTTCTAATTGTAGCTACCTAATGAAGGGGGTTACATTTACTTTCTTCACTTGAACATCAGTCAGATATCGGGCAATTTCCGGTAACTTTCACTCTTACTTTACATTTGAATTTGAATTGCTTCATTCCCAGTAGAATACTCATTTGTTGTCAAATTGCGACGAGAGAAAGGTGAATTATGAAGCTAAATCATCGTCACAAATAAATTTTGTGTTCACAGAACATATCTAAACCCCTTGTTGTCGATCTCTGTTTTGTCCTTTGAAGATATGGGTCAGTTCAATCTAAGGCTTCATAGAACTCAAACTCACCAGCATGCCGTTTTCAACACCTTCTGCCTCAATCTCCTGGCCATCCATTGCTTTGCGGTCTCGACGCTTATTTTCAAGGTACATATAAACATACAAAGCGACAATGGCGACCAACTTCACTGCGTAGCCAGCAAGCATTCTGTAGAAGTTATCAGTTAATCAAAAGTTGTATCTAAGATCCAATGGCAACATCAACATACGCAATGTAAGCACTGTGGTACCCAGGGGCCTCGGTGGACTTGAAAGTCTGAGGTCCAATGATATTTCCCACGCAGTATCCTGTGAACAACAGGGCACCAGTGACCTGCTTCTTAGTGTATCCAGCAATGTTGGAGCTAACGATTGTTAAACTCATGCTAAATCCCAAGCCTTGGAAATAACATAGCCAAAGTGCAACAAGGCGGCCCCATTTGTTGGTGTCCGGTAATCCGACAAGAAGACCTGATCCAATAATACAAACCGTGCAGGCAAATATCATGCATGCAAATCGTGAATGGAATCTGCCATCGAACTTTGTTGCAATATAGCCCCCGAGAAGAAGGGTGATGAATTGAACAGCACCACCAGGGATTTGCAGGTATTGGGTTCCAAGTGTATCAAATCCGAAAGTACCAACAATAATGGAAGTGAACTGTCTTGGTTGTCAGCTTGGCTCACATCCAGCCAATTACCACAGGAATACATACACTGGTTAACGCCGAGTTCGGGACTTGTGCACCAATTGCCATAATGAATAAAAGCCATGTCTTCGGATCTTGGGCCGCTTGTCGGACCTGATACCATTTGAATTGACTGTTTTTAACACCTTGCCGGTTGATCGCGACTCTATCGACAGCGATCGCTCGCTCACGCTCGCTGAGAAATTTGGCAGTTGATGGAAGATCGGGGAGAAAGACTAAGGCAATAGCTCCTACCGCCATAGAGAACGCTCCAAAAATGAGGAAGACGTACATCCATCGTGGAAGTCCAGTGGTGATATGTCCAACTGCGTAGCCGATAAGACTATACTCGGTTAGCATTACAATTATATTAAAAACCTAATTTGGTGGAGATGGGTAGTTGCTCTTCACTTACCCTCCAAACATCGTCGCGATACCATTAGTGCAGTACCATGCCTCTAGTCGCAAGGGTTGTTCTTCAGATTTGTACCACATGCCCGTCATGAGAACGAATCCAGGAGTCACAACTGCTTCGACCATTCCTAAAAGGAAGCGATTTATTGCGATTCCAGCAAAGTTGTAGCATGCAGGTGTCGTCATGAGCAAGCCACCCCATACTATTCCTCTTAGCGTAATTCTAGGGTTGACGAAACAACCTAATATTTCAAGAGAGAAATCTCTTACTTAATGTGGTGATGGCAAGGAATTTGCCTACCGGCAGCTTTTGTAATGCTAACCCCGCAGGCCATTGCGCAATGAGGTATCCGAAGTAGAAAATGGAGCCTGATCGAATTAGTGACTTGTATTACAGGTTCTAGGAGTTGAAAACTCACTGAGCCATGAATATTGTTGTCCCTTTAAGTGTGTTCCCTCTTTTAAGCCGTAGACAGATGCAAAATTGATGCTGTTCTTGTCCAGGTACTGCATGGGATTAGCACCTGAATTCCAACGAGCGAGACGCGCGGTATTCCCACCTGTAGCATGTAGATTAAGAACAATAATGGAATGAGGCGTATATCAATTTTGCGCAGAACCCTTTTTCCTTCCTCTGCCGTGTATTCAAGGCCTTGATGTTGTTTATAAAACTCATAGTTCTCATCCCGTTCTAATGAGCTGGTTGATGGGATTGGAGGCGATACTGCTGCTTCAACTTCTTTTCGTAAGGCCATTCTGCCGATTTTGCTTAGTCTCTGTATACTAGCAGAGTGTAGGTGAATGAAAAGACAGGAACGGGCAGAGTTTTATAAGCCCTCACGCTCTCTTGCCGACACGGCTCAGGTGGATAATGGCATAATATTCGAAACTACGGCACGTATCCTAGGAGGGAAGGTTCGATGGCCAAAGTGGGGATATATGATTGAAGCTAAGCTTCATGGGAGTTCTTTCTGTGATATTATAGAATACTTGCTTCTAACAAGTGTGTGTGCAAGTAAATTCTGAAGTGTCAATAGGACGCTTGATTGGCAACTTGGGCTTTTCAATTCGCCCACTTGACCTGCACTGACTACTCTACAACTTCTATTTTACCCAAATATATCGGACACGGTTTAGAGTAGCAGTGAGGTGTCTGAGGGTGTCAGGTGGAGCTATCCGTGGATCACGACATCACAGCCGTAATTGCGCATTTCTCGGGCCATATGAGCAACTTCCATGTGGAATCCTATCGCGATTGGCTTGACATTCAGAGATTGGCTGTGGCTATAGAAAAACAAGAAAAATAATCCAATACAAAGTATAGTCTGTCTGTGTTTAATTTTATTATGGACTGAGCGAGACTCGCAATTGGATCCAACATCCAACAAATATATATCGGGCTTGGCACGTGCTCAACTGAGTATACTTTATCAACATTTCAAGTTCAGATCAAGATCCCATATGATAATTAACTTATTCTTCCATGACAAAACATTCAACCTGCTAAGGTTGGCTATCACTGAACATAAGCTTAACACACCCAAAACCTAATCCATGTACAGGTATGGGCCGAGTGGGTTTTGATGAACTCTAAACATCTCTCTAATAATATAGAAAGTATCTTTATTCCATGAAGAGAGAGTGCCGTTTCAAAACTTGCAGATCGTTCAATCTGAACGGTCGCAGACCAGTTAATCTTCTCCTTAAAAGCCGAGAATCTTGTCCAGAGCGATATCAGCCTTTCTCTTTTCCGCCAACAGAGTGTCCGGGCTCCGCCGTGGGATAAACTTCATATTTAAGGGGTTCGGCCGGGATGCGACCCCAAACACGAAGCCGGTGCGATCATCGGTATCTAGCGGCCCGGTCGGCACGAAATCGAAAGCCCAAATAAGCTGCGCCATGGTGATCTCCATCTGCTGAAAGAAAAAGTCCTTGCCCGGGCACTCCCTCCGACCAAAGCCAAATGTATATAAGGGTTTACGGTTCTGAGTCGAGGTTCCGTCCTTGATGCCGAGGGGGTTGCGGAGGTAGCGCTCGGGGATGAAGCTTTCAGGGTCGTCATAGAACTCCGGGTCGCGCTGGATGGTCCACACGTTGGTCATGACTGTGGTGCCCTTGGGGATGCGGTACCCGCGCACCTCGACATCAGCCTCCACCTCGCGCGGGAGGGGGATGGGGGTGGGAGCATGCCACCGGAGCACCTCCATCACGCATGCATGTAGGTACGGCAGCCGGGCACGGTCGATATGTTCGGGTAGGAGCACTTCGTCGCCTGCCCCGAGCACTTCATCGATCTCGGCTTGTACCTTGCGCAGTACGTTTGGGTGCTTGGTGAGGGCAAGTACGATTGTCTCGAAGGTCGCAACGGTGGAGGCGAATCCGGCATCGCTGTGCACGTGTTAGCTTGAATATTGGATGAAGGGAGGAGAGGAGCATACAGCAGTCCACCCATCATGATTTTGATTTCCGTCTCCGACATGCGCAGATCAGGTGCTGTGGCCGGGTCGGCGGATTGGCTGAGTAGTGCGGGGATGAGACCCCGGAACGAGCCGCCATGCTCTATCTTGGCCACACTCATCAAAGTGTCGTAAGCCTGCAGGACAGCCTTGCGGATACTTGGTGCCCGGCGCTTCCAGTCAGACAGTACGGCAGGGACCCAGCGCAAGAAGGGTATGATGTCGGCTGCGCCAGAGACCATGATCTCCTCGAACACGATTGTCATCTGGTGGTAGTCGTGCGTGAAGTTGTCTCCGAATGCCTTGACGGGCGCGCCGGTCATGAGAGCAACCGGTGTTGTTATGGCCCATTGCGCCAGGTCATCCGCCCAGTCCCCGTCCGATTGATATATATCGTATACCAGGCGCATACCGATCGCCTTGGCCATAGGGGCCAACTTAAAGAGTCCCGCGCCGCTTAGGTAGTCTTTGGTAACAGCGCGGAGGCGCATGGCATAGTCATTGTTCATAAACACAGGATGTATGTGCTTCCCCTCCGGAATTACGTGCTCTTGGGCGACGTATCGCGGGGGCCGCGCCGAGAATACTGTCGCCTTCTTGACGATGAGCTCGTGTACGAGGGCGGCATCATGCAGGGCTACCGCGTTTTGTGAGCCAAGCTTGAAGCCGACAATAGGGCCCCACTTCTTAGCCCATCCATCGAAGGCGAGAAACGGCAGACCTTGAGGAATTTGGTGCAGGTTCCCCACAATTGGGAGACCCCAGGGACCAGGGGGAAAGTTTGCGGGGCGGGTAAAGAACCGGCGCCACACCGCCCACGTGGCAAGTGTCAGTGCCGCAATCGAGGCGACGATAGTTGGCGAGGCCATCATGTGTGCTTTACATATAGACTACTAATATAGTACATCACCATTGCATAGAATGCTTCTACAGCTGTTTTATGTAGCTCGCTATTCACTATTACATCATGAGTCGGCTCGGGATATAAGTATGACAACGGGGCTCCACGCCGAAACACTCCCCGGCGCGATCGGGCTTGCCTATGGGTGGTGTACGTCTCGCCGTTATTTTTGAATAGCCCCGGCAAGGATTACATCTCTTTTTGCTCCAGCAAATTCCGAGGTTCTCTATCTCGAGAGTTAAACGGATGGCGCGATCGAAATCCCCCGCTACCATTATTCATCCATGAGCGGGGTGCCGCTCCTACAGTACAAATAGTACCAAGCCCCCCGTGCCCATCCCCAAAACCTGGCAAGACACCCGAAATTGCCTTTTGGAATACCGTGCGGGAAGAAAATATATCAAAAATGGCCGTTGCTACACCGAAGATCAAGTTATACACCAACCATAACTGTCCTTGTTCGTACCCCCGGTCCCATGTCCGCAATACCCCGACTAACACCGCTTTAGGGGCTCATCGCGCTCATATTGCTCTCGCGGAGCTGAACCTACCATATGATGAAGAAATCATCGACCTCTATGTGCCTCGCACCCCAGAATTCCTAAAGATAAACCCTAGGGGGCTAGTCCCGACATTGGAGTTTGACGGCGAGATCATCACCGAGTCGGCCATTGTGGCCACATTCCTAGCTGACGCTTTCCCCTCGAAGCTGTGGCCTGAGTCGACGGATCCTCAGGGTCCCCTCATGCGGGCGAAGATCAACTTCTTCACCGATGCATACTTCTCGAAAGCCCAGAGCCATTGGGGCAAATTGCTGGTGGCAAAGACGGATGAAGAGGAGAAGACCGCGGTGACTGCGTATATTGACACCATAGTCAAGGAGGTTGATCCTCTCCTCGTCGACGCCGCACCGTTCTTTGGTGGAAGCAGCACGCTCACGCTGGCTGAGGTGAGTGCTCACCCTAGTCGCCGACATGACCTTCATTCTAACATATCATTTTCAGGTACTGGCCGGATCCTGGCTTCTGCGTGTGTACGCGCTCCCTAGCCATGGCTTAGTCCCCTTATCTCTACTAGAAGACCTCGCTATCAGAGCGCCAAACTTTGACAGGTGGGCCAAGGAGGTTATCAAGCACCCGAGCGTCCGCTGTATCTGGAACGAGGAGAAGATTATTGCCGGCACAAAGGGTTGGATCGCCAAAATGAAGGCTTCAATCTAGAATAAAGTAGATATGTCGCGAGCCTGTGCAAGCCATATGCTTCAAATGACGTGACTGCCTAGTCGGGGTTACAAGTAAAGCCAAACATCACAGAGAGCTAAAGATTTAACTTGACTGCGATTGTACGATTACTCTCACCATAACTATTAGTCGTGCTGCGTCAGTGTATCAACGTCCTGTGGGGCACTTGGTTATAATCCAGAATCCGAGAACATCTACACTTCCCAGCAATAATTTCTAGATGCTCCACCCTCCTCAGGGTTAAGAGCTAGCTAAAATAGAGAGTTGCAGAGATAAAGGCGTTGTGATTTGCGTATATTTCCTCTATTTCAAGTGTGGCTGTCAGCCCAAATTCAGAAATCCGGGAGTAGCTTAGTTTGGCAACCCATCATAGCACTGATATCCGATTTCTTCGCTCAGCCCAACTTGGTCGCCTATACGTATGTTCGTCGGGAGATTGATGTGTCGTCGGGGTATTTTTTTTCGGGCCCCCGCAACGCTTGCATTATGATTGGATAGACGCGACCATCGGCCTCTTTCTTCACCACCCATCCGGGAAATTGGGTGAAATGCACCGTAATTCATTGATTGATCATGCGCTCGACCTTGAATGTGAGAATAAAGAGAAGACCGGGATGATCACCTTTGAACGGAGTAAAATCCGTTTGCTAGGGAACATGCAGATGCAGGGATTATCTTGGCGTTGTTTGACATTTGTCAGCTCGCTCGCTCAGCTCGCTCTCTCGGCTTCAACTTCGCTCCGGACAATAGACATACTAAAAACGCACCATCACCAATATGGCGTCTAATGCTTCCCTAGATGAGCTAAACCAGCACTCGTCATGTCGGCGCCGGAATCTACCACAGAAAAAGCCGTTCCTGGCTATCCCACCACCACCGCTAGTTCTAGCAATGGCGAGGATATCGCGGTAGACGAGTCCACGAGCGATGACGAGCCCAAGTATGTATCAGGCCTTCGATTATGGGCCATCATGTGCATTATATTCCTAGCCACGCTGGTAGCCGCCCTAGATCTGGGTATCGTCGCCACGGCTATCCCAGGCATCACGAGCGACTTCCACAGCCTTGACGACATCGGCTGGTACAGCGGCACCATTTTCATTACTGTCGGCGCGGCCTCTCCCCTGATTGGCAAGCTGTACAAGTATTTTTCAGGGCGCTGGGTCTATCTCGGCAACGTGATCACGTTCCTGATCGGCAGCCTCATCGCCGCCCCGGCCCCAAATAGTGTTGCCCTGATTATCGGGCGCGCTATACAGGGAATTGGTGTCGCTGGTGTGCTCGGTGGCTCAGTGCTTATGATAACCTACATTGCTGAACCCAAGCTGCGGCCTATGATGATCGGCGTGTGGACTGGTGTGCTCATGCTTTCGACCGTCCTTGGCCCCCTGGTCGGCGGGGCCTTCACAACTAACGTGAGCTGGCGGTGGTGCTTTTGGATCAACCTGCCTATCGGCGGCCTCATTATAGTTATGGTGCTGCTATTTTTCCACATGCCCAAGCACATCAAGCCCACGCCGGCTACATGGAAGGTAATTCTGAAGCATCTTGACCTCCCAGGATTTGTTGTTCTACTCGTATCAGTTGTCCTGTTTACGCAGGCCATGCAGTGGGGAGGCCAGACCAAGTCATGGAGTGATGGCTCCGTCATCGCTACCCTTGTCATGTGGATCGTCTTAACCATTGCCTTCGTTGGTATCGAGTGGTTTCAAGGTGAATACGCCATGATCCCATTGAGAAATCTCAAGCCACGCCTGTTTTGGACCAACGCCTTGTATGGCTGGTTGTGAGTGCTCCTTTCTTCCCCAATTCGAAATTTATCCTCTTCTGCTCGGTTTAGCTAATTTGGAATCCTGCAGCGTGAATCTTGCCGATTTCCAGGCCCTCTTCTATCTTCCAATATACTTCCAATCCATCCAAGAGCAGTCAGCCATTACGAGCGGCGTGAACACAATCCCATTTGTCGCTCTCTTTGCTCTAGGGTCCCTGACTAGTGGATTCATTGTCTCAAAGACAGGTCATCTGCAGCCTATGCAGCTCGCCAGTGGGCTGCTAGCTACTGCCGGTGCCGCCTTGCTTTACACCATGGATGTCAACTCTGACAAGGGCCGTTACATCGGGCCTCAGATACTCCTAGGTTTCGGTATCGGACTCGGAAACCAGATTCCTATGACAGCCTATCAGTTCTTCTCCACGCCCGAAAACGTCCAGGAGAATACTGGTATCATGCTCATGACTAACGGCATGAGCGGTGCCTTCTTTGTCACGGCGGCGTCGTGCATTTTTACCAACCGAATGCTGCAGACGGTTCTCAGCCTGCGCCCCGATATGGACCGGCAGACAATTCTGCAGACCGGAGCCTCTGAGATCTATGCTGTTTTCCACGGCGCCGATCTGGCCGCGGTGCGCCAGGCATACATGGTGGGCATTAAGGATGTCTTCGCTTTCTCTATCGCCGGCGCAGCTTGCACCGCAGTATTGCCGCTTATCATCCCGAGGAAAAAGTTGCCTGGCCATGAGAAAAAGGAAGTTGATGCGGAGGAAGCTGAGACGTCTTTATAAACTACTTTCCTACATATGGAACACTAACCTCGGAACCAAATTGAGATAGAGATATCAGATCATACCTGTGACAAGAGATTTCAGGTAGAAGAACACAAAATGGCATGATATATTGTACACTAGGTTGGGATATACATAATAGCATTGGACATTCTTTGCATATTTCTTTCTCTAAAGCGAATATGTGCTTGACAAACTGGAGGTATCTACTCTCGACTGGAGAAGGATTAGTTTCTTAATGCTGCACAGTTGACACTTGGAATCATATGACAGTGATTCAATGAATGTAAATATCCACTTTCTGTACTTCGGAATGTGACCGTACTCGTATTTCCCGAGGTCTACATACATACTCATCCTGAAGATCTAGGATGTAGTACATTATAAGTAGGACTACCGATCACGAGAATAGTCTTCACATTCCACAGCCTGTATTGTGATATTCTAAGCCTTCTCCGCGCAGGTGGAAAATATATCCAGCGTGAAGTTCCACACCGTCTCATCCAGACCACGCGCCCTCATTGGACCGAGCACAGCCTCGCTATCCTTGATCTCTCCAAGAGGGCCAACGAGGAAGATACCACCAGCCGACTTAGGCACAACCTCCAGTCCCTCAGGCACAGGAACCAGGCCGGGTTGCACAGCATAGCGATCGTTGGTGCTGTTGAAGACAGCGCGCTGACCAGCCTCGTCCTGGCTCATAGGATTCGGCGGGTTCAAGCCGAATGTATTACTGCGCGCCAGGCCAGGAGTTGCCACGGCGCCCGGATGTGCGTGTACAATGCTCAGGTGCGGGTTGAGACGGGCGATATACTCAAGCGCCAGTGTGCCCATGGTGCAGGCGTGGCGTGAAGCGTTCCACATAGACCAGTTCTGCAAATCGCGGAGGTCTAAATCGGCTTCATTGAGTGGAGTCTCTTCGCCCGCAGCCAGCACCGAGACGACACGTGGGCTGGGCGCGGCGTTGAGCAGCGGTAGCAGGCGCTGGACGGCGCGCAGGCGTGAGTAGTAACGCGTCGACATGGATGGGTCCAGTCCCTCCTTTGTGTCGATGCGGCCCTCGAAGGCGAAGAACCCGGGCGACATGAATAGAAGGTCGACTTTTGTCTCATTCTCTAGGACGACGTCGACGGCATGGTCAATATCCGAAACGAGCGACGCATCGGCTGTCAGCAGCGTGTATGTGCCGGTGGGGTTTTCCTGGCGCAGCGTCTCCAGAAATTCATCATGCGAAGCCACAGTCTTTGCGCGTGCGGTACTGTAGATATGTGGGGCGGTCGTAGATCTGGCGAAGTGTTCCAGTGCGCTCTGGCCGATGCCCGAGGTGGCCCCGATGAATACTGCAACGAGGCCCTGTGCCTGCGGCAGGCTCGCCAGGAGGCCGTTGGACTGCTGCACCGTGTCGAGGGTAACCATGATCAACCGTGCTGTGCTTCTGGGGGAGAGGATTGGGTAGTGAAGATCCCAATCCTGATGAAAGCTAATGTCACTTTATCTTCTCTCGTCGCCCTCGTGTATAGTCCGTCAATTGCCCGACCACAATTTGTCAGCGGGTACACCTTCCGCGCGTCGGTGGAATGATTGATTTAGATCACCGTGTTAGCATTAGTAAAGCGCTCGATATCTTTGGGCACCATCTATTGGCTAGTTAATGCCGTACGCGCGGTGACATCGGCCATCTAACAGGATCAAATACACCGGCCATATTGTGAACTAAGAGCAGATACACAGCTTGTCTAAGGCGGATATGCTAATTCGATTAGGAGCTGATAGACACCACTGTGCTCTTAGAATATCATTAGAGTAAATCGGGATACTTGAGGTAGGGGGAGGGCGGTGGTAAGAGGGTGGAGTTAGATGACCGTTATATATCACCCGCCTTTTTGGTAACATTCACAATGCGCAACTAAGAATGATGGAACTTAAGGGGATTTCTATGTCAAACCAGAGACGATACAGTTCAAAAACTGTAACATTGAATGCATGGAATAAAAGAGAATTATATACAAGAATGATGCGAGATACTGGTAAATCAAGGGGCTGGATCACGGCGATCTACGGAGATTGACTCTCGCCTGCCTCCCCCATCGTACCTACCACAGTACAGCTTGTTTCTTCTCATTTCCACTACGTAACCCAATGGCTTCTCTTATTAAATGGGCCAGTGTAGCATTTCGACGAGCCCCTTTACCCCCTCTTGTCTTTCGAACCAGCGGATTTGAAACGATCAGTCCATCGCAAATCCTCGAAGAAGAACTGTTTGAAGAATTCAAAAAAGGACACTATTATCCTGCAAAAATCGGCGATATTTTGCGGTCCAAGTACCAGATTGTCGGTAAACTGGGATTTGGTGTCACTTCCACAGTATGGCTCGCTCGTGATCTCGAGTAAGCCGAGTCTGTTATTTTCATCAAAACTTTTAATACTAATGATACTAGAGGACGTCAATATGTCGCATTGAAACTCTATACACGCGATGAAAGCAATACAGAAGAGTTTGAAATTTACCAGCATCTTAACAAAGGCAACATATCACATCCCGGATATCCCCACGTGAGAACTGCATTAGACAGATTTACGATTCCACACGACGGAAACTACCACCACTGTCTTGTCCAGAAGCCTATGTGGGAGAGTTTCAGAGATCTTCTATATCGCAATCCAACCCATAGGTTTACGGAAGATCTTCTCAGGGCTGGGCTTAAGCAAGTCTTTCTCGCGCTTGATTATCTCCACACGGAATGCAAGCTCATCCATACAGGTACGGATATCGGGATCTTTCTAAACCATATCGTTCAGCCTTTACAGATATCAAGAGCGACAACATCCTCCAGGAAATAGAAGATCTATCTATCCTAGACAGCTTTTCTAGAGCCGAGATGGAGCACCCCTCACCGCGAAAGTTTGTTAATAATATGCCAGTCTACGCTTCTCGGCGGTTTGATTTGCCCAGGGTGTTTGGCATGGCAGTTCTCAGCGATTTTGGCTCAGCTGTACAAGGGGATGAAAGAAGAAATCACAATGCTCAGCCGGACGTTTATAGAGCGCCAGAGGTTATGTTAAAAGCTGAGTGGAGCTATCCGGTTGATATATGGAACGTTGGTATCATGGTAATTTGCTATCTCCTTTTGCAAATCCCCTCTACTAGATTAAAAAATTAATCACTATAGGGGCTAGGCGTGGGACCTATTTGAGGGCAAGCACTTATTCGACGGTAACGACCCTGATGGAAAAGGGTATTCCACGCGTGCGCACCTTTCTGAAGTTATTGCAATGCTGGGGCCGCCTCCTGTTACTCTAATCAGGCGCGGGACGCGCAGCTCTGAGTTCTTTACCGAAGATGGTACGTGAAGGATGTCCTTGAAGTGGAATTTATTGTGTATGCATGCGGCTTACACTATTATCAGGACACTGGAAAAGTGATATTGAGATTCCGAAAGACAGGTCCTTGCGTAACTCAGAAGAATTTCTTAGTGGCCGAAATAAAGAGTTGTTCTTGAAGTTCATGATGGGGATGCTCCAATGGAAACCAGAAGACAGAAAAACGGCCAAGGAACTACTACAGGATCCTTGGCTAAATGGCCATTCGATCTAGTTCGGAGAAAAAACAATTCAAATAAAGCATCTAATGAAATACAAAAGCCGTTTCATGTTTCATATTTAAGTTTGAAATACATGCGACCGCGGAGTGGTGGTCTGTAAAATAAAATATCGCTGGTATAAATTTACATTCGACGGACGAATGTCTTTAACGGTATACAGCTGCACATCATCTCCGTATGGTGTACTTCCTCTTGAGACACGGAAGAAACGGCATTGGTGCAAAGAAGCGTAACTTCATATAGTATAGCTCGGTACAGGGATCTGAACTTAAAACAAAAGCAGAAACATTCGGGCTCTGAATTCTATCTGTGACTCCAATACATGCAAACGAGAAGTAGGTCTAGAACTTCTTCTGGTACTTCAACTTCTTGAGATCATCAAGATCGTCGACCCGAACGCGCGAACTGCGGACATTGGGATCGGCTAGGAGCAGCTCGTACACATTCGCAAAGTCTGATGACTTGGTAACTCCATGCTGCTCAGCAAGTTCATCAATCTCGACACGGTATCCAAGGTAAATTTCGTTGAAACGGACGGTTGTAGACTCGTTCTCACGGGCGGCGGCCGTGGTCATAGGGAATAAAGCGCCTTGGGTCATAGCCGGCACGGGGTGAGTGGCCAAGTCGCCCTGCGAGCCGGTGCAAATCGTCCATGTAGTGGCAGGGTTCTTCTGTTCTAGCAGATAACCGATAGTATCCCGATAGGCGACTGCGAAAATTTTGTCAGACTTTGTAGGGACCTTAGGATTGGGAAGACTTACAGAAATTGGCCTCGAAGGAGACGTTAAAGTTGCTGCGCAGCTGGGCGGTGGTGATCTCGGGGAGGGGAGTTGTAGTGTACTCGCCGCCAACTTGGAAATGTTAGTGGACATTGACTGAAAATAACATTGTAGGTAACCAACCGCTAGAAAACACATGCTGGAAAGCTGGGAGCTTGCCCTCTCGGACTTGTTCAACGACACCCTTTATTCCTGAGTCTGAGAGAACATTGGCTTCAGCGAAAGTGATTCCTTTCGACGATCCAATCAACTTCACGAGCTTGTCTGCTGAGCTTTGGTTGCGAACAACAGCCAAAACATTGCGCTTGGAGCGCAAAGCAGCAGTGACGGCTGATACGCCGATATTTCCAGTAGATCCGACAACTAGAACGGTCTCCATGATTGCTTTGAGCGACATTGATGCAAAATCCAAAGATGCTCAGTTCGCTTTTGTATTACATTTTTTTTTGACTTGACATATTCTTGAATGAACATGGAATTACTCTGCGATGACAGATCAACTCGCGAGTCGGTAGTAGTCGGTGTTCCAAAGACGCGAAACCCGGCGGAGATGACATATTCAACGAGATTACTATTTTCCCCTCGTTGCTCTGGCGAATCAGGCTTTACGATATTTTGCCAAGTAACAGGGATCTACGCCTACGTGACATTTGTCTTAGTAGATCCCTGCATTTCCCACGAGGCATGTGTGTTAGCTTATGAATCGCCAAACATCCCCGCATCAGGCCGTCAAAGATTATGGGGAGATCCATCCATAGCCCCACCGATTACGGCAGTCGATTTGGGCCAATTTTGGCAATGCTTATCAATACATATTGAAGAGGGGAATGCCCGAGGCAGTATGCTCTCTGGCATACGGGTCGATTCAGCAGTGTACATTCCGCCTATTCTAAACGCACCTTTCTTTTTATTTCTGCTACAACTATACCACCAGCCGTCAATATTGAGCCGTACAGGGATGAGATTATCTGTCTTTCTCAATCAGGTACCTCTTCAAAGGATATATATAATGTCAGAAATACTATCTGCAATACTAGATGAAAAGATGGTATTGTAAGAATATCACGTGACAACTACAACTCAGACCCAACCCAGTCTGGACCTGTGTTATAACATGCCCCTGGACTGGCGAGTTACACACTAGGCCAAAAAGACCACTATATCTGAGCATCACGCTCAGATATTGCAGGCTCCGATATATATAGTGCGACATGACAACCTGCCCCAAATTGGGTTACAAAATAAGCAAACGCGCTAATTATATATATAACCCTATATATAATTCTGCTGGTTTAGTTGGTTTATAACTACCAAGACCCCCTTTTATAAAGATACTGGGTCAAACTGGGCCTATACTGGGTTTTCTGGGGCCCCAGTCACTGGATCTTGGTTGAGTCCTGGGTCAAGACCTTCGACCCAAAATGTTACATGCCAGATCTTTATGAACAAGAGTGCAGTTTATTCAAAATACTAAACATGAGGAGGGAAAGAAAAAGAGCAGAAGATTCGTGGGATCGAAGGTAATTGTGAGTCCCGCCCCAGAAATGCAAACCATGCAAACATCAACCTCCGTATCCAAAATCAAGATCCAATATCAATATCCGGCGACGGGAACAAGTTTCCTGGTCAACTTGGTCGCTTGTACGCGTGATTATCTGGCCTGAAACGTAAGGCAGAAAAAGGCAACACTGCCCTTGTCAATTGAACCAATCATAGTCGAGTATGTCACTGCGCCTCTTCAAATACAGATACCTAAGTTGCTCCTACCCTTTCTCCTTGAATTACCGCTTCTCTATCTCACACTTCAACCATGGATATCCAACGCCAGTTTCCTGGTGTCCACTGGATATGGGGAGGAGGTATCTCTTTTGTTTACGAGGTCCACCCTCGTATCGTGGTCAAAGTCCCCAAGTCTGGGGAATTCGAGAGGGAACAATTCCAAAAAGAGCTCGAGATATATCAAGTATTCTCGCAAAATCCGCCTTGTCCCTCCATTGTGCAGTGTTTTCACCTTTCCAGCAGTGGTATCTTCCTCGAGTATATGAGAGGTACAACCCCTATTGGCAGTTAAGAGGTTGTCTACTAATTTACCTCCTAGATATATCGCTTTCTTCTAGGATACAAAAAAACCATACTCGGGACCAGCAAACTATGGTAGTTACTACAGTAGAAAAGTTGGAACCTCTACCCCTGCGAAAAGAATGGATGAACGATCTCGCTCAAGCCGTCGCTTTCTTGGAATCCGTTAATCTTGCTCATGGTGATTTACGACCTGAAAATATTCTACTTGATCGCAACCGACTAAAGCTATCCGATTTTGACTGTACGGCGCCAATTGGTACAAATTACGAAGCTTGTATGGCTCCGTATGGCCGAATCCTCAATAACAATGAGTCGGACCAAGGGGAATGTGGAACTTTTGGCTTTCTTGGCCCTCGAAAAGAACAGTTTGCGCTTGGTTCCTTATACTATTTTATTATTTGATGAACTACGGCTTTGAGGTTTATGGAGATCGCTGTCTTACCGAGGATCCTTACGACCATGGTCCTAAGGTCGTGGACCTACTACAGAATATGGAATTTCCGAAATTGGATGGCAATGCCCTGATTGATAATATCATCAACAAATGCTGGCATAATAAATATGTCACAGTCTCAGAATTAGCCGCGCACACGAAAACACTTTTGAACGAAAGAACCGATGCGATGGAAAGTAGCAAAGTGACCACCCTCCTCAAAAATCCTTTCAACGAACGATGGAGTATGGTCATGAGTAGCATAATTTATGGGATATGCTATGGCCTTGGAGTATGGTGGAGGTCGTTATTACAGAGTGTCCACGTCGCCGGGCGAGCCAGTGGCGACAATCGTGATATGGATCAAAACTGCATGGAAGAGGATTTTGTTTCGAAAAGGGAATTTTGTCAGGACCTGGAGAAACGTGGTCTTCTTCAAGCGCTTTCTTCAGGCGAGCCTGAGCAAATTGGATTCTCTTTTGATTGGTATAGATACAGTCTTTAATGTTGAACTATCATACAAACTTGATGAAACCTTTGCGAGCAATGACAGTAAAGCTATATATGGTGAAGTACTCTTGCTCTTCTGTCAATGCGTGTCTTGGACTGCGTTGAAGGAAACATTATATTCAATGCTTTCAAAGGGTTTGAACAAAATGGTGGTACAAGGGACAGAGGGAAATGGGTGGCTCCCAAGCAAAATGCTGCATCTTCCAGGCAAACCTTGGAAGCAAGGTACAGTTACGTAATTAGCCTCTAAGCCCAGAGCATCGTATCAGAAGCAGGACGGAAAAATAAAGAGAAAGCCTTAGGGGCAAACAAGCTTGGGATTAATAGGCCAGAGGCCAGTTAATTTAAATCCAAGCTTCATTATATAGGGCCGCGTTTTTGCACCTATTGTACAACCAATTGTCCATTTATAAAATAGCTGGATCCATTGGTATACTATAATATCATTACAAACCCCGAAAGGGGTGCGGGGCGAAAGCGAAGGGCCGGGTATAGTGTAACTGTACTATATAATTTTTACTGAGTTTCTGTATGGCAGAAACCGCATTGTCAAAATTGGCCTAAATCGACTGCCGTACACCGATATCCACTGGCCTTAAACAAATTTCTTCTTGCGTCGGGCGTCGGGACAATTCAGCTTCAGCGAATCAGGCTTCTACCGATCACCCAGCTCAAAAAGCATGATTGGAGAAAAATTTACCCCAAGAATAATAAAAAAGGGACTTATTTTATTACCAATGTAAGTAAAACTTGTTATAGTAAACCTGTTATGAATAGTCAGCTTTATTTTACGGTGATAGATTGACAGAAATTTTAACTATATTTAGTCGGTAGATTCGACTTGCTACGGGGAAGGACGTCTACGGAGTAGGAACTACAGTAATGTTCCGCACGCGAGGAGCCCGGTCAATTTTTGTAATTATCTACAGTAAATAAAGAGCCATTCAATGCAGTTATGACTGGTTGATAGTTTGTCTTAGCTTCGTAACACCACAGAATCCCACAAGAGAATGTCTGATACAGCCCATATTCAAGCGGTCACGCTAGACAAGTTCCTCACAGCATGGAAAGACCAGGCTGTGGAAGATACAATAGCACTTTGGTCCGACGACTTTAAACAACAGTTGCTGCCTTCCTCACTAGGCGTGCCGAGTCATTCGCGGGCTGAAAGCGAAAAGATCTACCCGAAGCTGACGGGAAGTCTAAGAAACTGGAAGGTTAGCAAAACATGTACTTATTTTTGAAGCCGCCCTTGGTAGCCTACTTACATTGAAGTAGCTGGATATCAAGGAAGTTGTTCATGATGTAGGGAGGGGCACCGCAGCTGTATATGCAACTTCGCAGGCCGACACACCTTTGCCAAACGAGAAGTGGACAACCGACTTTTCCATCTTTCTTTCTTTCACCGAGGATGGGCTGAGAGTGAATAGGCTAGATGAGATGGTGGATTCGGGATTCTATGCCGATTACTTCCCCAAGTTTCAGCAGTGGCTTAGAGAGAATATGTCGCCCAAAGAGGAGTCGCACTAGTCAAAATGGACCATACTGTCATATCGAGCTAGTGATATATATAAATCCTTGATAATGAACATTCTATTCCTCTGAGCGAATTCTACAAAATAAATGATTTAGAACGCATTGTTTAGATAATTATATATAAAATCGCACGCACGAGATACACACAGAGTCCGCTTGTTGAGACTTCGCTCTACACTGCGGCCTTTCAAGTAATACAGCCCCGCTCCCAAAAATGGTCCGACGATAACAACTGCGCACCCCACCAGCTCCGAGCTTAGTAGATATAAGAGCATAGACGAATCTCCGCCTTTGGAAATACCAAACTTCTTTAATCTCTCAATCGTCAGCCAGGCAGGGATGGCGCCTAAAATCTATGCCGTCTTGGGGTCGACAGGTAACTGCGGCACTGCGCTGATTACAAACCTGCTGCAAAATCCAGACACCCTGATACACGCCTACTGTCGAAACCGCTCTAAACTTCTACGACTACTTCCGGATATCAATGAAAACGACCGAGTCAGCATCTTCGAGGGCAGTATCGAGGACACCAAACTCGTACAATCGTGCATCCGTGACTGTCAGGCCGTGTTCCTGGTAGTTTCGACCAACGACAACGTTCCAGGTTGTCGCCTCGCTCAAGACACCGCCGCCGCTGTGGTGAAAGCTTTGCAGAGTCTAAAGGCCGAGAATATGAAGCACCCAATGCCAAAGCTGGTTCTTCTCTCCTCTAATACTGTTGACGATGAACTTTCTCGCCACGTGCCATACTTGCTCCGCCCGATCTTGTTACGCTCAGCATCGTTCGTTTACCAGGACTTGATAGACACTGAAAAGCTGCTCCGTCAACACGAGGACTGGTTGACAGCAATATACGTCAAACCGGGCATGCTTTCGGTTGATATCAAGCGTGGCCACGAACTGAGCTTCACGGATTCCGACCACGGCCCGGTCTCCTACCTGGACCTGGCTGCTGCAATGATTGAGGCGGCCGATGACAAACAGGGGCGCTACGATAACAAGAGTGTTAGTGTGGTCAACACGAACGGACAGGCTAAATTTCCGGCGGGGACTCCAATGTGCATCCTCACTGGATTGGCCAGGCATTTTATTCCTTCTTTACATCCGTATCTCCCGACGGATACGGGTCCCCGATAATGTTATACTTGAGCTGTATATGCTAGCTGGCTATGCCATATGACCCAATGAAATAATATTTATGTTTCTAATCGGTCTCCCCCTTGTGGACAGGAGTGAATTGTGTTATGGCCCAGGAAAACCTGCCAACAACTCATCTGTGGCCTAAGATCAATATGGAATAATCTTGAAGTATTTGCAACTCTGACGGCCCCAGCCATTGATGTACTCATCTGTCATGTCAGGTCGGTGCTTCCGCGATTACAGCGTGATAGAGGCAATGGAATGTTAACAAGTACTAGGTGGGACAGGCTGTGAAAGCTTGTTGTGTCCAAAGACTCGACACAATGTACAAACTAGTTATCACTTTAGCTGTGAAATATGAATTATATCAATGAAGCTGATAGGTGCGATTGCCGCTTTGATTGCATAAACTATACTTAAAGTGCGATTTGTACTGTCTTCAAAACCGCATCATGATGCAATACTTCGCATTCGTATCACGACGATGTCCAAATAAACCCATCTAATCATATGTGTAGAAGATTTTGTCAAACTCATGCTCTTTCCAGCGGATGCCTGGAAGGAGACCAGCCCACTTCCAGATACCGTCTATCTTGCGGTAGTGGACGGTGGAGTTTCCTGAAGCATGGCCTCTGCGCTGGACCTCAGTCAAATCATCATCCTTGTATCTCTGGTGAGTCACGCGCATCTGGTGGGTGCCGATGATGTAGTCCTCAGCCTCCTGTTCGAACTTTGAGACGCCGACGAAATGCTGGGACTTGACGCGGGGGTTGCCGAGGAAGCCTGGGTCTTTCACCATTTCAATGAACTCCTCGCGGGGAATGGCTTCCCAGTACTTGTCCATGAAGGCACGGTAGTCAATCTGTACCCCAGTCAGCTCCGGTTATTTTCCGAGGAGGGGTTCTTGAACTTACGTGAAGGGTCGGCGCTGCGTTCCGAAGAAAGCGGTCCCAATCCTTGGTGTCATAGCTCTCGGCCCACTCGAACATGGCGGCCTGGCAGCCGATCACATCTGTTGCTGTGTAAGTAGTGAAACCGGATGGGTTAAAGCGTTGACTAACCTTCTGGGGCAGGTTGTTTAGGGGCCACCATAGTGTTGCAGGATATCTGAAAGATGGTAGAATGGGGTACGAAGGCCTTGTTGGTGTCATCACTCTGGGAGGCGCGTATTGTATGTCTTTAATAATTTTTCTGTCCACTTCATTTTCGGGGGAAAGAACTCTGGATCAGCGATGTGCTGACACGAATTATCAATCATCCGCGGGGTATAACGAGGCGGCTCCGATGGGAGTCTCGGGATCGGGGCTTTGCAACAGGAGATCAAAATGATGAACCTCCATGTATGTGGGCTGTAATACAGGGAGCTTCTAGGGTCCATTTCGGTAGTTTGCCAGCTGCATTTTGGTCCAACTATCCGCTCCCCGAATTGTTCCAAAAGCGGGCAAATGACGGACTATATTAGTTGGTTCTAATAAAGATAAAGAGTAGTACTTGCAGAAATTTTTATTGCAACCTACATTTAACTCTCTCTTGATAGTTCAATTTGAATCGAGAAATCACATCGCAATGGCAGCTGGAACCCCCAAGATCAAGCTCTACACCCACCCCCTCAGCCCGTGTGCGTTCATACCTGCATCTGCCTCTCATTCTGAACTAATCATAGATTGATAGGGTCTCACCGCGTGCACATTGCACTCGACGCGCTAGAGGTGCCATATGAGCAGGAGATCGTTGATATCACCAAGCCTCGAACCCCGGAGTACTTGGAGGTGAATCCCCGCGGGCTAGTTCCTGCGCTCAGTTATGATGGGAAGATTCTCACCGAGTCCACCGTCATAGCCACCTTTTTGGCAGATACCTTCCCCTCAAAGCTGCTCCCACCTTCTACCAATCCAAATGGGCCCCTCACCCGTGCCAAGATCTCATTCTTCGTTGACACCTACCTCAACCGGGTACAGCCCTTCTTCATGAAGGCCCAACGCTCCAAGTCTGCCGAGGATCGGGCAAGCGGCCTCGCGGAATTCGTCAGCGCAGCTGCCAAAGAGCTCGATCCCCTACTCTCTGATGCAGCCCCATTCTTTGGTGGCTCTAGCGAGCCCACGCTGGCAGAGGTATGTATCATCCTTGGGGTAATGTCGCGAGGATGTTGAAGCTAATTCGTTGAAGGTATTGACGGGATCCTTCATCATTCGGGCTTACATTTTGCCCAAGCATGGCTTGCTGCCGGAAACCCTCCTAAGCGACTTGGCTGCGCAGGCGCCTAACTTTGACAAATGGGCGAACGAACTTATTACGCACCCAAGTGTAAATGGAGGGATTTGGGATGAGGAGAAAATTGTAGCCAATATTAGAAGACGGCTATCAGGACAAGCTTAGAAACAGTGGAATTTTGTTCATGAGAAGATAGCAATATACTGAATCGAGGCACAAAACCGCAATGCTCTTCTATCGGCCACACAAGACAGCGAGTCGTAGGTTGTAACCCTGGTACTTCTGTACAGTGCTCTAGCGTACAACAAGTCACAACTCACGTAAATCAGCCAAGCATGAAGTACAATCACATCCTTTTTATTCAAATGTGGAGGTTACACTGCCATGACCCCTCCATTTTTCAGGGGATCTAAAGGTCGGACCCCCTGTGGGGGACCCTGAGGATCACCCGCAGGTCATCAAATAGGGTAAGCCTTTCGGGCTTGGCTCGCATAAATTATACGAAATCACCCTATACGATAGGCACCCTTATTTCGCCCCCAAAGAACCTGAGACACGTAAGACCACGTCCCCTTTCTATGTATCGAGGTGTTGTATTTTCGCCACCGACATATCGGTTTTGAATTTGAATTTAAATTTAATCCATTTAATCCATTTGATAGCTGATATTGTTAAGGGCATATGTCCGCGGAGATGCAGAATTGTGATCCTGGGAAGCAACTCCCTGTATCTTGAGCCAACAAACGAACACCCGTAATATTAATTTAGCGGCAAAAGTGTTGGTGGCTTATTCACTTTCAAGTAAGAAAACACGAATATTTCCACCAATTTGTTACTCGCTGCTTGTATATCTTCATCGTGGATCTCATTGTCGTGTTTTGTGGTTCGTTAAAGTATTCATTCTAATTCCTGATATGTAGAGGCAGCACAAAATGTCAAAAACTCCAATGTAAGACGGTTTAGCCTGCTAAAATTGACGTAGCATGTTGATAACTACTGAGGATACCGTAGTAATACACTTGCGCAGATCTATCTCTATTTGGGTCAAAGTTGTAGGGGAAAAGGACTCCTTGATTGTTTTTGCAGCCTTGCGCTCCGCTCCTGCTGCCCCTTCCGGGTTGAGTCTTGGTGAAAGCTGATTTACCAATTGCTGCACGCGGTGCAACTCGCTGAGAATCAACTGGGCTGCCATGCGCTGTACGCTTTGATCATTTGTGGAGGAGCTCCCACCTGCCTGGGTTACTCCTCCGGACTGGTTTTGTGCCACTGCTGCGTATCGCCTCAAGACCTGGAAGACAATCATCGATAGCATGACCAGGATGTAGCCATCTTCGGTGCATGAGCATTGTAGCATGTTGCTAACTGCTTCGATGGTCTGTTTATTCTCCATGACCACGGTTTGAGCTGAGGCATAGCAGCCCTGAACTATGTCGTTGGAAGTCGTGATATCTTCGGTTACCGGCGAAGCTGGTGCTTTACTCGACGATGGCTTCAGGAGCTCCAATGCCTGCATCAGACAGCAGATTGTATGGGTGTGAGTTGCTGGCCGCGCTCGAGCGTTCAACGATGGAGAGGTTGACATATATGCATGAGATTTCGGGCGGTTAATGATGGCTGCTTCTTGAACCCGGGCGTAATTAGTCTCATCCGGAATAAGAAGATTTGCAAGATCATTGTTTTCTTGCATGAAGCTATTAGTTTCCAGCGTATCTAGCTCGAGGAAGTCAATTGACGAGGGAAAAAAGTCATCGAATTCGTTGCTTATTCCTGCGAACGTAGGTTCCATAGGCATCGACAAGCAGGAGAAATCGTCTGAAGACGACGAGGAGGGTTCAGCGCCAGCAATGGTAACCCCGCGTCCGGGTGACATTGATGTGGGAGTGAGACATAGACCAGTCATTGGGTTGTCCTTGGGTGTAGATAACGCGGCATCAGATGCTGAGTGTGTGGAGTCGGGCCACAGGCCTGGTACAGTCTGAAATTCTGATCGCTCGGCGCTGGTCGACTGACGGCTGTTATGGTTGGTATTGCTTGTGCTTGTGGGCTGGCCATTGTTAAGCTTACGCCCTGGACGTTTCGTGACAAAATATTCACAGGTGATATTGCGTCTTGCGCATCGCGAGCATGTTGGTTTTTCTTTGTGGCATTTGACCTTGGATAATGCACACGCATGGCAGCTGTCTCGTAATTTGTTGGTTGTTGACCCATTGGTCTGGCGTGGTGGTGTATGCGACATGGGTGACTGAGTCCTGGGTGCAGGTGCTTGAAAGTGAGCCAGTAAACCCGTCCCGGTGATCTACTTCCCGATATATATATAACGCCTGCGTGACGGCACTATTATACCCAGGCGAGGGAACCTGTCCCCTGTCGGGGTAGGTTCCAGGAATGGTAAATGCAGATGGAGAAGAGGCTCTCATATTACCGACATGTCACCAGTTCGACAGGGGTAAATATGCGAGGATGATGGTATACATAATTACCACGTTGTTTAGCATCAATCACTAGAATATCGTGGGATTTCGATTAACAAAATGGATACTACGATGTACATGAAAGGGATATTTCTACATATGTGCCTCGAGAATACCACACAAAAATGGCCGGGTACTATTGAGGCGTGTTGAGGAAGATGGATGAAGAGCTTCAAAGCATAATCGGGCGATGTACCTAGGCAATTCTATCTGGGCTGAGCGCTTCAAAGTTGATACAGGATGAACTCTATATTCCGTAATCTCGGGGTCCTACCTATACAGGTAAATTAAATTACAAGGCTGATGTGGCACTGAGGGGCCGTTCCGCAAGGTTACATATGTAGGCTCCATAGCGGACACCTTGCCTAGGCATGTCTCCCGGAAACCCGGACCCCTCGGGGGCGTCAGTCGTTACCAATCAGTTAGTCAGTAATAGTCAGTACCTCCCACGCGGGAGGGCCTTCGAATATTACTTCTGGGGCCCCACATAAATAGAATTGGCCCCCAAGATGAGATATGGCGATTCGCGCGGTTTAGCACATATCATGCCTCCGTGCGCCTTCCTGGAAAGCTCATACTTCGGCTGGAACGCGTGTCATTTACCTTTTATTGGCTGAAATCGTAGAAAATTGCTGTCAGTGTCTTCCACTTCGTGGCCCTTCACCGTCCCAGAATGGGATAAGCCACCCCAACTAGCGTGTGGTATATTCTATGAGCGATAGTTTGTTTCTGATTTCTTCATTCATCTTCACACTGAAAAAGAAAGGGTGGAAGTTGCATTGTGGCGGGTTCTCCTATTTGTGCACGGAATACATCTACGTAATAGTCGCTATGAAGAATTATTAGCCCCGCGTTCAATGAACCTTTCGGTAGAAGTCCGCACCTGATTGATATTAATCTTTGATTATGATAGTCCAGCCGGCCTATCCTAGTCCCTTTGCCTATCTTCATCAGCGCCACCTTTTCCTCCGGGCTTAGCAAACCCAACTGTCTCATACAAAGTATGATCACTCAAAACCTGAACTGCATCAATTTACAATGACTGCATTGCCAGAATGGCCGCATGTATCAGGCTCCCAGAAGAGTAAGCCTAACATAGAGTACTCGGTACACATTCCATCATCGGGGAATTCACGGTTGTGGCTTTTATCAACATAGCGCTGCCTAGACTTGGCTCTCTCTAGAAGTCCCAAGAAGATGACCATTACCAACCTTTTGAACGATAAGGCCTCTGATGAAGGGCGCCTTGCGTGATCTTCGTAACTTCTGACGATGAGGTGAGCGTCTGATCGCCACATGCCAAAACGCAAAACTCTCTTTGCCAGGAGAACCTTTTTCCTACTGCTCTTGCCAGGCGTGCAGTCAATAGATATTAAATTAACCTCAAAGCGGACTATTCTTCGAGAAATTAGAACAAAATCCAGCGGAATGAAGAACACTATCTTTGCCGTGCTCGTTTTATTCCCCAACATGACGCATACATAGCTCGTGCGCATTAGTTCTCATTGCTGACAGACGTCAACTAGCTGATTGTTTGTGAAGAGAATCAGCCCTTATTTCTGACATACTTCAGTTAGCGCATACTAGTGACGATCTGTGCTAGCGGCAATTTTTCTCATTGAATCATCCTAATGATTGCTATCTACTGTTTCAATTTTCTCCTACTACTAAGAATTGAGTTTTTGACAACCTAAAAACGGTATATTTAATATCATATATGATGAGAATATTTCAATTTATTTTTCATTGGCCCGGAACCTCTGCATATACGCTACAGGTGGATATGGTTATAGGTATAGAATACCCCGGGATCTTCGGGCCCCAGTTTACCTACCGAGGTACCTACCTAGATGCCCAGGTGTATGTCTAAGATTAGTAAGAGTATACTATCCCCCGAGGCCCTCCGGGTTGAGATATTATACGAAAATTGTAACGCGAGCAAAGAGCTGATATGTCAGTGCAATGAAAATTAAATACAGAAAAACTCCTTGCACACTTAATTAGCCTCTATTAAGAGCGCATCTTTCGATATATTATATACTACCTGAGTATAGATATGGATGGCCACCTGGAACCTGGTTATAGTCTCGGGCCGTATATAATGTGGTTTAAAATAGGTAGAATTGGCCAATGGGACAAAACTCACGGATTTTCGGTTTCGTCGCCCATACCATACGGTGTACTTGTAGGGATCTGTGTAGGAGTAGCCCGAATGCGGGGAACCTGGCCTTTTCCTTTATTATTCTATCAATCTGCGAGTAAAGGGACACTGGCCCTTCCATGTAAATAATATATACATTCCTACAGTCGTAACATACCCACAAAGTTCAAACTATAACGAGTCAGTACAATATATAGCAATTGGTTATTACCTGTCTAAGCGAAGAAGCTCTACTTTTTATCCATTTCAAAAATTGAATCTTCCGTGCGGTCATGGATAGCTTGACTGAGCTAGAAACCTACGCAAACGAACTTATCACGGCTGTTAAGGGTCTTGCTGGTTATTCTCTAAGCACGGAGGTCTCCCAGAGCTCAGCCAGCCAACCAAGTAGTGACCCTGGAGCTCAGAAGGAATGCCATCGAGCTAAAGCATGCATACTATCCAACATTGCTAAAATCAAGATGTTGGTTTCTGAGCCTACAGGGTTCCTTGAAAATCTCACGACTCAGGTTTGAATTTCCCACAACCAGCATGGTTCATCTTGAAGCTGATTCTCTCAGATGCAAATTCTAGCTTGTTTGCGATGGCTAGGCGAATTTCAGATCTTGGCCTGTATTCCCCTAGTCGGGAGCGTCTCCATCAAGGATGTAGCGCATTTATCTGGCGTTCCAGAGACATACCTTGATCGAATCGTGCGTTTAACCGCTACATCCGGCTTCCTGCACGTATCGCAACCTAGTCATGTGTCTCACACACCCTTGTCTGCGCCGTTTGTTACCAATCCTTCACTTCTTGATGCGGTAATGTTTCTCGCAGAATCTGCAGCCCCGGCTGCCTTGCAGATGGCAGCCGCAACTCAGCAGTTTGGAGACTCGCATCAACCCAATGAGACCGCCTACAATATGGCCTTGGGGACGACAAAGCCCTTTCACACGGCGCACAAGGAACAACCAAAATTAAGCCGTCAGTGGTCCTCTTATCTCAACTACGCTGAAGGACTACATGCAGTGGGGAGCATTACCGATATTCTCACGCAACTTAATTGGTCTAACATCAGCCATGTGGCTCGATGCGTCGTCGAGGTACATTCAATCCCATCAGTTTCGAGTATATTCAGTCAACTAACTAGGCTTCAAGGTGGGCGCCCAGTCAACCGCGACAGCGAGAGGCCTGGCAGATATGCATCCCAGTCTCCACTTCGTTGTCCAGATTACCGATCCAGCGTCCACAATACCTGTTAATAAACTCATATCTCCATTCGATCGAGAGCTAGGAATCAGTCCCCGAATCAAAGTTACCAATCGGGTCCTAGGTACACGACAGGTTAACACTGATGCAGCTATCTACATTCTTCATCTGCCATCATCGCTCAGTGCAATCCGTGCTGAGCTGCAGGTACATCTTGAAGCTCTACGGGCAAACGGTGGTATCATGCTCATATTAACCGCGCGGCTGCTCCCAGAACCAGGCAGCATGCCCAATCCCGAGGTCGAGGCTGTGGCACGTTCGCGAGGTCTTAGCTTGCTTCAGTTAGCTAATGAGGCGGAGATCGAGATGGTTGAACTGCTAGAATTGATTGGTACGGTTAGAGATAATGTAGGGAAGTTGATTGTGACAAACAAACTTCGCTCACGCAACAGCCTTGTTGTTGCCTTAGTTGTCGAGCACCAAGTTGATGTCAAAGCATAATGTATGAATGGTCAATAGGATCCCATGTTACTAGTACTTTTTACGAACAAGACTTCTTCATCAAAAAATTCTTCAATACTATATGGAACCATGATAAAAATTCACAGTCATGTTCAAAATCCCAGTTCTAAGAATCTTTGAAGCCATCCACGACCTCCCCGTCTCTCACGTACTCTTCAACCCAACCAATTGTCATCCTGAGGGAAATGAGCCAACAGCCCAGAGAAGGTATACGAGAGCATAACTTACATGCTCCTTTTTGTGTCTGCAAATTTCTCGTGATCGCCAACTAGGTGCTCCTTATACCACGGATCCTCTTTCATGCGCTTATAATCTTCGAGGCTTTTGAAGAACACTTGACTGAAACAGTCAAAATCTGCGATATTCGCCATCTGTCTATCATACAGCTGACCCATCATGGCGCGAGTGGCGCTTTGGTTGTGAATCTGGGTTTCCGTATTAGATCCATAGGGACATTGTAGCAGCAAGACGGGGATTAGGAAGCCACTCACTTGGGTCCATCTTTTCACGCCATATTTCACCATGAGTGCTTTGGTCATGGGAGCGGAAACATTTACCATATGGTTGCGGTAGTCTTCCTCGCTCATGCCTGGCTTTCGGTAGCCGCAAATGGTAAGACAGAGACACTTGTCTTTCGTCGAATCCGATGCCTCAGGCACCACAGGTTCATTGAATGTTGACATGTTAAATCAGCTAAGCTACTAATTCTGGGTGATTAAAGCCAAGAAAAAGGGTATTGACAGCCGCACAGTGACTTGAGTGCGATCCTGGGTAATGACTCTAATGCAATTCAGCTTTGCGCCGACAGACACGGAACTCGTATTGTACGACATTAAATTAGGCCGTAAACCCCTAGTTTGTATAAAATTTACCCGGAAGATACCGAGATCAACATCTATAACTCCAAAGTTTGACCAAGTTTTATCAAAAGATATACACCCTAGAATATTTTCCCGAACAACCATGACGAAAAGACAGGCAACTGGGGCATCCACACCCAAGATTAACATACCGGCTGCGGCCGTACTCTCGGGGTCATTTCTATCAGGCAAGCCATCATAGTCCATCTCACATCAGTTTACAATGTCTGACTATTAACAAAGGTGCTATGATGAGCCTCTCGGCATTCGTGATTCCGGTATTCCTCGACACCAACCAAACAGCCGACCATATGGTCCGACAATGGGCTCGCCTTTACCACTATGGGCATATCTATCTACCTGCATTATGCGTCTCCACAACTGGGATGTACCTGTTCGCTGCGCTGGGCAGGCGAGCCTCCAACAACGAGCAGTGGTCTCGGTACGCGCTAGCGGCGATATCAACCATTACCATGGTGCCGTTCACCTGGCTCCTCATGACCCCGACCAATAACACTTTGTTTCGGCTGGACGGGTCGGATTATTTTGTGGAACTAAGCCTTGTGCGAGGCCTTGTGGTGAAGTGGGCATGGCTGCATGTTACACGGTCCCTTTTCCCCCTTGTCGGAGCAATTCTCGGCTTTACGACCCTCTGCCAAGAGTTCCGATCGGGATGATTGGACCATAGGAGTTCGCATTCAATATTTTTTACACCTTTGTATTGTTGTGGGGGAATCGGTGTGGGGTCGGGGGATAGGCCCGATCGGTGGGTGTCAGCTTAGGAGCTCGGGTCATATTTGGGTCTGCCCAAATTGGGTTATAGTATTGTTCAGTACCAACATCATTGTATGCCGCAATAATTAAAGGCCACCTGTATGCTAGATCGAACTACTAATACGTACGTTCTAGGGTCCTGTGGTCAACCTTTTTCTTGGCAACGCGTTTCGCACAGAGACATATTCTGGCACGCAAGTAGATCCCGTAAAAAGTAGTGGAACTAGTTCCCTGTGTATTATTGTCATATTGAGGATCTGAGCTTATCAAAATCTGCTTCATGGTTCCGTAATAAGGAATTTGTAGTTCCACACAATGGGAGGCTAACGTAATGTAACCATCTTCAAGTCTAAATCACACAAGAGCAAACCATCTCTTCACCCCGGATCTGACCTGAAAGCCCACCACATTATCCTCCGCTAGTTTTCGTAGGACCTCGTCCATGAAAGGCTCTAGAGCCATCTGTCTAATAGTAGTGTCCGAATTATCCCCATACACAGCCGTGACAAGCTCCTTAACCGTAAGCCTGCCTTTACCACCCCCACTGTCAACAGGCCTCGCCTGCTGCAACGCCTCCAGTGCCCGTCGTTCCCTCCGTTGCTTTCCCGCTAGTTCACCGGCGATTTTGCCTTTAAGGTCCGCGATGACAACCCCATGGGCCGGGTAGCCTTTGACGCAATTGTGAGATTGCATTGTACGTAGTGTCGTTATCCAGGTATTAAGATGCTCAACTGCGGTGGTGCCATGGCCCAAAATGTTGTCTCCTGTGAACATTGCCTCTTCTTCCTCAAGGATAAAGCACATATGGTCGTGTGAGTGACCTGGAGCGTGCACCGCACGCACAGTGGCCCCTTCAACTTCGAAAACCTGTCCATCCTTGATCGGTTGTTGGGTCTTGCTCGGCGTATGCTTAAAAATAGACTCAGTGAGCTCAGGATACATGCGAACCAAGTCAGGAACACCGCCAGTATGGTCGCCATGCCAATGTGTGAGCAGGACTTGTGACAATGAGATGCTTTCTTTCTCAAGGGTGTCCTCAATCAGGTTTGCCCAGTCTGGAATGCCCTGACCTGTGTCAATAATGAGGCGCTTGGCGCCCGTCCCTAGGATGTATGTGTTTGTACCCTGAAGCGTGAACTATGTAAAACAGAGGTGGTCAGCAGACGATCTGGAATAGTTGGATGAGAAAAGCTTTAACACTCAGGCTCACCTTCCCCGGATTACATCCAAGAATGCGTATCACTCGTGGACTGATTTGCTCTACGTCCAGGAGTTTCGGCAAACGTGTTTGCTGGCTTTCGAGGTACTCCTCAAAGGCACAAATATTGAGTGCCTTATTGATCTGGCGGTAGCCTCCCACACCCGGCGCCATGTTGTGTTATGTTGTATCTGAGATTGGGGTGAAGCTGCTTTGACAATATCAAGTGAAAAGGGTTGATCCGGAATAAGAGATCTATCGGTGGGATTCCTAAATTTGAATCGAGCTTACATCCAGCCCGTGTCTTCGGGGTGAGACGCCATGACCAAAGCACAAACGACCGAAGGCGACGGGGGAATAACACCGTGGACGTGCATCTTACTACCTTCCGTGTCGTCTCGGTCAATCTAACTCGCGCAAGATGGAGAGCTAATAACTAACCGACTATGTGAAGAAGATACGTAGCCAGAGGTTCTATATAGATCACGTTGCCGTATACTGTTGGCCTTTCACACAATATATTTGACCCCAATTTTGAGTCCATGAAAAATGGCGGTTGATATGGAGTGGGCTGAATCACGCACAGAGCAGGCATCAATGCCCTCAACACCTGGGTCTCTAGTTGAGCCTGACAAGGCCAAGGTGGCCTATTTTGGAAATGAGTTTCCGATTGATGACCTGAAAGACCTGTTTCGTCGCCTTTACGGCCATTCTAAAGACAAACGACATGCAGGATTGGCAAGGTTCATCCACGAGGCCACGTCGGTAGTGCGAGAGGAGGTACGCTTGCTGCCAGCCGCTTTACGGACTCTTGTTCCTCCCTTCCAGACGATCTTCGATCTTGCCAATGATGCGGAGCTCCGAAGCGGTCCCCTTGGCGGGTCCATCGACGGCATGCTGCTCTGTGCCCTCCAGCTGGCAACCTTCATCGGGTATAGTAACCTCACCTCCGTATGCAAAGACGCTTTCATCTGACATGCGAACCTCAGGTACTATGAAAATGACGCTAGCGAAGACTTCTATTCTCCCGACGCAGTCACATATCTCACTGGTTTGGGAACCGGCCTGCTGTCAACCGCTGCGGTCTCCCTTTCTCCTACATTGGCGGATCTCCCACTTGCTGGTGCTGAGGTCATCCGCATCGCCTTCAGACTCGGGGTCGTTGTCGATGAGGTTTCGCAGAACCTTCATCCACGCTCGGTCGACGGTAGCCCCGCTTCCAGTTGGGCCTTCGTGGTTGCCGGTGTCGTGGAGGAAGACGTCCAGAAGGAGCTTGATGCGATACACGCGGCCGAGGTTAGTTATGTTATTTCTCCCTTGACCAAGTTGAATTACATTGTTGATATATCTATCTCAGAATATCTCCGAACCAAACAAGGTTTTTATCAGCGCTGTGAGCCGAACTTCCGTAACCATAAGTGGTCCACCCACAAGAATCAAGCATGTCTTCCACGTATCGGACGTTTTACGTGACAGCGATTCAATTTCCTTGCCAGTGTACGGCGGCTTGTGCCACGCAAAACATATCTACGACAAGACTCATGTAAACCGCATCGTTCAGACCAGTGCGCTGGATGCGCTAGACGCCAAGTTCGCACCTCATGTGCCCATCCTCTCGACTAGCAATGGAAGGCAATTCCATGCAAAGAGTGCTCCTGATATTTTCCATGCCATAGTGGAGGAGATCCTCACTCAGGCAATCCGATGGGATAGTGTCGTGGAGGCCATTGCGTACCAGGCTCGAAACTGCGCAGGTTCCGAGTGCCAAGTGCTCATATTTCGCAATTCTCTGCCTGGTCGCGACCTGGTAGATGCTTTGAAAGCAGAGAGGCTGCAACTGAAGACAAGTACAAGAGATCTCATTCCATGGATCGCGAAGCCAAGTTCAATCCCGCAGGGCCCCAGGGGTACCCAGCAGGCTAAGATTGCCATTGTAGGCATGTCCTGCCGGATGCCTGGTGGTGCGACCGACACGGAAAAATTCTGGGAAATCCTCGATCAAGGCCTTGATGTCCATCGAAAGATCCCGGCTGACCGATTTGACGTGGATACACACCACGACCCCACTGGGAAACGTGTGAATACCAGTATCACCCAATATGGCTGCTTTATTGACGAGCCTGGTCTGTTCGACGCTCCATTTTTCAACATGTCTCCCCGCGAAGCACTTCAGACAGACCCAATGCAGAGATTAGCTCTTGTCACGGCCTACGAGGCACTCGAGCGATCTGGGTATGTTGCCAACCGCACGGCTGCCACCGACCTACATCGTATTGGCACGTTTTACGGGCAGGCAAGTGACGATTATCGAGAAGTAAACACGGCCCAGGAGATTGGAACATATTTCATCACAGGTGGTTGCCGGGCGTTTGGTCCCGGGCGCATCAACTACTTCTTCAAGTTTTCTGGCCCCAGCTATAGTATAGATACTGCTTGTTCGTCGAGTCTTGCCACGATTCATGTTGCTTGCAACTCACTGTGGAACGGCGACACTGATACGGTAGTTGCTGGAGGAATGAACGTTTTGACCAACTCAGACGCCTTTGCTGGACTAGGCAGCGGCCATTTCCTAACCAAGACACCCAATGCATGCAAAACATGGGATACGGACGCTGATGGCTACTGCCGTGCTGATGGCGTTGCGTCTGTTGTTCTGAAGCGACTGGAGGATGCAGAGGCCGACAACGATAACATTCTGGGTGTCATCCTTGCGGCAGGAACTAATCACTCCGCTGAAGCCGTCTCTATTACCCACCCTCATGCGGGCCACCAGAGCAATCTTACCAGGCAGATCCTTGCTCAAGCTGCCGTGGATCCTTTAGATGTCAGCTATGTAGAGATGCACGGAACAGGCACACAGGCTGGTGACACCCAAGAAATCCAGTCTGTCACTAATGTCTTTGCGCCCCTTACAAGCACAAAGCGTAGAAGCCCCAAACAGCCCCTGCATATCGGTGCTGTGAAAGCAAACGTGGGCCATGGGGAGGCAGTGGCAGGTTCGACAGCATTACTGAAGGTGTTGCTGATGTTCGAGAAGGGCATCATTCCACCGCATGTCGGCATCAAGAATACCATCAACCCAAGCTTCCCAAAAGACCTCGAAAAGCGCAACCTGCATATTCCATACCAGAAGGTACCATGGCCACATGTGCCTGGGAAGAAGCGCATTGCTGTTGTCAACAACTTCAGCGCTGCTGGCGGCAACACGAGTATCGTCATCGAAGAAGGACCAGTCCGGGCGATTAACAAGACTGTGGATCCGCGCTCAGCACATGCTGTCACTGTGTCGGCAAAGAGCAAGGTATCCCTCAAAGGCAATTTGGAACGCCTGATTGCCTACCTAGATGCACACCCCGATGTTTCGCTTGCAGATTTGTCATACACAACTACAGCTCGACGTTATCACCATAATCACCGCGTCGCTGTTTCCACATCTGATGTTGTTCATTTGAAGAAACAGTTGAACTCATATCTCCAATCTGTTGACACGCATAAGCCAATTCCAGCGACAGGCGCGCCCCCAGTCGTATTCGCGTTCACAGGCCAGGGGGGCTCACATAGGTCTATGAATCTGGAGCTGTTGCGCGACTCTGCCTATTTCCGCTCACAGCTCCTACATCTAGATGTGCTATCACAGAATCAGGGCTTCCCATCGTTCATGCCAGCCTTGGATGGCAGCTATCCACAAGACCACACCCACTCTCCGACGATCACCCAACTTGCTTTGGTTTGCACGGAGATAGCACTTGCAAAATACTGGGATTCCCTTGGCGTTCGACCTGACGCTGTGATCGGTCATAGTCTTGGAGAATACGCCGCATTGCACGTGGCTGGAGTTTTATCGGCTGCTGATGCAATTTTCCTCGTTGGTACGCGAGCCAGCATGCTGGAGGAAAATTGTGAAATTGGCAGCCATAAGATGTTGGCTGTGCGGGCATCACTTGAGGAGGTACGCGAGACGGTTGGTGACAACCCATTCGAGGTCGCATGCATCAACGGGCCCAAAGACACGGTGCTGAGTGGGACTGTGGCCGAGGTGGATACACTTGCCCAGGGTCTGGAGGCAGCTGGATTCAAGTGCTTCCCCCTAGACGTGGCGTATGCGTTCCACTCATCGCAAACAGATCCTATCTTAGACCAGTTTGAGAAGGTGGCGCGTACAGGCGCACTTTTCCAGCCACCAAACATGCCCATAATCTCGCCGCTGCTAGGCAAAGTTGTGTTCGATGAGAAGACTATTGACGCTAACTATATGCGAAGGGCAACTCGGGAGACGGTTGACTTCAGGGCGGCTTTGGATGCAGCACACCTCACGTCCATAGTGGATGAGACGATGGCCTGGATTGAAATCGGCCCGCACCCCGTTTGTCTAGGCTTCGTACGGTCAACTATCCCATCCGTGCGGGCCTCAGTGCCCTCGATGCGCCGTAGCGAGGATAACTGGACGACATTGTCAAACAGCTTGGCCACCCTCCACACGGCTGGCGTAACATTAGGGTGGAATGAGTTCCAGCGTCCCTTCGAGCAAGGTTTGCGCCTGTTGGACTTGCCTACATACGCTTGGAACGATAAGAACCACTGGATCCAATACAATGGGGACTGGGCTCTCACCAAGGGTAATACCTTCTACGACGCTGAGAAGGCCGCAGTCAACGGGAATCCCTTGACTGCACCCCACTCCAATCTGAGAACGTCGCTTGTCCATCGCGTGGTCGATGAGACCTTCTCTGGCACAGCCGGGCAGGTTGTCGTGCAGTCGGACTTGATGCAGGCAGACTTCCTAGCAGCGGCGTGGGGCCACAAGATGAACGGAGCAGGCGTAGTGACATCGGTAAGTCTCAATCTAAACAATCACCCCTAAACTCAAAGAACATCAGCTAACCCAGCCATTACGCAGTCTATTCACGCCGATATTGCCTGGACTCTAGGCAAATACCTGGTCGACAATCTCAAGCCTAAGTCCAAAGATGTCGTCGACATGGACATAACAAACCTTGTTGTGCGCGAGGGAATTGTAGCCCAAAAGAACACCAGTGTGCCTCAGCTGCTCCAAATCACCATCACTACCGAGGACATCAATGCGGGAACTGCCTACCTAGAATGGCACAATATTGCTGGCGACGGTTCGCTCGCCGATGAAGTGCCCATTGTTACGGCTCAGCTGGTCTTCGGAAATGCAGTCAACTGGCTTGCTAGTTGGGTACCAGCCACCCATCTCATTCAAGGCCGCATTGAGGCGCTTGAACGGTTGGCTGATGAGGGAGTGGCAAATCGATTCTCGCACAACATGGCGTACCTGCTATTTGGCAAGAATCTCGTCGACTATGCCGATAAATATCGCGGTATGCAGTCAGTGGTGCTAAATGGCCTCGAGGCCTTCGCGGATGTCACCATCAAAACCGATAAAGGTGGTGTATGGACTGTGCCGCCTTTCTTCGTTGATAGTGTGTGCCACCTGGGCGGGTTTGTCATGAACGTGTCGGATGCCATTGATACAGCAAACAACTTCTGTGTCACGCCCGGCTGGAGCTCATTCCGGATGAGCCGCCCCCTCGTCGCTGGTGGCAAGTACCGGTCCTATGTGAAGATGATCCCCACGACCGAGGATCCATCCGTCTACCTAGGCGATGTCTATGTGCTGCAAGATGGCGAGATCGTCGGTGTCATGCAGGGCATGAAGTTCCGCCGCTACCCCCGTGTGCTTCTCAGTCGCTTTTTCTCGGCTGTCGACGTGAAGAATAATACTTCCGGCACCGCTGTTACTCAGAGTCAAGCTCCAGCTGTCATCAAGAATGTACCAACTGTGACGACTATCCCTGTGGTCACAAAGCCCGCTAAGCAAGATCCAGCGCCACCTGCGCCAGTACCCACTCCCGCACCAGCAGCAAAGCCAGTGGAGACAGCGTCGGTCGCACCAGTCGACTCGGACAGTACCGCTGTCAAAGCCTTAGTGCTTGTGGCCGGCGAGACTGGCCTCGATGTTGCCGACCTTCAGGACGAAGCATTGTTTGCAGATCTGGGCGTCGATAGCCTGATGAGTCTTGTCATTGCGGAGCAGCTACGTGAGCAGCTTGGCGTCACTGTCAGTGGTAGCTTGTTCATGGAGTATCCGACTGTTGGGGATTTGCGCGCTTGGTTGGTTGAATACTATAGCTAGGTTAGTTGACCATTTTCTTCGGTTTGAAGGTTCCTGTTCTTCCTAAATTGACTGCAATATTATCACTGTTTGAGAAATAAATTTCATGGAAAATTCATGATATTCAACTTTTTATTCCAAAAATGACTGTATACGCCCAAGCCTGCCATACACTCACAATTGACTGCGATTTACCTCCGGGTAGTGAAGACGATGGAGTATGACATTGATTATCATATTCAATGTTAAACAAATTAAAAATAGACTAGTACAAAATATTTCTAGAGGTGTTTTTCAGGGGTTGTTGTGTTTTGCTTTTTTTAAATTCGATTCGATTTTCCTTTGCTCTTCACATCCCGTTCATACAGGCATCATCGGGTGGTCAGAGGTCCCATGGGATTTTCCAGCATTCCTTCCCTCGGGGTTATCTGCCAATCCCCTGTGCTCATTCTCCTTCCTCTTTTTACTCTCTTCATCCCCTTCTCTTCACGCCAACCCCACCTAAATCCTATTCAAGGATACCAAGTATGATACATCAGAAGAGACCCTCGATTAACGCCAAGAAGGCCTAATGGACTGGTAAGATCACCCCTAGCAGCTACTATAAATGCTCTACTAATATCCGCAAAAAGTATGAGGAGGGGGAAAGCACCCACAACCTTACGCCGGGTTCCCACACCCTTATGTTGGCACCCGTGAACTGCCTCCTACCGCTTTATCGCTCGGGGCGACTTTGCTCTGCTCCCACACTTTTTGGTTTATATCGAGGGAGATTGGAGCAAGCCGGAGTTGTCAGAGCTTTTTAGCATAGCAGACTGTGGCGATCCTGTCCTACGAATACACAAAGAATTAGAAGTCCTACTAGGAAATGGCCTCACCATATACGGTGACAACTTGACAACCGTTATGATAACAGATCCACTATTTCAGTCAAACCTGTGGTCAAATCCGGAACTCATGGACATCCTGGTCAAAACAAGGATGACAATTTCCATTATGGACGGCTGGAAGACCGAATCAGGCGAAAGTGGGTCTATCCAGCCAGCTCCGAAGGATGGGAGCTGGTGTAAAAAGGCAGTGAAGGCGTTCCAGCGGACGGACAGACACATTGGGCGACTAGCACGCTTCAAGCGGTCACCGTTGAGGAGACGAGCTCCGGCCGCTCGGTCGATTTACACAACGGAAACGCGGAAGCAAATCATAATATGCTCCCAGGCCAACTCAAGACAAGATGACCCAGCTTTATCACAAGTAGCACTTTGTCACAGTTTCACCTGGGCTACACAATTAATAGAATGGGAGGATCTGATTCATAAACCGCTGTGCCCACCCCAGAACGCGATCCCTACTACCCTAACGCCAGGGCCAATCCACAGTTCTTTCCGGAGCATCACCCGGTTTCAGCGGGCCAAGATTGCCTCACACTTTCAATATAAGCTCCGATTAGCATCCATTGAGCCTTCCACCTTCACATGCTGCGAGAAGGGCCTTCCACTGGGAGACTGATAATCCTGGAGTTGTGTCTCTGGAGGCTAACCCTCCCGGAATGTTCAATGACCACTACCGGGTTAAGATATTGTATATTATCTATAGAGAGTCTGAAACATATGACTCTGTGATAAATTCCACATATATCAAACGATATCATTCACAATCCGGAGTAGCATGCTATAATAGGGAGGGAAGAATCAAGCAGTTAGGACACAAAAATCTCCAAGACTAGGGTTATCAATGAAATATTATTTCAAAGCTTGATGATCAACATCAGGTCTATCTATAATATCTATGCTGCTCCACCATCCAGAGTGAGGATCTTCCCGTTGACCCATTCAGCCTCCTTGCTAACAAGGAAGCCAACCACGCGAGCAATATCCTCAGGGAACCCGTTGCGATGCAGGGGAGATGCATGTGCAGCCATCGCCTGACGCTCCTCCGCGGTGTACTTGTCGCCATTGGGGATGTAGTGCTCGGAGACCTCGTGGAACATATCTGTAACAGTGCCGCCAGGCGCGACAGCATTGACGGTGATCTTCTTATCACCACAATCCTTGGAGAAGACACGGACGAAGGAGTCAATGGCGCCCTTGGAGCCAGAATATAGCGAGTGCGCAGGAACGCTGAAGTCGTGAGCGGTGTTAGACGACATGAGGATGATCCGGCCCCCCTCGCGCAGGTTGCGATACGCTTCACGAGCCACGAAGAACTGCCCGCGTGTATTAAGGCTGAAGACACGGTCGAATTCCTCCTCGGTCACATCCTTCAGGTGGCCAAAACTGACGACGCCGGAGTTGCTGCAGACGATGTCGAGGCCTCCGAAATGCGCGATGGCATCCTCGAACAACTTAATCGTCTGTGGTACTTGACGGATGTCGGCCTTGAAGGCAATAGCATCAGAACCCAGGGCCTTTATCTCATTGACGACTTTCTCGGCATGCTCGGCCGCGTTCGCGTAGTTAATGACTACGCTCGCACCCAGGCGGCCTAGTTGGATGGCGATGGCTGCCCCAATGCCGCGTCCAGACCCTGTAACGAGGGCAACTTTGCCATCGAGGCGGCCGGGAATATAAGATTCTGTCATTGTGAGTGAGGAAGGCAAGGTGAAGTGTCACAGAGAATAGTGTGTCAACCGCTAACAGTGATGGTGTGAGAGTAATGGCGGGACCAATACCTTTCTAAAGACTCTTTTCAATGGCCAGTGTTAAGCTCGGAACGGGCCAATTGTTATGCTGCACCAGTGTCGGTATACAGCCATGCCATCACCCCATCACCCCTACACTAGGGCCGCAATTGGTGCCAACATGCGTGTAAACTGCTCGGGGATATGTATTTACCCCGAAACGTGTTCAGCTCCGCAAGTGGAAAATTTCTGGCTACAAGCATGTAAGCAGTCGTCGGATAGTACATATCTACCCCGAAAATCGTTCGGGCTTCACAACGGGGGAATGGTTGGCTACATGCATGTAAGCGGTACTTGCATTTTTTTGGTCCGAGAGAGCGTTAATACCTGAAGGATAAGGCCAGAATTAGTGGGGCTGTTCAATTATGTAATATTCGCCAAGAGCTTAGAACCCTTTTTATAGGCAAGATCTACAAGTAGACCTCCGCAAAGCCCACAAAGCCCAAAGCCCAACCCGCCCCAACCCACTAATGGGCTGGGTTTTGGGCCCGGTCCTTAGGCCCACCGATGGGCTTTGGGGCCCGGGGTGAAAGCCTACTGGGCTTTGAATGGGGGCCCATTAGGGCCAAAAAGCACCAAACAATACAAATAGTATTCCGAAAAACGTGACTTTTTAATTACTATATGTATAGCCCCCGTTCCTGGCCTTTATCTAGGGGTAATATTTTATTATTATAATTGATATACAGTAAATTAATAGTGAAATATATTAATCACGTTTCAAAACGTGAGAAAACGCGCGGTTTATAAATTTTATAAATCATGGAGTTACACTAAGAAAGTGATAACGTATTTCACCACCGAGTGGCCACAACCACCGAGTGGCCACCCTACCCAAAACGCGTTAATTAATTTAATCCCTTCTTCTTCAACCACCCACTATGCCACCAATTCGCTCTCAAAGCTCGAAAAATTCAATTGAGCAAGAGGGTAGGCTTTTATTAGCTATCCAGGCTTTTAAAAATGGAGATATCAGTAATATTACTCTCGCTGCTCGCACTTTCAATGTGCCGCGTTCAACTCTCCGCCGCCGCCTTAGCGGCGTCCAAGACCGCGCGACTTCTCGCGCTAATTCGCATAAATTGACAGAACTTGAAGAGGAATCTCTTGAAAAATGGATTATCTCTATGGATTCTCGTGGAGCAGCCCCCCGGCCCTCTTCCGTACGAGAAATGGCGGATCTTCTTCTTCAATAACGTGGAACTACCCCGGTTCTTTCGGTCGGCGAAAATTGGGTTACGAAATTCGTGAAACGACATCCTCTCCTCTCCTCCCGATTCTCGAAACGGTATAATTACAAGCGTGCGAAATGCGAAGACCCTAAAATCATTGGGGAGTGGTTTAATCTGGTTCAAAAGACGATCCTTCAATTTGGAATCGACCCCGATGACGTTTATAACTTTAACGAGACCGGTTTCGCGTTAGGATTAACCGCGACCGCGAAGGTTATTACGAGAAGTGATATAACCGGTCGGCGTAAGACTTTATAACCTGGAACTCGCGAGTGGGTGACAGTAATTGAATATACGGGTGCTTCTGGCTAGGTGCTTCCTCCGTGTGTGATTTTTAAAGGCAAAGTCTTCCTCGAATCTTGGTTTAAAAGCGTCCCGAATGACTGGCGCTTTGAAGTAAGCCCTAACGGTTGGACTTCGGATGAAATTGGACTTCGTTGGCTCGAAAAGCTCTTTATTCCTTCGACTTCTTCGCGTACGAAGGGGAGGTATCGGCTTCTAGTACTCGACGGTCACGGAAGCCATTTAACACCGAAGTTCGACGAAATCTGCGAACAAAATGGTATTATACCAATTTGTATACCTCCGTATTCCTCTCACCTTTTACAACCTCTCGATATCGGCTGTTTTACGGTACTAAAACGTGCGTACGGTCGGTTTGTTGAATTCAAAATGCGGAGTGGGATAAATCATGTCGATAAACTTGACTTCCTCGAAGTATACCCACTTATACGAATTGAAGCTTTTAAATCAGAGACTATTAAAAATAGCTTCGGAGCAGCTGGTTTAATACCTTTTGCACCCGATCGAGTGATTTTAAAGCTTGATATTCGTCTTCGAACCCCGACCCCCCTCCGAGCCGGGGTAGTGATTGGGACCCAAAAACCCCTTCGAACTACGTCCAATTACAAAAACAAGCTTCGTCAATTAAAGCATTGCTTCGTATAAGATCAAGGAGCCCTCCAAGTCCTCTCAATTCCGCTATAAACCAGGTTTTAAAGGCGTGCCAGATCACTATGCAATCCGCCGCACTTCTTGAGAAAGAAGTAAGCGATTTACGCGCCGCCAACGAGAAGCAGAAGCAAAAGCGCACTCGATCCCGAAGGCAGATACCCGCCGAAGAAGGCCTCTCAGTTCAAGAAGTATCTGCATTAATTATGCAGCAACTGGAAGCAACTGAAGCACCTTCCCCCGCCGCCGGCATACCTAGAGAATCGGGTTTACAACCACGTACAAAGCCCCCCCGGGGATGTGGAATATGCAGATTGCCAGGGCATAGAAGAGAAACATGTCCAGATAGACCAATTAGTTAGTTGAATTAATTTAATGGAGTTTTGGTTGAGAAAAATGCATTTAAATTTAATATGTAGGGTTGGGGTGGCCACTCGGTGGTTGTGGCCACTCGGTGGTGAAATACGTTAGGGCTCCCGCATAGATCTAAAATATATATCCGATATCAAAGTATATATTGATTTTTTTTCGACCTCCACCGGGTTGATTTTATTTAAAACTAGTGTATATAGTTATATAGTAATTGCAATTATATATTCCAAATTTAAAGTCTATACAATTAGTAGAAGGGTCAGAATACAGCGATTACAAGATCCTAGTTGAACCCCTTGATGGGCTATAATGGGGGCCTTATGGGCCCCCACGAATGGGGTGTGGGTTGGGTTGGGCTTTGCGGAGGTCTATTATAATAGACTACAGGTATCCATATATTCAGGCATAAACTCGCGACATGTATGCTCCTTCCTCTTTCGGAAACATATGTTCCTATGAACTTCACATCAACACTTTCCTTTCAACTCGCAGTCCTCTCAGTGGCTGAGTTAAAATTTCTGTAGATTCAAAAATCTGGTAAACCCAGCCGCTGGCGTTTGATATACTCAACCCACAAATTAAGAAAACAAAACTCGAGGAACAATGCTCCCGGCCCCCGAAGATGGGGTGGTCGTGGACTGGATAGGAACTGGCTAGGATTATCCATTTTTTGTATTTTTGGGTTACCTTCCTGATATTACTTTCTCTTGTTCCCTTTACTCACTGGTCCTTTTCACCTAGATATTCTCAACTAACACTAACAGACCAATAGTATCCGCAGATATATATTGTGAAATACCGACTTTGAACTTCCTAACAGTGACAAATTTAACTGCTTCCACTTTCCTACTCCGTAATCGCCTACTCTACATTAGGATTACCATACATTTCCGAGAGGGTTCCTTCTCAAAACTCTCCAGGCCCCTTTCCAAAAAAGCTTCCTTTAGCAACAGTCAACCACGGCACAGAATTTGCATCTGCCGTATTAGATCCCACTGTGTTTCCCCACCACTTGAAAGTCACAGCATGGTAGCCCAGTGCGAAGAAAATTATGATAGTCGCGATCGCGGTGCCGGTATCCATGGCAGCTTGGAGCAAATCTGCGCAGGTCATGGATTAGTGACTTGTTTTCAAGAAGGGACTGGGACAATATGATCTCACAGTTGTAGCGCTTCCACCAGTCAAATGCACGCTTGCGAATCATGTAGTTGAAGAGGAAACCAACGATGAACCAGAGGGAATATTGAGCTGTTTGGTCAGATTGAAATAATTCCGTCACGAAATTTCCAAGAGACGTACTGGTGTTTGCAGGAGGAATATTGCCTGCAGCATTGAAGAAAATTGGAACGTTGATATAACGAACCCAGCTGTTGGGGTAGCGGCGGTAAATGAGGTACACAAGTCCAGTGACAACGGGCTGCGGAGTCAGTAAAGGAAACTCAAGTCAACGTGTTGGAGAACTCACCCCAATGAGAAAGAAGTAGACAAGGCCATTGTATACCTGTCCAGACTGGAACATTCGCTGTGGACCAATGGTACCCCAAATCAAAGAAGCGTTGTACATCACCTTGGCACCGTTGCATGTGAAGCGTTGTTTGTTAGTTGGTTCACAGAGGTCAGAAATGTGTCCCATCATCCATCGTAAGACTGTTCTTGTTAGCCTATAGCCATGATATGGGTTGGTCAAAAAGTCATACCTCCGGTCTGAGTTGCTGTCGCCAGGATACTAGCATAGATCTGACCAAAGAACAGCACACGTGGGGGGATTTTCTGTTCAATTAGTGAAGTTCGCCTTGCAGAGACCGAATGGAACATACCATGTACTGCCCGAGTTTCAAATCTTGGGCGAAATCCATGCCATGTTTGACTGCGTTATATCCGTAGCACTTCACCATCAGATTAGCGATAGGCTTTCCTGGCCAGGCGTATCCTGCGATCATCTCCGTAATGATATTGAGGAACACGCGCTGATTTGTGGTTCCTTGCAGAATGCCCTCAGGGACAATTAGAAGCACTGCTAATCCGAAGCAAACCACAATAAAGCCCCAAACAGGCAGCTCTGTGTTCCAGTACGTGGTCGTCAAGATACCAAGTCCCAAAACCACCACCGTGAGAACTCCATACCACCATTCTGGAACCTCGTTATATTGGCGCATCAGTCTGCGGTGAACATCTTCACCTCCATGCTGTGCATTCTTAAATCTGGCCCAAATTTCAGTGCCATTGTAAAGGTAGGTGTGCACCACGATTGCGGTAACCGCAGCAAAAGACAGTCCATAGGTGAGAGAATAGGACATTGAGATATACATGGGAGAGTACTCCTTGTACTTGCTTTCACTGAAGTTTAAAGCTGTGTCGAGTACACGAGACACGTTGTATGAATGTCCCGTGTTGTCAAAGGTACTTGATGAGAGGAGAGGAAGGCTAGATTATCAGTATAATAAAATCCTCTCTTTCAGACTGGAGACTTACTATGCGCTATACCACACATTAGAGTAGTACAAAATTGGCGACAAGAAAAGGTAAAAGAAAACGACAACAGCAAAGGCATTGCATGTGATGTAGAAGGGGGTCATAAGGGGGAAGCCGGCGTAGTTGATTTGCGTCCAGTCGATACTAATAGGTATAAGACCTAATCCGGAATTCATCTAAACAGGTTGAGTCAGTCTCCGTTACAAATTGACACAGTATTTCCAGGAACTTACTCCAAATATCGTGTTGACCTTCTGATTTTGAGGCGCAATCCATGTCACAAAAGCAAATGTACTCAGACTTGTCCAGATGTAGTCTGGGAACCAAAACAAAACGAACGCAAATGCTGTTATGTAGCCAAAGAAGCGATAGCGGCTAATAGTCCAACCATTGACCGGCGTACGGCTTTCAGGCTCATGTAGTGCGCGGAAAAGAACAGTGGATGATAGTGAAGTAGGCCAGACTAAGGCAGCAGGGTATACGATCCAACGGCGGGCAAGGCCTGTCAGACCAAATCTAGGAGAGATCAGTGATTGAATCATTTGGAAGAATCAGAGCCCACTTACCCAATCATTTGGGTTGTCAGGAGGTAAAGGAATGAGAAGCCGGCTCCGAGGTCACGGTTCCAATATACAGGACTGACGATTGCTACCAAGGCACCTTGCGCGTAAGCAGTAGTAGCACTGATATTAACGCACTGTTTTGCTTCGTTAGGTGTAATTTATAAAGATGAAATTTTCCTGATAGTGAAACTTCGCTCTACTCACAATAACAATGAAGGCGTGCTCCTTGATGGTAAATTTTCCTGGGTTGACATCAAATGAAAGTTTTCCTAGAGGAACCCTCCATTTCGGGAGCTTCTCCCATGCTCTACCAATTGGAAAAACGAGGATTTGAGCAACAACATAACCTATTGTGAGTGAGGGCTAAAATATGTCAGTAAACGTCAACTAGAGCAATTTGAAACATACATAGCGTAAGCCGAAAAATTGATTGACTCCGGAGAATAGTATAACAAATATCGTCATTAAAATCCAAGCCCGCACAGCTGCGAGGGAGGGTTAATTTGGCTATTCAACCGAGGAGATCAATAACTTACTATTGCAAGCGATCGTGGGATCATCTTTGTTGGATACACAAGCCGCAACCTCCGGAACTAAGAAGTATTAACATCGGCTGTTCGAATGTGTAGGTCAACTTACAAGGCGATTGGTCTCCCTCTACACTCCATTTGAACGCTTCGACTGGTGTAAGTTCTGTAAGCTCTGCTCTGTCGGATTTGTACAGCCATTCTCCCGGATCTTGACTATTATGTTCGGATTCGAGATCTGCCGCCGGCGCCTCAGATATATTTGTATCTTTAGCAGGATCTTTAGGACTGGTCATAGCTGAAATATCTTTAAGCTGGGGCGGGAAGAAATTTTATGGTATGTGAGATGGAAGAACACTGCCAGCTGAGCTTTTAAGATCAGTTCGCAGCTGGTCCTTTTGTCCTTGTGTGGCTTAAGCCCAGAGGATGCAAAGGTCACGATAGATCCACACAGAATGGCAAAAAGTTGCCTCTGACATGGAAATACGCCCAAGCTTTTAAGTTAGTCTACATCCATAGGGGTTCATACTTACCTGGGTAGTATGACCGGTTGGGCTATAATAAACAATTGCTGACGCACTCTTGGAAGGCTACCTAGATAACAATTCGGGATCCAAACTACTGTGTTTACCGTGGTGGGAGATGTCTCACAGGATTCCAACCCCTTGCATTATGTATTTATTCGTGTGTCATGCTGTAATTTCAAGTAGCCGCAGTGGCAAAGAAGCTGCAGAAAGAAACCCACAGGTAAATATTTACAATTTGCCAAGTACAAAGGCATATCTTCGGGGTGACTTCGGTGAACTAGATGCTTAAACTATGGCGTGCCGAGAAGGCTTAATGAGCTTATCTTTGAAGGATTCACTTGGTGCACTGGCCTAACTCGCCGTTAAGCCAATAAAAGCAATGCATTTAGTTGCCGGTCCGCTTTCTAGAAAATGGTGTAATCATTGATGACTTTTACGCGTCTCTATCTAGTCCATTGGACATAAACCAAATCAGCCAATACAGCGATGGCGCGATTAAATGTGATTTTCCCACTAGTACTCCTGTTTTCAATTTAAGCGGAGTATGATTTTTCCACCAGGGGAAAACTTTGAGTGTCTTAACAAAGTTATCATATTTCAAAGTCACAAAATGGTCTGGAACAGCCAATTTGATTTCTCACTATGCTAACCACTGAAAATTTCAGTACAGTGAACAGATCTGAGAAGAAAAACATTGAGAACTTGAAACCAAGAATTAAGCCAATTTGGCACCACTTAGTGAGAGCTGTGATCATGACTCTGGCGGCGACGGGAATCAGTCGATGCAGTAAACTTGTTCTCCTCCTGTTGGAGCTGTTCAGCTTCGCGGATCAGAGTGCGGAGCTCCTGGTGACGCTGGCCCAGCAACTCGGCATCGGCGCGAGCCTGGGAGACCTGCTGATTATGGAACCGCAAAGTCTCAGCGAGGGCGGTCATCGTTTGACGCGTCTCATCAGCCGCCATTCCACCCTGGGTAGCCTCGCGTAGGACTTTCATTGTTTGTCTGGTTTCATCAATGGCCATGGTCATTTCGGTGCTTCGCTGCTGAAGTCGGTTGATTTCCTCCCGGAGATCCTCAATTTCACGGTCTCGGCGGTCGCGTTCGGTGGTATCCGGAGGTGGTGGTCGATAATAAGTGCAACGCACGTCGTTTCCACGGAAGTGGCATCCAGCACACGCAGTGATGTCTGAGTTGCTCTCAAGGAGCACACAGGAGTTCCATGGGCCATGGCCCCGCAGGCAGGAGAGGCATGGGGGCTCAACACGAACGCCGACAACCTGCTGAAGCGCAGATTCAATGTTGTCAAGACTTTCGCCGATGATGCGGTCCAGCTTTGGCCCTGTCCATGTCTTTTCCGAACGAAGAACGGGATCACGTTGCGCCGGCATCAAGCTCATGTCTTCAAGTGCGTCAGATTTGAGGCGGTCACTTTTGCGGAAGTGGGCCTTGGGGAAGTCGAGTCGCTTTATGTGAGCGGCGAGGGCTCCGGGAGGGTGATTTGCGGTGCCAGAAATGGCAGCAGGGATAATGGTGTCACTTCCGTTCTGGTGAACTCCGGGAGGTTCAGCCGGGGATTGGTGGGTGGCACCAGGAGGAGCAGCAGCAAGGTTGTTGTTGTTGCCATTGCCTGGCGGGTTGAAACCCTGATCACGTCTATTCAGGTCTGTCAGCAACATTTCTACATCGCGATTCAGACTCGCTATGTCGTACGAAGCCATATTGGTGGTGGAACAAGAGACTAGGGGATACGCCTAGGGGGCGAGAAGAGAGGATGAGATTGATGATGAACAAGAAAGGAAGAACATGTTCATTACTGGGGAAGCAACAAGCTCAACAAGATTGCCTAATTCGTTGTTTTGTTTACCATGTGATCACAGGTCGAACGACATGTAGAGACGTGTCAAAGGACATATGAAAACTCACCAAACACGCCATCATTCTACATTTTCACTGCAATATCATTATCTGCTACGTTACCCAAGAGTCTATTACACTATATTCGCATATCCGACCATCCCCTCTGATTTACGAAAACTCGTCAACTTTCAACACAAACCATTTGTAAGGAGACGAAGTATCAAAAGTCCTATGTGGGATTCATTTGAGGAGGAAAGTGCAAGACTTGGACCTTCCGCTCTCGGACGACGGACGACGGACGGTATTCATTTCCAGACCCCAAACACATCACCTGCTTTGGCCAAGTCAGGACATTCAGCCTCAACAAATGGTACCTACAAATCTCACACCTTTCCTATAAAGTTTGAGGAGAGAGGGATGTTGAATCCGATGGTCCACCATATAAATATGAAAACATATCACAGTACCTATGTGCCAAATCAAAAGGGCGACAGGCGCTTCGCCAGATGCAAGCAAGGTGATCCGCCAATGTCTACTTGTCTCCAGAAACACAGGACCACACAAAAAGGCCCAGCGTCTGCACTTACTAAAATCAGCGTGGGATTCGGCTGGATTTGAAAACACATGCCACAGTTTTTGAGCCAACGTGTGTGGTATCCCCTTACAGCGATTGCGCAACACAGCATCTAACAAGCTCTCGGTGCCTTGCCCCAAGTTAAGGATTTTGCTTCGAGGAATGAATTCCATAGCGTACAACGCCTTCTTCTATATTCTGAAACCATCGGGACGCCTGTTAACTCCATCTTTTCCATCAGCTTCCCTTACTATGGTGGAAGCGAAATAAGCCCCAGACGTTCCTGGTGTACAAGCGGGCGCAGCACAAAAGACCAGAATCGAAATCCTGAGACCAATGTAGCCATAACCCCCGATACCAACTCATGGATTCTTTCAAGCACCAATTCTATCGACCCGGATCCTCATATACATGTCGCTTCATCTCTCAACCCGAAAACACATGTCACAATTCACAGGAATGATATTGCAACTGCCGTGAGAACTAGTAGGATCACACACGAACATTCGGACCGGCGGCACCTCTGGGATAACAAATCCAGCTCGAGTAGGGTCAGGTCGGCCAGGTCAAAATGGCTTTGGACCTAATGCGTCAGCGATGATCTAGCTACTATCACCGGCAATAACATGGTCAACTATACCACTACCTAGCTCCAAGCAGTTGTGTCAATTCTTGCTTAGAGTTTTTCTTCGCTTGTCACCTTTCGTATTGCTCAGGATATTTTCAAGTCATAAGTTTAAGCAAAAAATAGATTTGGTGATTCATTGATGTACTAAACAGCAGGCACGCTATCCTCCGGTGCTAAAGGTGGTCGACTAGCAGCCATATTACATTGTCTGAACACGCGCACCTCATCCTCCTCAAAAGAACCAACAATCGAATGCATCACGCCATGGTTGTTGAAAAGGACGAGGTCCCCTTCTTCCCAGTCATGGGTATACAAATAGCAAGGATCGATTGCCCGTCTTTGCATCTTGTATAATCGTTCTCGAATCTCCGCCAGATCATCCAGAACTTCCCCATTCTCAAGATGGATTTTCCGCACACATGTTGGGTAAACCATCATTGCTAACTTGCCAGTAACAGGGTTCTTCCAAGCCATGGGATACACCCTGATCTTAGAAGCCTCAAAAGGAGGTAACTGGTCTTCCGCAAGCTCCAATCCTTCTGATATAATTCCCAGCCCATTGGAGCGTGACTTGGCCTTGCTCATCCAGATGTACGGATGAGGTGCGTATTCAGCCTTGCTAGTGCGGACGAAATGTTTATCTTCCTCTGAAAGCATATCATAAAGACGAGATCCACTAAAAAACGCCGTTGTGCCAAGAGACACTTCGAGAGTGGTGTCTGTGCCATCGTCGTAGCGGCATATCTGGCGGCGGCCCTTGGGCACTTTGACAGCTAGCAGTGACGTAACCAAAGGTGGATCAAGGTTGTACATAGCCGAATCAATGTGCCAGCGGTAGAAGTGCGTGTAATAATGATCCTCTTCAGGCGAGATGGGGTTCTTGTGGAATGTCTTGTGGTGGGGGTGTCTCAGGCGGATGTTTGAGAGTCCCTCATACTCTTCAACTAAGCCGCTGCCGATAACTTGAACTTGCGGCTGATGAGGGATAGTTGTCAAGTCTGCATGAAGCACGCTGCGCTTGTCGATCGATTTTCCATGACTATAGACACCGGCGGAAGGATCGAAGCGCCGAGTGAGTTCGTACTGGGCACGTGGAGAGAGTTTGCCTTGGTTTTTGATCACGACGACTTGATTCTCATATAAGGTACGACGGAGGAAATCAAAGTCATTATCTGATAAGAATTAGCATTTGAATGAGAGAAAGGATTGCCGCGAATATTGCGTACCTGTCATTGTTTCAATGTCGAAGCCGGTGAGTTCAGCCCCAAAGTCTACCCTAGAATCATCGGGTTTGGTGACAGGCCTGCAAGAAAGAGTCATGGTAGTCATCTTGAATACGGTAGTTGAGCTAAATATCACGATGAGATCAATATGAATACTACTGTTGAGCGACCGTGCCTGCTTTATATTGTTCTGTTGTACGTAGTCCGACGAGAGCCAATCAGAGCGGTGCGGGTGAGCTCCCGCAGCTGACCCGTCCACGGTGATAGGATCCCCCTAGCATTGTTGCAAATCCACCTGTGCAAATGATGAATACAACGCAGCTTATTCGTTAGTAAGAACACTTTAAAGTATTGTTGTTATCCGAAATGGTGGCCCAAATCAGTGGACTCGTCCGCTCTGCTCTCTCGTCTTTACTTAAAGGGAGCGTCATCCTCAACGACCACAATATATTCAGCATTACTAGTTGAAAGTTGTTCGCAGATTTCTTCAAAATGCCTGAGCCAACAAGTCTAACATTTGACCTTCTCCCTGATGAGATCAGGCAAAGCTCCGCCATTGGTGCAGAAGTCCAACTACCTCCTGGAATGCCCATACTGGATTTAGACCGTTTAACCGACAACGACAAAGATACTCTCCGAAAAGCACTTTTTGAGAATCAAGTGATTGTTATCAGAAAGCAGAAAGGAATTGATCCTACTGTCTTGCCGAAGCTCGCAAAGGTTTTCGATCCTAATGCATCCGACGTCCATTCCGCAGGAGAGAAAGCTGTGAGCGACCCCAAGAACATCTTGTCTGCATACAAGGCAGGAAGAATCCCTCGAGCCCCCCAAGTTGGAATCATTGGCTCAGGGAAATTCCAAGATTATGAGGGTCTAAAGGAGCTAGAGGTGGTGCATCTTGTCCGTATCCCCGTCTGACCAACCTGCTAGGCGTTCATTTAGCTGACCAGCGAGACAGGATCACACATTGTTCCATGAGGAGCCCCTCAGTCAAGAGGAATTAGACGATGGCTACACCCGCCCATACCGGTGGCACATGGATACCCCATTCTATGAGCGTCTGCCAGGTGAAGTCACTATTTTGCACTCAATTCGCATTCCCAATGTACCAGATCAGAAGATCAAATTCCCTGATGGAAAAGAGAAAATAGTCGGCGCTGGAGCCACGGCTTGTGAGTAAACCAAACGCACGCACATAGGTCCACCAACTGACCAAATATAGTCTTTTCTGGCGCTCGTGTATTTTCCCTGTTGACACCAGAGGAACAAGAGTTCGCTCTCAACACCACAGTCACATATGCTCCTCAAGCATATGAGTATATCCGCCAATGCAAATCGTCTGAAAACGGTCTGACGATCCCAAACTTTGGACGGGAGGTACCAGTGGAAAACTTGTCAGAGTGGGAATGGGGCAAAGTTGCCGAGCACCCAGTAAGTTGCTTTTCCAACTACACATGATACAAATGAGTATCTGCTGACAGCATTCATCAGATGGTCTGGCGAAACCCGCTCAATCCCGACCGACCATTCTTCCAGGTACATGGTTGTTGCGTTTACAAGCTCATCACGCGGAACCCAGCAACGGGTGAGATCACGGTAATTGATGACGTCGAGAAAGTCCGAGAAGTGGTGTACAAGATGCAGAGTAAGATATATGCTGCTGAGAACATCTATGCCCACCATTGGCAAGAGGGTGATGTGGTCATTTTCCACAACCGCGGTGTCATGCACAGTATTACTGGCCAATTATCCAAGTACAAAGAAGAAGAGGACAAGAGGAGGTTGCTCTGGCAATGCACAATGACAAGCACAACTCCCCCCAAGCCCTTCCGGGATTACGAGGGAGTCAACGACACGGGGTATGTGAGGGAATAAATTAAAAATATACCAATAGCTAGAATCGCTCAATGAAAGAGTGGTCTCAAGCGATCGTGAATGTTTCACTTTTTTTTTTTCAAAACTGCAGAGGATCGTTTAGAGTATGGAATGTTCCATTGAACCATGCATCAAAATCGATATCTTCCGCTGTATCCCACGCTGGTTGCATTTCGTTAAAATGTGCACCGATCACATCCTGAGAATCAGCATTCGAGAATCTGCTAACTGATGTGTCAGGGGTGTCAGGACCTAGATTCATTCTCGTAAAAGTCGAGAACTTAGCCAAAATTTGACCAAAGTCAATCATTTTATTGCCGGAACCCAAGCCTGTATCGGCAGTAAAAATTGCATCGATCAAAGCCACACCTCGCTGAGCAAGCACATCATTAGTTCGATCAGCAAGGCGGGTACGAGCCGCGACTATTGCATCCCTGTGGCTTTGGGCAGTAGTGACCTGATTCTCTGCAGTTGCATTAACTTCAAAGCACATAATGACTGCGGCGGTAATCGCAAAGGCTGTATGGGTCCATATCGATATATCACCTTCTCTCACAATTACCTCGTGCTCACGCAGAATTGTCATTGCGGCAGCAACACAGGTACGCCTTGAGTAGGTATATGTCGGGTCATGGAATGAACGGAAGAGAAACGGCCGATGGATCATGATAATCTTCTCAGCTGCAGTGATGGCGAGACTTCGTCGAGCGATAGCAAGCCATGGGATTTGCGCTTCCTTTATTTTATCCGCACGTAAAAGGAAGGGGGGTATGTTTTTCACAACAGCTCTCATTCTTTGGTCTATATGCAGAATGTGCTCGTATTGTTGTCGCATTGGCTTTCTGGATTTCATTGGACCGAGTCCGTCAACTAGACCGGGCATCAATTCTGCCAGGTTCACAAGCACGCGGATGTAAGTGCTTATGGTGGGAGATGTGATAGGCATATCCGTCAAGTCATAGTCGTCTGCGTTCATGGGGCGCCCTGTCGAGAAATGCATCGGAGAGATACTGTAGGTGTCGGTAAAGGGAATGGCGAAATGGTCCTGGATGACCATTTGGCACCATAATCTCTTTCCTACTTCTCGTTCCACCCTCTCATCCCATTCTTCTTTACTCTGAGCAGGTTTCGTTGATTGATCCTGAATCTTGTGGATCCCAAGGCACTCAGCAATTCGTACTGCAGCATTGAACAAAGTCGCGTTCAGCTGACTCAAGCCAAGATTATGGGCTACCTCGGTCGATATGACGATTGCTTGAACAGAGTATATGGAGAGATTGCTGAGAAAATTTGAGTTGTAGAGGGTCTGCACCATAGCAGAAAACAGCTGATGTGAAGATTGTATTGCCTGCAGGTCGACATCAACAAGCTCTCTTACTTTTGCACTATCCTGGATTGAGCTGACGGTGGAAGTCAAGACAGAAAAGTAGAGCGCTTGCCAGAGAGGATCATCAAACTTCCCAGATTCCCAGAATAATTCGCACTGCTCGAGAAATGTTGGACCATGAATGCAATTATGATGCCAAGCCAAATGGCATAAATGGAACTTGATCAGCTTCTGTGCATCCGAAGTACTGGGAAAGGAAGAATTCAGCCCCGGATTGAGTCCATCGGCTAGAAGAGGGCTTGATAATGACTGGAGACTGTCTTTGCGATACTGGCACGCACACGTCTTGTGAGGAAAGCATCCAGCAGAATTACGACCCCAAGCGAGATGCTCAATAGCCGTGAGAAGCGATGAGTCAATTTGATTTGAGGTATTATTGTCAGTTGGACCGATTGAGACTTTGCCAAGCGCCCGGTCCTCGGTTGTACTCGATTCCCGTGGTGCCGTGGGGGTGTTGGATACATCTGATTCTGCAGGATCCTGGCCGGTCTCTAGCCGAAATATTCGATTTTTGATCTTTTGAACAACAACGGGCACTGGATCAGATGGAGATGATTCGAGGTCTGCCAAAAGCGAATACAAAAACTGAATTTCTGACCCATGTTGCACAGCGTTGCGTCTAAGCTGCACAATTTCTATCGAGCACTTCAGATTTAAGCGTTTACATCTCGAACAGGGATTTTGTTTGTCGCATTTGCGTTTGCGTTTCGTGCATTCTGCATCATGTCAGTTGCCTACTGAACCTGAGTGGCAGCAGAAGATCGGAAGATCGGCATTTACCTCGGCAGGCTTGCGGCTGACGTTGTGATACACGGACGGTGGCCGCTTGATTCAACGCGGTAGCGTTCATTGCGCGTTAGCCTTGCATTGGAATTCCTTTTTCTTCCCAATTTGAGGGGTTGATACCTCTAAGCCTGAATTTTCCGTTGTTGCTAGGAGAAGTGGAATGTGTGGAGGTTGGGGTGGAACCTCGGGAAGCTGGGACTTGGCACTGATAAGCAGCACCACTTCGATCTGGCCAACTACCGACCAGCCCTTCCAACAACTATACAACGTACATATATGTAGAAGTTCCCTTTGACGGACTAAATTCCATCGTTCTTCCCTTTACCTCCACTCAAATCTAGGACCCCTTTAACATCACTACTTGTATCCTTGTTCTACAGTTGAAATATATATTCTCACTGCCGCAGCTAGTAGACTTGCTCGTGCCTGGGGACAACATTTGGCCCTGGGGTGGAACATGTCAAGTCTAATTGCATATTGTGCGACATTCGTGTAGATTGATATGATATCCCCAGAGGTAGGTCATAAAACGCTAGAGTTTTGGGGAGGCTGATCGCTATCAGACGATCGCGATAGGTTTTAGCGCGGTGGGTTATATTATGGGATCAGAAACAAAACCATATAGTTGGGTGGTTGATTCTCTTGCCCAAATTTGAAATCAAAATTTCAATGATAAGAGAGTACTTAGATGATCACGAGGGGTTCGGATGTTTTCGAAATTGGTGGGATCCGCTTCATCGACACCACCCATGGCATTTGTCGTTGGGCATGTTGATCGAATTGGGCTGAAGATTTTCGAGACTCCCGACCCAGCAATTTTCCTGGGTATCAGATGACGCCGTATAAATCATAAGTGCGGGGTTTCGTGGCGGGGCAGTCAGGTTATAATCTACTTCATAACTAGTTAGGTCTTCTATAGCAATTACTTTCAAAGTAATAATCTTATCCCCTCGAACTTGCGCGGAGAAATCTCCATCCGCGGACACAGCCTACGAAAGGTAAACGGCAAATAACCCTCTAATAGACGTGTTGTCTCCCAACTCTGATATGGCAAAATCAAGCGACAACAAGCTTAGAGCAGTCGTGGATATCGTTACGGATGGAGATGTTATCCTAGTCGTTGGGCCACAGAAGGCTAGACTGCGTGTTCACTCGCTGACCCTCAAGGAAGCTTCAGAACCGCTTTCTGCCATGCTAGGCCTCAACAGGAAGGAAGGCGATGTTCTACGTGAAAAATGGCCTCTTGAGCTGTTACTACCCGAAGACAATGCGATGGTGATGGAGTATATTTGTGCAATTATACACCATCCAAACAACATATTGCCTAGTACGATGACTCCGCATGGCATCCTCGAAGTGGCAATTACGGCGACCAAATACAATTTTGTGGATGCTTTAAGATTTGCAAGCAAATCTTGGCTACAAACTCGTAATGTGAAAGCGGATGAACTCATGGCCCTTACTGCTGCTGCATATGCATTTCAGAATGCACAAGCTTTCAGGGATCTTACCAAAGCATTGATACTTAACTACGGGGACTCTTACCTTGCTCTTTCAACGGAACGTATCGAGTCTGTAATGAACTGGAAAGTATTCTGTAAGGTCCTTATCGTTGATTCCACTGGCTCATAGTACATGGCTGATCGGTTGAACCAGGTCTTCTAGAGGAACAAAGAAACTCTGCGAGACTTAAGCTAGGAGATATACTCATCTACGGCATTCACGGAGGGCGATGTGTCCATAGATGCGGATGGACAAGCAAATATGCATATGCTTATTTGAAATCGCTCCACGACAATCGTCTTTGGCCAACAGGCTTACTCAACATTTCCGAAGCAATTGAAAAAGCAGGAAGAATTGCAGATCCGATCCCCCAAGAACAGAGTACTCCTTGCATGTACGAATACAAACACGCAATACCGGAATACAGAAAGGACCGTCAATGGTCGATAGAATACTTAAGGGAGCACGTCGGGCTTTGTCTACATTGCGCTCGAATGAATTTAGACTCAGCCTATTGCCAAAGGGAATCACACCAGTAGGAACAATCAGGTTCTATCATGCTATCAAAGAAGGCCCGATCTTCATGAAGACCTACGGCCCCAGGGAATCTAGTGGAAGAGAGATAGTTAGTTCCATATTTGTCCTTTAGCCCAACCATCTTCATTATTCCCGCGTCCCACCTAACTTCAGCTCGACCTTTTTAAATCCCGTAGCCCAACTAGTGGACTGCCCTCAAGTTTAGAAAAGTCATTAGCATCCAAACATGCCTGTCTGGAGTTGAGGAAGCTAGGCTCGGCTCGTGCAAAGACATCTTTCTCGTATTCTACGAGGGAGGATCGCAAAGCTTCAGAATCGAAGGACCTGGTTGATACAAAAATGATGATTAATTTCAGCTTGCCCAAAGAGAGTTGGATGTGATTATATACTCATACCTTGGCTGGCGCATATCGACACGCGTCACGAGATCCAACACATCGACGATCGCATTGTTCGCGCCTTCTCCACGAACTAGTTGGAGTTAGAGATGCCCGTTGTGTCACAACAACACACTCATAGAATACTGAAAGAGGTGCATACACATAGTCATTGTGTGAGCCGAATCGCCCACCAACACCGCTCGAGGATGCGCATGCGCTTTGCCCAGGCGGAACATCCAGTCTTCGATGCGAATCGAGCGGACTTCCACATCCTGGGGAAGATTATGTACCAGTGAGCGGAATGGCTCCGACCAATTATCAGTCAACTTCTTCATCAGAGCGATGCGCTCAGCATTCACATCCGGGACAGGGACCTTCTTTGAATCTGCCCAGGAGAGGATGATTTGACAGTGGTAACGGTCCTTACTACTATTCTCGAAGTTATTTGGGGTATCCAAAACTATGAAAACATCAGTAGTCCCTCAAAGAGACAAGATAATTCGGCACACTTACAACTGAAGAATAAAAACACGTTTGACTCAGGATGCGAGCCCTGGAAGATGAAAGGGTCGATTGTTTCGGCCCCGCCCATCTCCTCCGCGGTATACAGTGTCGACGCACCTAGGAGCTGCACTGGTAACTGGTTCATCTGTACATCTGGGTAGAGGATTTCGCGTGTGCGCGACCGTGAGCCATCGCATGCGACCAGTAGCCGCCCGGTGTAGGATGTGCCATCCTCAAAGTAAGCGGTGATTTCATCAGCCGTGGACTCGATATTTTGAAAGTTTTTGTTCCACTGCAAGCATAGAATTAGTGCATATCAATAGACGATAATAATAACATGAGATTCTTCCAAAGACGATCATATGACGACATACTTGCACATCCACGCCGGTAGTCAGTAACTGTCGCAAGCGAACGCGACTGACGCGAATGCGCTCGGCGGCGGGGATATTGTATAATGCATCTCCTGACTTAAGGTTAAAGAATTGAAAGCGACCGGTATCGCCCCGGGCCGAAGCTTCCTTGTTGACAAATGTTTCAGGGAACCGATCAACAATGTGGTCTGGCAGTAGTTCACGTAGGGCGGGGAGTGACCAATGTAGCGTGAGACCCCATCCACCACTGTGGGCATCGATTGCGGGATCGCGATCGAAAATCCTGAACGCAATATCATGGCGTTGAAGATACTGGGCTAGTACGAGGCCACTGATGCCCGCACCAATGATCAGAATGGGAGGATTAGACATGGTGAACAAGGTATGATGTGCAGTTCTAGTAACACAGTCCAGTTTGAATGCTTCAATCTATACCCCGGCCCTTTTTTACCCCGCTCGTAGTTTACCAAGTTACACAATGAGTCATGTCACCGCCTGGTGGAACAATCTTCGTTGGGAGTTTTCGGGGGAACATCCCTTCAACAAGGAGGCCACGCAACCCCGAAAGTCGGGACTAAAATAAGATTTTATAGTTCCGTTGAACCTCAGGACAGCTTGCGCCATATAGTAGGTATCCATGGTTATAATATCGATATACCGCCTTCCCGGGACAGGGTTTCTATATGAGGTACAAGCCATTCGGGAGCTAACTTAAAATTGGAGCTGGTTATTGGATCTAGCTTGTTTGTTACTTCAGGGAAATGAGGCTGAATTGCCCTAGGTTTGGTTTCGTTTACGGAGTACTCCGTAATGGATTTACCTTTTATTGAGAACCGGTACATCCCGGACTCGATCGGATCCTACGCGTCCAAGGTGTCGTGTTTCGTGCATTGTACATGATCTTCGGGATCCACTCCTCGAGCGCGTTGACCTTGGTGATCCCTAAGATCTGCGCATTCGTCGGACAACTACGGAGTAATCTGAATGAGAAATTATTCGATAGTTATGGACCTTGTCGTGGTCATAATCACGCATTTCTCAAATCGACCGACCTTGTTCGTTATTAGTAGACTGCGACTAGGTGTTCCGCGAAATTTGTAACAATATATATTATTGACACAAACTCAAAGGCCCCGAAAAGCAAGGGTTAAAGTAAAAGGGGGAGGGGCACTTGAGTGAAAAAAAAGCAAATAGTTGATCAACCGATTTCTAAGGACTATTTTGGGACTGCATGAAATGAATGCACAAAGTACGGAGTACACAAGCAAAAATTTGCGCTAGTTCGTTGGTGGATGATCAAACATCCTATTTGGTTGGTATGCCTTCCGAAGACACTCTATATTCTATCGTCATCTCGATACACCCATGCTCGGGCTCCTGACTTGCTAAAATGAGCTCGTCGCTGGGTGTTTGTCTTGGATGCTTTGGGCCAGAAGCGGTTGACTGCAGCTGGGAATGCTGATCTTTCGACCAATTCTCCATCGCGTAGCTTCTGCCTCCACTGTCATAGTAATACTTCCTCGATTTTTCACCAGTCGACCCGAGGCCCCGCACAAAGCCTGTGAGTAGAGGTGCTAGATATGGAATACAAGTGACAATGTTCTAGTACAGAAAAGTCAGCCACTATACCTCGCATAGAACTAGTCATTTTCACTTACGCCCACATTGAACTCAATTGTTCCCCATAACACAAGCATTGTAGAGTTTCCGTCTCCGAATGCCACACGTTGAATCTGAGTTAGTCGCATAATAGAACAGATTGTGGTGAAAAGGCCAAGAAGAAAAAGGCACACCACACCAGCCTTCTGTGCAGGTTTTATATTGAGACCAAGAAGCAATGGGATGGGAAGCACAATGATCGTCACGTCGGTGATGATGGTGAAAATTGCGAGACCGTAAAACAGGCTTCCCACGGGAAGACATGTGCCTGCTACATTAGTGTTCCATGACCGTTGAACCTGATGCGACCGAATGGTTGTCAGCTTGTGGTTACGTTCGTCCCTTGTACGTAGAGGCTTTTCATACCGGTGAACAGTTGAATATGAGGCTAAGAGCACCGCCGAAATGACCCAATGTAGAGACCGCGATAACAATCCAGATCACGCCTCGATAATTACGCTTCGATGTTCCAGAGATCAGTCGCAGATAGCTGAGGCAAAGTGAAGCCTTGAACCCTGCAATGCCGACTTGGTAAAAAGGCCGTCCTACATAGTTGATCTATTTCCCTTTTGTCAGCCTACCAATTGAATGTAAAAAAACGCCAAGTATCGAATTGAAATGGAGAAGGAAAATATTGACCTTGGAATACGTGTGGTAGTTTGCTTTTGGCCGTAGGTTAAGTGGCAGTCCTAGTCCATATCGACTTTCTGCGACTGTCAGTAAGTTTCTTACGGCCAGGGGGAGAACTGGCGCCACCCACGAGAAATGCAAAGTGCACTGTATATAACGCTAAAAGTCTACCCAAATATCAGTTGTATGATTCTTTGTATCACACGCATGTTGACTTACCATACTAACAACCATCACATAGTCTGCGGCCGCCCATCGGCTTGCTCGCGCACGAAGGAAAAGTCGCATGGAAACCGTGAACACCATTAAGATTGTGAGACTCAAACATATTCCGAGAATGAGGCGGTACTGCGATGCAGCTTCAACCTCGGGCGAGGCATTGTGTACCCAGCCCATAGTTGAGGAGAAAGCATGCAAAGGGGTACGACGGAGAATATAAACGAGAATATAGTCCAGTCGACATATACCAGGCCAACCATATGAAACTGGGTTTGATCATGCATAAAGGTTCTAAAATTGGATTTATTTCCAAAAATTGATCTTCATAAAGGACTTTCCTTTTTGGAAACAAAGCCCATAAAGCTCATGTACTCCGTGCTCCTCACTCCCTACTCCCTACTCGCCCGGTCTTCCAAGGTTGTCCCTACAATAAACATTATTGGCATTCAGTCTATCCCTTCCATACAGTTCATGTATATCCCAACAAGGAAGGGTTCTAGGGTCTTGAACTATTGATTCTGATTCGTTGCTAGCTGGGAATACATGTAGCCACGCGATCTCCACGGTGATTGCAACGTTATTTATGCTTTTGTCGCATGAAACCTTCGTGTTTCCCACCTTGTTTTCCCATCCTTCTCTTAATTTCCCTCATTTCCCCCCTTTTCCTAACATTTCTATTATCCACCCTCTTCTTTGTCTGTTGCCCGATTGCTCCTAGCCGCGATGGGTGGAACACAACCCGAGGTAGTGGCACACCCTGTTGCAGATCAAGTTGATGATGCTGTGATATATCTCAAAGGTCATGCAAATGTGGCGCCTGACTCTCAAGTCAATCTGCGGGCTTTACGTCGTAAAATTGATCGACGTTTAATGCCGTGTATGTTTTGCTGCTATGTACTGCAGTTCCTGGACAAGGTCATGCTGAACGTAAGTTTGACTTTCAACTCAGCCGTATGGCCACGGTATTAACGCAAGGATTATCTCCGCACATATACAGTATGCAGCTGTTATGGGGATCAAGAAAGACTTGGGACTTGTCGGCAATGATTTTACTAACGTCGCTACATGGTTCTTCATTGCATATTTGATCACGGAGGTGCCTAATGGTTAGTGACTTGATTTGACCCCACAGTATTTTCTTTATTATTCAATGCTAAGCCGTTATGTACAGTTTATTGCTTGCAGAAAGCACCGCCTGCCAAATGGCTCGGAGGAAATGTTTTCCTTTGGGGAGTGGCGGCTGCCGCCTCCGCCGGCGCCCAAGGATATCCGACCCTGCTGGTCGCACGGATTTTCCTGGGCATTTTTGAAGCGACAGTCGGCCCATCCTTGATGCTTATTAGCAGCCAGTATTATACCAGAAGCGAACAAGCTCCTCGATTTACTATATGGTATATGGGTCTTGGTATCGCCCAGATCATTGGAGGTATCATATCTTTCGGTTTCCAGCATGTACATCATGCCTCACTAGAGGGTTGGCGGATTATGTTTCTTGTTCTCGGGCTCGTGACAGCCTTCATCGGCGTTCTAACGTTTTTCTTCATCCCGGATACACCGATGAAGGCTCCCTGGCTGTCTGAAAACGAAAAAGTGGCGCTTCTTCAACATGTCAGCGAGAACCAGACCGGAGTATGGAGCACGGCTTTGAACCTGAAACAAATCTGGGAGGCAATCGCCGATATTCAGCTGTGGCTCCTAACTGTGACGACAATTTTGGTGTGTCTCACATTCCATCGTTCACCCCTTGCTCCAAATACCTAGGTATCCCCTGCAGGGTCATTGACAAATATTGCATAGATATCCGTGTCAAGTGGTGTGGTGACTACATATTCCTCGACTTTAATTGCTGGGTTTGGTTTCTCGGGTCCCATCTCGGCCCTTCTCAATACCCCGTCAGGCGTCATTGGCATATTCTTTACACTTCTCGTCGGATTTGGCATCCGAAAAACCTCCAATCGCTGGGCATGGATTGTGCTCTGCACCATTCCTGGAATCATCGGGGGAGGGTTGTTATCCTTTCTACCCCAAAGCAACAAGGCTGGTGTCCTCATCGGTATCTATCTTGTCAACGCAATTGTAGCTACTCTTCCGATTATATACCAGTGGACCATGGCCAACTGCGCAGGACATACCAAGCGTGCATTTGCTAGTGCGCTGGTTGCTGGATCTTTCTCGGTCGGAAACATCATAGGTCCACAGACTTTCCAGACACACGATGCACCAGGATACCAACCCGCCAAGATTGCAGTTCTCGCAACACAGGCTGCAGCGGCTGTACTATCTGTCATGCTCCTGTTGTATTACAAGTGGCAAAACAGCTATAGAGATCAAACCAAGGGCCGCGTGGATGAAAGCAGGGCCAATGAGACAAGGTGGGCTGGGCTCACTGATAAGCAAAATCCGTCCTTCCGTTACGTCTACTGAACATTTGATAAGTGAGTGAATTCAAAAACTTCCTCATTAATCTATCTTGCCGAATGGAAATTTGGAATAACTGTGGGAACATAGTTTGAACATGTACTATATACCACTTTGCCGTTGGCCTGTCACGAAGGATCTCAGATTTATATTTTTGACGTTCAGTATGGAATTTCTCATGATCTTTCCCAAAACTGCGACTAGGCCAAGTTCTTAACCTGAATTTCCCTATTGGTTATTACCGGTAGTCTTTTAGGGTTTGTAAAACAACGAAGCCAGTCGTCCAGTTAGAATTACCAAAATGTCATTCCGCAGGTAGGACAAGACATTTCCTTGTCCCCTTTACATCTCACATAATCCAAAGCCAAGGGACCACTTTACCTGTACGGAGTAAAATATAATCCATAGACAGTCTGATAGCACCGAATATCTCAAAATGGAACACCGTAGCTAATCCCACTGGCGTGTGGTGTACAGTGGACCCAGACGGCACCTGGCATGGTTCAAACCCCGTCCGGTAGCATGGGCCGCATATTGATCGGATACTCGAAACCGCGTGGAGTGAACCCTTGGGCCTGGGACTGTTGTATTTGACGTAGAGAGTCTCCTCATCAAGATGCCTTCCTTCCAATCAAAGGCTCAAGTCGCCGGCTCTTGGATATCGCGTCGACTGCTCCGCACGGATAATACTCAGCTAGCTGCGAAAATACGAGCAGAAAATAAGCCACAGGAGAGCCATAAGTTTTGAGAGGGGATGTGGCAGCAACTAGATCATGAAACGCTATTTTTTGTAGCCTGTCGACATTCAGCGGACATGAGACAGAGGCCTTCGAGATCTAGGGATACTCACATAGGCTGTCTGCCGTGCTTGAATTGCATTGTACGTGTCTGTGATTCCTCCTCCACCGGATTATATTGTGGAAATTGCGATTGAAGATATGACCATTTTCATATGTCGACGTCTTGGTCAGGCACTAGTCATAAGGCTCATTCCGACCGATCACAACTGACACTGCTATGTGCAAGCAAAGCGCCGATGTCCCGAAATCCAATGATATCAAGTGGGTCAGACTGTTGGTGGTTTGACTAGTGTGCACTCATTCAGATCAAACAATCCACGCTGTATATCATAGGGTCATAGTCCCGTATGGATAAACGGTGCAGAACAACGAATCATCGAAAGATGCCGTACACAATTTGCTCTAGAAACCAGTAGTGGGGATCGCACGTGGACAATGACGATCATGGCTGGGTGGAGAGCTGGACCAGAAATGGAGCGTCAGCACGCAAAGGGAATAAATACATGAAGCAAGTAGGGAAGGTCAACAAACCTCTAGTTGGGTATGCAGGATATGAATACATAACATCAAGATGGAGAACCGGATGGAGAGGGTATTGAGAAGACAGAAAAAGAAATGTTGTTGGGTCTGAGCATCATAATGGGAAAGAAAACATACCTCCTCGAGGATCGAAGAGGGGGGTGGGAAGCATGAAAGCAGCATGATAGATAACTTCAAGAAGGAACATTGGATGAGAGAGAGAGGGAGAGTAAGCAAGATACATTGATCGCATCACACTAAGAGGGAGAAGGAAAGGAAGAACAACATATCAAAGTGAAAAAAAGATGAATAGCAAAAAAATCCCTATTAATCCAGACCGTTCCTGGACCTCAGGAGGGTATGGACAGAGTCTGGTCACTCGATGTCCATGATCCTCTCCTCCGGCCATTCCCCTATACACCTCCACCCACCGTACTAACTACGGCCTCCCCCCTTAACTAACGGGGTCACCGCGTGTGGTAGTCCGCGGGGGGTTTGCCTAGCGTAGTGCTTCGGGAGAGCTTCAGCATATAGGAGTCCGACCGACAGTGGGGAGCAAGTAAAACCCGTTGCGACATCCTGGTGTGGGATGCCCCGGCCATAATACCGCTGGGCCACTGGGGAGGGCTGGTTACCATGTTTGTTCTTGTGTGCTTCAAATAGACCCATAATTTAACGACCAAGTCGCTCTGAAATATTAGAGCTTCATTCTCCCACTCTTCCTGACGTCTTGAGAGCTTTAAATTTGAAAAGAAGAATCTAGATAAGATTAGCTTGATACCTGGTGAGTTTGAAAGAAATCTGAACATGCGATGGTGGTGGTTGAAAATGTTTTTGGCTGGCGGATACATTATTAATATAAAGTCAAAAAATGAAGCTATTCAGACACCCATTTCAGTAAGGAACGACGACACGAGGAAATCACGACCCTGCAAAGCCATGCGTTCGATTCCTGGCCTTTCTGGATAAATCAATAACTGTACTTTTTCATTATCTACTCTTTTTTTCCGACCCACTAATGTCAATATCAAAACAACGTCCTGTCCATGCCAATTACTCAAAATGGCCTGAGCAATTTGAAATCTACCAAAACCCTCAGATTTCATATCCAAACGGCTCGACCGGCTTTCGCTTGGCAGAACCATCGGAATATTTACCCAATCTTTCTTCCGTCACATTCCACTTCACTTCTTTGACAATACGAGAGCGGCTATGGGTACTGCCGCCGTTTTCTGTGAGTGCGACCTCATCCAGTTGACGAGACCCTGTCGCCTTGAACCGATTGCGAGAAGCACTAGCCGAGTTGGGCGTGAAATAGCGACGTGCACTACTGCCTGCCTCGCCCATCCATCCGGGGGCGTGGTATCTCATGAGCTGACGCAATGATGGCAGACAAGGACAGATAACGATCAAATTTGCTTCCACGTTACTGGAGAAAGGTATCTCGGTTAGTTTAAATCACTTAACATCGCTGACGCCGAAAATGCACATACATCCAGAGCTGTGGCCAGGCCAGATCATGAGTGATATCTGAAGCAGTGAGGAAGGGAACTAGCGTTGCTAGACGGAGTATGCTAGTCACAACAGTTCTGATAGAATTGTTAGCGGCTAAGGGAGTGTAATTGCAATATAGCCCAAGACCTACGCGCAACCAATGATGAAGACTAAAAGAAGGTAGACCTTTTGGATTCCCGGCATCTGAAGTCCTACCACCAGAGGGATGGGGAGCAAGATCAATGCTAAATCGGTGACGATATTCGTCACAGCGGTTGCGATGTACAAGCCCTCGCGACTGATACAAGTTCCTTCTGTGATGCTCAAATCCCAAGTCATCGCAACCGCATTACACGCAAAAATCAATGCAAATACAAGGGCAAAGCTATAGCCGCATATAACAGCAGATATGATGTGAAGTGCCCAGTTGTAAGCCTCCTGCTTTTCCATGATTCGATGGTAGAGGAAGACAAGACTCATTTTTGCGAAGGCGAGCGCGGGGACATATACGACGGCGGCAGCAAGAATTACCTGACAGGCGAAGTTAGCTCCGAGATCTACACCAGTTGATGGGGAATCTTCATATACCTTCTGGTACGTCGCAAGCATCTCTTCGGTGACATTCCACATATGAATCCCAACACCACTATATTGGTATCCATCTGGTGAGAATTGCTGTCAGCAAAGGTGTCACATAGCATCACTAATCCTCAATGTAACGACACATACAGATGGAGGTTACTTGTGTTCCAAGCGAAAATATCTATATATTCATGTTTAAAGGAGAGATTGTATGCATATCTGCTGACGAGTCTTACCCAGGCAAGCACAATGAATGCTGGTTTTACTGTGTTAGTGAATTATTTCCATATTCATTCTCTAGAAATTTTTCTTACCATCTTCCCATCCGAATGTGCGCAATATTTTCGTTTTGGTATATATCCGAAGGACGAGACACAAAGAACTTAAGATCAATCCGGCGCTGATCAAGCCCATGTTGGTGTTGTAAAGCCATGGATTCGAGTAATCAAAGTCGGCCGTGACCCCTGGTGGAGGAGCAACTACACCAACATTGCGAGGCATTTTGAAATCAATCGATGCAGTGAGATCTTAGCTACCAACAGATATCAAGGAACATAAAAGCGGGGGAAAAAAAAGTTCATCTAGAGCTACAGTCAAACCAGCCATTCCTCTAAAACGAGCTACCTCTCATGTGCAACATGTCTAGCTCGATTTTGGGGGTGACAAGACTACCTAAGATTGTCCATTTGTCAATATTGCACGTCTTTTAGTATGGATCCTCGGATGGGCCCGTTTTCATTGGCCCGGGGGATATGTTCAACTTTTCCTGAGTGTATTGTGCTTTATTGCGGATTCGGCGACACAGAATATATTAATCGTGACCTAATGGCGCCGATCGGAAAATTCCAGACACGATGCGATCAGTCCATGTGCCACCCGCTTGTGGATCTATATCATCGGTTCCTCTTAGTCTAGAATACGCTCCACATATCAGATTACGATCACTCTATTGCATGCGCCTACTGCGCCCACGATCCTTCGGCGCCGCATATCTATTGTTTTAGCGGGGCTTGGCAAGATTATCATAATAAACTACCACATCCGCGTATATTGATGCAGAACTTAAAGTGAAACACGGGATATGGATCCATTCAATGGCTCTCCAGTTCACGGTGAGAGGTGCCCAGTCGAAGGGCAATCATAGTATGCATTGAGGAGAGGATTAAGGAGTACACTACATCATATATTGGATGTATTAAATGTATATCGTTACAACATCGACAAGATGATCTCGAGTCACTCACAATTCTACAAAATTATCTAGAGTTTATCTTTCTTCGACAAAGTACCCCTCCTTCACTTGCCCACAGCGCTGATCTTGAATCCGCCAGGAACCTGGGTTTGGAAAACACCGGTCTGATCGTACTTCTTAGCAACAGCCTGAATATACTTCACATTCTCGGGGCCGTAGGAAGATAGGGGATCTTGGGTTTCGTTGGCGTAGTTCAGGTAAATAAACTCATTGTCGGCTCCAATTGACTTTGAGTATGTGGTCAACTCCTCCAGAGCGCCATTGGCCAGCTGGTTGAATAAGGCATCGTCGGCCTCATCCTTCCACGAGTAATCAATGAGGACCTCTATACGAGAATGTTAGACACTAGGAACAAAATATATCAAAGGGGAATTTACGGAAGAGATTCTCATCAAAACGGTCGAGCCCCAGCATGTTGCCACCTCGCTCAACGCTGTGATCAGTGAACAGTTTGGGCCAAGGCTGGATCATGGTGAACATAGTGTAGTCATCACCCTTAGCACCTGCCTTGGCCTCCTCAATCATTCTGTTGTGGATATCAACAGTGCGCTTCATCACATCGAGGTTGTTGACAAATGTGCCAGTGACGAAGATGTCGCTGGAATAGGTCAGTGGTTTTTCCTAGGTAGAAACAGTAAGGAACCCCATACCGATATCCAGATGCCTGGCCCAGCTCTTGGGTAAGGTTCCAAAGGTTAGCCACACGCATCGAGCTGCTAGTATTGGCAATAGTGGTGAAGCTATCGAAAGCCGCGGGGTAGGCCACTGGAGTGGTATACTCCAGAGCATTGGCAACCATATTTTGGTCGGTCACCGAAAGATACTCCCACATGCCAATCCAAGAAGCGTATGGATCTTTTTCAATGTTGTTGATAAACTTGTGACCGGCCTCAAGGTGCTTCAAGGTAGTGCTATTGTCGTATGTGACAATTCCGCCCCAAAGCTTGTCGCCTTCGATGATCTTCATATCATACTTAGTGACAATTCCGAAGTTGCCGGATGCGCCTTTCAGAGCCTTGAAGAGATCTGCGTGAGAATCTTTGTTGACCTCGATAATGGTTCCATCAGCCAAAACAACCTCATAGTTCACGACATTGTCACAACCAAATCCAACACGCGAAGTATGGAAAGTATTTCCACCTGAAATAAAGAGGATTTGTCAGTCCCTCTAATACGGCATCTTGTTTGACCGCAGCTTACCGCCGAGCAAAAATCCAGCAACGCCCACAACACCAGAGCGGCCACCCGCCACTGTCACATTGTACTTCGCCAGCGTCTCGTAGACACCTCCCCAGCGAGATCCAGGCAGAATAGAAGCAGTGCCTGCTTTCTCGTTGTAAGTCGTACTGTTCATCAAGGACAGATCAATTGTCACGCCATCAACGATATTGCTTGCTCCTGCCCAAGTGGTGTGGCCACCACCGCGAACAGCAAATTTGCAAGCTCCACCATCAGCGGCAACGAGTGTGGAAACTGCGAGAGAAACCTCTTGGGCCGTGCGTGGCTGCAAAATACAGGTCGGCTCGAGCTGAACATTCTCGGCCCAATAAGAGCCAAGCGATATCTTGTACGCAGCGCTGCCGGGGTAAACGACCTGGCTCTTCAGGGTAGTAGCCGCCAGAGCTGAGCACTATTCGACTCATACTTGGTCAGCTGATTTGCTTGTACGCCTGGAAATTATTTAGGATAACGAACGCAAGTCCCAGATGCAGTCGCATGAGCAGCTTTCGGCAAGACACCGATGCACAGGGCTGCAACAGCGGTAGTGATATGCATTGTAGGCTAAAGTATGAAAATTAAATGAGGTTTCCCACTATTGCCTTTGAGGGTAGCATTTCTGGGGCATTTCCCTTGTATTATAGTTCCAACAATCGAGCTAACTAATGCGGGCTTTTGGTCAAGGTCTCACATCGTTGGATTGTCGATTAGGAATAGACTAAACGAACTCCACTAAATGATACACTAAGCAATACACTAGTCTTAGTGAGCGGACTGGCACGCACCGTCATTCGACCCCCATAGTGGGTGGGGAACGGGGAATGCCTCACCAGCAAATAAAACTGGAGTTTGGTGCCAAGACGCTGCAATTTATCTGCACTATACACCTGAACTCCCTGGGAAGCTCGCTAAATTACGATCTGGCAAGAGTTGTGAGGCTTGATTCTTATTTAGTACTTTTGTCGTTTGATGACTTTTGGCTATCGCTTTTCAAAGAGTAAAGGCTGTGCAAGGGGCCACAGGTAATCTATTTTATAGTATAATGGTTATACTACAAGAAGGGATCCACACAAAGATTACTTCATTCTAGTCCTGGATAAATTAATTAAATGGCGGAGCTGAGATCCAAATGCGGCACTAGTTAACTCATAAAACAGCGTTACTTATAGTCACTCCTTTCTTTTACACGAGTCATACGGAGCCTGATGGAGGACTAAGAATGTCGTTTTCTCACATTGTGAATATGAGAGCAAGCTCTTCCTTCATCGATCAACACATCACCTTCCAAAGATGGAAAGAAAAAAGAGACACAACTGAGTAAGCGGCTCTGGGCTCACCAGTTGATGACTTTCGTTGAGGGGAGTATCTATGGCTGCATGACTACACACGATGAAATTTGACTGTGAACAGAAAATCAGTGGCAGCTTTAAACTATGATGGCATCAATATCAAGTGTATCTTATTTGTCCATTCTGTAAAGGTTCATACGCGCGCAAAAGAATCTCCCTGAAACCTGTTCTGAGAGCGAGTTCAGATATACATATTCCCAACATGAAACATCCATTTAGCATCTTATCATTCCATCATTCATCTTCAACATCAACATCAGTTCCCATAACCTTTCCAAGACTCTTCTCCGCCATCTCCCATTCTTTATTGATAACACCGACTACCCAGTCACCCCTGGGCCGAAGTTTAAATTTGAAACCCTGCCACAACCATCGCCCATGGATCCAAATCTTCCCCATCAGCGAGCTCGATATCAAACGCCCACAACAGGCAAGCAACCTGCATGAAAGATCCATCCGTAGCGACCCTCTTTCCTTGGCAGATCTGACGCCCCTGCCCAAAGACCGGCAACGGAAGGTCCGTTCGCAGTCTTTCCTTCCCGGTCTCATCGCGCTGAAGCCACCGCTCAGGCACGAAGTCCTGAGTGTCTCCCAGCGCGGGATCAAAGACCCTCTCGTCTCGACCGATAGCCCACGCATTGGCAATGATAGTACCGCCCTTCTTGATCTTGACGCCATTGTACTCATCGTCCCGGTCCGCTCTACGGGGAATGGATCCTGGTGAAATAGGCCGCCAACGCAAAAGCTCATGCATCACAGCATCAACGAAAGCAAGTCTCGAACGGTCTGAGAACTGGGGGAGACGGTCCCGCCCGACTACTTCATCAAGCAACGCGTGCGCCCGCGACATGAAGGACGGTCGGTGCAGCGCTGCAATGAACAACCACAATAACTGCCGTGGTGAAGTTTCCATACCCCCCTGGATGGATGTTGCAAGAGTAAAAGCGAGGTCGAGGTCCGATACACCGTTTTCAGAGTACTTCTTTGCTGTGGCAATGGCCTGCTTGGTGGAATTCCAGCCTGCTGAGTCCCTTCCGTGCCGGAACAGGCGCATATAGAGGTCCACTTGCGTGGCGTACAGCTTGTCGGCCGCCCGCTTCCAAGGGGATAAAAATGCCGGCAGATGGCGCAAAGGCGGGATAATATCTGGAATACCGGGGTTTGCAGCGAGGTGGGTTACTTGAGCCTGGGTATCGATAATCTCATGCAAGATATGCTCTTCAAAGCTTGAGATGCGGAGGCCATAATGCAGAGCAAGGATGACACTCGATTGAGAGCGCTCAAGCAGCTGATAGACGGTTTTTGTGATGATTCCGTTGGAGAATTTCCGTGCAGCATTGGAGAGATCAAATAGTAGCTGTTTGGACTCGAGCTCCATCAAGGGGTGATACTGTGGGGCAGCGAGAATACCGAGACTGGGGGCTAGAATGCGGTGGTGGAACTTGAGGTGATCATCGTAGTCGTGCATCAAAGTAAATTTCGACTGCCCAAGCTCAGCCCCGGTGATCATCTCCATACTGACCGAGGACGGACGGTTGCTGTACCACTGGCTGCGGCGACTGAATAATTCAGTTACAGCCTCATATGAATTAAGCACCACAATCGGTATAAGCCCAAAGAGCTTCGGTGCTGCAATGGGGCCATTTTCCTTGGTCCATGCGTCCCAGTTCAAAAGCGGTTTGTCAATGGGGGAGCTATGGAAGTCGCCGATTAGGGGAAGCTTTAGGAGGCTTTTCGTTTCTCCTTTCTTTTTTCTAGTGACAATGTAGAACAGTGTCAATAGGCCTAAAACGAACGCGAACGCGATAGGAGCGGTAGCCATATTTGGCTACGGGAATGCGTACAGGACGAGAAGATGTTTGATATTAGAATCCAGTACACACACGCACACATGATAATTATGTATGCATAATTCGGTCATTACTGCCAAGATCTATTAATCTTCTGTGCTAGGTCTCCTGTGATCGGCTTTGAGGTCAAAACCTCCAAAGACGCTAAAAAAGCGACGGACTATACACGGACTCTGTACTAGTGCATAAGCGTCACTTGGCCCACCAATTAGTGTCCTTCTAATGACGAATTGTTGAGCTTTCAAATGCCGAACAAGGCTATTCTTTTTAATTTAATCTAACGTGACAATGCTATTTTTCATTTTCGGATTGGGCTTTCAGCCTCCCGCTAGTCTATTCAAAAGCATTCGCTATGACACCGGCTTCTTACTATGATTAATCCCTTGATGATGTACTCTGTACTTTGTAAATTATCGGATGCTGAAGAAAGTATCTCGGAATCTCGGGAAACTGAACGGATATTCCCCCTGGGCCGCCCCCGAGCCTAGTTTCAATATTGCTAACTAGCTAGTTTTGCTTTAGAATTACCAACTCGTTCTCCAGATTTATTTTGCCAGGCCAATCCAATTCTCTCTTCCCCCCCCCTTTTTTTGGCTGCAACAATGGGAGATGGTTGTTACCTTTCCTATAGAGACGCCAGCCCAAAGACAGGTCCTAGGCGTGGCTATCACGTTCTCTATCCTGACTGTGGTAGCAGTGTGTCTGCGACTGCTAGCTCATCATCTTGCGCAAAAGCAATGGATAACGAGCGATTATTTCATAATTGCTGCCGGTGTGAGAATTTACCCAACCAAGTCGAACAATACCAACTATGCTAAACAATACAGATCTTCGCCGTCAGCCTTCAGTCCATCAGCATCACCGGCGTGATACAAGCGGGCATTGGTTATGATCATGTCACTACAATCGCAGGCATATATGGAATTGAGCCCATCACCAAACTCCTCAAACTGATCATCTCGTTGCAATTCCTCTGGGTTCTGAGTCTCAGTTGTACCAAAATCTCGATCTTGTTCTCATATCTTCGCATCTTTCCCGTCATGTGGGTCGTGCGGATCTCCTGGACAACAATAGGAGCGATCATATCCTGGACCGTTGGGACAATACTGGCTGGGTGTCTGATCTGTCGACCCATTGCTTATAACTGGGACCAGACTATTCCTGGAGGATTGTCTAGAAACCAAGTTACCTCATTCACGATGACAGGGGTAATAAATCTTATTACCGACATCGTTGTGCTGGTGACACCTATGCCGCTGCTGTATAACCTGCAGATGGCAAGGTATAAGAAAGTGACATTGATCACTATCTTCGGTCTGGGAGCAGTGTAAGAGCTACAGCCAGTAAGGCAAATGTGAAAGGGTCTTTGCTAACCTGGAATATAGCACGTGCATCATCAGCATTCTTCGTATCTCCGTACTCACTACCGTGGACTTCGCGGATATCACCTACTCAATTCCCCGTGCCAACATCTTCAGCGGCCTTGAGCCCTGTCTAGCTGTCATTCTTGCTTCGATCCTATGATGCGCCCTCTCCTGGGGCGTTCTAAATATACACCTGAGGTGAAAGCTCGCCTATCGAATAAGTCTTTGTCCTCGTCTAGAAGATCTAAGTCTACTGGCGATCACGAGTTCCAGCAACTGCAGGATAACTCGAGTGAGCTGTCTTTGCGGCCAATTCGGCCAAAGCATGATCTTGATGTCGCAGGTCAAACTTCTACCGATACGAGAGAGATATCTCATGGGCGCGAAAGTTCTCTTGGAGAGAGCAGAAAAGGTCAGAGGCAGAACAGAGGCTGGGGAATTTCTGCGAAGCAGGAATGGGCCGTGTTGTATGGACGGAAGTAATATCAACACCGCCTTTCCTCAAACTTCGTTATACCAAACTAGGAAATATTTACGCCTTACTCCCCAGGCGACGAATTTTGATTCGCTCTTTCCACTGATTTTATCTATTGTTCTTTCCATTCATATTGATACATGGATTGTTTATATACCACATTGTTTGGGACCTGTTTTCATTTCAACACCTGGCTTCTCAAAAGATTTCTTCTTTTGTAAATTATCTTCTCAAACAACGGGTTCCTTGATCTTGTCGTTAATCTACAAAATGTTGCTCAGATATCTTCTCGCGTTGGTGATCCAACTTTGTTGGGTTACTCTCGGGTTTGCCCACGAAGACGCGACAATTGTGTGTTTACCTCCCAAGAAGAACCACTGAGAGAATGAGGGTACTAACAATGTACAGACAATCCCATGGGTCACAGATGCGCCTGATTACTTCCAGGGCTATGGAGGAAGGGCCATAGGCATGGTATGTATCTTGATTGCTTGTCCTGGGACACATCACTAACAACCAACGCAGAAAGATGCAACCACAACCTATGGAATCAACTGTCTTTCAGGCCTAACAACCTGTCACAGATTTAGCCCAGACCTGACTGTTATCTACGGACCAAACAGTAAGCATATAACAGCCCCCCAAACAGTTTATACTGACTTGTCGATATAGCATATGAGATGATTGCCAGTGGCTACAAATTTGATTACACCTCAGGTTGCACGCTCATTGGTTCTCCAGCACCCACTGGCGCGTCTTGCACAGAAACAAAGTTCATACATCAAAGTAGTGTTATCAGCTCGGCCACAGTGCTTGTTCCAGCCACTGGCGCTGATTCCACCCTTGGAATTTTCCCAGCACCCTTAATCGTGACAGATACTGGAAACTTCCCTGCGCCTTCTACCTCAACTGAAAACAAAGCGTCTGACAATTCTCATGTTTCAACAAGTGACGCCAGCTTGACTGTGCCTGCGACCATGACGGTTGATTCTGCTCACCCTGCCTCTTCAACTGGTGGGAGTGCGACTGCAACTGGCAGCCTGGTTGTGCCTACGGAGGGCGCCTTCCTGAATTCGAAAACCATGACAACTGGTGTCCCGACCTATTTCGGCAACGGAACTTCACCGGCTCACAACAATGGCACAGTGACAGTGACTGTTCTTGCTAGCACTATTCCGTGTCATTGTGAGTGTGACTGCAGACAAAATGAGACCGCTACTGCCACTATTACTGTTCCAATGGCGATGAAAAGCTACGGAGTCAAGACGGCTGCACCCATGGCATTGATGTGTGGAATCGTTGCTGGCATCATGTTCTGGATGTGAACTTGAGTTAAGATGCGCGATATGCCCCTAGGTGTAGGGGCTGGATGGTTTATTTTGACGCAAATGGATTTACCATTTGGATATCAACGTTGGAACCTATGGTGAGATGGGATCCTGGATTTAAGAACAGAATAGTTCGAATCTAAACTTTTGATTGGTTTCCAATTATGAATTAGGTTAGGAAATAATTCCGCGCTGTACATAATTCGTCGGTATAAAATGCTTGGTAACAAATTGATAATGATCTCGGGGATAAGGAATTAATGCCGCTGACAAATTCTTTCTCATCAAATCAGTGTGCTTACGGAGCTAGGACAAAGCCCGCGGACGTGGGGTTAATTCCGTCCTGTCTGTGATTGGCTATCAGTGACGATAATACACTGCCCCTCTAAAGAAAGTAATAGACAGTAAAAGATTTCTGAAATCTCACCCATGGCACCATTTATAGATTCGGAATCCACATCATGTATAAAACCCCTGTCCACCTGTTGTTTATCCTCCTTGGAATCGCTCTGTATCACTTCACCCCGCAATTAATCACCCGTCTCCCGTCCCCTATCAAAATATTCACAATGGCCTCCACTCCCGAATTCAAGAACGCAGCTACTTCCACTCTTTTGGAGTTGGTCAAGGCTCGCCGCACATACTACGACCTCAAGGGCGAGAGCCCTGTCTCCGACGATGTCATTGAGAGCATTGTTAAGGACTCGGTTCTCCACGTCCCCAGCTCCTTCAACACTCAGACCTCCCGTGTTGTCCTCCTGCTGAAGGAGGAGCACCAGAAGCTCTGGGATATTGCCATTCAGATCATGGAGGGTCTTGTCGCCGCTGGCCACGTCCCTAAGGAAATGTTCGAGAACTCCACCAAGCCCAAGCTGAACTCTTTCCGTGCTGCCTACGGAACCGTACGTTTGCCCTCCCCGATATGACCACACTTTGCATCAAAATGTAGTGAACCACCAGCTTACCCTTAATCCAGGTTCTTTTCTTCGTTGACTACGAGTCCCTTGCTGGTATCAAGGAGAAGTTCGCCATCTACGCCGATAAGTTCGATCCCTTTGCCCTGGAGTCCAATGCTATGTCTCAGTACCTTGGTATGTGATATCTTCTTCGGCCTTGAGTCAGAAACAAGTCATTTGAAACTAACTATTACCAGTCTGGACTGCCCTTCAGTCCGAGGGCTTCGGCGCCAACCTCCAGCACTACAGCCCCCTCATCGATGAGCAGGTTGCCAAGACCTGGAACATCCCCGCCTCATGGAAGTTGGATGCCCAGCTGGTCTTCGGTACTCCCAACTCTGAGCCCTCCGAGAAGGCCTTCGCTCCTATTGAAGACCGCTTCAAGGTTTTCGGCAAATAAGCATATTATTAAGACGCATATCAATTTAGCCTCATGAATAAAGAGCAATGACTTAGATCTTCAGTTTCACAATTATTGTACAAATCTCAAAAGTAGTAGGGCGTGCTGCATACATAGTCTAACCCCACTTCAGCAAGGAGAGTATATGTACATGCCTGGGGTGTGCATGTAGGGTAATCCTGATCAAAGCTTATTTCAACATCCACAATTTGACTGAAGATCAGATCAGATAAAGAAAACCCTTAATAATCAAGACTTGCGGTCTGAATATAACCGAAGATTAGCCTGATGCAAGGGCCCGTTCTCTTCGGCCTCGGAAATCGGATTCCGCCATGCCGCGAATCCGATTGGATGAAAAACTCTTTAGATATTGGGCATCAAATTATCGTGTCAATCATTGACGATCAAGCCGGATATACATTTGATGTACATTTAATTCTTCATTCTTGAACATTCCAAGCATAGTCCCAGGAGTAGATCTACTGATCTCATGTACCGTGCAAATGATTGACATGTTTCTTACCATTTTCCCTCTGCTTCCAAATAAGAAGTGGAAGATCTCGACGTTCAATTCCTAAATTTTTCGCTAGACATGACTGTACACATGACTATAGACATACCTGTTCATAAAAGATAAAACAGACCCACTGTTCAGGAGTATTCGCATGCTTCCGCAAGGGATACCGGTGAGCACGATGGCGCGAGTATATGCAGAGGTGCGTTGTACATCCATGTACAGAGTACCTTGTACATAGATAGTAGACGGTTGACCTACCTTATTGTGGGTAAATCCAAACTCCAACTCCACTCCATCTAATCACCAATTTAGCCGTTTTTCGCCTTTAAAGAATTTTTTTTTCCTTCTCTTCGACTCCAAAATTGTACTCTTACCAACTATCGTGTCTCTGGCAGATTAACAATGTCATCTGAACACGCGGGTGCAGACCCCCGCGCCAAAGCGCCTCAAGATCTAGATCTTACCCCTCCACAAGCTCAAGATAGAGACTCAGCACCAGTATCCAGCCGATCTTCAATGTCCTACACAAGGACATACTCAACACCAGCGACCGGGACACAAACTCCTGATCCACTGATGGGCAGCACGAAAATGGTGGGCAAAGTCACCCTCCAAGAGCTCTCGATCAATGACATCAGTCGTGAAATCAACCAGAGTTATGAACTCGACACAACAAGCAAAATGAAAAACAGAAAACACGCAGACTCAGTATCTCGTCCTCATCCCGACAGCGACGAAGAATCGGCATCCGGATCCCCGATCCGCAGCAAACAAGGCATCCCACCCGAGCTCTCAAGCTTCACAGCCGAGCTTCTCCTAATCTTCGTCTGCTCAGCAGGCCTAATGCTCTTCTCTTTCCTGCTGGGCGACATGCTCGCCCCGCAAGAACAAATCAAGACAGCCCTCGGCATCACCAACACCCAACTCCCCTGGGTCGTCGGCGCCTTCAATACAGCAAACGGGCTGTCGGTAATCATCTCCGGCTCGCTAACAGACCTAATGCCACCGAAGCTCCTAATGGTCGGAGCCTTCGCCTGGCTGGCCGCATGGAACTTAATCGGCGCATTCACTCTCAACCCATCCCGCTACGTGCTGTTCTTCGTCATGCGCGCAATGCAGGGTCTCGCTATCGGCGTCCTCGTCTCGGGGAGCATGAGTATCCTGGGCCGCGTCTACACACCCGGTATCCGCAAGAACCGAGTCTTCTCAGCAATGGCCGCTACCGCTCCGTTCGGGTTCTCTCTCGGCGCACTCCAGGGTGGAGCATTGTACCAACATCTCCCATGGATCTTCGGGTCAAACGCTATTATCTGCGTGTTTTTGTCTGCGGCTGCTTGGTTCGCTATTCCGCCTCTCCGACCCATCGCCGATGTCTCCGGTAAGGAAGCACCGTCGCTCAAGCAATTCGACTATATCGGTGGCTTCTGTGCTGCTGGCGGTTGCGTGTGTCTCTTGTTCGGGCTAACGCAGGGCCCCGTTGCGGACTGGTCCCCTTACACGTACGCTTTAATCATCGTCAGCGTCGGACTGTTCGTTGGGCTATTCTTCGCAGAACGCAACGCTGTTCGCCCTCTCATCCCTAACCGCCTCTGGCGCACACCGGGCTTCACTCCGCTCATGATCGCTTACTTCCTTGGCTTCGGGTCCTTCTTCGGCTGCTGGCAGTTCTACGCGATTCAGTTCTGGCTGCGTATCCAACACGCCACTCCCATTGCTGTTGCGCTGTATCATATCCCCAACGCGCTAGTCGGTGTCCTGGCAACGTTGATCGTTGCCCGAACTCTACATCTCGTTCCAGGTCACTATATCTACACCGTATCCATGCTAGCCTTCACACTTGGATCGGCGTTCTTCCTGCCGCAGACTGCAAACACCAGTTACTGGGCGCTTTCGTTCCCGGGTATTTCGCTGGTGACATTCGGGCCTGATCTTGCTTTTGCGGCGGCTTCGATCTTCATTACTAGCAACGTTGAACGGTCTTATCAGGGGAGTGCGGGCGCTTTGTTGGTTACGAATCAGAATCTTTCGTCGGCGATTATGACTAGTGTTGCTGATGCTATTGGTACGCGTGTTGATAGAGGACCGGATGGGGAAATTGGTCTTGATGGGCTGCATGCTATTTGGTGGTTTGCTCTTGCGGCGCAGTTGCTTGCTGCGTTGATCACGATTGTTTGGGTCAGAATTCCCAAGGAGGAGGAGAAGGAGCACGTCACTTGATTTTGATGTTACTAGATTTTTTTTAATTAGAAATAGACTCTTTTGCTAAGGCCTTAGATATGACCCCCGTTTGATATACAATTTTCCCGTTTTTATGCCCAAGAGCGCATATCTGCGTAATTATATGCAAGCATGTATCATGAAAAGGGATAATCACTAGAGGGCCCTGTTGGCGATATTATCTCTACTATCTTTTGCGTTTGCATTCTTGATCTTTGCAAACCGTACTTAGTGAAATAGTAGAGAAAGAATAGACAGAAGTGTCAGTTGGCCACCCATCCCTCAGAGATATATATCAAGATACCGAACCCAAGCCTATAAACAAAAGAAAAAGAGAAGTTGCCATACCATCCAAATGCAATCATAGAACATAAACAAGAAATTTCGTGTGTAGATCCGAACAAAGATGGAAAAATATATGTATCGAAATGAAAGAACCAAAATGTCATCAAGCATCCATAACCAGCCTATGTTCACTGGTACTCTTCTTCGGAGTTGCCTCTTGCATAATGCTCATCTCAGTGGTAACCTCGATGCCACCGAGGGAACTATGACCAGAATGATTATCAGGCTTAGTCAAAATATTGATCGAACACATATCATAGTCTGTATCGTGATTGTGGCTATACAGCTGAGTACGACGAGTCTGAGTGCGAGTTCCCGTAAGGTTTGTCACGGTGGCTTTGCTGGCAGTATAGCGATTGGAACTATCTGCAGCGAGAAGCCTGGGGAAGATGCGGCTGATGATGGGTCGCAAGAATGGCAGACAGGAGCACATAATGGCGACGTTGCATTCTGCGGCGGTCCAGTAGGCAGCTGCGACGTTGCTGTCTGTTTTGTGGATTAGTTTGGATTAGTAGATTAGAGAGGACAAGAATATGACATACACGAAGTATCGGGGCTTTTTGCTACCTCACGTAAACTAGACAGACGGAGAATGCTAGTGACCACAACCAAGATACCCATAGCAAAAACGCCCATTAGGGCGATCTTCTGCGTTTGGGGCAACTGTAGTTTGGAAAGTAGTGGCATGGGCAGCAACAGTAGTGCTATATCGGTTGTAATGTTCATAGCCGCATTGAAGAACCAGAGTGCCTCGAATTTGAGACAGTTGCCCGGCAAGCCCTTGTTCCAAAATTTGGCCACGGGGACACAATTTACGAAGCCACTCACAACGGCCCACGATGAGTATGCAGCCACGATTGCCATCAGGGCATAGCAGATGAGGCGGAATGGTTTGCCGGGGAAGATGCGTAAATATTGGAAGAGAATGGAGAATTTGGTAAATGCCAGGCTGGCGTTGTACATTGGAATTGCAGCCCATAGACACTGAGAAGAAGTCAGGTGAGTTTACACTAAACAAGGAAATAGGTAAAGAGTAAAGCATACCTTCAGTTGTTGCTGTAAGACATGAGTGGAAAGAATTGCTGAGTGAACGCCCATGCTATAATGTAGTTCTATCTTGTCTGTCAGCGGGGTGATTTTTGAATTCACCGAGGCATCGTGAACGTACGGGCAGCGACGAGTGCGAGATATATAAGGGAAAACATCTGCAAATATATTTTGTTAGCGATCCGTCCACCTAGCGCTAGAACTGAGTATTCAAGAAGCATACCAAAGAGATCAGAATAGCCCAATCTTCAGGACCAGTGATTTTCATCAAACCAAGTCGCGCATAGAACCGCATTGCGACAATGACAGTGGAGATAGCAGTCAGTACTGCAGTCACCACCAATGCCCGTCGGCCATGAGAAGCTCCATTATCATCACCTCGAGGAAGTAGCGTGTGGATTAAAGCGTTCATATTGAACATCGAAGCCAAGGACCGAAATGTAGCGAGCGTAGTTCTAAAATGAGCGTGTGTATAAAATGCAGATTCTGTAATCGATCATGCTAGTGTAGCGTAGCACAAGGGCCTCCGATCGATGTAGCTCACTGCATTGAACTTAGGACCGGGAGCACCAGGAAAGCGAGTGTGATATCAGAATAGAAAACAATCGATAGTCCTTCTCGGAGATAGGGAGCGGGGACGAACTCATTTGAACAAGATCTCAACGACGGTCAATGTCTGCGCAAACTGCGGAGAACTATTTCATGCATGGTACGACCCAGTCTTGGAAGCCAGTTCATGGTAAACCCCCACTATTTCGAATAGTCTGCTCAATAGCGCCGCACCGGTCGGTGATCCCAGGTCCCCGTCCAGGTTGCTGGGAGGCCTTGGTGTGCCGAGGTGACGGCTCCGGTATACACCATGTGGCCTGAGGGCCTGCACGCTGCAGAGAAAACTTCCATTGAAGCCTCTAGCGCGGAAGTTTAGTCGCCGAGTCTCCACTATGGGGAGCATGTATGGATCCCGACGAGGCGATGTTTGGTTGTTTTTATGCGAGGGGCTCGCATAATGGGATAGGATTGACATCTGCCTGCTAAGTTCGTGACGGAAATCCCAAAGCTATCTTCTCAAGTTTCCTCGTTGGGTATAGAAGTTGAGAACAGGCCTCTGCGTCCGTCCATAATATCCACTTTTGTGGGAAGTATGCGGTGTTTGGCACTAGTCTAGTGTCGTCATTCTAGTAGTATTGATGTTGTATGTTAATCCGGGGGTCCGTTACTGCCGAATTGCATGTTGGGTGTATGTGCAGTGTTGACATACATTTTGCAAGCGACACAGTAGAAGATCTATGTTGGAAACAATTCATAGACGACAAAGGACCTTGGTGGAAAGGAGGAGGGGAAGAACGTAGTAGGATCGACAGTGATCGCTTGCATCACTTCCTAGTCGGGTTAGGGTATGTCCCCTTTATTGCTCCTTTATTTTGATCTCCGGGACTATTTGATCTTGTTATCTCCGTAGTTGTACGGAGTACTGTATACTGGACTCTACACTGGATATACTGGAGTATTGTTTCCAGCGACTGCTTCGATGAACACTCTCTTGCCATGGAAGATCAGTACCGGCCAACTCCCAGAATAGGAGTGTCTTTGCCATATAGCGCACTGAGTGGTGAAACGCAAAGATCGCCGCAGTTCAATAACGATGTGGATGGCCTCCACATAAGAGAGCCATGGAATGAGCCAACGTGTGGAGCTTGCCATGACTCGTGTCACTGGCCACGGAGTATTACTACCCCAAACGCTGTCCACAGTCACTTATATGTCGATTGCCTGGGGATCTATATGTTGAGCCTGACTAACAAGCTGATCGACCGACCTTGTGAGATGATTTTGTACTTCAGTGCAGATCTCGGGTCTATCTTGGAATGCTGAGTACAATATAGAACGTACATTCACTCGTCATCGCATTGCTAGTATCCAATATGCAAACATATCACATTCAATAGAACGGGAAGCATCCGAAGTTCGCTAGTTAGGATCTACTTTATAGATTGACTATATCAAAAGTCACTTCCCACCCCCAAACCTGGAAACCCGGAGATCTAAAGATCAGCCCTATTTCTTGGACATGTATACCAACCCAATAGTCTATTTTGCATGGTGAACCCTCAAAACACACAACCTTAGCTTCAACCACTGCATACCCTCAAAACCTACCCTCCAGCCAACTCAACAACAACCTGCCCCTTCTTCCCAAGCGCCGCCCTCACAGTGGTCCCCAACTCCCCACTAAGCTGTCCAATCCTCCGCCTAACCCAAACATGATCCTCATCCCTATAATCCAACAAAACAGCCCTAAACCTCTCAACCCGCGTCGGGAAGATCTCCAATCTCTCCAACGCAACCCCATCACCACCACTCCTCTCCTTCACAACAACCCTCCACAAAGCCCCCAGATCATTCCTATACTCCTCATTCAGCGCATAATCATCCACAAAGTCCCCACAACCATAGATAATCAACTTCCCATGATAAACCTCCACACCCTGAACATGATGCGACGAATGTCCATGGACAATGTCAACCGCACACTCATCGACGAGGAAATGCGCTAGCGAAGTAATCTTCCCATCAGGCTGCCACGCATAATTCGGCCCCCAATGAACCGAAAATACCTTCAACGCAGGCTTGCTTCCTTCCGCATCAACAAGCATTTCTTTCACCCGGGCGCGCGTGTCGCGCGTGTAATCAAACAGATTGAATCCCGGCACCTCGGCCCACACGCGCGGGTGGTCAGAGGCCGAGTACACATGCACCGCGTAGCGGCGCTGTTCGTCTTCCACGGTCTCCGAGGCTCTGGGCAGATGTAGCACAGCAGGTCTGCGTGCATCGGCGGCTGTTTCACCGACGCCCGCGTAAGCGATGTTTGCTTGTTGCATTGTTTGCACTGTTTCTGTGAGACCGGCTGTGCCGAAGTCGAGGGTGTGGTTGTTGGCTAGACTGGCGTAGTCGATGCCGCCGGCGTGCAGAATCGGCGCGAGGTTTGCTGGGTGCATGCGGTAGTTGAAGACTTTGTTGGGCCATGGGATTGGGGCTGTTGTTACGGCGGTCTCGAGGTTGATGCATGTTAGTGTTGAGGATTGGAGGAGCGGGAGGGTTGTGCCCCATGGGGACGAGGGAGTGTAGTTTCCTTTTGCTAGGAGGGTTGGGTGGGCTTTTATGAAGGTTGTGGCGATGCGTTCGTCGTGTTGGTTTGGGACGTGCTCTGGCATTAGTTGGTCGACGAGGCGGCCGAGCATTACGTCGCCGGTGAAGGTGAGAGTGAAGTCTTTTTGGGTGGACATTTTAGAGAGTAGGTGGTTGGAGGAATTGGTATTGGTATTCAGTTGATCTGGGTTCAATTGAGTTGATTGGTGGTGGATTTGGGAATAAGGTTGGATGGAAGTCATTATGACATCGGTCCTCATGAAGTAGAAGTTAAGACGTACAGAAGCATTTTGAAGAACATGTTAAAAGTAAATAATGGCGATTTCACATTATAAAATACAATTCATTGGAGACACTTTTTTTTAAATAATAACACAACCAGGGACAAGATATCCTAGTAAAGTGAGTGGTATCTTTGTGCGCCGTTTATCTCACGAGAAACACCGATTTGCAAAACATTATCCGAATATCATTATGTTCGTCACTGCTTGAGCGGACCTCGAACCTATCGTCTCATCTCTGCCAACTCGCGCTCCTTTGCTCTGAGCATCTCGCGCATCTGTTCGGCTTCGCGTTCAAGTCGGGCACGGCGATCAACCGAGTCTCCAAGAGACGCGATGCCAGGCAAAGGCTGCGGCGGGTGGGGCGAAGGCGAGATAGAGTGGTGGATAGAAGGCGGACGTGGCAGAGTAGTATCCGAGCGAGGCTCGCTTCGAACATCTGGTTGGTTCAGAATGGACGAGATAGAGCTAAGACGACCGGGAGGACTAGGATTGGCCGAAGACATGATCGGAGGCAATTGATTTGATCCTGCTTCGAGGGTAGATGGGGCTGGTATACCTTCTGTCGTGGTCTCGGCCAATGTTCGTTTCTTGGGAAGGGTGAGGGAGTTTGGAGAGGCAGATCGTCGCCCGTACTGAGAGCCGGGCGAATTTCCTAGTCGCTCCACCCCCAGGGGCTTAGGTAGGCTGTTGGGTAAACCGTGTGACATCGAGAGACCATGTGCAAGCGGCATGGATGAAGCATTGTAACCGGTGAAATCAACTGGTGGTGGCGCAAAAGGCAAGGGACGAGGGGCGTCTTCGGATTTTCCGTGCGCCATGTGGTAGTGATCCGCGGGCTCACTACTCATATACCGATAGTGATCGTCATGGCCATGGGCCAGAGCAGCAGGTGATGCCTCCGGAGATGCCGATGAGCCATTGGAAGAAATGGTGGCAGCAGTGGGAGACTGATCTCGTAGGGCGGGAACAACGCGTTTGCGTCGTTTAATAATGGACTTTTTCATGTTGGTGGGGCGATAGCATCCGTGGAGCTTATAATACAATCCTAGGTTGTGTTAGACACAAATCAGACCATATTGTCTATACTGGACCCAAACTTACCACAAGCGTTGCAAATGGGATGGCCCTGTTCGTCGCGCCGCCATAGAGGGGTGACGGTTGTGCCGCAATTTTGACACGCAACCAAGGTATTAGGCCCCTCGGCAGGAGCAGGAGCCTTCACCGGTGGTTCCTCTTGCGTCGCAGGCTCAGACTCTTGTGCTGGTTGACGGCCCCACGAAGATTGGGTGGTAGCCGCTCCTCGGGGAGCAGACTTGTATATCCGGTTGTTGTACGCGGGACATCCATCGCATCCTTCTGCGCCACCAGTGCCATTGCAACTACCACCACCAGGGCATGAGCCCTTGCAACCACCTTCGGAGGAACCACCACAGTGAGAGCTCGTAGGAGGCGGTGGCTTCTCAGCACCCTCTGATTGCATCCGATTCCGTTTTGTGGGGCGAGCGACGTTGCGAGCTTTGAGGTAGAGACCGCAGGCGTTGCAGATCATTGCTCCCGTGGGAGAACGACGCCAGAGTGGAGTACTTTTTGTACCGCAATTGCTAAAAGAGATGGGGTTAGCCCATGGCCTTTATAACCTAATTATGGATGGAGGCCACCCAGACGAGACTCACCTGCATGAATGCCCTAGGAAAGTTGTGTCTTTTTGGCTGCCAGGGGATGTTTTTTCATTCGGGATTTCATTATGCCCCATCCATTGATTTGATCCAGATTGACTGGATCCTTGCATCATGCCATCCTCCCGGTAGTGGTCTGCTAGATGTTCACGACCGGCTTGCGCCGAAGAAATCAACTGCTGCGCAGCGTCCAAATCTTCCGCTGATGGTTGTCGCATTGGAACGTCCGGATTGCGAGGCAGAGAGTGAAGCGCTTCCATTTGTGGGAGAGATGCTAACATTACAACCTGTGATTCGGGCCAGGAATCCGTCGGCCTTGGTGATTTTTAAGAATGGGAGGATCGAATATGGACGAAACGGAAGCGAAAGGGAGAATGAAAACCCTAGGATGTGAGGGCGATGTCGTACCACAGTCAAGAGCAGAATGCACCGTATCACTTAAAAACCAAATGTCGGTCAAGCTGACGGTTAGAAGAAGATGGGAAAAAAAGTCAGGCCAGCAGGAAGATCTGCAGCCACGATGCTGCAGGCTCGGGGGGGTGAGATCGCAGGGTGGATGATGAACTCGGGATAATCGAAAAGAAGTGAACGTCGGAATGCCGTCACAAAGAAATCAGGAAATCAAAGTGTCGAGTAGATTTAACTAATGAACCCGCCACCAAAAGATATGAGCCGATTTGTACAAAGTATGGAACAGTGGCGACCCAACGGCGTGGAACAGTCAGGTGATAGTGATTGTGACAATTGACAGCACACCACAGGTTCTGGTCTGACTAGCAAGCGATCCTGGGGGGGTGGACAGTTTCGTTCCGGGACGGGGGGCCCGATGCAAAAGGACTTTCAGCGAGACAGGGATTGGTTGAGAGGCTAGGGAGCTGCAAGATGGTGATCACTCCGCGTTAGGACTGGGCAAAGTGGGCACACAAGATGTGATGAAGGCGATAAGGGGGTGGTGGACAAGGATTGGAGGAGATAGAGATTGTATGAAAAGGTATAAGTTGGGGAAAGGATTAGATGGAAAAAAAAAGGATGAAAAAGGAGAGAAATTAGAAGAGGCGAGATCAAATTGCTTATCGCCAAAGAAAGGGATTGGGGTTTATCGATCTAAGAAGGGGGGGATCGACGGGACCATATCAATCTATCATATCTAGGGCCAAGGATCTCATCTAATCATTTCTATTTTACTTTTTTCTTTTTCACCTCAACAGTTCTCTTTATATTAAGAAATCTCTGTCTACTGATTCTGCATGATTCTATATATCAGATATCCATGTGACTCCACATGACCTGATCAAGATTAGACAAAACAAGTGGAAAACAAGTGAAAAAAAGGTGGGAAGAGTGGGAATTCCACCTTCCAATATGAGGTTGAAGTGGGGCGATCATAGGCAATCAGATATCTAATGGATATGATTGGTTCAAACACACTGACTAACACTGTAATCACCTCTTTGGTTGTTCCGATTGGTTACCCGGAAATGGAACAAGCCGAAGCGAAATATGGCCACGCTGTACTTTATAGCTTAGGAATCTAGAGTACCCCCGACGGTCGATGTGATTACTAAGGTCCGGAGGACGGAGACACAAAAGTACCGTACTGTTCTTAGTACCTAAGTCCGAAGGTGGGTACATTGCGCGATATATAACTCCGTAGTCAATTCTCGGCATTTTGAGAACTAGCTTATTTTTATCAGATGATCTCTCACCGGATACTGCAATAAGGAAAAAATCAATAAATCATTAATGTCAAATGACAATGTTAGCCCACCTCCCCAGATATAGTACAGGTGTCTCTCTGTCCCTTAAACGCTGGTATCAACAAAAAAATTCACCCAGCAACCCCGCTCTCCTCTCAAATCTCCTCTATAATCACATTCTTCACCGAATTCAGACTCTCAAGGATATCTTAAGGTCATTGCGCTCATGGACATCGTATCCCGCACTCTGAAGGAAACCGCCTAAAAAGACTGTATATCCATCATAATGCCGACCCGATGCGCCCCATTATGGGACGTGACCCACCTATGCAGGCAAGCAATTTAGACCTGCTCGGCACCCCAACCCTGGTCGGATTCGCGCATGTTTGAAGGTGGCTCAATAGAGGGAATGAACTCGAGAGCAACGTATCCGAGACCGATGAAGGCGACAAGCGAACCATCGATGATGCGCAGCACGTGGTCGTGCAGCAGAATGGAACCGATAAAGATGTAGACTGTTGCCGGAACTGATTAGATACCGAATTCTCTCTGATCTGATCTAAGAGCATGCAAAAGGATTAACTTACAGACTCCACGGCCGAGGAAGGAGAAAAGGAAGGATGCATAACGGTATGCGTAGTCCGGGACGTGAGGGAGGAACTCCAATCCGGCGACGACTGGGATGATGTTAGCACTGACAATTCACGTTGTAAGTTTGGATTATCGTCGGGACTTACCGAGACCGAAGACGATCACATATGCGCCCAGGACGAAGGTACTCCAGGTGCCAGTGAAGAAGTTACTGATGCCACCGAGCACCATGAACAGGCCCACGGCGATGTTGACAATACGGCTGCATTGAGTCAGTACTGGCAAAAATGTATTCCAGGAAAAGACAACGTACAAAATGTTCGTGAAATCCATTGCGATAGCTTCGTTGAAGAGGTTAAGAGATGGAAGGAATCCTCAAGGGTATTGTGTTTGCGAATCAATAATATGCAGGGCAAGTCGCTAGGCTGCAAAGTTTTGACCAAGAAAGAGTTGGTGAACGGCTAAATTGGGTCTTCAATGGTGCGAAGTTAGCTAATGATACGAATATCGATGGCCCTCGGTCTCGCAAATTGCCCAAAGTGATGATGGAAGTTAGGTTTGGCGGAGTTCGCCAGACTGGTCCTCACTTTGATGGTTCTATCACAAAGGGAAACGCGTCTTTGATATGAAACAGTGGGTCTGAGGAGAGCTATAATGGGAAACACACCTTTGATCAAAGAGCTTGCCAAGATTTGAATGAAGCAGAACAGGGGGAAGTGGAAATGAGGGCGTCGACAGCTGCCGGCTGTGCTGTCGCAAGCAACGGGTCCGCCAAGGCCGCTGGTGTATCACGTGCTCTGCCACCGGCCAGTGCGGACGCTATGCTGTATTAGGAATAGTGTTTCTCTGACGTAGGGCTAAGTGGTTTTACTTAGCTTTATCGAGGATGGACTTTACAATGAACATTTAGGGCTGGAACTTAGTATATTCAAGATCTCATATGTAATCTTGGCTTCAGCCATTTAAAATGGTGGAGAACCAGAGATCTAAGGATATGCTTATGGGTAGAGAGAGACAATTGTTGAAAACCTACGAAAACCATACCATATCCATGTGCCTATTATATGTACTAGGGCTGGTGAAAGAGATGCTTGATTCACAGGTGGAAAGAAATTTAGCAATAGCACACGAACACAGAATGTGCAAGAGCTCGACGTATATGTAGCCGTCCAGTCCGTTAAAAACTTGTTAGATTATGCGCTTCCTGTCCCCACACCTGAACTAATTATCTTTGAGAATACCTGGCTTCTACATGGCGTTCCTCAAAGTAGGCATATGTAAAACACGGCTATGCGTATATCACTGTTTGTATGAAAGGTTAACTATGATGCCCTGAGTTTGTGATTTTATGTCAGAAATTTTCACTGCTCTTGATTACATGCATCCCCACCAATTAGGGCTCAAGAATAAAGCCGTAGACTGCGGCTCTCTCGCTATAGTTATCAATAAGGTACTTCGTGTGTGAGTTCGAATTCATGATTTGGGTTGTTTGGCTGCTTATTGCGGTCTGTGTTTTATTCATTTCATGTATCTGATTGGGTAGATGATATGGCTCGGAATTGAGTCAGATGGCTTGTGATCAAATTGTATAGATTTTCAAGGTAATGAAAAGAAATTTCGTAAAATATAATCAGCAACAGAACAGAGGGTCAAGACAAAAGCAAAGTTAAGTCCCGAAAAGCCAAGGGAGGCGATGACACAATACAAAGGCCCGAACACCGTCTTAAATATATACACACCTAGCTAGATACAATTTGTTGATTATTGTGATGATTCAACCACTAGAGGTAATTGTAAATATGTCCCCAAGGAACCCTTACAAATCTGCTTCTAATGACGCTGAAAATGTTCTGCGTGTCTGGCTGCCCCGCAGCAAATCGTTCAGCTGGTGCAACTCGCGATCATGGTGGAGAATCTGACCCAGAGCGGCACTATTGGCCCAATCAGTTATGTTGATCGTTAATAGATCATGCAGCTAACGTGCATGTGTCATCCATCCATGCATGTGTCTACGAACTAGGGCAAGATACAGAGAATTACTAGTTGAATCTTGGACTAAGTCGCGGATATTCCAAAAATCAAGTCTGCTTCTATTGAAATATGCTGATTGCTGACACTACTAAATTTAAATATAGTTCATATCGACTCGAAAAGTAGATTATTCCCACCTCTGTCTTGACTGCATCTTCTCTAATCTTCACCTCGGAACAGCTTTTGAAGCACCCGTGTCTTTCAATTAAAGACTCCCTAATTACTGAGACGAGGGGGTCTCGAAAGGAAACCCAAATTGAGCTTCAGTAATTCGTTATATTTGAATCATCATGGAGGATATAATACCCACAAAACCATGGCTATTCAATCTCCGCTCATCCAAGCAACTCATCGGCCTTGCGGTCTTCTCGACCACTTTCACTGATGGATTCCTTTACGGGATCGTAGGTGTCTCTACCCATAGCTGTGAAATTGCAGTACTAACTCCACGACCCTTCTTCTAGATCGTATCCGTGCTTCCATTCTCTCTAACCGTTCGGTCCGGCGTACCAGAAGCAGACGTCCAATTCTGGACATCCACCTCATTAGCCGTCTTCGGATTGGCAATGGTCCTTGGCGCCCCGATGGCTGGCTGGATTGTCGGGAATTGCGAAAGACGCCAAATACCATTCCTGGGAGGCCTCTCTTGCGCATTCGGTGCCACCCTCTCATTCATGCTCGGAGTCAAGCCATGGATGATCATCGTGGCCAGGATCTTCCAGGGTCTCTCTGCGAGCGTTGTTTACACTGCCGGCTTAACGCTGCTAGTGGACACGATCGAGTCGCACGAGCTGGGTCCCTGGATTGGCTTCGGACTGTCGGGCATGAACTTTGGGGTTCTCGTATCACCCACTCTCGGAGGAATTGTATACGAGAAAGCAGGGTTCTATCCTGTCTTCATCATGGGTCTTGGCGTGGTTCTCGTCAACTTGATCCTTATTCTCCTCATGATCGATAGAAAGAGCGCGGCAAAGTATAGAGGGCAAAATGGTTCTACTAAGGGTTCTACCATTCCGAATGGACACTCGAAAAAAGGTTCCATTGCGAATGGAAAACGGCGACTATCGACTGTTGAAGATGGTGATCCAACCGCCACAACACCGCTCCTTTCGCACTGCCGCCAGACCTCTTCTGCAGTTGCAAATCATCCTTCTTGGTGGACTATTGTCGGAGGCTTTCTTCGAAATCCTCGCATACTTGCCGCGCTATATGGATGTCTCATCAACACGATCTTGGTCAGCGCCATGGACGCCGTCCTCCCGATTTTTATCAAGCAGACCTTCCACTGGTTTTCTGGCGCTACCGGGGCCATGTTTTTGAACATAACCATTCCATCATTTATAGGTCCATTTGTTGGAATGATCTCAGATAAATACGGCGTCCGATTGATTTCCACTATCGGGTTTACGTTGGGAGCTGTAGCAGTCGCTCTCCTCGCTGTGATACGACACAACGATACTACAAATAAAGTCATGGCCTGCATACTATTATTCTGCGTTGGTAAGCTCCCACCTCGGTTCCATGAACGCAAGGGTTGCGCACAGATTTGCTCACCATAAACAGGGTTAGGACTCAATATATCGCTGACCCCGTTGGTTACGGAGATTCCTCGTATCGTGGATGTCATTCAAAATGAACAACCTGAGATATATGGGGATAAGAGCGCAGTCACGGAGGCTTATATGTTACTTGATGCAGCATTTGGCGCTGGCACTGTGCTCGGCCCGTTGCTTTCGGAGCTCGCGTTCGAGAATTTGGGATGGACTGCATGCACCGCAATGCTAGGCCTTCTGACTGTGTCAGCCATATTTCCAGCTGTAAGTAGCTGAAACTTTATTCAATGTCCGTTGAGCATCGTTGCTGACTTCAACAAGATCCTCCACTTGACCCCAAATCCGAAAGGGCGGTTAATCATCTCTCGGTGATGTACGTCAATTATTTGAAGCTATCTAGTTAATTCATTCGGATGTTTTAGGACAAGAATGTCAAAGGAATATTTCCTTACCTTTTGTTCCAAGCGTCTAACAAATGGGTTGGGTGAGGAGAGATCATGATTCTAGTTCAACGGCTAGAGCACTTGAATGTGAGGAGAAAATCCAGTGATTCTGTCACTCTTCTTGTTAAAATATATTGACGGAGCCGGTACATGTATGTATTTTCAAATTCCCTCAATAGCATCCTGCCTTTTCTCCAATCGGACTTCAGAGAGGCCATTAGCGAACCAACTCATGCGCATGGGATCCCGATCTAGCGTGTTGTATATTCCATCCAAATCAGTCCCAATCCCGATCTCACCCGCTGTCTTCAAGCTTCGTGAATCAACAGATGGCGCAATACGTGGCCATACGCTTTGAGCACTGTTGAAAAATACCTCCACTGCCAAGTCACCCATTCCCTTGATCTCCTTCAGCAATAGTCCAGCTTTGTCGGGTTTGCCGTTTGCCTGCTTGAGAAGATTGTTCAAATCACCATCTATACCCACGTAACGTTAGAATCCAGTTCCGTACGCCAGTATAACAACGCAAACCCAAACCTGCAAATAGAAGCGAGGCGTACCGTATTTGTCAACAATCAACTTCGCAAGCTCACCGAGATTGGTAGCGCATTGCTCTCGATACCGGTTGTACCCCCCTGCTTGTAAAACCATTGTTCGGTCTTGCCAGGTACTGTTGGAAAGTATGTCGATGTCGTGGTAATCGGCTTGGATTAATTTTGCGAGAGTTTTGCGCGTCAACTCATGGGAGATTGGCCTTGCTTTGATCAGGGCGTCCAGAAGCATCGCCAACACTATTTCAGGGCTCGAACTTAGTGAGTCAGCAAGTACTGTGCCATGTAGAGGAGCTCTCCCGAACTCATTTAGGACTTTGTCGATTCTCAGCGCTGCTTCTTTGGACGTATGTGCAGGCATCGTGGAGCAATCTATGAAATTATTATGGATGGATTTAAATAACTCTCCTGCTTTATCTCAAATTGAGGGCTCTAACAATTACCAATTGACGTCATAATGGCATATATAGGTCGACCAGATTTTGTAATATATACATGCCGATGGTAAATTTGAAACCGCTATGCAACAATTGATATGTATAATGCCGTTCCTCACAGCTTAGCGCGAGATTTGTTTTGCAGGATCTCATTAACCAAAGACACAGCAGAGTATGAACAGCCGAAGGACGCCTGGTAGCCAAATCCTCCATGGCCGTAGTTGTGAACGATTGCCACACCGCCAACTTTGTCCTTTTCAATACGAGTGCCGCCCTCTCTCAGCGGGCGCAGGCCAACGCCATGGCGAACGATATCCAACCCCTCAATCCCCTGTCCCTTCTTAACGAGGTTAGGGCAGACCTCAATGCAACGCTTCATAATGCGATTGGCAAGGTTCATATCCGGGATCGCATCCCAGTTGTTCTTTTGGTACGACCCTCCAAGGATCGTGCCACCACCTAGAAACAATAAGTAAATGGTCTATCAGTAAACCTAGTATATAAGATCTTACCTGCAGCGCGGGTCATAATGTACAACAACTCGTCTTCTCCATCGTCAGTACCGGATGTCGACATCATGGGACCGGGATCGTTGCGGACCACAACAATCTGTCCGCGGGCGGGATACATCTTGTCGTCGAGAACACCTCCTAGGGTCTTGGATGATAGGCCGGTGCAGTTGACCACTACGTCGGCTTTCTGTCCGGTGTGATGGGCGTTTGCCGCATCGGCGATGTGCTTAAAGACAGCTCGCTTGAAGACGGCGCCATTCTTGAGGCACTGACCGACCAACCATGGCAGGTAGATGGCGGTGTTGATGCAGACAGATGTGAACTCCTGGCCGTTGTTAATTCCCGGGAGTAATTGATCAGAGGGGACGCTTTTGAACTAGAATTACAATGTCAGTCTGCAGACAGTCTATGTCCGTCTCGTGGTTCAAACATACATCAAGCACGACATCTTTATACCACGGGTTTGGCTGAACCAATTCAGAGAACGACCTTCCGGTCTCTGATCCTTGATCCTTCTTTCGGTTGTAAATAAAACTTCCTATATTTTGTTAGAGACTTGTTAGAGGCTTTTGAATGATGATCAGGTTCTAGGGGAAGCTCATACCTCGGAAGTGAATACCGGCCTCTGGGTACTTGTCGGCGATTTCTTTCAATACTGGCCAGGTATCGCGCTCCCATTTCTGATGAGCACTTCCCTCTTTACCTACCCTGTTGAAAATCCACTTGATCAGAAATTTATCAAGGAGCTGGTTTCAGTTCATCATACGGCATATAGTTGGCACCGGCCCATGGGGACGCATATTCAATATCATAGTCTCCAGGCATATGTTTTGCCAAAACAGTAATCTTGTTGGCGGGGTCTTGCGACAGCAGATATGCGGTGGTCAAGCCAGACACACCAGCGCTGTTACGTACATTAGTGGAAGCTCGAACTGGTGAGGGGTGGAGCTAGAAACTCGGAGAGTCGGAGATATGCTTACCCCAGAACTACAATGTTATTTGCCATAATGGACTCTTGAGCTTAAACCTCCAAGTACAATTGACACAGTTGACACAGAGGGTGTTTCTGTCCTTAAGTACTCCGTATGCGCTAAGGCGAGCGGGGTGGGGGTCAATCTATGAGCAAGCTACAGTCACTCCGCAAAAGTCTCCGTCTGATTAGATAAGCGCCCCACTTATGGATTTATAAGTACGCATTTAATGATAACCGTAAATTTGACCTCGAAGATATAGAGAGAGCTCGTTTCCGCATGGCCTAGTAGGATAAATAGGCCTAAGAAGCGTTCTTGGAACTTAAAACGCAGAGGTTATGTTAAAACGCCGTCGCGAACTAGGTAAAAAAACAAAAGGTAGGAAAACGCGCATGTGGGGGCCGGGTTGACGGAGACTATGAGCAAGCTATCTTCGCTCATTATTTCTGGAGCCGACGGGATGCTCATATGTGTGATAAGGGTCCGATAAGCGCTGGTAAGGTCCGGTAAGGGTCTGATTCCCTAACTTTATACACTTTTCCTATTGTGGGCATCCTACCGAGGCGGTGTAAAGCATGATCCAATCAAAGCCTCCAAAAAATAAATAAACGCGCTAGAGATTTTCAGTGGAGCTCTGGATGGATACTCCGCGTACAGGTCAATATTTAAAATACACCTCCGCACTTATGCGGAGGTGATGCTTTTACTTCCTTGTCCAAGGATAGCATTGTAGCTACTGGTATATATAAAGCTTTTGAAATATTTCAATGCTTTTGTTTGTGGAATCTCCCATATCCCTGATTCAGTCTCCAATTATCTGATTTCGCCTGGACCTCCAGCAAGGAGCTGCTCCGTAACATCCCGTTCCATCACTCCGGACTCCACTCCGAATCCAACGTTATTGATCACATTCGGCCGTTCTTCAATTACTTCAATTCACGCTCGCTTTGCTCCCAAGTCACTGTTCTTTGAGCTATTCTCGAGTCAGAAGACAAAGCAGAAGCTTTGATTTACTAAATATAGAGTTGAATGCCTTGAGACCTTTCTATACAAAGAAAATCAAGCGATGTCATAGTGGGCAACCGCCCACGTGTGGCCAATCACCGAACATCAGAGCTCACCGCCTCATTCCACTCAAATGGGCATCGGAGAGTGAACAATTTCCTTTTTTCAAACCACCCGCAGGGCCCGAATTCCCGCCGCGGGCTACTTTTGTTTGCCATTCTTAGATCAATAACCTCAATTTCTCTACTTTTTCAATTTCCCTTCCCTTCTATATCTATTTGTTTGTCCATTGGTCTACTCTCTCCCATAAATGCCGACTCTTATTCGAGTCTTACCTTCAATATGTCACATCTCACAAATGGTGGCAGAATCGTGCCCATACTTACGGGCTCTGATTCTCACGATACCACCCTCGAGGCGCCTGCGTTGTTAGACGCTTCTCTTCCCCCAATTCCTCTTTCTTCAATCTCTTCACCACCAACCATGCCTCGGCTGTTGCAGGACCAGCAGCTTTCTAAACAAGCCAAGCCCATTCACGACGCGAGCTTGGAGATGGCCTCTCTCCAAGAGAGAGGTCTTTATGCACTCCCCACCGACGGAGACGGTAAGCCAATTACCCTTTCGCATGATTTCTGAGCTGTTTCACGGTCTTTGGAAGCTGCATCGCGTTGTTTTACCTATTCTGACGCGTCCAATTCCAGGTAATTGTCTCTATTATTCCCTCTCCGACCAATTGTATGGCGACACCCACCATGCAGACGAAATCCGCCAGCTCCTAGCCAATCACATGGCTTCCAATAAAGATTACTTCATGCAATTTGTCGTTGCTGAAGGTGGGGAGCGGCGCCGCCCTAAGCGTGCGGCTGCTTCTGCGTATGCTACCCGTTCCGCCGATGTATCCGCTCCGTCACAAGAGGACATGGAACGGCGGTTCCAGGAAATGATTGCTACCACCCGCAAAAACGGGGAATGGGGCAGCTCCGAGCATCTCCAGGCATTCTGTCAGGCCTTCAAGGTCGACTTAAATGTATACACCATGGATGGTGTTTCGGTGTTCCAGGATGTCAATGCCCTCCCAAATCAACCTCGGGATGTTCTGCACGTAGCCTTCCATGTAAGTGCCTTGCTGTCACGCGCATCATTGGACCCCACTGACGACCCTAGGACTTCAAACATTACTCTTCAGTGCGGGGCATCGAGGGCAAACATGAAGGACTTCTTACCAAGCTAAAAACATTCCAACCTATCAAGGAGGACATTAAGCCTGAGGTCATTCCAGACTCTAAATCCAACTCGGATGATAGACAATTCACTTCCCTAGAAGAAAAGGCCGTTAATGCCTATAACACCAACGATGCTGGCCTTGCCGTTGACCTCTATCCCCCTTGGGATATCAAATCAATTCAAGAGGGATTAGGAGGTCGATATGACCGGGAGACCATTGTGGACATGCTCCAGAGATGTCGTGGCGACATCGACCGCGCCTTCGCCGCGCTTTTGGACGAGAAGGCGGAAGTCACGCTTGATAAAAAAGCTGCTCCCGGAATCCCCATCAAACCAAGCTTGCAGGCCTCGCGATCTTCTTCCCCATTCAGTACGGGGAGTAAACGTTCCGCAGAGGACAGCGACGATTCCGAAGACCCTCGTCCCGCACGACGCACCCGACCTAAGAAACGCCTCGTTTCCAATCTCACCTTGGGCGTTGGTATCTCATTCAGGGATGAACACGACGAAGTTGTCTCCTTGAATCTTCGAGTAAGCTCTCCAACCCTTTTTTTCGAGTTGGGATATTTGCTAAATTTTGGTTTAATAGATGAATTCCGACGCAGAAGACGGTCAGGCCACAGACCCCTCTCTCCCGGGTAGCACGAACCCGGAGCAATCGGACGTGGACGGAAAGAAATGTCGTCGCAGTAGACGACTTTCCCGCCCACTCCCGAAATGATTTATTTGTTTCTTGCCTGTCTCCAGCCTTTGGCTAGACCTTTGAGCATCTTTAGCGCTTTCTCATGCATCGAAAAAAAAGGCGTTGGTGATAAAGCGATTGGTTTCTTGGGTTTGCATATTGCATTGCCCTGCGGGGCTCGCGGCCTATAGGCTTGCGGAAGGGGGCGTTTTGTCTGATTATGAAGTCATATGAGGATTTTGCCTGGGGCAGTCCTCGATGACCTTGTTTACGATACCAGGGTTGCTTTCTTCCCACTGTTTTGTAGAGTCCTTAGCTTTTGCTCTTTTTTGGCTCTCTTGTTCCAGTCTGGGCATCTATTCATGATCCGGCATTGGTGACGAGCTGGTATTACAGCTCTGTTTGGTGGCTTGGGTTCTAATATAGATCCTAATGTCACACCCATTTTCTGGCTGGACTTTGTCAGTCGTACTCATTTCGTAGTCTCCCGGTTCTTCCTAATACTGTGAGTAAGAGTGAAGCTCACACTCTATATATAAACGCCATGAACCTACCTGTCATTCCTAAGTAGCACATTATTGCATATCGCCAAGTATTGAGAGGCTCTCGTCTAATAACTTGTCAAATATTGCAGTGCATCTTATGTACATAAAGACAGATCTATTTGCCATCAGTTGAAAATAGCACCAAGTAGTACTCGCCAGAGCCTGGAATGAGTCAGACAGAAGCAAAACCAAATCTAATGCAGTTCGCTTGTGTCACGTCAGGAGTTTGTTCCTGCTTTTAGTCCTCCAGTAGGAACTTCAGGAACACCGCCCCAATGGCGACACCATCATTTTCATTATTAGCTCTGCTCAAAGCATCCTGAGCCTGGTCCTCCTTGAAAATACCGCTGTCGGCCCGAGTCTGGATAATCTCCGTTATAATATCCGCCGTGAATTCAGGATGGCCCTGAAGAGTGATAAACCGACGCGGCACATACATACCCTGCACGGCGCAGCGCGGGGATGAACCCAGAGGAATCACGTTCGGAGGATAACTAAAGACAATATCCTGGTGCATTTGCTGGATGCGCTATTTGCGGTAAGAAGAAATTACGTTAGAGGTGTCTGTCTATCCATGTACTCGGCCGCATGGGACGTATCCATGAATGTCGCGTTTTGTTACACAAGGCGCAGGCGCAGGGAACTCACAAGCTTATCCCGTCCAAACAGCTCCTTTCCCTTGTCGGTTAAATCCATATCACACACGGCAATCTCCCAACCTTGGTCGCTTCGTCCGACCTTGGTGTTTAATGCCCGGCCAACGATTTGGTGTCCGAAGCAGATTCCGACTAGACGGACCCGATCCTGCGCGAGGACTTGTTGGGTAAATTCGACAAGACGGTTGATCCAGGGGATATCTTCGAAAGAGTTGTGTCCTGTTTTTGAGTCACTGCGATTAGTGTGCATTCAATATTTTGAGCCTACCGAGTCAACACGCACTTGATCCTGTTAGAAGCACGGCATCGACATCTTCCAGGTTTGGGTATTTGTTGTCGTTGACTATATCCCAAGCTGTGATTTCCAGCCCCGTCTCGGGATCGAGTCTCTCAGGCTGGTTCAAGGCCTTCGCGCCAGCTTTGAGGAGAACGCGGAATACCCCGCCATATCCGTTATAGCGGCGGTTAATGTTGTCAAGCGGGGTGTCGCATTCCAACACGGCTATGCGGAGCGGAGAATGCATCGTTCGGGATGGTTTGAAGCTGTAGATAATGTGATACAGTTATGAACTAAAGAGATGTAGCAATCGAAGATGCTTGGTCCATACAATAATACAGATGTCCCTATCTTATCGGATACCGAGATCGGACCCTGACAAACACTATTCCCGATGCGACAAACATGGATCTCGAGTGGATTGCAAAAAGCACTACACTTTTTCTTTCTATTTTCTCGGCAATTGATCTTGTGTCGTATTACATAGGGGACAGCTCTAGTTTTATATAAAAGATCCTATGCCCCTTGGAGATCTTTTTCTTTTTTTTTTTCTTCTTTTTTTATTTTGCCACTGTTTCCAAAGCCCATGCTTCCCTGTCGATGGCGTTTGCCGAACTTATTTTTCGTGCTTGCAGAATCTTTGTTTCCATGAAATAACACTTGGTATATTTGTTTTTTTGTATTTCTTTTGCAAAAAGAATGCCCATTAATATTGACAACGAGGGGCAATCAGTTAATGTTCGCCCCTCCGAGGCCACCCCGCTGCTGCGCAGTAATTTCGTCCAGACGAGTTACCAGGATGTCTCGTATTCTGCATCGGATGTTGAATCGGCCTGCTCATACAAAGATACTGGAGGAGAATCCCACGTTCGCTGTATATCCAGTGCGAGCTCCGCGTCCGAAGTACTCTGTGTTGGAACATCTTGCTCTCCCAACCAAGAGCCGAACACCTCAACCCAAGATGAAAATGATTATGCCTCGAGGTTCATTGATATCTCGCCGACAAGGTTCTGGATCATCTTTAGTGGCATCCTGATGGGCTACATGATCGGCTTCTTTGACTCGACCCTCATGGCCTCCAGCCATCCAGTCATCACCTCCCACTTCAATGCAGCCAACTCAGCCTCCTGGCTATCAACAGCCTTCTTGTTGACCTCGACCGCATTCATGCCCTTATTTGGGCGCATTTCTGACGCATTTGGCCGGAAACCTGTTTATATCTTCTCTATTGTTATGTTCTTCCTCACGACAGCAGGTTGTGGCTTGGCTCAAAGCATCGGCAGTTTTATTGCTGCTCGCGCACTTTGTGGGCTTGGTGCCGGTGGTATCTTTTCTATCGGTCAGATCATCTCCAGTGACTTGGTACGTCTCGAGTATCGTGGTGTCTACCAATCATACATCAACCTGTGTCTCGGCGTCGGTAGTAGCCTCGGCCTTGCCTTTGGGGGTTACCTGTGTGATCATATCGGCTGGCGGGGTGCATTTTTCATCCAGCTGCCTTTCATCTTCGTTTACTTGATTGCAGCCGCTTGGACAGTCCCGGCTGACCTCGGCATCAAAGAAACTGGAATGGAGCGCATGAAAGTCTGGCAGTTAGTCCGGAGTATCGATATACTAGGATCAGTCATTTTGATTATGTGTGTGACTCTGTTTATCGTGGGTCTGAACTTTGGAGGAAATGTCTATCCTTGGAGCCATCCAGTTATCGTCGTCTCCCTAGTGTCGTCATTGGTCCTAGCCGTTATCTTGGTGCGCTATGAGCGACACGTTCCACGACCTGTGCTACCAATCGAGCTCATGTCAAAGGATCCTCGAGCGAGTATTATCTTTGGCAATTTCTTTGCCGCTGTGTCTCTACATACCATGATTTTCAATGCTCCGCTGTATTTTCAGGCCGTGAAGTTGGAGAGCCCAACTGATTCAGGTCTGCGCCTTGTGGCCTCCTCCATAGCTGTCACTATCTCTAGTGTGACCACCGGGTTCATGATTACCTGGACTAGACGTCTCAAACCTTTTGTCATCGTTGGTGTATGCCTCATGGTGATCGGTGGATTTGCAGCTTCATCCATGGGCATTAACACCTCTCAAGCAGTCTCCATGATCTGCGTGTCATTTTCCAGTCTAGGCCAGGGCTTCTCATTTCCCTGCCTTATGGTCTCCATTCTCGCAGCTAGTGAGAAACAAGACCAGGCTGTCGCAACAACCACTCTGGGGCTGTGGAGAAACCTAGGCGCCGTGATGGGTGTGGCTGTCAGCAGCTGGATCTTCCAGAATAGTCTCCTGTACCAACTCGACAACAACGTCACTGGTATTGACAAGGAGCATATTATTGCGCTTGTCCGCAAATCCGTTCATGCTATTGCTCATTTGGATCCAATCCATCGGCAACAAGGTATGTTATATTTCTTTCGAGCGCCGATTCTGGCTTTGACCTCGCTAATATCCACCCAGTTACAACGTCATACTGTGCAGCTCTTCAACTGACCTTCCTATCCGCGGCCTTCTGGGGAGTCATTGTGTTAATGTTTCTGGGCCGAGTCCAGCTACCGCGATTGGGGAGAAAGGCGTAAACAGTCTCTCTGGGCGGTTTCATAGGTAGAACCCAGAAATCAGGGGCCAAAGCTGGTCCCTTCCCCTGGTGATGCTCTGTCCTCCCCTTGCTTAAGTCGTAATATCGGCCCCTCCGTAAATACCGAACTGCGATCGAAAGTTCAATGTTGATAGCAATGACAGAAATTCGCCTTTCCGAGGTAAAAAATGAAGAGGTTTGATTTATCTTGCAGTATTGGTATAATCGGTGGAAAATAGTACACTAGCTCGACTCTTTATCGACGGGTGATACGTATGGACGTATCCTAGATATGTTCCGAGCTCGGTGATTGGCCTTCTTTCGCAATGAAAGATTCAAACGACCTGAGTAGGTTGGCTCCGAAGATAATATGCATTCGGACCCTAAATGTCTCAGATTTCTACACGAGGCTCTAAAGTAGATCGCCTTCCTCGGATGATGGTACGTTTTCTCTCTGTACATAAGTGGAACACTATTGTCACAGCGATTTCACTACTGTCACAGTGGCTTATCCCAATTAGGCTCAGTCCCTCTTGGCATTCCATTTTCAAAACAAGTGCCATATATTATGGGTATCGCCATGGTAAAAAGCACAACTCCTGAACCATCTCTGCCACATAGTACTTCCATGATGACAAAATCTACAATATTCCAACAATCCTACCCGATATCACGTGGTGTTATCGTCATCTGACTTAGTCCCTTGCTTTCTTTGATCCTCTAGCCCTCCTCCTCGCAATGAACCACTCTACCTCTATAATGAAGAAATTTTTGCCTAGCATGGCGCCTTCAAATGTGAGTCAAGTTACCGGGTGTCCATCAGGAGAGGCCATCTATCTTTCACACCTTTAGATAGTCCAGCTGACGGATTCCAAAATCGTTCCAAAATCGTTCCAAAATCGGCTCAGCCACTGGGTTCATCATCCGACCCCACAGTTTATCGTCTAGAGCTTGAATACAATACAAACTCTGTGCTTCCGAAATCGGTTATCGTAAAACTACAAAGGAAAGAGTGTTTTCGGGCATTTCAAAACGAGATTGACGCCTACAATAATCTGCAGTCTCTTCAAGGAACCGTGATTCCAACTGTTCTGGGCCAAGGGTCTTTCTATGGCTGCCGTGCACTTTTTCTCTTTGACGTGGACGGAAGATCTCTGTACGAAGCTGCTCAAGCTGACAGTGATGAGAAGACAATTGAAACCTATCTTAAGGAAGCATTATATGCTCTGTGGGAATGCAAAGCTGAGTATAATGATGAGAACCCGAACAACTTTCTAGTTTGCCATGATCATATTGTCATTCTTGATCTGCAAGAAGTGGAGTTTCTTGTTGAAAATCTATGCTGGGAACGCAGCGTCAATTCTGGCAACGTGGAGTACCTATTAAGCAGATACAGATACATGAGGAATCCAGGTCGCCCTCGATCACCGATGGATTTTTCAAGAATCCATTTGAACGGTACTCATGCATCAAGCATCACTCTTGCTCGATGTAATTGATTATCTTTCGTTAAGGAGGAGGTTGAGGTTGATTGAACCTAATGATTGGCAAATTCACACATCGAATAGCATGGACATGCATCAAACAGATCAGCTCTGGTTGCACTAGGGGCGAAATTTTAATTTCTATTATATTTCTAGTACACATTTAATAATTGTCGTGAACTGGGCTCTGGCTGGCTTTTGCCCGGTTTGAAAGCTTACAACGATGTAATGCTCAGTGAACAAATCAGGGTGCTCAGTGAGCAAAAAGCGGCAAGGCCTGAGCACTAAAATAGAAATGGAAGGCCAAGAAGGGGCAGAGGAAACCAAGTATGTAGGTATCCTATATGAGGCAAATAGACTGGTTGCCAAAAGATGGCAAACAGTTTCAGATTTGCAACCTTTTATCTCCCCCACATTTATATAACTCACCAGACTATCTCCAAACGCGCTATTCGCTACGGGTGTCGAAATTTAGTTTTTCGATCCTTAGATCACCCTAGTAAAGGCTCTCGCTCCCTATCTACCGCGTCTTCTCTCCCTTTGTCCTTCTGCCAAGCCGATACAAACAAAACGCTCTGCCCCATCGCAAATACACCATTATCAAAAGCGGGGAACCCAACTGAACAATACCAACCCATAAGATCTTCGAGAGGGCTCACCGGCCATGAAAACGGGCCCCACCACAATTCAGCAGTTTCAATTGGAACGCGCCAGATCCATGTAAAAGCTACAGCAGAAAAGATAACAGCTTGCATCGCCAATCCGCAGATACTTAGAGCATTGCCTGGTGAACTCGATAATTCTGGGCTCCTTGCAATTCTGATTTCCCGTAGCTGCGAGAAAACAGCATATACCACCAACACCGTTACAAGCGGGTTCAGCAGACACATAGAGAGGAAGAATATTCCCGAAGCTAGAGGATCACCGTAAGTGTGATCTGGCGAAGGGAAACCATAGAGGATATCCAAGATTGGAGGGATAATTGATATGGGGATGTAGAGTGCGTATGCGATGATATAGAACGGCTTGTAGCGTGTGTGTCGTAAGCAAGCACAGAAACTGGGTGATATGTTAGTTGGAACTTGCTTGATTGTAAGTAGCCGAAGGTCAGGTATCACTGACAGTGTAAAAAATGATAACCAGACAACAGCAGTTTGATACATATTCAGCCTATCTCCGAACGTTGGGGGATCATAGACGAGTGGGATGTCTTCTTCAGGGTCCTTGGCTATAAGAAGGTAGACAAAGAATTTGAATTGCTCTGTTGCGCAGAGGAGGTTCCAAAAGATGTAGTTCGTTGAAATCCCTTTGCTAGTCTTTTGTATCCAGATGCGATGTAGTTGAGGAAGAAACGATAAAGCGGTTAAGATGGTGAGTGCCCTACGAATTTCCCAGCCTGTTAGTCGTCTTATGTTTTTTTGTTCTTGCTAGTATTGGGACATACACTCGGAGACGGTCAGGTATAGGTATAAGCAACATTTTGAGTAGAAGTAACTCATATGATAACTACATGCTGGATAAGTTAGGTACTTGGAGAGGTCGGATGGGAACGTTGAGCGGTTTCCTCGGCTGTCAGCACCTGCCTCTTCTAGTATAGCGCCTGCTCTTTGGCCCCCAAGTTTGTTTGACTCGTTTGCATGTAATATGCTTTGGACAGGCAATATACCATTATTTCAAATGTTGATGAGGAGCTTGAACACTGTCAAGAAGCGGACTCGGGGCTAAAGGGCATCTCAGAATAGGGCTCGGAAACAGTCTGTGTGGAAAAGATGACGGTTTTGTTTCGACAGAGTAATTTGACCATAAGCTATGTAAAGCTATATGTTGACCGACCTATATGTACTTCCTAGCACAGCCATACTATATTACAACATGCTACAGCTTTGAAGCTTTTGAATAACCACTAGGTAAGACAGAAACATCAATTGATGTCTTTCCGTTATGATACACTTTCCTATCTGTTTGTCCAAATAGAGCCGCCTCTAGTCAATCCAATCTAACCTTGCGTTCGAACCTTACGTCAGTAAAGCCTTCTCGGGAACTACTTTCATCTGGAGAGCATGCAACCTTGGAAAGCTTCTCACCTTCCCTCTTCAGAAAACATTTTAGTCGTCTACTTGTAAAAGTGAGAAGAAATTTTCTAAAAAATTGATATCTGAAAACTACTAGCTAGAAAGACATGACAAGGCCGCATACAGCCGACTATCAATGCAAACTACTAACTCACCGGTGTGTTACCACAACCTAGTGTCCTAGTTAGCGAGTAAAACACCTATTACCAAGGTCTTATACCTCGGCAATCTTGGCAAAGTGACCTCAGGACCCACCTTTTTTTTTGTTGACGCGATCTTTATCTTGACATCCATCCACTTCTCTGCAACATTGAGACATCTGTGTGGCTAAGCAAGGGGCTAGTGAGTAAATTCATATGATTAATACCTTCGGATGACAATCCTCAGCTGACCCGTTTTTGCCCCCCAGACTTATTCGCCGGTCCCTTCTTTCCCGCCCCTCCTGTGCCGCCGACTGTTGGATTCAAAGCTACACTTGAACACCAATTCCAAAGACGATCGCAGTTGTATTTTTATCGGCTGGATATTATTTCGAATTCCGCTTATTGCCAAGTGTCAAAAAGGAACATGGCCATCGGGGTAGAACCTACAACGGCATCTTGTGTATTCGGGAATCGTCTATCGGTTGGGACTCCAGTTGGCGCCGGAGACTAAAACATAGTTGTGTTATAAACCCAAGAGCTATCTCAGATCGCAATTTACTGGGGCAATATGAACCTCCGAAAAGTAGCAAAGGCGCAGCCGCAGTCACCTAGCTTCAGCACAAGAACATCCACTCCAAAAAGCCAGGCAAGCGATTCACAAAGCACACCCCGCCCCCGCTCGAGTCGCAAGAAATCCTCAGATGCCCCAGATACCAAAGCTAAGAGGGTACGCACAGGATGTCTCACTTGTCGCCAACGACATTTGAAATGCGACGAAGGCGTGGGACGATGTCTCAATTGTCGCAAGTCGGATCGCGTTTGTCGACGTGGTGTTCGTCTCAATTTTATTGACACCCAAACTGTGGCGCCTCCACACATCATCGCTCGGCCGCATGGATCGAAGGTGACATTTCACGATGACTCGCGTTCGATCGCATCTCTGTACGTAGGAGGTTTCGAGATATACCCGCCTGTCCAGCCGGAAACTCCTGTTCAAGAGAACCGACAATTACACAATGACTTTGATGTTATAGGGACTGATGATCTGACCAATATCTTTCAATCAGTGGCACATTCGTTTGACCCGCTGAGCTTTGATGTCCCACATCCAAATATGGCGCATTTTGTTGGAACTGATACTTGGCATCAGTCCCACTTGGTACCAGGGGATGAACTTCTCCCGCACAGCACGTCCCATTTCGCACAGAAATTGGCCGGCAAACCTGAATACCATGCTTTTCTCACTGACCTAGAGCAAGTCTCTCTTCTCAGAACTTTCATGGAAGAAGTCGGTCCCCGGATGGACATCATGGATGAAATGAACCATGTGAGTAAACTAGCCCACGCTTTGTTGTTAGGGTTCTCACAATGCGCAGTTTTCCCAGATTCTTCCCGGTTTTGCCATCGGTGAGCCCATATTGCTAAAGGCATTTCTCGCGTGTGGTGCTAGACACCTTTCTTTCGTAGACCCTTCTTATGGAGATGAAAAAGCGATACGATATTATGATGCAGCTACTCGCGATCTTCTAAATGCCATCCATGATCCTAACCGTGACTCTGTTCTCTGCGCAACAGCTGCTCTTGCCCTTGGCTTCTCCGAAACCGTGCCGATGCAATCAAGACCCAATAGAGACCACATCGCAGGATCCCGGGCTTTGATCCGAGAATGTGGCTGGACTGCCAAAACCCCCGGGCTAGGTGGGGCATGTTTCAGGATCAGCGTCAGTTCAGAGCTCCTGAACTGTATGCGATATAACTGGGCATTGTCTTGGGATCCAAACACTTGGGGGGTCAATATGGACATGGATCTTTCACATGTCACCAATGGGGGCAATCAGAATATATGGCATCATCAGATACTTTATATTTTCGCTAGGGTTATGACCTTTCAGGCATCTTCGCGCTCATCTCACGCTTTAGGTGACGATGCGGCGCGGGCCATCCAGCTCAACGATCATGAATGGATTATTCACAACAGGTGGTGTGAGCAATGGGTGAAATCTATTCCTAGATCCCTTGTGCCCCTTGGCCATCTGCAGCCGTGGCAAACAGGTTCCAAGTCAACCTTCCCGGAAGTTTGGTATGTCCTCAATTATCTGATTCAACCCGTTCACCGACTCATATTTTCAGGCTTGTCAATCGATCCGCCGTTGTCTCTCGATTATTTTACCACGCCAGTCGTATTATGCTGGCCAAAACACACCCTTTCCAGTCACAGTTCAACGACGATATGCGGAAAATGAAATGCAGCCATGCGCACGAAATCTGTGGGCTTGTTGCCCGCACCACGGACAGGTTAGTACAGTACAATGACTGAAGCTCGAGCAATCCCTGTATCTGACCAGTTGAATAGAGGTGTGGCCAATATATCCCTGTACTTTCTTGTACTTGCTGCAGAGTGCTTGGAAACACGAGAAGCTCAAGAGGAGGTACTCGGTATATTTGATACCATCACTCAAGTGACTGGTAGCAGTGCTGAACCGATCAAGAACGATCTCAAACGAATTTGGAGCTGGGCTGATGCTCACCCGCCCACGGTGACGCCAGCCCAAATGCACAACCACCTTTATGAATTAGACCCATCTCTATCAATCTCCAATCATCCCGGCTCATCTCCAAGCCTACACAATCCCTTGTTGGCTGCGGGTGACTTCTCATTGGAAAACCACCCGTATCAGGGATACTATGTGCCACCACATCACCACCATGCAATCAATCAGTATCACTACGGGACGTTTGATATGATTTGATGCTTCGAAAACTTTGATGAATCATGAATTATTATTGCCTAGCTTCACATCCATAGTGCTTATACCCTATGGATACCCATGGATTATTTTGAACTGACCAATGTTGAGAATATCGCTGGTTCTGGTCAAAATAAAGACTACCAAACTATTGCTTCATCCATTTCTCCTCATCTTCGTCATCACATGTCGCATCCCATATTGCCAGCCCCCAGGGGCTCATAGTCATCCATTTTCCTGGTTCCACTTTTAATGGATAGATGCGACCAAATCTGTAATAAAACTGGGCGAGGGCTTTGTTTAGGTCTGTTCGCTAGCTGATTAGCATAGTCAACTTCAAATTTGGATGGTAGAGCATACCCTCTAACGACATGGGATGCGTGGGCTGAAGGGAAAACCGCCACATCTTTTCGTGGAATAGCGTCAAACATTCGGGGATGACGGTGCCTTGATAGAAAGATTAGTTCAAATCAGTGGGCGAAGAATGAATGAATGAATACCTTTGGGGATACAAAGGAAATGGGGTTCAGCCGCCGGAGCTTGACCACTACTCAAGCAGTCGACGTAGTAAGTTATCGAATTATCCGTAATCTCGTGCATTAGATGGGTATTCGGCATCAATCCCACTCCATTTGAGACTGGAACGATCAAAATAAGCGTATGGACAATACCTAAATGAATCTACCTACGGTGATGATTGATATTTGGGTGGACCAGGCCGTCCGCAGAGATTTCAACTCCGTCCGAATAAGCCCATTCAGTCTGCCTCAAAGCCAGGTCATAAAGTTTTGATTTACGTTGAAGCTGAAGCTGAGGTAGATACAAAGTCGTAGGGAAAGCCCTGTGCCTTGACGCATATGTGAACGTTCGACGGAGTACCAAAGATGAACTTATGCTAGTAAAGCCAAGCGAAAGGCGAGTTAGGGACTGACACATGGATAATATTCTTGTGACTTATCACCGTTGGGGGATATTTTTTCTGAATGTTAGAATTGGCTAGGAGAAAACAGAAAGGGGTAAAACATATGTCACGAGTATGTGTCGGTAGCCTCAAGCTGTGATTTCAAGACTCGTGAGCCAGCTCGTTCTCTGTGCCCCTGCGTCTTAAATTTTTAAATCTTCTTTGTATTTTATCAATGATAGCGATCCAGATCCTAAGGGTATAAAAATGAGACCACAAAATAGATCATGGCTATAGGTGAGGGCCGTGAGGCTCAAGTGTGGCGGTGTAGGGAGGCAATTCCAAAGGGTACTTCTGCCGTACAAGATAGAAGAGATATCAACAAGCAACAACCACTAAGGCATTTGAGATGGATACCAAAACAGTTCAGGCTCAATCTCAGGCCACCCCAATATACATTCTTCGTGGACATGCTTCTCCAATTCATGCCCTACACATATACAGCCAGAATTTACGGCTTGTCTCCGGCGACGCCAATGGCTGGATCGTTGTCTGGGATCTAGTCACTAAACGCCCTGTAACGGCATGGAAGGCCCACGAGGGAGCCATTTTGGAGGCGAGAGGCTTTAATATTGGTGAAGGTGCAACTGAGATTTACACGTATGAGGACGATTCATCCATCCTTTCGGCTATCTTACTAATATCTGCAATAGACATGGCCGCGACCACAAACTATGCGTGTGGAAGCTTAGACAAGAGGATGAATCTTTCCTGGATAAGACGCTTCCGGTGGACGTGACCGAGTCGGTACAGTCAAGTAAAGTCCAGCCGTGGTTACTCCATTCCTTGCCCGTGAATGCGCTCAATTTCTGTGCGTTCTCAATGGAATTTGTGAATTCGGACGGGCTTCCCGGACTTCCATCCCAATCTGGCAAACCAGAGCACACTCTTTTTGCAGTACCCAATGCCTTGGACTCTGGTGGAGTCGATATTTTCCACCTGCCATCTGAGCGCAGGATCAGTACTATTCCTTCTGATCAATCGGTCAAAACTGGAATGCTGATGGCTGTAAATCTCTTCGCCTCACCTTCTGGGGATCTCTACGTCGCATCAGCATATGAAGATGGCCATGTCATGGTGTTCTTTCATCGTGGAGCACTCAAATCAGCCAGCTTTGAGCGTGAGTATATAAGCAACAACCCTTTGAAATGGGACAAGGTTTATGCTAGCCGCCTCCATTCCCAGCCGGTCCTTTCATTAGACGTCGCCCCCTCCCATGGATACTTCATATCTTCTTCTGCGGACGCTCTGGCCATCAAGCATCCTATCCCTAGCATAGGGTCTGCGGGTTATATACCTACAGCTGGCTACAAAGAAGAATCACCCTTGAAAATTGTCAACACGAAACATTCGGGCCAGCAGGGCCTGCGGATCCGATCGGATGGCAAGATATTTGCTACTGCAGGCTGGGACAGCAGGATTCGGGTATACTCGGGCAAGACCATGAAAGAGCTGGCTGTGCTGAAGTGGCATAAGGATGGTTGTTATTCTGTAGCATTCGGGAGCACTGAAAGCTCGTCGGTGTCTTCATCGCCTGTGTCTGCAACACAAGAACCCCGGGAGGCAGATCAGGGCGTAGTAGCAGGACAGGCGGCTGTCGACGGACGCGACTACTCTCTTGCAACAGTGCAGCAGCAACGGAATCAAAAAGTACAACAAACTCATTGGCTAGCGGCTGGGTCTAAGGACGGGAAGATTTCATTATGGGATATCTACTGAGATAAATGCTAATGCTACAAAACAACCATGCGACCATGCTTTTTTTTGAAGGAGTCCACAGAGCAAAAGATCAAGCCAAGTTGAACTCGTTGGCTCCAGACATATGCTCCCTCATCTTGGCTCTCATCTTGCGAGCAGCCTCATCCGTAACATTTGTGGAAGATGGAGGACCATCGTCAGCCTTTCTCTTATTGCCTGCAACGCCGTTTCGCGCTGCCTTGAAGTCCTTCTTGGTGTCTTCTTGTCCAGGCCGCAGACCAGGGACGTTGATTTTACCCGGGCGATCGCGCAGGGCGAAGCTCTTCGCAAGATGGCCCAAGTGAAGTTCCTTAATGTCGAACATGCTCCGTTCAACTGCGGTGTGGGTCGCGTAGGCTCGGACATGAGATTGGAACGCCCGTCGAGCCATTTCCAGATATTTGGGGTTATCAAGTGCCCAACGCTCCACGTCCATCTGCCAATCAGTTGTCCTCTCCTCCCAGTTCTTCTTTTTGTTGTCGTTGCCGCCAAAGCCACGCTTGAGAATCTCGTTTGCGTCAGTGCGGGTGAGCGCCTTGCCTCCATCGCGGTAGCCGCGCTTTAGCACTTCAACATAGTTCTCCTCGCAGCCAGGTTGGAGGAAGATGAGGGCACGGCCGTCGCGTCCTACACGAGCAGTACGGCCAATACGATGAGTGTGGTCATCAGAGCTGAAGGCCGGGTCGTATTCGACAACCAAGTCCACGTTGGGCAAATCCAGACCACGTGAAGCCACATCAGTACAGATCATGACACAAGCCTCAGTACTGCGAGAGAAAGAGCCGAGGGTAGCCGTTCGGACAGCCTGGGGAAGCGAGCCGTGCAGTCGATGCAAGATGACTGGATTCGTCGGGGTCGAAAAGGCTCTGCCAGGAGCAATAGTGCCATGGGGCGACAGTTTCTCCTTTTCTTCGTCCTTTTCTTCTTCCCCCTTTCTGTCGTCCTTCTCTTCTTTTTCGTCTCTCCTTTGTTGCTCGCGGTCTTGATTCCTCGAGAATAGCTCGAAATGGAAATCGACTACGTCAGCGCAAGACATGAAAACAATAGCCTTCATCACTGATCCCTTTCGCATGAACGTCCTTTTCAAGTAGGCTGTTAATGAGACAAGACGTAGCTTAGCTGGAACAATCGCGTATGACTGCTTGAGCTGGGCGGGGACGCGGAATGACTCGTCGTCGTCCTTATTTGACTTATTATCATCCTCGTCGGACGGGTCGGCCTTAATGTGTACCGCATCCTTCAAACTGATTTCTCCCAGCTTTTGGACATTCATCTTTAGCGTAGCAGAACACAGGATTGTCGTCCTGCGTGTAGGGACGCCGGGAACGCGACTCGGCCGTTGTCTGGCATCAAGTTTCTTGACAATGCCTTGCAATTCCTCCTCAAAGCCCATGTCCATCAAGCGATCACCTTCGTCGAGAACGAGCCACCGCACATTGCTGACCTCCAACGCTTCCGTATTGTCGAGATGATCTACCAATCGACCGGGTGTCGCGACGAGAATATTTAATCCTTTTCTCAACCGCGCCTTCTCCGACTTCTTCTTCTCTCCACCAATCACCGTTCCACACACAATCCAGTTCGCACAGCGCAAGATATTCTCCAACACAACAGAGATCTGCTTGCACAGTTCACGGGTGGGTGCCAAAATAATAGCGAACAGTCCACTGTCTCGGTGTACTTGGGTATCGTTATGTTCATTCTTCGCTTTTGAGAGATCCATAATCCGCTGTACCAACGGCAAAAGATAAGCCAGAGTCTTTCCGGAACCAGTTTCGGCCTGAATGAAAGCATCGGTTTCCTCCTTTAGCAATTGTGTGATTGAGCTGGTCTGAATAGCCGTTGGCGCCTTGAGCTCCAACTTTGTGAGCAGATGCGCCGCGAGATTGGGAGACAATCCCAGATTCGTGAAGGTATCCAGTCCGTCGATCAGCGGCGCATTAGTCGGTTTTGCATCTTCCGCCTCTCTCTCCTCCTTAGGTTCTTGGGCAGTGCGAGCTTCGGGGTTGCTACTAAACAGCGAGGAAACGAACTGGGTGGGGTCTCGTGGATGTTGCTGTGGTCGTCGATCACCACCAGAGCGCGGGGCGCTAGGACGATTAAACGAGTCTTCGGTCTTTTGTCTTTTCACGGGCCGTGTACCAAGTTGGATTTGGTTGGGGTTTTTGGCTGCTGCATTGCGCGCAGCTGCATCTCCGTTTCCTTCCTTCTCGGAGACTCGGTGGGCTGAGCGCTTCTTTGCGGTCAGTCGGTCTCGCCATGTTCCTCCTTTGAACTTGGCTTCAGGTTTGATAACACTGTCACCGATGGTAAAGTTCATAAGCATTCCATCGTCGGCCATTTTGAATGATGGTTATCCCCGGTGAAAATGGAGGGGAGTTGTGGAGGATTTTGTTGGACCGGCGATCTAAAAGCCTCGAGACTTTTTTTCGGCGCCAAGACTTCCAGGCTCTCAGGCAAATTTTCTCCACTCTAAGGATTTGCCCTACTTTGTTTACATCGAACTGCAAAGGTAAATGAAGAAATATATTCGAATTTTCTGAAGTCTATCTTGCTTTTGAGGAATGTATGTAATTCCTTGCAAACCGTGCTATGCTAAAGTATTACATTTTCATTATTGTGTGTTCGATATGGTATCAAGCACGAGGCTCCAAAATGAGGTTGTCAATCAGTCGCACGGGGACCTTGCCATCGCCCAATCCACAGTCTTCCCCTGGCTTGGATTCTTCCAGCGGTGCCATCTTGAATGCGGTACTCAAAACCGCGCCCTTAGCAGGGTCGACGATTTCCACCTCGTCAAGGGTGTCAGGGTCGGCAAGAGAAATGTAGTCAACTTCGTAAAGTGCTCTCTCGGATGCTGAAAGGGATTGCTGTTGGGAAAGGACAGAATCGGTCACAGCACGAGCGGCCCCAAGGATATCTACCCGGCTGTTATTTCCGGCCAGATACACTTCTTTGGCGGCTTTTAGCGCCTTGTAGATGGTGAGACCGACGGTTCGTCTCCGGTCGCCTAGGTACACGTTCCGCGAGCTCAGCGCCAATCCGTCATGTTCACGAGTAGTTTCAATAATTCGCACTTCAGTGCCAACATGGAAATCCCCTACCATACGCTTGATGACCACGGTTTGCTGCACATCCTTCTGGCCAAAGTAGACACGGTCAGGGGTTGTGATGTTGAAGAGCTTCATGCAGACTGTCGCCACTCCCCGGAAGAATACCGGACGAGAAGCGCCCTCCAGTTTAGTGGACAGCGGGGTAATTGTGACAAACGAGCCATCCCCATTAATCTCTGACGAAGGGGGCAGACCGGGGTACATGACCTTTGAAGTTGGTGCAAAAATGGCAGTGATGCGCCCGGCGCTTGCACTGTTTTCTCCCAACCGCTCTAGCTCCTCATTCAGCTTTTCCAATTTCTCGACGTCGGTATCCCAGGTGCGAGGATAGCTGGACAAATCCTCCGTGACTCCGAATTGTGTGGGATTGACGAAGATGCTGACGAAAATGTCTGTATTCTCGCGAGCAGCCTGTCGAATTAGGGAGATATGGCCCTCATGAAGTGCACCCATGGTAGGAACGAAGCCTACAGTCCGGTCCTTCAGCAACAATTGGCGCCGGAGTCCCTGGATCGAGGGAACATCGCGGAAGACTTGAAAGCTGGACGGTTGGCGAACAGATTGCGAAGCCGCGGTGGCGTCGGCAAGGAGGGATGAAGCCGTCGCTGGGATAAAGTGAGCTTATTTAGAGCTATAAATTCCACAAAAGAAACATACTCGAAAATGACCTCGCTCCATTGACTAATCGCGACATCTTGTGTGAGGATAATGAACAAGCTGTGAAATGCAGGCCTCAGGACGTCAACATCTTAGCGTGGGATGAGAGCTATGGGCACATCGCAGTTCAACACGTGACCTGCCTCGGCTCATTTCTGGGGAAATCCGAAAACCGTCCGGGGGGCGATCAGCCGTTTTGGTACCGCTTAAGAGCTTGGAGTTTCAAGCTATGATTTTGTCCCGCACCTGTTCTCTTTTGAGCTTCTCTTTTGAGCTTCTCTTTTGATACTTCGTCTTTTCTTCCATGGGCACCTAGCCGTATTCTCGTGTGAGCTGCCTGAAGTATAACCATTCTCGCCCTACCTACCCCCTTATAAAATGCCGTCCCCCAAGTCGGCTATTGCCGATGACCACTCGGCGCCAGATCTGGAAATCGTCAACCCACAGTTGACAATCCATCCATCAGGCTTCACTGCAGGTCCGGAGGCCCACGATGAACGTATTACCGAACGCAACCTAGTTCGCCATATGGCGCGATTTCGCGAGAACCCCTTGGACTTTCTCCGAGAAGTGAGCCTGTACATGTCCGGCACGGGCTGGCGTGCATATGACGAACCTATTGGCCAACCCATCTTCTATTCTGGCTTCTCGGAAAGGATGAAGACCTCCATATTGGGCAGCCCGCTCCTACAAAGCAAGATCACCGAATTGGCTAATCGTCGAATCGTGGTCGAAGAGAAGGAAGGGTTGCTGGCAATCAATGAGGGTGTAACTCTGGACGACAAACGGGCCCGTCGTCGGACTGAGATTGAAGGTAATCTTCGGGAAGTCGTGGATACAATGATGGAAAATATGATTTGCAAGATGGAAAGTAAAACGTTTATTCGGGGTGCTTATTATATGTCCACGCAGCTCTTGACTCGCGCTTACCACCAAGGTAAATTTTATCTGCTATATTTCTCGTATCATAAGTCAATGCTAAACGATATTCGCCTTAGGCATCCATGTATCCAGCGAAGAAGTCTTGCGTCTAAGATCTGTAGCCGAAACTGCTTCCAAGAAGAAGCAGTCGATTGTTTTCCTGCCTTGCCACAAGTCTCATGTGGATTATGTCTCCCTACAGATTATCTGTTACCGTCTCGGCATTTCTTTGCCGGTCATCGTCGCGGGTGACAATTTGAATATCCCGCTGCTGGGTTCTTTCTTACAACACGCAGGTTGGTTGCAAGACAATTTTCTATTAGCTCTAAGCTATGACTAACCATGTGTAGGTGCTATGTGGATTCGACGCAGCTTTGGAAATGACCCCTTGTACAATACTGTCGTCCAAGCTTATATCGATACCCTCCTTCAACAAGGCTTCAACTTCCAATGCTTCATTGAGGGTGGTCGCTCTAGAACTGGAAAACTGCTTTCACCTAAGTTTGGAATCTTGAGTTTCATTATGGACAGTATACTATCAGGTCGGGTTGAAGATCTCATTATCTGTCCCGTCAGCACTCAGTATGACAAGGTCATAGAGACTGAGTACGAAACCCCGCCGGAACCCTAACCCTTTGAATGAACATCGACATTGACCCATCCTATAGGTCATACATCAGCGAGCTTCTTGGCCAACCGAAGGCCAAGGAGAACCTAGCTGATTTCCTTTCTTCGTCCTCAGTTTTGTCCCTGAAGCTAGGCCGAGTTGATGTCCGTTTCCACGAGCCATGGAGCCTCCGAGACTTTATTGGCCAGCAGCTTACCCGGCTGGATCGCCCCAGCACTGACATCGATAACAAACTTAGCTATACTGATCGAGGCCGCATTCTAAGAACATTCGGTTATCGGGTTCTATCCGATATCAACGACGTGTCCGTGATGATGCCAACCGCCCTTGTGGGAACCGTACTCTTGACCTTACGTGGACGCGGAGTCGGAAAGGGCGAATTAGTGCGCCGGTTGGACTGGCTCTGCGATCGGGTGCGAGCCAAAGGTGGCAGGGTCGCACACTTTTATCGCTCGCCAACGGAGACGGTGGTTGACCGTGCGCTAGAAGTCCTAGGGCCCAAACTCGTTGGTGTGATTTCGGGTCTAGTCGAGCCAACATACTATGCGGTGGATCGTTTTCAACTTTCCTTTTACCGCAACATGCTCATCCACCTTTTCATCACCGAGGCCCTGGTTTCTGTGGCTATGTACACAAAGATCAAGCAGGGTGGCGGGCCCGCCAATCAAAGAATCACCTACGAGGATTTGAAGAAACAGGTCTCATTCCTCTCGCAGATTTTCCGTGGTGAATTCATTTTCCCCCCTGAGGGCTTGGCTCACAATTTCGATAAAACTTTGCGTGGGCTGGAGAAAGATGATGTGATCAAAATCACCCGTGATGAGTCCAGCACACCACTCTATGTTGAATTGAGCGAGTCTGAGCGAGCATGTGGTCGCGAAAACTATGACTTCTACTGCTTCTTGATCTGGCCTTTCATCGAGGCCTCCTGGCTTGGCTCAGTGTCCCTTCTTGGGCTGACGCCTCCTCTCGATGCTCCGAAGGAAATTTGGATCGATTTGAAGAAAGCACAAGATAGTGCTCAGATCGTGAGTTTTTCTTCCTCGTGTTATACGGATCATTTCATTGATATTCATATTCGCAGCTTGGTAAAACATTATACCACCAAGGTGATCTTTCCTACTTCGAGGCAGTCAACAAGGAGATCCTCAAGAATTCTTATCAGCGATTCGAAGAAGAGGGTATTATCTTGGTTGCGAAGAATAAAGGATCGCGTGCCGGTCCATCTCTCAGGCTGGCTCCTGAATGGGCACCCCAGCGTGACAAGAGCACTGGGGAAGTTCTGGACGGCGGTCGACTGTGGGACTTTGTCGAATTGATTGCGCAGTCTCGTCGCGAGGGGTGAGTTCCATTTTATTCACACTATCTCTGCCAATATACTAACCTTTGTCACAGTAAAAACCGCCGGGACGGTGCAACTGTTTCCTCACGCGTTCTCGCTATGTCTGATCTTGTTGGGCGGAAGCTTTTCCAAAATGCCGCAGCTCCGCCACCTGCGGATGTATCGTCACGGCAAATGCGCCGGAGTGCAATTGGAACTGAGGCAAAGCTTTAGCCACTTCCTTTCGATACCCATTTATGCACATTGTACAGTCTGCTTTTATATCTAACTCATTTTACGTTTCAAATTTATAGTAATGCACATAGTTTAGCAAACAACAAATTTCGGAGCGTTGCCGATGCGCGTTGGAGTCATGTATTCCTAATTACATCAATTTGGCAAGTTAAGCGGCCGTACCTAAGGCTCGCCCTGCATTTAACAAGTCGGGCTATAAACCCACTCTCTCCTCTCTCTTTCAGTAAAGCCACACTCCATCTTGTTCCAACTTTCCCTCGGCTTCGATCTTCTTCATACATGCCTTGACTCTCTGCGCCACATGCTCGGCATACCCCGGCCCAAGTGGTGGCTTGGGCACACTCATATCCATCTTTAGCCAAGGTACAGAACTGAGCCCTTGACATGCCTGGCGCATCTCATCTATCTCCTCGTCGCCGTACAAAGCTCCTGCAAACACAGCCACGGGTGGCTTGGAATAGTTCATGGTGCCACCATTGGGCTCTTCGCCAATAGAAGGGGCCTGCTCTTGCAGCAAGAGCGGTATTTCGACTGCTCCAGAGGCGCTGCCAGTGACTTTATATATCACTGCAGATGATGTTAGTTTTGAGCAAGGATTGGCTATATTTTCTTTCCTGTACCTTCGTACTCGGGTAAGTAAAGAGGTTTGATAGCGTCGAAAACCTGCGGGTTGGTGCCGCCACAAACAATAACTGGCAAAGGTGACATGATGAGTGAGATCAATTTATTGCAATAATGCGTACTGTAAAAGAGATTTTGTCCGGGCGCTGATAGATATATATATATATATAAGTTGTGAGCGATCAGTATATATATGTACCTGTACATACCGTATTTTAGGCCGCAGTGGGGTGCTGTCGCTTTATGAGAGCGCTCAGGATCCTGCTTGGGCCCCAGCCTAGAGAGATGCGATCGTTCTATACGAGGACGGGCCTGCGGCAGAGGCAACTACCGACATACTACGGTCAATTCTTGAACATAAAAAAGAGCTGGCCATCGCAGAGGGCCCAAACCAGTCATTCAGGGTTGATTTCTTTGATCAATTTATGACCACAGTATCGGAAATGAGCGTCCTTGGGGTATTGGACGGAAACGACTACTGCCTTTGTCACCTCGACTTAGAGCCTCGCAACATTCTGGCCAGGGCCCCCTCGCCAACTCAGCCGCAAACTGTCATCGGCATCCTCGATTGGGACATCGCACTATTTGTTCCGCCTCTCATGTCTTGCTCGCCCCCAATGTGGCTGTGGGCGTGGGATGAAGAGGACGAATAAGACGAGCGCCTTGCAGGCGAAATACCGCCAACACCCGAGTTGCGCGAATTAAAAGAACTGTTCGAACATGCAGCTGGACCGACTTATCGTCGCTTTGCATACGGAGCCCAGTATCGACTAGCTCGGCAGCTAATTCGGTTTGTTATCGACGGATTGCAATCAAACGAAGATCTGAGGGGCGCTGAACTACTTTTGAAGGAGTGGAATGAAGTATAAAAATCGTTGAAATTGGTCTATAATAAACAAATTATACAGCAAGGTCCCAATATCACACTCTATTCAATCCTCGGTGAGACCTCGATATCAACGACCCTGTGGAAAGAGCCAATGAGCAGAAGTATTCGATTGGGGGAGAATTCTTCCTCCTGGATGAGATTGACACCGATCCTTTTCGACCCAATGAAATGTTCCTCATCATACCGATCGCGGTGACGGAGGAAATCAATCATGCGATTGTACCAATGCCCTTCGAGGAACTCCATCATAGGTAGGGCAAGCTCATCAAATTTGGCTTGGAATTCGATGACAAGTTTTTCAAAGTGGATCAGACTTAGCTTCTGTTCCTCAATGATTTCTTCAATCTCCTCTTCTTCTCTGCTTTCGAGTTTGACGGGAATCCCTGAATTTTCATGGATTTCAATGCAACATGCGTGTTTCAGATCCAAAGCATCAAAAGTGAAACATCTGATGAATCCTTCGTGCACCACCGGAGTGTCTTCAATCGAATCGATGAAGAATTGTATCAATTCCCGAAAAATTATGCCCAGGGATCCATCTGCACGCGCAAAGTCATTGGAATAACGGAGTATATGTCGTAACGCCGTTGACATTGTGGTGCATCCATTCGGGGAGCATGGGCAGATACATCCATCTGTAATATAAGGAAGTAGAAAACATCCTTTTCCAGCTCGGCAAAGTCCTTGTTTCCAGATTTGAAAACAATTGGTGGGTTTGGACTGTTCGGGCAGCAGAATTGCGAAGCCAAGTAAACTGACAGCGCTCACCCCGATATGATGGGCGATGGATGCACTGGTCTCCGGTACCGTCAGTTGTAGAACCGCTCCTTTTGAAATGAACCATTTCATGCGTTCCATATTAAGCTCCCAATACTTTGACAGACCCCAAAAGTGATAGTGGAATGTATGCTGGAGTGGTGCAACTCCCTTGTGATCAAACTGATTGACACCTCTGAATCCTTGGCGGTAAAATTCCTCTAATGTCTCGGCCGAAAATCTCTCGTAAGAAAAGCAAGATCCCTCAGAACCATAAGAGTGTGGGGTTGAGATCCGAGCGTCTATGTCTGTCCCCTGGGCTTTCAATTTGGCGCGCGTTTCGATGACATGAACATCAAAGATATAACTCTTGTCCGTGGCCGTTTCATATGTAATCAGATTGGGAAGCTGGCTTAATGGCAAATGGATTTGAGCGAAATCCCACAATTTTCTTATTCGAGTAGCCATATAATGGATGAGAAGCGATCGAATTCTGCTCCCGTCTTCCAGCTCCTGGCATTCCTTGATTGTATGAAAGTCAAAGCGACATCCGGCTTCAAGCATCAGCTTGATTGACTCATAGGTCTCCCCCTGCGGGGTATCTTGGGTAAATGGAATGTACTCTCTAGAAGCGTCCGCACCTGCTCGTAGTAGAATTCGCAACCCTTGTGGCCAACCAAATGCAAGTCCAAGTAAAGACCAAGAAAAGGTCAAGAGGTTGGGTAAACCTCGCTCTGATTCAATGATGTCTTGAAGCTCGCCTTCTGACTCTAGGATGATTATCCTTGCAATATCAGGAATGGAAATCACTTGGTAGGAGGTTAGTATTATAAGATGGATTATAAGTTTTTGGGATCGAAAAAGCGCGCACAATCACCATGTTGAGATACAATGTACCGTAATTCTCTTTTCTCGATCAGTGACCAGGGTTCTTTAAGTGTAAAGATACAACCAAGCTCTAATAATCGGGTACCTAGTGAGCCTTTTTGCCCGAAATTGGTGTTTGGTCCCAAATCCAACCTGTTCATTCTTCGACCATAACTTCCCTGTACCCTACACTCACAGTCGAGGAGGAATGTCAAAAGCCGGGATGAATGACTGAACCATATCGGATCATGTGTGAGCCTAGGCGTGAGCCACATCATAGCTATCTGTTCAAGTGTCAGCGGCTATATTTTGGCACGAACGGAGACTTACGTCAAATGTCGACCATCCATATTCAAACATGTCAAGGGGAGACGCATCTCGCTGATCAAATGCTTCTTGTAACTGTCTTATGGTCAAATCGATAGATTGCTCAAAGTCACTATTGTTTTCGATGGTATGGGTGTGATTATAGAGCCTGCTTAGGATCTTATATCCCACACTAGTCTTGCTATCTAAAAGAGGCTGTATATGCAGTAGCGGTGCAATAGAAACTCCTCCGGCCCCTTTGTTAAAGGTAAACGATGCTCGGAAAATAAAACCCAGCAAAGACATGGAGTACCAATATTCCTTGGAGGATTTGGATTTGCTCTTCGAGGGGAAACGTAGACGCAATCTGTAGATACAGTCTGGTCCGTCATAAACTTGGGGGGTCATCGATGAGGCAGAAGTTAGCCCTAGTAATCTCAATGTGAGCGACATAAATCATGTATTATCTGGGGAAGGAACTTATACCGTTTGAGGTGTTGTTTTGCGCTGTGATATGTAAGCATGGTTCTATTGCCTGCTGTATACTCCGTTGGTCACACAGTTGTCGAAGTCGGCTGGGGGCCATGAATGGTATGGGCTGGCCTTTGACCTTTGGATGTTGAGATGTATTAATATCATAGGCAAGTATTGGACCTTGATCAACATACAATATCCTGCATATGTTTACTGATTGTCTCGTGCAAAGCTTGAAGACTTTCCATGGAGTAGCTGAAGACTTGTTAGTTCTGGACGGATGAAAAGCCCTGGAAAGGCCTCAAGCTTACATTTGCAGAGTGGTATTTAGTATCGATTGGACACTATCCAAGTCATTGGATATGTCGCGCAATCCATACTTCTTAAATGGGTATTTAGCTTTTTGAAGTTGATAGCGAAAGCCATTGGATGTGATTGAGCCCGCAGATGCACATCGATCTGTTGCCGATTTGAGCCTCGTTATTGCTTGTTGGAGGCTCTGGGCCTTTGCTTCGAGGTCACTTGCATCAGCGTGGTTGGCTCTTTGGGCATACTCTATAATCCTTTGTAACCCCTTTAGTGGCATGCGAAGTCCATCTGCCTTTTCATAAATTCTCTGAATATCCTCGTCAAAGCCATGCCAATCTTGAAAGTAAGAGACAATTTCACCGCAGACCTGCAGACCAAGGGAGATGATTCCCACCGCCGATCCGGCGACAGAAAGGGGATCGGACATCGTTCTGGTCGTTATTATGAATGAGAGAAGAAGATTCGGGAGAATTCGAGAGCAGAAGCATCTCGAGGCAGAAATTGTGGCGATGCATGCATGCGCAGCTCAGGTTGTGTCGTGGCCCCAATGAGCTTGCGCGGTGTATGGATACCCCGTACACGCGCGCGAAAAGCAATCAGCGGGCGTACTGAATGGTTTTGTAGCAATGAACTCGGACTAGAGAGCCATAAATGATGTCCACATTTAAGCAGCGGACTTGCCATCATTGATTTGTGTTTATACCTGGGCAGGAGGTAGTGTACAGTAGCTTGCAAAAGGTAAACTGCTCACTGAGTATTTAACAGCACAGTGCGATTATCAGTGACCAATCAGTCCACTGTATGCTTACAGAGTACTCCGTAGTAATGTTCAAATAATGCTCAGGGTATATCTACTCAGTAGTGATTACTCAGATCTTGCTCAGTCAGCACTCAGGTAGTACCTAGTACCTACTCAGTGTCTGATTCCGCCTGGGGCGAGGCTGGCTGGGGACTTGGTTCAGGTACAAGAGCGTTGAAAGGCCTGTAATACAAAGCTGGAGGCCAAAGGCCATTTTTCTTTGCCATGGTCCTAAAGAGTCGAATTGTGATGACTCGGAGGCAGCTATGAATGAAGAGAGTCAGGCTGATCTGGCTAGGATCAGGGACGTAGCGCCGATGGGTGGGGGTTATATGTATCGTAGCACGTTGGGAATGTGGACGGCCCTTCCTCCCACCGCGAATTATCTGTTGGTTCTCTGTTCTTGAGTTTAGCCGCGATGAAATCTGAGAAATGATTTCCAACCACTCACAGTACAGGGATTGCTCTCGATGTGGAAAAGTTTGACATCATATCTGGACCACTAGATGCTTTCTAAGAAATGATCTACAAACCACATCTATGAAGATGCATACCTCGATAGCTCTGTAGATCCTAGAAGCCCGAGATCCACAGGAATTACCATAAATCAAGAGCAAAATTCGCATGTGCATATTATTAGCCGCGGGAAGACGGGCTTCCTGTCAACACTGCCACTGGTAGGCCTCTGCAAAGCCTATCAAGGAGGTCTTGGCGCTTATAAACCGACGACTTGTAATCGTTGTATCCTGGCCTTCTTCTAATTCTCCAGAGTTGAAAATTCAGAAGATATATTTAAAATAATTATCTAGATCTAATACTGAATGTAAGATAAAATTTAACTAGAAGAGGCCGAGATATCGCGAAAAAAATACTCAATATTGATATTTTGATTTTTTAGAACACTTGCTAGTAAATCTCTGTATTTTCAAAATTATCTAAATAACGCGTTTTCTTAAAAATTTAAACGTAATGTCAAGATTTAATCTAGTTTTTATCATTTATAACTCAGAATAATAAAATATTACTTTAATATAAGGGCTAATTACAGGGCTTAAGCATAGAGTAATTAATTTTTCAGAATGTTTGTATCGTTTGGTGCTAATTGGGCTTAATGGGCCCGGCTTCAGGCCCAGGACCCAGCCTATTTGCGGGTTGGGTTGGGTTGGGCTATGGGTTTCGTGGGCTTTGCAGAGGTCTAGGTAGTCGACAGTATAGGCCGTCCCTTGTAACCCGCTATGTAAATATGGTAGAATCTAACTATTAGAGATAGGTTTCTACTTGGCATCACATTTTGCGCCTTACATATTCAAGAGATCCTATAAAAATTTTTAATGTCCCGACAGAAGGATCTTTAATCTACAATACAAGAGGAGTCTAGAAGTCGAACATAATCACATAAAATTCATGATAACTAAGACCACACCGTCACTTAAACTCGTGGTGTTGTTCAATAGTCATAAAAGAACTAAATAATGTCCATACTACTTGGAATGTTCAGATCGGATAACACTGCCAGCTACAGGTCCCTGTTGCGAACGAAGACAGGAGATAATCGAAAAGTCTCCGGCGAGGGCTATAAAGCAGTATGATGCCTAGATGGCAGGAACATCGACCCAGAAGCGAGTATCGTCATACTTGTAACCGTCGTTGCCGTCGATCTGCTGCTGAATCCACTGAACAGCAGATTTGTAGTCTGCCAAGGGGTCAGCGTCGCTATCACAATTGTAGCCATATATTTTAAAACTTACTTTGAATGTCCTGGGTATAAGGATTCTGAAGGCCGCTAGCACCGTTACGGTGGCCAGCAAACCACTTGTCATACCCGTAGTAGCCCTGGCAGTCCCAGCGGGAGGCGACGTCGGCCCAAACATTGGAGCTTTCAAAAAGTAAGTTATCGTTATAACATCACATCATCTATGGTTTCCTTACTTGAGAAGCGCTCCATTGTTCCACTGCGACTCGGACTGCCCAGCAAAGCCATAGCGCGAGGCGCACACGCGGAGCATGCCCCAATTCTGCTTGAACAGACCGAAATTTGCTGAGTCTTGGGACTTGTTGTCGCCATATGGATAATGGGAAGTGACCATGTCCTCTCTGTGATTCACTGTTAAAATTATACACAGGGAATGTCATAGTTTGAATCTTACATCTCGAGCATGGCAATGGCAATATCGAGAGTATTGCCACCAGCATCAAGAATCGCTTTCTTGTGCTGTCCAAGGCCAGACACGGTATAGTGACCACGATCATCTCGCTTTGCGAGCACATCATTGGATACTGGACTGGCCAGCGCCGTAGTTGCAAAGAGTGCAGCAGCACCCGAAAGGAAAAATCTCATCTTGAATTAGAAGATGGTAACGTGGATGAGAGAACGATGGAAATGTGAGTTATGATGCTTAGGCCCTGTAGTTTGAATGAAATGCCCAAGAATGTGGACAGGTCGAGGAGCTTTATACTAGCGAAACTTCATAGAGGTGAACCTGGGCGTATTTTTCCAGTTCTGAAGGTCAAACTCCTTTGGGATTGTCCGATTCTCGTGTTGCTGATGCCCATTTCTTCGGCATGAAGGATGCTACCAAATAAGGCCCTTTCCCTCCTTATCCGTGACGAAATCGATATTTCTAGCATTGTGGCTTTTTTGACTAGTCCTGTGATTACTGAATTGAAAGTCTGAGTCTTACTTGAGACGATATCCTGCATAATAACGGATCCAATAAGTTCCAAATGAATATTAAGGAGTTGGGTGTTTATGATGGGTTTCGGAATGAGAATGTTTCAAACTCTATATATCCCAAGTGGTCATTGGGGTTCGAAATCAGAGTAATCTTAAGAGACTAGGATCAATAATAAGAGCGTTCTCTATGTTGTAGTGCGTGAAAGTTATTTCCCCGGAAAATGATTAATATCTTCAGAGAGATGCACAACATATACCGGATTTCGCAAGGACCGAGAATCCGGGGGAATCCTCGTGCGGAGTCTCCGCATTTGCGCCATTTTGTACGTTGACATTGGCTTATATTCATATGATTTCGAGGTTCACTATGTTAAGCTTTAGATCCATTTCAAGTTACGGGCCGGTATCCAAGACGGAAATTGCCCGAATTGGCACGGCAGTGGGTTGAGGAGTTCCGCCATGATATATCCGAGTAGGGCCAAAAGCCGCCCATGACTTACAATAATCTCTTTTGAGGATCAACTCGCGGACACTAGGCAGTATCAGTCCATATACAGTGGAGCCCAATTATGGAGAGCAACGTCAGCCGAGGGAAAAAATCCCCGAATATTATTCCCGGGGACACTGTTTGTATGTACGACCCCATACTCCACATTCTTTTCGCCAAGTTCTCGCATTGCGATTCTTGTAGAAAGATCTTCAATTTAGTTTCAAGGGGGTTGTGAGTAATCCGGATACAGACAAAAGTAAAGTCTCCAAGTCTCCATCAGTGGAATATATAAAGTAGCTCGCAATGCCCTCAATTCCATCTGTATCCAGATCAACAGCATTCATTACAATATTCCCGCTTACCATTCATAACACAAGATGCGTTCCTTGTCGTCCGTTGCGGTTCTGTCCGCCATAGGAGCAGCCTCCGCTCAATTTGTGACTAGCTCGACGCCGGCGTCAACTTTCTCGACTGCTGTTTCTTCGGCGGTATCTCCGACTTCGTCTACCCCCTTAGGCTCTTCCGCTGCCAGCAGCTCTTTTGCCAAGGTGGATGGTCTTGGCTTCAATATTGACGGGGAGTCCAAGTACTTCGCTGGCACAAACTCGTATTGGCTGCCATTCCAGACCAACAATGTGGATGTTGACTCTGTCTTCAAGCATCTGCAAGAGAGTGGTCTCAAGATTCTGCGAATTTGGGGTTTCAATGATGTCAACCAAGTCCCGGAGGCCGGGACTGTCTACTTCCAGCTCCATGATAAGACAACCGGTACTAGTACCATCAACACTGGCACCGATGGTCTCCAGCGTCTTGATTACGCTGTGTCTGCTGCCGAAAAGTACGGCATTAAGCTTATCATCCCCTTTGTGAATTATTGGGATGATTATGGTGGCATGAATGCGTATGTTACTGCCTACGGTGGCAGTAAGACTGAATGGTACACCGATGAGAAGATGCAGAGTGTGTACCAGACATACATCAAGGCTGTTGTCTCACGCTACAGTGATTCCCCTGCCATCTTTGCGTGGGAGTTGGCTAATGAGCCTCGCTGTGCGGGCTGCCAAACCGATGTCATCGCCAACTGGGTAGCCAAGACTTCCTCCTACATCAAATCCCTCGATTCCAACCACATGGTCACCACCGGTGAAGGTTCGTGCCCGTGAGATAATCAAAGCTGTTAATATATTCTGACCAGTGATATAGAGGGCATGGGCCTAACTGTCGGATCGGATGGCTCTTACCCTTACACCGAAACCGAAGGCAACGACTTTGCCAAGAACCTTGCGGCCCCTGATATTGACTTCGGAGTTTTCCACCTCTACGTGGCCGACTGTAAGAATAGTTTCCCTGTCTCCTGAATATATAACGCGCTAACCTATCCTAGGGGGTATCACCGACAATGCTTGGGGCAATGACTGGATCCAGTCCCACGCCAAAGTTTGCGAGGCTGCTGGAAAGCCTTGCATATTCGAGGAATATGGCATCAAGAATGACCACTGCTCCGCCTCGCTGCAGTGGCAAAAGACCGCTCTGGCTACCTCCGGCAACGCTGCTGATCTCTTCTGGCAGTATGGCGAGCAGCTGTCCACTGGTCCCTCCCCAGATGACAATTATACCATCTACTATGAAAGTGAAGACTGGAAGTGCGCTGTCACTGACCATGTTAGTCAGATTTAAGAGTGAAAATGTCTGAATACTGTGTTCGGAAATCGATGTACGCGAGTATCCTTCGGACTCCTCAACATATAGGTTGACTCATCACTCAAATAGCTTTATTCAACTCATTTAGGAAACGCATCACCAGCCGCATGCATTTCTCACCTTTGTATCATAGCTTACCAAACTTGAATACATGGGCATACCAAAATTGAGTAAACAGTAAATTTTCATAGGGATAGAAATGTAAGACCGGTGTTACTGGTTAGACAGGTTTCCGTAAATCGTCTACTTGGTATATAGTAAGGCCTGTATAGAAGTCCAATTGGTCAAACTCCCTTCATAAAATTTAGAAAGATAGGTCTAAGCGACAGATCTATATGGTATGTAGAAAATATGTCAGGAAAGATCTACGGAGATCTCAAGCTCCATGGTGCAAATGTGAGATTGATATTGAACAGAGTACAGAATGTCAAGTTTTGGGCGAGATTGTGGAATCCTTCTTGTCCCCGACAAAGTTTTAAGACGATTTAGCAGCCTTCGGGCCACCTTATACAACCCAACTGAATTATCATATCATATCACATAGTTTTAGAAATTCAAAAAGGCCGTAAATTGTGATTTCATCCGTAGCCTATGATATATATTTGAAGTTACATTTGGGCAATCACCACCGAGACATGATTTACAATGTGCAATATATATTGGAATGATGCAGGTAATGACTGTATTCTCTGACTCGCTAAGATTGTTGCTGTTTACATACAATTTTCAAACAAAGCTATAAATACTCAAATATAAACACAACATAAGAATCGAATCCAAATCCGCTGAAACGTTCTCAAAAAAATATCTCAAAACAAGTATGCGGTAAAACAAGAGATGAAAGGACAAAAGAAAAACAAAAGAAAATGAAAAACATGAACAAAAGAGTAATTAAAGAGAGACAAGAAAAAGAAATACAAAGGAAAAATGGCTCAGACGCTATCAAAACAATATATCCAAGTCACCAAAATGAAGAAAATCACAAGCTCCTAAATTCACCCTTCGGACTCGTAGGAGCCGATCGGACAGTCATAACCTTCGCAGGGGAAACGTCAAGCGGCGCTAACCTCTGCAAAGCCTTGATAGCCAAAGGCGACTTGGGAGGCGAGTCGGTGGCCAGACCATCGTTAGACTTCTTCGCAAACTCCTGAAGCCGACCCATAATGACTGGCGAATCGGAGTACAACACAACACCCTGCGAGTAAGTACACCCGACAACTTTCTCCTCGTCGCTAGCGAAGTCCTCGTGAGCAGCCTCGCGCGTAATACGCGGGAAGGTCCGCAGCACGACGTGACGAGAGGGCTCGCTCGACGGGGTGAGTGACGGCTCCTTGTTGGAATTGTACTCCAGCCAGCCCTCATTTGAGACACTCTCTGCGTCCGGAGCAGGGAAATTGGCAAGGACGAGCTCGCGCTCAACGCGTGCGTGTCTCCATGTCTCGGCGGCGAGCTTGACGATCTTTCGGACGCCGATTAGGAGGGAGTCGAGGTGCTTGGGATCGGCGAAATGCTTAATGTGGTCGATGATTTCGTCGACGATCACTGCGGCTGCCACGTTGATGGATTGCTTTGCATCTGAGGTCGTGTAGGCTGCTTTCAGGGTCTGTTGACGCCAGAAGGCCTCGCGGCGGACGGATTTGCGTCGGATGTCCATGGACAGCATCTGGAAGAAGGTGTCGGCTTTGTCATATCGTCGACCTAGGGTGAAGAGGAATGGTTGGAAGACTCGGAAGGTTAGGGTTTTTGAGATGATGTGCTGGATGTAGGCACAACGGAGTTCGCGGGAAGCTGGGGTGTTGTCAAGGAAAGGTGGAAGTTCGGATGGAATCTTGGAAAGGACGTCTTTTGGGGGATCGATAGGGAGATATCCGAAATGCTCTTTGGATAGATCGTGAATGAGCTCCGAGAGCTCTGTGAAACAGTTCAGGCTAAAAGATGAATGTCTTTATTAGATCTTGTCCATTTATCGTTATCAACATGAGTCTATAAGAGAATGTATAGTCGCTGTGCGCTGATGCAGTTCAAACAAAAGAAATATAAAAAAATGAATGACTTGGCTTCAGTAGACAAAACCAGAAGAAGAAAAAAAAAACAAGAAAAAAGAGAAAGAAAAAAAGAAATAGAACCAGATATGTGTAAATCCACAGGATTTCAAAGGCTCACTTACAAGAATTGATCGCCTTTGGTATTTCTGAGGTCAGTAGCCTCTCCCAGACTGGAGAGTGTTTTTCTAAGCCTCTCGCAATCTGAGCCCAAGTTATCGATAGTCACTCGCATTCCATCCACTGCACGCTGAAGGTGCTGCTCCTTGACGATTCCTTCTCCTTCCAACCTTTCCTTCTCTCGCTCGGCACTAGAAAGTTCATTGTCTTTGTCGGAGAGTTTCTGTTCCAAGGCAGCACGCTCCGCAGTCCAAAGCTGCTCTTTCTCATTGAATTGAGATTCCAGAGCCGCAATCTGGTCGGCTAATTCTTTGGCAGCAGCAGCGAGTTGTGCATCATGGGATTGTCGCAGGGAGTCCAATTCACCAGCATGGCCTTGTCGAAGTTCTTCCGATTCTTGGGCGTTCTTCTGCTGGGTCTCCTCCAGCTCTGTCAGCTTCGCTGCTAGTTCCGCGCGTGTTGATTCTAGCTCTGCCAGCTTGGCTGCTAGTTCCTCACGTGTTGATGTGAGTTCGGTGAGTTGAGCTTGTAACTCTGCCTCCTTGGATTCCAATGCAGCGATCTGGGATGTCACTTCTGTCTTAGTAGCCTCCAGCTCGGTGCGCTGGGCTTCGAAAGACTCCTGCATTTGAGCCTTCTCCTTCTCCCATTCTTCTCGACTAGCTTCATGTTCAGCGCGAAGTTCGCGCTCACGGGTCTCCAGATTCTCGGCTGCCGTTTTCTCATCCTCGGCCTTGATCTCTTCGAACAGCTCTGTGAGCTCTGCCTTCTGTGCCACAAGAGCCTTCTCCTGTTCTTCCTTCTGAACCTCCAACTCTTTATCGTGGGCTTCCTGTGACTCTTTTATGTTTTCATTGAGCTGGTTGACTTGTCCTTCGAGTTGGGCCTTGGTTTCAGAAAGCTCCTCGTTGGACTTCTGGTGGACAGCTAGGCCATCTTCAAGGTCTTTCTGCTTCTCTTGCAGATCCCCGAGCTCGAGACGCAGCTCATTGATGGTATGCTTCAGTTTGGCGCCTTCTTCGGCACTTTCATTGGCAGCCTTCTTCATTTGAGATTGCAGAGCTTCAATGTAATAATCCTTGTGAATCAGTGCTTGTTCGTGCTGATTTCCAATATGCTTCATCTCAGCCTCCCGGGTTGAGAGCTTGCTGTGGGTGCTGCGGAACCCATGAAGGAGACGGTTGATATCTGGAATAGCTGACTGTATACGTTGAAGAAGCTCAATGTGCTCAGCGTCGCTCTCTGGGGGAGACCCATTCTCATGGGGATGGCCATTGCCCATCGATAGGTTTTGAAGGGCCTGATATGATGCCTGATATGATGGATCCGGGATGCTGTAGCTCCGGTGCATATAATGAGCCTCTGGTTGTTGATGATGAGGAGAATAATATCCATAAGGAGGCATCATTCCAGCCGAGCTCATAACAGGTGATTGGAGGGCATGTGGTCCACCTGGGGCCATGGGAGGCGAGTCTGAAGGAGCCATCGGTGCGGATGGTGGATTGGGAGGGGGAGGGGTTGCAGTTGGTGATATAGTTGGAGACATTTGAGGGTAGTGGGAACGTGCAAGTGGGCTGCTGACTTTGGGCACCGGTGAGGAATTATAAGCTACCGATGAGGTATAAGGCACTGGAGAGCCAGCGTAAGGTGTGGATGAGTTGTAAGGCACCTGGGAACCGTTGTACGGCACTGGGGCGTAGAGCGCGGGTGATGCGTAGGGCACCGGAGAATAAGGGTTTTGCGAAGCGTACTGCACCGGGGAAGTAGGGTAAGGCACTGGAGAGCCGTAGCCGTTTGGTGACACGTAATTTGCTGGTGCAGAGTAGGGGTTGGGTGAAGCGTAAGGGGAATATGGCCCAGGGTAATAGTGTTGGTATTCCTGGGAAGGACTTGACATATACCGTGCTTCGGTCAAAGATGGCGAAGGCAAAGGTACAGAGGCGGCCGCAGAGGAGAATGGGTTAACCGGTGGCGATGAGACTGCAACAGTCTCAGAGCGCTCGACCTGACTGGGTTCGTCTTGCTTGGTATGGTCTTCCAAGGGCTCCGTTGCTTCTGGGACCTCTATGGGAGCCTGAACCGAAGTTGTCTCTTGTACGGGCGGCTCTTTGATTTCAGTATCCAGGGTGGGTGGCTGAGTCGAGCTTGACTCGTCCAAGGGTGCTTCGTCGACAGGCTTGTCGACTATAGGCGACGGTTGATCCACGACAGGGTCGGGGATGGCTTTAGGTGCAGTGTCGTCGTCGAACACTTGGTATGCAGATACAGGGGTTTCAAGCACAGGCGACTGTGGATCTGCGACAGGGTTGGGCACGTCTTCAGGTGCAGCCTTATCGTCAGCTACCGCGTCTGCTGATGCGGGATCGTCGAGTGCAGGTGTGTCTTGATCTGCGATAGGGTTGGTGTCTTGTTGAGGTGCAGTCCCGTCGTCGAACACCTCGTATGCTGATACGGGATTTTCAAGTACAGGCGGTACTTGATCTGCGGCAGGTTTGGGGCTGTCTTGAGGTGTAGTCTCGTCGTCAAATACCTCGTAGGCTGATACAGGAAGTGGCGTCTTTACTTCCACGTCTGTATTTTCAACAGCAGATTGGTCTTTTACTTGCTCTGGTTCCTGCGCCGTAAGTTCAGGGCTGCCAGGAGCAGGAGTATTCGTAGTTGTCTGAGTTTCTGTAGCTTCTGGGCTCTTCCCCTTCTTAACCTTCTTGGTGGCTGCCTTGCCCTTGTCTTTGGCCTTAGCCTTCTTGGTACCAGCGGCCATTGCGGTAGAGTGATGCGTGCCCAAGACTTCTGGTCTCGTGAGACGTGTTACCAATAGGATCAATGTACTAAATGGAGCATGAGTATAATAGTTCCGATCATATGGGGTGTCTGCAGACTGTACATTTAGATCCAGCCCTGTGGCGATACCTCGAGATATAGCCCAAAAGTTGACTACAGTTGGAAAGTATCAAGACTTTGGAATATTTGGAGGCGTCAGCCAAATGGCTGTAGTTGATCGGGCAGAGAATCCTGAAACTTCTCTGACTGAAGTGGGCGCGAATGAAGATCCACAAAAGCAAAGTATTTTGGGATAAGACCTAATGTCAATTTCTAAGAAATAAAAAAAGGAAAGAAAAATGTGAACCCGAAAGAATTCCAAAAAAATATCTCGAAAAGCTAGCATCCCAACGTTGTCTGGGCACATTAGCGGACCGACCCTTAGCGTGTTGATACCCATCCACCTCCCAAATGTGCGAGAGGGCCCGTGAATTAAACGCGAGTACCAGTAATCATGAGGGCACAAAGAACATTTGAAGATCCGAATCCACCTAAATTGCATTCTGGACCGAAGCGAGACCAGTTGGGAGACGCCATGACATTGGGCATCAAACTGTGGATTTGGGCGATTCCCAAGGGCAAGGCTTAGTGGGGGTTACTTGACACCGACAAGCTGACATGTTCAATTGTGTGCCAGACACTAATATCTGTGGATTAAAACGAGGCGATATATCCAAATGATGTATGTCGCTCAATTAGTACAGTTAGCCCTGGAGAACAAATAGTGAGGCTGTCATCGGACAACACATATATTACTAGAATTACTAGATAATATTTCAAACATATCAGTATCCCGAACATAATATGATTGTCTATGCCAAGTAGATCGGGCTGCAGTTTAATTTTGGATTTTTATTTTTATCTGTACATTGTAGTATGTAGTACTACAGTACTTCGTGCTACCCTGTCTCTATTAATTATAGGGGGGGGGGGGGCTTGCAATGTGCACATGATATACTAAATATGCACATATATGGTTCTTCTAAGAGAATATAAGAGGAAGAAAATAGAGAGAAATGGCAAATCAATCCCAGGTCAAATATGATTTGATATAATCATATAATAATACTCAAAATTAATAAATAAATTAACTACTAAACTAATAAATCGAGAATGAGGTTGTTCGTCAACACTTCACTACCAGAATAGAGAATGGCCCTAAACCTAATACAGACCATCACGTGCTATCGACATTCGCTTTCCACCTCGCCCTATCATCGCTCCCCAAAGGGTCATCGATCATCACCAATTGCTTACCCTCCACACAATGTTCGCTGCCAGACGATCTGCTCCTTCAGCGCGGCAGCTGCTGCGCACCCAGCGCCGCTGGGGCTCCCACGCCGCCCATGCGCCCGTGAACGAAAGCTTCGGCGTAAGCTCATCTCCCCCCGCCGCGACCAGACCCGAGTCTGGAAGCAGAGCAAGAAATGCCTCAATGGCCCACGACAACCTGGCTAACCATTCCGTGTCCACTTAACAGCGTAGCTTCTACGTCACCTGCGGCTCCATCGCCTCCGCCTTCGCCCTCTACCACGTTAGCAAGGCCAACGAGGAATCCGGCTCGCCGTCTTGGATCTCCGATCTCATTAGCAAGTGGTCGCCTTCCCAGGAGGTCTTCGAGCAACGCAATGCTATCCACACCGCCATGATGGAGAAGGCTGCCTCTGACCGCCACTTGCTCGGCAGTCAGAGCCAAGCCGAGGCTTTTACCCTTCGACAGCCTGAGTATGTGATACCGTTGCTCCGGAAATGCGTCTCTTTCTGTGCTAATTGTGGTTTTTTTTTTCCTTTCAAGTATGATGAATGCCGGCTCTCCGTACAACGTTTCGCCCGGTTCGCAGGCCGACCTGAGCCATGTCGTGGCTCACTACCAGCGCAAGAACCAGGAGATTGAGGAGTCTCGGGTTGCGCGGATGAAGGATGGCAAGTCCTCTATCTACGAGTAAATGGGGATAGCTTTTTTTCTTTTGGTCGATTGTCTGAAATAGACATGTGGGGAGGAAAAATCATGTACATATACGTTGGGACTTGACGTTCAATCCAGCACCTGATAATTGGATTTTCTTTTGTTTTTGAATCTAACTCCTAGATTGCCGCTGGATTTTTATTGAATGCTGAGATTGGATGTTGATTTTATTATCGAATTTGCTCTAGGGTCCGTTTGACGGCACGACCTCCAGAACCACTCTGCCCACACCCTCAGATTGAATGTTCAACTTCTGCTGCACGTCCAGCTCATTAGCAGATACAGTACGCAGAACAGCAAGGAACTCATCAACACCACCACCAACTCCAAAATAAACCTTCTTTGCCGCGACGAGTGCCCGACTTCTCGCCGATGCAGTGTTCGAGCGGCGCAGCAGCGCCAAAAGCGTTTCGGAAAACGCTACCAGCGATGCAGGCGAGTAAATGGTCTCACTAGCAAGAATCAAAGTCTTGCGAGCGCCCTCACCGGACGAGAAGACCAGATCCACAAACTCGGGCGACCAAGCGCCTGAAACAAAATCAACTGAGATCCCACGCTGGGCAAGATCATTTTTGAATTCTTCAACAAGCTCAGGCGTGATATCCAACTCTTCGTCCTGGTCTGGTGCAGTTGGCACGGCTGAAACAGTCGTTTGAGAGCGGCTATTGTGCCATGTCAAAAGAAGATTGGGGAGCGTGACAAGACGAAGCACGTCCGAATTGTAGTCTGCAAAAGTAAAGAGTGTCTTCCTTTGGCTCTGGCCGGGTTCGGCTTGGCTGAGGAGACGGGCGAACAGAGTCAATGTTGGGACTGCTGTACCTGCGCCAAGCTATTCATCCACGTTAGTCTTCTTGCCTTAGGCAGCTGTCGAGGGAAAGTTTCCACAAGGCGGATGGCTACGAACCTCAATTATATGGATGTCTGCCGGACTATCGGAGGATTCATTAAGAATGTCCTCATTGACAGAAAGTTTAGCTAGGTCCAAGGCACATTCCCAGGTTTTGAAGCCACCTTCATAGAAATTGGGCGTGATGTCGCCTTTTTCAATACCGGCAATAAGCTCTTCATTATCGTGGCCTACGCTGTCTTCGGCCATGAGCTGAGTGCGAATGTCAAATATCTCTCGACGGGCGACAGCCAGAGACGTATCACTGATTGCGAGCTTATTGTAGAAGATTTGAGAGGGAAGAATTGAAAGCTGTCATATTGATTAGACTGTGATCTTTTTGGAAAGGTGTCATGCATTTCAAATGAACTCATGCATTCATGCTCTTGTCGATGGTAGAACGCAGTATCTCCTGGGCCCGAATTGGGATTTAAGATATACTTTCCAGCTCAAGCCATACATGCCAAAAGCAGTAGCATAATATGCATAATTGAGAATGTACTATTTTGCTTCACTTACCCATTCATTCATATCATGTTCAACCGCTTTCACAAGCTCAGGAAGAGAATTGCTCACGGCTTGCTGGGAGGGCACATCGGAGAAATCTTTATTGATATCTGAATCATCAATGTCGATGTCGTCCCCCGAGAATCCGAAGCTGAAGGCCATTTTCACTTGAATAAGATGCCTGTCTCTTCTCCAAGACTAGTACTGCGTAGGTGGGTTGGCTGAGTGGCCCTGATATTGCAGATGATGAGAATTTGCCGGAATTGCAGGTTCCCGACAAAATTGTACTAGTTTTGACAGAAATATCCTCTTTAATGGCAAAAAAACAACTGATCAAACAGTAATTCAGTTCCCAAGCTTTCTTTTCACAGAACGCTGCGATCTGATCTCCATACAAAAAATTCCAGTCCACTGGGCGGGACGATGACTAAGCGTTAAATATGCCCGCAGGCCTCAGGCAGACTATTATTATTAGTATAGAATCTTGGAAATGGTGGATTTACATGGTATTCTGAAAGCGTCAGGGGCGGGTGGTAATAATTGTAAATGCATGATTTTGTAATTCTCTAGCTCATAATGTCATATCCGAGTCATATCCAAGTGATCAGAAACCAATGCAGTCTATTCTAATATTCAATGCAAGCCAAAGACATGAGCTGCAAATGAAGAGTTGCATTTAAGCCTTCTGGGAACCAGCAGCCAAGCTTAGAGCCTGCATCACATCGGCGTGCAGATCCACTGAGTCCTCAATACCACAGCTCATACGCACAAGGTCATCGAAGACACCGGCAGCCTCGCGCTGTTCCTTGGGGATACCAGCGTGAGTCATGCTGGAGGGGACCTCGCAAAGACTCTCAACACCTCCCAGACTCTCGGCGAGGGTGAAGATCTTAGTGAACTTGCAGAAATCGTGGGCAGCCTGCTGACCGCCCTTAATGCGGAAGCTGAGCATACCACCGCCCATACCGTCACGGTGCTGCTTGAGGGCAATAGCGCGGTGTGGGTGGGAGTCGATGCCAGGGTAGTTGACGGAGATGACGTAGGGAGAGGCCTCAAGGGCCTTGGCAACAACAGTGGCGTTCTTGGACGCCTCACGGGCACGCAGGTGCAGGGTCTTCAGACCGCGGTGAGCGAGCCAGCAGTCGAAGGCAGAGGGGACAGCGCCAATGGCATTCTGGAGGAAGCTGAGACGCTCCTTGAGGGCGTCGGAGTTGAAGGCGGCCACGCCCATCAGGACATCCTAAATTACAGTTAGTTAGATTGATACTGAGGAAGGTCCATGTTGAAAGTAAGAACTCACGGAGTGGCCATTAATGTACTTGGTGACGGAGTGAACAACAATATCAGCACCGTGGTCCAATGGGTTCTGGACGTAGGGGCTCATGAAAGTGTTATCAACAACGACCTGAATGTTGTGCTTGTGGGCGATGTTGGCAACAGCCCGGATATCCACCAAGCCAAGAGTCGGGTTGGAGGGGGTCTCGATCCAAATGAGCTTAGTCTCAGGGCGGATCAATTGCTCCACATCCAACTCAATGGAGGGGGTGAAAGTGACCTGGACGCCGTGCGCCGAAGCAACCTTGGTGAAGTATCGGTGGGTACCACCGTAAACATCGGAGACCGAAACGACGTGCGAGCCAGCAGCAAGGGATTGGAGGACGTTGGCTGTAGCAGCAGAGCCGGAGGAGAAGGCAAGAGCGTACTTGGCATGCTCGAGAGCTGCGATAGCTTCCTCAAAGTTATCACTGCGGAGGGTATTAGTCAACCTAGTCAATGTGTCGAACTTTTGGACCAATAAACTGACCGGTTGGGGTTGGAGCTCCGAGTGTATTCGTACAGACCTACGGGGTTTCCGACGCTGGTCTGAGCATATGTGGTTGACAGAGAGATCTAGTGAGGGCATTGTTAGCACCGTCTTGTATTTCCCCCGAGGTTAGATCGATGAGCTTACCGGAGCAATGACAGCTCCGGTCACTGGGTCATGAGGCGCGCCGGCGTGGACAGCCAGTGTCCCAAAGCCGCGCTCAGCAGTGTGTCCGTTTTCCATAGAAGCACCCATTGTGTGTAGAGAAGATGATTTCAAGGCAATTGAGAGGGGGAGATTATATGTTTATCGATAAGATGAGATCAGCCGGCTCTTTGTACTTTGTACTCTTAAAAATAGACTCGGATTGCGAATCTGATTGATAATCAAGGGGATGGCGGAAAACAGTTGCAATGTCTGCTTCCGGATGTTTTACTGAAAAATTCAACCGAAAAAAAAAAAATCTTCAAGAGAACCTTTTACATACTACCAACCGTTGGGAGGCAGATGACGATCGATCGCAGGACTGCGACTGGACGAAAGACCGACGGAACTCCACCGGCGGGCGGCAACTCTGCTCGGAGAATAAGTTGGATACTCCGATCAGTCGGAGTATCGGAGTGTTCGGCACTTTCCGGCTTGTAGATCTTCTAAATTATGTCGTGCTCTATGTTGTATGTTGTACTAGTTCGTATATCTTTGCTTTGAAATAAGGTCACTAGTATATCCATCAATCTTGGAGGAAAAGGATAGATGCGGGAGTTTACGTACATTAAATTCGTATTAGCTCGCTATGTTCCCTCTAGGGATGTCAATCAGTTTTACATTCCAATGTTGTCAGCTGGACTCATTACATATGATCATGTATCTATGTGGACATTCATTGGCATTGATTCGTGTGGGTATCTAGTCTGACTATGAAAGAAATTGTATAGGCGCTGAGAATGGGCCGCGATAGGTCAAGCGACAAGAAGACAGTCTAATGTAACATCAAATGGCAGCGTGGCAGCAGAAGTAGCCTACCACCAAGTGATGGGTCCCGTTCCACCCATTTGCATTGAGCCCTAGAAGATGGTCAGTGAGAGCCAGAGATTTGATATGGAGAGACCAACAAGAATAGAATAAGGAGGGCGCCTGTCCTGTGGAGTTTCATCCGCAACGTCTGGCGCATTAGGGATTTGGTCATGCCACTCTTCTGATTCAACTCGGAATCGAACAACTTCTCCTACATCGAAGAAGAATTCGGTTCCACCTTCGCTCTCCCAGATCCATACCTGCTCGGCATAGTCGCTGCAAAACACATTAGTACTTTTGATATTCAACATCAGGCGAGGATCAGCTCACAATCGAGACTTCTCCATAAGCATTTGGGGCGGGATTAGAATGTCATTAAAGAATTCAAGGCCAACTGGGACTCATTGGTTAACGACGAGCACTGAGTTTTGATGTTTGAAACGTACTCTTGATTCCATGTTCTGTGCCGCTAGAAATTTTTCCTAACATGATCTCCCCTTTGAAGGGACGGAAAACAATCATGCGGAATTTAACTATGTAGCGATCAGTAAAAATCTCCGACTTGATAAGGGGCGGGTATCATCTACCGTTAACATTAACCAGCCCAGTTCCGTGGCCAATCAGGCCATCAGAAGACTCAAGTAGGTCATAGAAGCTGATGCAAAGGCCAATTTTTTGAATGACCTAGAGAGCAGAATAAGCATTAAGAAGCTGGAAGGAAGATACTTGAATGGCGCACTTTATTGGCGTATTTTGCATTGATGTTGTCTTCAAGTGCGACTGCACTGAACTTTGAGAAATCCTCGGGCGAAATTTGGATCAAGTCCGATATGGTGGTCTGCCAGTGTTAGAGCACGTTTTTATATATGGATGTTAAACTCACTAGGATAAACATGGCAATGGCAGTGAAGGCAAAGAAAGAAAGAGCGACCCGGCTAAGCTGTAACACAATGGAAAGAGTGAAATAGCTTTCCTCCGTTTTACTACTGTTGTCGTACCCCGAGAAGCAATCGAAAACCTTTTGAGATTCTTCGTCCGTTCTAATCCCGCGATCACGTGACCGCGGAACGGAAGCTTTCAATCTCAACCTCAACTCCGCTGATACGTTAAGTTAACGAGATTATTCCTGAGTTTGTGTTGGAGTCTCTGGAAGATCCAAAGGCTCTCACCATGAGCTCCCAGGGATTTTCTTTCCCGCCTCCGCCGCCTCCACCACCCGCAACTAGTCAGGCACCGGCTCACAACCCGACCCAACATGGACAGAATTGGGACGGACACGGTGGAAATGGCGGAGGACGCGGCGGAGGTCAGAGGGGACGTGGAAGAGGACAAGGCAACCGAGGTCGAGGAGGAAATCACGCAGAAAGTGGACGAGCGACGTCGTATCTTCCTCCTACAAGTTTTAATTACGCGCAACCAATGTATGGCGGATATCCTCAACCTCTTCCCACCGCACCTTATATGCCTCCCCAACCATACCACCACGGACAAACGCCGGCCTTCCAGAACCCTCAAAACCCACCTTCATTTTCGCATCAACCATATCCTCAGTCGGTAGCTTCGGGGAACTATCAACACTACAATACGCCCACCAACCTTCCTACACCTTACCCTCCGACACCTCCAACGTACATGCAGGGCTTACCAACACCTCCCCATGGCCATCCACCAAACACCCAACCAATGATGCCCCCCATGTCATGGCAAGGTGCGGCGCCATATATGGGAGCCCAACCAGGGCAAGCACGAGGGCCACGAGGTCCTCATGCGCATGGCAATCAGGGCCAGAAACCCAGGCCTGCCCAGAAGCGAGATCACTCATCTGCATTCAACAAGCCTCAATTAGTTGTACCTAGGACTCCCGCTGCGCCTGCCGTCCCAAGCTTCGGCAACCCTCTGCCCTCAAAGCCACCACCTGCCGCAGACTCCACCGCAAACAGAAAATCGAAAAAGAGAAAAAGGAAACACAACCAACTCGGACTGACTCCTCATACCGAAGATCACGAGTCAAGCGAGGAAGAGCCGGATGAAGATGAAGAATCGAAGTTAGCGCAAAGTGGATCTGACGCTGCACCACTTCAGGTCTCCTACAAAGGCAAAACGTCTACGCTACAGACGTCAGCCGATATTGCCGCTTGGATTGCAGAGCGGAAGAAGAAGTTCCCAACTCAAGCTCGGGTCGAAGAAAAGAAGAAGGCGCTAGACGAGGCAAAGGTAGCCCGCGAGGCAACCCGTCAACAAAAGCAAAAGGAACAACAGGAAAAGCGAAAGGAACACATACAAAAACAAAACGAACACAAGACAGATCCCGCGCCAGATGCGACGACAAACGCGCAGCGCAGGGAGAAGATTCGGCGCAACCTTGAGCGAGAGGAGAAAAGAATCCAAAAGGCCATGGCTGAGACCGAAGCTGCTCGTCTCCGAATGGAAGCTCTACAGAAGGAGGCATTGAGCTTAAGTGCAGACTTTGACCAAGACGAAGATACGGGTATCACACCCCGCCCGGGACACCCAGCCCTGGACCCAGTTATCAAAACCGAACCTGAACCCGCAAACGCGGTGCCAGAGCCAGCCATAAAAACCGAACCCGAAGACGCGATCCCGGAGCCCGTCATTCAAACTGAACCCGAAACCGCAGTGCCAGCAGCAACCATACACACCGAGCCTCTTGGCCCAATTCCAGAGCCCGCTCAATCAGCCGTCCCGGCTTCCCACACTACAGAGGCGCAGAGAGATCTTGGATTGTTGCCGGAGTCGTACAATCCCGAGGACACACTCGAGACTCAGCAACACACCGACCATGAATTGGATGACATAGACCTCGCTTCCGATCACGAGGCCAGTGATTGGACGTCCTCGGGCGCTTCCGACCTAGATTCCGACTCCGACTCTGACAGCGACGACTCGCCAGAGCAAGCAACTTCACGTCGCACGGGGCCAGAGCGAGTGCCGCCCCCACCCCGCGAAGGCAAAAAGACTGTCTGCCGTTACTTTGCACGTAATGGGCACTGTAACCGTGGCGAGCAGTGTAAATTCCTTCATGAGAATGACTCTGAACGAACGTCGAAGGCTAAGGCAAAGCCCACGGAAAAGAAGGAGAAAGAGCCAAAACGCAAGGGACTCTATCAAGCTGTGCGTGCCTTGTTTATCTATTTTGTGGCTCCCATTGAAATTGTACTGACACCGATTAGTTGCTGGACCGACAGAAGACAGACGACGACCGCCGGGCAATGGAAGTGATCTTCTGGTTAGGTCAGAACGATATGTTGGCGGATTGAGGAACGCCGATTTGCGCCACACGATACCCCCAATTAATTAGCGTCGGAACTGGACGAACTACGAAACATTCATGCGCAAGGAAGTGAAAAAGGTCATAGCTCGGAGGCGTAGGGGGGGGGCTTTGGCCGGATTTTCAACCTGAACGAACCGAACCTTAGTCGCGTGGCTCCGATACGCGACAAAGGATGGGGGAATTGGAAAAAAAAATTATTACATGTAGGGGAGTACTCCGTAATGTTCAATCACTTCTTTTGAATTGTTTCATGAATTTCCTTTTTCAATCTAAATTTATCCTAAAAAGACTCAGCCTCGGGGTTTGTGACTAGAAGTGAGTGTAGCCGACCAAAAGTGGATATAGTCATTTAAGGTCACGTCGAGTTCAGACCAGTCAACCGAGACGATTCCCTGCCAAGCGAGGAAAACATGCCCGTTGAGTGGCCCGAAGACTCGTGGATCACCGCCACGCTTTTTTCTGTCTCTCCCGGGCCTTCGCGGGTCCTCTTGGGGATGTACAATGGCCAATCACTTGCCCTGGTCTCCCTTTTTATTTGTATTTCCTTTTCCCTTTGACTCTCCCGGGCTCTTCCTGACTCTGACTAGCTCCCTATCCATGGGGCACATGCCCTCTTAGTTATAAAGCTAAGACTGAATATCCCCCCATGTCCGGCCTTTTCTTCCATATTTTGCCTCTTTAAAGTACGCCTTTCACTCTTTTAAAGGTCTTTCAGATTCCATTCGTTTATTTGAACATCTTGCACATTATACCTGTACTTCCAACTTTATATATACACATATACCAGTCATAATGCGTTTCTTCGTCTCCCTCGCTGTCGCCGCCATGGCCGCCGTCGCTTCCGCGGATAGCAAGGCTAACCCCTTCAGCATCCCCGTCGAGGGTTACACCTTCAAGACCGGCGAGCCTACCGCTCTCTCATGGGAGCCTACCACCGATGGCACTGTCAGCCTGATCCTGCAGTGGGGAGCCGTGATCAGCGGCAACTCCGGCACTGTCATTGCCTGTAAGTAATACATCAGAATGACTCAAATATCCCCTAAGATACTAACTCTCCCCAGCCAACATCGCCAACGACGGCAGCTACACCTGGGATGTGCCCTCCAGCCTGGCCGCCCAGCCAGACTACACCATTAAGATCGTCTCGGATGAGGATAGCGATGACTACAACTACATCGGCCGTTTCACCGTTGATGGTTCCACTGTCATTGTCTCTTCTGCTACTGCTGCTTCGACCACTGCCTCGACCACCGAGTCTTCTACCTCTACCAAGACCCACACCACTACCTCGGATGAGACCACCTCGAGCTCTTCGGCCGTCAGCAGCTCCGCCACCACCCTGACCACCGCTTCCAGCTCTGTCGCCAGCTCCTCTGCTACCACCACCGCTACCGAGACCTCCGAGACCACCAGCACTGCTGCGTCCAGCACCTCTGCATCCGAGAGCGCCGTGCCCACCACCAACACCGGTGCCGGTGCTATCAACCGCGTCTCCGGTAGCATGCTCGCCCTCGTTGCCGGTGCCTTCATGCTGTAAATTGCCATGCATGATCTTGTCATGAACGAGACCTTGTTTTAGAGTCACGTTGACGCTTTATTGATTTATATATATTTTTTTTCTCTTCGTTTCTCTGATTGGTTGTTATCTTGAAACAGCCAATCAATTTATTGTTATTGCTTCCCCTTTTCTGGGGTGCAGCTGTACAAAATATCCCGTCCTTGACCACATATGTACGGTCGGGATGGCTGTTTTTTATATTTGATATATTATTTGTTGACCTGGCCAGCGCTAATGACTGTATACTCCCTACAATCCATTTCCTATAATGGTGTGATCGTCAAAAAAGAGGGGAAATAATTAATTTCGATCGTCCCGCGTCCACTTTGTCCACTTTTTTAATACTCTAATCTCGCTAAAATATTGCGGCTTTTCGAAGGATATCATCTCAGTAAGGGGCCTCTCTGGAGTAAATAATGGTTTTTGGTTGAAAACATGAAGCATATTTGCAGCATTTTGTCTTTTTTTATCTAGAGGAAGGATCTTATGTCTAATAAGCTCAATTTTGGGAGGTTACATTGTGCTTCTAGTTTTTGACTAGTTTTGACTAGTACTGTGACCTTGAAGGGCCGTTTTATTTCAATCTCATTTATATCCAAGTGGTAGATCTCCGGTCGATCTCCGTATGTTGGAATTCAAGTTCGTATACGGAGTACGAAGTACTTCTAAGGCTCACTAAATGTCCATCTTGGCCCTGTCGGTGCCTGACTCGTGATCACTCGCACATGCACCAGGTACCAGGTACCCTCTGCGATGAAATGTCAATATGCTGGATAACTCGATGTTTCAGGTTTCTATGAACATCATTGACATCTGGACTACCACATCTGGACTGCTACATCTGTTTCCAATATTTTTAGGGGTCTACTCCCCCAGGGTTCGGGCTATGCTAGGCACCCACGCTATGATCAAGCAACCCCGGCATAATAGCCCCCATCCTGCATGTCCTCGACACACCGCATGAACAACATGGGAGCCCCAAGCAAAAAATAACTATATCGCTTATGTTCCAGCCTTGATGATAACACCACGCTATCGTCATCAAAACCTCAATTCCAAGCAAGGGTGTTCACAAATTTATGATCGCAGGAACAGTTCACCTCGTGTCTGCGAGAGGAAGCAAGACCCCTAGCATTATGCAGGGCTTTGATGGAAATCCCGAAAACCCCAGTTCATCCGGTCAAGTCATAGGGCGGATTCTAGACCCGCTCGCTGATCTATCAATTGACAATCAATCCCCTTTGTCAAAGAAAAGAAAATGTGACTGCCTATATGCAATAGATGCAGAAAACATGCAAAAACTGGGGTCGTCGTCATCCACTTTCTTCTAAAATATGAATGGGTCAGCTTGTTTGTTCGTGTCACGTTCTTACGCTATACCATCGGTTATTGGTTGGTCGCTGAGAACGATGACAGCTGAGTTTGCAATGATCGAACCCCTAACTTACAGCAGAGCCTATTGATGGGCCCGGGGATCCGAGATCCACGAAGAGTTTTCGTTTGAATGTGGACTGTTTTGCATGATTTGCTTATAAAGGTGCTGTTGTATCCTCCTTAGAGGTTGGGGTGTTTTTATTTGTTCAACAGTGCCATTGGAAGCTCAAATCAGGAGCAGTGCAGCATTATTCAGATATATCAATTTAAGATATACCAAACGAGAACAAGATCCACTATGCTAGCCAAATTCCTTCTTGCGTCGGCTGCGACCCTCGTGGCGTTCTCTAGCCTAGCCAATGCCCAGACAAACATCACCGAGAAAGACTGCGCCTCCACATCCGAGTACTCAAAGTGCAACAGAGATGTGGCGGACAAGTGGAGCTCCTGCCTCCGAGGCTGCAACGGCAATGGTAACTGTGCCGTCGACTGTGGGTGTGAATCTCACCAGAAGTATATCAATTGTATGGCGGAGTCATGCTGGAACCAGGTATGACTTCTATACACCCTTTGACTGCAAGGAACCCAATTCATGACCATCACATACTCACAATGTCTCCTTTCTCAGGTCTACTCATGCAAATATCAGCTCTTCGTGCAGCAGTACTTCGCCGTCTGCCCGAGCGCCAAAGAGCCAATCCCCTTCTGGCCGCCACCAGACAACGCCCCAAACCGCTGTTCCTGCAATATAGGCAAGATCACGCAGACGACCCTATCATCGCGTGACCAGCAGATCAAATGTATGCAAAATGTCACCGACAAAGTCAACACAGACGTCGGCCACATCGGAGATCTGTCCAACCTGGGTAACGGTCTCGATATTGCCAACCGCGCCTCGGACTGTGCCTGCTGCGGAGCCAGTGCTGGTATCTCCGCGTAAGTGAAGCACAGTAACCTGCCACCCTACAAGGCACCAACTAACCCTAACTACAGAGCGTGGGATATCTGCCCGCACACCGAACCCACTCTCGCCGGCGCAGACATGTGGGGAGTCTTCTTCCCCTCCGATCTACCTAATCTATACACCTCCCTGCCGAACTGGGCGTGGTCGTCGTGCGATTCAACTGTCGAAGACAAGAAGTGCAAGGACCTGGGTTTCACGGATGCGGACAAGTTCTACAAGCCCGGTGATTTCCCTAAGAACGGCACCTCGACTCTGTGTGAAGTCGGTGGTACGGTGACGGCGCCTCCTAGCGGCACTGTTCTCACTTGGTCCCAGACTTCGACTACTTATACCGTTACCGCGACTGGATATGACCGCAAGGCTGTTGCTAGTCAGAGTGAGCACCGTGCTACGGCTACCGGGTCCGATACAGCATTTGCGACACAGACTGCTGATAGTGGCGCTGGGGCTGTGAGGAATGGTGGTGCTGGGGCTGTTGTGGCCGCTGTATTTGCGGTTGTTATGTTGTAACTTGTTGGTTGAATAAAAGTCGGATAGACTGTGCTGGTAGGTGGGGGATGTGAAATTGATGTGATATGGTATTTCATGATGTGATATGAACGGATTATGGGATGGTGTGAGGTGTTGGCGGCTTATGGCCACCTTGGACTAAATGCCATGCTGAGGGTAACTCTGGACACGATAGACTGCTCGAATAACGAACAATCCAAGGCACAAGTTGCTTCTTACGTCGAAACCTCCTGCAGCCTTAGACTCCATAGTATACAACGACCAAATCCCTAGGAGTTGCCAACTTTCTGGCTATATACCCATCAGTTGGCTTCAATATATAGTACCTCGGGTTCTGGAAGTCTGGATACACGGATACCCAACTCAAATTCTCACATCTCCAACCTTGCCGATATTTATAGAAGTGCTTGGATTATAGTGATGCCAACTGATGATGAACGGCGGACATTCTACGCATGTGATCAATTTGAAAGGGAAAAGAACGACGCTCTTCTGAATTGTAGCCGGTAAAGCAGCTAAGAAAATTATATAAGAAGGCCCCCAGGCCGCCCAGAACAACGCCGGTTACTCCACAGATATCGGTATCAAACGTTGGAATCATAGCCCGCTAGACAATGCACGCGCACCGTATTCGGTGTCCTGTAGGACGACACGAAAGCATAAAATCTACAAAATCAAAGCACGAGAAGAAACCATCAAGCAGCCCACGACGGGATGACCCGCTTCAGGAACTTCATGAACTTCCAGAATCCAACCGCGTACTCCTCATGTCCATGTGGGTCCACGACCCGCTCAGGGAACGCAATACCGGCACCAAACAGCCCAGGAATATCAGAGGTATGACCGGGCTCGTGGAAGGTGCCGTTATCATGATCGAAGGTCATAAGAAGGGGAGCACCATTCTTCGAGAGATCAGGGAGTGAGGTACGGGTATATCCAACCGCCTGGACGAGATAGTCACATTCGGGCAAGTACTTCTGGTACTGAGCAGACTCGATCTCTTGGCCACCAGCGCAGTCGATCTTGTCCAGGACCTGACCAGCAGCTGAAGTGGGAAGCTTGTCGTTTTCTAGCTCGGAGCGAGCAAATTCCGCAGCTAGGCCCTTGAGACCGGTGTTATCGCGCAAAATCCACCCGTCCTTGTACTCTGCGTAGCGGAGGGGGTGGCGGGTGAACCAGCTAATGCGGAGTAGTGGGTGGGAGGTTTGGGCGAGCTGGGTGAGGTTCAGGATGGCGAGAATGGCACTGTGAGAAGCGCCGACGATGGCGACGGAAATAGGTCTGTCTGAGGGGAGGGTCTCTGCTAGCTCGCTGGGCTTGAGGACTATGTCGAGGTCCAAGCGCTGGATGTCCAGTCCCGCGACGGGAATGGGGGCGGCTGTGGGGAAGGAGCCTGTGCAGAGGATCAGGCGGGTAGCTTCAATGACCTCAAGATCTTCAGATGAATTCTGTTTGATAGAAACAGTCCAGTTGGAGGTCTGTATTACGATGTCGTGATTAGTCGTGATACTGGAGTAGATGTGCAATCAAATTACTAACCGTTGTGTTTAGGTTGGCTGATTTGACAAAGCCGTGGCATGCATGTACTTGCTCCATCTTCATTAGACCGTCTGTCAGGCCACGAACCATATCAGCTGCAAAACCAAGGGTGCAGGTTGATTCTTGGTCGAGTTTGGCCAATTTGGTGAATGCATTAGGTGATTTGGTGTTATCGATCACTTTCTGGAAAGGCTGTGTGGCTTTTGCGAACGCTTGGAATAATGAAACCTTGGTGTTGCTGGAGGATATCTCGTTAGTACCTTCTGCCTGTGTTTACGTGCCAAGAATCCGGTACGAACCTGGGAACTTCGCGATACTTGCTATGGACTCTCCCGCCTTCGAAAGAAGGATCAATCCATGCGATTGTACCGAGCTGGCGCTCCAACAAGTTTCCCATAACGGCAACTCCAGCCGGGCCGGCTCCTACGACGACCGCTGCACATTTCCGAGTAGCCATGTTGGGGATGTGGTGATTGGGAGATGGGGATAAGAGTAGGAAATCAAGTATGGCCCAAGCAAATCAAAGATGCGGAATGAGAAAGAGTTGTAAAACGTTTATTTGAGTAACTAAGTAAACCATATCCCAGGAGATATCGCGATGGGGTCGTGACGGGTTTTAAAAGGGGGAAACAAATGGCCAAGACCCAGGGAACGATATCATCGGCGATGGAATGCGTGTGCAGATAACGCAACCAACAGTCGGGTCATCGCCATAGTACTCATTCTCGCTGGAGGTCCCCCCCCAATATCTCGTGACACATGTGTAAGTAGCTCTCGGGCGAGATGGGTCGGCGTTCTATTGACATGTAAGGGCCAATCCATATAGCCCCGCAGGTGGATATCTTTGCTCTAAAATTGGCTGATTTCACGTTTTGGCGGTCTGTGACGCCCGTGACTCTCAGACGCCGATCCATTCGGTGACTCACTCGGGGGCTTTCAATCGGCGATTGAGCCCCACACTGTGCGCTTCCCGTCGGCCTGTCGGCAGCGTCGATCCGGGCTCAGTCCATGTGAAAAGAGTGGTGGTCATCGGGGCATAAACACCACTTTCATGGCATAAGGGAAATTGCAGGTCCACGATTGGGCTGCATTTTGACTAGCATTGGGAGAAATTAAAAAAGTTAAGCAGAGCTCGAGGAGGTCGTTGGCTTTATATTCTGTTGGTTTGGCGTCGATCAGACAGTCTTGGCAGAATGGCGTGATCAATTTTGGGCATCAAAGCCAATCAGCACTTAGCAACTATACATCGATGGATCCTACAGGGCTGTTGTATAGGGTCTGCTATGCTATTGATCTGAGAGCTAAGATGTATGAAATACCACAGTTTTGTAAAACGAAGACTGATACCAGACAAGACTCGTATCTAGTTATGTACTCTGTGGTTGTCATCCAACCTGTTCCCTCATACAGCCCAGTATATCCTCACGCTCGCTCGATGAACGTGGTTTGACCAGCCGGGAAATCTTGCTCGAGCCCAAAGGGCAATTGAATCGCCAACCTCCAACTCGCGCACTCCATGTCCATCAAGATTAAGCCGACCACGACCCTGAGTCTTCTCAATCTCAAGTGCCTCGGCTGAATCTGCTTGGATATCGTCTCGATAGTCCCAAACAATCGTATTGTGCTGCATGTCGCTCACGTTGGCCCCGTTGCCTTGCAGTTTGTTCTCACGCGGCAACAGCAGCGCATCTGCCTCCGTATAGTGTTTTCGGACTTGTCCACGCTCATTATCGAGGATCTCTTGTTCAACTCCATTGACATACATGTTCCTCGTATGGGCACCATGAATAACTTCGGCATCAAACCAGGTCCACGAAGACTCATACATGTTGTCGCGGCGTGGCCCGCCGCCTTGGTCATGAGATGAGATATTGAAGACTATCTTGCGGCAAGGGTGTATTCCGCGATGGGGTAGAGGGGTAGGACTTGATTCTTGCCCCAAGCTCTGAAAGGAATAGATTATCAGCATGGATCAACTAACTCGAGAACGGATAGATGTACATTCCGATCATAGCAGAGGGGAACCGTCTTCAGCAAAACTTGATCACAGTCTTTCTGAATGATCCGCCGGTCTTCCATCCTGTGCTCTATCGAAGGCCAATATTCCGCAGCATCGACGATTATATCGACGAGCTCCTCGGGTAGACTGCGTGGGAGGCTCCATTGCAACAAATGCCGAACTTTGAATACATCCGCTAGACTAGGATTGAAAACTTGAGGTTCTGGATCTGGGATAGACTCATCCCTACCAGAATCTGTGCCGTTCGTATTTGCAGAGGGTGGGTGGCGGTACCGGCGCTGGTTTCCCAGGCGAATTCCGAGAGGGAGCATGATGGTAGTGATGCAATTTTAGATGCTGACTTTAAAGGTAAGCCAAGCTTTGGTGACACCCGAACGCGTATGTACGTCGATGTTGGACGTTGCGGCGAAGTAGTTGATGTTGATTCGCGTTAGGCAACAGCGCCACACACACACACACACACACACAAGGTCTGGTCAGGTATCGACCGTATGATTGAACAATTGAACTATTCCACTTTCTTTTCGCTTTGTACTACCCGAGTTAGCTCTAGTCTTTGTCGAATCATTCGTACACTACCCCGCATACCACATGGAAGAACTAGAATGGTTCACTTTGGATATTGGCTTTGTCAGGAGAAATTTGAAAGTAGAGTGGCAATTGAAGAGAATAATCCTTAGAAAAAGGAGCACCTGTAGGGGGTTAATTAGTCGAACTTGATTATGTAGTCGAACATTGATCGTCATGTGGTTCATTGTTGACAATGACGTCAAGGCCTCCAACATAATTCATTTTCTACTTGAATATGTACTTTGTACTTCGTAGTATAGAAATGAGATGTTCAAGCTATGCATGTCTGGTCTCGAATTTTGTGATCTTCATACAATATATTCAAATGCCCTTCCTAACGCCCATAAAAGATACAATATGGCTTTTTATTTTCAGCCCCTTCTGCCACCCGCAGCTTTGTATGCGGCAGCCCGCTTGCTGCTTCGGCTCTCTCGCTTGGCCTTCGAGCCACGGCTCTTTTGCTTCATTTTGATGGATGATGATCCTTCAGTAGCACGGTGACCCTCAAACACGAACGAGTTGCCAGCAATGGTGCTGTTGGCATCGGCCTTAACCTTGGCCGCACCTGCCCGGCCCAGTAGCCTAGTAGCACGTCCTTGCATGGTCTTCTGAGCCTCGTCTATACGAGCCTTTTTGTTTTCAGGGCCGGAGGGTTCGCGCTTCTTGGTGATCTTGCGGGCCCGTGTGACACGCAGCTTACGGGGAAGCATGGGTGGGAAGTTCTTTCCATTGAGCGGAAGGGCTTCCTCAACACCATTGCCATCATAGAACTGGACATAGGCAAATCCTTTGCCAACACGAGTAGTGCTGTCACGAATCACGCGCACGAACTCGACGTTCTTCTTGATGGCCTTCTTGTCCTTGCCTCCAGTGTGGGCATTGAAAATCCGCCAGAGACCCTCCTCAATGTCGGCGGGAGCGCGAGCCTTCTTCTTCTTGCCAGTCTTCTCATCCTCCTCGGGAGTCTCACTGTCAATGAAAGACAGGTTGCCGACAAAGACACAGCGCTTGTGGTCGATTTCTGCGGGGTGAGCAAGGCTATCAACTCGCAAATGGCGATCCAAAACCATCGTACCGTTCAAGGCGGCGGGGGCCTTGCGTGCGGCGTGGGGAGTGGTGTAGACGGCGTATGCGTTGGTGCTGGGCGTGGTTTCATCGAGAATCTCGCGCTTGGCGAAGGAAGCACGCTTGGGAATAGCACCACCACTGGCGAACGCAGTAGAGCGGAAACGGATCGACTCGATCTTGTGCGGGCCAGTGGATTCAGGAAGTGATGAGCAGAAGGAGGCCAGGTGCCGGAGGAGTGTCTTCTTGGCGGTCTTGGACTTGATAGCCTCGGTGGAGACATTGCCCAGGAAGACAGTGCGGTTAGACTTCTCAACTTCATCGGCCTTGGCGGCACCAGTCAAGCTCTCGTGCACAGGTGCAGGAGCGGTCTCCTCTGCATCGCTGTCTTCTGATGCCGATGCTTTGTCGGAGTCCTCGCCTTCGTCATCTTTGGTGCTTTCTTGTTCAGTCTGCTTTTGGCGTTTTGCGTGCTCGGCCTTCCTCTTTTCCTCGTCCTTCTCCTCCTCCTTTGCAATGCGACGCATATATGTCTCCTCGACATCCTCACCGGCACTGCCACGCTTGCGTTTCCGGTTCTGGGTATCGGTAGGTTGTTCTTCTTCCTCTACAGCCTCAGAATCATCTTCTTCGGCGCCATCCTCCATTACTTCATCGTCTGAGGCAGATGATAGGTCCTCCTCTTCAACAGCATCATCTTCGTCCTTTTTCGCCCGTTGGATGGGCTCGACATACTTGATCACGGGGGCTTTCACAGGACCAGCCTAGATATTGTCAGTCAAAAGTTCATTGGTTGCATACCAAGACAAACATACACTTTGCGCAAAAAGCGAGGATAATGTTGGGTCCAGAGATGCACCACCAAAGGGAAGAGTGGCAGCGGGCTTGCTGGTCTTCTCCTCCGTCTTGGAGGATGACTTTGATTTTTTGCCCATTTTAATATATGTTTGAACTGTGTTACAGTCTTAAAATTGAGTGACCAAGACGTGGCTTTGTTGCGATTGACACAGCGCCGATGATAGCTCCGACTTTTTTTTTTCCTTTGGTTTCTGCTTATCGGGTCTTGGCACGGAAAGCTGCTTATCACATGACTAGGGGTATACATATTCAAGAGTAGATGTTCAGGTATATCGTGCGTTGCTATATGATAGATATGTGATGGGATCGTCTATGCAGGCTTTCTCTATTACTTATTTTTCTTATCTACAAGTACTGCGCGCTCATTATGCATTCCAGGCTGGGAGGCTCTTGTTTGGGATTGGGCGGTAAGATGTAAATGTCTGGTGCACTTATACACCATCTAACATAGTGAGATCGATAAACATGTCCTTTATTCTGTATTCCTTCCATGTTATTTCTGACATAAAATTGCAATATCAACATATTACTATACAAGATGGCTTAGTTATGCTTATCTCTTTCTAACTACGTCAGATACTATCTCACGTGATTCTCTTTTTTCTTCGGGCGGTGAGTCTTACCCACGCCGGAACGCAACGCGGCAGAATCAGCGGTCACTCGCTTCTGTTGCTGCACCCCATCATAGCGATCTGCTGCTTTTGTCTGCTGAAACCCCCTCTTTCGGCTGTGTTTTCCCATCCTTGATCCTTGATTCGATCTTGATTACGGTCCCTGGCCACTTCTTCATGCCGTCAACCCCCCTGCGACTCGTTACCCTCGTCTTGTCCGCTTCCTAGCCAACCTCCCCTCGCACTCCACAGTCGGTCTGCGCAGGATTCGTCGGACCGAAGGCTTTTACGGGCTACAATAGTGGTGACACGCGTGGACTTGGACTTAAGTCATAATTTACGTCCTAGGAACGCGGTGGTTTTGGGAATCGTGCTCGGTCGCGAGCAGCTGTGCTCATTACCAGCGTCGCTCCCGGCGCATTGTTGAAACGGTACGTCGCTTGAGGCTTGACATCAATCCTAGACTTTCATCTGGTCATTTTCGCGAGGAGGAAACGTCTCTGTGTCTTTTGGAACTACTGTGATCGGTGCACTTGCTTTGCGCGGCCTATAGTCCCTATGCTGAGCAATTGTTACCGACTCTGGGGCGTTCGATGATCAATCTCCGCACCACCGCCTTCTGGAGGCGCTGACCTATCTCTCGCACCCACCATCCACTTTTTGCCCACCAACTCCGTCTTCCACTTGTTTCGCTGAGTTGACATGGCAATTGAGCTAATTCGATCTGTGGTTTCTTCAGATTCTCGATCGAAACACCCTCTGGTGGATCGGTGACCTTCCTCCTCCCTCTCCTCACGCCTGCGGCGAATCCCAACCTCGCTGCAAGCAATCAACAACGCAACGCCTCCCCCAGCTTTTCTTGTTTTCACTTATATTGTGTTGCGCCAACTCTTTTAGCTGCATAATTGCCCATGGAGGTAGCAGAGAGCAGAGAACAGACCTCCGTTGGTCACACAACGGGGGCAGATTCCACAATGCCCAATGGCGAGCGGAATCCTTTTCTAGATGATCCGCTCATGGACGATGATGGACGGTCAAGTAGTTTGAGTGAGATCGACGATGTATCGGACAACGAGCCGTCCGACTTCGAAGATCCCATTAAATCAGACAAGCCAATGGAGAATGATTCGGAGGCCGAAACCGAGCGCATCGAGGATTCTCCACACAACAACCGGAAACGAGACATCGTGTTGAGTGCCCCTAGTGCTGGACCAAGTCCTAGCAAGCTTCATCAATCTACGACACTCGACGACGTCGACGATGAAGCACTTGTGGCGGACGATTCTCCTAGCAAACCGCGACGGTCTTCAAAAAACAACGGTTTGACCGATATCCCAGCCCTAGGCGACTCTGAGCTTCCGGATACTCTTAACAAGAAACGGAAACGCGTTGAAGTTGGCGACGAAACTGTCGCCGAGTTCGGCGACGAAGAGCCCATGAAGAAACGTCGCAACTCAATCAAGAGTGACCTAAGTGACCCGATCGATGATGACACACCCCTCTCACCTGAGCCGCTCAGCAATCCCATCGATATCAATGATGATGGTATACTGATTGACGAAGTTCCCGAGTCGGACCTTCCAGCCCCGCCTTCGAAAGGCAAAAAAGGCAAAAAGGGTAAGCGGAAAGGAAGAAGGACCCAGGATGCCGATGAGGAGGCAGAAGCTGGGATTGAGGCCACAATAGATTATGTTGCTGATGAGATTCTTGGAGAAGACGAGGAGCCTACGGAACGAGGAGATGAGCCCGATGACGCGGAGGCGGTTCTTCGAGCTGAAGAGTGTAAGTCTTCCCCTTTATGGACCATTTGAGCACCACAGATACTGATGCCCCGGACAGCCGTGAAAAAGATGTCTGCTATGGATTCACTGGCGACACTGGAGAAAGAATTTGCAACCTTACGTGACAAGTGAGAGATAACACCACCTCTCACGCGCTTCGTTTTGCTCACAATCATAGGATTTATGACGAACGGATATCCAAACTCAATCGGGAGTTAGATATGCTTACCGGTCCGAACCCGACGCATCCCGAGTACATGCGGCAAATTGAGTGTGTGCAACGTTACCGGGACGCCAAGATCAAATACGAGCAAAACCTGTATCGATACCGCATGAATTCACTCATGCACAAAGCTCTTGCCGAGCGGACACAGGCCCATAGCACATATTACCAGCGGATTCGGGATGCGCGCGAGCGTCATTCGAGTGCAGTCAGCAAGCAGTTCTATGCCATTCAGCATGATCGCTTCAAGACAGACGAGCTTAGCCCACACCATATTATCGCATTCCCCACCCGCCGCTCGCAGCAAATCGCACATCAGACCGCATATAACCAGGAGGTTTCAATTATGGCCGGTGTCGCTAAATATGTTGGTTTCCCGGCTGCCCCGTCCTTGATGGGTGCACGGCCCACCGAACTTGATGACGATCTTGAAAAGATGGGGGTAAGTCATATTATTCATATTCCTAAACTTGGTCTGTTGCTGACAGCAGAGTATAGATTCCTATCGAGTCTCGCGCTTCGGCACCACGGCACTCATCAACAATAGCACCACGGACCACCATGTCTACCATGTCTTCTAACGCCTTCCGTTCGGCTGAAGAAGCATTCCTAGAACAAACGCCCTGGGCAAATCCACAACATCCCATCCATCAACAACAGCAACAACAACATTCTCAGCAACCTCGACCACAAGGCCGTATATTTGAGCATCCACAGCCGTCATCATATGCAACACCAGCCGCTCAAAAGCGGGTAGTAGACATCAACGCACCCAATGGATCTGCATCAACCATTCCGGAGAACGCTTCTGCTGCCAACTCATCCGCTAACAACACCCCTTACGGCATGGAACACGACCCAAGACATCAAACGCAAGGGCCCTTCCGCAACCCAGACTATGATGCTGATCATCGCAAATCCGGGTTCCGATCACTAAGTTCATCCCCTTTGGATGTGCGGAAGTCACAGCCGCACCTCAATCATGCTCTCGAACACCGCTCTCCTCTTACCGACGCCCCATCCCACAATCACATATTCTCTCCGCCTTCTACACGCCAAAGCTTGTTTCAGCCTTCCGCTGCTCTCCAACGGGAGACCTCGCCATCCCTCCCGTCTAAACCTGTTGATGCGGTACATTACCGCCCTCATCAGTCAGGAATCTCCACAGGGTCTGGTTCAAATCACATGCCTAATCGATGATCGATTACCTTCGGCGATTCTTTTTGAAATGACTGGTCAACACCCCCCTTAATACCCCGAGAGCCTCTCCTACCATCCTCTTTCATGCATCTTGGCTTTTCTTCTCCGGTGATAAATGATCGACCCTATGTTTTTCTACCCCCCGGCTCTTTCTCCAGCAGCAAATGTACCTTGACTGTCATTTTTGCCTGTGTTGCATGAATGGAATACCAATCTGGGGTCTTGTCTTTTGAGTTTCAACAGCGTTCACATGAGGGATACTCCCGTTGTCATTACTTCTAACTTTGGATTCGAAGACTTTATTTGAATGGAACGGAATCTGTTTATTTATTTTATCATCTGATGGGGTGTCTGGGGTCTGGGATCTCTTTATTCGTTTCTGCGGTAGAGGAAGATCTTTTGCATCGGGGTTTCTTCTTTCTCCCCTTTCTATAGTGTCCTCTACTCTTTCTTGTGGTTTTGTGCTTATTGATGTACATACCACGCCTTTATTTGATATCATAAGGCCTTCACTCCCTCTCTGTTCTTATCATTTCCTGTTTAGACCATCGCTGTACAATTGTATATTGCTTCAAGACAAATCACTCACGACTCTGGGTTGGATATTTGTTTTCGGCCTTGCCATGATTGGGCAGGTCCAGTAAGCCATCTTCCATGTCCTATAACATCGCCTCCGTACTTGGTTATGGAACATCTGCGTACACACACATAGCCAATTTGTTTCCCCAGAAGTAGAGTAGTGGTATTATGAATGAGTCTACTTTAGCAACGAAGAATCAAGCAGACGTAGGCAGTAGTTCTACCGACTTAGTCTGCAGCTTAAACCAAATCAAGCGTTTTGGGGAATCTAACTCATTTTTCATACCTTCTCGGTTTTTCTTTGGTATAGTAACTGCCTTAATTCAGTCCTAAGCATTCATATCACTCTAGCCTTCCTATAGCGTGCCTGATTCCCTCGCTTCGTTATGGAAGGTTGAGAGACCGCGATTCCCCGGCTAGCAATCACTAGATTCCTTAATAGTCTATTCTCACCTTGTACTATTTTTTCGAAGATCGAAGACGAGAGACTCCCAATTTGCGATAATAGAACAGCTCCAAATCTATCAGAAGACTTTCTGATACGTGATCAAATGCAGAGTTAATTCCACTACCTAGGCAACTTCTTCAAAGATGCATCAGGGCACGACAGTTCAATCGATGCAATAGAGTCTGACTAACGCTAGGCAAGGGCCGCGAGGCCCTCAAGACCCCAGGGGTCTTGACATCCTCGCAATAAAACGCAATGCAATTAAAGAAAGAAAGTGAGATAGCATACATCGCCTTCAATGCACGCAAACCAATAAGAGCCTACTTCCACTGTAAGCAGTTACAACCAAAATTTCTTCCATATCTCGAGTTGTTCCTCGGTGCCACTCCACTATTTTAAACCAGCTTCGGCACAATTTCAATCATAGTCAAGGGTCTATACCTTAAAGTCAAATTTGTGGACAGCGCAGAATCCTTCCTTAGTAGTTGGCTTTTCGAAGCGAGGCAAAAGGTCGAGAAAATGTAATCGCGGATACACGGGCCGATGCTCCTGGTTCATCTAGATCCAAAGCTCGTCAGTTCACATTAATACTCAACTCGAAATAATCAATACGCAGCAAAGGCCCGCCAAGTGCACGAACAGTATCATTGTGAAGCCATAAATCAGACGACGATGTGAACCAAAGTGCATGAGCTGAAGCTCCATATTTTACAGCCATTGATATCCAACTACTTCGAGATTTATTGTCGATATTCAAATCATCTAGCCTCGTTAGGGAACGAATGATGTTGTCCAGGTCAGCAGAGTTACAAACCGATCACAACCTGACCTTGGTTAGCGCTAGCAGAACCTGTTATGCTGATGCAGTAGTTACCGGAATTCCTTGTGTCATCGCTTCATCGACCGCGAGAATAAACGATTGCTGAGAATCATATGAGCGTGCGTCTCGTCTTATAAATCCACAATCTTGAAGGAAGCGGCGATAAAATGTGGATTTTCCTGCGCCAGGAGAGCCAATGAGGATAATCATCGATGTAGATTGAAATTGTGAGACATCCACTATAGGAATGACGATTAGGTTTGCTCCCTTACGATTCTATGTTAAATATTCCTGCCCCCATCCTCTCCCTCTTCCTTACCCTTCAAATTCCGCTCGGGATGGAACTTGTGACCTAGCGGTTTCGGGGCCGAGAGCAAGGGCTCGTAGCTTGACAGGTACGCTTTCATCCCACCACCGCCAATCAGTCACGTCCTTTCCGTGCAATGTTCCGGACTTGGACATGATGAGAGTTTCTTTCTAGGGGCATTCTTGTCAGAAAACGTGCTTGGAGGAGTCTCAATCAATTTGCATACCAAGTCAATCACCGCAACCTTTATGTTGTTTCGCAAATCGGTATTACTGTATACTGGCTCTAGTCCCGAACAACGACCGACAAGGAAAAAGCCTTCTGATCGATGGAGTGTCCAAGTCACCGGTAGTGCCATTATGAGTAACGCCTATTCGGATCCCGAGATACGGGGGAACGCATACACCAAGCTAGGTAGTCAATAGTAATGATTCGTAGGACTTCCGTACATGCTAGTACTGAGGGAACGAACTGAATGGGTTGATTACAGAACCATCCTGGAGATCGCTATTAGGAGCGTCTCATGGCCTGAGAAAAGCACTTGAAAACTGGCGACACGGGCGCCATTTGATATCCAAGAGGTCTTCTGTGTATAATTTTTCCTTTAATGAATCGGCCTTGAAGGGAAGAACCAAATTCACTTACTTATTGCTATAACTTTCAATTACTGTGAGGACGCCTAGGGAGCTGAGGGCCTAGAAGCCTTAGGTAGGTACATATAGGATGAAAAGGAAGGGAAAGACCAAAGGTGATTGAGAATGTTAACTTGCGAAAGTGGGTATCCTCTATAACCCCACAGAGTGGATCTCAGCGTATCTTAACTAAAGAGCTTCCGACTAACCTTAGAACTACCTAGGGGTTGATGACTGAGGCATAACTGCAGCCACATGCCCCCACAACACTGGTTTAAATTAACGTCCCGAGTCCTTGTAAATGAAATAGGGTCGAGAAAGACTCAGCAGGATATCAAGAAGATTAACAAAAGAAATGATCAACAGAACAGTATTTGTGTGTACAGTAATTATCGGGTTGTATGTCTCAACGAATTCACAAGATTTGATGTACATATCTTGACATATGTAGTTCCAGAAGCCTAATTTTGCACATTGTTAAGGGACTCCCAAAAATTGAAAATCGATACCTCATCCATCAGCGCATCAATGGCATCTTCGCCGATTGTTATTCCTGCCATAGGATCATCGGCTGGAAATTCTTGCATTGGAGAAGACTCAGATGCCAACTCAGGGAGAACTTTTTGAGCCACATAGTTTGGGAAAATGTAACGGATGGCTTCAAGAAAGATACCTCGGAAGACCGAGGAGCAGGGGTGGTTGTGTTGCATCTGTTCCAAGACTATCATGCAAACCTCAATCTTGTTGAGACCCAGACGTCGAGAAACGGGATCGGGGGATTTGCAGTTGAGGAGGTGGACATGCATTGCTGGGACTAACAGCGGTGGCCTAGAGTGATTGTCAGATAAGATAATATTTGCATGAGAATTTGCACTCACGTCATAGGACCTGAGAATCCCAACAGCTTCTCGTTTGCCAGATTATCAAGGATGGAATTGGTCTGTAGCGCAGCTATATTGATCTGATTTCGGACATGAGTTTGCCATGCATCCTGGCGAGAAGCGGGTAGCCCTTCCGGGGTCTTTGTGATAAAGGGGCGGTAAAAAGTGATTAAGAATGCTCTTTTGGTTGTCAGCAGCAGTTATATATGGATATGTTGTTAGCACTCACTGGTAATGAAGCTGCAAGTGATACAAGTAAAAGGTTGCAAGTGGACTTTGTCCCGCCTCTTGATATTCGGGAAGTTGGAAGCGCAAAATCTTTCGTTCAAGTGCTTCAACCTGCTGGAAGGATGGATCGGTTCCAAAGGGTTGGTAGCTCAAGGTAAGAGCGTCTCCCAAAAGCTGAGTGAGTTGGATCATTGTCACCCAGTAGTTTGCTAGCTGCGGCAGATCGCTCGGGACATATGCTGCCGATATGGACTCGGGTAATCCGACAAAATCACTCAATATATCATCTGTAGATGGCGGTACGGTGTTGCAGTCATTCATGTTGATTCTCAATGGACGGCCCATTGTGAGACTGAGCCAGCGATCTCGAAAGAAGCAGGTCCACCAGAGGCGCCGCCAAAGGCGCTGCTGTGATGCACTGATAGGTGAATTGGCACAGACCGCAGCGGAGAACCGATGTAGACCCATTGATTGGCAAAGGCTAATGGCAATACCAAGCCAAAACCACGGCTGGGTGTAGGTATCAGCCTCGGAGTGGTAAAATCCCAAGAGAAGTGCTGATTGAAGGAGAACTATGTGGTCCGTCTCACCCGCATTATGATGTAGGCACTAAGAATGGGCCATTAGAGAAGTGTAATTCGGGAATAGATCATATGTCAGCTTGCCTACCTTCGCGCGAGAGTACATGGATTCTTTCATCTCTTTCCTGGATGAAAACCCCTCTGATTTCCAAGTATCGGCCGGGACGTGCTATATCTGTGTTAACTAGATTGTCATTCCACTGAGGGGAGGTACGCCTCACATTAGCTGCAACATAGAAGATGCTCCATAATAATATCAGATTGTACGCTTGGCCATCTCCACTGGGGTAGAGGTATGGAAGTGTTGTAGCGTCAATCACTGGCATAATGGGATGCACATGATGAAAGTATGCCCGCAAAAGTTCATCGCAAGTTTCTTTTCGGGGCATATTGAAGACTCCCTTATACTGCAGGTACGCTTTATCCTCAGGAGATAGCGAGGCCGATGTTTTGGAAGTGAGCATGATATGCCTTGATAAAGGCTGCTGTGAAGGCGAGCATATATCAAAGACAGCACCGAACCCAGGCGAATCACCTTGATACTTTGGTTAGCTTAATATGGAAATACTCGTGCGGTGATTACAGACCAGTGTAGAAGGGCGCTTGGCCAGGTTTGTTATTTTTCCCGAGGACTTTGGTGGCGATTTCAACACCAGTCTGTTCTTCGTCCTGGCGCCCCTCTGGGGGATTAGAGACACTTCTCAAACCAGCTAGCTCAGGCCGATCTACATTATTCGAAAGTGGTGCATTTGGAAATGCATTAAGTGGAAGTGAAGACTGTTGTGTCAATGCATTCGAATCTGTGTGGGGCGGGCTGTTAACAACAGATGCAGTTCGACGTGTATGTCTCTCGCGTATGCTATATCTGTCAGCGATAAGCTTCTATTGATCTAGAAGAAAACCTCACGATTGGGTTTTTGTCGGCGGAACGTGACATTCTCTGCCATCTTGCGTACAACCTATACACGGGATACCGGTCACCGTCACGCTACAGCGCACTTTGCGCTGACGGCAATTTTGACAAGCAGCAGCCGATCTATAGCGGCGTGTAGACATGTCGAGTCTGGTTGCCAAGTATTGATGTGTCGGTCTGCCGAGAAGGTCGGGTCGCCGAATGTCGTCAAGTACTATTAACGTCATCCGAAATAGCCGAGGCCCAGCATTCTTTCCCGACAGTTCCGAGGTAAGATTTTTCTAAGGAATGTGGCTTGGATTTGGGCGAGAGAGGAGGCTACGTTCACTAAGAAAAAGATAGAACTATAGAGAAGAGAGGAAGAGAAAGTTGAGAGATCTATCTGCGCTACACAAGATGTCTGCGGTATATTTGTGGCCTGAGGCATCACAATTCTTGGTCCTACATTAAACGTATATTTTCCACAATAATAATCTTCAAACAATATATATTCTAGTTAGATACAAAAATCTCTATAAACCTCTATAGTAATTCAGGGTTACAGGATAGTAATTCCAGTAAAGGCCCGGTTCTCAGCGGAGTAAACCTTCTCCTTGTTTTTGCCATCCAGGTCGCACCGGTAGATAGATCCGCCCAGATCAGTGAGATAGATTAGGGAATTGGCGGAATCCAACTTCACACCGATGGCCTCGTTTAGACCCCTGGTGAGGATCTCATATCCTAGAGGGGAACTGGTTGATAGAGGGAGACCATCATCGCCCAACTTGGCTCTGTTCAGCGAGTTGCCCCACGGGAGTTCACCACGATCGGTCCAGTAAAGTGTGCTAGAAGCCTCGTGAACCTCAAGATCAATTGGCTCGGGAAGACCAGACTTAATGCACTGGATATCACCGCGAGTAATTGCTGACTGACCCTCGGGGGTTGCGATATCGGCGCAGAAGATCCGGCCCTCACCACCCTTCGAAGGTCCTTTCTGAGTCCAATAGAATTTACCTTGGCTTGGGTTCACGGCGACTCCCACGCACCAGGCGGAGACACGCTGCTCTGCGGTCATATCGCCGCCAGTGTTATCAATCAAAACCTCCAGGTTGGAGCCGTCGTAGGCACAGCGGTAGACTCGGCACCCTTCACGGTCACAGAAGTAGACGGTTTGCGCCACGGTATCAAGACACAGCTGTTTGGGTGTATCGATACTGCCTGGGGCAACAACTGTTTTGATGTCGGCTCCGTCCAAGTTGGCGGAGTAAACAGCGCCGTCGAGCTTTCCTGGAATGCCCATGGCAGTCCAGAACATGCGGCCAGAGTCTACAGCGAGTCCATCAGGTAAGGCTTGCCCTTTAATGATGGTCTTCTGTTGTTTGCCGTCTGCGGAAATCTGGAGGATCTCTCCTGATTTCATGCTGGGTGCGGCGGCTGACAGTCCAAGGTCCAACACCAAGATTTCGGGTTTCTTTGACTCAACCTTGGGAGGAGCCGGCTCGCTAGCAGGATAGAGGCCACCCTTTGAGCACTTTGTTCCGAGCTTTCCCTCGCTCAGATAGTTCTTCTTCAAAAAGTCGACCGTCTTCTCGGGGGAAAGTCCACGTTCCTCCACGTAGTGACCCTCAATGAAGGCAACGGTGTCTAGGCCAACATCTAAACAATGCTCTGTCAGCGAACAAATTCTCATGGAATCAAGGAAGATGGGCAAATATCTTACTATCCATTGTCTGGCAAGGAAGAGTTCCTGCTTTGACAAACAATTCACCCCACATCGCATCAATCTCGTCGGGAACTGAAACACCCTCGGCCAAGATGGTCAAGACTTCCCGCTTCACAGCAGCCCACAACCGATTGAAGATGAATCCAGTAGATTCCTTTCTTGCGACATATGGGTTTGTGGCAGCCTCCTTGCAGCGCTCAACCATGAAAGGGAATATCTCTGGGGTAGTGTGTCCATTGGTCATGAGCTCCACAATCATACACGCTGGTGGCATGTAATAGTGCATGTTCAGAACACGCGTCTTGGTGGAATCAGAGATCTGACCAATCATCTCGGAAGTCTTGTATGAGGATGAGTTGGAAGCCAGGATGCAGTCCTCCGGAGTGAGGGCCTCCAATTCAGCGAAAGTGGCGATCTTAAGGTCGAGCTTCTCGGGAACAGCTTCAATGACGAGCCAAGCATTTTCAACGGCTTGCTTCATATCTTCGACGGCTTCATATGATCCGGGAACTTGGTTGGTTTTGGCGGCATATGATTGAACATTTTCCTTAATGTATGCAATTCCGTCTACGCGCTGTTGCTCGCTGGGGTCTCGAATCTTAACATCGAAGCCGGCTGAAGCCCAGATACACCCTGATGCCAGAATTTTGTCAGCACTTCTATCTATCGAATACCACGCGGGATGGAATACGGACCTACTCGGCGGCCGAGTACGCCTGCACCAAGAATGGCAACTGTGCGGCTGCGGTAGTTGCGAGGAGGTTCCCAGTTTGATGACATGTTGTAAGGCAAGTAGATCGAGTGTAATTAAAAAAAGGGCAAGTGGTTCAAATGTAAGGCAAGCAGTTCAAGTGTAAAGCAGTCTAGTGATGTATTGGTTCAATCGCAGTGACGGGCGAGTTCCTTTTATGTCTCATTGCCATTTGCCATTGCTATTCCGTACATTCCTCGGAAGGATACATCCACTCTATCCGCTACTCCAGAAGTAACAAAGACAGATTGTCCCCGTCAACGAACACCGAGGAGTATCTATCTTGGTTCACTCCTCGGAAACTCCAGTTTCGGGCCGTGGAAACGGCCTAGATAAAGTTTGGAGGCGCCGCTAGGGCAAATGCTTAGGTGGATCAGGCCGATCTTTGTCTTAAATCTCGATAGAACTATGGAGGCAAATGCCGAGGTAGTGTACCTCGGAAGTTTCAGCCCCTGTTTGGACTTGAATGTTAATCAGAAAATCTTTATAGGATAGAAGGAATAAATAGCGCATTTATTTCTTAAAACTATAAAGCATTTGTCTCAAGTTCAGTGTCGCGCTAAAAGATATCACATCACTATCGATATTGCATCTTCCATACACAATGGCACCCTTGAAAGAATTCAGCGCCAGCGAAGTGGCTACTCACAACTCAAAGAACGATCTTTTTGTTATAATTCATGGAAAAGGTAATCTTTCTCCCTTCCTCAACTATCTTGTTCAATATTCTGACATGCCCAGTCTACGATATCACAGGCTATGTGCGAGACCACCCCGGTGGTGCGGATGTGTTGCTAGACGTCGCCGGTACAGATGCAACATCTGCATATGAGGATGTCGGTCACTCAGAGGATGCAAATGAGATCCTGGAGACATACCAAATCGGTACTGTCAAGGATGCACACGAATTTGTCCAGCGCAAGGTTGTTCGTGTAATCAAGCCAACCTCTTCCGCTAGAGAGACACCAAAGAAGTCATCGACGGTCCTCAAAACTGCCACTACAATTACTGCCACACTTGCTGCTTCTGCACTGGTCTACGTCTCTTCCAAGAATCACCGAGCCCTGACTGAATTCATCGCAAAGAACTCCCCGACCTCCCTACACATCCCCGAGGTTCGCATTCCATTTGCAAGCCTTCTGCAGGGTGGATTTATGACTGGAGTCACTGCTGCCACCCTGGCCTGCGCGTCTATTGGCGGTGCTATCGCAGTCAAACTCTCAAAGTTCACCGAAGTCGAGTCTGGTTTCACAAAGTACCGTCCGTACATCAAAGCTTCGACAATGAAGAAGCTGGACCCACACCTCGTGAAGGGCTTCCTCGAGCCCAAGACCTACAAAAAGCTCCCTCTTCTTCAGAAAGATCTATTAGCCCCCAATGTGTACCGCTTTGTCTTCCAACTGCCCAATACACGGGATGTGATTGGACTCCCAATCGGCCAGCACGTTGCTATCAAAGCAATGGTCAACGGTGCTGCTGTCTCGAGGTCCTACACCCCGACGTCCAATAACCTGGATCTTGGGAAGCTGGAGCTTGTCATTAAATGCTACCCCGATGGCCTTCTGACCGGACAATACCTCGCGTCTTTGGAAGTTGGCGACAAGGTGGAATTCCGTGGCCCGAAGGGCGGCATGAAATATCACCGCGGCCTTTGCAAGAAAATTGGTATGATCGCCGGTGGAACCGGAATCACCCCGATGTACCAACTTATTCGCGCCATTTGTGAGGATGATCGGGATACGACCGAAGTCAGCCTGATCTATGCCAACCGAAGCGAAGAGGATATTCTTCTTCGTCGCGAATTGGAGGCTTTTGCTCGAGGATATCCCAAGAACTTTAAGCTCTGGTACATGCTTGACCATCCTTCTGAAAACTGGGCTTATGGCTCGGGATACGTTACACCAGAAGTCATGGCCGCGAGGTTGCCTGGGCCAGCACCTGATACTAAGATCATGCTTTGTGGACCACCAGGTATGGTGAATGCTTCGAAGAAGGGCTTGGTGGCTGCGGGCTTCAAGGCTCCTGGCGCCGTCGGAAAGATGAGCGACGAGATCTTCTGCTTCTAGATTGTTTCTGACTATATACTACCTGGTTGTTCCGTGTTTATAGATTGTGCTGTATATTATAGCTATTTTTGAATTCAATGTGTTTTTACTTTGATATATTTCGAACATGATAGATTTTGGAGAGTATAACAAGTCATTCAAAGTCTGCAAAGTATTTTTGCTTAGGATCTTAATCTGAAAGTTGCGGCGTTGAAAATGAGCAATAACTTATACATTGCTGCTTATTTTTAATAAACGAATCTGATTCTGGTATAGTATACACCGGGAATATTTCATCTTAACATAATATGTGTGTGTGTGTGTGTGTGTGTGTGTGTAACTAGACTAACTGGGGTTTACTACTTGTAGAGTTAGAGGATCTTTGATAATCCCACAGCCCACAAAATCACAAGGTATCTTTTATTGTAGAGAAGGCAAGATGAGAGATAAATATGACCGAGACACGCAGAAAGACAGATAGAGAGATAGAGAGAGAAGGTCAATCCAGGAGAGGAGTAAATTTACTATCTGCCTTAGGCAGTAAGACTGCCTCGCATATTACTCGTATGTCTATTCATTCTAGGACTACGAAGTAGTCCTCTAGACTTCTAGACCTCCTCAGGGGTAAAGGTAGTAGGAAGAATAAACAAGATTTTTCTTCGCCCCCACATCCCCCATCATATCGAATATTCTATAGAATCCTATGCCTTCGGGAAGTGGATTTCAAAAGCACGTCAATGGACGGGATATTTCAAATCCTGCTAAATTCACCTATTTTGAGCTCCACAGTGGAGACCTATATAGATACCGACATAATTTCCGACGATGAATCATGTCTAATCTATTGAAAATCCTATCTGTATCTCGTAGATCACCGAGGGGACATCCATGAAATAGTCTTTCCGAGGTATACAGGAGATCTCCGAGGAAGGGCTAAGCCAATCGGAAAGGTCCATACTGACCCACAAGCCGAGGAAGCAGCATCCCGAACTATGAAGCGGCCGGGATCCCGTCTTGATGACTATTGCGCAGTTGATATATAAGTTTGCATTCCTAGATTGAAGTGATCAGGACAACAAGCACTAAATCACAATGCCTGCAAAGCAATTTTATCTCCTTGGAGAGTCAGTCTCCTCCGCTAGGAACATCGATGTCGACACAACAGGTGATCTGGTTGCACTCAAGGACTTGATTGCAGCTCACTTCGCAATCGTTGAGCCAAGTGGTAAGTTTGAAAAATTGGTTCCTTCATGCCTTAATGTCTAACATGTGTGATAGGTATCGATTTCCAAGCTGAAGACCTCCCATTGAACGAAATCTCCGAAATCACTTCGGCCAACACTCCCATAGCCATCACCATCGATGGAAATGCAGTCCGTGATGCTCCAGGCCCGAAGGGTCTCCCCTATGTTGGAAATTTCTTCGAAGTCTACCCAGACCACCTCGGCAACCACCAGCGACTCTTCGAACAATACGGCCCAGTCATCAAGACAACAAATCTGGGCCGCGTAACCTATCAAACAAATGATCCCGCCATCTCTGCGATCGTCTTTGCCGAGTCTGACTTTTTCACAAAGAAGATCAACGAGGCTCATCCACTCTACCCCCTAAAGCAGCCCGAGGCCGGTGTTTTCCTGGGAGATACGGATACTCCCGAGTGGAAGGTTGCTCATAAGTTTTTGCCGCCGGCTCTCGGTCCCAAGGCTGTTCGTCACTATGCACCAACAATGCAGAAGACAGTGGAGGATGCCTTCAAGGTCTTTGATGAATTTGATGAGCGGGGCGAAGCCTGGAATGTTTATCAGTATATGCTGAAGCTCGGCGCTCAAGCAGTTGGAAAGCTCACGCTTGGCTTGGACTTCCAACACTTCTCATCTCCGGACGCACCGATGCACGAGATGGTGCATTTGATTGCTGGAGTTCTTTCTCTCAATAAGAAAGTCTCGTCCAAGGGAGATTGGTATGCTAAACTGCCATTCGGTGACCCTAAGCGCCTCAACGACTACAAAAACAGAGTTGAAGAGATCGTGACTGAAACAATTAAACAAGCTGCCAGTGGTGGCATTGAGGACTTGCCACTGCAGGATGCAGCGCTCAAGGCGTCTAACATGATCGGTAAGTGGCTATCATACATCACCCAGTCGGCTTCTCATATTCATGGATACTAACAAACGTTTCAGATTATGCCGTCCGCGCAACCGATAACAAAGGCGAGAAACTACCCAAATCAAGCTTGATCTGGGCTCTCGTCGTCGCAACCGGAGCTGGCTTCACAACCACCAGTTCCCTTCTTTCCTGGCTCATCTACGGTCTTGTCACCTACCCTGGTATGCAAGAGAAGCTGCTTCAAGAACTCATCGACAATGATATCGATGAGAACACCGAGATCACAGCAGATGTCACCGATAAACTCGATTTCCTCGATAAGTTCATCAAGGAGACCCAGCGTCGCCACAACCCAAGTTTCCAACCTGGCCGAACCGCCAAGATTGACCTTGTGCTTCCCGGAGGATACAAAATCCCCAAGGACGCGGTTATTCTCCCCGCGCTACACCACATCCACAACAACCCCGATATTTGGGATAACCCCAATCAGTTCAACCCTGACCGCTGGGACACTGATGAGGTCAAAAACAGACACAAGGCTGCGTATATCCCATTCGCTATGGGCCCACGCATGTGTATTGGATTCAACTTTGCCTTGCAGGAAATCAAGGTTTTCATCCCGAAACTCCTCTTCCGGTACAAGTTCATTCGGGAGGGTAATGAACCCATCGAGTATGATCCCATGTTCCAGTTGATTCGGCCTAATAACCTCTATGTTCGCACGGAGCGGAGAGTGAAATGGCCCCCGAAGACCGAGACATCGGGAACGGAGGGTGTTTGAGAGAATTCCGGCATGTGATTAGGTAGCGGGAATTATTTTTTTTTAGAATAGAGAAATGTATATTATTTCGTTTATTTCGTTTATTACAGAGAACTTCCCATCTACCAAATTAGCAAACTAGAGGCTTTTCCTCAGGCGTAAAAGAGAATTCCCATCGTACATTACCATTATGTAGAAATTTAACAAATACTATACGCCTAGCAGATGGAAGACTTAGTCTCCGCGATGGATATGTCCAGCACTACTAAATAAAACTCAAGAAAATGCATTGAGGTTAGAAAGGGATATATATCTCAAGAGACAAAACGAGTGAGATGGAGGCCCGGTAAATATATAACGAGTGGACATAAGTTCAAGTTCTTTTACACTTTCCAATAGCTCTAGACAACCCCCTCCCCCTAATTTTATAATATTCTACTGATCAAAAACCTCCATAAATAAATTCATACATGAAATCTAGCTTCCACTCGGTGCGGCATCGTCCCAAAGAGGTGCTCTACTGCGCAGTAGCTACTAGACTTTCCTTTGTAGTGTCATTATTCCGCATATGCAGGAGATCAGGCCGAAGCTCAAATTTTAGCTTTCAGTAACGTCTAGAGGGTTTCAACTGGATCCAAATCAGGAGAATAAGGACTCATTCCATAGCCTCAATCTACATCCCAGCCAATGCACCCCGTACGATGTACACGGTATGCGTCGAAGCATTATCATGTTGTAAAATACTATCTTGATTCACAAGTAAGATACGTAGGAGCCGGCGGTATAGCTCCTTGATAGCTAGGCCCGTAACCCATGGACACCAGCATCAGGGTTCCCGAAGAGCGGGATAAGCCCCGTACGCCGGGTAGCGCCAGAAAATGCAGCCCAAAACATCTGCTTCACTTGCTTCCCCCGTAAGGGTTTTCCTTGACAGTCTTTCTCTTGGCTGATCTCGAGGATATATAAAAGTCCATTCAGAGCGTACACCAATTCCTCGCTCATCCGTACACTTATCAGACCAGGCCCAACCCTCAGGTGTAAAGTGTCGATAGCGGAGTGCCCAACGAAGGCTTTTCAGCGCATGTTCCTCCTTAAGAAAGGGGCGCCAGCTACATCGCCATTTAGTAAGTTACCAGCATTTAAAAGCGCTGTATAGAGCGGTATTTAACCTTAAAATTAACCTCGGCAAGGAGGTCTTCGGCCGTGATCTCGGGTCTCCATGGATAGCGTCTAAGATCCAGTCTTTACCGGCTTTTTCGGTCTACCAGATCGCGGCTTTGACACGCCATCTCGTCGCTCGCTCTCTTTTTTCACGGTATATCGGATTGTAGAGAGCGGGATGGTGGGATAGCGGGTATGGATGCGCTTATACCCCCATCCAATAGCATGAAGCTCGCATATACGCTCACGTATAGCAGGTGTAAGCTCTTTGGACCGTCCCACCATGGTAAAAGGTAGTAGGCAGGGTATAGAAAGTGAAAGGTAGTAATTTCAAAGCAGTTTTAAACCGAAATGCAGATTCGCGTGCTATTTTAGCGTGGTTTGATTATACGCGTTTTAGGTAGGCGGTGTAGATTATACTGGGGTTGAGTTATGTGGGGTTATAGAAGGAGGGTGTAAGAATATATGTCCACTGATGTGCTAAAGGAAAGGTATGATGAAACAAAGGCTCAAAGGCACCAAACTGAAGACATGTGCAATAAAAACGATAGTCCCTGAAGAATGAAGCTGATAATCCCCAGTAATCGAAATTGTGGAAAATTGAATTATCTCATCTCATCTGATCGTCTTTTTTTCATTGAGTAGTAGAAATGACAATATTATGACTCTGAAGTAATAGGTTTTGCCTCTGATGATGCCGGCGCATCATTTGTAGCTGGCTCCAAAGCGGTACTTTGTGGGCGCCACTTGGTGAGGACTTTGCCCGCAGCAGGTCGGGATTCCTCGTCTGATCGCCGCATGTTAGATATATAATACCAGTGGATATTAAAGAAAGGGTACACTTACAAGTCTGGTAGACATCCTCTACTGTGTTCAAGCACATCTCTCGTGCTGGAGGTCGGAACATGATCAGGTACCTAAAAGAAAGTCAGCAAGGGGGTTATTGATAGTGGGAAGAACGGATGATGACATACATCAATGATTGAACACAAAGGTTCACACGTTCTGGATCTTTGGCCAAGCTGGCCACCCGTTGAGTGATGGGAAGCGTGATCTCAGGAACTTCACTGAGGAAGCGGACCAGCACCTTGATATCCCGAGAGTCCAAATAAGCCAGGAAGCCATCCAAAAGTCGGGTGGCCCAGGTATCGTAATTCAGAGCCACAATTGGTTCCGAGTCTTCTTCGGTATCATCACGCTGATTAGCAGCACTCTTCATTTGGATCCGGTCATTATACCACTCTTCGTTGAGCCAGATAATGGCAATGTTAAGTCGTCCTCGGAAATCTTCCAAGATGAACCGATAGAGCGTCTCGCGGATCGAGTCAGCAATAGTTGTTTGCTTGCGGACAGCATCACCCTTGGTTTGCGGGTCATTTTCGAGACCGGCAGGAGCCCGTGTAGCCAAGCGAGCAAGGAGAACAGACCATGCGTCTCGGTCAAATGTACTGCCTGCTAACCTGGCGAATCCGAGCTTTTGTTGACTTTGGCCTTTGGCGGGTGCAGGTGATGTTTCGGCTGCGGTCAACATGCCAAACACGCGTGCAACCGCACTGCGTCCGATTTCCCCAGCCTCTTCTTCGCTCAGTGGAGGTGGCTGTGGCAGGACAAAGGGACCCAGTGAGACCAATTCTGGTTGAAGATCAGCTACCTCCGCCGCAACTGCACTGGCCTCTTCCGAAACAACGGATGCTACATCCATGGGCTGATATTCGGGCTCATAATCGTCGTCATCATCTTGGGCAGCTGTTCTCTGTTGCTGCTGCCGTTGCAAGTTTTGATCTTTGGTGATTGTCTGATATCGAGTTCGAACAGCCTAGAGCAATGTCAGCAAAGAATAAGGCATCGCTCTCATGGTGATACTTACATCGACAGCTTGTGAAAGTGTTGAATCATGTACTTGCGACAAGAGAGGTACGACAATCTTGAGGACTAGGTCAATTGGTAGCTGTTTTACATCAAAGGAGGACAGTCCCGTGTCCTCAGTCAAGGTAAAGAGCCGATCAAAGCTTGCAGGGCCCGGTGCCATTGGAGGAATTTTAAGAATTGGAGGAGGCAAAGCATTGAGACGTGCCCGCTTAGCGTTGTCAAGCCCGTCGGTAGGTTCATTTGGCAATCCACGTTTCCGCGAAGCGTCGTCGGTCGCCTCAAGTCGTGATTGCATTAATCTTTCAATATACATTTGCATCCGGCCTGCCAGGTGGTGATTCGGGTTCCTAGGAAAGTTAGGTCAAACCACATCTTTTGCAACTAGGATGACAACATACTTTTTCAAGATATTGATGAGCAGAGCTCGAGCTGTACGCTCCATAGACTTGACGCTGACGCGAGTTGTCGGGGTGAACGGAGGGCGGACGTGTTTCGTGGGATAGAACTCTAAAACTGCATTGATTATCTTGTTGGCTATGGACTGGCGAGTCCGGATGAGAGGGGCAAGACAGTTCAAGGTCGCATTCACAAGGAGAGCATCACTGGGATTGTGTTAGTGGCACACTAAACTCGTGGAGTAAGTTGGTTCTGATACCTGATCTCTTCCTGGAAAACGCCGAGTAGTCGATCGAGAAGACCTGAGGATTCCGCTTCTAGGTTTGGTATGGACAGAACAGCATGGTTTCGGGGTACAACAGCCAAAGACGTCTCATTCTGCTCCGGTCGCTGATCAAAGTTAGTACATATAAATCCAAGTCTTCTAACTCGCAAACCATACCCTGGGGTCCGAGATCAATCCAGGCGTCTGGACCTGAACCACGCGCTGGATGAACTTGACACAGCAAAGCTTAACCGGGCATGGGAAGGTGTCCATTCTCCTAAGTATATCCTGCTTGATCGCACTCATCGTCTCCCATGACTTGCCGTCTTGTGGGTGGTTCACTCTGTAGGTGTTGTTAGCTCTGCAACAAGTGTTGGTTTGGGGCGCATTCGTGCGCCGCGGCCACGAAAGCTTGAGAATAACCTACACATGTCTGAAGACGAGAGGATACAAGCTAGCTGAAGTCTGCACTAAGCTCTGTAAGACCGCTGTGTCTGTCTCCGGCAACTCTAAAATCTCCCGGATTGTCTGCAAAACATTCGGTGCCAGCTGCTCCTTCTGCGCGACAGCTAGCATTGGGCTAGCAAAGGTTTCTGCCAAGAAGCTTGCACCCCATCTTCGCAATTCCAGCCGTGTACTAGCTCCAACAATAGGAAGGATACCGTTAACAATCTGCGGGTAGAAGGCGGCATCACCGAGGACGAGGCTACGGGCAGCGTTCAGCTGGGCAACCTGGTCGACGACATTGTCCATTGGCTGAGCCATTGTAACTCTAATGTAAAGGGATCTGGTACGTGACGGTCGTGTAGGATTCGAGTTGGGAGACTAAGTGTTGGGGGAAAGGGAGGGTGTTGGTAGGCGAACGGGGGACACGGACGCGGTTGCAAAAGCAATGCGCATAAGCTAAGGGATGTGATCGCAAAATGAGAAAATAGCGGCGGATCAACACCAAGGTTGGAGATGATAAGTGGTTATGCGATGGGTGGTGAAAGAAGGGCGATTGGGAAGTGAGGTTGACGGCCGTCGAGGATGCGACAAAAGCTGCGAAGCCTGAAAGCCGGCCGACAAAGACTCCGATGTATGTGAGCTGCGTATCTCTCTATGCAACTCGATTGCCTAAGCTAAAAAGTCTCTGCTTCAACGATTCGGAATTGTATTCAACCAGTGTCTCAATTACAATATAAAAAAATCTCAATGTAATATCAATAGAAACATCTAAATCCACGTTGTCTGGGCCTCCAACGCCAAGACTTTTCCTCCGGCTCTGCCTGTATGGCCTCAGCTTTCTTATCACTCACGTCTCCGTCAACGAACACTCTCACCATGGCTACCGGAATGTATGTATTGACTTTATGTACTCGGAGAGACCTCATCTTGCTAAAATCATACTTCTGCCACAGCTTCAACTCCACCTACTACGGCAAGGACTATCGCGCCGGTGCCGCCCTTCTGCGCGCCCGCCGCCCATATCTGTTCAAGAATACCCTTACAGGCTTCGGACTGTTCGCATTTACAATTGCAGTCTGTGAGTAGACCCTATCGCGCATACCGATGTTCTGCTTCAACCCTGTCCCTATTTCCGAACCGTGGATGATCATGCCACCAGAACTTGCCCGCTGAGAAGTCTCCATGCGGGCTCGATATCTCCAATAAATACGACCTCGTGCTAATATGGCTTGAATTTCCAGATACCTACACCCTCAAGGCTGTCGGCCAAGAAGAGTTCGCCGACGTCAAGGTCCCCGATGCCCCCGTGGACAAGAAATGAAGCACGCTCAATAACCACCGGTACTTGGTGATGGGTTGACGCTGCAATTGGGGGTTCGGAGTCTTCAGGGAGACCTTGTTTTTTTAGATCTGCAGGATTAGCGATAATATCAGCATGTGTGCTGCTACATACAGAAAGAATTGGCTTGGGTTATAGCCTGTACAATGAATTTGGGCTACGGATGCCTATCATATCTTCGCAAGCAGTGTGCTGCTGTGCTTTCTATATGCACTCCTAACTCCACAGAAAGACCGGCCGTTCTAACATCGAATCGCTAATATTACGTAGGTAAAGTTGACAGAGTGATATGATAGCCTCCCAAGAAGGAAGACATTGATATATTTCTAGGTGGCTAGAACTAGAGTATATTCGGTATGGTTTTAACGCACAGTACAAAGGGCCTGCTATGCCAGAGCGAATCATAACAGCCAACAAGACAAGAAAATGCAGAACGAATCTAGAAAACAAATCTCTACTCGGTTCGCAGAACACGAGGACCCTTATGCTTGGGGACACGCTTGCGCTTGAGGCCCTTGTCAAAGGCAACTGCGTTGCTATGATCACGGCCGAGGTTATCCAAGTCCTTGACCTTGTAGAGACGAACGATCCAGTTCTCACTAGTGAAAGCCTCTTCCAGTGTGTTAAGCTGGGGACTTTCCTTGGGAAGCTTTGTGCCACGGACACGGTCCATGGCCTGACCGGTCGGGAAGAGCGACTGGTAGTTGTGGTAAGACATTTTGTACCTGTTAATGGATTAGCAATGACTTCAGAAAAATAAAACGTGGGGTACTTACATCAAGCTGTTCTTCATGGCGGGAGTGGCCTCCTCATCGACACGGTACTCACCACGAGCGGTGAAGTAGTCGCGCTCCTTGATCTCATCTGGCCAGATACCCTCGGCAATACGAACCATCCAGAGGAACTTATTCAGATCGTCGCCGGAGTAGCCGAGCAGTCCACCAAACACAACGAGGACGTAGTCAACATCATGCTGTCGTAGAATGGGGTAGCTCACTTCCTCGCGTGAGCTCATTGCCTTGCCAACAGTGGCAATATGGGTGTTGTTCCAGGTGTTGTTGTCAACCAGAGTGGGGCGGTCAGCCATACCACCAATCTGATATCCATAATCCCACCAGGACATGATCTTGGCATTGTCCGGGGTGTTCTGGCGGAGCCAATAGTAGGCCTCACGATAGTCATCGATGATGAACTGGCTTCCATCAGGGAGCTTGCTGGCCAGAACCACGGAGGGGGAGGAGTATGCGTTGGAAGTAACCCAGGTGCAGTGTGCAACAAACAGAAGCAAGTAAAGAGAGACTGAAGCTACCACGACAGACTTGGAAAACCAGGAGTAGATACCGACAACGGGGTTCCTGGTTGACCGGAGTGACTTATCGTCCGTGGTGGCCTTAACCTTGGTTTCAGTGCTCGGGGTCGGGGGAGTTGACGCGACCAGGAAGTTATCAAGGATGCAAGACAAGGCCAGAGCAGCCGCAACACAGACGATGGGGGTCAAAGTCAGCATCAGACGGACCATAACGCCGGCGAAGTAACTAGCAAGGACTGAGTAGATGACCACGAAGACATGCTCATCCTTAAGTTTCTGGAAGCACATGAACACACCGGCCGGGAACAGCCAGATAAGGAAGTTCAGGTCAAAGAAGAAGGCAGGCCAGGCGGTGGGCTGGTGCTCAGAGACGGAGGCAATAATTGGAATATGAATCTTGGCGTATCCGGTATCCCACAGAGAGTAGAAGCGACCACTCCAGGGAGCAATGACCCCAGAGACTGACAGCAGGACAAGACCACCGAATCCAAGGCCGAACGTAAGCAAGACCATAGAGGTGAGGAGCTTCTGAAATTGCTTGCCAGGCAGGTAGCCTCGGATGAACTCGGCAAATGCCACCAATTGGATCAATCCAAAGACGCCTATCAAATAGTTAGAATAAGACAACAGTATGTATGGCTAAGAATGCAAAGTATTACCAAGTGCAGACATGTGGTCACTGTTGCGAATGGGCAGGAAACCGACGAAGGGGATCTGCATGCTTCCCAATGTTCCCAGGGCATACCAGGTGGTGTAGCTGATATAGACACGGGTGCTGTATCGGCCCATGCACAGAAGAACAAAGACATGGAGAGGGATCAGGTTGGTAATGAAGACATATCCACCCCAAGCAGAAACCATGTATCCATAGAACAATGCAGTCAAAGCTCCCCACATGATTGAGCCGTTTTTCACGGCCTTGATCCACAGGTAGAATGTGAAAACCAACAGGAAAATGGCAATGGCTTCATTATCGTAGCTGCCTGCCACAGATCGCGAGATGTAACCGGGTGTAATTCCCATGAAAGCAGCGGCCAGGAGACCTGCGGAGGGAGAGTCGGACATCTCAGAGGTCAGGAGATACATCGCCAGGGCTGTTAGTCCAGAGAATCCGGGGGCGAGCATGACACAGATGTTTCGAATGTCGACGGGGATGGTAAGGAGACGAAGGATGTGGTAGATCACGCCGCTAGTGACCATCAGGCCAGGGTACAGTGTACCACCAGTCACACGACCAAGAGGGTGCCATGTTCCTATAGCACGAGAATTTCCATTAGCACAATGCCATTTATACTGCCATGTGGAGGACATGCAATCACGGGGAAGGGGCCTCACGGTCATCAAACCAATCCCAGAAGCTATAAAAGCCATTTTCGACCAAGTATTTTGTCGCACGGAAGTTAAACCACGGGTCGACTAGAGTAATACAGTATCAATATCTCATTTGTATGTTCGGGGGACTGTCGAGGTGGCCGCATCTAATGCAGCAGCGCAAGGAAACCATACATTCGTGGATGATACTTTCAAATCCTAGAAGATAGTCAGCATACTGGTCATAAAAGAACTCAATTGAGACTTACTAATAACACTAAACAAGCGGCTGGACACCGCGGCGGCGGCAATGGTACAGAGAATGATAACCCGCAATAGACCGCGCGTATTCCGGCCGGAGCTGCCTTTCAGCACAACATCAAGGGAAGACGGGGCCATAATGGCCTTGAAAAAGGAGCAAAGTCCAGAGTCAGAAATTCAAAATAGAAACATGAAATCAAGGAATGAATTGGGCTGAGGTGCCAGTGGTGAGGGCCGTGGGGAGTGATGGGAAGAACAAGAGCTGCGCAAGGTGGTCACTTCTGAAGGTCTTGGCACCGGCGAAAGGCGCCACCTCCGATTGCTCCCCGCAATACTACGACTCATCATTAATCTTTGCTTAGATCTTTTGACTAACTTTTGAACACAATATACTTATCACTGTTGAGTCCATCAATATCACCACAGCAAAACGAGCGATTTCCAATCCATCTACACCTCACATACCCACATGGAGCCGGCTTCGCTGACCATAGAGCAGCTCTCACAGCTGGTGGTTTCCAATGCTCCACCGTCACAGCTCTTTGAGGCCCTGTCGCGATATGAGCTTCAAGCATGTATCATTTCTACCGGAGTTGGCAGTCACAACACAAGCAGTAGTGACTCTACACTATTGAGCCTGTTCTACTCAAGCTTCTTTCTTGTGCATCTTCTTACCGACCAAGTGTTAGTTGTTTAGCGAAAGTGCTATTGATGGTTGCCACAATGCTAATAAATCTCGGGCCCCAGCTCTGAAGCTCGCGCCTTAACGAAACGAATTCCCGAAGCCCTGCTGCAACAGGATCCTTCTTTACAGAACTGCTTGACTTTACTGCGTGCGGTATGGCAGACTGAACACGGCCAGGTCTACCAGGTACTCCGAGGGCTACCATGGCCAGAAGTTTTGCAGCCGCTGGTTCAGAGATATGAAAGTATTTTTCCCCTGACAACAATCTTCTTTCAACTGGATCTTGAATTGACCAATTATTCTACAATTAGGTTTCTTCCAAGACAAGACCTTGATCGCAGTGAGCAGGTCCTACGAAGCCATACGACTTGCTACAGCGGCAACCTACCTTGGTCTTAACGAAGAACTCGCCAAACAGGAAGATTCAAACATAATATCAAATTTCACGAAATGTGGATGGACTTGGGATCTGGAATCAAAGCTGCTGCATCCCAAACCTATCGTCGTATCGCCCGCGGAGCCTCAGTCCTCTAACGGGATTCGCAAGGCAATGGCGATGCTGGGAACGCGTGCGGCTTAACTTTGCTCAGAAATCCGAAGAATACAAGTTATTTAATAGATCCGATCCGTCCGAGGACTGCGCTGTACACGGGTACGTCCTCTCTCCGGGGTATGGAGATGTGCGGACCGATGAACATCGAAACCAAGATTGGTTTGGTACGTACTAGGGCCATTGGTAACGCCGGAATGCATAACACGATCTTTTGCTCTTGCTTGTGGTCCAACTGTAGTGTACAGGCGCACGACAGCCCAGGGTATGTACAGGACCCAGATAAAACGTCTAAAAATGAGAAACAAAAATCATTCCATCTTGCGCTCGCAATGCCATAGCTCGAGGGCAGATAAAACCCAAACAATCGTACAATAAAATGGAGCGGAGTCGAGCAAATCGCGTCTAATACCCTGGGCGAGGTGCGATTCCCGCAAAGAGATCATTGCGTAGCATCCATTCCTCCTCTATACCATCCATCACCTTTTACTCTCCAGCCTTGGCCTTCAAGAACGCCTCCAGGTCGAACTTGGGATCCTCGAAATTCGTGATAACTATGGAGTTTGGATTAGCACTTGAGGTTTCTAGAGATATGCGGCGACTCCGGATGTCGTTGTATGTATCCGAGTCGTATCATCGGAGGGAATTGGAGAAGATTGAACGTACGTCCGCTGGTTTGTGTCTTGATCTCTTGCTGGGGCTGGGTCTTCTTCCTGTATTCGGCCTTGGCCTGCTCGATCAGGCGCTCCTTGCGGGCATACTCGTGCTCGATCTCTGCGCGCTTGGTCACCGAGTTGAGGGAGGACTGGTGGTAGACACCGTAGACAAGACCGGCAACGAGGGCCGAGTAACGGAGGACCTGTAGGTTTGTAGACGTGGTCAACAACCGTCGGGGGAGAGGAGAGGATAACCCTTAGCCGGTACTCACATTGACACCCTGGCTAGCCATTTCTGCGAGGTTTCCGGAAGACGGGAATTAAATGAGGGAATAAATTGTGTTAGAAGGAGGGACCGTGCAACAGGTGTCAACCGTCAATGGCAATGAATATCCTGGTTAGTCAAATGGCGAGGTTCAGTTCATGTTCTGCGCGCGCGAGTTTTTCCGGACCGCTCCAGGAGTTCCCGAAGACGGAGCTTAGTCATCCCCGTAAATAAACCCGCAGTGGAAGTACACTTAGACGCGGACGCATCTGGTCTAACCATTTTATGATTGTACAAGATGTCGATGCAGCAGCGCAAGGATGAGATCCTCGCGAAGCGGGCTAAGCTTGCCGAGCTCAAAAAGCAGCGCGAGCTCCGCCAGAAGGAATTCACATCTCGAACCAGCGTCGGGGATGCTTCAGAGGTAAACGCGGCATGTGAATGAATTATGGAGCTAGTCCAGGCCTAACAACTTAACCAGATTATTTCACCAATACCAAGCCGTGCAGATACCAGACACGATCTTGATGACTTGATCTCTCGCTTGGTCGACCGCCCAGCTTCGGCCTCCCTCAGTTACGGCGCCGATGGCCCGTCGCGGATAGGAAGTCGACCAACCTCCGTGGTGAGCGCGAGCCAGTTAAGCGGGGAGAATGCAGATACATATGCCACTCTATCGCGACCACAATCCCAGTCCATTGCCGTCCAGACAACCGATGAGCCATGGATTTACTCTCCAACGGAAGCCCCACAGCCCCCTGAACGTGAACCCGAATACAAATCCACACCCAAACCGGAAGTTGTCACCTATAGCAAGGCCGTGCAAACAGATGGACTAGATTTACAGCCCGAGACCCCCGAGGAGTCTGTTGCTTCGGACGATGAGGAGTCACCTGGTACTACGCGATCGAGCAAGCGTCTTAGTCGGCGAGACCGGGAGCGAGACGAGGAAATCAGACAGAAGCTTCGCAAGGAAATTGAGGAAGAGCTTCAAGCTACCAAGCAGGCCGATAATAATGAGAATACAGCTGCACAATCCTCGAAGCTGCGGTATCCCCTGCGCAAACTCGATGACGATGAGCTGAAAGCAGTCACATCCTCGGACGACTTCCTAGACTTTGTGGAACGCTCTTCGAAGGTCATCGAGCGAGCTTTAGACGAAGATTACGATGTACTGGCAGACTATGAACTGGGTGGAATTGATGGGCATCTGCAAGAAGACGAGGAAACCGGCAAGAAAAGGAGAGGAATACAAGAAGTGTGCCATTTCTGGGACGAACGATGGAGCAAGAATCGCGTTATCAGTGATCTAAGCTTCTCTCCCAAGGCAAGCGTCCTACCTCCAATAAATCTACTTTGGCTCATGCTAACATCTACCCCAGTTCCCTGAATTGTTGCTTGCATCATACACTAAGAATACTTCGGCTCCTCACGAACCTGATGGCCTTGTTCAGATCTGGAATCAGCACTTGCAATCTCGTCCGGAATATGTGTTCCACTCGACATCCGACATCCTCACCGCAAAATTCTCTCCCTATCACCCAAACCTTGTTGTTGGAGGCTCCTATTCGGGCCAGGTGCTTGTATGGGACACTCGTTCCTCGCGCGCCGGTGGAGGCTCTCCAGTACAAAAGACCCCTCTGTCAGGTGGCGGACACGCCCATCCCGTTTATAGCATCTCGATTGTTGGCACACAGAATGCACACAATATCATGACCGCCTCCACGGACGGTGTGGTCTGCGGTTGGACGATGGACATGCTCTCTTACCCACAAGATCGTGTGGAACTGACTACACCACCCCCATCCAAGACCGAAGATCTTGCTCCAACCACCATGTCATTCCCTCACTCTGATCCTACGTTCTTCATCGTCGGCACTGAAGAAGGAGTCATTTACCCATGCCACCGGTACGATCGGGCCGGAGCCAAGTCTGGAACAGACCACCGCCTAGCCTACAAGGGACATACGGCCCCAATCATGTCCACTGCATTCCACCCCGGTCGTGGACCCGTGGACCTTGGTGATCTTATGCTGAGCTCTAGTCTGGACTGGAGCGTGAAGCTATGGCGTGTGCGGCCACCTGCGACGACTGCCTCTGCCACATCTGGGATGGCCCAATCCCAAGTCGTCTCCCCCATCCTCGATATCACCCGTGACGATGTTGTCTACGATGCTCGCTGGCACCCAACCCGACCTGGTGTGTTCTCTCTCGTCGACGGTGCCGGCAACGTCGAAGTCTGGGACCTCGCTTCAGATACCGAAGTACCAGTCGCACGTGAAGTTGTTGACAACACCCATGGCAGCATCATGTCCCGAAGCCTTAACAAGGTTGCGTGGGACGAGCGTGAAGGACGCCGCCTGGCAACTGGTGGCCTTAATGGTGTCGTTACAGTCTTTGAAGTTGGCAAGGGTCTCTGCGGGCTGCCAGAGGAAGTGCCGGCGGATGAATGGACGGGCATGAAACGGCTTGTGGGAAAGCTGGAACAGAAAGACAAGGATCGGGTGGCTTAAGGTTACCGCTCCAAAGGCTTAATTTAATGTCTTTTCCAATTATTGTCGATGTAGTTTTCTTCTGCGGGCCGACCTTCCCGGTCTACCTTTTTCCTTGCGAGGTCTCCCATCTTGCTTGCCATATACCCCCTTCCCTTCGATCACAGAATTTGTGCATGTGTATGTATCTCATCGCGAATTGCAAAGGAAAAACGTCATTATGTTCTTGGATCCTCGTTTTCTCTTCATCAACTCCAACTAGAATCACGAATTATTGGTATTAATACGCGATTTGATAGTATACTAATAACGAGGAATTCATGACTTCTATAGGAGCATTGCTAGGTCTTATTCTAACATCCTGGACTAGATAGGTATTTTTTTCCTCTTTTTAGCCCTATCATCTAGCTAGTATGAACAAAAGGTTCTAATATCGTGAGATTCGGCCTTGTGAGCTACGCCCCAACGGCTTTACTATGCATATTGTCGGAATAGATGGAGCTGCAGTCAACAAATTCGATACAAAAGGACCACCGCCCGTACATCTGTCATAAAGCAAGAAAGAACGAGGGAGCCTGTCTCCCAGCAAAATGTCTCAGTCGAATTTATCGAAAATTTGCGATGATCTCCCTAATTGGTCCAAGTATTCGCTCGCGGTGTGCCAATCCACTGGAGGTATACTATTTATCGGAAAGAAGGCCCATCAACTCTAGCCACAAGAGCTGCCAGTCCACCGAATCAGTCTCTATCAAATCCACCTCGGAGAGGAGAACAAATCAAGTTTGGATTGTAATCGGCTTCTCTAAAAGGCATCTGGTAAATTCAATGCAAACACAGATAACATATTACGCATATTCTGCACATCGGATTGAGCGTAGATAATAGGGCAAATGATTTCCGCCACCTGAAGGGAGATCTCGAGGGGAAGTCTATTGAGATAGGAGCTTTTGCGTTTTCCAACCGTATTTTGGGCAAGTTAGATTGCATTTTGAAGCTCTGGTATAATCCATGGATTGACAAAGATATCACAGCCGCGAACGTAGCTCTCACATCTCGCGTATATAGCCCCGTCGAGCTGGGCACGAAATAAGGTATCTGTGTCAGTAACACCCCATCCTTTATGGGTTTGCCAATACATCCTCACAGCCTGAACAACTTGACCAAGTCTCTTCTCGATCAATTCTTTCCCCACCAGATGGCCAAGGATCTCCCATCAATAATAGTGAAACACATATCCCATATTTTTGTGTTTATAAAGACTTATTTGCATCCAGTGAGCTCCTGGATGGAATTGTGTGAATATTTTATCATCGTACTGTGGTATCGCCTCTCGTCCAGAAATTCGTCCGGTATTTTTGTCTCTTGGAAGCTGGTACGGCTGATTACCAAGACGTGCAACTGGGCCAATTCCCGTGAGTTCATATATTGAAGAATAGGCATATCTGACAGCTTGAATTTACGTTTAGCTTCAAATTTGAATGTTTCTATGAGAATGTCAACCTACCCCCTCGCTGATAGCAAGATGATAACCAAGGAAATTTGGAGAAAATTTTATTCTCCAGTTCGGTGGATGGCACGAGAATATGCTCAGGAATCGTGGATTTGCGATAGATTTCCCATTGAGACTCCTTGAACACATCCAGGTGATCATGGCTTATTGTTCCCCCGTCAAACGTCAAGATGTATATGCCACAAAGTAGACATGTTTCTGAATAATTTTTAGGCTCATCGGATTTTGAGGGCTGGCTCGGCATTTCACAGGGATAAAATATTGCGGGGCTAAAAGCAACATCGTATGGGAGACAGCCCTGGAGGAAATAAAAGACATGGAGTAAATAGGATGACACAGTAATGAGCGGCACTATCGGATTTGGAACGTGAGCGCTCTAAGCCAAATAGACCTACAACCTTAGAGCCCATCCTTTGATCGAATAGACATGTCATAGATGGATCAGCCTTCAAAGCACAATATACAGCTATCATTCACTTAAAGATGGTATAGAAAGAAAAGTCATCCACCGGGATTTCATGACCAAACACATTATATTCCAAAAAGTTTCAATATAGACAAACGCCTAACATAATAATATCAACATCAAGTCATAGTAATATACTCTTCCAAGCTCTGCCCAAGAACATTAATAAACTAAGCTGATTCTATGAAGATATTTCCGGGGCTACGAGCGTGTATCCCGTTCGATTTATATATCTAGTTTATATGATTATAGATGAATACATTTGGCCTCTTTTCACTCAACGTATGCCCCGGCGTTTCCAAACAATGTTACCTCGGCGCATGCCGCGCACAAGTCAACACCGGTCATGGTATTCGAGAGAGATGCCCACAAAGAGTGAAAGTCGGGAAGGTTTTGCACGTTCTAGAGAGGCTCGGTGGTTCAAAAAGAAAGGTAGCCGTCCTTGCCTTCCTCGTTGGCAGACTTGGAGGATCAGAGATGGTCAATCCTTTTGGATGAGGTCGATAGCTTTCATCAAAACGTCGCGGTGAGTCATAGATAAACGTCTTTTGTATCTATTAATATATACTGAATAGCCAAAAATGAAAGGTGATACCAATTAATTGTTCGATGAAAGTCGACGTCTAGAAGCCCGAAAAAAATGGAAAAAGAAAAGTGCTTTTGCTTGTCGTAAAAAAAAGCATCTATATTCAGTGAACAGGAACTACTAAGTTTTCGTATTTGTAGTTGTCCCGTCAATAAGTATATCTGAAGCTAGACTTTTAAGTTTCATTCGTTAGCAAGGCTAAACAATCGACGGACCATCAATAAAAAGAAATACTTACTACACCCTCAAGGACCTTTAATCCCCGCCCTTGCTGCCTATTGGCAATGTAGAAGCAAACGGTGAACGCACCCACGATTGCAATGAGAAGAATGTGCGAACTAGCAATGATGTCAGCCAGCAGCTCAATGTTCAATGATTTCTTAAACCTACCCAATTGACACCCAAACTGCAGTCAGGTATTGCGGAGCTTCTTGCTGGCGGACAATATAGCTGCCTGCGACACCTCCAAGTCCATTACATGCAGTGACCGCCGCCGCCGTAGCCACTCGTTTCCACTGGCCCACGATATTGTTGGCCTGGAAAGCATTGAGGGCAGCCCAGTTCGAGATATAAGCACCAGTCGCCAAGAAGGTCCCGATGTAACGCACTGTCACCAGGTTGGATACGGGAAGACCAAACATCAGGAATCCAGCTATGAGAACAAGGGCATTGAAGATGATCAGCGGCCCACGAACGCGGTAGAAATCTCCGATAAATGATGTTAGAATAACCGGGATTACGGCGTAATAGTACGGCTAGTGAAGGAGTCAGAAAATGCGGCGTTTTATACTTTGGATCAACTTACTGGTGTAGAGAGCAGAATGGATTTATTTGAGCTGAAACCCATACCGGATTGTAAGATGATGGGTAGGAAATACGACAGGGCCGTCGAGATGAGATTGAGCAAGAAGAACATGACCGCAAAGCCGTAGATCTTGGGGTCCTTGAAGTTAGCAAGAAGCGTGCCCCAGGAAAACGGTTCCGCGACAACATCGGCTCGATCATCCTGAATTCGGCGCGTTGCAAGGCGTGCTTCCTGGTCTGAAAGGAAATAGAAGCTGCGCTGGGCGTGCTCGGGGAAGTCGACCATCCACCAGTAGGTAATGATACCCAGGATACAAGTAATGAGACCCTGAACAATATACATCCAGCGCCAACCTGCCAACCCGGCCACGCCATTCAAGTGATTGAGACCGAAATTGACGATATTGCCAGTCGCCAGAATCACAACTTCCCCGGACTGCAAGAATGCAAATCGGAGCTGCTGCTCTCGTCGCGGGTACCAGGCACTAACCAGGTAGGTCAAGCCAGGGTAGATACCGGACATAGAAATACCGAGCAGCACTCGTAGGATAATCATCTGCTGCCAGTTCTGAACGAAAGCAGTGCACAGCGTCAACAGTCCAAATGCAAATGTGATTGACGAAAACCAGATACGTGGACCAACAAGGCGAACTGCTACTGTGCATGGCAGTTGGAAGACCACACTGGCGATTGTGAAAATAAAGATGGAGACGGAGTACCGGTTCCCCTGGTTCAAATCAAGATCATCGAGCATAGTCGTTACCGAGGCCGAGGACAAAACGCCCGAGTCTAGCAAATTAAGGCTACATAAGAGCCCGCCGATGCTACAGAGACGAAGATCGACTTTCCATCGTACCCGCTTCTCTAGAGCGGCCCACTCATCCCCGCGCTCTGGATTGAGGTCGTTTTGATCATCTTCAAGAGTCCGATCGAATATCACGCTGTCGGCCTGTAAATTGATATTTTCTGCCACCGGCTCCAGGGTATGCGCTCCTTGGGCCGTTGTCAAAGTTAACGAGAACTGGCCCTTCTCTGAGTCAACCATTTTGACTGATTGAACGACCAGGCCAATTCCCGATTTCTGTCGGATGTGTCACAGGTTGACTTGATGCAGTCTTTTATTATTTTTTTGCCGGTCTTCCAGGATAAGAACGTGATAGAACCCGGCCGAGTCATGCGTCTCTTAGCGCGCGCACGTCGGACCTCGGATTATCAATCCAGATATTTCGGGGTTATTTTTTTTTTCATTGGAGTATATAAGATTGAGAGACTCGATTCCGGTCAATTCCCACATAGACACAGAAAATGTCACCGGGCGCATTCCAAATCTCGGAATGTTTTCGTTTGCCCCGCGAGATAAGCCCCCTCTTTATGTATATAGTCGTGACTCTAGCGAAAAGCTGCACCGGGGCTTTTGCTCATTACAATTGAAATACAGTACACTTCTGTCGCCTCGTATGAAAGGGAGGAATGATATGGATGTTTGGAAGAAGTGTACGGAGATCTAGGTGATTAACACGGATGTCCGAACCCTCGGGGTTTGGGTTGGAATAGGCTGGAGACTATGAAGGGATTTAATATCATCGACCGAGATGGTTTTGACATTGAAGTTTTGAATGAAACTAGGGTAAGAGAAGATCAAGTAATAATATGTTCAAGGAATTAATTCCGCTTCCACTAGATCCTTACCTTGCTTATAACTACTACTAAACACTACAACATATATATGTAGGTACGGAGTATTCCTTGGCGCAATATCAGCCCCCACGCACAAATAACCTTACAAGGTTGGAAAGAAACATCAGTCAGCGAGATGGTCATCCCGAATGATCTTAAGTTGTGTTATCTCACTAATGACTGCGAAAAGTTGCCCTTTGTATGAACTTTTCCAACGCATGCGAAGAGTTCAATAGGCTACTCAGAAGAACCAACATGGCGAGTCGAAGTTGTGGGACATGTAGAGGTATGTTCGTCTTCGGAAAATTACCAGTTTGTAGTTTATTATGTGAATGCCGATGTGAAGGGCATGTGCGCTTGCTGAGATTTGCTTGTAGATCGCCGGATTCTCTGCGACCGGACTGTCCCAGCGTGCTCGCAGTGTTCCAAGTCTAACCGCACCTGCAAAGGCTACGGCCTCCGGCTGTCATGGCCAAAGGCTCATGATAAGCGACGTGCTATGATGGCACGTCCATTCATGCAACAGAGGAGTGCGGGGCCTCATTCCTCTAATGCACACCTGCTTAATATATCCACTTGGGATATTGAGATGCACCTCTATCTCCTAGGGCTAGTATCAAGTGGTAATACTTTCTACAATGGGGCATTTATATGATCAGCGAGAAATCAAATGTACTAACATGCCGTAGAATACCACCGACGAACACTACGCTCGCCGATGCCATTCAATTCATTCAAGTTGGATGTTGCAGAAAACCGTCTATTTCAATACTGTAGGTGCAACGCGGCCTGCGCATCCTCTGAATCTCCCATAAAGCTAACTAGTATTGTAGTTAAATCCACCGCATCCTGCTCTTTAACAACATTTGGCCATGACCCAACCAATGTGGGCAACATGCTTATTCGCATGGCTCTCGTCAATGATGCCCCATCTACTGCTGCAGTGCTGTACTCTTTGCTCGCGTTGTCTTCACTGCACCGTTCTGGGCTGCACTCACAGGCTGCCGAGCTCAAGATTGCTGCCTTAAAATTCCTAGGCGTCGCATCAAATTGTGAAATCGGTACCATGGAAGCAATTCAGCATGTTGCTGCGGGGATGCTCTTATGCTCATTTGAGGTTTGTGTCTTCGGATTCTGCTCCTACTGACAAGCTTGATCTATATTAATGTGGTCGTCAACCTAGATTTACCAGGCATCATGTACCTCTGGCCAATGGCGATCGTATATTATCGGCGTCAAAAATGTCATCAAAGCCTCGCCTCTAGACACATCCAAAAGAGATAGCGACTTCAATGCCTTGCTTGACTGGGTATACTACCATGATGTATTATCCCGTTTCAGTATTACACATTGGCACCCACCGGCGATCGACAGACCTCTTGTGTGTTTGGAAGAGCCGGTAGGCATCCCATCGCCGCCAGTGAATACCGATCCCTGTATGGAGGTTGGTATATTTTTTTTCAGATCTCATATAATGTCAGATTGCTAATTCAAATGGGGTAGATTACATACTCAACCCAGTCTCCCTTCAATAAAGTTCTGAAGTCTTTGACTGAGGTCTGCAATTTAGTCGCAACAAAACCATCCTATGACTCTCCATCCGGAAAAGCCGAGGACTTTGAAAACTACCTGAAAATCCTAGCATGGAGGATCCGGTCCATTCCGACCTCGGACACAATAATTGACGAGAATCCGAGCATGGTGACTCTTGTGGAACTCTTCCAACTAGCCACTCTCATTTACCTTAACCGAGCATTTGGGAATATCCTAGAGCCGGCTACGGAAACTCAAAAACGGATTGAGCGAGCTTTCGGTATTTTCTCCCAGCTCAGTTCTTGTGAACGTCAGTATCCGCTGCTTATCTTGGGCTGTGAAGCGCGAAACGATAGGGAAAGGTGTATAGTCCTTGATTTAATTTCCAGGACAGAGAGGAGGGATTCGTCGCGGTCCCTATTTCTGACCAAAAAGTTGATTCAAGCTATATGGGCTCAAGACGACCTTTCCCAGGGCGAGATTGACTATACTAAAAAGCTCAGTGCTATCCTAAGCTGTTGCAATATTTTGCCTACTTTTGTCTAACTACAATGTTTTTTTTCGTTGTGTGTTACAGCACATACGGTTCCTCTGATTGGTAAATTTAGAACTGCCCATTTAGTATCTGGTATCCTTGTCGCACTATATTTTTTTTGAAATTATCGAAGATAACTAACGGTTTAGCGTACAGTCGATATTACTCCCATAAGACCAATGCAAGTCGATTGGAGCGGACAATACACATTGTTGGCTTGCACATCCTTTCATTAACAGTGAACGATCTGTCAGAATCTAACCCTACTGCCAAAAAATATATAAATTCACTCGCTTCTTTAAAACGAATCAAGAATAACATTTCAGAGTATGGATTTCAGCTATGAAACTTCAAAAGAAAGGGGTCTTTAGAAATATTTCTATAGCCACCGTTGGTTGCCGAAATGCGAGACAAAAGAACCGCCATCGCCACCCTTCGCACTTGCCTTTTCGATTACCGAGATTACATCCTTCACCGCAGTCTCTGGTGGAGTGGGACCCTTGAAGTCGGGTGCATACCGGGCGAATGCACCTAACATCCCTGCCAAGCCCTTCTGCTGCTCCTCGGTTGCTAAAAGAAGATCAGATTGCTGTGTTAAACAGAAGACTAACAATAATTCAAACATACCATCAGCGAAGTGACCGGTATCAACCATCCCAGGACAAATGCTCATGCAAAGAACACCATCCTTGACATACTGCGCACTGAACTTGGCCACGGCAGCGTTCAGACCTGCCTTACTGATAGCATAGAGAGGGGCGACCTCAATCCCCAACTCGGAGATGGCATCGAGGGAGGCCTGGCCACTCGAAATCGCAATGACCTTTTTGACCTCTCCCTTCAGAATCAAGGGCATGAACAAGTTGAACAAGTGAATGTTGCCGGTGACGTTGATTTTTATATTCTCGCTAAGGCTCTTCTCCAGAGCTTCAGGCTGTTGGCCCCTTTTTGATTAATGTCACACTGTCAGTGACTGCCACATTGTATGACCCAATGATTGAAATCAGATGGACTCACAGAACCCCAATCGAATCGTAGGCATCAAACTTGGATACCAGCCCAGCGTTGGCAATGAGATAATCAAGTCTCCCGCCAGTGATCGTGGCAGTTTCTACGGCCGCAGCCTAGAATAAGGTGTCAATATAGAATCATTCTGTTGATTTGAGGGTCCATACCTCCAAAGCAGTATAATCGGTGATGTCGGCCTGCAGGATGTGGATGTTGGTACGTTCCGGCAACTCTTCCGTCACCTTCTCCTGAGTTGGAGACTTGTTGCGAACAATCCCAATTATGGTATTCTTTGGGTCGCCGGACAGCTGGCGAAGGAACTCCCACTGTTTGGTTAAGCAAAGCTAGTCTTTATCTGGTCGCCTAAGAATAAAACTCACCCCGATACCCCTGGAGGCCCCGGTAATAACATAAGACGGCATTTTCAACAAAGTATAGATGGAAGTAAAAATTCTGTGGTTTTACTTTGACAGTTGGAATGAAGGGAAGATCACGAACGTTGCTGAATTGTACTTGAGGAGAATAGCGAGATAGACATATTTATACATACGATCTCTTCTAATTAGATCGAAATTCATGGACTGATTCAGCTGGAATATTTGCTTTCAAATCCAGGTCGATGGTGTTGCTGGTTCATCATTGACTCTTCGCGAATACTTGACACTTTTTCAGTTGCCGCGCTGATTTGCAGGCGAAGGATGCGTTTAAAGTACGGCGGGCCATAGTTGGTAATAGGATAACAGGCATTTGATTGGTTGAGCATTTTGGTATTTTGCATGTCAGAATACCACCCAAGTGGAACAGGGGTAAGACGGGGATGTAGATTTGTCAAATGCCGGTTGTCCGATTGGCAACTATGGCCCACCATACATTCGGCTCTTTCGTGGAGATAACATAACCCCGTTGTGCGAAAAGGACTTTTTGGGCCACTGTACGAAGTACTCCGTACGTCTTCTTCGATTTGATTTTGGTGTAGATTGTGACTGTAGTTGGAAGAGTGGTTGAAGTCTCCGTTATCTCCGTATATTTCTATGTACAACATAAATATGAACAAAGTACGGAGTATACTTCGTGTGTAGTTTTGGATTCTAGTTCTTCCATCCAAAATCTGTATTCTCACATTCCCCATATAGCTAAATGTCTGCCAATCTAAATCTCGCACTTCTCATATTCTGAATCCTCGGTAGCTCCTTTACTATTCTCTTTTTCTGTTTCCTCCTTTCTATCAAGTAACGTACCGGGTACACCCAGTTTGCCAAGGCGTGCGGCCGCACATTTCGACCTCTCAATACTTTCTCTTCCTTACAAGCGTCAGAGTGAATTCCTCTACTTATTGGCTTAACAGCCTCACGCCAACACTTTGAGGCATGCTACCTTGATTTGTGTGTTTAGGACTCCCTACTCCCGCAGAACCGAGATAATTCCGAATTAGCCGGTGGATGATTCTACTCCGAACGTGTCTCAGGCTGACGACTTGTATTCGGGATGTGGAAGGTGGAGTGTGGAACTTTTAATAGAATGAAATCTCGGTGAGTTTATTTAGAGGATATCCCCGAATGTTCAGGTTGATGGATAAGATTAAAAAGAGCCAATGGGAAGAAGAATATATAGATTAGAGCCTCTACCGTCAACTTGAGGGTCTAAAGTAGAAAAGAACACAAACAAAATAGATGTAAACATGAAGCTTCACGAAACTTGAAGATATAAAAATATCCACGTGCAGAAATAAAGGCCAATAGAACCATGGATACAGCAAGCTTTGCGGGCCGGTGATTGCTCTGTTTGTTGCCCCACGTTCGGTCGAATGGAGCCCGGAGAGCTTGCAAAACACTGTCTCTGAACTCCCCCCGGGGCCCATTTCCACTTTCTTTCTCTCCACATTTCATTGCCTATACTACTAGCCATTATGGTCGAACTCATCAACCCACCGGAAACTCGCGAACTTCTCCCTCCCCTCCTCTCGTGCCTCCCACTAGCCTTTGTCTCGCCACGCGCACCTCCAGCTCTGCTACCACTTCTCTCCCCTATTCTGCGCCAACGAGTTGGTGTTCTTAGTTCGCTATCCACATCTTCCACTGAGTCATGGCTTCAACTACTGTGCTGGGATGCTGCGAAAGCTGAGCGTCTGCAGAGACTCATCGACGGCGCCACCTTTGAACCACACCCCGTATCGGGCGAAATTGAACTTCCGGATGAGCTTCCGGTGACATACAAACGGATCGATGATGAGACTCTCAAAGCACAAGTCCCACTCACTGAATACAGCTTGACGGTTGTCTATTTGTGGTGCCCGACAGACGAGGAAGGAGGTGGCCGTGGCTGGCGAGTCGCAGAGCTTCTGCCACGGGAGGGACCTGCTGAGGATGACAATACCTGGGTTTCTTCCATTGGGGAAGCGAATATTCAGGCAAAGGACCAGTTCCTAGCTGATATATTAAAGGCCACCGAGGAAGAGAAAGCCCAGGATAGCATTATGGACAACGACGACGACGATGACTACTGGGCTCAGTACGACTCTACACCCGGAGCCAAGACCCCCGCGCGTGCCGGTTCATCAAAGCCGGGCCCATCTGGCCTGTCTGAGCAGTCATATTTCTCGCAGTATGGCGATGTGCAGCCGGCCATGGATAATCATGACCCCGCAGAGGAGCAACCGGAGGTTGGTCCATCATCGCTCAACGGAGATATGCTGGCCAATCTCTTGCGACGACAGGTGAATGGAGTCAATTCAGAGGAGCCTCGCACTAACGGATATTCTTCGGACTATATCCCCAATGATAAGGCTGCACAAGATTTGAACCATCCGCGACCGGCTTCTGCATCTTCCGGTAGCTCTGATGCTATCGCCAAACTGGAACAGGAGGCAGAGAGCCAATCTACCTATGAAGTAGGAGTGAAACAGCATATCGGTACGAGCATCAAGAGTTTGTTCCGCCTGGCGAAGGCCACTGGAATGCCCCGGTCAGAATTCCAGGCATTGGTCTCAATGGAATTAGAGCTTTTGAATATTACGGATGACGATTAAAGCCCTAAAATATCTGAGTGATACCCATGAACTGTACTTTTTGCTTGAGATTTCGGGTTCATGTTTTGCGTCAATTCGTTTTGCATATGTTGACAGCATTACTGGGAGTAAATGGTCTGATTTGGGCATTTGATCTTCCATGTCGAACACATAACCAATAAAAACACAATACAACAATACCACACTACCACACTACCTTTAAATGTTCAAACCCACCATATAATTTGAGGCTGTGAAGGAAATCCTGCACGGCTGACACCAGCTCGCGCAGGATGCCCGATAAGGCGTAGCGCAGCCCCCAAATCCCCAAATCAAACCTGCAAAGACCATGAATGCTGCCCCGGTGTGGCTAAAGGCTTATTTTACAGTATATAATTTCTAACCAATACAAGTAATCCCTAGAAGAATCTGAGGCTGAGTTCACTCCACCCCACTTAGTACTTAAAAGGGTGTTGGCCCCCATAAGACGGCTGAGAAGAATTCACAGTCTATCCTCTTTCACTCACACACAATGGTTGATGAAAAGAAACAAAATCCGTTCGAGGACATGGGACGCTCTTATGAGGGAGAGACAGAAGATCACCCTCCAGCATACACAGCTCCAGGACCCTCAACGCAACCAAGCCGATCACCACCAGTACAAGAAACCCCTTCTCAATCAAGTCACAAACCAATCGCAATTCCAGCCATCACCTCCTCCTCTGATTCTCCTTTCATCCGCGCATATCCACCTATCTTAAAAAACCACCAACTCTCCAAGGAATCCTTCCTCGCCTTCCTCGACCAACTGAACAAAGACATAGCCGCCAGTCCACCCCTCCAAGTCCTAGATGTAACAGGCGGGATTTTGAACTCTGTCCCGATCCTATTCCCGCTGCACTGGATTGGGAGTGCTGTCAGCGGACTCGCAAACATGAGCAGCCAAGGCATGTCCAAAAGCCGTACAGACTCCTCCATCAAAAAGGCCAATAAGGACATCTTCGGTCCGCGTGGGCTGAGAGTTGAAATTGCCAAGCTAGATGCATTGGCACATGTTGCAAAGCTCCCTATCTTGGATTCTCAGGGCAAGGTCAATCGGCAAGCGCCTCTATTTCTACAACTCCAAAATGATGCATCCATAGCCAACGCTGGAGCCGATGAAAGGCAGCAGCAGGAGCTTAATTTGCAGCAGAGGATTAGGACTCTACAGCCCTGGATTGCCGAGCTTGAATTTGAAGTTCTGCCTTGGTCTTCTAAGTCTAAGTTGACGCGGTTCAACGCCTCGTTGAAGAAGTATAATAATGACCAACTAAGGGACCAGGAGAAGCGAGGTCTTGGTAGGCGAGTCGAGGCTTACGCTCAAGAGACCAAACTGGAAGAAGATCCTTTCAAAAAGGCTTTGTGGCTTGTTATTCGGGAGGTTGAGACGGATGAAAGGCGTTAATCTGTGAAGTCCATATACATGCATTTCAGCACTGTCTATACCAGATTTGGTTGACCCTGAAAAAGACCAACTAAGTAGAGTATTTGCCAACTAGCAGGGCTCCAGGCGAGCAATTTCAATGGGAATATACCAGAACTCTATCTAGAAATATTCGTCCAATGAGAAGCCAAAAAAAAGACCAACGAAAATGTGTTCAAAGGAGCAATCGCACGGGCGTTCCACCTGGACAAAGCCGCTGCATGAATCAAGTTGGTATAGAAAGATTTCTATAACACCATACATACTAGGTACCTGTAAATCAATGATAAACCGAAACTTCATTCTTTGGATACTCGACTCGACAGTCCAACATCAAACAAGGAGTTGACGCCTTGGCACCCAAAAAAAAGACCCTTGTGGATTTGTATACGTAGATCCGCCTGGGGCCACCGCCCTGCCGGAAACTAAGAAGACACGCAACGCTCTACTGCGCACCCCCCATCCACATCTCCTTTCCTTTCTCATAGTTTTCTTGGCCTCAATTGTTGGGTGTCATGCTTATTTGGTGATTCTGGTAAGCTTCCTATCCTTCTTCATTGCGATCTTTTTCTGCTTTGTTGATCTTTACTGACACCCCGCAAGTCTATTTAGCTATAGGTAGTTTCTCGGTCGCTCTCTACATTTCATATTTTCAACATGTCATCCCCTTCGCCCTCTCTGCGGAAGAGAGGCGGAAAGAAGGAGGCTTACACCGCATTGCCCTCTGACGATGACTCGACGACCCCCGTGTCGGTGCCGGTCAAGCAGAAGTCGGAATGGGACTATTGGCTGGCCATAGTGATTCTCACCCTCCTGGCTTTCGCAACGCGGTTCTACCGTCTTGATTACCCTAATGAGGTCGTCTTCGATGAGGTCCATTTTGGCAAGGTATGAGGTCCAATGCCTGATGCCTATTGTTGGCATAATCTCTGCGACACGAAAAAGGGGGCCGTTTGACTAACATTGCTATTACTTGGCTAGTTCGCTTCTTACTACCTTCAACGTACCTATTTCTTCGATGTGCACCCACCTTTTGGAAAGCTGTTGTTTGCCCTCGTGGGCTGGTTCGTGGGCTTCGATGGAAAATTCCTGTTCGAGAACATCGGCGACTCTTACATCGACAACAATGTGCCCTACCTCTCCCTTCGTGCCCTCCCAGCTACTCTCGGTGCCTTGACAATTCCCGTGGTATTCCTCATCATGTGGGAGTCTGGCTACTCCCTGCCAGCCTGTGTGCTGGCTGCCGGTCTGATGGTGTTTGACAATGCCCACGTAGGTGAGGATCGTCTTATCCTTTTGGACGCGACCCTTGTGATATCAATGGCACTCAGTGTTTTGTGCTACGTCCGTTTTTACAAGTTACGTCACCAACCGTTTAGCCGCAAGTGGTGGAAATGGCTTCTTCTGACCGGCTTCTGCATGAGCTGTGTCATCTCCACCAAATACGTCGGTTTCTTCACTTTCGTGACCATCGGCGCAGCAGTCCTCATTGACTTGTGGAACCTCCTGGATATCAACCGCGAGCAGGGAGCTCTGAGCATGATCGAATGGGGCAAGCACTTTATTGCTCGCGCTATTGGATTGGTCATTATCCCCTTCATGTTCTACCTGTTCTGGTTCCAGGTCCACTTCGCGATTCTCAATCGGTCTGGCCCCGGCGACGACTTCATGACCCCCGAGTTCCAAGAGACTCTTAGTGACAACCAGATGACCGCTCAGTCCGTTGGCATTCAATACTTCGACGCCATTACCATGCGCCACAAGGACACCAAGGTCTTCCTCCACAGTCACTGGGATAAGTATCCTCTACGTTATGACGATGGCCGTATTTCCAGCCAGGGCCAGCAGGTCACTGGTTATCCCCACAACGACACCAATAATCAATGGCAGATCTTGCCGGCTGAGCCTCTGGTTGATCCATCTCAGCCCAAGAGCGTGCGCAACGGCGACGTTATCCAGCTCCGCCATATTGGAACCGATAGTTATCTCCTAACCCATGATGTTGCGTCTCCCTTTTTCCCTACAAACCAGGAGTTCACTACGGTCACTCAAGAACTGGCTGATGGTGAACGCCACAATGACACCCTGTTCGAGCTCAAGATCGAGTCGGGCAAGGCTGCTCAGGAGTTCCGTACTCTTGCCAGCCTGTTTAAGTTGGTTCACGTCCCAACTCGGGTTGCTTTGTGGACACACACAACTCCACTGCCAGAGTGGGGTTACAAGCAGGCCGAAATTAACGGTAACAAGAATATCCTCCAGTCTAGCAACGCATGGTACGTTGAGAACATCGAAAACTTGGAGGAGGATAGTCCTCGTCTTGTCAAGGAGGAGCGTAAGGTTAAGACACTGCCTTTCCTGCGCAAGTACTTCGAGCTGCAGGGTGCCATGTTCCACCACAACAACGCTCTGACCAGCAGCCATCCCTATGCTACCGAGCCCTTCCAGTGGCCGTTCCTGTTGCGGGGCGTGAGCTTCTGGACTAAGAACGATACTCGTGAACAGATTTACTTTTTGGGTAACCCCATTGGATGGTGGATTGCCAGCAGTCTTCTGGCCGTGTTTGCTGGCATCGTTGGTGCTGACCAGCTCTCGCTTCGACGTGGCGTTGACGCATTGGAAGAAAGTGAGCCGAAAAACCAAACATCCCACTCTTATCCCTTTTGTTTGCTCCGATAACTAACACACGTTCATCAGTTTGGGGCCCCGGTACGCGCTCGCGTCTGTACAACAGCACTGGCTTCTTGTTCCTGTGCTGGGCTGCACACTACTTCCCCTTCTGGCTGATGGGTCGCCAGCGCTTCCTGCATCACTACCTGCCTTCGCACCTGGCCTCCACTATGGTGTGCGGCGCCCTGATTGAATTCATTTTCAACCTGCAGCCACTCGACCCCCGTACTGCACTTCCCCCTGTGGATGACCCCACCGGTAAGTCCAAGGCCCGGTCGGTCAGCAGCCTGCGTCGGTTCATCACGGCCAAGGAACGCATGGGCTACAAATCGCTTATCGCGGGCTGGACTGCCACCTTGATCATTCTTGCTGCCACCATCTGGGGCTTCATCTTCTATGCGCCCTTGACCTATGGTACCCCTGGCCTCGATGTGCCCGCCGTCACTGCGCGCAAATGGCTTAACTATGACCTACACTTCGCCAAATAAGCTCCCGGTTGGCCCTTGGTTGGCCCAATCCGAGAGAACAGACCCATTCGAGACGATGGGCCGAACTGAAATTGCGATTTTTGTAAGATAACTTATAATCCGTGATAAAAAGGTGGGGGGGGAGAGAATGTGTTTGTTTTTTTGTGCGATTGGAAACATGATGGAGTATTGATATCAGAGCCCTTGGTATCTTTTGAAACCATCGTGTATGTATGTGCGGCCATTTAACTTCCCATTTTTTGTTCCTCGCCCATCCCGATGTAGTACATATTCCATGTCCATCAGAATTTCTCAGTCGAGTCCTGTATGACTATTGGTTGTACAGGATCATCAGCCGACAAGCTAGTCTCGCATATATTCAAGTTCTGCATAGTTTCATCGAAGTGTGTAGATTAGGTCTAGATGTGAACGGAGTACGGAGTACGGGAGTACAGTGAGAATGTTTCCCGAGGTCCAATGTCGATCAGGATCGACTCCACGTGATCTCCGATCGGCATTATCCAATGATTCCATAACCCCGTTAAGAGGGGAATTGTTTTGATATTCAAAGTAATTTTTGCCGGAATATTGAAAGGGTTCTCTTGTTTTTACCTATGTTGTAGTTAATTAATATACTAATATATTATAATTCAAATGTTCAAATGTCTAGACCCAATAGTTTGCAGTCCAACATTCCCAATTTTGCCTCTTTATAAATTCTGTTTATTTTTAGACAGAAAAAAAATAAAAGCCCATGTACCTCACAAAGGAGACTTCCCATGTACTATGTATAGTAAACGGTTTCACATTGAAGTCCTATGAGATCATGGAATGTACCCAATTTCGAGAGTAAAATATATCATTAGGTACCTTATGTGGAATAAATAATTAATACTACTACTACGTACGGAGTAACTAGTAATAGGTACGGAGTAGTATTATGACAATAGTAATAATAATATACTCAGGCCATATCTGGACATCGCCGGATACCAAAGGGACTAGACTGTCAGTAGCGTCTTGTCTTTTTTCGCCTCTCTTTCGACTTGCACATTCTCTCTTTTCTTTTTTTTTCCATTCTTTTCTCTCGGTGGTTCATAGGGTGCTCTCCACTCCCCGCGTCCCCAGTTTCTTATTGGTGTTTTCTTTGAGAGAAACTGAAACGGACATTTCCGCGTCTCACTCCCGAGACCTATGGTGGGTTCAATTCTTTCCAGAAAAAAAAAAAAGCACATTTGAGCCTGCAAAGGAATTCCAGAATTCTTATTCAAATTTGTGGTGAGATGCCATCAGATCGGACAGGCGCAAGACAACCCACTCTGTGGATTCCTGCCGGACCTTTGATCGGCCGCTAAACAAACCCGTGTTGCGCTTCGTTTCTCCCTAAAAGCTTCTGACTGACTTTCAATTCTTTCTCAGTTTAACCCCTACTCTCTGCTTTGTTTACCATCGGTCAATCGTTATACCTATCTATTTGGACTGATCGTTTCTTCGGCAATCACTTGCATTTGACACATCACGTTCCGAGGGCGACACTCAGGATCGTCCAAAGCTTAATGAGATAGCTGACTTGCAAAGACACACCGGCCGGTTATTCAAATACCAGCCTGACCTGTGAAAATAGCCGCTTCCATGCCTATGAAATTGCCCAAGAGCTTTACCAGGCGAAAATCGTCCGGCAACGTTATAGAAGACGTGGAAGCCCCTCACCAGCCCTCTTTTCGAGTCTTCGAGCGCCCGGGGCCTCATCGATCAATGACGGATGGAGCGGCGCTGACCAAGCCGCTGAGCGAGGGTAATAGGGTGCCGACAATGGTGGAGGATTCTGATAACATCTTTGCGGAGAGGGAGCGACCCCTGGACAAGAGCCGGTATGACCGTCCTTCGACCATGGATTCTCTCAGGAGACGGCTGACTGGGAATCGTGATAGTGGTAACTACGAAAGTTCTACGTCAACCAGGCTGAGCTCGTCATCCACCCTTCCATCATCGACCGAAGTACCGCCGCCCGATGATACCCAATCCCCACATTCCAGAATCCATGATGTTCCAGCCCCACCACACCTATCGAGTGCATTGCGTGCCGCAGGACGAACTTTCTCGTTCGGTGGTCGATTCAGCAAGTCAGGACCCGTGGTCCCACGACAACAAACACCAGATACCTCAAGGAATCGCCCGGTGACGGGCAACACTGACAGCACGGCCACTCCACCCAAGCTTCCCGATACAGACTTCGCTCTTAGCTCACATGACGACTTCAACAAGATGTTTGACAATCTGGGTGCAAATTCAGCAACGCGGGGGCCATCCCCTAAACCGGCCAAGGTAAGACTTGCAATCGCAATGGCTTGTCCAGGCAAGGATGCAGTGCTAATAGTATCGCAGTATTCCTCATCTCCCCCGACGCATGTTCTGCCCCAGTTCCAAAACAGCAGGGCTGCCGCACCTGCCGCGATTAATACGGATCGATCGACTGCTGTCGAGTCACCCCCTTACTCCTGGGATCGTCGCCCATCCGAGGAGGGCTTGCTACGTGGGCCGCGTTCTCCACCGCTGAATCAGAGCCAATCGACCCTTGATACAATTGTTGATCTCCGGAAGCTTTCGGCGTCTCCCAATCAGGTTACCGATGCCACTACTTCACATCGTTCCTTGGAGCGCCCACGTGGAACGGAGAGAGCAGGGCTGCGGAGGAGTGGGGTATATTCGCCCAAGGGGGAATCCACACCCTTTGACGATGAAGATGCCAAAATGGTCCGACAATCTGTCATGTGGACCAAAGAAAATACCTCGCCATGGGGTGAGGGTAGCCCATCTGGGGGAACCCCATTGATTGATAAGGGGAAAGCACCCGATCACTCTGGCCAAAGGAACCCAGAAGCTGATAATATGTTCCAATACCGCCGTTCGCCCCCTCCCGCCGACAGATTGGACCCCTCTATTGCGGATCACGCACGATTGGCTGTGCAGTACGCAGATAGTCTCCCCAAGTCAACTTCTCCGGGTAACAAGGTGATGACGCCATCTCAGTTCGAGCACTATCGCAAGCAACAAGAACTTCGACGTTCCAATAGCAATGCGACTAAGAGTGATCAAGATTCCGATCATGAGTTTGAAGATGAAGAAGATGAGGTGGAGAAGCAACGTGAAACAGAACGTCAACGACGAAAGCAGGAAGCTCATCTATCTGTGTATCGTCAGCAGATGATGAAAATCACAGGTCAGCAAGCACCTGTGCAGTCGTTACGTCCGGTCATGGGCGGACCGAGCAGCAGCACGCCCAATTTATATGCCAGTCGCCTGTCTGTGCTAGGTGAGAAGTCCACCAGTGGGAAGAGCAGCGAGGAGGAGGATGACGATGTGCCACTTGGTATTTTGGCCGCGCACGGTTTCCCTACTCAGAACCGCCCACCAACCCGTCTAAACAATGTCAGCTCCAATCCCAACCTTCGTGCATCCATGCAGCCGCCGTATATATCATCTTCCAGCTCTGTTACTGGTGCCGATCCCAACGGCAGTCGGGGCAATCTGCCACCCTTTGCAAGGAACTTGCCGCGGGACCCTTACTTCGGTGCAGGTTTGGTCAACAACTCTAACCGTGAATCGCTGGCGTTTGGAGGCGGCTCGGTATATGGAGGATCTTCGTCTCCCGGACCTCCCCCTGGAGGTCTTGTTGGTGTTATAGCAAATGAGGAACGGGCGCGGGCGATGCGTAGAGGAAGCCCAAACACGCAAGCAATGCATGATATGGGAGGAGTTCCTCGGCCATACTCGATGATGCCTCAGCAAAACGTTACCCCTGGGGAACAAGCTTCTATCCAGTTATCGCAGCAGATGAACAACATGATGCAGATGCAAATGCAGTGGATGCAGCAGATGATGCAAATGCAAGGTGTGCAGGGCCAACCTATGATGCAAGGCATGCCCATGCCTCCTATGATGATGCCTGGTGGAGCTATGGCCATGCCTCCCATGGGCCCTCCTTCCATATCAGGACCCCAGTCCATGGTTGGCAACCCGAATTTCCGGCCAATGTCCATGCCAACATCCGCTCTCAATATGCCGCCCCCGCTTTCACCTCACATCGATCAGCGTACGATGAGCATGTTGGACCCCAACATTTCAACTCGCAGAACTGGCTCACCCATGCCAAATTTGACCGGCACCCCATTCCGCCCCAACACTGGATATGCTGCTTCAATCGCTCCGTCAGAGCGTAGCACAGTGGGCATGGCGCCTCGTTACCGGCCAGTATCAGTGATGCAACCCGAATCGAATTACGCAGTGGCATCCTCAACGAATAAGGCTTTTGGTAACGAAAACCATAACCCGTCCATGTCTCAGTCGCAGATTCCGAAATCGCATCTCGCTACTGTGACCGTCCGCCCCGTTTCACGTTCAGGCACTGGCGTTGCAAATGGAAAGTCCGGTTCCGATGATGAAGAGAATGACGACGAAGCCTGGGCTGACATGGTGAAGAAACGCGAGAAGAAGAAGAGCAACTGGAAGTTGAAGCGAACAACCTCTTCGTTCGGGGATCTGCTGAGTGCCGTGCACTAAGTCCCTGGTCCTGTCTCTCCTTTCTTTCTTTTTTTTCCCCTCCTTTCTCAATTATACTATGAAAGCGTGCTTGCATTGCATCCGAAAAGAAATCTGTCCGCGTTACGCTGTATAGCATTCCCCTTCTTCTCTGCATTTTCATCTGCGCTGCCATTTTAATATTCCCCGCTCCCTCTACGACATGACATACGACGCACATACCATCAACTCAGATAAGGGCTTGCCGTGCCAATTGGATATCTCGACTCCATAAGCATCCATTGCCCTCATCTCACATCTTGTATGTCACCCCTCGCTCTCTGTCCTGGGCTTCCTTGCATCATCGTGTGATGGTGCATGGTCCGGTCTGGGCAAAGGATTTGGCATTTACAAGCATGAATACATATGCTTTCCTTGTGCTTTTAGTCAAGTTTTGATTTTTTGAGCTCGATTCTCTGTTTTCTTTCCTTGCTTTCTTATGATATCGGTGCGAGAAGAGACATGGCGTTATTTATCTGATAGCTTTCTATCTTTGTGTTTTTTTTCTTTCTTTTATTGTGTGTTTTCCTTTTGCATTGTCTTCTCGCCAGAGCGCTCTGCGTCTACTCGACTCCCTTAATACATTTTCGGGCCTTGTGGCCGTTATATCGGCTCTTTCCAAGGTTCTCTCTTTTTTTTTTTGTTCGAGTCTCTCGTTTTCTGCTTCGATGGATGTGTATATCTTAAAATAGCGTAGATCTGAGTTGAGATGGGGTTTCTCCATACACTACGGCTAATATATGTTGTATATCAAGATGTTCCACTGAGTAAATTTGGTTTGTTTTAGTAGCTTCAGTGCCTCGGGCTTGGTATATTGGAATTCAATGAGATGGGATATCGTGTGAAGTCTGTATTACCCAGATGATATATTTCAGCAAACAAAAACAATGGATGCATGATGTCTCGGAAGTCGAGAGAGCACATTTTGCATTCCGTTATATACGTAAATATGGTGTAACGTGAAAATTGTGGACAAATAATGATTTCGGTGCACCAACATCGTACAGTTTCTCTTGAAAAGTGAGGTGAAGATAAATTAAACGCCCACCGATCCATGGATAATATGTCCTATGTAGGTCAAGTGCGGTCACGTGTCAACGTACATCAAGATGGTCACGTGATCGGTATCGATATCGATATCACGATATCTTCATCACTCAACGTCAACGTCGAACAAGCAGGTAGGTTCGAAGTCAGGGCCTAAATAACGTTTCAAAGTGTACCGTCTCATTGGGTCACTTTGTTTGAGCTTATTTGCTATTAATAAGCACCCTCAGGCGTCTTCCAAAGGCAAACTTGTTTGATCGCAACTGCTCTCAGAAGTCAACGCGAATTGATACCTATAAATAGGCCTGCTCATCTCCGACTTCTCATAAATTTCTCTCCTCTTCTCCTCTCTTCTTCAAACCTCCAACTTCTTGGTTCTTCAACTAGAGCCGTATCAAAGATATCGACCCAGATATCTGGCCTGACACACCTTGACCTTTTCTCAACTCATTCTCGTCACCATGAATGCTCCAGATCGGTGAGTACACGCTATTGTTTCGAAATTCTTGAGATTCTTTTCATTTTGAGCTGCTCTGGTGAAAAATATTTGTGCGCTCAATGATGTATCTTCGATATCAGATGGATATCATGTGTACCACAGGACATTTACCCCGGATTTCGGGGTAAAGTGCACCTTTTTGTCTACCATCAAAATGGGAAGAAGGGAAGGACATGGAAAAAAAAACCATGATTGCCCTTTCCTTGCACTGTTGCTCCTGCCCTGGCTCGCATTACCTCGTGTCTATTTATTCTCTCTTCTCCCTTCTCCTGTTAACGTGTCTTTCCTCGGAGGGAAGGACATGGGGAAAAACCATGATCGCTCTTTCCTTGCACTATTGCTCCTGCCCTGACTTGCTTTGCCTCGTGTCTATTTATTTCCTCTTCTCCTGTGGACGTGTCTTCCCTCTCTTATCTTCTTGTTTACCCGCGGACTGTTATCCTGTTTACGATCAATCTCCTGTTTTATCAACCCTGTTTTGTGCTTGTGCAGTCATGCCTCAGAGCCCTGCAATTATCACGGCTACCGCGGCCATCGCCAGAGAACGTGCTGGTCGTCGGTCCCAGGGTCCCCACCCGCGCCACCCTCGTCCTGTGCTCCCTGACGATGCCCCCGATGTGTCAGTTGAATTACCTCATGGCATTATGATGTTAAGGATCATTTCTTTTGTTCCCTTTATCTTTAGTCCTTTTTCTGCATCACCATGTCTCATTCTCCATCCAAGGAAACCATAAGCTGACCAAGATCATTAATATAGCTACGAAGCAATCCTGCTCGCTCCTGGCGAAAGCAAGATCGATGTTGAGGTTGACACCCGTAAGTCATATTGATCAATGTACATCGCACACAGTCTCACTAACCGTGTCTCTTTAGGCCTCCCGTCTGCCGCCATCTTTACCTTCCACAAGGAAGACCACACCCTTGGCAATATGCTGCGTCAGCGTCTCCTAAAGACTGCTCACGTAGTGTTCGCTGCCTACCGCGTAAGGAACCCGCTATATGCACATGGTATTATATCTCAGAAAGATACTCACACAGACCTATTAGGTTCCTCACCCCCTGACACCCGAGTTCCAGCTGCGTGTCCAGACTGACGGCGAGATCACCCCTCGCCAGGCTGTTATTAACGCCTCCGAGGCCCTGATCAAGGACTTGGGCATCTTGTCTCGTGAATTCACCAAGGAGTACGAACTTCGCAAGGCCGCCAACGCCGCCAACCAGCAGCAGCAGCAACAGAACACTGCTGAGTAAATTCTCCTGAGTGACATGCAGTCACCATCCATCCTCTTTTAATGGGTCTGAAAATCTGGCGCATGGAGCAGTTATGGTCTTTTATGCCTTGCGTTTGTTCTTTTTCGTTTTCGATCTGGGGATTTATGGGTGGCCCCTTTTTTTTTCGCGGGCGCATTGATTTTTTTTGCTTTCTCCTGTTTCTGAGAGACATGGCCATAGCATCAAATAGCTGATACCAACACATCTACAAGCTCAAAGCTTGAAACCGTTACTTATCCATCAATCAAGTATGTAGTATTCTAGTCGGGTCGTGGATCCAAAAATATCTCGGATATGACTAATCACCCGATGAGGTTAGCGCGTGTGCCTCCGCGTCTAGCAGCGGCGTCATTCGCATCCTCCTGAGACTCAACTTACTTACCATTTTGCATTCGTTCTTCTCGTCAATTATTTGTTGGCTTTTCTGCATCTAGTCTACTCATGCGAGCGTGGTTTCTGTGATGTACTCCTCGTCGAATAATTTCCTCGGGGGTGGTGCCGGTGGCCGTCCCGGCCAGGCACCATTCATGCAACAGCAACAACAGCCCCCCTATTCGCAATTCTCACAAGGTCAACAACAGCCATCGATGCAACAACCCCAACCGACTGGGTTTGCTCAGCAGCCTACAGGTATTGCTCCACAGCAGACCGGATTCGCCGGCCAGCCCTCCCCGTTCGGTAACTCGCAGCTACAGCCTCAAGCTACCGGATTCCCCGCGGGGCAGATCCAGCCGCAATTCACTGGCTTCCCCGGCGCTGCGACTCAGCAACCCCAGCAGCAGCAAGCGCAAAGCTTCCAACAGCAGTACACTGGATTCCCTCCCCAGAACCAGGCGCAGCAGCCGCCACCGGTGCCACAGATACCAACTCGCTTCAAGACCTCCTCCGATATCGCGAACTCCTTCCAAGGTGCTCCTGGCTCTGGGGCACCCCCTCAGGTGCCGCCAAAGTCTGGGTCAAAGATTCCAAGCATTCGGCTTTCTTTCATCACGGCGCAGGATCAGGCGAGATTCGAGCAGCTCTTCAAGTCTGCTGTTAGCGATAGCAAGACAATGGATGGTGGGTCTTGTTTCCATGTGCCCAATGGGCCACATCTCAAAGGCTTGTATGCCAGTACTGACTGGTCACAATAGGCGAGAAAGCAAGAGATCTTTTGCTGCGATCCAAGTTGCCGGGCGCCGATCTTTCTAAGATCTGGGTCTTGTCTGATACCACTAAATCCGGACAGTTGTTCTTCCCTGAATTTGCATTGGCCATGTACCTCTGCAATCTCCGTATCACTGGCCGTGAGCTGCCTTCTTCCCTACCCGAGACGATCAAGAACGAGGTTTCCAGCATGGTTGACATCATCTCGTTTGATGTCCCCGAGGAGCCGGTCCAACAGCGAACAAACGTTCCCAACTTTGATGCGCCTCTCATGGAGAGCAAGTCGACGCCCCCAGTTGTTCAACAGCCCGTCCCGCAGCAACCGAACAACGCCCAGCTCCTGTCGCAGCTGACAGCACAGCCTACTGGGTTCTTCCCACAACAGACAGGTATCCAGCAACCCAACCAAAACCAGTCTCAGTTCCTTCAGCCTCAACAGACTGGATTCATGGGCAACCCGCAGGCTACTGGATATACCGGCCCCCGGCCCCCGATGCCGCCTATGCCTACTGGTTACGGGTCGGCACAAACCGGTGGAATGCAAGGCCTGACGGCGCAACCTACAGGCATTCCAGGTCAATGGGGATTCATCAATACACCAGCACAGGGTTTGCCCAACATTGAAGCTATGAAACAGCAGCTTATGCCGCAGCCTGGGCGTGAAGGTGGTTTCAGTGCTGTTGGTCTTTCAGGAAATGCTACGGTTGCCTGGGCAATTACAAAGGAGGAGAAGAAGATTTACGACGATCTTTTCCGCGCATGGGACGGTTTCCGTAAGGGCTTCATCAGTGGTGAGACTGCCATCGAGATCATGGGTCAAAGTGGGCTGAATAGAAAAGACCTGGAACGGATCTGGACCCTGGCTGATCCCCATAACCGCGGCCGACTGAACATGGATGAGTTCGCCGTGGCTATGCACATGATCTACCGTGCTCTGAACGGATACGCAGTTCCAAACCGCCTACCACCCGAGCTTGTTCCTCCTTCTACAAGAAACTTGAATGACTCTATCGGTACAGTCAAGTCCCTTCTTTCTCAGGATGCTGAAAATCGCAAGGCTAGTGGGGCGTTCCTGCAGCCACAGAAAACTGGTGTCAGCTACCTCAAAGATCACTCCTTCCGTGGTGGCGCAGGAGGCTCTGCTGGTGCCAGCCGTAAGGATGCGACGATGTTCAAGAACAATGATTCCGCTGGTGGATACCGCTCCAGTGCACGTCGTCGCGTTGGTAACGAGGCTCGTACCCCGTCACCGTCCGCCTCTGGCGCTTCAGAGGAAGAGTATTCTGTGGAACAGCTCCAAAAGAAGATCCGCGAGGCCAAAGTGATGATTGACGCTGCCGACTTCCAGGACGAGAACCGAGCCGAGGATGATGATGTTCTAGACCGCCAGGATCGCCGCGAGGCAGAAAGTCTCATGGACCGTATCCGTCGTGTACAGGACGATCTCGATACTCACCCCAATGCCGCACTCCGTCAAGTGGACAGTGGTGCAGAGCGCAGGGCTCTTCGTCGCCAACTGCAGTCCTTTGAAGACCAAGTTCCTCAGGTTGCATCTGACGTGCGTCGTCTTGAGCGTGAAATCGCGGAGGCGAAGCTTGAGCTCTTCCGTCTCAAGGACGCCAAGGCACATCCTGGAGGCGCCTCTAACATCATTGGCACTGGCCCTGGCGGCACTGTGACTGAGGCAGATCGGATCAAGGCCCGCGCGCGTGCGCGTATGCAAGCCCGGGCTGCCGAGCTTTCAGGGCGCCCCGCACCCGCGACGGAAGATGACGATGGCCAAGCAGCTCGTCGTCTGGAGTCTGAGAGCACTCACGTGAAGATGGAGCGGGAGCGCAACGAGACTATGACTCGTGATGTCGAGGAAAGTGTCCGTGATTTCGCTCGCAGTTTGGAAGACAGCCTCCGGGAAGAAGGCCAGAACTCCACACGTGAGCATGAGAAGCGTCGTTGGGAAGATGCATTGGGAGTTGAGGACACTATCCGCGACTTCATCTACGATCTCAGCCGCAATGCGCGAACTGCAAATGTTCGCAAAGAAGAGTATGTTATCCTTGTCAATTAGGAAAAGGGTTCAATGCTGACAATTTATAGGCGAGGACGACGTTCCCCGGAGGTTTCTTCTCGAGCATCTCCAGCTGCCGAATCTCACGCTGCACGTCCTTCAATGCCCAAGTCTGTGGACTCGTCAAGCTCTCTTCCTGGTGGTACACATGAAGATCGTGTGGCGGCTGCTCGGGAGCGTGCACAGAAGCGCATTGCTGAGCGCATGGCTGCTGCTGGTTTGAAGCCGAATGACGCTACTGAGACTCTTGCGCAACGCCAGGAGCGTGAGAAGAAGGAGCGCGAAGAACGTGTCAGACGCGCCGAGGAAGAAGATGCTAAGCGAGAACAGGAGAGACAGCGTCGCCTGGCCGAGGAACGGGGTGGTCCTACTGAGGCAGCTCCCAAGACTGCGGGCAAGAAACCTCCTCCAGCACCGCCCACCCGCAGGGCCCGGGCAGATAGTGCTGGTCAAGCCGATGCTAAGAAAGAAGAGGAATCCACTAAAGTGGATCAGGGTGCCCGTGAGCAGGCTATCAAGCAAGAACAAGAGGTGCAGGAGGCAGAGACCAAGCGTCTAGAGTGAGTAATCCACGCCCGATAGAGACCAAATTAGTGGAGTTGGCTAATACATTTACAGGAGCGAGGCAAGCCAACGCGAGCAGGAGTTCCAACGGGAGAAGGATGCTCAAGCTGCTCGACTTCGTGCTCTAGAGGAACAGGTCCGCCAGGGCAAGATCAAGAAGCAGGAAGAGAAGCGCCGCAGGGAAGAGGCTAGCCGACATGCCAAAGAACAGGAAGCTAGTCTTGCAGCCCAACGAGCTGAACTGGAGGCGGCTAAGGAACGTGAGCGACAGCTGCAACTTGAACTCGAGGGACTTGAAGACTCATCGTCCGATGACGAAGGCCCTGCCGATATCACGCCTCAGTTCAGCACCCCGACGCAGAGCCAAATTCTCCCTCCCCAGCCTCCCGTGCCCGCGATGACTGAACCTCCCACCCCCGAAAGCGTGCCCAGTGAAGTGGGCTCCCCTGAAAGCAGCCGTAGTGTTCCTGCCGCCACGCCCGATGCCGAGTCCAAGAACCCATACTTCAAGAACATGGGTCAGCCATCCGACCCCATTCAAGCAGCTTCGCCGCCGGCCACCGCTCAGTCTACGAACCCCTTCCACCGCATGGTGCAGCAAGAACCTATCAAGCCCACCTTCACCGGTGCAGCCCCCCTGGAACGCAAGACTCGTGTCCGCCCTGAGGAAGACGATGACTGGTCCGCTGCCGGCTCCGACTTCGATTCGTCTGACGATGAGGACGACGGTCCAACCGGCGGCAGCGCCAAACAACTTGCCAGCATCTTGTTCGGTACTATGGCGCCCCCACGTCCTCTGAGTGCCATGGATGAAGAGAAGCCTACCTCGAAATCCGCTACCCCGGTACAAGACACCCCTGTTGCACCTCCACCCCCGCCCCCAGCAGCTTTGCCTCCTGTCCCTGCTATTCCTACCTCCGGCGATTCCACCTCCCCACCAGCCGCACCATCTGGAGTCCCTCCCCCTCCCCCGCCTCCACCTCCTCCCCCAGGAGCCGGTGCTCCTTCTATGCCCCCGCCCCCGCCTCCTGGCGGAGCCTCCTCTATTCCCCCGCCACCCCCTCCGACTGGCATCCCGCCTCCACCTGCTCCTCCAGCCGCGGCCGGTGCTCCTGGTGACCGAGGCGCCCTCCTTGCGTCCATCCAGCAAGGCAGGACCCTGAGGAAAACTCAAGTGAACGACCGTAGCACAAGCTCGTCGGCCGGACGCGTGCTGTGAAGAGGGAATTAGAGTCTTTTTTTAATTTATTTCTGTTTTGAGAGTACATAGTGTACAGATGCGGAGACGAAGGGGAAGGACATGACCGTATCTACATGATTGGAGAGCAAGGTGACGATTGTCGAATGGATAATGGGAGAGTAGTTAGCGAGTAGTTAGCTGTGTTTCTGTACTTTTCTTGCAATACTCAATTTGTTTATTACGTATCATTGTTATGCCTGTAACCTTCGAAGCAAGCTTCCTATGTATGTTGGAAACTGGGGCTCCTGCTGCTCCCCATCTCCTTCCTTCATTCCAGGGGTTGTTTTAGCACCCGGAAGCTCTAAACTCTAACGCATCAACTACTACTACGTACAAAGATATTCTCTTCGACTATGTCTGCTTATCACACCCCTGAACAGGGTTACATGAGGGTTGTAACCCCTCCTCCGATTCCAGCAAAGACGCTCTTGTTAGTCCACCAGTTACCGGAACTTGACGAGCAACAGTTGCCAGAATTCCTTGATCATACCATCCGTGATGGTTGCGATATCCGTCATTTATACGAGGTTATGATTGATGCTATCAGGTCACACAAGGCGTATCTCGTAAAGGAGCTACTCCAATATGGTACACCTGTGTCACCAATCTATGTACGCGAAGCTGTCAAGGCGAAGGCGAAAGATATCCTAATAAGTTTCTTCGATCATGGCTGGGATATCAACACACCGATGAGTGGAATGGACCCCCCTATTCTTGCGTAAGAACCCCTATTTTCTTCTAAACGTTCCCAGCTGAATCACATTTATTTTTAGCAATGGTCTCGAGGACCTGGAGATGACAATATGGCTGCTTGATCATGGCGCAGATCCTAATAAACGATGTGATATCGATAATACCCCGCTCTATTATGCAGTTAGATATGCAGATTTGGCAACTATTGATCTTCTCCTACATCGAGGTGGTGATGTCAGAATGGGCCAGCTTGTGCATAATGCGATTTATCGAGAGTCCGACACCCTCGAAGTTGTCAAAATGCTTGTTGATAGGGGTGCTCCTTTCAATTCTCTCATGTACCAAGACCACAGTATTCTTGGGACATGTTTCCTTTTATGAGGGAGACCCCTCTACACACGGCAGTGGCTCTTCAAAAAGGGGATGTTATTCGCTATCTGATTCACAAAGGGGCAAGTGTGAAAATAGAGGATTGTAGGGGTCAAACAGGCATGCAGTCCGCAGATCAAGATACCAGGAGAGTGATTATACAAGAGATTCAGAGCAGCTACATGTTAGACGCATCCCTGTGATATGTTTGACCATCAATGCTTTTGGTAGCTATGTCTATCTACTCATCCTCTTCTTCCTTGTTCACCTCATCTCTTCATTGCCTATGATTTCGCGAGAGTTGAGCTGATGTTATATAGTTGGTGATCCAAGGCTTGAATACAAAACCAGCTTCTTGAGGCCAACAAGGCCATGGATAAAAGTAAACTTGTCCCCACGGAACACGGGCTAGTATGTGGGATACATGTTGCATTGAAGCCTGGGTTGGTGGAGCGTGTCGGTTTGTCCTTTTGGGGGCTTAATGCCTTGTTTCTTCTGAGTATGGTTTTTCACAATTTGTCGGTCGTAAAGGCACAGCGCATTGAATCTGGTGAGGTAGAGACTGTTATTTGTCACTTCTTAGGAATGTGCACTTTCAGGTTACAGATATATTCACATGTCCAGAACTGTTTGATCTAGGGTATACCAGTATCTGACACAATGAGAAAGTGGCAACCTGGGTAGTTTGAAGCATTGTCTGCGAACTATCTGTTTTGGGGTTATTGCCTAGAAGCTAGGGGACTATACAATGTAATTCAACATTAAGCCGTCTGAAAGGCGTAGGCAGCCGTAGTGGAAGAGAAGTGCGATTGCGCTATGATCCCTAGCTGTTACGAATCATGATCCCTGTCTGGTGTGGATATTAAGATTGCGTCGTAAGAGGCCCTACCTGTGTAGATACGACAACCCTCCAACCAACTGGCTTATTCGATGTTACGCTAGCCATAGGCAGACTCTTAGCTTATAAAGGACAAAATCGCCTGCTTGAGCTTGCCGGTTTATCCATCTTGTAAATTCGGGCAAAAATGATGTTTCGTCGCTCTAAATCTGGCGAGGGATTGAATCATGCCCGAATTATTCACGAGGACCGTGTCGGGCTATTGAGTCGATTGACCTTCCAGTGGATTTTTCCATTGTTATCTGTAAGTCTCTAGATTGTCCGATGCATTCCCCTGAATTTTAAGACCTGCAAAGCTCATCGCGCCTTTTTATTAAGATCGGATATTTTCGACCTTTAACTAGAGATGATACCCGGAATCTGAATCCAAGCCGCGCGGTTGCGATACACCAAAATACAGTCTTTGCCTCCTTTCAGCTTGGTCTCTCTCATGGGAGAAAGTTTCCATTTCTCCGGGCCCTACATTCTGCCTTCAAATTTGAATTCTGGATGGCGGGAATTGCCATGCTGTTTGCAAACCTCCTGCAAGTGATGGCGCCCTTGTTACTGAGATATTTTCTCGTCAGTCTATCGGATGAATTGTCGTCCCACAGCAGCTCCTTCATCTTTGTGGTCTCACTCTTTACCACCCAGATGGGGATGAGCTTCGCTCTTGTACACTACCATTATCTGGGTCAAGTGGTCGGTAGCCAGGTTAAGGCTGTTCTTACTGCAATAGTCTTTGAAAAGTCTCTGAAGCTCTCTAATAGTGAAAGCAATGATTGGACTGATGGGAAGATATCGAATCTTATTACAGTCGATTCGCAGCGTATTGAGAGCGCTCTTCTATATGCCAACATGATTTGGAGTGAGCCAGTGGCTGTCATTGTGGCATTGGCTATCCTCTTCTATAATCTTACCTGGAGCGCGCTGAGTGGCCTTTTACTCCTTGTTGTAGGTGCGAAAGGCCTGGAATACAGCATGGGCTGGCTGATGTCAAGACGTGTGGCAATCAATGCCCAGGTAGATCACAGAATATTGAGCCTCCTTGAAGCACTGCGCAATATGAAATTTGTCAAGTTCCATGCTTGGGAGCCATACTTTATCCGTCGGATCTCTGATGCCAGAACGGCCGAGGTCCAGCAGCAACACAAGCTATTAAGCCTCCAGAGCACGATCATGTCCCTATCCACCTCGCTCCCTTCATATGCGGCGATGTTATCTTTTATTATGTTCATGACCGTCCAAGGCCGACTGACTGCTGCAGAGGCATTTTCTTCCTTAGCGCTATTCAATTGTCTTCGCAAGCCCCTCAATATCTTGCCGATGGTGCTTAACCAGCTCATCGATGCATGGGTATCTATCCAACGCATTGAATCATTTCTGAGGGCGGAGGATCAACAGAAGACAATAAAGTGGGATTTTAACGCTGTCAATGTCGTCGACGTAACTGACGGCTACTTTTCCTGGAATTCTACTGCTGATGACAATGTTCCTTCTCCCGCGATTACTGAAGAAACCAGCCTGCTCTCCGTGCATGAGGAATTCAACATAGCTGGCAATGGGCTTTCGTCTTTAGCTCTAAGAAACGTTGACCTACAGGTCAAGTCAGGAGAGCTTGTTGCGGTCGCGGGGCCTGTAGGCGCAGGAAAGAGCGCTCTTCTTCTCGCTCTTGCCGGCCAGATGGGCCAGACTCGAGGCCATATCACACTCGGCGCTACGCGATCCTTTTGCTCTCAAGTGCCGTGGATTGAAAGTGGGACTGTCCAGGAGAACATCTTGTTTGGCAAATCTCTACTACAGCCGTGGTATAATGAGGTGATAGAAGCGTGTGCTTTGAAGCCAGACCTCAAGGCATGGGAACATGGCGATGCTACTTACATTGGCGAGCAAGGCATTACACTGTCCGGTGGCCAGAAGCAACGTATTAGTCTTGCGCGAACCATATACGCAGACGCCGATCTACTGCTTCTAGATGATCCTTTATCGGCTGTGGATGCCGATGTTGGACAGCATATCTTCAAGGAAGCTATTCTTGGCTTGCTACGTGGAAAAACCTGCATTCTGGTGACCCACCAAAAGCACATAATCACCCAATGCGATCGTGTTTTGTGGTTAGAAAGGGGCCATATTAAGGCTTCTGAAAGCCTATCGAGCCCATCATCTAGTAATGAATTGTTGTCGCATTTGATTCCTGCCCAGGAGAATTACGAGGCAAAGAACTCGAATAATGGAGATAATGGCAGATTGAGCAATGAATATGATGAAGCGGTACCTCACGACCAAGATCATAGTAAGAGTTATCTTCGTGAAAATGATCTGATATCAATACTAATAAACTCTTTTATAGAAACGGTGATAGACAGCGAGACTCAAAAGACGGGCAGTGTGCACAGGTCTGTCTACAAAACGTACCTTTCTGCTTCGGGCTCGATCTTCCATTGGCCGATTCTCTTCTCTCTATTGATTGTCTCGCAAATAGCCGGAATCTTCACTAGCGTTTGGCTATCATGGTGGGTGGATAACACCTTAGGGTGGGATAACCTTGCTTATATAGTCGGTTATATCCTCTTTGGGGTAGTTCAGAGCGTTCTCGCGTGGGTATATCTTAGTCAAGCTTCAATTACAGGCTTGCGAGCTAGTGACAATCTGTTCAAGACGGCTCTTCAGCGTGTCTTATATGCTCCCATGTCATTTCATACTGCAAATCCGGCTGGACGATTGATGAACCTGTTCTCCAGTGATGTGAATCAGCTGGACAATGGTGTTAGTGGCGCAGTTCAGGCATTCTTTATGCTAATTGGAATTGCCTTCTCTACTTTCCTACTCATATCTGTTCAGTTTCCTCTTGTAAGTGGAATATAGCACTTGCAGTTGCTATCACATTGGCTTTGAACTAATATTTGGCCTCTGCAGTTTATATTGTCCTTTCCATTGATTACTTTGGTCGTATACTATACTTCCAGCTATTATCGCGCTTCGAGGCAAGAGCTTAAACGCTTCGAGACCGTATCACGATCTACTGTTGCAGCAAGTACCATCGAGTGCATTTCAGGCCGCCAGACCATCCGAAGCTTTGGCGTCCAACATGTTTTCCAAAGTCGATTGAGTATCACAATCGATGAAGCAAGCAACTATTCATATTTAATGTCAGCCAGCCAGCAGTGGCTGAATCTCCGACTGGATACACTGGGCAATATTCTCATTCTCTTTGTCGGAGCTTTGATTGTCATGTCGGACAACTCCATTCCAGCAAGTATGTCTGGTTTGTTAATGACTTACTCTTTGGCTGTCGTGCAAATAATCCCTGGCATTGTATCCCAAACTGCTGAGATTGAAAACTCTTTTATCACAGTCGAGAGAATGATATATTATGGCAATGAAATTCCGACAGAGATAGCCATATCGGCTACTGTGCCATCGTCGACCTGGCCAGAAAAAGGAACCATAACCTTGAAGGAAGTTAGCCTACGCTATCAGAGTGATCATCCTCAAGCATTGAATGATGTCAGCCTCACAATCCATGACGGTGAAAAAGTCGGTATCATTGGGCGCACAGGTGCAGGCAAATCTTCAATTATATCCGCTCTTTTTCGACTCTTTCCCCTAGAAAATGGGTCCATTGTCATTGACAATATGAATATTGCAGATTTGAATCTTCATTCCTTGAGATCCAAATTAGCTATCATTCCTCAGGACCCGACCCTCTTCCAGGGCACAGTCCGAACAAACTTGGACCCCGCTGGAGAATATTCAGATGATGTTCTTTGCGATGCACTTCGCAAAACTAGCCTTTATCCGCAAGTACACCTTGACCGAGAAGTTCTACCAGATGGCAAAAACTTTTCTCTGGGTGAGCGGCAGTTGCTAGCATTGGCGCGTGTTTTAGTGCGAGATCCTCGCATCCTCGTTTGTGACGAGGCTACTTCTGCCGTCGATCAAGACACGGATCAGGCTGTGCAGAAGACACTACTAGAGGGATTTCAGGACCGAACAGTAATCTGCATTGCTCATCGACTGCAAACGATTATACGTTATGACCGAATCTGCATGGTAGATCAAGGCAAAATTGTTGATTTCCAGAGTCCACTTGCGTTGTTCGATAAAAATGCCGAGTTTCGCCAGATGTGTGAGCTCAATCAAATCACCCGCAAGGACATCGTTTAGTACAAATTGGTGGTCTAGCCTTCTGTTTCATTGACAAGGGTAAAAGCTTTTGTATGAAGAAGTTCAGAATTGAATGAGGATGCATTTCGTATATCATAGTCCATTCACAATTATTCAATGTTTCACATGAAAAAATGATAAGCTGTACATTCCAAACTGGAAAGCAGAAAAGAAACCCGCCACAATGTTTAACCAACACCAACACCAAACCAAACCAAAAGAGAGCGTAGACCAACAGTTGCTATTTTCGATTCGTATGTGCATGCTCCAACACCAATTCACAAAACAACTTCCGCAATCACATTCCCCAGGGTACTGACACACCAAACAGCGATAAGACCCCAGCCAATCCTGCGATCCATCCGCCAATTGTTCATAGGAACAATAATCAAAAGTCCAACCAGAATAACCAAAAGCGACACGCCGCTGATAATAAGCACTTTGGAGATGGCAATCTCATAGGGAACTTGCACAGGGGTGATACCATGCAGCGCCTCTTCCTGTCTCTGGTTCCCACCGTTGAGGGTCATATACAGACCACCGAGGCCGATACCGAGGAGAATATTGAGCATGGGACCACCGAAGCAGGCGCTGAGAGCCATGACTGGAAACCCGAGTCGGGCAACTGTGATGTCAGCCACTAGATCGCCTAGCGAGTTTCCGACGGCGAAGACGGTCAATCCGAGTAGGGAGTCGGAGATGTTGAGAATGACGCCGATGGTCTTGAGGAGGGAAACAACTTCTGTGGCGATCGTTGCGATCCAGGCTATGGCGACCAAGAAGCCAAGTAGGGACAGGAATGGCCGCCATTGTGGTGGGAGCGCGTCGGTTCGAGGTTGGGATTCGTCGGGGAGGAGCGGGATGGAAAGATCTGCACTGGTACGTCGACTGTTTCGTCGACGACGAGTGCTTATGACCAGGACTGTGAGACAGACGGAGGAGAATAAAAGGGAAACGAGGGAGGGAAGAATGAGGTTGCGCGGCTGACGGTCTTCGTCTATGGTCGTCCAGGCGATGAGCACGGCGAAGAAGGGACCTGTGAAAAGCTGGATGGCAACCAGCCAGCGATTCCAGTCCTTTGGTGGCACAGGGTGCTCAGGAGGTGAAGCTGGCAGTCGGACTGCCGGGAGTTCCGAGTCCCACCGCTGGCGACCAGTTGGCTCATACGAGGACTTCCGATGGGGGTGGGTTGACGGCACATTAGAAACTGATAAGGTGTGATCATGTGCCTGCGCCATAATCACTGGACTATCAGCTGGAAGTCTGACCCTTGGGGAGGGATTATCTCTGCCGTCGACATCTTGAATGATCACCGAGGGTATGGGGTCCGGTTCCACAGACTCTGGCTCCTCTGGCTCAACAACTGGGACCGTTATGGTAAGAAGCAGTACACTGGGAGCTGCGATAATACCGAGCAGTCGTTCCCAGACGTTTTTAGACTTCCAGCCCGCCAGGGTCGGGAAGAGTATGCAACCAATCTGCTGGGGAGGGGGGATCGAGTCAGGCCACCAGTTCCTCAGGTATTTGTAGAAAGGGAGGCCTACATGAGCGAAATCATCATACCCGTCGTGGACCTGTAGTCGTTCCAACGGGCTGGGTGAATTTGGAAGTCGAATGCTGGGTGGTCGTGAGAACGACGCGGAGGGTAAATCAGTATACGATGGGAAGGGCGATGAAGGGCTTTCTAATCCCACGCCGGGATGACGGCGTATTGCAGTGCCCCTCGGAGAAACAGATACTGACACCGATGACCGTTCATCTACCTCTCCGTTCCGATAATTGGGAAAGTGAAAAGTGTCCGATGGAGCGAGCCGGTCAGGAGTTTGAGGACTTGTGGTACCTGGACTCAGACTCAAACTCGGTGACCGATTCGCAGAATCAGATGCATCCAGCGCCATCCCAGTATCAATTCGAGCGAGCTGGCGTGACTGCAGCGCTTCTTGTCCCGAAGTATCCTCAAAAGAGGGTTTGCTCACTGTAAGCAGTGGACCTTGGGTTGACCGGGGTTCCAAAACACTGGAGTCAAATTTCAACCCCACGGCATCGTTCGCCGACACAGCTCGAACTCGAGAGGAACCTGCTGCGCTGGAGGGCGACAAGCGGTCAGTACTGGCAGATGGTCGACTGGCACGAGGATGCGATGCCACCGAGCGCGTGTCAAAATCAGACTGGTCATCGTCGGAATAGCTGTTCAGGCTTATTGCGGGATTGCGACGGGTATTTCTTGATTTCTGCAGAGAGTGAAGAACAGATTGAAACTCCAATGCACCAACAAGACTCGGTCGAATGGGGTTTATCGTATTGCGCCTCGATTTCGCGGGCCGATAGACGTGCATGTTATCACGAATTTCGGCCAAGTATCGGTTGCGTGTTTCGTCATCCTCCTCGTCCTCGCCGTCCTCTGTTTTCCATAGAGGGACGGCCTCGACGCGTTCCAAAAGATCAAAATCCTCGGTTGAGGCTCCGCGGAGAAGACTTCGCGACTCTGATGCTACACCAGGATCATCGTCTTCGGCTGCCTCTTCGATCTCCAGCTCTTGGTTCTCCGGTATATGAAAGTGAGTTCGCGCTGCGAGGTCTCTCTCGTTCTTTCGGCGTCGTCGTACCAGATACCAGTGCCAGGTCACCACCATTACGACATAGAAGGCGTACAAGCCCACCATCGCAGCTGACTCCCATACATGAAGTTTCCCATCGGCCAGCATAAACATGCTGAAAACGACAGCCACTATGAAGTAGCCCACATCTCGAACAAAACTCCTTCGCGCGACCTTGAATGGCCGGACTAATGCCATGGAACCCGCGACAACGGAGGTGATGAAAGTTGCCGCGCCGATCAACTCACCGATTGCCAAGCTCCCACTATTCGACCGCATGGCCGCGAAAGTGGAAAACACGTCAGGACTTCCATTGCCAAATGCAAGGAATGTCACGCCTGTGAGACTCTCGCTCAATCCTAGAATGCTGGCCAATGTACTCAGATCAATACACAGGAAATCACTTGCCGCGATGCCGATGGTACTGAAGAGCAGTGATAACCAGAGTATCAATATCGTAAATGCTATCGGTTTTACTTTGGCCAATCCGCAATAGTAAAATTGAAGGTACGAGATTAGGCCATCCTCGTGATCGGGGCAATTGTCGCGGACATAGGCACACTGATTTTTGACGTTGCGGACCAAGCGGCACTACATCATCGTGTAACAGGACATCATTTAGCCTTCAGTACCATCTCACAGGATAGGATTTTGGAAGAGAAAGATACCTCTAGTTCGCCCTCTCGTTTGAACAGGCTTGTATGTGGCCCTATACCCGGTTGCGCAAACTGCACATGGTCATTTGTAGTACCAGTAAAAACCCAACTAGCCGCTCCAATAAGTATAAACACCAACAGCGTAGTATAAAATGGTCGGATTGAATATCGGGGCTTGTGGACGGCAGGCTGCAGGAAGGACGGCAGCTGGTTCATTATGACGAGAAGTATGGGGGCATCGTGGGCCGAAGACTTTAGATAATGTAGACCAGTCTATACCAGAAAGATCAACATTAAAGACTCAATCCATGTACAATATATATCCCACGCGCGTCCAATGGATGTTGGTTTGTATAGGCCAGCGCGGTGAGTGCGGTGATGTCAGCTGGGAGGTGTGGCGGACCTCGGGAGTGGGCCAAGGCGCTTAGTCTGCCGATCGTTGTTGTACTGGAGGTCGATTGCAGAAAAGATGATTGTAACTAATATAAGATGAAATGGTTTAGCAAGCGTTGTAATCAAGCAACGGAGAATTTACTAGTAGCTACTGAAGGTTCGAAAGGATGAGCCAAAAGAATGCCTGACTTGGGTACGACATTAACACCTGATATTTCAGGCATAAACTATGCATGATTACGTGAGAGATAGTGCGTCACTGGTACACTTGGACCGCCGTATGTTTGTTGACTTCCCCATTTGTTTTGCTTCATATGGATTCATATCGACATCAACCCCTCTCTCGATCGAACTTTCCATCTCAACGCTGTTATCGCCAACCCCTATCGGGGGCAACCGCAACCATGCCGCGTGTCGCAAACAAGGTGCATCGCCGTTCAAACGGTGCCTCGACCCCGCACAAAAACTCCCCAGTCAAGTACGTATCTGGATACCTCCTGGTTGTGAAATTCAACTAATTGAATCAGGATTCCCCTCAACGATGATGAGGGTGAGAAGGCAGCACGGATGGAGGCTCGTCAAGCACTTCATGATCGCCAAATGAGCCAAATCAAAGCCGCAGTCAAGACGCCTATGCCACCCCGTCGATACACCTATGATCGTGAAGGGAGCGACAGTCCCGCAACTCCTCGACCCTCGGGCCATCGCAGTCGCACTAGCGATGTCAATGGCCGCGCAGTAACACCGATGAAGCGCGTGCCTATCCTGGCCAATTTTGAAGAGTGGATGAAGATGGCAACTGATAACAAAATCAATGCGAATAACTCCTGGAACTTCGCGTTGATCGACTACTTCCACGACATGTCTTTACTGAAGGATGGAGATACTGTGAACTTCCAAAAGGCCAGTTGCACCCTTGACGGTTGTGTTAAAATCTACACCAGCCGAGTGGACAGTGTCGCAACGGAGACAGGAAAACTTCTGAGTGGATTAGCTGATAGCCGCGATAAGAGAGGTCGTGGGGAGGAGGAGGAAGAAGATGGCGATGAGGATGAGGAAGGCGAGGATGGTCAGGCTCGCAAGTCGCGGAAAAAGGTATGGTCTATACAGACGATGTCAGAGATATTGGATTTGACTAACTAGACGGTGTCTAGACACGCTCCCATGAGGCTACCCTCGCCCCGTCATTCTCGTCGTTGCAACTGAAGAAGTTCGAGTTAGAATTCGCTGTGGATCCGTTATTCAAGAAGGCATCGGCAGACTTTGATGAAGGAGGCGCCAAGGGCTTGCTCCTGAACCACCTTGCTATTGATGGCCATGGAAGAATTGTATTCGACAGCAGTGACGATGCTGTGGACGATAGTACCAAAACTGCCGAGGACGATCGTCAAGAGTCTGTGGATCCAGATCAGCAGACTGATGATCAAACAAAACCAAACCAGAAACCCGCAAGCGACACTTTTGAAGATAACACAGAGATCGACCTTGCCATGCTAGCGAGCCAGTTTTTCCCAGATTTAGATCGTCTTGATGAGCAGGATATCTGCCCATCGCTCAAAAACCTCGACTTGGGTGATCCCAGCGGGTCGCTGGATCTTCCTCTCCTTAAAGCACCAGAGGAATGGCGACAAGACAAGCTGGACGAAGAGGGACGAGCACCTGATGACCCATCTGGTATCATGCTCGACGACGACAACGCTGTCGGATTTGATGATGATGACGCTACCCTAGGCGGATTTGATCTTGGCGGTGATGCTGGGTTTGGTGATGGAGGAGAGGTATGGGCTCGGGAAGCCGCCTTGGAACCAATGTTGAATGTTCACCGCGCGACCCACGATGGAGATAATGATGGTGAGGGCGACGATGGCGATGAAGACGCATATGCCATATCTATGTCTCATCAGACTAATAGTCACGATCACGAAAATATTCTAAGCTACTTTGACAACGCGCTACAGAAGAATTGGGCTGGCCCAGAACACTGGAAGATTCGAAGAATCAAAGAGCATGCAACACCTGCTACGTCGGCACCCAAACAGCGCAAAGAGAAAGAGCCATTTGAGATTGATTTTGCTGCCCCTCTGGATCCTGCTGTCGCAGAATTGATCTACACCCCGGCCAGCTCCAACTCCGCCGTCTCATTGCCCAAGACACAGTGGAAGACAAAGGGTCGCAATCTTCTCCCCGACGACAAGCATTTCAACTCCCGCAATCTACTCACATTATTCCTCAAGCCAAAGGCAAAGATGGGCTCAAAGAAGATTCTGGGCAAACGTCGTCGGCAGGATTTGACGGCTGGTAATGGAGACATGGACGAGGCATTCTGGGCAAATCGCAAGCCGGAAGAAAACGCTGGCGAGGAAGGTACTGCCGGTGCCTATGATGCCAACTTCTTTGCTGATGACGACGGTCTTGCTTTCCCGAACGGCATGGACCTCGATGACGACGACAATCTACCATTTGCTGATGCCCGGGAAATGCTTTCTCCGCCAGTTGACGGTCCTCCAGGCACATCGGCCGGAGAGGCAGGTGGAGCAACTGGGCTCAGCGCGCTCTTGAACATGGTTGGTGCAACGCCTGGCCGACCCGGAGCTGGCGGCTACGGCTCACAATTAGTGACACAAGGTGGTCGTCGTGCACGACCAGACTATGTGGCATATGCACGTGTGGCAAAGAAGGTTGACGTTCGTCGCCTCAAAACGGAGATGTGGAAGGGTATGGGTGAGCGTCTAGTTGATGCTGTGGGCTTCGCCTCAGCTTCACGACCAGGGGCCGTGTCCAGTGAGGCTCCGACCGAACCCGAAAGTGAATCGGATGCCCCTGTCCCGCCCACGCCCAAGGACGAAAGCCCAGAGCAACCTGATAATACTGGCCGGTTACGGTTCACACAAATCATGAACTCCCTCAAGACAGCCTACCCGGCTGAGACTCTACGCGATATCAGCACATCATTCGGGTTTATTTGCCTTTTGCATCTTGCCAATGAACAGGGCCTCGTGCTCGAGAGTGATGTCAGCAAGATGGGCTCCGATGCGGTTACCCTGGAAGAGATCTTCGTATCTAGGGATGCGCACGCCATCATCGAAGACGCAGGAGGGATGTGAGCGTCTCGATTTTTTTAGTTGCATGTACAGTTGACATGGATAGAAGCAACTGCGATATGCATGTTGGTCACGAGTGACGAGTGATGGACAAGACGGTGTGACTTGGTAAATCCTTGCGGCGTTGTGGTTTTTGCTTTTTCCTGTTCGCAGTGAATGGCGCTCTTGGGTCTTTTTGCTTCTTCGGATTACTTCTTTTGTAACGAATTCAAACAATTTCACATACTTTTTCTAGTGCAATAACAAGCAGTCCTAAATAATGGTAGGATGCGTTCCTTGGTTAGTATTGAATACTGGGAGAAATCCATAGCCTATGTACGGTGCTAGGAGGATGAAAGGTGCATAAAAAGTTCATTTATATGTATCATTGCAATCAATATATTCATTCATTGGACGAAAACCAAAGATCAAGAGAGGAAATACACCAACAGTGTACCAAAGTCCAAATAGGTATCTGTATCTCACACCAAAACTCCAGGGGCCCAGGGTGTACATTAGGGTAAACAAAAAGAAAAAAAGGGTCGAACAAGTGTTCGATTTTGAAGCAGATCGATCGAAAGTGACGAACTGAATTGTAGTTTTCGGGTTTTCCACTTTTTTTTTTTTGTTGTTTCCAAGCACTTTCATTTTCCACAAGGGAAAATGGAATCAATCCAAAAAGCCTCAAGTCAAAAGAAAGAAAAAAAACAAAACTTGCAGTCATACTCATTTATTTGCGTACAGGGGGCGGGAATACCGGCACCATAGGACTCTGATAAGCCCCAGGAATCGGCACAGCATCATAAGTGGGCTCCCCGGGAGCGCTACTACTCCTATTCACAGGCGGACTCTTGCGCTGGTTTTGGGGAGGCGGCGACGGTGAGTAATGAGTAGGAGGAGTAAACTCATGTTGGGCACTCTGCGGGCTTGGCTGCTGGACCTTGATAGGAGGTGGCTGGAGCTGGAATGATGGGATAGGGCGGGTAGGCGAACGTGGTGAGGCATACTGAGTAGTTTGGGGTTGAGCCATGCCCTTCTCAGCGGACGAGTAGGGGTCCACGGGGCCGGCGGCGTAGAAAGGAGACTTCCCGGGGTAGGAAGCAAAGCCTGCGAAGCCGGGGGTGTTCGGGGCGGATTGCAGACGCAGCTGGGCGAGATATAGATCTGAACGAGCGTTGTCGCGGGTGTCCATGGACTTCATCAGCTTGCGCTTGCTCCAGACGCGATAGAAGACTACCACGTAGATCAAGATCACGAGGAGTTCGAGGACGATTTCGATGATGGCACAGACGAGGCCCCAGTCTTGTAGACGGCAAAGGAGAGCATAGTCGATAGTGTTGTGGTAGATCTGCTCGCGGGTGTTCTGCGCGCAAGACCATCCCCACATATCCTTATTATCTCCTGTGGATTTGGAGTGCTGGTACACTGCGGCGCCAACGATCCACATAATCAGGTTCACGCCAAAGAAGGCGATCGAGAAGCCAGTGTAGTAGACGGCGACCTTCTCAGCACGTCCGTGGCCGCCCTTTCGGTAGGCCCAGAACACGACTAGACAGGCGACTAAGGAAACACAGGCCATGCCTAGAAGAAGGTACTGAGCCCATGGGTTGGTACCCTCTGCCCAGGCAGGAAGGCTGTTACGAGTAGGCAGGTGCTTGGTTGCGTTGAAGACAGTTAATGTCACGGCTAGCAATGCCAACACAATCAGACTGCAGCCGAAGTTGATGAAACGCAGGAAGACCTTGGCAATCCGGACGCGGAGTTTGATTCTCTGTTGACGATTAGTAAATTGCATTGATTGTTGGCATAATGATGCGGCTTTCTTACCAGGTCTCGGGCATTTTCGACTTCAGCTTTCTTTTCTTGCTTCTCAAGCATGTACTCCTCGCGGAAAGTAGGACTGAGAGGGTTCAATGACTTGGCCGTCTGTGGCACCTTCAGGTCAGGCCGGAAAGGTGACATTGGCACCTGGTCATCCGCATGCAGGGCGGCGTTGTTTGCTGTCACGTAGCCGAATCCCACATCTCCGACATCTCCCTTTGCTTGAGTCTTGGGAGGGTCGGCGAAAGGTGATCGTCCAGCGTCTGTGGGACCGATGGGAGAGTGAATCGATGTAGCCTCGGCGAATCGAGCAGTCCGTGGACTCTTGAGGGAGGCATTGCTCGTATCAGACCCGCTGCGAGTCTCTCGCACGGTATGCTGTGGTAAAGGACCCATTGCGCTGTGATAAGAAGCACGAGTGAGATCCGCAGGAACAACGGGCTCGTAGGTCATGGGAGAATTGTCTCGGCTATCGTCTGATACCGCCATTGTATCGATGTGCAATGTAGGCAAAGAGATCAAACAATTAGGTCAAGAGAGCCAGCTCTCGACTTAAAGGCCACAAGGTTGGCTACTGAGAATAAAACAACCTGAAATCAAGTCGAATAGACAGCAAAAACCACGAGTGTGGTAGGACAACAGCTGAACTATATCAGGTTTGCAGTAAATCACCGATACCGTGTGCGAAGCCTGCGTACACGAGTATTAACCAGCAGATGATGGGAAAATAGGAAAAAAATTGGAGACAATCAGAAAGTGACAGGAACCAGCCTGGGAAACCTTGAATATCAATAATGTTCAAGTGCTGGCATGGTCCGAGAGGCGGGGGACCAAAATGCAGACTTTTGATTCTCGTCACTTAGGGCGGGCCAGAGTAAGCGCTGGGAGGGAATTTGCAGTAGCAACCAGGAACATGATTGGAAGACCCAATGCCTGTCAAGCCCTCTGGCTGCAAGTGCACTGTACCTCGAGGCGTTGAGAGGGGAATGTGACTGGCCGGCGGGAGTGATCAGCCAAGCTTGTCACAGTGGAGTAACAGGCCAGTGAGATCGAGTAGGGACCATGCTTGCTCCTCACGATGCACCTCTGTCACCCTAACCCGGCGCTAACCCGCCGATCGTCCAACCAAACGCAATGCAGAACCGCTCTAGTGTGTGAGATGGATGAGCGGTCCGAGGAAAAAAACAGGGAAGATGTGAACGAGTGGATGAAAGCGCTCCTCAGCCCAAATTTGAGGTCCAGTCACATAACGCGATTAAGCACCCTTGAATCCCTTGAATGTTTTAGTCTGAAAAGTTGGAGAGGGGAAAACCCCGAAGGTCTGTGCACATCGCTATTTTTGCTTTTTTCGTTTCTCTGTGAAGCAGGGCAGAGCGAGTCACACCTGTGATAGTGCTTTGATCACGCATATTTAGACGGACTTGGTGTGAATCCATGAATAGTTTTTCTCGCCTCTTTCAAATATCCCGCAGTTTCAGCAATTAATAGACTGAATTATCTGAATTATTCTCTATACTTACCTTCCAATGCCTTATTCTCATTCAATCCCAAATATAGAATCTACCAAATTGGATATAAGAAGTATGGTACTTCATATATCGTTCCATGTGTGAATATTGAGATTGGCAGCCGCCGAGATAGGAACGCCACCTACATTATAGCCTGCAGATATGCATAGCATGTCCGGCCACTCAAGAGGTACCTTTGTATCTGTATCCTTCCGTTTGTCTCCTCTCATATTATCCCCAGCTTCTCTCTTTATAAAGAGAAGAAAAAATATATCTGTTCAGCCTATCGCTTTGCACTCAATCAGTCATATCGCAGACATCACAACCATATATCAGATATCCGTCAGTAGGATGGGATGCTCGATATAGGAACAGGTTAACCGCCGACAAGAAAAGCGCCAAGCTCGCAAGAAACCGCCGTTGTCTCATTCTCCACTCGACTATTTGCTCGCTATTATCACCGAAAGAGATGATTGCACCTATGACTGGTTGAACAAATGAAGCCATGGTGGGAAAAATCTCAAAATAGAATTGAACGAGTACCTCACATATCATGACCAGGCAAAGAGATACTGCCAGGATATTGATGACAGGAGCACCCTCAATATTCCGACAAGTATGGGTCGTCTCATGTTGGTGGCCAATACCTGCGCATTGAGGAACATATTATTGGTAAAGTTAGGATAGTGAGCTTTCATAGGACCCGAACACCTCGGGATATCGTCCGTGCTATACGTCAGCAGCCCCTGCACCCCGTCGATAATGCATCTATAGATGTTCTAGTAGAATCGGCCGACCCGAGAATTTACACAAAGAATGACACCTGCTATGATGGTCATCTGAAAGTCCGAAACACATCAAATGTCATGAAGTCCCCAGTGGAGCTTTGAAGAAAGTAATTATCGACTAGAATACGTTATACGAGAGTTGAGTAACTATTTGAATTCCGAGTTACCGTTGTGAAGCATATGGTTGATCGTGTGCAATTATTGGTGATCTGCAGAAGAAGAAGAAGAAAAAAAAAAGAACTTCTTCGTCCTCATCAATACGAATGAATGAGGAAGATACTCATCAGACAACGAGAAGGTGCAGTATCACAATGTTGAAATTATACATGTAGACTGGCTCAATAGAGTTGACAATACGTATAATGAAGCAGATAGAGACATTGAAGGTGGCAACAGCATAATGAACGTCTATTTCGCAAGGAGAACAAAATGTGTAGGATGATGATTGGCACAACGAAAGTGGATGGTCATTCGTACCTGTTATACGGCGTAGAAGACACTTGACTGGTATTTTGACATAGTCAATGCTTGATGGAGAGTCTCGACGCCACCGTGGATAGAATGTCCTCTCAAGTACGTGGGTCGGCGCAGAATTTGAACTGATCTGCGAGGCTTAGCTATGTAAGTTCACATTTCATGCAGGCATCTAGAGTAATATATAGGGAATGAGAAGTATCAGCCACACGCTATTTTTGGGTGTGGAGTAAGCATCCCTAGATGGTTGCACAACACTTGGAAGGCCCCCTAGGACAATGGGATTCCTTGATTTTATAATTCAATGTATTGTAGAATGCAGGTAGATCTGCCTTTCCACCATTGCAGGGTAAAAGAAATGGCATGTTCTAAATATTCATAGATCTGTATACTTTGAAGTCTACTTACATAGTACGGAGTATGTTAGACCGGTGTGGTACTGTTCCATAGGGCTCCGCGTAGCCGTTGATCCTTCAAGTCGCCTGAGGCGCCGACAAGGTACAAGGTTATAAGTGTACCCTGCTCGAAACATGGCGCAGTAAATGTGGTGCGCCTTGTATTACCAATCTACACTTGGATAATGTGACATGTGAGTAATGTAATTCAAGGATCTAAGTGGTCTGTGGTGGCCTTATGAGTCAATATATTGAATGGAGGAGAGTACACGTAGAAAGCCCTCAATACAAGCATATCTCCACTCAATTTACAAATCTCTAAAAGACCAGGAGTTCCAGTAAATTGAAATTAGAGTGTATTGTATGAATATATTATGTACAGATCCTGGGGTGACATCACTCTAATTGCCTGGTGCATTGTGTTCATATGCCCATTTCAAGGCTACTACTGGCTTGAAGAAACTTGATTTCATACAGTTTATGAGCCTCATCAGGATGTAGATCGTAGGCTTCTGTATGTACTGTGTAAGTAAAATATATATGTAAGTAATGTAAGGCAACGTGTACTTTTGAAGATAGGTCAGCCGCAGGAAGTGCCCCACGAGCCAGCCACACAGTTGTTAGCGGTCTACACAGCCTCAATCTTAACGAGGTATCGTATACTTATTAATACAATGTATTTATTGTTGAATCTCAAGTACTCAGTACTTAGTTGCCTCAGGGTTCATTTATCCAGAGCCTCGACCTCTCCAGTCCCCACCAAACGTATCATCCCCCTGCCTGGTTTCTGTTCACACGTTCATTCTCTTTGCGTGTTTTTTTTTCTCGCCTTCCAACGAATCTTAGACGCTAAATGGTGTGAAACTAGTTCATTAACCTCCACTTTTCTATCTTCACCACTCACATTTGCCATCTCTTTGTCTCATTCTTGTTCCGCCCATTCCAAACTTCAGATGGCCATTGAATCTCATCCACTCATTCCCTGATCGCTATTTTAAAGACCTAAGCCCCTGTGATCTTTCAGGTGGATCTTGACAGGTTCGAAGCTGAAACCACTCGTCAGCTTGCGCCACACTCGTGAGAAACGCCCCACACGCCCTGGTCTTCGCTCTCTTTCCCCCCAACCTCGTCTGTTTGACATCTTTGATATATCCCGGTGAATGAAAGTTAGTCAATTTCCACTTCCCCTCCAATCCCCTGTATACTGTCCTAACATGGCATCCAAAGTAGCTGTCGCCTTTGCTCGTCCACCCTTTGAGGCTGGCGCGATCCATTCTTTCTCCATGGCGACGTTGATGTCGAACAACGAGCCCATCGCCGTCTCCAACTCGCTATCCGCAAACTCTATCAACAGCTCTGAACCCCTCTCTTTGTTTAAATCCTCCAAACCCGAAAGCCTAAGCTCGATTGCCAGCGCCGGCCTACACGTCTCGCGATCAAGAGATCAACTTCCTCCGATGACAAGTCCAACATCAGTACCGGCGGATCGGCCGGAGCATGAGAAGGATGCTGAACGAAATAGTTCACAGGTGGCCCGGGAGGCTCTGGGCGCCAGTGAAAAGTCGCCAGGTGCCCCGATTCATGATCCTTCAGTACATGCATCTTCGGAGCACATGCAAATCGACTCACACGCGACCGAATCGCCCTCGGACCCGTACGGATCAAACGACCATCACCACAACTCACTAATGCATGCATCAACTGTGGCTAGCCCTGGTCCTATTGAGGAATCCACTTCTCAGGATGGTGATCGACGGTCGCGCGATGACTCCGAGATCGACCACGATGGCAAATCATTCTCATACCCAATGCCTACGGGTAATATTAACGATCCGCGTCGCGGACTGAGCCTACCAAACGCAGGCTACAATCGAGGCAGCCCTCGCTCTCCATCAGCGAAGAAACATCGCTGCCCATACTGCGCGACAGAATTTACGCGGCAACATAATCTAAAGAGCCATCTGCTCACCCACAGTCAAGAAAAGCCTTTCGTTTGTCAAACCTGCCAGTCACGTTTCCGAAGACTTCACGATTTGAAGCGTCACACAAAGCTGCATACCGGCGAGCGACCACATATCTGTCCCAAATGTGGACGTCGTTTCGCCCGAGGCGATGCACTTGCTCGGCACAATAAAGGACAGGGAGGCTGCGCGGGTCGACGCGCGAGTATGGGCAGCTTTGCGGGAGACGAAGAGTATGGCGATGGTACGACTGGGGGACCAGATGACATGGATGGGTTGATGTACACAGCAGAGCCTGAGCGCATGGACGAAGAAGACGAGCGACGAATGACTATGCCAAGCATCCGCAAGCACGAAGCAGATACAGTTGCCCGGTCTGATTCAATTCACCCACGTCAGTCCAACACTTACCCACCAATTGCCGCTGGTCGTCCCAGCCACCTTTTCCCGCCTCCAGCCAATCATGGTGGATCGAGTGTGTCAACATCAGCCTCACAGTCTGCACACATGACATTCCCGCCTGCTGGACTCACCTCGAGCTCGTCTATCTTCCCTTCCAACAATATCAATGACAGCCCTAAACCACTATCCCCGAACGCTCTTTCTTCGCAACATGATAGTGCACAGCCACATCGCGCACACTCTCCCGGTATGGGTCAGTCCTTGCCACACCCGCAGTCCTCTTTTGGGCGAGCGAATCAATCTTCGAATCACGCACCACCTACACTAGGCTTGCCTCTACCACAGCCAGGTGCGCCTCAGCTACCTCCGCCGCCGGGTATGACCTCCCCGGATGCTCGATTTGGCATGCAAGCTGCAACCAAGCACACTCCTTCGCACAGCCACTCCAGTACACACAGTCTATCTCATCTCAAGGGATTCGATGGGCTGGATGCCAATTCCAATGACCCCAGCCAAATCGATAAGATTTGGGCGTACGTGCGGACAATGCACGATGAGTTGACAGGTTTGCGCACTGAAGTTGCCTCTTTGCGAGCGCACATTGCGTCATCCAACTCGGTAGCCCCAGTTCCGGTGGAAGTAAACTTGAATAATTCTGGCCAGCGGTGATATTCCGTTGGTTGTTGTTCTAGTGTGTACGATATGGCTGACAATCAGCTACGTGAACTGGCTGTTATGCCATTCCCTCCTTCTCCACTTTGTCGATATGTCCTGATTATCCCATCCTCTTTTGAGGGTCAACCTTGATGCCCTCATGATCACCACACCGACAGTCGCTGGCGTTGGTGTTTTCTATGCCCCATTATTAGTTTTCTTTCTCTTTTTTCCCTTAACTCCCGGAGTCATCTTATCCGGGGGAGCCTTTTCGTTCTAGCCTACTTTATTCATACCTGGAGTGAGCTGCAAAGTTCGTCCTTTTTCTTTCTTCTTTTTTGAACAGTTGAAGGAGTTTGGCGTGTCAAAAATGGTCTGACATCACGAATGAGAACATTGCTTCTCACGGAGCCGCGACTTGGACCCATATGGCCTGTTGTCGATTCCATACCAAAGATGGAGCCATGTGATTGTGTTTGGACATGTGCATGGATTACGCTGGATTTGGAGTTCTTATTCGTAATACTGCTATTCCCGACTTAGGTAGTGATAATATACTCTTCAGTCCAAACCCTGCGTACGACGATGGTTCTCGGGCCTGTCAGGTCTCGATTAGGCTCAGTTCAATGCATATAGGTACAGCAGTCTATACGAAGTACCGCCAGAGACTTTTGGAGTCGCTGCTTATACATAGAATAGTCGTCTGCACAACTTACGCGTACCTCGACGTTTTCCTGCCATCCAGCTATCTCCAAGATGAGGGATAAAATATCTATAAAAAAAAGGACATAAAAAAGAAGATCCGAGAGGACTACAAAAAGACTGCTAGGGCTGCACAATGCCGCATAAGCAACCTACTATTCTTGTATTTTATATATCTAATGCTCTACATCGGTCAAAATTTAAGTCTAATCCTCGATACGTAGTATACTTGAATTTTCAATGATCGATGCCTTGAAGACTTGATCTTCAGTGAGAATATCCCTAACTCCATCTGTCCCAAACTTCCCGAAGATAGAACCAGAAAGAAAGAAGGCGCGAAGTCGGCTAGACTACGCTGTATGCTCCGTCGATAAGGTCAGCAGCAATGCTCAAGCAATAGTTATTGTAAAGCCCTTTTGCGGGGTTGCAACGAGAAAAACCTACCCCTCTGATCCGTGTTCCAAATGGCAAACCCATCCGCAGCTGAATCTTGTCTCATATAGTTCCATTCAGTACCGGGCCATGCCTTAGGCTCTTAAGGATCGTCAGATGGAATACGTAACGGTATTTTTAGACATCCACTCGCATTCGGCAAGACCGGAAATGGGACTATCAAAGAAGACCAAATCACTCGTTCTTGTTTCTGCAATCCGAATGAAATTTTGGGTCGTAAACCATTCCACTAAGAAGACAACTGTCATGAACGTAGAGCCCAACTGATTTTGGACTAGGATGTCTGGGGAATCTTTGAAATTTGTAGCACAGAGCTGACCATCACGCCTGGTCTTACCATACCGTATTTGGAGTTGTCCGCTCGGGACAAAGAAGCATTTTGCAGCCGTTGACCAGGTAGCGTGCGTGGCCTATCTACATGATGCTCTGAAAGGTAACTGAGCAGGGAACGGATTTCAGAATGTCATTCATGACCTTTTCATCATGGTCTATTCGATCTTCAAGAACGATGACGACGATGTGATCCCACACTTGAATTTCGGTGATTGGGATTCTAGCTTGTTCGAAGAGTTGGCATGCCAAATTGGATACTCCAGTGAATCATCATTGTCCCTAGTTTCAAGGTCTTGGGAGAGATCGATCAGGGAGTGACTGCGGTAGCGATAGAGAAGAGGTGAAAGAGAATGCTGGATATAGATGTACTTACAGACAACTTCGAAGGCCAGGAATTCAATTCTATGCGTTATACATGTAGACTGGATTTTAAGGTGGTTTCGAAGGATCTACCTTAAATTCAATAAGCTTTAGGGACATTTTAGAGTTATCTACTAGTTCTCCTGGTATAGTGCGCCTCAAATGTTTCCTATAAGAAATCTTGACCTGTCTAGCTTTTGGGAGTCAACTAAAAATTCGAAGTATAGAATAAGAATAGCTATTTGCTTTGGTCGTCTTGTTTAGGTTCTCTTGGATATCTTCTTAGATATTCCCTCCTCTCCTTCGTATTATACTTAGAAGAATAGGAAGAGCTAGCGGCAAACATAGAATATGATAGAATATAGTGAAAAATGGACTTTTCCTAGTATTCGAGAACACGAGGGCGAGAATCAGCTCCCATTGCACCTGCCACTCACGAACCCCTTCGCCTTCTTCCCTTCCGGCCCTTCCGGGTATGGCGTCCCTCTCGTTTTGGTTTAGCCGCCGTTTTTACCGGCCTGCCCAATATAACACCACCTTCCCCTCTGTTGACGCACTTTCTATTCTCTCTCCTTGCCCCCTTTCTTTTTCGTCCCGATTCATACCTAGCTACGACCTAGCTTTCAGCCCAACGCACCGCCTCTTTCATTTCACGGGATATTCCCTTCTATCCGACGCTAAGGTCTTTCAGGCCACTACTCCGTACTGGCTCCGACGTGATGTAGTCGTCTAGAAGTAGAAGCATCGGGACGAACTAGCGCTCAGTCACACTCAGTCACACCCTGTGGCTTTGTTGATATTTCTCCCCTAAATGAATGATAGTTGTTCATGCTATGGAACTATCTAGCTGCGCCATTTGCTCGTAATTCGTAGGGTTTGATGACGCTTTCTTTCGAAATATAGTATTTCAGCCAGATGTCAAGATCCCTCAACAACAAAAAAACTCGCGTCAAATATTCCACCATCCAAATAACATCCCAATCATAAAAATCATCAATCTTATTTATCCCAATCCTGCCCAAGCCATTCAAACCCCGGTCTCTGCCTGATGCAACCTTACGGTAACCGGATCAGCCGGACAAGACGTAAGTGAAACACCATAACGAATTTCCTTCTCAGGGTGCACATCGTCAATCCTATCAAACCTCTGCAATAATCTCACCAACACATAGCTAGTTCTCATCAAAGCAAACTGCTGACCAATGCATGTTCTGGGTCCCCCATTGAACGGAATATACTCCCAGGTGACCTTCCGGCCATCCCATCGATCAGGATTGAAAATTTCAGCATCCTCGCCCCAGATATCTTTTCGACGGTGCAGGATGAAGGTGCTGTACAAGACTGTACGGCCCTTGCGGACGTAGATCGGGGAGGTGCCGTCTTTCCCGCCGCCGCTAGGAAGCGTAGCATCCCTTGTCGCGCAACGGCGGTTAAAAGGTACGATCGGGTAAAGACGAAGAGTTTCGTTGATAAAATACCGGAGATACTGGCATGATTTCAAAGACGCAAAGTCCATGTTTTGTGGCTGATCGTAAGTACCGAATTGCTCGAGGATATCGCTTCGAAGTCTTTCGAAGATGTGCGGGTGTCGTGCGAGAAGGAGCATCGCCCAGCTCAGGAGAGAAGCCGTTGTGTCACGGCCTGCTAAGAGGACATTTAAAGATTCGTCGCGCAACACAATAGGATCTCTTGTAGTACTAGTTAGGGCTTTTAGGAATATGTACTGCGACGAAACCTGTTCGATGTCCTGGGGTTTCTCTTCCTGCTGCTGCGCCTGGATCAGAGCAGAGTGGACATACCGGTCGACGAAAGCGTGCACAATGTTGATGCACTTCCGAAACTCCTGATTGTAGACCATCCAGTAGAGCCGCTCAAACCGGAGTCGTTCCGCGAGATACCACATGCACCGGTCAAACGCGTAGAGAAAAGTATCATCAGAGGCCTGTCCCGCTTCCTTTTGCGTGGCAGCAATCTGACTATCGGAGCTTTCACCGAAGAGGAACTCTGTAGCTGAGTCAAGGGTAAGACGAAAGAAGATAGCTTGCATATCCACTGCAGAGGACCAGCCGTCAGATTGCATCGGAATGGCACGCAACGCATTATAAACATGGCGTTCTTCCCTGTCAAGATTGTTCATCTGATCTCGCGTAAACTGAGGCCGTAGTAGTGATCGAGAATGTGACCAACTCTCGCCATCAGCAGTAAACTAGGTTCAGTTAGCTAACCTCTCCCCTACTATTACTCTTCTCCTTCTAAGAGAGAAACACGCTACTTTCAACGCGAGGAAAGGACTCACAATTCCATGGCCAACAATAGGGTAAGCTACATTACGACGCGTATCACCTAACCCGAAATCCTTGAACTGAGTCGCCAGCATAGCCTGGATATTCTTGGGATCTGCCGTGAACAGGTTCTCCCGACCAGCCTGGCACACTCGAAAGGTAGAAACGTATCTCTCATGCTGATGGGATAGAAAAGCCACCCGCTTCTCTGCTAGTATGGGGAGCAGCTTTTCTCGCGCTGCGCCAAGGGTCTCACGGAGGGTGGAAATACCGAAAGGGTCCTGGCTGGGGTAGAGAGGGCATTCTCCACAGCCCAGCATGCGAGCTCTCTGGGCATGGCGCCAATTGGAATAGACTGAGAGAAGCAGACGCCCTGCAACGGCGAGTGCCACCAGGGCTGGTACTAACCAGCTTTGCATGAGGTTGCTAAGCGTTGCAGTACCAGTATAGTTGCTGAGATATGCTTTGGTATCGGACATGGTGTAAGAGGCCAGGGAGAAGAAGTGATGGATGGTAATACTCTGATCTAGAGATTCTCAAGCATATGAAGGACTGAATAACACTGGCAAGAGGAAGTAGAATGGCATCTGCAAGTGAATTTACCAGCAATATGCTATTGTAATATTGGCATACTAAAATCAATCCTTTAGTACATGATTATTCGCACATATATATAGATGTATGAATGCGAAGATAAGATAGTGGGGATTGGTATAGACACCCCCCCTTTAGTATGGCAACTTCAGTATAGCAACACCCCCCTGCCTAGTTTCTGCTTTATCATGTCTTATATATTAGGTATCATATAATTCTGCCAGATCTTAGGTAGGGGGTTTGTTGCTATACTGAAAGGGGTGTGTCTATACCAATCCAAGCATATTTGACTCTATATTTAGCGTAGAAACAATGGCCTTATGATCCTTACAAGATACGAGGATAGAAGGCTGAGTTCTTACTAAAGTCCTATATCCCCACGTCTCAACCTACCTGAGCGCAGCATTTTTCCTAATGCAGTAATCCAGTATTCTATATCCAGGCTATCCTCCGGCTTAGCAAGCACAGATTTCTCTCGGCGTGCTGATCATTTACGTACGCGAGGATGTGGCTTGCCTTAGGGGCGCCACGTGTCCGTCAATTGGCAGATGGGACCACACTTGCATGAGGTCGGCAGAGGCCGTGCTGACGTGATACCAATTGTTTTATTTTATTTACTTCATGAGCAGGTCCGGGAATATTGGAAATGGTACTGAGTTCGAGTCTAGAATATATATAACCAGTACAAACAAGATGATTAGCATCTTCGTGATCTCACATTAGTACATATGTTTACATATGTACTGCCATTGGAAGGTCATTGATGGAATATATGTATTAGGCCACCCTTCGGTAGACAAGGATGGTGCAGCTCTCCATGTTTCACCCCTCATATATCTTGGGGTCCATAAAATTCATATGTACATGTCTACAAGAACCGACCTTCTTTTACACCCAATGCCCCTTTGCTGGCGTGTGTTGACCGCTTAATTGTCAACACCTGTCTTGAGGCATCAACCTCACCATGTCGACTTCAGGGAAAGACGAAAGCTCATCGTCAGGGACTCATCCTCGTAGCCACATCCCCGACTGGAAATGGAAGGGAACTCTTGCAGTCCTCATTCTGACAACCCTAATTAATGGTCAGTTGGGCCCATCTATAATAACGCCAGACGCATTCCGAATCATCATTCTGACAATGTCATTGTTTTAGGCTATGATGTGAGCAACGTGGCCAATATCCAGCCTTCCCTTTACAAGGCCTTCGGCAACATTACGCTTCTACCATGGATCGGCCTGTCCTACAGCCTCGCCGTGTTTGCTGTCCTATCCTTATCCCGGAAGATCTTGTATTGCTTCGACATGAAATGGATCTATCTCGTTAACATTGTGATATTTACGGCTGGTGCTGCGGTGGCTGGTGCTGCCCCAAATCTCCCTGCGGTCATTGTTGGACGGATCATTATGGGTGTCGGTGGTGCCGTTGTTTACCAAAGGTCTGTTACGATGTATCTCCGATGTTGTTGGACTCATAGAGCTCACAGTAACATAGCAACTTGACATTTGTGGCTGTCTTCGCCACGCCCACAGAGACGCCTCGTCTATTCGGCCTTCTGAGCGCAATATGGGCCGTGGGTCTTGTCATTGGAGGTCCTATTGGGTCTGCTCTCGCCTCGAACAGACACACCACCTGGCGGTGGGCTTTCTACATGAACCTACCCTGGGTGGGTCTCAGTCTTGTGGGCGCCATTATCTGCCTTCCTCGAAAATACCTAGGGCCAGACATTCCCTTGGTCTCCCGATTGAAGGCGATTGATCCCATTGGCATTGCGTTCAATATGGCGGCCCCAGTACTATTCGCCCTCGCATTGGAGTTCTCCGGTCCTGTGTGGGACTGGGGCTCTGGTGCATCTATCGCGATCTGGGTTGTTTTCGGCGTGGTCCTGATTGGATGGATCGTCCAACAATACTGGTGCATTGGCACGACTGCTGAAGAACGCGCCATCCCCCTTCACTTGCTCAGCCGGGTTGATCTACTTCCGCTTTGGATCGCGTCCGGCTGTGCGGGCGCATCATACGCCGTCACACTCTACTACACGCCGCTTTTCTTCGCGTTTGCTCGCGGCCACAGCGCTATGGAGCAAAGTGTGCGTCTTCTTCCTTTCGTTCTGGTTTTTATTGCCGTGGTCTTCCTTGTCGGCGGGTTGCTCCCGGTCTTTGGCCGCTATAACCTAATCTATATCGCTGCGGGTCTTGCAACTGTCGCAGGAGCCGGCGCTATGGCCGGCACACTGAGTCCCCGTGTGTCCGAATCCCAAGTGTTAGGCCTGGAAGCTCTAATTGGCGTTGGTCTTGGCTGTTCGTTCCAGCATGGGGTGGGTGTTGCGAATGTGATAAATAAGAACCAACGCGACCGCGTCGATAGCGCGGTCATGTTCAACATGGCGCAGATGGGCGGTATCGCAATTGCTCTAGCCGTTGCTGGCTCGATTTTCCAAAATGTGGGGTATAACCTGTTGACGGCGGCCATCGGCGATAACGGGTACTCGGAAAGAGACCTGCGTGAGGCACTTGCTGGGGTATCGTCAGCAGTGTGGCAGTCCGCCAATCCTGAAGTTGTTTCTCGTGGGATTGATGCCGTAGCTACGGTGATTGGGCGGGAGTTTTATTTAGTGGTGGCCGGTGGCGCTATCTGTCTTATCTGCGGGCTGGCAATGAGATGGGAGCGATTGGACTATGGCAGGAACAAGAGCAAGGATGTCGAGACATAAATGCCGCTCGGAATAATATATTTTCTAACTACCACTTGACTCCCGCCGGCGTCCGTCATTTCCTAGTTGGCCACGGGGGAAAAAAAGTTGTCAAATTTTTTGGCCATGCAATACCTTGGGCATCTGTACCTTGCAGCTCACACAATATAGTAAATTATAATCAGATTACCGGGACCTGAATGTGGGTGGTGAATTGGTCGGATCAATCTTCGCTAGAATCCAATGATATGCTTTATTTTCTTACTGTGATAGAAGTTGGCCATCTCTTAAAAAAATACCTCTTATTTCTCGTGTTCATACATATAATACGGTATCCATGGCCTCATACAGACTTACGTAGGTGTGTTGGCCTTGCTCTCCTTATGATATCGTGAGCTTGTCTAAGGACTAGGTACCAAAGCAACCTCCACTAGAGATGTCGTAGAAGACGACTAACAGGCTTGCCTATGAAATAATCACTGAGAATATATCTTCGAAAGATAGATGTAGGGTGTCCCAGTGAGCTCTAGTGTCTCGGAAAGAAATGTATCCTGGTTTTTTCTCCTTTTGTACTTGATGTTGCTTTTGATTTTTGACGCCACTGTACGTTGATCATAATCCACAGCGCTCGAACCTGTCCGAGATGACACAGTAGACCGAAGATCGAGAAAGAAATCACTCAGTGGAACAACAACAAGTTAGCCCTCGCCCATTTGAGAATCCTGCTCCAACCTCCGCTCTTCCCTCCTCTTAATAGTCCACCGAATAAACAACCCCACATCAGCAACAACAGCACGCGGAACTCCACAAAGAGTCCAGTTCCGCTGAACCCACTTAGGAATCTTCCCACCAGCCTCAGAAGTAGTCAACATAGTCCACCGAAGATAACGCTCAGTAGACGTAGCAGGGGTATTCAAATCCGCCGAAGACGATACACCCGAAGAAACCGGAGTAGGAGGCAGAAGCTCAATACGCTCGAGACTGGCATAGTAAGCGAAGACAACCCGCTGCGGGACGGCGTCCATGATCTGCCCGTAAAGTCCCTCGTACTGGGATCCCGGGATGATTGGTTTGGTCAAATAGAAAGGAATCTGTACGGTAATAAAGCCGTAGTCCGGATTGGATCGGACTGCCGGATATGAGCTGGCAAAGGTCGCCGACATAGTCCAGGATATGAAGGCACGGGGCCGGATTAGTGCCTGTGGATGGAAGGTGTGGACAATAAGATTAACTTAGGTGGGTTTCAGTGCGCTGTCTTTGTGTCTGAGCTGTGTTCGGGGACTTTATACATACGCTCGATGTCGAAATTCTTGTAGCTCATGTTCCCAACGTTAATTGGGTTGTCGGAATCCCATTGTCTCGGCTCGGTCCACTTCAGCAGTTGCTTTACGCTCGTCACGCTGGGTGTGTATTCCCTCTCGTGCTCGGCATGGTGGTATCGCAAGCCGTCGTGGAATTCCCACAGGGAAACTGTCCCAGGCAAACGATCAGAATCTTGGTGGTCGCTTTGGCGACACACCCAGAATTCCTTCTTGGGGTTTGAACCTTCGGGACATTGGAGTGTTCGCCATCCCCGTGAAAGCTTCACTTTTGCCTTTGAGGGTGGGGAAGAGCGCAGCTTGCAGTCTGGTTTCAGTGTTGACGGGAATTGGTTTAAAAGAGGCTGAGCTTCAAGAAGGGTCGCGTGGATGAACTCCCGCAGACCCGGTGTATTAGCGTCCCCTGGAAGATCTGGGTGGCGGGGGAGGCTGGTGAACAGATGCGGCTCTAGTTTGATTAGCGGCATGATAGGTGAAGGATTGGTGATGAAGAAGGTTGATGGAGAGACGTGGATGATAAAAAGAAAACAAGTCAGCAAGCAAATTAAAATCCTAGTACGTGATTATGTCTTTATTTGTTTGCACAGGTCTAGATTATGTGAGAATTTAAAGGGTCGAGATTTAGACAACTTCATGGTGAACACAACTATCTCAGTAAACTCGATTGTCGACTTCATTAATTCATCCATCAAAGGGGTGCATGATCTTATCGATCAATTTAGTGCCTGGACAACAGTTTAGGTATATAGAGACTATAGACAGCGGATCCCAGGTCCAACGCTGCCAGTCTCAAACATCTCCACAAGTCCTGCGCCTAGTGCTTCCTCTAACACCCATCGAAAGTGCATTCCATATAACTCTTTCCATTTCCTAGTCTTACCCGGCAGGATCCCTGCAAATTCGCCACGGGCTCGCTTGGCTAGATGGAAACTCTTGTCAGTCTCAACAGCTCCATCCCATCGATCTTTCAACAGACCCAGAGGGGCTTCACCAGAAGCGGACCGCCGGAGAAGAGCGAGCAGATGGGCACGACCTGATCCCAACAAGCGGAGATACGTGCCCGTGTTAGGGAGAGATAAGAATAAAGTTGCAGCCCGAGCTTGGGCAGCTGACTGCACGTGGCGCTCGGATTGCGAGGCCGACTCGCTTCGGCTTGCTGATGAAGTCGCCATTTGAGGCAGATTAGGGAGTGATATGATACTTAGTGTGCCCTGTGTGTAAGATGACGATGAGACAATAAAGCCGGCACGAAGTAAGGCTCTGTATTCATCCGTCGTGAAGACCCCCTGCGATATCGCCGAGGAGGTCCCAATACGTTTCAGGATATCAAGGAATTTCTCTGCAAACTCGTTCAGTTCATGGCACTCAAAAGGATCAAAAATCATGCATCGAACACTCACCCTTGAGTGGTTGTTCCAATGCAGAGCTTTCCAGCACCAGCTTGTCCCAATCCTCTGCTAGCACTAAACAATCGCCCAGCCCTGCCGCATCATTGCCTCGACCCGGTATAATGAGTCGCCGGATCCGACCCGTCTGAATCTGTTCGACAATTTCCCTTTCCACCTGTGTTGGTGCCTCCAAAAGGGTATGGACATGGGCGACAGAGGCTAGTGGGGGTAAAGACCGACGTAGATTGAGGACTTCTGCGATGCGTGTGCTGTTCATCCCCGCCCGTGTCGGAAGCTCCTCAAACATGCCATCACGTATGTATTGGATAGCCTGCAGCACATTTTGAACCGGCGCAGTCTCCGATATGAAATGAGACCCGCCTAGGTCTGGAAGTGGATTTTCGAAACCTAGATCTGCAGTGGGTTTTGGGCCCCCGTCAGATGTAGCTTTGCGGCGCGAATGGGCAGCAAAAGGCGAGGCACGGGGTTTGGGAGCAGAGGCTTTGCGTTTTTTGACACCAGATACCGGAGCGGAGGTAAGGCGCAAGGTCATGGCATAAGTGGGATGAACTTCATAAGAACAGACCTCTTCGGGGACCTCGGAAGCTCTGGAGAAGATTGCAATATTACCTCAAGTCAGGTGATAGACGGATTATTTCACCAATCATAGAGAATTTTGCATAGTTCTGTAAATAAAAATATTAAATTACTTTAAAAATACGAGAAATACCGTACAGGAACATCCCCAGTCGACCCTCAAGTGGGGTAAAATCGGTACAAGTAAGCTGTCAGGCGATGAATAAAAGTGGCGTCCTTTGGTTCCGCAGTATATATCGTTTGAAGAGAACCCAATTCTCCCCCAGTCATCTTCATCATGTCCCAAATGCAGCATCTAGATCTTCTTGTTTCTTCTTATTTGTCCTAACAATCCACTGCCAAACTTGGCTTCTCCACTTGGCATTTTTCACATGACGTAGTCATGAGAAACCCATCGTGTAACTAACCTTTTTTTTTTTTCAAGCTTGTCCTATGTCCTAGTTATTAGGAATCCAGCCGCTCCTTTCTTCGCAATATCTACCTACCGCTACAAGTTGGAAGGTATCTCTAACATTGTGTTTTGTTGTTTGGATATTCTTCTGCCTATCTACTTAGGTCGGGCTGAATCAACATGACAGTCATCATAGCGTCTCTGTATGTGGCTATCGGTTACTAGACCTCAAATTACACATGGCTAACTGATATATTTATTTTATAGATTTTTGCCCTACACTGTCAATTTCCATGTCAACAACTCGCGCAACCGCTCCCCTCCTCTAACTCCTCCATCCACGGACCAGGACCCCACTATCGATGGGATCACACCTATTCGCATTGCTGCGGCTAGCTTGTTTGAGAAGAGCCTTCCAACGAGAACGCCTGGTCTCACACCAGGGGCTACAACGGATCATGAGCGCATCTTTACTTCAAATGTAGCCAAGGAACAGCTAGAGAAAAATGAGTACCCGTTCCCTTCGACCGCCGTGGAGCAGGATAACCGGCTCCTCACGGAGAGTGAGGGGCATTCCCCGTTATGGGGTGCCACAACCTCGTTCATTCAACCAAAGCCAGTGACGGTCTTGTCGCCATCTCCCTCCATTCTCAAACACCAAGATCTTCGCGCCGCCAAGGAACCTGTGCCGCAGCAGCCTCCAGCGGCACAGCCCATTGCGCCCTATGCGAGACTAAGAAAGGCCAGCACAGCGAGCCGGAAATTATCATTTTCGAAAGCTGAATGGACCATTGAGACCGCAGAACAAGGGAATGGTGGCCTGCGAAATGCAGTCCGATCCGCAACAGACTCTGGGTTCTTGGATAACATGATGTGGGTGGGCACCTTGGGTATGCCCACTGACGCCTTGGCAAAGTACACTCGGCAAGACATCGCGGAGAAATTGGAAGATGAGTATGAGTGTCTGACGGTATTTGTAAATGACGGCGACTTCGACGGACACTACACGCATTTTTGCAAGACCATTCTTTGGCCGGTGTTTCATTACCAGATCCCAGATAACCCGAAGAGTAAAGCCTACGAAGACCATTCGTGGATTTACTATGTCAAGTTGAACCAGGCTTTTGCAGAGCGCATTGCTAGGTCTTGGAAACGAGGTGATGAGATCTGGGTCCAGGATTATCATCTGTTGCTGGTTCCAGCTATGCTTCGCAAGTTGGTGCCAGATGCACAAATTGGGTTTTTCCTACATATTGCTTTCCCTTCGTCAGAGGTCTTCAAATGCTTGGCACCACGCAAGGAGCTCCTTCAGGGCATTCTTGGTGCTAATCTTATTGGTTTCCAGACCGATGAATACTGCCGGCACTTCCTGCAGACATGCAGTCGGATCTTGTGCGTGGAAGCCACACCCGAAGGAATCCAGCTGGAAGACCGTTTTGTCAACGTCGGCACGTTCCCTATTGGCATTGACCCAACTTCTTGGGATAAGCGCCGCCAGGCAACGGACGTGGAGCGATGGATTAGTACAATCTCGGAACGTTATCAAGGAAAGCGTCTCATCGTCGCGCGCGATAAGATCGATTCCGTTCGGGGTATTCGCCAAAAGCTTCTTAGCTATGAGCTCTTTCTCAACACCTACCCAGAATGGGCTGAAAAAGTTGTGTTGATCCAGGTCGCAACCAGCACCACGGAACAACCAGAGCTGGAAGCGACTCTCTCTGACATCGCCATGCGAATCAACTCCACCCACTCGACTCTCGCTCATCAGCCTTTGGTATTCCTCAAACAAGACTTGGCGTTCCCGCAATATCTTGCCCTTATCACTGTGGCAGATGCCTTAATGATCACCAGTCTACGCGAGGGAATGAATCTGACCAGTCATGAGTTTGTCTACTGCCAGGATGGTCGAAGCGGTGACAAAGCCTACGGGTCACTAATTCTTAGCGAGTTTACTGGCAGTGCATCCGTGTTCGGAGATCATGCGCTTTTGGTCAACCCTTGGGATTACCGCCAGTGTTGCGAAGCAATCCACACAGCATTGACTCGCGACGAGGGGGAACGGAAGCAAGTTTGGGAGGAACTGCTCCGTGCAGTCCTGAATAACTCGACTGCCAACTGGGTGAAATCGTTCAATGAAACCCTCACCCGTGTCTGGAACGAGCAATCTTCAAGAGAAATTATGGCAGTGCCCCGACTGTCGGTATCTCGACTCACCGAGCGGTATCGCCAGTCCAAGCAACGGCTGATGATTGTCGACTACGAAGACACGCTAGCCTCTTGGGGATCGCCGCGCAGCATCATTCTAACCACGCCGCAGCGCGCAATCATCACTCTGAACGAATTGACCGAGGACCCCGCCAACGTTGTCTACGTGATGAGCTCGCGCATGCCAGAGGAAATGGAACGGTTGTTCCGGCAGGTCAACAACCTGGGTCTGATTGCCGAGAACGGATGCTTCGTGCGCGAGCCGAACTCCGAGACCTGGACCCATCTTGCAGACCAGCTGCATGTCAAAACGTGGAAGTCATCTGTGTCTAATATCCTAGCGTACTTCCATGCGCGTGTCGAGGGTAGCTGGATCGAGGAGCGCCATTGCTCGCTCGTCTTCCACCACGGATCCGCCGAAGACCGCCATATTGCCGCTCGATCTGCTGCTGAATGTGCAGGCAATATCAACGATGCGTGTGCCGACTTGGGTGTGCATGCGATTCCCATTGAGGGTGCTTTGATCGTGGAGACCACTCACACCAACAAGGCATCTGCGGCTGAAATGGTCTGGGAGTGGTCCATGGAAAATGCCGAGAAGAATGAGGATGTCCTCAAGCCTGATTTCCTGCTGGTTATCGGCGATAGCCGTGAGGATGAGCCGGTCTTCAGGTGGGCCAACAAGCTGCACAGCGCGAAGGCTGTCGATTATGCCATGACTGTCACATTGGGCTCGCGCAGCACCGAGGCCAAGGCCACACTGACACAGGGAGTAACTGGTAAGTTTGGGATGATATTTTATATTCTGTTATTCTTTCAGTTGACTAATTTCCTACAGGCGTTCTTTCTTGTCTGCAACAATTAGCACACCAGGGCCAACCTAAATTGCCCTTGCGAGAGTGATCTAGTGGGCAATTTGATTTACTTCAAATTTCCAGGATATGAACATGCGAGGACGAATACACGAAGATAGCAAAACGGACTGGAGTTTCATTTTCTTTAGCAACTATGATTTGGTGCTAGCATACACCCATTGCAACGCATTTTTGATCATGTTGATATGGTATATACATGGAGGCTCTACAGCAAGACATATTTGCATTGCATCTTAATTCTTTCACAATTTCGGGTTAAAGAATAAAAAAGAAAAAAAACTTGATTAGAACGACTGGAAAAATTCCTGGTGGTTTCTGATGAACAGCTAAATTTCGGTCATTTGATTACTCCTCTTAAGAGAAGAGCCTAGGGCGGGTATTAGAGAAGATATGAGCAATTTTTTTGAAACATGTTTTCTTTTTTGAAAGTTGGATGTTAAGCACCTATGGATTTCATTCAGAACCGCTCTTCAACCAAGCAGGTATGAGCTGCTCCTGTCCGCGGTTGGGTCGAATAGGTTCACTTGATTTGCAAGCCAGAATCAACTCCACCTCTTCCTTAACATTCTCGACATTCCCAAGTCCTAGCAGGGTTGCAAGGCCCGCCGAATTTTCTAGGTGGTCTTGTATTCTAAGGGGACATAACGCGATATGCTCATAAGAGTAGATTTTCGAGGAGATAGCGTGGGTCGAGCTGATGCTCGGGCAAGTCTGTGGTCATATTAGCCTTCTTGGAGCCCACTACCGCTGTACCCAATCAAACATACTGGAAAGATAAATCGGGGCCTTTTGAGGTGAGCCGACGGGCCAAGGGACATTCTGTAGGATTTTCCATGATTCCCACACTTGCCAAGGTTCTGTCCAGCTGATAGCAGCGCTATGATCAGCGTCCATTAAGTCGATAAGAGGATGGAAGGAAGCACAGAGGACGATTGACGATTGATCTTATGACTGTAGCGCAACCGATAACACATATGGCCTAGATGTGTCCGGATCAAATGAATGGTGAAGAGCGTTGCTATCGTTGACGATCCCTGATGTTGTAGGTCAAAACTGCCATTCCATTAGGTTAGCTACGGTGTGAATAAAGCAGACTAGGCCAAGTAAGCGCACTCTGAGAATCCTCAATTCCTTGAAACCCCATTTCCATGTGTTCGGCCCCAAGTCAGACTTCCCGCTCAGGCTAGGAGGTAGATTTAAACTTAGGACGAAGATGTTCCTGTCGATCATAAGCAGAGTCTCCAGCCCTGGAGGTGGACTTTGGGCAGCTTAACATAAGCTCGCAACTTACCACCACGCCGGCCATACGTAGGGCGGGTAACCACACGCCCATTGAACAGGCGAGGGGAATATTTGCCTTTTTGTTTTGGGGTAGATGATAGGAAGAGGAGATGAAGTGGGATTTTGGGGGGAAAGGTTCTACCTCGCATTGATGTTCTCTAGGAAGGTACCCTTCTTCCTAAATAGGCAATCGCCAGAAAACAGGAGGACTTTCCTATTTTGGTGTTTATGAGACATACAAGTTCAGCATGGGTATACGTATGGATGAAACTCATTCAACAAAAAAAAACATGATATTTGCTCCAATGTCAAAAGGCTATGGTTTATCATCGACCCGCACCACTACACCTACGCAGCGGCCAGGATACCAGATAGCAAACAGAAGAGCGACCAGCGCAATAGGCGCGAATTCAAGGCATGCGAAATAGACCTCATTAGTTTGCAGCTCTCCCATAAGACCTTGACCAGTTTCCGCAAGACGGAAGATGGTTCTCAAATAAACCATGAGAGTCGCAACGGAAAAGGCCAAGCAGAAAAGCCCGAGCCCGTTTTCTCTGATAGCATGTCGAGCTCGGAACTGGAAACTCGCCGCCACGATGACGAATATAGTCATGACAAAGACCTGGAACGCGAGGCCGCCCAGGAGGATGTTGTTCGCCGTCGTGGGATCTTCCCGACGCGACTCTGTAATGCCAATGAGACACGCACCGGCGACTTGGACGATTGTTGAGATGACATCTGAAGTAATGAAGAAGGCCAGGATGACCTTCGGGGGTAGAAATGAATACTGGCTCCCTACGCGCGGGATCAATGCTGATAGAATGGTGTAGATACCGGCGGCAAGCAAGACGGGCGCCACAACGATGAAAAAGTAGTTGAGAATGAAGTAGATGAGGTGATAAGGGTCCTTTTTAGCTGAAAGGGATCGCGCGATGTATCCTATCACTTCGAAAATCAGACCAGCGGAAAATGTCATCCACCACCAGCTGCGGAGCTTGATGGTTTGCGCCGTGTGGTAGATGAAGTGAAGAAAGAACCATGCTGCTGCGAACGCAGCTAGAGCGATGGAAGGCGTGTAGCCATAAATGATCACGGGGGTGTCCCTTTCGCCGCCCGGGTTTGGAAAATTAGGGTCAACATAGCCATAAGATCGTTCTATTATTTTGTTAGTGGTCCGAAGCCATAGCCTTGGAGAGTTGCGTTAAAGTGCAGTACCTAAAATATGGTGATCCATCTCAGTTCTGCGCATAAATGTGCTGCAGAAATGGGTCAGATCTTTTATATATAGTACTAGCAAACAAACTCATCGTAAAATGTAACCGTTTTCGTATTCTGGATATTAAATTGCACCTTGGAAATTTAATTGCTCCATAGGCCAGGCCCCTTTACGCGAGCCACCCAGCGCCAAGTAATATCGCTTAGCGCAATTCCCATGAACATGGTCGCATTATTTCTCGATCGGACCTATCGCATGGTCTCATCTACATCGTAGGGACCTGATAACTTCGATCTTTTCTCGTTCACACAGCCCTCTTACATCACAAATCCCTCCACCTACATAGATGCCTAGCAGATGGTATTTACTAGATTTCTTTGGAAAATCCCACGTGGTTGATGAAGAGCTGACTCAGCTTCCCGGCAGCCCTGCCCGCAAGTGGACGACTGTCCGAGGTCTGGGGAAAACGCCGAGGTCCACCGAGATATGGGGAACCTTGGAAGGTTCCTATATCAGAAAACAATATAATGACCTTGTTTAGACCTGACCTTCCATTCTAAACGTATTTATCAAACGCCGCCACAGTAATGTCCACCGTCAACCCATCCTTCCAGGAGGCCATCAAGGTCACTCCGCAGGGCCACAACAAATACAGCGCCTTCCTCCAACCAGAATGGTGCATTGGAACCGGTACAACAGAACCCATGTAAAATTCACCTTCTATTGATCAAAAGCTAACAGCACGCCAGTCCCGCACGGCGGCTACACAACAGCCGTAGTCTACCAACTAACTCTAACGCACTTCGCGCACGCCCACCCAAAGCAATACAAAAGCGCCGCGTCCCCGATCTCAATGCAACTCGTCTTCATCCGGCGCACAGCGTCAGGACCCGTAACCTTCGAAGTCGAAGATGTGAAGATTGGCGCCCGCACAAGCACAATCCACATCAAGCTACTACAGGCCTCTGAAAAGAAACCCGGCCAGCTGGACACCATGCTCGCTGGCTATATCACCATCAGTCCGCCGGAGGCAGAGGTCGGTATTAGTGCAAGCACAGGGTGGAAGCCTCACCCTGCTCCGGCAGCTGGTTCACGTGCGGACGGGTCCGTTGATCTAGAAGCGCTGGGCCGGACGGGCACTGATGGCGCTTGGACGAAGCTCGCCGTGCCTTTCCCGAAATTCCGAAAGGCTTCGGGGCAGATCGAGCTGTTCGGTCCTGGTACTGGTAACATACAGTATATGCGTTCTGGGAAAATGGCTATCGATCAGTTGGCCAGGTTCCGGCCTGAGGGTGATGTGAATGGCCGCTGGACGGATACTGCGGTGGCATATCTTATTGATATGTTTCCCATGGCGTTGGATGGGTTTGATTCTGTGTCTGCTACTGCTGCAGCGAAGGAGAGTGGGGTTCCGGTTGCTGAACAGAACTCGAAGTTTTGGTATCCCACCGTTACGCTCAATGTGGATATGAAGAAGCACCTTCCTGCTGAGGGGGTGGAGTGGCTTTATAGTCGGGTTGTTACTAAGGTTGTTAGGAATGGACGGACGGATTTGGAGGTTACGGTTCTTGATGAGGCTGGGGACGTTATTGCAGTGAGTACGCAGGTTGGATTGGTTCTTAGTGCCAGTCGCAATATTGGTACTAGGCAGATGGAGAAGTTGTAGATAGTCCTTCATAGAGATATATTTAAAGAATAGATTTCATATGTTCAATCCAAGCTTGTTCTATGCTTTATGTGATCTAGCTGGTTATGATTATATGTCCAAAATCGGATATATGTACGGGATCAAAATCCCACCATATACATCAGGAAAATCGATCCCACAGTCTACGCTTCAAGTTTTGAGCCTGGAAAAAAACATAAGAATGAAGCTCACAGCTTCGAATCAGACGTCACAAGCCAGAATGCCATAGCATCAGCCTTGACAATCTTCCGCTTAGTCCACTCCAAATGTCCCCCAGCACTCTCGTCATCTTCCTGCAAGGCCTGCGCCCGTACCCAGAATTTCTTCCCTACCCTCCCAACGACTCGCGCCTTAATAACTAGCAAGGCAGGTGTAGCTACTCGCTTCTTATACCTCACATCCAGCTGCACGGTAAAGATGCTGCCGCGCGGGTTATCCTCCTCGAAACCGAGCGCAGTTGGCGCATTGGTATGCGCCGCGACAGCGAGGGACATGGTTTCGTCAATCAGCGTCGCGACAATGCCACCATGGGCAGTGGACGGATGGCCCGACAGGCCAGGGCTGCTGAGATCACAGATCATAATTATGTCCGCTGGGTTTATGCCTGGGGTGGGCTTTGCGGCGGATGCGGCATCTTGTTTTGTTGCGGGGAGCCAGGTGGGGACTTCCGCGAGCGCGGGTGTGAGGTTGCGCCGTTGCAAGGTTAAGCAGTGAGGGATTGTGGTGGGTGTATTCAGGGTTTGTGAGAAGTAGCCATCTTCGCCAGTTGCGGGCTTTAAGCGCCGTGAGTCGGTTTGGATTGGTGTGTAGTCGGCTGAGGAGATGAGGTTGTTTGCCCATGAGTTGGTACGAAGATGCGCGATTGCGGGGGCTGGATCGGCCATTTCTTCCTTTTTTTCCCCGGTTGTTTTGGTCTTGGGGTTTATATTGTGGTTAATTGTAAGTGAAACGTAGATAAAGGACCTGGTATGAAGGTGTTTCAGCAGTTTCGTCAGTATATTAGCGCGACCAACGGTGTTAACGGCATCATTTAACCTCGGCTCCGCTCATGACCGATTGGGTCATGATAAACAGTCACGTGAATATATTGGTCGAATCATTTGGCACGGTCCAATTGATGTGCAAAAAATTGCATTTGGGGTGGAGCGAACATCTCGGGAACCTTGCAAGCTTTAAAGTAGATGTTCCCATGTGTTTCCTTGAACTGAAGAACCAATCATGGTGCTCTCGAAGAGACATGCATTGGTGTCTCACCCCTGGCATGTAAGCGGTAGTTAACCGTAAGGGATACGGTTGATGGGGGGTTGGGAATTCGGGGAAGAATGTGATGGTACTAAACAGACGAACCATTCGCCACTTATCTCGGACTTTGTAGAATTGCACACTCGACAATCTCCGTTGAAGGGTTTTGATTCGTACGGATTCAAGCGGCAGGGGCAGCTTAGCCTGACTAGGTCTAGTTACACGCAGCCAAGGATCCTCCAATTTAGGCTGGTATCTTTTGCAGACTCTTTTGGGTCAGGCGTATAGCAAATTATCGAAACAAGGCCTGTGCAACTTGAATAATTTACGTAGAAAACACATAAAACAATAGCACTAGTGGATATATAACTCTCCACTTGGTATGTCAAATAATAAGGGGGGTTACCCTGGCAAATAAAGGGAAAAAAAGCGTCCCCTGTACTCCGTACTTTCTCTTTCCAAAATAAAAACCAAAACCATTTTGATACCTTTGATTACCTGATATCTATTTACCTTGGAAACCCTTGAAACCCGTGGATACAAGTACCTAAGCACCTGCCCATTCCTTTTGTTTTCTTTTCCCTTCCCTCCTCTCCACTCTTCACTTGTCTGTTCTCGTACTGCATCTCTAATTATTCATCATGCGTTCCTCAATTATTCTCGTTTCAGCTCTGGCTACCGCCGTCATGGGCGCCAACTCCACCGTGCCTTACACCCTCCCCGCTGGTTTCAATATTGGTCTAGTGAAAAGCACCGATCTGAGTATGTACCCTGACGGCTCTCAATGCGACAAAGAGCTAATGAAGATCTAGGCGCCTGGTGTGGTGCCCAGCGCAACACTTGCCCCGAGGTTTGCCAGAGTGGCACCAAGCTCAACTCATGCGATTCGGTATGTTACTATGTATCGCGTCTGTGCGCCCAGGAGATTAATGGTTTGAACAGTCCACTTTGAACTTCAGCTGTGTCTGTGGCGATGATTCTACCCCCGACATGACCCCTTACCAGCAGACTGTGCCTTTCTATGTCTGCCAGGCAACATATGGCCAGTGCGTCGATTCGCACCCCAACGATGCCGAGGGTCAGCGTGCCTGCAAGAAGGCCGCCGTCTGTGGTTCCAAGAACGCAAGTGAGGTGACCACCACTTCTTCTTCTTCTTCGACCACCGCTGCCTCGTCCACCCTGGCTCTGGCCACTGCGACTGAGTCTGCCGCCACCACCTCCACTTCCTCCGTGGCTCCTGCAAGCACTACCACCAACGCCGCTGTCGCTCTTGGTGATCTGACTCAGTACTCCACTGGTCTGATTGCTGGTCTCATGTTCGTTGCTGCGCGCATGGTCCTGTAAAGGAACGATATTCCTCAGTATTCTCAGTCTTTGAGCAGTTAATTAACCCTTGATGGTTGGGTCGCATAGCGTCCTATTTCCTATTTGTTGTATTCCCTTAACTCATCGCGATGTCATTTGCATTCCCCCTTTTCAAGTCATTCGATTCCCCTTTGAATCGTCTTGGCTCATTATGATTGTCCACCTGTCTATGGACGTGGCGTCTTTCCTTTCTTATTTTGCTTGGGGCTGGAGTTCCCTTTTTTTGTCTGCGCAGGTATCGATTCCGCGCATAAACTATTCGATTACAAGTAATATCACCAATTATTGGCCACCCATTGGACAGAAAAATTGACGTAGTCAAGATAGTCGTATAAATATTAAATATTTCACTTGAATAAAAGGTTCGAAATAAGGTCGAAAAGTGAAAACAAAAGATCAGTCGAGATGTTTCAACTGTGGTGTTCCTTTCGCCAAGACTTTTTTGGCACACACTGAAATTTCTCAACTTATCGATAGACTCCACCATCAAGAACTTCACGTTCTCTCTTCCTCTCCTCTCCCACATCCAACATCATGCCCGCCCCTACCACTACCCTCCTCATTGAGGGTTCCTTCACCGAGCTCGCCGATGAGTTCGCCCAGTACATCGATGCCCTCCGCAAAGAGGGTAGCCTCCAGTCCGAGATCGCCCCGCTCCTCGAACCTCTCCGCCAGCAGGAACAGTCTGAAGGCGAGGCCGACCTTAAGCAGCGCGATGAAGTCCTGAAGAAGCTTGTTGGCTCTGCCACCGCTTTGAACAGTGCCCCCGAGAAGGGTGAGTGGGCGAAAGTGTCGACAAAGAACCGACGATCTGCAGATAGTCGGAATCTGGCTGCACTTTGATATTTGATGGATAAAAACTGACATAGATTTACAAAAATGCAGAGATCACCTCCGCCTACAACCTGTTGGTCCACCTCGTTCACCAGTCTTCCGACGCCGACGTGTTCCTTCCTCGCATCTGCACCTATCTCGCTAAGCCCATCACCACCTCGCCTCAGTTCGGCCCTACCCTCGCTATCTCTATTCTCACCACCATTTTCAACACTCTGTCTTCCAATGACTCGAGCCGGTACCACGTTCTCCTTGCGGTTGTGGCTGTGATCCGCCAGTCTGGATCTGGAATTGCCTTCGAAGCCCTCAAGCCCCAGCTTTCTTCTCAGCTCCCCACATGGCTCTCATCGTGGGAGTTGGACAGCGACGACACCCGGAAGTTGCACATCGCCATTGCCGAGGCCGCCACCGCTGCTGGTGATGAGGATTTGGCCCAGACTCACATCGTGCAAGCGCTCGAGACCATCGACTCTGCCGACGTCAGCAAGCCCGAAGCCCGCGAGTTGGCTGTGCGCGCACTCGCTAGCGCTCTCCGTCGCCCCACCGTCTTCGATTTCACTCCCCTGACTGCATCAGACGCCGTGCAGGCCCTCCGCGCCAGCGACAGCACTCTGTTTGAGCTGCTCGAGATCTTCACCTCCGACACCCTCGACGCCTACGAGACCTTCGTCGCTGCCACCCCTCTCGCTTCCATCTCTGGCGGCGTCCTCGCCGATGCCGCCGATGCTCTGCAGACCAAGATGCGCCTCCTCACTCTCACCTCGCTGGCATCCTCCACCCCTTCGCGCTCGCTCCCCTACGCCTCTATCGCTTCTGCCCTGGGCGTCCCCGCTTCCGAGGTCGAGATGTGGGTCATCGACACCATCCGTGCCGGCCTTGTTGAGGGCAGACTGTCCCAGCTGAAGTCCGAGTTCCTTGTGCACCGCGCCACCTACCGCGTCTTCGGCGAGAAGCAGTGGTCCGAGGTCCAAGGCCGCCTGATGGTCTGGCGCCGCTCCCTTGAGAACGTTCTGAACGTGATCCGCTCCGAGCGTGAGCGTTTCGCCCGCGAGGGTATCCAGGCCGCGGCCGACCAAGAAGCCAACGCCAACCGCAATGGCAACGGTGACCGCCGACGCATCCAACCCGCACAGGCGCGTGAGGTTGAAGCCAGTACCGAATAAATATGACGCTCTATGGAACAGATGTGTCCTTTTTTTTATGAATGGAAAAAGCTCACAGAACACAAAAATCTTTCAGTTAATAGAGGGGAAATGTTGTTGTCTTTTCCTCGTGCATTTCTTTTTCCCTGGCCAATTGTAGGGTTGGGTTTTTACTACCCTCGTTGGATGTCTGGGACCCCACGAGTCATGTCATGTCAATCTTAGTCTTGTTTATGTTTTCCAGAGGGATGACTTTTCTTTTGTTCTATTTTTTATCCTGGCTTAAAGAATATTATATTTCTTTAGACTGGTCCTGGTTCATATAACTACGTAGTCAACTGACAACAGAAACGACGTTATTTTGTTGATCTCATGGGAGTCAAGCATTGATCTAAACAAAGGTCTCAAGCTTAAAAATGCTTAAATTCTTCTATACTCTTATTTTCAAGTCGACCAACAAAGTCACACAACTCTTCCCCCTGAATTGGCCCCAACTCTATATACATCGATACAAACACAAGAGCTCCCCTTAGCGACGGTGCAAACCACGAGCCTCAATACCCGCCTTAACATGCTCATAGACCTCCTCAACCGAGCTATCAGCCTTGACCGAGACGACCTTATTCTTCTTCTCGAAATCGTCGACAACAGGCATAGAAGTCTCAACAAAAGTATGGAAGCGCTTGCGAATAGAAGCCGCATTATCATCGTCACGACCACTGGTCTCACCACGCTTCAGCAATCTAGACTCCATGACATCCTCGGGGCAATCGAGGAACAACACAAGCTCTGAGGGGCAGACAGTTTCTTCGAAGAAAACAGCCTGGTCAAGCTTGCGAGGGAATCCATCGATAAGGAAACGAGCCTTGGTGCCAGCCGGGGAGGCGAGGTTGCCAGCGAGTCGGCCATGGCATTCGACAACAAAGCAACGGTAACTTCCATAGGCACGATCTTGCCTTCGCGGATGTACTCGCGAATCAGGTCGCCGTACTGGCTGCCTTCGCGGATTTGCTCGGCGCGCAGGAGATCACCGGCGGAGAGGTGAACGAAGCCATAGTCCTTGACGAGGTTGGCGGATTGGGTGCCCTTTCCGCTGCCTGGGCCGCCGAGGAAGAAGACGACTGTCACGTCGTTTGTGGAGAAGCGGGGGGTGGCCATTATAAGTAATTGGTATTGGTGGGAGATTAAAGGAGAGGTGAGGTTAAAGGGGTTGAGGATTGGGTTTCGAGTCGAGGTTGGTTGTGGGGGTGTCGGTGTGCGTGAGGAGGGGCAGCACTTGACTTGAAACGGAAAGTTAGTTGGCTTTTTTCTTTGGGCTAGGCCTTCGGTACTTACTTCGAGTTAATTGGGGCGTTTGTTGATACCGGCTCGGGACTTCACGAGGTAAACGTAGGCGCCGGAGCTGATGGCAGTTATGATGATGATCGGGATGATCGGGAAATTGGAGCGGCTGGATTGAGGGGCGGAGGAGGGTGCGCGTGGCGGCGAAGATCTCGGAGGGTTCGAATACAGGCGGTGGGGTACCTGAGTCGATCGGGGGAAATTTTGGCTGGTGAGGAGGAGAGGCTTGGAGCGGACTCCAGGGAAATGACGGGCTAGAGAGAACATAGAGAGAGATAGAGGCTTGGGGTTGTTGAAGGGGAAAAAAGAAAAAGGAGTTGGGATCGCCGAAACGGGATTAGCTGCTGATCTGTATACCTCGAAGCGGTTGTGTTCATTTTACGTCTTCGCCCTCACTTTCGGCTTCAGTGGCAAGTGATATTAGTCAGATCAATGCCTCTTGTAAGGTTCCAGGGTTACCTAGTAGAACTGCTTCACAAATCTATATCCACACATATGTAGCTAATAGGAATGCTGGAAATATATATATGATTGACTGTCAAGGATCTTGAAGCCCGAGCTTGATGTGGGATTATTGGAGATTCCATTGAAGAATAATAACTATGCCCAATCCATGTAGCTTGTAACTTTCCAAGCGTATCTACCTCATGAGAGCCTAGGTCAGAGGCAAAATGTCAATTCCAAATGCTCACCATTGTACGGAGTATATATATCCGTACCAGAAAATGTAATACTATCCCAAAAACTTTCTAGTAAACAAAGGACGTCTTCCACACACATATATATATGAAATTTATGGGTGTTGAGCCTATTTTATTGATTATTCAATGTGACAGCCATAATCATAACAGTAGCCTGCTCACACAATAGGAACCGCGTATGACTTCCACTCCTTGGAATCCTGGAAGATTTCAAAGGGGACGTAAGCAGTTTATTATCTGAACATTTGGAACATCGGCGTCAGGTTGAACCAAATTAAAGCACACTCGCTTTCAACCCCAATGATAAAAAGATACAAGATACAGGGTTAAATCTAAAACCAGTGGAGATCGATCTAAGAGCGCTCTACTACCTATGTTGTAGTGGGATAATGGGAAATGTATTCAAATGCTCCTCCGTTAGAATTAAATTATCTATGTATTATTTATTCTTAGCAATAATATTGCTATCTATACTTAAGTATACTAGACCTAAAAATCTTCAAAACAGCTCTGTTGGAGTAATCACTTGTTATTTAGTTACTACCCCGTTTGCACAGATTAAGAGCTCACCGCCCTTTTCTGCCAATGCCATATCAAAACATATGTACCTTTCTAGCTTTGAACACCTCTCCCACCCTATGTATTGCTTATTTTTGCTTCATTTTTGGTTCTAATGGTAGAGAAAAACAGCAGTAACTAGAAAATGCAGATTTTCAAAAAAAAAGAAAGAACCTCTGGCGGGGGTCGAACCCGCAGCCTTACGATATCGACTCAGGTAGCTGTGTTTTAGTTAGCAAGATGCTCTGTAATATAAGGGTTGGGGGAACTAACAAGTCGTATGCGCTATCCAATTGCGCCACAGAGGCTGATTGACGGAATAATTGGCTGCAAAGTAAATATAAAATTTAATTAAGAGATATAAGGAGCCGCAGTATTTTATAATGTTTGTATGGTCAGATTACTTATGTCTTATCGTTATTATTACTGATATCATCTTTCACTTCGGAATTATCCTAGATATAAATGATTTCAAGAGTTTCCGGTCAGCTCGGTAGTTCCAAGAATACACCCTATTAAGGTGAGCTGCTGACTTATGCTACTCTCTAACTTTGTGGATATGTATAATAAGAACTGATGCGCGAAACAGATTTATGCATGCTAATAAAAAAATCGATATAACTTATAGTATTAAGAAAAAGCCACTGCTTGTTAAGGCGATGACCAACATCTGTAATCGAACAGTATATATTTTTCTACAACCTGTTTCTCACTTTCCCCACTCCGAGAAGGCATAATTACCGCCTAATCGTGCCCAGACGGGTTTTAATGAAGTCCACAACGTCCTGATTGTACTTCGACACGTAGCCATGGTGTGCGGCATTGTTGTCTTCTGGGTATGGTGAGCAGCATTGAGCATCACCGTAATCACAATAGCTGTGTATTGAGCTAGCAAAGGGTTCACACAAGGCCGAGTTCATGCGAGGAAGGACCTGATATATTCACTTTAGATTCTATCTGTACTTCAATGTGGGATTTGTTGTACTCACGCCTATACCCATTGTGCAATTACCTACATTCCACGGCATACCAGGAACGTATGTTATATCACCATATGCAATCGCAGCTATGACTAGATATTTGATCAGATTCATGTACTGTGAGATTTGTCTCGAAGTCACGTACTTATTGAGTTGTAGAATGGCGCAATAGGGGAGACAAAGACAAATCCAATCTCACTGGTTCCGCATATGGAATCCATCATGAGAACTGCCCCCTAGGTGGTAAACCTTAGCATTTGGCATGCCTGATTGCCATAATAAAAGGGCAAAATATCATATGTGGGGCTGATATTGGCACACCATTGAATATCCCACTACGACGATCTTAGTTTGGGGGCAGCTTTCACTGTACTCCTGCACGTACTGCTGCATTAGAACTGCACCGTCATGAACAGTTCGCAGTTTGGCAATGTCAGTGGAGACATTGACATGATCGTAGGGTAAGCCGAGGGTTGTGGAGCCAGGGATCTGCTGCAAGATTAAATCCGAAAGAGTGACCAACACATTCAGATCATCGCCCCCGCCTTGCCCTCTGGCGATAATGGCATGAACTCCCGTTGCGCATTCATCTTCTGACACAGATTGCGCATGGGTCTGTATCAACATCAGGATAAGAGCTAGCAATATCCAAATAATCTTCGCAACAATGTCGTACATCTTGTAGAATTTGAAGTTCGATTCGAAAACTGAGGATCGCTGATGGTTTGCCGAAGAAATATCCCCAATATTTAAGCTTCTCCGCTTGTTATTTCTTCTTTATATGTTTGGGACCGAAGAGAAAATGCCCGACTTTGTTGACCGTTGCTTTGTTAACCCGCCGAACCTACGTAGTACCGTTACTTCAGGGTGCTGGCTAGGCCGTGGTCTGATGTGATGTTCATATGTGATTAGTTATCATTAGTTTGAATTCTAATTGTTGGTGATAATATAAATGACAATTATTTTAGGCCTTTTCTTGTATATATTTGGGGCAGACTATGGTGATATCCATGATACCGAATGAAGTATTCAGCCAGACCTTTGGAGATTGCCATCTACGGTCCTGGCCTGTCATAGCTTAGCTTAATGGCCACCTAAACCTTAAGCGTATTATTTCAGCTCGATATCAGAGCTCGGGTTTGACCTACAGATCTATGTGCTAATCAACTCAGAGTTCCCAGACTTTCAAGAACGGTAGTACACCCGAGGACGCATACCGGTGCTCCGGGAGAGCAAAGTTCCAGTAGGCAAGTTTCCAATTGTGACGCGAACTGTTTTATAGAGAATAATATTGCTGGGAGGAGCTACAGTAAGCTGGTGGGTAACACACTATCCTAATTGGGATACTCTGGTTGGGCTTCACTCCATCGAGAGCGCAAACAAGGCTACGTTATATAATCTATGGATGAATAATAATACACGTCTAAAGGTTCAAAATCTAACTATATTGCAGCATATGGTCTTTGAAAATCTGGAACCCCGTAGGCCCTAGCTTGTGTATTCTTCAACGGGCCCTATGCTGCCACACCGCGCACAAAAGGGGTTCGTGTTACCCATGAACCACTGCTCTCGATTACGCTGGATACACTCTATCAATTAAGTCTCGCATGGCATTTCCTAGCTCTGTAATAACCGGACCGGATCGAGGAATGGTGTGGCCCCGTCCAGTATCAAACATCACTGCGGTATCAGGATCACAAATGTTGAATAAGGCTAGTGCACCGTATCGGTAGGGGTCTATGTCAGGGATACATAGTGAGTATATCGTTTGAACAGAGGTAATAAATCTCAAAATTACCATCTGCACCAACCACATGAAGCGTTGGAATGTCCAGAATATAGTCGCTCTCATCTGACAGGACCACTTCCTCCTCGGGAGAAAGAGGAGGCCACCCGGTGAAGAAAACTGCGCATTTGATGCGCCGAGGACGACCGGTATCCTGAGCCTTTCTGTCCTCATCTATGATTAGACTCGCAGCCATGATAGCACCTTCGCTATATCCGACAATGCCTTCGATATCGGGATTCTTCTCCAGTGTGTCGTAGAGGTACTCCATGACTTGGTGGTGATTTTTCCAACGACCATTCCAGTCCTTGTTTAAAGTTCTCATCATATCCTCGGGACAGGAACCATGCGGGGCGTTTCGAACACGGGAGATCAATGATTCCTCTGCTACTCCTCCATCTTCCATCCACCGGTAATGTGGCCCGATACCAAAATACTCCGCGAACCCTAAAGAATACGGAAATAAAAACACTTTGCTATTATGTTTAGGGTGGAACGTACCTGCTGGTGGAGATACAGAAACAGGACCGTTGATATAGTGGAATGAGGCGAAACCGTCTATGGCCATCTGCTTCACCAACGGACCTGCGATATTGTCAGTGAAGATCCTAATTTCTAGTTCGCAAACCCAAATCATGCTTACCAAGCTGGATGTTAATATTCTGCAATAAAGAAGTTAGTATTGATGTTCCTCACAATGTTCTCCATCAACTTACATCGATGTTGCCAATGGCACCGTGTAGACATAAGAACTTCATCTTGTACAAACAAGCGGGGGCAATGTGGGATCTAAGCGTGTATATGCGAAGAAAAATGGAGCAGAGACAAGCAAATATAAAAATCAACATTCAAAGATACTAGGAAATAAATTACCGCTCGGGCTGTACAGGTGCTATGTAGAAAGCCAAAAGTACGGGATTTCCGCCGAATATCAACTTCCACCTGGGTAACTACAAACAAATGGTATATCGAATAGTGTGCGACAGTACAATATTTCAGTCAAATTCACGACTTTGGGAATAACCGCCGATCACCCAATACAAGCAGAGCATCCCTATCCATCCATTTGGCGGGAGGGGATGCCAATGACGCTTTGCTCTTGTTCTCGCCTGGTCGATGACCCGGAGCAGAGACAAATTTATTGAGCTGTACACCCCCAAAATGACCCGTACCAGAAGAGCTGGGATGAGGTATTTGCAACGCTATATAATGCGTCATAGCCAGTCGGTTTCCCCGATATCTATGTGATCCCCCCGGAAATCCTTTAGACTCACGTTATAATTGCACTTTCCGCACTTTTCACCACGGGCAAACATGAATGGTGCTGATTCTGAAGGTGCGCCTCATGGCGAACAGGCTACTCCCCAGCCTATCGCCATAATCGGGTATTCCTGTCGGCTGCCGGGGCAAGTCACATCTCCCAGTGACCTATGGGAACTATGCACTCGAGCCCGAAGTGGCTGGTCACCCATACCAAAAGACCGTTTCTCCCTCGAAGCATTCCGCCACCCTAACCCGTCCAAAGTTGGTTCCTTCAACCCCAAGGGAGGCTATTTCCTCGACGAGGACATTGCACGCTTTGATGCTCCTTTCTTCAATCTCACCGTTCAAGAAGCTACGTCCATGGACCCCCAACAGCGCTTAATACTAGAGTGCACGTATGAAGCCTTGGAGAGTGCTGGAATTCCTAAAGAGAATCTTGCCCGTCGGAACGTGGGTGTTTTTGCCGGTGGAAATTTCTCTGATTATGAGCTCAATAACCTCCGTGATATCGAGACTATCCCCATGCACCAAGCCACCGGCTGTGCGGCCTCACTGCAATCCAACCGTATCTCATACTTCTTTGATCTACGAGGGCCTAGCATCACAGTGGACACGGCTTGTTCTTCTTCGCTTGTTGCACTACACTATGCAGTGCAGAGCTTGCGAAGCGGGGAGTCCGAGGAAGCGCTCGTTGCTGGTTGTCATCTAAACCTTGTGCCAGATATTTGGGTCTCTATGTCCATGTCACAGTAAGTATTTCCGTGCTCTCCAAGGCAAGCAGCTCGGAACCATATCACCTAACTGTCTGGAACCATATAGATTGTTTAATGATGAGGGCAAAATATTCTCTTTCGATGAGAGAGCCACATCTGGTTTCGCGCGAGGCGAGGGCTCGGGCGTTGTAATTCTGAAGCCCCTAGACGCCGCATTGCGAGATAAAGATCCCGTCCGAGCTATCATTGTACATTCAGGAGTCAATCAAGATGGGCGAACAAAGGGAATTACGCTACCAAATGGTCAGGCCCAGGAAGATCTAATACAACGAGTCTACAAAGAGGCCAATCTCAACCCGGACGAATGCGGGTTTGTAGAAATGCATGGCACTGGAACAAAGGCCGGCGATCCTATCGAAGCTGCAGCAGTCCATGCGGCACTTGGAAAGAATCGGACTCCAAGAAACCCGCTTTATATCGGATCAGTCAAATCTAACGTTGGGCATCTGGAGGGTGCCAGCGGTATAATTTCCATCATCAAAGCAGCCATGATGCTTGATAGAGAGTTAATGCTTCCAAATGCTGAGTTTAAGAAAGCAAACCCTAATATTCCCATGAGCGAGTGGAATATGAAAGTGTTAACAACGACGCGGCCCTGGCCTCCTCGCAAGAAATACCTTAGTGTGTCCAACTACGGGTTTGGGGGAACCAATGCACATGTCGTTCTTGAAAAAGCACCACTAGCATCCAAAGCCCCAGATGAGGCTGTTGAGGATGTTGAGGTGGACCCTAAACGTAAACTGTTTTTGATCTCTGCCAATGACAAAGAGTCTCTACGAACTAGGATCAACGAATTCAGTATCTACTTCGAACAACATCCCGAAGTTTTTGAAAAGGTTCTGTTCGGCAACTTTGCTTATACTTTAGGCAACAAGATGTCCCAACTCTCATACCGTGTTGGTGTGTCAGCTACTTCGCTAGATGACCTTGGGATCCGTCTTGCTCAACTGAAGATCAACCCATCCCGGGTTCTAGGCGCTCCGATAGTTTCGTTTGTCTTCACTGGTCAAGGGGCGCAATGGGCACAGATGGGCATTCCTCTTATGCATGAATACCCGGTCTACGAGCTGGCCATAAAACGAGCTGATCAATGCCTACGAGATCTCGGAGCTGAGTTTTCCCTTATTGAAGAGTTAGAAAAGGACGCCACCACCTCTGAGATTGACTCCCCTCATCTGAGTCAACCAGCCTGCACAGCACTTCAAATTGCACTAGTTGACCTCCTGAAATCTTGGGGGATCCGCCCTGCTTCAGTCGTTGGCCACAGTTCTGGAGAAATTAGTGCAGCCTATGCTGCAGGGATGTATGACTTGGAGGGAGCTATGGCTCTGGCTTACTGGCGCGGGAAAATGACCTCTTTGCTCAAATCCTCATTCCCGTTCCTCAAGGGTACCATGATTGCTATTGGAACTAGTCGCGAGACTGTTCAGCTTATATTGAAAACCCTATCTGGATACGCTACCGTTGCTTGCGTGAACAGTCCTTCCAGCGTGACCGTATCGGGGGACGTGTCCGCAATTAATGAACTGGAAAAAGTTCTCGAAGACAATAAACTTTTCAATAGAAGATTGAAGATTGACGTTGCCTACCATTCCAACCACATGGAGAAGGTTGCTGACGCTTACCTTGCTGCGATTAAGACCATCCAGCACTCCACATCGGCAACGGCCTCGTTCTTTTCTTCTGTCTTTGGACGCTTCGCGGAACCTCCTGAGCTTGGTCCAGAATACTGGATTACCAACCTGAGATCGCCGGTGTTGTTCTCTGACACTCTTGGCAAGATTGTGTCGGAAGATGAAACACGACCCAACCTTCTTGTTGAAATTGGTCCACACTCTACAATGAAGGGCCCTATCATGGATACTCTAAAGAGCTTGGGTCCCAATGTCTCTAAAATTGGATATATACCGACCATTCTTCGTAAAGTTGATGCAGCCGAGTCGGTCTTGAATACCGCTGCTGCTGCCTACGTGCGAGGCGCTACACTCAATATGACAGCAGTGAACTTCCCCAAGACTGGTGCGGTAAATCGTTGGTTCTTGAGTAATTTGCCTCGCTACCCTTGGCAACATGGGACTCGGTACTGGCACGTTAACCGTATCTCGCAGAAACATACGTTTAGAGATCGTGCTAGGAACGATATATTGGGAGTATTGGCAAATTACTCAAATGATCTGGAGCCAACGTGGCGAAACATTATCCGCTTAGATGAGATTCCCTATCTCCGAGACCACAAGATGCAGGGGATGGCCGTTTACCCACTGGCAGGCTATGTAAGTTTACTGAATAATCCATGATACCTTAGCGAAATTATGTTTACTGACTGTTCAATAGTTGGTAATGGCAATTGAGGCCGCTCGACGACGTGCGGAGCAATCTGGCATGCAAATCTCTCAATTTGAACTGAGGGAGGTCATTGTGGGCTCGGCACTTGTGCTCAATGATGACACAGATGCAGAGACCACCCTTACTCTCCGTCCCTACGCTGAAGGCACGCGGGGGTCATCCGATCTCTGGGATGAGTTCCGTGTCTGCTCATGGACCGCAAAACGAGGATGGACAGAGCACTGTACTGGTCAGGTGCGAGTTCGCTCCGATCCAAAACAGCAGGCGGCTGCGATTTCGAGCCCATTTAATACTGAAATCACCCACACGAAAGCTCAAATTGCCCGCATTCAGAAGTCAGCTACTAATTACCTCGATATGCCCCACATGTACCAAGTTCTAAGTGATCTGGGAGCTGGATATGGTCCTATATTTCAGGATATTGATAACTGCTACGCAAGCCCTAACCACTCGTTTGGCGATCTGCATGTTAGGGATACTCGCAGTGTCATGCCGAAGGGATTTGAGCCTCCCTTAACTGTCCACCCATCATTCCTCGATGGACTGCTACATTTTGCTTGGCCTCTCCTTGGCCAAGGCTTGGGCCGAATGGATCTAGACACACTTTACATGCCGACAATGATCAAACGTATAACGATCGGTCTCAACGTCCCAACCACAGCTGGTGAATATGTTAAAGCTTACTGTAGTGGCAGCCCCAGTTTACCTTTCCCCGAACCTACCAAGTTTGACCTTTTTGCTATCCAAGAGGGGTCTACAAAGCCCGTCATTACAATAGACGGTCTGGTAATGACTCCTCTCAGAAATCCAAATTTTCATCGAGAAGCCATTCGAAAACTGTGCTATAAGGTTGATTGGCATCCCTTAGCCGAGGTTGATAGCGCCATTGAAGGAGATATTCAAGATGGAATTGGCCCTGCGGAATCTAATGGCCACACTTCAACTCACGGGAACACGAATTCAGATGGAAATCCAGGGAAGAAAGGCAACTCGCACACAAACGGTATTGCAAATGTTATCAAACCTAAGCAGGATCTAATCATCTCCTACTTTGGCGAAGCTGATGGTATTGCTGATAAATTGAGTATTGCACTTTCTAACGCATCTGGATGGAATATTTCCGTCCAAATCTTTGGTGAAATGGACTTCTCTCAAAAGCAACTTGTTTTACTTCAGACTGGAGCTGACTCTCTGCGATACCTCACCGAAGGTGTATTTGAGGAACTCAAGATGGCACTGCTAAAAGCTCAGACTGTGCTCTGGGTCTACCGGACTGATTCTCCTGATGCTCAAATGACAGTGGGTTTGACTCGCACCTTACGCTCGGAGACCTTGGCTAAGATAGCTACTCTCGGATTGGCTCCCGAGGATATCGAATATCCCGAGAAGCCTATTCAGGTAGCCATGAGTGCTGTATGGCCTACTGACGGGGCCGAACCTTCAAAGGATTTTGAGTTCAAGACTCAAGGCTCTGAGATCTTTGTCCAACGCATAGTGGAAGATGATGCTGCCAATACTTTTGTCCACAATGAAATCCACGACATGACGATCTCTACCCAACCATTCAGCCAGCCCGGGCGGCGCTTCAAGATTCAGATCGGCAATCCCGGCGCTCTCGATACTCTCTACTTTGTAGACGACAATCCCCCACCACTAGGTGATGACCAGATTGAGTTTCAAGTCAAAGCAAGCGGTCTCAACTTCAAAGACATTGTGGTCTCAATGGGCCAGCTTGCACAGTCCTATATTGGAATTGAATGTAGCGGCATTGTTTCCAGTATAGGATCAAATGTGAAGAAGTTCAGGGTTGGCCAAAGAGTCATGGCTATGCCAGAGGGCTGTTTCTCAACCTACGCACGATGCTCTGCTACAAGCGCTGCAGAAATACCAGCCGACATGTCATTTGAGGTTGCAGCCACAGTTCCAGTTGTGTTCTGTACTGCATACTACGCTCTATTTGACCTAGGTCAGTTGCAAGCTGGCGAACGGGTTTTAATACACGCCGGTGCTGGTGGTGTCGGTCAAGCCGCCATAATGCTAGCACAAATGAATGGCGCAGACATATTTGTTACAGTCGGATACCTTGACAAGAAGCAGTTCTTAATGACCCAATATAGTATTCCCGAAAACCGCATCTTCTATAGTCGCGATTCATCTTTTGCTCGCGATATCCGGAGAGCCACTGGTGGGGTTGGCGTGGACGTCGTCGTCAACTCTCTAGCAGGCGATCTTTTGCGCGAGACTTGGGAGTGTCTTGCGCCGTTCGGGCGATTTGTCGAGATTGGCAAGGCTGATATTACGAAAAACACTCGTCTTGACATGCAGCCTTTTGAGCACAACGTCACGTTTTCGTCGGTTGATCTCGCCAAGGTTGGCAAGTTCAGACCGCAGCTGATGAAGCGCCTCCTGGGTGATGTTTGTCGGTTGATTGGCGAGGGATCGGTGCATCCCATCCTACCACTTTCGATTTATCGAATTTCCGATATCGAGAAGGCATTCCGTACTCTACAGATCGGTAAGAATATGGGTAAAATTGTGGTGGTTCCCCATGACGGTGACCAAGTCAAGGTAAACAAAAGCACATTACCCGCAATTAAATATTCAGATCTAATCGTTCAATTTTTAGGCTGTGAACCACAAGACTAGTCCTTATCTCCTACGACCTGATGCATCCTACATTTTGGTTGGTGGTACTGGAGGTTTAGGCCGAAGCATAGCCAAGTGGATGTCTTCAAAGGGCGCAAAGAACATTGTTCTTGTGTCTCGCCGAGCCGCGATTAATGAAAAAGTTCAAGTTTTGATTGACAATTTAGCTCCGCTAGGAGTGCGGATTGTCGTCAAGGCTTGCGATGTCAGCAGCCAGAAGTCTGTTGAGGCTTTGATTCACAAAGAAATGAAAGACCTCCCCCCTATACGTGGTGTTATTCACGGTACTATGGTGCTCCGTGTAAGTTTTATACCACAGGGACTTATTTACAATACTATTTCCAATTACTGACCTTACTTAGGACATGCTCTTCGAAAACATGTCTCTTGAAGACTTCACAGCCGTAGCATGCAATAAAGTTGAAGGAGCTTGGAATCTGCATAACGCGCTGATTAATGCCCCACTGGATTTCTTTATTGCCCTCTCATCGGTGGCCGGGATTATCGGCAATCGTGGACAAGCAGCTTACTCTGCAGCAAATGTATTCTTGGATGGATTCATAGAATATCGCAAATCACTTGGTCTTCCAGGAACAACAATCGACCTAGCTGCAGTCAGCGATGTCGGCTACCTAGCCGATATCGATGCCCAGCGCCGCCAGGAAGTAATGAAGAATATCGGCGGCCAGACCATTGACGAGTCAGAAGTCCTGGCGCTGATAGCAGCCGCTCTGACGGGTGATCTTGACCAGTCCTGCTCTGGGCAGTGTATCACAGGTCTGCGACTGGATTCGCTCGAGAACAACTTCTGGGTCCAGGATGGAAAGTTCAGCGTGCTATATGAGGCTGCTAAGAACACTTTGGGAAGCAGCTCACAGCGCAATGGCCCATCGGTGCCGCTGCAGGTCACTTTGTCGGCTGCGTCATCTAGAGAGGAGGCCTTGAAAGTGTGCTACGAGGCGCTGGCCGCCAAGTTAGCACAGGTGCTTGTTCTCTCCTTGGAGGATATGGATCCCTCGATTACAGTGGCTTCGTTAGGTCTTGACTCGCTGGTGGCTATTGAGATCCGCAACTGGATTGCCCGTGAGGCCAATGCCAATGTGCAGGTTCTGGAGTTGTTGTCCAGTGGCAGTTTGATGGCCTTGGCTGAAATTATCCTCAACAAATCTCAGGCCTACATTCGCACCGAGTAAGAGAATGATATCATGGAGATGGTTTGGCGGTATACGAGCCGTTATATTCTATGTACATCTTATATGTTGCGTCTTGACTATCTGCAGATTGTGTTTATTTGATACACTGGTTCTATTTCAACACTTTTAACATGTCCGTTTTCGTGTATAACGTATGCACAACAGCAAGTTCTTGGGAATGCCCTAGGAGAATGAAACAGAAGCCAATGAGGACCTGGGACTTGCAATTTACGACTTGATTGACGTGATACTTCTAGATTTAAACTTCAGTGCAGTCCCTGATTATCGGCGAGGTAAATATCCGAAGTTCCGTTTGTGCATTAGTGAAGCTGCCAAGAGACGAAGCCACACAATACCAGTGTCTTTGAATATACATCATCCGCCAATGGGGTTGAAATGATATGCAAAAAATCAATGATCGACACTTGGCTAGACTTATCTCCACATTTCAAGCAGCTCAGTCAGCGGGTTCACGGATGTAATCTATTTGCGTACTTGTACTTTTTGCATCATTGACCATGACCCAATAAGATTAAACTGGTTATGCTCATATCCTCTCTGATTGAACACTAGCTCTACTATGGATTCACGTAGGAGACCCCCACAGACACTTCAGGGTCCACACAATCCAAGATATCCGGGCCAATGATGGAACAGTTGATCTAAGGGACCAATATAAAATATCGCCAAGGCTTCAAATCCGCGTTGCTTACGCAAAAAGCACGGAAGCATCCGCATGCTTTGCAAGAAAAAGGCCCCCTCAGCAGTCCTCAAACACATATAAAGCCCAGCAAAGCACCGAGCATTCTGAAAACACCAATCCATACTCAAGTCTCTTAGCCATGCACCTTCCCAACATCCTCGCCGCGGCCGGACTGATAGCCTTGGCAGCCGGCCACGCTGGCCCTCATCCAGAGATTAGCAAGCGCGAGATAACAAGACGACACGACCTCTCCGCGCGGTGCGCCCCGCATGTAGCAAACTTCAACTCCAAGCGTATGAAGCGTAACCTCTCCAAGCGCTTCCCGGGCCCAGCAAACGCAACCTACCAAATCCAAACTGAAGCTCCGTACTACCAAACCATCCAGAATGACACATGTGTGCTCACCCCGGAAGTAACACAGGGGCCGTACATCTGGCCGCACTCGCAGACGCTACGCCAGGACATGACCGAGGACCAGCCTGGCATCCCGCTGTGGCTGGATGTCGGCGTACTGGACATGGAGACGTGCGCGCCGCTCGAGGGCGTACTGGTCGATTTTTGGCACTGCAATGCAACCGGTAGCTACTCTGCCTTCACAGGGTTGTCGCCTAACACGCCCTTCGAGGAGTTGCTGAAGCAGCTTAATGTTTCCGTTTCGGATATGTTCAGTGCTGATCTCCATACCGATAATACCACTTTCCTGCGAGGCATGTGGCCTACCGATAAGCACGGGGTGATGGAGATGAAGACGATTTTCCCTGGTGAGTGGTTTTCTAACGAGAAAGACTGTTTCTCCTTTGCTTCTCTGCCTCTTTGGAACGGACCTGGTGCTAATACCCCTTTTCAGGCTTCTATGTTGAGCGAGCAATCCATATCCATGTGCAGGTGCACACGGACTGGACGATCCGCGGTAACGGCACAATAGCGTACGGCAATACGATCAGCACGGGCCAGGTGTATTTCGATGAGTTGCTGTCGGAGGAGATCATGGCACTGGAGCCTTATGCTTCTCACACGTAGATTGACCGCGTGACCAATGCCAAGGATATGTTCTTCGACCAGAGTACCGAGAATGGGTACAATCCTGTTGTTTCGGTTGTTCCCATTGACGGTAAGGATGTCACCAAGGGTATGATCGGGTATATTACTATTGGCGTTGATAAGAATGGTCCTCAGACTGATTCGTGAATATGAAATTGGGGGTTCGGGGATCCTGACTTGAGTACAACGGATTCAGATGTTGGCATAGCTATATTTTGTATTATAGATATATGGTATACATGCTGAATAGAAAGCTACTTTGAGTAGCAGGAAGAGTTGTAGAGAACCAAACTGGAAGAATTGTCAGCGGTAATGGTATAATATGTGCTCCGTTCTGATTAGGTGTAGGTTTTGTAGGGCAATTGACAGGAGTATAATAGAGCCAGTTAATGACATGAGACAAAAATTATAGGTTTGATTCCACCCAGGGGTGGAGGAAGGAACAATGCACTAGCACAAGGAATAGATGAAAAGAATAGATAAATCGAATGTGCCTCCTTGAATTGAGAAAACGTAAAACCCGTTAATAAAAATGAGGCCCATGAAGAACGAGGCCGAACTCCAACAGAAAACCATGTTGATAGACCCATGTTGATTCCAAGAACCAGAAACTCCTTTTTGATGCTAAATGATTCGACTGATGAAAATAAGGGGGAAAACAAAGAGGAAAAACGCTCTCTCCACAACTCCCATCCGGGAATGCTCATGCAGATGAGAAAATATAAAAGCCCTGACGGAAACCAACCACATTTCATGAGTCGATCAACCGATGGGCATGGTAATAAGAAAATCACAACGAAAGAGACAGCTAGAGTTTTATGCTCAGCGCGGGGTTCGTGCATCACTCGTTTTAGCCAGCAATTTACAGCTGAGTGGATTTTTCAGCAACAGAGACAGCCACTGCGACTGCCGCGCCGAGAATGGCGCTTTCAGGCGCAGGGTTGAGGCGGATGGAGGCTCCGGTGCCTGGATACGTTTCCTCAGTCAACTGATCCAGATATTTCTGGCAGGCAGCGCGGAAGCCAGGATACTTGTTGATGACGGCACCGTCGCAAGCAATGGAGAGACTCCGATCTAGGTCTCCACTCTCAATGACGGTGATTGCGGGAGAGTCCTTATCGAGGGAGGTGGCGGTAGATGGAGGAGAGGGGAATTCAACCTCGTTACGGAGGCACCACATGCTGTGGATGGCTGTCGCCAGGTATCCAGCGGCACGGCGGGAGATTGCCTGAGAGATGCGGCGCAGGAACCGCAAATCTCCGACGGAGGGAGGGTTGTGGAAGGTATGATGCTTTTGCAGGAGGGCGGCGGAGGTGGACAGGGAGGCGGAAGAGTCCTCCTCAAGGCAGGCGACGATGCTTGTGTCGAAAGAATAGGGTTTGCGCATGGAGTCTGGTAGTTCGCCGCCGAATAGGCGGGCGGTCTCGGTTGCCTCGACGATGATCAGACGCGCAATCTCGCCCAAGTAGCGACCTGTGATCATGTACTCGAGCGGTTGGTAGTCGGGACGCAGATGGGTGCGGTTCAGTATATCATCCCACCGTGTCATAGGCAGCACGCCTCCACCAAACATACTCATCTCGGTGTTGATGAGCACGTGCTTGGCGTGGTCGAACCAACCCTCCGGACGGACTCCGAACTTGGACTTTCCAATCTCCTGAACCGGGAAGTGAATTGCCATGTTGGTACCGGTGCCCAGAATGAGAGACATGCGGGTCTTGGGATCGACATAGGCACGCGAGAGCAGAGCCGCCGAGCTGTCATTCAGGATAGCAGCCACCTCTACGTTCAAATTGCGCTTGCGGCATGACTCGATAAGGAGACCACCCAGCTCCTTGCCTACCGTGCCCTCAGAGGCCTTGAACCCCTTACCCATATGTATCACCAATCCGCTGCTGTGTGACGTCTGTTCAATGGGGAAAGACCAGGACAACCCCATCGCCAGAGGTACATCGCCACGCCCATAGTCTGTTCCAACTTCCTTTAGAATGGTTTCAATCTGCCCTGCCATCCAATCGAAAAACAGTGTCCCTTCCAGCATCTTGAGTTTTTCGTCAATGAATACAGATGACACCTTCAAGATGCGCACCTCCTCATCCCGGCCATTCAATTCAATCAAAGCTACGCGAAATGTCGATCCGCCCACGTCCAATGCCAGATAAGTGCCTTTTTCCGAGCCAGCGGGAAGCGTGGTATCATAGGATGGAAGCATGCAACAGGGGCTAGTCTGTAGACATTCCCGGAACTGTGCGCGGATCTTCTTGGACATATCAGCCATGTTGCGCGTGGACAGTGGCGTTGAACACGAAGTCTCCACTTCTTCGGCGAAGTCGTCGAGGCTCCGGCGTTTCGAAAGGGAGCTTTGGAAGGACTTGGGGCGGCGTCGCGAGTGGCCGCGGAAGAATGAGGGGAATAGGAACATGTTTTCGAGTGCGGCGACCACGTCATGGAACATCTGTTGCAATCGGTGTAGCACCTTGACCAGTGGGGCCGACATAGTCGGGGAAGGAAGATGGAGGATCGGCGAGATCGCAAGTCGGGGAGGGAGGGATCGAGGTTCACTATGTTGGAGTATAGAAGATCATGAAGCAAATAAGAGAAAAGAAGGAAGATATGAAGTTATAACCTTGGAATGAATGGGGGGGGGGCCAAGCTGATGTGACACTCCCACTGGAGTTGTGTTTGAGTGGATCGGTGGGAGTGTGGAAGCAATAATCCCCACCCGGAGAAAGTGAAAAGGAGAGAGAAGAAGAGAAGATGAAAAAGGAAAAGAAGGGTGTTGACCCTAATGGATCAACATTGGCCCATTCTTGTGTTGACAGTGTCACCGGGAGTGCAACTGTTTGGGAGAAGAAGCCCTTGCGGTGTCGCAATGGACAGGTGGGTATGGTACTGTAACGGTAATCTATATCGCCCATTTATTCCGATCTTCACTATGTTATGCATGTGATATAGATTGGATTTATATTTACTGTTGTAGAGTCGCATTGTTTTTTTCTAGAAAAATAGAGTCCAATCTCTCTTATACCAAATTTCATATCTACATTATGGAGTTTACGAAGTACATATATATCACACTTGTAACGGTAAGTGGAGTGGAGTTACATATGGCTATATTACTCTTATAGGGAGAATCTGGATACTCCATGAACATAATATAGCACTAATAGTATTAATAGCAATTACTTTGTAGATATAGATTAGAGTGAATTAGAATAGGCTATTCCAAATCATTCACAAATATAATACGGAGTACTCCGTACAGGCATTCCCAGTGTACCCCATACATACTCAATGAACCCCTTGAGTGCAACGGTGGTAGTCAGCCCAACTTGGGGGGGTTACATGTGGAACTTATTTTTCTACTTAACTCACCTCTCTTCTTTTTCTTTTATTTTCCCTTTGGAACACATCTCTCTCGCTTGTTCTCACCTTTTCTCATCTTGGCAAAATGAAATCTGAAACATTCATCCTATCCCGTCCAATACCCTAATCTGGCTACTCTACGTTGCAACGTATTTCCTGTATTTCTTGATATGCCTCCTCTTGTTATTTTTTGTTGTTTTTTGCCCCCATAGCTCCGTCAATATAATCTTACACTAGAACTGTAAAATCATAGTGCATCGGGTGTATCCATCTAGACTTTGCCCCTGTCACCCTCTCACAGCAGGTCACAGGGTGGTTGAGCCTCAATCAACCGCGTAGCGCTATCGACGGCCCCGGCGGTGTCAACCGCCTTGATTAATTACAATGATACCCCTTCAAAAGGATCGACCTTGGAACATTCCATCTTGTTTGAGATCTCCAAAATCCGACTTTACTGGTGATGTTCCAAAGCTGCCATGACATAATCCATGTTGCAAGCATCACATCATGTCTATCTATGTAAGGTAAATGCAAGAGGCAACCTAGCAATAGACAAGCTCAGTAACTCTTCGTGCCATCTTTAAGTCCCAACAAGACCATCAGTCGAGGTACAGGGCAAGCAAGGCAACGATATCATTGAAGGTAACTTCGTCCACATCAAGTTAAGAGGCGGGTCGCATCAGGGCAAGGTAGGATTCCTGCATCAATGGCAAATCTTTCGTCTGTGCTAGAGTCCTACCCGGCGGACGGCTCAAATTGACCCGTCAGCAGGCCGAAACGACCAAGGATCAAGCTAGTGCCCGACACAAAGGTGTGGTCAGCTACCCTAAGGGAAGTCCAACGTCAGCGAGGCAATGCTTCTCAATTTTTTTTTGAAGATCCTATCCATGTTTTCCCAGGTTGTTGGACTTGTATTCGTGACTAAACACCACAATTCCTGCATGGATGTTGCGTTGTAGGTCATCTATGCCGATCAGCATGGCCATCAAATCGCTTATCCAACCACCCTAAAAAAGCAAAATCAACTGATATTTGAGTGACTAGGAATAGTAAAAAGAATAACCCTCGCATATTTGATGCACTAAATGTGAGGATTGGAGGATTTCTTGATAGTTCAGGACCCCTAGAACAATTCTGAGGTCCTGCGAATCTATAGTCAATGTTCTATAGGCTACATACTAATTCAACATAGCTTCTTTTTAGCGCTTGTCAACAATATCTTTGTGCGTATCTTTTCTTTGACCTTAAAAATTATTGCAGTCATACATGTCTCCCGTATACCCTTTATGTCGCAAGACAATGTTGTCTAGAGTATCTCCCCGTCCTTTGTCGGCCTTTCAGCTCCCACTAGTGACATCTGATTTCCATTGTTGAATCTCTTCTCTTTTGCGATAAAATATTAGACTTGACATATTTCTGGCCTAGCTATATACCCAAAAAAATGTATCCCAAGGATGAATTAGTCCATCATTCCATCTTCTTTCCCATCCTACGTCCAGCGGCAAATTCTGACCCCAAACCCTAGAAGAACAGTATTTCAATAAACCCTTCACCAATTGCCCATGGTTGACATCATTGCTACCCAATCGCCAGGGGAGCAGCCCCCGGTATTGAAGTACGATAATCTTCAAACAACAGGGGCCCTGAGGGCTTCATGGATAAGGGATCCCAACCAAAACTGTCCAATTACCCCATCACAGCTTACAATGCAAAACATGGTAGACGCGGGATGGGGAATCCGGCACGAAAAACGCAACTTTCCACCAGACCAAATCTACGAAGAAGTCGTCGAACTAGGGCTTTCTGGAGAAAAGCTCTACCGCAAGATTGTAGTATGGAAGCCCGGAGTATCGCGCGGACTATTCTGGGTAAATGACTACATGTTACAAACAGGGCCAGGCGTAATTTTTGCCATAGATAGCTTCCGGCCTGACTCAACATATTGGGCGCAAATCGCGCAGGCGGTTTATCAAGATGAGCACCCTATCGAGGATCTGAAGTATGTCTTCCAGTGTAATATCATTAACCCCGAGACTATGCTGTTCGTGCAGAAGCGCCTCTATGTCGCGGCAAATGATCTTGGCTGGCCAGATGATAGACTGCATGCCTGGGAGGAGAATACGGCTGAGTATCAGGCTCTGCTGGGTACGAGACTTGCCAAAGGTGTGGCGTATTTGATTCTAGGGGCTTTCCCTCGAGGAACACGACGCATTGCAAGGATCGTGACTTGGGGAGACCGTTATATTCCCTACCTACAGATGCGATTTGATATTGAGAGAGTTTGAGGTTTGGTAGGCTTATATGTATTGGCTTGTTGCGACGACTTTCTTATTTTTGGCATGGGTGGTTCATACGAAGAAAAATCATACATAGCAATGGATTATACCTTTGTATTGAATTCAAATGGATCTTCTATTGTGGGAACTATCCATGGATGTTCAAGCTTACTGTAGTACTAGGTGCCAACAGACAGCGTTATGTGAGCCCTGGCCACTACCTAACAGTGTAACCGATGAGGTGTTTCTGTAGCGTGTGCTTGGCCATTCAATATACTTTTTGGAACAAACCTTGGTGCCTGTGGCTATACGAAGACTGAAAGTTCGTTTTCGGGCGAAGTGACGGACGGCCTTATACCAAGCAAAGACAAACTTGACTATACCTATATCTTGAATAGCTAGAGTAAGGTGGAAGTGAATTAAGAGCAAACTAGACTATGGTTTTATGGCTCTAAACTACATAGTCATTGCTCGCTTACTTGGCACGAGAATGATTTGCCTTTAATGTTTTGGTTCCACCGAGTGATGATTTTACCAGCCATTGTTATACAATATAGTAGAAAGTGACTTGAAATGAGGAAGATATTCCTCCATACTAAGAACTAAGGGCTAGCTGAAGATGGAATGAGAGGGCTGGGTGACTTGTGGGTAGTCGCCACGTAATGGCTAGTAGTGAGGCTGGGTAGCCACATGTAGTCAGTGACAGCCATGATCGCTTTGGTAGAATATGAGAATCCAGTCTCGACTGGTAGCACAAGATAACGTCACGTCGAAAATATTCGTGGATGGTGGATGGTACTGACGGATCTCCAGGTGAAGCGACAAGCACTGGTGTATATTGTTCGCAGCGGGGTGTTGTAGCCATAGTCTGTGCGGAGGGGCAGTGAGATTGTGCTTGGGTCGCTCTCCATAAAGTTCCAGGCTGGTTGCCCCTTCAGATTTGAATTCACTTGGGTTGGAGCCAGATGACGTCATGAGCCGTGGCTGTCATCCATAAGCGGCCCTTGATATTCAAAGTCCAGGCGCTTGTTAGCTTCATTTGTGTGTCAGTCGATGGTCGCTTCGTAATCATCTTCATCACCAGGGAGGTAGGCCAGATCGGTGGTTTGCAGAATTCCAGTCGCGATATAGGAGTACTCGAAGCCAATCCACTTGCGCGGTGGACTGGTATGCCTGATTTAGTGCAGGCACTGGTCTTTGTGCTTCTTGGATCTCGTTTCAGAGGCAGCATTCCCTTCTCCACCTGCTTCGCTCGCTCGGATTGTCCGTCATAAGAGACTCCTGGACAATAGCAGAGCAGAGACTTTGGACTCTGCTACTGCGATTATGACATATAAATAAAACTATCGGGCGGAGACAACCGGGGCCAGCGGAATGGTGCGTTGTTCATGATGGCAATGTTTGCCTTCGTTTCTGGGGAGAAATCACTTGCCCAGTCGCCGACGAAGACATACTGTCTCGTTGTAAGTGTCGATAAACCTAGAGTTCTGGTATAGATCTCTCATATGCATGAGAGGCTGCCCGAGCACCCGTCACAAACTTTAATCGTCTTAGACGACCGAATGCTGCGTGGTCGTTCACACATGGCACCTTTAGCTCTCCGACTACCCTCAGGTTTCGTTGTGTACTTCATGCATTTTTTTTGCTTCTGTTTAGTGTAAGAAGAGGACTTTGTAACTCGGAGAACTCGAGTTACCAGGGTGTTAGGTTGTCACTTCCCCGCTCAGTTTTGCCATTTATGCAAACCCACTGCGCACCTTCCTAGGTTATTGATCAACCGCTGGACTCCATTTCTTCAAAAACCAAGGCATAGCCTCCCAGCTCTTTGGGTCCCACGGATGACAGGACTTATCAGGACGATGTCGGTGGCAAACAAGTGCATTTCGTGTGTAAATGTCCAACTTGAAGTCCCAGAGATCAAAGATATCAGGCATGGCAAAACACATCATGATAGCACGGTCCCTGAGAATAGGCAGGGGGATCAAATCCAGACTGGCGTGGTGAGGAACCAGGATTTGAGCCATCGTTGGCTGGAGGTGAATAGGAATGGAGGGTTTCATAGCCGATATTACCAGGTCCCGGGGGTTGTCTTGCGGCGTGATTGGTTTGTAAAATGGTGACATGTATGTCAGGCTACAGGCTGATAGTAGTTCGACATCATGCCCTAGACAGATGGCATTGCTGAATATGGCTGCCCACATGGTGACTTGCGGGGTCTCAAGCGTATTCATCCAGAAATCAGCGGGCGAAGTTGACAAAGCATCATTGCCATGCTTGACAACGGAAAGTGTTGAGGATGGCGTATCAAGTGAGCCCACAGTGTCCAAAAAAGTGACCAGGGGATCGTTTGGTTCTGACTCCGACGACTCTGGTGGTGATCGCGGTGCAAGCCTCTTTGCTCGCGTCACGTGGGTGTTGGAACTTTTTCGGTTTTCTCTCTGCCTCTCCCCTAGAGACAGAAAATGTATTAGTCGGTGCTACAAGATAACGGGAGCATGGTCGACACACGATAAGCCCTTTGTGCAATCCTATTTTGTTCTTTTCGGGCTGGTGTGAGGACTCGCTTCTTGGGACTTTTAGATGAAGGAGCCTCAGGTCGATTCGAGTCATGTCTAGACGTAAGCATGTCGTGGCTCTCCAGTCGAATCATGGTTGGGGCCAAGAAGGACATTTGGAGTTAGGAGTAAATGCCATCAGAAACTATGGGTGGCCTGGTGAACACGGATAGACCTTAACCCCGGAGAGGCCTTAATTCCGCTGTAAGCCAAACTGGCTTACGCTTCTCATCCAATCAGATTACTCGAACTATAATATATGTATCTCATTCTAACATAGATGCTTCAGTCCGATAATATCAGTCGAACAATATAAAATGGGCGACATGTCGCTTCAATAATGAATCAAAAATATCACAGACTCAGCAACACTCCATTGAAAGCAACCTTCTTCAAATATTTAAACATTTCAAACAATGACATCCACAAAGAAGATCATCGCAATTGTCGGCGCTACCGGCAGACAAGGAGCATCGGTTGCTCGCACATTCCTGCGCCTTCCAAACTGGCACGTTCGATGTCTTACTCGCAATTCGGGTTCCGAGAAAGCCCAGAAACTCACAGAAGTGGGCGCCGAGGTAGTCGAGGCAGACCTCAACGACAAAGAATCACTACACCGAGCCTTCGCCGGCGCCAATGCCATCTTTCTCAATACCGACTTTTGGCAACCCTACCGCGATGCTCTCGCGTCTGGCGTGGATGCCCCGACAAGTGCCAAGCAAGGTTATGACGCGGAAACCACCCACGGCGAGAATGCAGCCAATGTCGCTGCTACCATTCCAACGCTGGAAAAGCTCATTTATTCGGCTCTGGGACCAATGAAAAGGGTTTCGGGTGGGAAGTACTCGAGCTGCTTCCACTGGGATGCCAAGGCGCAGATAGTCGATTACATCGAGACTCAGCAGCCTGAATTGGCAAAGAAGACATCCTTCATATATATTTCTTGTTACATCTCCAATCCGTTCCTGTATCCCAAGTACCAGTCGGAAAAAAAGGAGTTTGTCTATATTCTGCCGGCTAGCAAGGCTATGCGCATGCCTATTATTGATACGGCTCAGTCGACTGGTCCATTTGTCAGGGCTTTGGTGGAGGATGAGGTCCCAGGGATGAAGTTACTTGCTTACGATGACTATGTCTCTGTTGAACAGCTGATGGAGACTTGGACTCGAGTCCTTGGCAAGCCGGTTGAATTTATTCAGAAGACAGTCAAGGATATGAATGAAAAGCTTGGCCTCCCGGTTGAAGTTCTGAGTGGCCCAGCATTCGTTGACGAGTTCGGGTACTTTGCTGGACTGGAGAACGTTGTTGAGCCAACTCAGTTGAAGTCCCATGTACAGGGTCCGAAGTTTGAGGAGTGGTTGAAAAGTCAGGATGTCGAGGAGTTGCTTGGTTTGAAGGAGTCGAACAATTGGGATGGGCTTGTACAATAGTCAGATTAAGTGACATGGTTTCTGACTTTTTTTCAAAGTGTAATCTGGCTGTGCTCATAAAGATCCCAGCGAATAGCTCCTGATCCTGTATTCTATATAGGATCTCTACTCTGAAGAACTTCCTTAATTAGGTTATCTCTATCGGTATTTTAGTCTCTTAATAGCATAGATGTTAAAGGGGAACTTAGGGTAAGGTTGCATAGCATGCTCGACCATCTATAACAGTTGGACGGGATGGGGTTTAAACTTCCATTTCTTACACGTCCGAAAATACCGTAAGATATGTAGAGGAGCGTGATGGAACCAAGCTGATCAATTGAAGGACTTTTTATGCGCCCAGATTGTCTTTTTTTGGCATAAATGCCCCAAAGTTAGAAGTAATTATTCGCGTGTTACTGTAGATGGAGGCGATTCCGCCCACGTGCGTGTCCACAACGACGGTCTGCTCGGCCTTTAGCGGGATCTAGCCCATGGCTTGCCTTCACGCCTAGGTTATATTGGGCGACGTGCGCGGCGTCCGCGTCAGTAATGTTCCGCTGGCGGGGTTTATACGAGGGCGCCTCGTATAACCCTCTTGCGTGGGCGCTGGCCATGGGCGCAATTACACATGGCGAATCTATCCCGGCTGGATCTTAAGCATGTGCGTCGGCAGGAACTGCCGCCAGCCCTACAACTATAAATGATCTATTTTGAAATGAGGGCTTGATTCTTAATGCGGCGGCGGAAATACTATTTTACTACTTTACTTGCCTTATACTATAGCCGAATCCCCATCAAGGAGTACGCGTCCCCGGAGCTAACATAGAATGCAAAAGTGGTTCGTGGGGGGTCAAGGTACATTTTGTGGCTAAAAATCAAAGGTGAGGCCTCAGATAACGTAAACTAAATTGTGCGATAGATTTGACGTGAATATTCGCTGTTAGACAGGAGTATGTACTTACAGAGTTAAAGTATTGTAAGTATTGTACATCAGTGGATGACAATTTTAACTGTCGAGTTTGAACGGAGTGTACTATAAATATTTGGACAGAATTATATGTACTCCGTAAGGATCTTCCTTTGATCATCACGTCTAATAGAGTGGAAACAGGAGAAACCCCCTGACGACTCCATCCTCGACCACATTCGGATGCCAAGACGTTCCCCTGGACGATCTTCTATCATTCAAATCGGAAAAATGATCGGAGAAAATCTCAGCGTTTGAGGCAGAATGGAGTTCGGCATGTAGGTCGTGCCACAGATCTAGTGGAGGTTGAATGGATATACATGTTCATGTCAGGGGGGAAAAAGGTAATGAAACCACAGCTACAACACATATTGAAGACTTTTTCTCAAATGTATACTTCTCCACTCAAAGCAAATGCCAAGAAATCTCATTACGTTGCTCGGCGCTTCTCCCGAGGCCTTTCCTCTCTGTCTTCTCCTTGTCTTCTATCGTGGAGAGGGTATTTTTTTATATTTTTGTTTGATTTTATCCGCTTTAACTTAATTAAATGGCTTTTATATCCTCTTAATCGCCTAGCGTTGTCGTCCCCCCCCCCCTCTTTACTGATACCACTGACGACAACCGTTTGAATGTTTTGGTGTCTGGCATTGGTTCTTATGTAGTGATCTGCTTTGCTTCCCTTCATTCCTTTTTTTAAGAAAAACTTTTTATTGCATTCTTTGCATTCAGGAAGATTTGATCTTCCTAGCTATTATTTAAAAGTTAATCATGTTTTGGGCTGCATTACTCCTGTTCTCAGGTAATGCTGTTGCAGAACGTCATGACTCGGATTTGATGTCTTTTGTGACGGTGGGTGAACTTTGACATTGTTGGAATCGCGTGATTCTAATCACCAGAATCCAGCTACCTGAAGTCCGAGCCTTAAAATGGGAGATTGAATACTTCGACCGCGACCGGCTGGCCCCCGGATACTGGTTCGTTGCGCCATATGGGCAAATCAGGCCAGATCAACCTACCATGAAATATCAACAATATCAAGTCGGTCCCTACATTTATGACGACAATGGCGTATGTCTTGGCTCCAAAACCCGGTCAAAAACGCACCCGCTGACTCGCTTCGGGCATAACAGGTCCTTATCTGGGCTGGATCGCTCTTGTACGACAATCATAATGTTTTCGATTTCAAGCCGGTTCATAACATTGATGAAAGCTCCCACCTGTCATTCATTGTGGGATGGGAATATGACGATTCCAAGAAGGGCCACGGCGCGATTGTGAACAACCATTACGAGGTGGAAAAAGAGGTCCAGGCCCCTAGCAATATCCATGACTTCAACATGCACGAATTCAACATCATGGACGGTGGAAAGACTGCCCTGGCTTGCACATATCGTGCCCAGAGTATCAGTCTGGCTGATTTCGAACGCCCAACGGAAGAGAGTTGGGTCACGGTTGGCGGGTTTGTCGAGGTGGATGTCGAAACTAGCGAGGTTCTGGTCCAGTGGGATTCAGTCGACAAGATTTCCCTGAACGAGTCCAATATGTTCCATGCTTCGGATCAATCCCTTGGATCGCCCGGTTGGGATTACGTACATATCAATGCAGTCGACAAGAACGAGGCCGGTGATTACTTGATCTCATTGCGGTTCACTGATACCATTTACTTGATTTCTGGCAATGACGGAAACATCGTGTGGCGCCTGGGTGGATTGAAGAGCGACTTTAAGCAGGACTTCACCTTCTCTAAGCAGCACGATGTCAAATTTGTCTCTTCAGACGGCACTCACCACGTTATTTCGTTGCTGAACAATGCTGCTGACGAACGTGGCAACGACGAGAAGACCTCTTCCGTTTTGTTCATCGAGCTAGACACAACTGTTACCCCTATGACTGCCAAGGTGATCAAACGGATTAACCGCCCCGATAGCGGTCTCACCAGACTCCGTGGCAGCGCCCGTGCCCTTCCCAACGGCAACGTCTTTATCGGATGGAGCGAACGCGGTTATTCGAGCGAGCACGCACCGAACGGCGACCTTCTAATGACCGCGCGGTTTGTATCAGACCGGTACTCAACCTACCGCTCTTACAAGGGCGAGTTCACCGGCCGCCCCACTGCGCCTCCAGACCTGGTCGCATCCGTCTACGGTACTAACAGCGAGGACACGACGACCGTCATCTACGTTAGTTGGAACGGCGCTACCGATGTCGTCCAGTGGAAGTTCTACGCGCAGGGCTCCGACCACAAAGAGTCCGTGCTCATTGGTACTACCAACAAAACCGACTTCGAGACCATGTTCATCGCCGATGGTTATATGGACTTTGTTTCCGCAGAGGCCATCGATGCCGACGGCAATGTCATGCACACTTCGAAGATCATGCGCACTGGCACTCCGCCCAACTGGAAAACTGCTGGCTGGAATGGTTCCGGCTCCGGCCCTACTCCTGATGATCCTGCAGTTATGGTCGCTGCCAACGATAACACGGATTCAACGTCTTCCGCTGGAAGTGGCGCCAAAGCAGCCGAATCTATCAGCGACAGTACGTCTGGCAACCGCTCAAATGCCCAGTACGCCGACGCGAAGGAGGTCGCCAAGGCCGTCTACAAGGCCTACGATCTTGTTCGCACAATCGGTAGTCTCCTCCTATTCCTGCTTTTAGCTGGCCCTATGTGCGGAGGTGGATTTGCCCTCTGGCGGTTCATCCGCAACCGCCGTACTGCTCGCTACCAGCACGTTCCCTCCGAGGAGGGAATTCCCCTCGCTTCTACCCGGCGGTCTTGAATGTTTTGGCATATCTCTTTTTTCGCTTTCAATCTTGCATGATTAGCATTACATCTTGCCTCGTTTTGCATTTGCGTTGTTTCGAATCTTTACCCGAACATCCCCAAACCAGGCTTGCAAATTTGCACTACTGGGGACCAACAGAAAAAGTAAAAGAGAGGATTAGCTGAGGCCATTTGGTAAATACCATTCTGGCCATGATCGTTTCATGCATATCATACCCCTCTGGCGTTGTTTCATATATATATCCTCAGACTGCTCTGAGTGACGTTTCTGCATGACTCTGGATTGTTTACATACTGTTTTCCTTTTGAGGCTCAACCTGGTCTCTGTATATTTAATTCAATGTAACACCCAAACATGGGATACACCTTGGGGCTTATTTCATTTCGTTTACGATACTCATGTCTCTGTATATAGTTTGAATCTTAAATTCAATTACATATCATACTGTCCTTTATCCAATATAAGTATATATTACTGGTGTTTGAAATCCCTGGTCTCAAATATGAAGTATAATACACTATATATATACAACGCGAAGAGTAATGAACTAAAACTTAACAATCTGACCCTTCATAAACCCAAGTCGACCCAAAATACCCGGTTGGAATCGCGATCCAACCAACGAATTCTCCATAGCAGGAGGTCCACAAACAAAGATCTTCGTATCACCATCGACCTTCACAACATCCCGCAACAGCTCCTCGGTAATGTATCCCTTCTTGAATCCATTGTTCTGTCCCTGTCCCTCCGGGTGACTGACTGTGTAAATATAGTCAAAGCGACCCGGGAAGCGCTTCTTAAAGCTCTCGAGCTCCTCTCGTAGAAGCAGGTCCTGCTCGGTATTGACGCCGAAAACGAGGTTGATTTTAGTTTTGTCGGCTGGATTATTGAGAATACCCTGTGCTAGCTGGTAGATAGGTGTAATACCAGCCCCGCCTGCTATGAGGTATACCTGCGGGGATTGGTTCGGTGTCCAGGCGTGCCCTTTGATTGCCGCTGCAAATGTGAGGGTGTCTCCTGGGGTGAGGGAATGGATGTGGCCGCTCGCTTTGCCATTTGGGTATTTCTTGACCATGAGTTCAATTTGGCCTTTTTGATCTGTTGTTTGTTAATTTATTGTTATGTCGGGCTTGGGTTATATTGCTCATACTCAGATCGCTGATGGGTGTATATGGGCGTATTACGGGGAACCAGCGCCCTTCAGGACGGGATATGGTGAGGAGTGCCGCTGTAACATGTTAGTATATAAGTAGAACATGAAGTTGGTCTGTAATTCGGGACCATACAAGTCAGTGACAATCCACTTATGGCGTTCTGGTCTGGAAACTCGAAGACGAGACGTTTCGTGTTGTGGTTTACATCTTTCGTGCTTTGCAAACGTAAGGTGGTAAATCCAAATCCCGAGAAGACTTTGGGAGGCTCATTTGACTTTGCATTGGCAGTTGGTGTAAGACGTGATCCGGCATAATAAGCTCCAACGCCTAGTAAAGTGACGGCCGCGACCGACTTTGCTGTTATGTACTGGGGGAAACGAGCTCTGAACATGGCTAAACTGAAGATTTGAATCTTTCTAAGTCTACATCAACCAGTTTAATAGACTAGTCTAGGATCTCCAGTTTACATAGTTTACTTTAGTTAAAACCCGAGTTGCGTCCAAAGCCCGCAAAACCCGGAAGGCCCGAACCCCGAAACGTCAGACAATGATTCATAGATCTAAGAGCCTCATATGATCCATCGAATTATAAAATAGAGGTCTTGTCTATCAGATCGGAATTTAAAGCTATATAATGATCTTAGTCCACATGATGAAATAACCAGTCAACTTAAACTGTCCTTACTGAGCCATAAATTTATTTAATTGGGCCTTTCATCAGTATATATTAACTATGTCAAAGGACTTCATAATCTTGAGTAAATCAACAAAACAGCATCGCCAGCGCCAGCACCGAGCGAAATAAGAACATAATGGTATCTGACAGGCTAACAGCTCATGTAAAAGAAAGAAAAATATTACAAATCAAATCAAACAGGCGATCACCTTGTCTTGTCTTACCCTCAATCTTTATGAGGAACGGCTTGAGCCTGATTTACAAAGCTCGCTTTGCCTGTCTCTTCGTTGTAGATATTATATCCGTAATCGGCAGCATTGGGCGGGGTATATACTAGAAAGAAAACATTAATACACAATTCCCATTTCAATATTCTGTCAAGCACTTACAGTGAAGAGAGACAGCAACATGGTCACTGCTCGGATTATGAACGCGATGTAGCCCGATATCATCCGAGATATAAGCAACGTCATTCATGGTATGCCTTGTATCAGACTTGATTTCCAGGGGACCATGAAGATCCGAGTCCTGATCAGGGACATTGTAGATGGTCTCCTGTAGTGTGCCAGCTAAGACCTTCATGATGCAGTGTGCATTGGCGTGGTCGTGGACAGGGGAGCCTTTCCCGGGGTTCCATACAAGGAGGAGCTGGGATGTGTTAATCTCTAATTCTTGGGCTCTAGCTTTGATAGGATCTAGCTATGATTAAGAAGAAAACTCACGATATTTGCTTTTTGGTTGATGTTTTCAATAGCATTTCGGGTGTAATTCTTGCTGGTGTCGTTGTAGTAAAAGCGGGCCCAGTCGTTTGGATCAGAAATATACTTTTGTGCCAACGAGATCAGGTATTCGTTGTCCACGTCTGCGGAGGAAATACCGCCGCTCTCACCTAGGTAAATCTTGATGTCTTGTATGAGATTATCTAGGCTGTACTGGGGGTTGTAGTGCTTGTTGCCGAGTGATAGGCTGGTACCAAGCGGGAGTAAGGGCATGACAGCAGGCATTGTGGTGGATGGAAGATCTGGAGATGTTGGAAAAGGATATTGTTGGAAGATAATGAGTACTTATAAAGATGATTGACGGATGAGTGATATTTCCGGAAGCAATTCGTATCTGCTTCCCCCTGAGTTCCCCCGTGCAATCTCAATTATACTAAGGGATCTCAATCGCCGATTGATCCAATGCCTTGCGTTCCAGCGCCCCAGACCCATTATAGTCTGAGCTGAGAATAACCAGAGACCTGGAAATGTAATTCTTTATGACGATTAATTTATCTTGAGCAATAAAGGATGAGATGTTGACAATGCTCGAATGTTCGAATCCGTAAAACTCGGCTCTCTTCACATTGCAACTGTTAGTATTTCCCTATAAAGAATTAAGCAGCACTTAAAATACTCTAGAAAATTTCCAGGCTCTTAATTCTAGTATTTGATTTGTAGACAATTCTTTTTTTATTTTTCTCGAGTTTTTGAATTCTAATCCAAAAGGCCGTTCGTTGATAGGACAAAATCTGCACATCTAACGCCATTGGAAAACATCCGACGTAGGCATGCAGCTGCAGTTCAACCATCTAGTACTTCCGTGTGATTCATGATGTAAAAGTAGTCCAATAGATGTACACACTAAGGTGACTTTGTAGATCAATGCATCGGTGAACGATTTAAGCACGAAGTAGATCGCTATGTCATTAACAACAAATGTAGATAGATAGACGGTTATCACCGGATATTTGATCAATCAACGCAGACCCAATGAAGGAATAGTCGGTGAGTATCCTGGCCATATCTCCCGATGTATGATTGTGAGTGAAATCGTATGGGGTTATACTCCGTGCTGTCGAACTTTTTACTGTAGAACACGAACTACTTTCGGATATAGCTCCAGATTCAATTGATACCATTTGCAACACTGATGTTACTTCGAGACACCAGTCTTTATCTATGACAAGGTGTACTTATTTCTGTTCACAAGAAATGCCCGGTTATCGCACAAAAGATGTTGCTATACGTGGGCTCCCGAGTGGAACACCGGGGAGCCCAACGGGCCAATCAAATGTCAGGAATACCGTCGGCGACTCAAAAGCATTCAATCGGCGTTTGACGTATCTTTTTAAGGGGATCTCACCCCTATCATTATTACGTATCGTTAGCATTTACTCAATCGAGGACCAATACATATGCACAGCTTGCTGCATGATGCGTCCAGCTGATGCATGCATTAGAAACCGTGAGGTAAAAATGAAAGGAGCGTAAGAAGTTCTTTGTTTTGCAACATATATTGAATTACTACACTTCCGCCCGTGTATAACCGATCTAATTAATATCAAAATCAGGAAGAGCGCTGAAAAATGAGGCATTGTAACAAGTTGGATCGATGAACGCTGGAGCAAACTCTGGCGGCATGAAATCATGTCCGTCTGGCATGACTGGGGCGGGATTGGCATTGGAGCCGAGTCTTTCTTGGTCACTAGGCGTTGTGACTGCCGACGTGAATCGATGGAGTGGTTCTGCATTCCATTTTTCCATCGAATCCGACAAGACTTCCGCTGCGGAAGATCGAAGAGCATGGTACAGGGACTCGGCCAGTTTCCATGTCCGCTGGGTGCTCTTGAGACATCCTAGAATAAGTGTGACACGGTTGCAGTGATGGTCGAAACATTCTTCGGAATGACTGGTGGACGTGGCGAGCTGGATAAGTCCACAGAGGGCCAAGGCGGGGATGATGAAGGGGGTGTGCTTCGAGACGTTTGGACAAACAGATATGGAATCCGAGATCCGCCTCGAGGCCTCTGTTGCTTTGATACTATGGACTAGACGGGTGAATGTTGATGAGAGATGACCAGTGAGACCAGGCCAGAAGCGATCATCTGGTTGGGACTGGGACAATACAGATGGAAGGTCACTTCGGGGTAAATGTAGGAGCATGGCGGCGTAGGCTATTGTCAAATGCGCTTGGAACATCATTTCGTCAACATTGCCGTATGAATCAACAATGTCGAGCTTTTTGGGCGGGAGGTGGTTGATCCAGCTCACTAGTGCATTTTCGACAGCTTGGAGATGATCGCGGTGACAGTCACGTAGTCGGTTCAGGACAAGCACTCGACATAGTATTGTCGTTGCCTCGATGCGGTAGCTGAAGGATGAAAAGACAGTATCCTCTGCGGCGAGAATCCTCCGCTTGAACTCGAGGATCATACATGGTTTGGGAATGTCACCTCCACAATTATATGCCGACTCTTCGCACGGCAAGGCCACTTCCGGTGACACATTGCTACATCTGAATGTCGTAGTTTTGAGCGGGACTGCCATGAAGATATCGGTGACGTATAGTTCCCACCATGTTCGTCTCATACTTTCGGCTTCAAGGGATCTTTCGGGGTGTGCGGATGAAGCGAATGACCAACGGTTCATGCCAAGCTCCAAAGCAATATCGATACTATGAGAGAGGGCATCTTGTGCCTCAGCCCATTCATCGCGGGCGTACAGAGCAATGGAGTATAGTAGCCAAGCCTGGACCATGGAAGCCGATCGATCAGGGTTTGTTTTCAGCTCAGCAATGACTTGTTCCTTGTATGGCTGACTCGGAATCGACGCAATATAATGAGAGCCCACAAAATGCACAGCTAACTGTAAGAAGTGAGGGTAATTGTGGTCATGATACAATGAGCTGGGCACCAAGATCGGATGGGCGACATGGAAGTTTTCATAGTACAACCGAGGCAGGCGCTCGTCATGGAGTGACAATTTGCTTGCCGGTTCTATGGGTTGCTGAACAGGAGCATTTCCCGCAAGCATCACTGGCCAAGAGACCGGCTCAGTGGGAATATCGAGTTCTGCTTGCCTGCCTGCCTGCACCGAAGGATTCTCTGGTGTGGCCTGCGCAGGGGCTATTGGCAGAACAGGAACAGATTGGTATCGGGTCTAGGATTAATTTAGTAAAGAACTACAATGAAGAATAAGGAGAACTGACATTGACATTGACCTGCGTTTGCGGGTGGCGTTGATATGGACTCTCAAGTCGGGATTTCCTACGTCCGCCTCTCCGGGAGGGTAGATATTGACAGAGAAATCCATTTTGAACACACCGCGAACATGATGGTTTGCTGGCGTCACATTTGAGATGCTGTTTTCTGCACTCGGTACAAGCTAGTGAGGCTAGACCGCTTGTTTTTGTCGATCTTGTTGGAGTCATGCTAAGAAATGATAGAATGAAGAGCGACGTTTCAATCCCCGGGCTATCGGCGTTTGGCGGGCGGTCGGCCGAGGCATTCCGACAGTTCCAGATCAAAGAAAACCTGGTCTATAGATTTATTTTCAGCATTTATTTAAGGATTAGGTGCTCTAGCACAGCTAATATAGAACATATTCATGGATAGAAATATGGACAGAGGACAAATGTAAGATCACTTCGGAGTTCCACGGGCATCTGCACCTGGCCTGCACCTGGCACTTGCACCTGCACCTGATCACCTGATAATGACATAAGCTGGACTGGGTGCCGGGGAGCCCCGGGGTCACGGGCCAAGGCCACTACAACAGCTACAGACACCACAACACTCACACAAACGTCATATCGAGACTGGATGTTCAGGTCTTCCGCAACACTCGGACCTGTATTGATATGGTTTATTCCATCTTATAGAGTGTCACGTTTTGGACTCTTAAGATATGTGAGTTTATTATGTGTTGCCTCTATGCGAATGATTCTATGATTTTATAGTTCAGCAAAAGCTTCCATAGTCGTTAATAATTCAAAGATATCGAAAAATCATTTCCTCTCCTCGCATACTCCGCCAATAATTTGTAGATTCAATTAACTCCGGCAGTCCACACATCACCCACGGCCATTTCTTTAAGAATTCCTCTGTAATCTCCCAACTCTTCGGATCCGAAGGCTCCCCCCATACCAGCAGACTGCAGCTCTTCGCCGATACATCCCAAAATCCCATGATATCGAGGCATAATTGACCTTCATCTAGCTCATCACGGGCAGAAATCAGGTTGTCACGCATTCTGCGAAACGGGAAAAAATCTAGCCAGGGATGATGGGGAATTTCGCACTGTATTTGCGTCGGTTGTAGGCTGGCCGGCAGCTTCATGTCATCGATCTGCTCTTGTGTGCGGAAATTGAACGGGGAAGTTGTGTTTCGCGATATCCAATCACGGTGAGGTGTTATCCCAAGAATGGAGAGATTTTGGATAAATGCGCGGTATACATTCAACTTGGTGAGTACTATTAGGTGATCTGCTGTAGGGTAGCCTCGCGCGTAATTCTCAAATGAGGATTTGCTGAATTGCTCTAAGAAAAATTCGGCTTCATTGACAGACAGCCACCTTGTTGGGCGTTCTGCTTGGCTTCGGGTGTTGGGTGGTGAGAGTAGTCCACATTCGGTAGATTGATCACTTTGAGCAAGCTTTCGTTTTCCTATTGTCGGGTTAGTCAATTTGTCTACATATGAATCGTTCATTCAGACAGATGGAATGACACGTACGATAGGCCCTCTGATTCACCCTATTCTGCAGCTTTCTCCGCAATTTGGGATCACCTATCCCCGACCAATCATCTCCCCGTTCAAACTTCAAAGAGAACTCCTCGGGGACAGACGGAAAAGTGGAATGCAAGAGATCACGCTGCATTCTAGGTGCTCATCAAGCTGGTATAAGGTAGGGCTCTAGTGCTGAGCAGCGGAGCTTAAGTCTGTCGAGAGAACGGCTGAGATATGGAGATGGCTGACCTTTTTAGTATAACTTCCCCATTTTGGAAAATTCAATGAATACCTTATAAAAATGTTGCCTGTCCTTCCAAGCCATTGAATATTGCGTGGCCTTGTCTGGGCATGGCGCAAGTCTCCAAATAATTGAGAATTTCTTGCCAGTAATTTCCATGTGGGCGATGGATCACTTCTAATTTTCGGCCGAAATCTTTGTGTCTACTGAAATCTTTGATCTATATATCAACGACGTTCTGATGTTGCGCCAAAGCTTGTGTGGGTCATCGGCCGAAGTGATGGCGTGGCCAAATTTCTGGCCAAAATTAGAAGCGATCATGAAAAGTAGCACTTGGCCAAAAACACTTAGAGAGCTTATCAATGACTCCTGAAATACTTATATTCCAATCTCATCCTTCAGAGGCAAAAACCTTTATTTTGATTACTCTTCAAAAAAAAAAACGGAGATAGATTCAATCATGCTTTATTCCTTGCTTTTCATACTCGTGTCATTGCTCAGCCAGTCTTTCACTCTTGCTGCGGCCGTCCAAACTTCCTCTTTGGATAGATTGCAGACGGTGGAAGATGAGTCAAACTCTGTTATCTCCTTTTATGCAACCTTGTCACCAACCTGCACCTCTGACCTCAACGAGCTAAAAGCTCAGTATAACACCTTATTCGATGGTGACTACAGTTCCAAATTTGACGATATTCTCGCTCTTTGCTACACCATGAACTACGAGGCAAACCGGGAAAACAGTGAAGGATTTGGCCTATCATACCCGGACAAATTTGACAAGGTTAGGGAGAATTGCTGTCACGAGGAAGCAAACTTCACTGTGACAGAAGCTTGGAGGAATTTGAAGCTATATTGGAAATATCTTTTGTTTTCGGTGTCTTTTTGTTTACTTGTAGTTTTCAAATCTACATGGGTGCAGATCAACTTGCGCAGTTCAAGCTTCGAGAACGATCTTCAGAATTCCGAAACAGGAAAGAAAGCCCCATATTTTTGATATATCATGCCAAGCGGCTGGAAGCTCGAAAACTTTATACTGATATTCAAAGCTCAATGGCCTTGATTTTCGGAGAGAACTAGTTCAGCTTTAGTAATAGACGCTAGAATGAATAAATCCTCTCTGAGTTGATAAAATATATAGAAAACTGAGAATAAAAAAAGAATATGTTAAACCAACAACCATGCCTACTACTTCATTCACTTTCTCTGCTCCACACCCCTAATATGGCCTACTTGGGCCTAGAAATGCCCTTCAACAATTCACACGTGGATGACTGGCCGAATCAGATAAGGCTTTCGCCTACGAACATATCCAATACTAAACAAGCCACTAGACTGCCACAGGACCGGGCGATCTCTCCTACCTATGATGGACCCTCTGCCTGAAAACTAGCGGTACAAGTCTCCAAAGCTCGGGATCGCTCTGATCAATACCTTCGCGCGAGAACGTGTTTATACTGTCTCAACACTACACCTAAAATGAACGAACAGCGGTATCCTGAAGAGCGCCCGGCTCTACTGCGATTGAGGAAGGGCACATCGAATGCAGCAGGCGATGAAAGAGTGCGCGTGGGTGGGACTCGCCTTGGCATCTCCAGCGCTTGGGTGGTGACTAAGCTACAAACAGTTCCCGGTGGCGTCCAATTTGAAGTCGAACCCTTCGCCATACTGACTACCGTGTAGCGGGATTCTTTCTGCAATGCAGACCCAGTCAATGTCTTTTCGAAAAAGACCCGTAACAGCATGTACAGAATGTCGCCGCAGGAAACAAAAGGTTTCATGCGACCAATCAACTTGATATATGCGCGGTTGCTAACTTGTAAGTAGTGCGATCGTGAACGACCATGCAATCATTGCGTTGGAAGAAATGTTCCAACTATGTGTAATTATGATTATCCAAGTCCCGGTAGAGAAGTGACTCTCGGGGGGCATATACCCGTATTGCAAACCCCACCGGCTTCAACAATTGATGACCAATCTTCGGTACTTGGTACAGATTACCGGTTGAGGGACCAAATCGGATATGCTTACACCGGCGACGGGAACTACTTGTCCAAACTGCAAGAGGTCAGTTTGTATCTTATGACTTGAGACAAGTTCGTGGCTGACAGTGTAGGAGCAGATGGTGGAAGGTGATAGAGGAATCCAGGCTATAAAATTCCAACGCAGCATTCCCCTCCCTGAGACTGCAAGGCAAGAACTATGCGATATTTGCGCAAAGTTACCACCTCGACTAGTGATGCGAGAACTTATCGACATTTATTTTACCGAAGCCAATTGGTACTTTGCCGTGCTGGAACAATATTATTTCGAGAAACTTTACAATTCTTGGTGTTCTCTCAACGATTACTCGACAGAACATGGCCAGGCTCCTGATTTACCACCTGATCTTCTGCATTTCCCAGCACTGTTGTTCCATGTCTTTGCTGTTTCTTTACAGTTTCTCTCGCCGGAAACGAATTGTAGCCGTGCTCTAGGAGTGGATAGTTTCACCGCGCGTGATCATCTTTCCAGCAAGTACTCCACGAGCGGAGTTGATATCGCTCGCATAATGGGAGCGCTGGACCCTACGATAACCGCTGTGCAAAATGATCTTATGAGGGCACTGTGGTTGAAAAATTGCAGCCGTGGAAGAGAAGCATGGCATGCATTAGGTAGCGCAATCAGGTCAGTCCCTGCGTAATTCAAAAGGTAGACAAGTTTCTCACTCCAACCAGAAAGGCCCAAGACCTTGGCCTCCATCAGCAGAGCAAAGTTTATCAAACACCACGATCTACACTGGAGGAAACCCTCACCGAGCTGTGGTATGACGAGTACAAACGCAGGCTATGGATCAAGTTGTTCTCCTGGGACAGGTGAGGTCCCTCTTCTTCTTCTCTAATCCTCCCATCCTAATGAGAGTAGTCACATGGCCTTCTCTTTAGGCCGACCACGCTCTATCAATGTCAGTGACTGTACAATCAATCCGCCGTTGGATTGTGATATACCAGCCGACCCATCAACTAGGATACCAATGACTTTAGCTCCACATGAGCCCCCCTCATCTTTTACGCCACATATTTTCCAATACGCCATATGTCAGCAAGCCCATGAAGTAATGTCTTTGGGTGCCCACAAGAAAAATTTCATAGATTATGCCTTGATTCAAGGCGTTCACGACAAGATTATATCATTATTGAACAATCTTCCACCTGTCCACCGACCGATAAATCCGGATACATCATGGGATGCGAGTTATCCCAATATATCCAAGCAGCGTCAGCAAATATCGACTGCGGCGAACTCGTTTCTCATGGCATTGCATAGGCCACACGCCAAAACTCACGCCGCCAGTCGACACGCCGCAACTCAAGCAGCTCTTGCGACATTGGATGCGCAGGAACAACTTTTTCATCTCATGGCCACCAGTTATTCCAGTATCTACGCTCTCTGTATTTACACCCTTGAGGCCGGCATATTTCTGTCTGTCACAATTCTAGAACACCCGCCTGCAGATATGGATATACTACATGGGATCCTTCGTGCAATCCGGAAAGCTATTCATCGCCTTGAACTAGCACAGGAGAGAGTCTCTTTAGCAGAACCGGGCTCAAGAATCCTGAAAGCATGCTACCAGAAAATTCAAGCATCTGCTCAGGCTCGACCCAGTTGGCATGGAACTGCTGCCTATGAGGCAAATCCCTTTGCTGCGGCTTCGTTCATGAGCGCGCCGTTTTCCAGTGGGGCACAAATTGAACAATCTCCTGATCAGCGGTCGGAGATCTTTGGATATACCTCTGGACCTGGCATTTCAATGTCTGACGACATTCCGTTTGACGGCACAGCCATGTTTGAAGATATCACTCAGCCTAACTTCAATATGGAAGCATGGGTACGAGAATTAGGCCAGTCTGACGACTTAGGATGGGCATCACTCCCGTAGAGGCTTGATTGTGAATTAAAACAAAACATCTATGGATACATAAGTTTGCCGAGAGATGTAAGCATAGATCGACTGACCGGAGTTAAGTGTTCAAGGTCATCTTTAACTCCACATTGACCAATCAATGCTGTTCGGCCGAAGCTCCACATTTCTACGGACCAATGATGACGTGTGCCCGTTGATCGATCTTGGCACCGGGTGGCACTAGGCTTTTCATTGGCGGATGCCCTGGAATTGAGATCCACTTATTTTCTAGCCCTGGAGGTAGTATACACTCCAAAGTCACCTGTAGTTTACTAGTAACTCAGAATTTCACATTGGCTATGTTAAGGGAGTTGCGGGTCTGTTGCTGCCAAGGAACTTCCAAGACTCCAGGCAACAGACTTCTGACACTTTTGATATTGGCAATGGCTGTATGGTTCTCCCTGCCGTTTATTTTTGGCGCGTCTTTGCGCTGGTTGCGCTGGTCATACCATCGCCAGTATTTAGAGGGCTTTTATTGTCTGCCAAATAATCTTCCATACCTATGCGCTTGGTCTCTATTCATAGAGGTTTACTCAACGATATACCATGAAGTACACAGTGTTGCTCTTCTTATCCCTCGGGATTGCCTCAGGATTTCCTGGGATGGACACACTTCTGAACGACATAAAACGCCGGCAATCGACAGATGAAAGAAGTGAGATGATTGGAGATTTGACTGATGGTGCCACGACCGCAGTTGGGAGACAAGTTCGAGAATGTATCACAAATGTTGGATCATGCGAAAACCAAGAGGAAAAGGTTCGCCTTATTTGCCCCAATTATGTGTACACTCAACTCAGCTTTCGGTAGAGCTATAATCGCCCTGGTAACCTGGGAACTGCCCTCTGTCGGGCTGATTCATGTTGCGTCTGGGACTTTATACAGGAAGAATTGGTCGAGTTGTTTCTTAATGAAGATGGGACATGTAATAGCCTTGCTCGAGCCTCTGTGAGACTCGGGTTCCATGACGCTGGGGCATGGTCCAAAGATAGTGGCCCTGGTGGCGCTGATGGTAGCTTGTTGCTAAGCCCGGATGAGATCAATCGACCAGAGAACAATGGCCTTCAAGAGGTTCGAACTAGGGCATTGCAGTTATTGGATAAATATTCCAGACACGATGTCACTGCGGCTGATTTGGTGCAGTTTATGCACAATGTCGCCACTGTAACCTGCCCTCTGGGTCCTAGGTTGCTGACTTTGGTAGGACGCCGTGACCGCCGAGAAGCGAACCCCACGGGTCTCATACCGAACAACAACGCAACCGATGCAACGTTTCTCATTGAGCTCTTTCAAAACAAGACCTTTACAGCACGGGATCTTGGCGCTTTGCTTGGAGCGCATACTGTTGCTCGGCAATCATTTGTTGATCGTTCGAGGGCAGGCCAACCATTGGATTCTACGCCAGGAGTTTGGGATATGAATTTCTACCTCGAGATGGCGATGCCTGAACCCCCTTCGTAAGGTTGCACCATAATAAAAGCATCAACAATCTGAGAAACTAATTTTATGCAATGTATCAGAGGCGTTTTCCGGCTGGCAAGTGATGAAGCACTTTCTCTGGCTGATGGCACTTCCTCACGTTTTACCGCATTTACGGTTAGTCTTGCCCTCATCTCCCAAGTTCCAACCCCAATGCCTCTTTCAAATGCTAAAAGGATATCATACTCTTCTAGGATACCACCTTCGGACAGACAGTCTGGAATACCGACTATTCGGTGGCATATGTACGCCTTAGCCTTCTTGGTGTCAACAACATCAACCGACTTACCGACTGTACCAAGGTGCTACCTAATTCTGTGACCTCATTTTCATTGAGATCCTCATCGCCTTCAACTCCTGCGACTTCTTCGACTCCTTCCTCCGCTGCCGAATTGTCGTCGACCGAATCTAGGAACATGATGCTCTGTGGCTTACTTTGCATATTCATATTGATGATATGAGTGAGGTCTTCGAGAAAAAGGGAGAACAAACATGATGCTTTGGAATTAGAAAGCTCGAGAACTGTACCGATTATAGAATTTTATTTAGTTTCATTGATCGACTTGATCTTCATTCAGCGTGAACAGTAACATAGATTAGCAAGAAGACAGGCAAACAAAAGATAATTCGCACGCCATGAGGCTTGGAGATCTCATAGTCTTTTATGCATTATTGCTGACCTGCTGCCACAAGCTTAGTCTTCCAGATCACATCGTGAATGCCTACACCACTAACTACATTTTTCTCCACAGCAGGAGTGCTACTGCCAAGAGTGATGCAACTTGGAGGACGAGAAAAACCGAGTACAACGTAGAAAGCAACCTGCATGATCGGGCGAATGGATGGGTCTATTTTGTTTGTCTTTCAGGGGCATCAGGATAATATGAGAGCCTAGCTCTATAGATTTCGTCAGGTTAGTGGCATTGGCTTTCTGTCGGGTCCCAAGCCGGCGCTAATGCAGATTGCTGACAGCTTACGCATTTCCCCACTTAGGCATTCCAAGCTCCCGAGAGAGGTCCTATCCACCAATTATATAAGAAATGTCATCAATATGCAGACCCTTAATTCAGGGTTGGTTCCTATCTACAATATACATCATTTGATATGTTCTAGGATGTCTTTAAATGGTGAATCCAGAAGACCCATCAATGTGTTGGATTATTGGTCAGGCGAATCGTACCCGCCTAGGTACACGTAGGTAAACTAGATGGCGTATAAATTATTTTTAACGTTACGAGTCGACACCTGGGCAGGTTTGTTTCTGGATTATTCTCCGATGGAACTTGGCATCTTTGTAGATCCGTGGATATCTATATCCCTACACCTATGAAGAATATGTATGTGACCATCTAGTTTCTAGCTCGGTATCAACCTACTTGTTAAATCAATTGTCAGATATTCATTTGTATTCATCACTCTCTTAATCCTTACGCTTAATTCTCAATGCTGCTTTTTACTCTGGAGCTTGGGCTCCTTGGAGCGGTGCTCTACCACCTGACGACGGCGAGCCCATTGATGGCTAGACAGGATGAAATTCCCACCGCCATCGTCAGGAATGGAACATACACTGGTCGCTACAATGCTGAGTATGACCAAGACTTCTTCATAGGAATGCCTTATGCTCAGCCGCCAGTGGGCGATCTACGCCTCCGCAACCCGGTCCCTCTCAACACACCATGGGGCGGAACCGCCGATGCCACTACCTTCTCCTCAGCCTGTTACAAATTCGGGGCGCTCCAGTTCCCCAAAATGACATATTCGGAGGACTGTTTGAATCTCAATGTGGTACGGCCCAGCGGCGTCAAGCCAGGCGACAAACTGCCCGTTGGTGTATGGATCCACGGTGGAGGTCATACAACGGGATCAACCCAAGACCCCACCTACAACATGACCTTCCTTGTCCAAAAATCCGTTGCTGCTGGAAAGCCATTCATCGGGGTCAATATCAACTATCGGTTGCAACTATTTGGCTTCATGTATGGCTCGGCTATCGTGAATTCTGGCGTTGGAAATCTTGGGTACAAGGATCAACAATTGGCGCTTCGCTGGATCCATGAAACCATCGCCGCGTTTGGAGGAGATCCTTCCATGGTTACTATCTGGGGTGAGAGTGCAGGAGCAGAAAGTACGGGAGCTCAGTTGATTTCATACGGCGGTCAAGACCAAGGTCTCTTCCGAGGTGTCATTGGAAAGCGGGGGTCCCATTAATCCATACCGATACAACACTCCAAAGGAATGGGATGTCTACTACCGCGACATTCTCCGGGCCACAAATTGCAGCACAGCAGCTGATACACTGGCATGTCTTCGTACCGTGCCTGTTGAACTCCTCTTCGCCGTTTTCAACAGCAATGTGACAGCCTCAATTCCATCTTGGGGTATGGAGATCGACGGAGACTTTATTCGAGAGAATGCTCGAGAGGCCCTTGTTGCTGGACGTTTCATCCAAGTGCCAGTGTTGCATGGTCAAAATCATGACGAAGCCACAATTTTCTCCATCACAGGCGTCAACACGAATGAAGATTTCTATGCCCAAGTGAGAGAATGGACCTCTGACAATGCCACTGTGCGCGCAATCGCGGCACTGTATCCAGACATCCCTGCCATTGGAATCCCATCGACATTGGAAGGTCGACCATCCGCGGCACTTGGTTTCCAGTACAAACGCATTTCGGCCTTTATCACTGACCTGATGTGGCACGCGCCTCGCCGGTTGACCAGTCAAATATTGGCCCAGCACAACGTTCCCAATTGGAGTTACATGTTCAATGTGAGGCCCAATGGGATGCCGCTATCAAGTGGAGTAGCTCATTTCACCAAGGTGTCATTCATGTTCTACAACATTCTAGGTCTTGGATATGAGGAATTGCCATTTGCCAACACGCCCCGAAGTTATAAGGAACTATCAAATATCATGTTAATGTACTGGGTGAACTTTGTTGTTGATGGAGATCCCAACGGTGTTGATGGTAAGTTTTCATGCCTTCATTACCGCATATTGGCTGCTTTCGTTGGATTCTTTATGGCAATGCTCATTGAGGTTAACTGGTTCGCGTTTCATAGTTACCACCCACACCCACTACTGGCCTTCGTATTCCCTCTCAAACCCACGGCAGATGACCTTCGATGCCAATACCACTGAGCTTTCATTCCCCACGCCGGACACATATCGTGCAGCACCGATTCAATATATTATTAACCACTTGAGTTGCTCTTTTGGCAGGTGATTGTGTCAATCAGATCTGTGGATGTTAGGATAAAAAGAGTGATAGGTGTTTACTTGTCAAACCTTGTATTTGCCTATCTTCGGGACTGACTGCCTGGCTTTCTGCCCATATTTCAACCTAACTATGATATTAAAATGTTTCAAAAAGCCTGAGATCTGTATAGGTTATTGATTGTTTCGATTGACGAGTACTTTGTATATGCATTGAGATGTTGACTTCTTTGTATCAACAGATTATTGTATTGGACCTTTTAGAATAACCAGTAAAGGCTCGAGCAGGACTTTAGGGCCGGCTAAGTGGCCGGGAACAGCGGCAACCAGGGAGGTCTGCGTATTTGATCGTGGCTGACAGTTATGCTTTTTGGAGACGCAAAAGAAAGCTTATACTTGATAAAAAGGCAAGCGCTAGGACTGAGTAACCAGCCTCGAATTGGTAGAAATTAAACAAGAGCAAAAATTCAGCAGGGCGATTCAAGGAATCTTACTAAACATCAGAGTGACATCGTCCAGGGCCGGTGTTATTATAACTTAGTACACCACTATAGAAGACGGCACACGCTAAGCATTTGTCCCGATCTACAAGATCGATACCTCACCATTAACCAGGCTTCAATGATCAGAGAATGAAGCCTCTCTCAAAGCCTATTCAGAACCGCAATAGCTACATTTATCTTTTTGGAAAGCAGGTTAAAAGCGACTTTACCATGACGCTTTAGGGCGCTTAGGGTCTATTCTTGTTAGTACTTACCTACCTGGAAAAGTATCTAACTAGCCAGAGTATCCATCCATACCCAGTCAAATTAGCACTACCCCTTCTAGGGAGGTGCCCAAGCGGTGCCCGTCCACATCCATTGAGGATAAGACCTGACTCTGCGACTCTACCCACGACTTTAACTCCGCGATGGCAAATTGCCTCATTCGCACTTGGTGAACGCAACATTATGGAAAATTAGCTCCATACCTGATATGGACGGAGAAGAATCGCGTGTGAGTCTATCCCTGCCTCAGAATGCATTGTCGCTGAGCTCTCTGATAGACCTAGTACGCCAATAATCTCTTTGGAGTTGAGAGGGAAAGACGAGCTTTTGCTGGGATCGACATATCTTTTTCAGGTCATTCTCAAATGTGTGGATAATGAGGAACCATGTTTTGTCTCGTGGAGTCCGCATGATTACGACTTTCGTGCACCTGGCTTCATTCTCCTCCACCATAGTTCCCAAGGCCCACGGAAAGTTGAACTTCCGGTGCATTCTCGGCCGCCAGCCAATCTCTCAACCAATATTCGCTTTTCTTCTGCTGAAAATCATCCCGGTCAGCTACACCAATGGGTAGATGTGCTGTCAGATCGCTACCGAGAGTACTTGAGGCCAGGCGAGTCGTACACTTTGCTGTGGCCAGGCGCAAAAACTACGAGGTGGGCCTGGAATTCAACTTGCGATCAACTCTATCAGACTCAGATGCCAGAACATCCCGATCTAGTCCTTCCCGGGGGTCCTCGCCTATCGTTTACCGTACGAGAAGGAGAGAAGCCACCTCCAGCTTCAGGCTTACCAATAAGCATGTTAACTCCTGCGTAAGAATACTTCCAATTTCTTATCATTGAATGCTCTAACATCCACTGTTAAACAAGATATACCAATACTAACTGTGAAGCTCGAAGGTCCATTAACCGCCACAGGTCGGCGTGGGGAAATGCCTTTAACTATCCACATCACCTACCACGAAGGCAATTCTACCAAGTCTAGACCTATTGTCCTTCATACTGTCCTTCTCAAAACGACTGATCGTTACCTCTAGAGTGAAATTTCATGGACAGAATGCTCATATAGTGGTTGTGGCTTTGGGATATTTAATGATCTCGACAAGGAAATATCTCCTAGCCAGCATCGACATTTTGTTTGTCTTCGTCCTGGAGAGGTCTGGTCGTCGACTATCACATACGAGATTCCCAGTGAGGCAGAAGCTGGCGATATTATTCGCTGCCAGTTTAGTGGGACAGAGCTCGACTGGTGGGATTGGGGGACCAAGGAAGACCACATTTCCACTAAAGTCACGGTGCCATGTTGGGAAACTTCCTCGGTGGAGCAGCCTAGTGATAATGATGGGCGGCCTTCGGTGGTAGTATCCCCATCAAATCCTGTTGATATAAAAATAGTTTAAGGTCGAATCAAGGGTATAGCTTACGTAGCGTTGTCCGTGAGATAGCCGATGATTTATGCTAGTTGCCTAAAAGACAGGGATTTACAAATAAAATTGTCAATGCAGCAAAGGAATATTATCCGTGGCAGAATGCACCATCTTCTAGTAGAGCATAGAGATAATATCCTCACTTCTGAGCAGGTCGTAGAGACCGGTACAGGAAATGAGTAAAATGAAGAGCAGTTCGTGTCCCTTCTTGAGAGGCGAGGAGACTTGGTCCCCATACGTTCAAAAATCACGGAAATGACTTTATGTACAGTGTCAACTTGATTTAATATAAGACATATGGAAATATGGTCAGGTGGTCATAGCTCTTATGCTACAAGATGTAGTCTACACTTCTGCATGTATAACATCTACTGAAAGGTACAATGTATATTTAGACATGTGGGCGTAGCATGCCGAATTTCCTTGACTTACCCTGAATACAACGCTGGAAAAGACGGTCTATGCTAAAAATTTGCACCAATCCATATGTAAGACCAATATAGACCTCATCACCAACAGGCCAAGTTTCAACGGTCAGAATACAGAGCCCCCCCTCAAAGCTTATTTTGAACTATAATACGAGCTGTTTTTGTAAAATTGTAAAAGCGGCTTGAAAGTGACTGAATATGTAGCCCTGCTTGTAGATCATCAGCAGCCCCCACAAAAGTGTCTTAAATATAAGCTGACAAGCTTGGGTAGGTGCACTACAAAAGCAGCCGCATTTTCTTTCCTGTCATGATTTCATTCACAGTTTTCAATTTCAATCTCGTTGATTCGACATTCTAACAATCATGTCTCTCTCTGCATGCAACGCCGTGTCAAATCCTTCTTTTGAAACAGGCGTCCTGGCTCCATGGCATGTGTCTACCGTGAATGTGGCCAAAATAGGCAATGGGGAAATTGCATACAGTGGTGATTATTACCTGTAAGCATGCCTATCTTCACCTCTAGCATAGTCAAACTGCAATATCAGATACTAACCCAGTGATATGAACAGTAATCTCCAAACAGCAGTAGGAAACCGCGGCAACGCCATCTCCCAGGGCCTACGACACCTCAAGCCTCACACGGAGTATAAATTCAGTGTCCAGGCTCAGGTTCCGTCTCCTTCTGGCTCAGAGTACTGTTCGGTATATGTGTACATGGGCCGCAATGCAACAATCGGCAGCATCGCCTCGGCGCAGCTGTTCAATTTTGGGGAGTGGACGGAGGTCTCGGGGAGCTATGTGCCGAAGAGGGAGAATGAGATTTTGAGCATAGTCGCTGCTTGTGATTCAGAGGATTCTTCAGTTACAGGTCAAGTTTTGCTTGATGATATTAGCTTCATTGGAGGTGATTGTGCGTATGGTTTAGCCTAGAAATATATCAAAGGATGTTTTTAGTTGCGCATACATACACCATGGTAAAAATTCCGGTTTCAAAGAACTCCCGTTTTGTAGATTAAATCAAGAATTCTGAAGGTGATCCTCATTCTCGACCATCACCAAGACTTTCATCCACACCCAAGTGGATGATAATCCAAGGTAGATAGCGGATTCTAAGAAGTAACCCACTATTTACACAGATCCTCTAGCAATTCCAACATGCGTTGCTGCGACTTCACAAGCTCAGATTTGGTAATTGGTAATGGGCTGCTTCCAGTGAACTCCGCCTGGCTCCGGGGCTGTGAGCCTTCTATGTTCGATGGAATATCCTGAACTAGCTCCTTCCGAAGCGTAAAGAACGGAATACCCAGACCGCGCAATTCAGCAATGATAGCATCTCCCATTTGCACGGCTGCCCTATGAACCTTTGCATCGTAGGTAGCAATCTCTGCGGCAAGTTCCTTTTCAGTCTAATTATAATTAGTCAGAGCAGACAAGTATTGGAAAGAGACATCAAGAACATACTGAGCCATCGTCCTCTTTAACAGGGGCACCAATCGATCTCCTTTTTGTTTAGCGTTGGTGGTTAGTCAATAGTAAAATAAAGCCGAGCATAGAGATAGACCCACAGGACTGCATCTAGCTCCCTCTGTTTCTCAGGGCGGCCCTGCTGCTGCTTCAATAATGCCTCACGGGCATGGAACCATTGTTGTTCATGGCGGTGTTGACTTCGGATCATACCGCGGATGCGCGCTTGAGTCTCTTCGTTTTGACCCACAGTTCGCATCACATGTCGCAGTGCTGCGGGCCAAGTTGTGATGGTTGACGAGTCAGATGTAGATGTAGAAGTGGTGGGCGGTCTCGTTATCCTTGGCGGTCGTGGATCCTCGGACGGCTTGGATTGAGATGTTGTGGCTTTTGGCGGGTGATTAAGTGTGGGTATATGTTGATTAGTGCTGCCCTGACCCTGAGAAGCTAGACTAGACAAGGTGTTGAGGACTGAGTTCAGATCCGAGGCATTGTAGGAGCTGTCTCCCATATTGAACAAGTAGTTTCCCAATGGAATTTTGGGAGATGTGCAGGTGGCGCCAAAGTTTTTAATCAATGTAAAAACCCCGGAGGTCTTTGTTGATAACTAAAAGTGAGAGCGGCGAGTGGAGATCGATGTAAATGTCAAGTGTTCCAAAGACGGTCGACGAAGGATACATATGCAGAGCAGGGATGGAAAAAAGTGTGATTAGAGAGACAAGTCAATTTTTGAACACAAAGAGTAAGTGAGATAATTTACTGATAGCATATAAATTACGAATCCCCCCAAAATGAGAAGTACGAAAGGACCGAAATCAGATGAAAGTCATACCAGTTGAAGCTGTTGAATGTCTTGGCGCATTCTCCCGTGAAAATTTACCTTCAACCTGTAAATCCCCCGGTTTATCAACTGCCTCCAGCTCCATCACCCCACCACGGCCCTCCAATTGCCTCCGGCCAATTTGCAGTAATATTAATTTGATTTCCAATCCCTATCCTGAGGTCTCCCCCCCCGAAACCGGCAACTGCCAACATGTCCCGATCCGCCGCAGACGCAACGCGGTTCACGGCCACAGGGCCCTACGCCAACTCCAAGACCGGCGGCGCGTTCCAGGCCCCAGACTTTGGGAACAAGACCTCCAACAAGAAGCCATCACCACAGCAACTTGGCCCGAGTGGTCAACCGGAGACTCCCAAGGAGAAGGTGGAACGACTGCGAGCACAGGCACGGGCTACTCGGAAGGCACAGGCAACTGGAAGTGGTACGGATCGATGGATTGAGTCTGGACGGAAGTTTGCCAATAAAGCACACAAGGGAATGGTTTACACATTGATTGCCGCGTCCGGTATGTTTCCTGCCCCGTGGAATATGAGGAGCAAAACACCCGCAACACAACATACGATCCTCCAAAATCCGAGTCAGCGATGACCGGCAACGGACCCCCCCCAATTGACCCCTACCGGACTTATACTAATCCTTCTGGATTGTACTAGGTGTCTGTGGTGTTCTTACAGTTTACTCTATGATCTCGCTCACGCTCTATAACCGCCGCCAACGCACGCTTTGGATCGCAAAGGAACTCGAGACTCTCAACCAGGCCGAGATCGCCTGCGCCAACGGCACCGCAACTATTGAGCAGCAAGAGCTCCTGAAGAAGGAGAAGATCGGCGAAATTATGAAGCAAAAGCGCGAGGAGGAGAAGGCACAGAAGCCCTGGGCCAAAGCGAAGCGATTCCTCTTCGAGAAGCTGAACATGGAGGACAGCGGTGCCTCTGCTGCATCAGCATCCGCACCTGTCTTGGCTATTGAGGGTACCAACAACACCCAGGGCAGTGTTATGGAGGCCGTGCAGGCCAAGGAAGCTATGAATGCTGCTGCGACGAAAACTGGCGCTCCTTTGCCCGGTCAGTTGGATGTGATGGCCGAGAACGTGGAACAAGCTGCGAAGGCCAAGACATCGAGCTGGACTAGCTGGTTGACGGGCCGGTAGATGGATGCCATTTTTGGTCCTCCAAGCAAACAAAAAGAAGGACGGAATGAATGGGTCGATTGGCGTAAGGGCATAACCTGTCCTTGGATGCAACCTTGCTGATATGATTTCATCATCTACCAACGGGCGTAATCTAGACCCATATTTTTCCCTCCGTCGGTTTTCACCTCTTGTCATCTGCACTACCTTTTTTTCTCTTGCATAGCAAGCTGCGATCTTTTCTCGTGGCCCGCTTTCATTCTCCCAGGGGGTTTACGGCGTTTTGTGCTTTTATCTTTCTGGAATGTGTTCCTAGTCAGTATAGTCTTTCCTAACATTCCGAAGGGAGTGGACGGACAGGCTTCCATGTATATCGTGTACAGTACATAGATCTGCTTCTATCTCATTTCTATTCCATCTTCAGATCCCATCTACAATGTAGCCTCCTATGGTGTATACTACATTTAGGTACTGGCTACCACCCCACTACCTAGTAGATCACTTCTTTGACCATGATTTTCACTGAAACGGCCCCTTCTACTCTAATTTTGTGCACTAATCCCCAAAGAGGAAGGGACCCATCTTCAGCACCGGAGAAGCGCTTTGCCGCGGCTAGAAACGACACATGGTCCATGCATGTAGTGGAGCAGGGGGGAGAAAAAAATAAAGGATTCTTATAAGTAGAGGAATAGACCCTAGAAAAATATAAAGAGCAGATTCAGCCTTTGATCATATTCCTAAAACTTTTTTGGCCACTCATACTAATGAAATCCTCAGTCCCAACTAAACGCAAAACCCTCATATTTGTTTTTGACACCAACTACACATTCACACATGAACTCCAAGGGGGCTTCCCAAGGAGCGAGCAGGAAAAAAAAAGGTACAAAGGAAACCGCTGAAAACCCGAGAAAAAAGAAACAACAGGCACCGAAACGAGGTATCTATGCCAATCCCGTTCTCCCTCCCCTTCGCGGAAGAAGAGCTATGAAAATCAGAGACAAGAAGGGCATCTAGAGAAGAGAATCTTCTATTGCTGTGTTTTCTGGGCAGCACGACGAGCGCGAACACCATCAGCAAGATCCTCGAGCACCTCGACCGTCATCTCCCAGTTGATGCAAGCATCAGTGATGCTGACACCGCGGAGGAGAGCATCGGGTCCCTCGGGGGGAACCTTCTGGTTACCCTCGTAGATGTTGGACTCGATCATGACACCGATGATAGCAGTCTGGCCTTCACGGAGCTGATCGGAGACCTCCTTGGCGACGATGGGCTGGTTAAGGTGGTTCTTGTTAGAGTTACCGTGCGAGCAGTCGACCATGAGGACCTCACGCTGCTTCTTGGAGCGGAGAGCCTCACGGGCGAGTTGGATGCTAGCGCGGTCATAGTTGGTGCCTCGGTTTCCACCGCGGAGGATGACGAAGCCGTGCTCGTTACCGGCGGTCTTGGTGATGGCGGCGAGACCCTGCTTGGTGACGCCGAGGAAGCGGTGGGGGTGCGAGGCGGCGCCGATGGCGTCCACGGCGACGGTCAGGTTGCCGTCGGTGCCGTTCTTGTAGCCGATGGGGAAGGACAGGCCTGAAGCGAGCTCGCGGTGAAGCTGGGACTCGGTGGTGCGGGCGCCGATCGCGCCCAGCGAGATCAGGTCCGCCAGGTACTGTGGGGAGATGGTGTCCAGCATCTCTGAGGCGATGGGAAGTCCGGTGCTGGTCAGGTCGGTGTACAGCTTACGGGACACGCGGAGACCCTTGTTGATGTTGAAGGTCTCGTCGATGTCGGGATCGTTAATCAGACCCTTCCAGCCGACTGTTGTGCGGGGCTTCTCAAGGTAGGCGCGCATGATCACGCAGATGTCCTTCTCCAGTCTTACGGAAAGCTCCTTAAGTCGGCGGGCGTACTCGAGTGCGGTGTCGGGGTCGTGGATGGAGCATGGTCCGACAACGACGAGCAGGCGGTCATCGCGCTGCTCGATGATCTCAATTGCTTGATTGCGGCCGGCGCGGACTGTTTCAATGGCACGAGCGGGCTATACAGACAATTACTGTCAGTTGGTACGCTTTGGGAATTTTTTGCCCCGCAAAGAGCGGGGTGAATTGAGGAAAATTAAAAGGTCGACTTACCGCAGGGATCTCATTCTGCAAGAAGTAGGGCGACAGCAATGGGTCGTATCCAAGGACTAACAAAAGACGATCAGTATCACACGCAATTGGGCTCTAGTACAATTGCCACATACCACGAGTGTCCTCGTTGACTTCAGTAGTGTTGATGAGAGGCATGATGTTCAAAGAACACTAGGGTAATTAGTATAAATTATATAGATTATAAAGAAGATGATTCTCCAGGATTGAAATGCAATTTTTAAATCGGTAGAAATGACTCACATATATATGGGCCGAAGAGTTGTCAAAGGGGAAAAGTAGCGAGAACAAAAAAATAGAGAAGCAAAAGTGGGCCGAGTGATTTCATGGGTGAAGGGACACCTTTTTGTACTTCCCTTGACCTTTTGCTTTGTTCTATTTTTATTATTATTTTTATAAACTCAGCTGGATTCTAGTATGTACTATCTCAATATGTACGGAGTACTCTCTGTGTAGGGGATCTAGTCTGTTCTTGGCTTACCTATGAAGTGCATATCAAGAGAGATCCAATCACCGGGCCGGGGATGACCACACAGGGACAGTGCTATACATATTGTCCCACTGCTTTTTTTTTTCACCGAGAGGACCATCGTTCCTCTCTGCTGACCTGCATATCATGTCATGTACTTCCATAATTGTCATACTGGCCAGAAATCCGTTCGTTGTCTTATGGATTACGTGATCTAGTCGAACTAGGTAGTGTTGGATGTATCATATATACTCCGTAGACCTAATTGGATAATGGTTAATAGAACAACACAATAGAACAATAGAACATGAATGAACAACTGAACAACCGAAGTGCTCAATTAAGCTAACAATTTAATCAAGTTTACAATATAATTAAGCTCACTAAACTAATTGACACTCTGAGAGTTCCCTATTGTTCTCCAGATCAGAATAGTTAGAATATAGCCTATTCCAACCTCCTAGGTATATAATCTACTCAGATACTTCCATCACTGTTTTTTTTCTTCCTCGTTCTTTCTCTAAACTTCAAACTTCCTATTACACAATCATCTTGTACTCTACCTAGTAATACCACCAGGTAATAATGTCTTCTTCCAAGCGACCCCTGGAGGGCCTGGAGAGACTGGAGCACCCAAAGGAAAAGGTGAACTATATAACTATATCCCGATATAACTCCATCACAGTCACTAACTAAAAAACAGAGAGTTTGCCGCCCTGCACCACTTGATCTCAAACGCTTGCCTATGCCAACCCATCTGGCCAATGGCGATAATTTGTCTCCCTCTCTGGTTCAGAATAACCAGCCTTCACCAATTTCCGCAAAGCTGTTCAGCAAGGTTCTGAAGATCAACGAACCACCCAAGACCACCCTCACCCAATTCGCCAATGGCGATAATCTTTCTCCCCGCCTGGTCCAAGAACCTGGCCAGCCCTCACCCATCTCTCAAACTCTGTTCAACTCGCTCAACATCAATGAGCGATCCGCGGCCACACCCACCCAGGGCCCATTCCCCTTCTCTGGTTCCCAAGGAACCACCCCGCCAGTCGAGTTCAACCCTCGTTTGCCTACCTCCAACAATGCATCGTGGATTGTCAACGTGAATTGGCCACTCCCATACACTCGCACCGTGGGCCCGGTGAACGAGAATGGCTTCGCTGTAGTCACCCAAACTTGGTATGACTACAGCCGCATGACGCAGCCACCAAGTGACTCGTCGGGAAGCCCTCCTTCCCTCTCCTTCAACCCCCGCGACTTCCCTGCGCCACGCGTGCGCACACGAGTTCAGTACTTCGGCCGTCCTGACGGGACAACCCGCAGGAAGCCTCGCTTCATCTTGGGGTCCCGCAGGAACTGCCCTGAGTGCCGTCGCCGGGTGCCTGGCTATACCAGCCACCTGATCTTTCGCTGATTCGGTCAGTTCAGACGGCGCTAAAGGCGCCATGTTTTTAATTAGTTCTTAGCTTCCAATCAATTGATTGTCAGAATTCACCGTCCACCCGGACAGTCCTATTCTATACTCTATCCTACGAAGCGCATCTCTATCGAAGCGTCTTATAAGAAGTACCCATAAATTTTGACATACACCTCTTCTACCTTTCTTTCTCTTGGGTTTGCCTATATCATAGCGTTCGTTATTTAAATAGCATGGGCATTGTTCTTTAACTAACGTAGAAAAACAGGATAAACTACAGCTCTTTGTTCTACTTTGATGAAATATAGAATCCATAAAAGCAGATCCTGATTCCTATTTTGATGTATCTAAGACTCTTACTTCTGTAGTCCTCGTAAGTGGTTAAGCTCCTACAATTGTATTTGAGATATACCACATCAAGTATTGGCAAGAAGCAAGTGCGTTTACTTTCACGTTCACTGAACTTCGCACTTGACTCTGCTTGCTTTGATTGTGATTGTCCTTCTCTTTATTTTCCCATTTATCTTTGTTTTTAACTGCCCCTCTTGATTTTTATCTTCCCTTCTTTCTTCACTCCTCACCTCAACTCTCTGGTTAATTCCTTGACTACACTTTTCATCTCTCTTCAAAACGCATCTTCAGTCATGCCTTCCACGACTTCAGTCCATGTTCCTGTTCGCATCAACATGAAGAAAAAGAGGATCGAGAAACTTGAATCCGAGATGACGGAATTAGCCCGCGTGCCTCGAGGGTCTCAGATGCCCCAGAAACAGAAAGCCCATCATCCCTCTCAAGTAAGCACTGGTCCTGACCTCGAAGCCACATGAGCATAACCTACTTCACCTACCCTCACTTCACAAAGACCATCTTCCAAATATTGATAATTATCGCCAGGGAATTGAGGGCTGCGTGCACAGCTCCACTGCACATGGTCCGAGTACCAAGGGAAACTCCCACCATGCAGCTGGTTCTCCGGAGAAGAGGAACAGAAACATAACCCCTGCAGACCGCCGCTTCCATGCTAAGAACGAATACCCTGCAAAATTTACCTTGCAGGAAATGGAAATCGACATCGGCGCATGGGTGTGTCTTGCCTGTCCCACTTCGACCCACAAGTGCCGGGACTGCAAGCAATACGAAGGCCACGAAGACTCCCTGGTCATCGCCATCCATGGGGAATGCATCACTGGAAAGACTGGAGCACGTTCAGCAATCGGGGTATTCTACGGCCGTGGCAACGGCGGCAATACCTCTTGGCCCATTCCAGGCAAGGACAACCACAGTCACACAACCCAGATCGCCGAATTGACTGCCTGTCTGCGCGCCTTGCGCAACGCAACCTCCATCATTGACAAGCGCCGCAGCATGATGCGCAAGGGCAAGGTTCTCATGCCGTTGACTACCTTTGTCATCAAAACAGACTCCGAGTACCTCGTTCGCAGCCTGACGGAGTGGCTGCCCAAGTGGAAGAACAATGGATGGAAAACTTGCAAGGGCGTTCAAGTTGCTAATGCCGATATGTTCAAACTGGCGGAAGCTGGTATTGTGATGCTCGAGATGGTCGTCCAGGTCAAGTTCTGGCTCGTCCCCAAGGAGAACAACACGGAGGCTACATGCCTGGCAAAGATGGCTTTCGCGGAGAACTAAGTATGAGGAACTATTTAGAAAATCCTTATCAGGGTTAGGAATCAGTTTATCTCAGAATACTCGAATGAATCCAAAGATATTTGATTCGGCAATATCTCCTTTTAGTTTCGGCTTCATTGCCGGTTCCAAAGTGCCGATCCGAAGTGGCTGACATAAGGATCCGATGGGTCCATTCTAACTCGTAGCCGACGTTGGAGGAGCTGCGTAGCTGTCATTAGCATTATGTAGTGTAAATTATTGAGAAATATTTTGTAGAGTATATTAGCAAACTTAGAAGTCTATGTATGTAGGATACATAACTAGAAGTTGAAACTGAGCTCCCCATAGTCCGCGGGAAACCGCTTAGCCGATCTCCAGTGCCGCGGCCACTCAGGAACGGTACTGGGCGACCAAACTACTTCCGACCCCGGAATTTTGTCCGACAATTCCCTATAAGTAACAATAGTGTCCCGGGAGATGTTTAGATCTAATAGTTGCCGGTTTCTTTCTTTTCTCTTTCTTGTATACTTTAGCCATTGTACAGATGTGAGTAACTATTCTAGAACATGATCTTCAAGCCGAAACTGACAGCGCCGAGAAAGACCGGAAATACCCTCGACACTCGGTATACAACTTTCACTTAATTCCAAATACTTCAACAAATCTATACAAATATGGCTTCTCCAATTCCCCGCGGTCTCCGCCAAGTGCTCCAGAAGTCCCCCAATGATATTGTGATCCTCTCCTCTTTGCGCACCCCCGTTACCCGTGCCAAGAAGGGTGGTTTCAAGGACGCCTACCCAGAAGAGCTGCTCGCCAGCGTGCTGCAGGCAACACTAAAGGCAAACCCGAACCTAGACCCTGCCCAGATTGACGATGTGCTCATCGGCTCTGTCCTGCAAGAACTGGGCGGCGCCAAAGCCGGCCGCATGGGCCAGATCCATGCCGGCTTCCCTCACTCCGTGCCCTTCAACACAATGAACCGTCAGTGCTCATCCGGCCTAGCAGCTATCACAACAATTGCCAACGGTATCCGCGCTGGCGCCATCAACGTCGGTGTCGGTGGTGGCATGGAATCCATGACCCGCAACTACGGCTCTCGCGCCATCCCCACAGTCCTCTGGCCCGAGCTGAAAGAGTCCTACTCCCAGGACGCTCGCGACTGCATCATGCCCATGGGTCTTACCTCTGAAAATGTTGCGTCGCGCTATGGTATCTCCCGCGCAGACCAGGATGCCTTCGCCGTCGAGTCCCACGCCAAGGCCTCCGCCGCCCAGAAGGCAGGCCGCTTCGACTCCGAGATCGTCTCGGTCACTACCAAGACCCTCGACCCCAACGACCCCGATGCCCCCGCAAAGGACGTGACTGTCTCCCAGGACGATGGCATCCGCCACGGTTTGTCCCTCGAGAAGGTGGCCTCGCTCAAGCCCGCTTTCTCGCCTACCGGTGCCAGTACTGCCGGTAACAGCTCGCAGGTCAGCGACGGCGCCGCCGCCGCTTTGTTGATGCGTCGCTCCACCGCCGAGGAGCTGGGTCTGTCTGGTTCCATTAAGGCGCGCTGGGTCGCGTCTGCCGTCGCGGGCTGTGCCCCCGATGAGATGGGTGTTGGACCTGCTGTTGCCATCCCTAAGCTTCTGCAGACTGTTGGCGTTGAGGTTTCGGAGGTCGGTGTTTGGGAGATTAACGAAGCTTTCGCCTCCCAGGCTCTCTACAGCGTTCGCAAGCTTGGAATCGACCAGGCTAAGGTTAACCCCAATGGCGGTGCTATTGCTATCGGTCACCCCCTCGGCGCTACTGGTGCTCGTCAATTGGCTACTCTGTTGCCTGAGTTGGAGCGTAGTGGCCAGGAAATCGGTGTTATTAGCATGTGCATTGGCACAGGTATGGGTATGGCGGGCATGTTTGTTCGCGAGTAAATTTTTTGGCTTGATTTACAGAAAATGTTCTTTTTGTCTATTTTTTTAGTAGTATGATACCAGCGGTGCATGCATATATACAGTTCGCATACTAGGAATGATTCAATATTCTTTTCCTTTGTGCGACTATAGTCCGTAGCCCCGAAGATGTAAGTTTAGGATCTGAGTGTGTTCTGGGGTAGATTACTTGTTGAGTATGATGTACTCGCTACCAGTCCAAATCAGACCTGACTGTACTATATTTTTTCTTTTTTAGCGTACATACTATGTACAGTTATTGGCTAAGTTGTACCGACATGGAATAGCCGTCGAAGAGTATCTCATTCAACATTGAGCGTGAACTTTTCAAACGAGAAAAGGAGATTGAAAAGACATATATTCAATTACCATATGCAATCCTATTGTATGAAATGATCGATTTGCAATGTTGAAGTCCTGACCTTGAGGCATCGAAGTGAACACCGAAATGCCAAGCATTAAGATCACCGACACGTGACCCGTTCCTTCCTCGAATTTGTTTCTCCGTCCAGACCAACTCCGCCAGCTTGACGCTCTCAAACAACACTCGCGCCCACCTTGACAATGCGCCCCTCAATGCGCCTCCCTCTACGGGAGGCAAACTTCATCTGTTCCAGCTGCAGAATTGGAGCCACCCCCCGTATCTCGCCGATCGGGCAAGTCCGCCGCTATGCCTCCGACTCCTCCCCCGGAATCCTCGAGCGCACTCGGCGCAAGATTTGGGGCACCGACACACCCCCAGGCCTAGCAGACCCCTACTCTGGAAGTCAGATCATGCCTGGATCTGAAGTGAGTCCCGAAAAGCCGGAGGCAGAGGAACCATTCAGTCTTCAAGAGGGTCAAGCACCACCCGGAGAACTTGAGGAGAGCCTGACCTGGGTTGGAATGCCCAAGATTGGTTATCTCCCGGAGAAAGAATGGCGCCTTCAGGGCTCGAAAGGAAAAGCCGATAAGGTCACGCCGTACGTCCATTCCAAGTTTCCAATTCAATGCTTCTGAATCCTGGTGTGATTCCTCAATGGATTTGCTGACAATATCCCTCTTGGTTGATCGAACAGATGGTACCACAACCCACAGCCTGTAGGGTATATGAAGGCTGCGCACCAAGCTGCCGTGGAGATCGGCTTGATGCAAATGCTGGGGGGAAAGTCACCGTTGTTAGCCAAACCAGCTACAGCCGAGCGATCCAAGACCAATTGAAGTCGGTTAAGATTGAAGGTCAGTCTGGTAACTGGGGTGACCGTCTCCGGTTCACCAGCATCAAAACAATGGAAGCCCTTCTGCGCGTTGCGGCAGGAGATTTGACCGGCGAAGCCGAGATCGCTTTCCAAAGGAAATTGAAGAAGATAGCTGGCAATGCGGAAAATCGCTTGTATAACCGGGAATCCAAGGCCCAGATGCAGAACAGCCTTAGTACCCTGCCGCTGGCTGATGGAAACCTCAAGTTTGTTGTTCGTATTCCGCTTTCAACCTTTTCATAACCGACATTACTAACAACCACACCCCAGTTCTTCGCCCGCCTCTCCAAATTGATGTCTCAGCACATTCCTGACTACATCGTTTCCTCTTCCACCACTACCGGAGAGGTCTTCCGCGCACAGGAGGTACTTCGCAAAAAGACCCTGAGATTGACACCCGTGCTTCTCCATGAGATTATGGACAAGAATGGTGCCTCTGAATTGTCTAACGTCAAGATTCTTGACGTCCGCCAGACCCGCCATGACAATGATGAAGATCTTGGCCGCAAGAAGGCCATTGTTTCTACGCTCTACAAGAATGGTTTGATCACCAAGAGCCTTGGTCAGAAACACCAACCGCCTTGGAAGCAAGCTAAGAAGACCGAGCTGAATGCCTAGGCCTCTCTTCATGTTTTGTACAATGTTGGAGGCGTCCTTTTTCCTTTATCTGAGAGCAATCTTTTGTACATTAGAATTGTTAATTGAATTGCATTTTGTGCCCTGTTTCGTTTCGTCATATCAAGTCATTTAAGATAATCGTACATGTTAATTCTGGAATGTACAGTATGTCGACCAGTCTACCCGTCCAGCATACAATGCTGCAGTCACCATCAACCTTTGGAGAACATCAAAAATCCTGTGAACTCCGGAAATCAAACTCCTCCCATGACTCTGTGTCACACAGAAAAGCAAAGGCAGTCAATTCTGGCCTAGCGTCCACTTCTGCGCCACAGAAAGATAGAACATCCTTAGATCATGATATAGAAAACCCTCTGGTCATGAAATCACGATTCTTGGACCCACTGTCCTTCTTGGAGAAAAGACTGTCGAGATTCTCATTTCCACCCATCATCTTTCGGCGCTTCTTCTTCTCATTCTCCTCCGCCAACACACGGGCAGTAAGCGAAGAAGTAGCAGAGTTCTTGATTCCATTGCTCGAAGCAGTATTAGGCACCGGCGTGGAAGTGTTGCTTCTGCTTTTAGAATCTGACGATTTCTTAGGTACTACCAAGCCAGTAGGCTCTATGGTACCGGGAGCATCAGCCACACCCTCAGCGGTAGCATTCTTCTTGCGCTTCTTTGAGCCGGGGGCTTTTTTGAGGGAGTGCGTGAGGCCTTGTTCAGCAAGTTTATGGCCCCGCGCAATCAGACGTTGCTTATCTTCTTTTTTGGTCGTAAGGATGGGAATAATGTTCTCTTCCGTGTAGGATTCATTGCACTAGCACACGTTAGCCACTATTTCCCCTTTGTATTCAAGGCGTGGTTCTTACCTGCAAGCATTTGTCGCCTTTAAGCTGTCGGATAGCCTCCTCCGCAAATACATGTCCACATGGCACCAGATACACAGATTTCACACTTGGGCCCAATGGCTTTGCGGTGATCGGGCAGATCCAGCCCTCGCGGCGCTCCTGGGGCGCATAAGCACGGCCGGATGGGTGCTCGGTGAGCTCAGTATCGACTTCAAATTTCATCTCGACCACATCCCGGAGCGATTTCACTCGCCCGCACAGGATGTCTTCGCAGTCGGCCTTGGAGCTGATGCCCTCGACATCGTCGCCGGGGATTAGGAACTGGATTATAGCATCTTTGTTGTAAAGATTCCCGACTGAGTCTGATACAATTGGCCGGGAGAGGGACTTGTGAGAGAGCGGACAGGTAGTCCAGGAATGTTCTTGTTGCTCGCGCTGGGTCTCTTTTACTTGCGCCGTGCTCGGGGCACGCGCTGCTTCGCGGACGAGCTCTCGACGAGTCGGAATACTAGATATACTTGTGTTAGAGATTTCGATTCCGTAGCACATCTATCACATAGTCACTTACCTGCCACCGTCATTACCCATTTTGTGTTGCAGTTGTTGTAAAATGCTCCCACTTCGCCACGATAAAGTCGCCTGAGAGATAGCATGATGACTCAGCGGCGATTAGATCCAGCCCGGGCCCGCTATCAACAGCTGGCCAGAAGCTCTCTCCGCACCTCCACAAACAAAGCTCAATGCCTCAAGCATGAGACTGCCTCAGTCGTTATTGTTGTTGGCTGCCACTGGGTCGGCCGCACAGGCTAGTAGTGACAAGCCTGCCCGTCCCCGTGGCTTGTCCCCAGAATGTAAGTATATGAACCCTGACTATTAGATCTCCACTAGTGTTTCTGCAGCGGGTTCATGTAGCAGTGATCTACGATAGGCAATTGATCGTTTTTCTTCTGGAAATTATACTAATGTAGCATTCTTAGTTGCCAAATTCTACCAGGACTCGACGACATTTACCTGTATCTCGAATCCCTCGGTCAAAATCCCCTTCTCGGCCGTCAACGATGACTACTGTGACTGCCCTGATGGAAGCGACGAGCCCGGCACGTCTGCGTGCGCGCATATCTCGCGCAATTCGCCGCTAACAGTGGCCGACCGGCCTGGTGATAGCGATTTGGACACCGCGCCTGCTCTTCCAGGATTCTACTGCAAAAACAAGGGCCACCGCCCATCATACGTTCCATTCCAGCGTATCAACGATGGTATTTGTGATTATGAGCAGTGTTGTGATGGTAGCGACGAGTGGGCTCGTGTTGGAGGCACGAAGTGTGAAGACCGATGCAAGGAGATTGGCAAGCAATGGCGGAAGCAGGAGGAGCAGAACCAAAAGTCGATGACTGCTGCCCTGAGGAAGAAGAAGGACCTTCTTGTCGATGCTGGTCGCCAGCAGAAGGAGATTGAGGATCATATTGTTGGACTAGAGATCGAGATCCAGGCTGCTGAGGTCAAGGAACAGAGCCTCGAGGCTGATCTGAAGCTTGCTCAGGAGCAGGACCGTAAGGTGGTCCGCACTGGAAAGGGTAAAGGCAAGGTCAATGCCCTTGCTAAGTTGGCCAAGGGCCGTGTTGATGAGCTACGCGATGCCTTGGTCAACGTGCGTCGCCAACGGGATGAAGCCCTCGAGCGGGTGAAGGAGCTTGAGGATATTCTGGCTAAGGTCAAGGTGGAATATAACCCCAACTTCAATGATGAGGGTGTCAAGCGTGCGGTCCGTAGCTACGAGGACTACGCTGCCCGTGAACAAGGTACCGAGGATTCGAACGATGCCTTGGACCGCGACTTAGATGAGATTTCCAAGGCCGACGGCGAGGAAAATGGTATTAATTGGGAGCACTGGGAAAACCAGGAGGATGGATGCCATGACACTGACCTAGGTAAGTTATTCCTCTGTTTCTTGTTACGCCTGGTACAGCTTGCTAACGGGCAACTGTAGTGTACAAGCTCGCTGCTTATCTCCCACCATCGCTTGTCACCTTCATTGAGGACAGAGTCATTTCTGCCAAGAGCTTCCTTGAAGAAAACGGCATTCTGCCCAAGGCCGATCAAGATTCTTCCACTGAATCCAAGGCTGTGACCCGGGCACGCGATGCCCTTAAGGCCGCACAAGACACTGTTGCAAGTCTTAAGGACAAGCTACGCGACCAGCGTGCTGACCTTGAGCAGGACTACGGTCCATCTTCCATCTTCCGCGCACTCAAGGGGGTCTGCATCACCCAGGATGCGGGTGAGTATACGTACGAGCATTGCTTCCTTGAGTCGACCAAGCAGAATCAGAGGAAAGGAGGTAATTCTGTGTCCATGGGCAAATTCTCGCATGTTGGAACCCTGAACGTGGAAGAGGTCAACGAGGCTGGTGAGGTTATCAATGTCGAGAAGACGATGATTGAGTATACTCGCGGCCAGTCTTGCTGGAATGGACCTAACCGGTCGACCAAGGTTATTTTGGAGTGCGGCGAGGAGAACAAAATCTTGAAGACAGCGGAAGATGAGAAGTGTATGTACTCCATGCTTGTTACCTCGCCGGCTGCATGTGCAAGTGGCGAGGAGGCAGGTAATGCTGTGCCTCGCTCGAAAGACGAGCTGTGACGGCTATGTTAGATCTATAGATCTGGTGTCACATAGTTATATGTATTGAATTTTTATTTCATATGCATCCCACTAGTTAGGATAACTTGCAATTTGAGCGCTTTTGTACACTACTGTTCTTTTTCCTTGATGTTAAGGTAAGCTCTTGTTGCTCAGTGATCTAGGTTTGATACAATATAAAGGTGGCCAGGTAGACGGTTCATTGCATGAGCAGAATCACATCACCTTTATCGGAGCATCGAGATACTACTCGAGATCACAGATAAAAATATGACCACATTTATAGTTGGCTAAAAACTAAATAACCAGAACATTCACGAGGTTTCATCTGAACCTATAAGCTTAACACCCCATCCACAAGGCTCCAGGCCCTATTATCCGCAGATCATAACTATCATTATCTCGATCATGAACAATCACAAGGGGATCATCTCATAACCTTGACAATGAGGACACCCGCGCCCGAGCTAGTTCGCCAGCAGTGGGAGGCCGGGTCTGGTATGAGTCGTATGGGAGGAAGATGGCGGTGATGAAGGCGTGTGAGATGGCTTAGTGCTAGAAGGGTAGTTAGTATATCTTTCGCCCCAGGGCCGTATCCCACTTTAAGTAATAGTGATTATAAGATACGGAATAAGCAATCAATGACATACCTTGCAGCTGGAGCAAGAGCAGGAGTTGCACTCGCCAGAGCAGCAGTTGCAGGTGCAAGGAGACATGATGAATATAGATGTGGTAGGTAAAGAACCTTGAAAAAGCTTGAGAATAGTTGTTTGGTTTGGATATAAATGGCTTGGATAGAGAAAGGAAAAAGTCCTACCAGGGAAGGATATGAGGCCAACTTTATACCTCTAAAATCCACGGCTGCCACTTTATCCTGATCAATAATAGTGCGGCGGAGAATTCTACTTTTTTCCATCTATCATGCATCTTCATCCAATCCAAGACGTAGCAATGTCGTTGCGGTGCCCCGTTCACACTACATCGTATCGCGTGGTCGAGTCAAATGAGCGCAAATCATGCATCCCACTGAGGGCCCCCTAACCCCGTCCCGTCTACCACCTATCATCTCCTTCGGCCTATTCTCACGCGCTATGCGCTGTACTATAGCCAGGCTGCTCTACCGCTCGCCAATAAAGCGGAGCCTATCGGGCAAATATGGCGCAAAGACCGGTGAAAGGGCTAGTCTCCGATCTATTTTCTTACGAAGTTTAAACATTATGTCGGTGTTTGCTCGGCAGTATGGTGAGTTTAACATCAGGTTAATAAGGTAAGAACGAAGTAGATCAGATTACATTTTGCTCGGTGTTTATGCCAATAATATGGTTGGTCTATTAGCTTAGGCTGAAAACTAACAATCGTGCAGGGTTCATTTTGTGGAGCAATTACATGCGCTGTTTGCGCGCTTTGCTTGATATGGTCATCTCTGCCTGTACTATATATGTTTAAATCTCGACTGGACTTGGATACTTGATCAAATGATACATGCTATATGAAGGGCTATTATGTGGATGTATACAAAACATCCATGGATCAAATATAGCAAAGATAGCAAAGATAGGACAGCACACGGCAACATTCCCTATTAGTGTTACCCTATTAGCGTGTTAATTAAAATTAAGACCTTCATCATGCCACGATGAGGGCCACGTTTCGGGTACGACGTAGATCTGCATGCTTTGTTCGATCCACTTCGGGACGGGCCTCTTATTATCTCAGTCCTATGTAAAACACGCGTACAAGATGTGGATGTTGATGAGTACTAGAACGAACTAGGACAAACGTCGTATTCAAATCAAAGATGAAGAGTACATAGCAAGTAAGGGCCGAGAAATAAATTTCCGGCGCATGCAGCGGTTTCTATCAGGCGATGTTTGCACGGATTGGGGACCTTGGAGGAGGGGGGCTGTCCGGCTTCATTGGTAGCTCTGGACTATCTGAAATGTATGTTTTATGTCCACCCAGTGGAGCCATGCCAAATTGTTTTGACTGTGTTTTTCTTGATTGTTTTCGGGGTCTTCGTGTACTAAAAGTGCATGACAGGCGAGACGCTCTGGCAGTAGCACCTGCATTATTGGGGTATTACTAGTTCCCGAGGTCAGTTTGAGACTGGCATTATATCATGTCTCCACATTTTGCATTTGGTAATATCTATTCAGAAAAAAAAAAAGAACGTGTTTACCCTATATACCAAGAGGCGAGATCTGATAACACGAACTTTGAGTGACATCCCACGTTGTACAATTTATATGGCATAGAAACGTATACTAACTACATCGCGCGCTTGGGCCTCATATTGTATGAGGGCACAGACTCCTTCGGATCTGACTGAGAGCCAGAAACAAACCAGCAAGACACCAGGAAAGTGGAGAGGCTGCATCTTGAAAGCTACCAGGGCATATCACAGACCCTCTCCGAGGTGCATCATGCATAATTATGATTGGCTCCGATCAGATACTACTCTTCTCGGACTTGTGCAGCATCGAGCTCCGCTTTTTATCTTTTCTTGCATTCGACTCTGCGGATACCAGGTGTTGGGGTCCCTAGAAATGTTTGATGTTGGAGATGAAAATGGCGCATCGGCAAAACATAGTGGAAGGGCGGGAAAGATATTTCCATATCTGGCCACTGTGACGATGAGATGATCACTGAGTGGAGTGTCTGGTTGGGTTGGGAAGGATGCCTGATATTGTATCAAACAAGATTCTCGGCCATTCGCCCGCACTGTTCCGTCCTCTCTGAGGGTATGGTATGTCTACTTCCCCCAATTGTGTCTTTGCATTGATATGGGTGGTTTTATCTAAGTATGTAGCGAGGTACTCCAGAGATTTCATGTATGTTGTAGATATATATCAGGTGGATCTACTATTCTCCGCCCAGCGGGCAGTTCGGGCATCTAAGTATGTCGGACAGGATGTTGAGCTCCCAAGGTTAACCCCTAACGATTTGAAAGACCCGAAATTTGGACTTGATGCCCACAAGGTACTTGTTCTACAAAGAATAAAGGTGTTCAAGTAACCACATGTCATTCACTATGGCGAACCCTCCTATTCTATGACATGACGTGCAGCCCCGGGGAACACAACCGGAAGCTCTCCAATCCAGATATCCTCCGTCTCACTGCATGCTCATATCCATTGAATGGTAAACTTCAAACTGAATCATTGTGAATGCCCATATGGGTCATTTATTTCTTCTAAGCCGATGGAGGGGTCGGGTCAGCTAGACGTCATCGAAGGGGAGATCAGGTATCACGTACAGGGCAGTTGCAAGAGCCGGCAGGGCACTGGCAAGAGGAGCCGCAGCTGCATCCGTGATCGCCTATTATAGAGGTCAGTATCGAAAGAAAGGAGAGAAAGAAGATAGAGGGACAACCCCGCTATGACCCCGCCATTTCGGAAATCAGGCTAAGCCAAAGCGCGGTTTTTCACTGATTGCGAAGTCACATATAACATGGAATATGGAAATGCTTACTCATTTTGAATGTGTTTGGTGTGGTAAAAACTGGTGAAGCTTTTGGAGTTGTGTGGTTGTAAAAGGTGAGGTGGGGGGATGGAGCGAGAAGGGATGGGCGGGGACCTTATATACTCGTGACTTTCCGGGAATGTCATGTCCAGTCTGAGGGTCAGACTTTGAGTGAATTCTTATTGCTCACATCTTGTTTCACGTTACACTTGTGAGCATATTGCTGTCCCCGCTTGGGCACGCCAACGCATTGGTTTCGAGAGCCGCGTTTCAAATCTTGAAATCTTCCATTTCTTGCAAGCCTTCAAAATATGACTACTTCTATCGGTTGCATATGCGGAAGTGTAGCCTTATCTGTCCAGTTAGATCCTGTTACCGACCAATCCGAACTCCAATTATGCCATTGCAACAGCTGTCGGATGGTGACTGGGCAGTTGTCTTCATCGTATTATCTCCTCCAGCATGAACCACCCAATCTAGATGGGCTCCAGGAATACCAACAGTCCAACCATGTTAGCCGTTTTTTCTGTAAGACATGCGGTGCCCACGTCTTCACACGCTTGCAGCCTACGAGGCAGTTTCTAGTTGCCTCAGGTTTGTTGGCAGCAAAGAACGTCATCCCGGTCCGAGCGGTTGAGCACTGGCAAAGCAGCGATACTGGTGACGGTGGGCTCAGTGCCCTGCTTCCTGGAACAGAGTCCACTACCACTGGTTGCAGGTTAAATACTTCAACAAGCAATAGGAGCCTCAACCGAAAATCAGTAAACTCGGTGGAAGATACATCAACAAGCAAGCATTTGCGGGCACAATGTCTCTGTGGAGGGGTTGCATTTTATATCACCAAGCCTGATGAGTCGTCCTTACAGGCATCTTCGCCATGGCCAGATCTCTTGGTTCCATACCACTCCGGGTCTGGGGCGAATCCTGACGATATCAAATGGTGGTTACGAGATGGTAATACAAAATATATTGCAGGAACTTGTGTCTGCAACAGCTGTCGGCTGAGCAGTGGATTTCCCATACAGGCCTGGGCATTCGTGCCCAAATCCAACATCTTTAATGCAGACGGGTCACCACTTACGTTTGATGCAGGAACCATGCGGCGGCATGGAAGTTCGCCAGGGGTATATAGAGAATTCTGCAGCTGCTGTGGGGCTACTGCCTTTTGGCATTGTGATGAACGACCACTGCTAATTGATGTGAGTGTGGGCTTGCTCCAGGCAAATGGTGCTAGAGCTGAGGACTGGTTGGAATGGGCAACAAATCGTATCAGCTTTGCTGAGATGGCGGTGCAACATGATTTGATTCGGATTTTAGAGGAGGGCCTCAAGATACATTCTGAAGAAAAGTAGAGATCTGTATCTGAGAGAAAAATAGCGTTTGAATCCATGAATCCATAGATATCCATAGCATCTCATACAGTATAGACGCTTCTATTCCTTCCTTCTAAGCAAGTGCACATGTGGAAGGTGCGAACCCGTCACCGCCTTCCCTCCGCCTAACTTTTTCGGGGATCTTTTTTTTCGCGCCTGCTCGGAAGCTCTTGATCACCTTTTCCTTCACGCGTCTGCATTTTTGCTGCTTAACCGCAGCTACTCAGAATGCCCCCAATGCCTCCATTTGCTCCATTCCAGTTCAGAGGAAGTTCTAACTATCGTGGCTCGCGTCCTAATCCGCGACATGAGTTCACTTTCCGCTACCAGAAACCTGCCACCTCGGAGCGACCGTTGTTATCCTCGAAGAGGGAAACCACACCCGAGCGGCTTCAGGGTGAGACTGAGACGAAATCTAAACTCAAATTTGCCGCTCTTTCTACTTTGAGCGACAGTGATGAGGCAGAGATGGACATGTCCGATGACTCTGATGCCGAGCGACCACGTAAGAAACGTGCGATTGCTCTCGATGGGCCTCAAGAAACTGCTCTAGCCCCTCCTGCCCCGAAATGGTCAAACCCCGATCCCTACACCGCGCTACCTCCTCCGGCCGAAACTACAAACAAAAGGGTGGATGTTGTCAAGCTGATTCGCAAGGCGAGACTTGAAGTTGCTGCAAAGACAGACGAGACGGACGCAGTCAAGCAAAACTCGGACTTCATTTCTCTTGGCATGGCTTTCGAACCAGAAGTTCCACAGAGCAACGCTCCTGATAACGCTCCCAAAGGGCCAAAGGCTCAAGATGCTCTAGATCCCGCTATTACGAGTCGAAAGCGAACCCGTGACGATGAGATCAAAGGGTACTCTCGAAAGAGCGGAAAGCCTGCCAGCAGATTCAACTACGATGGTTCCGTTATCGATCAATGGAAACCACTTTCCCCTGAGACAGGCACGCCTTGGTTCGAGGGCACCCCGACTTCCTTGCACGTGGGAACACAGTCAGTACTATCCTTCGAGCTCTTTCTGTTTTCTCTCTAACATCTAAACCAGGCTGCATAATGAGATTCTCAGCTTCTATCACTGGGCTAAGCCACAGGAATTCGAACATATCGTCCGTGCAGATCTTGTCAATCGATTGGAGACTGCCTTCCAACAACGCTACCATAATGTTTCGATCCGCGCCTTTGGTTCTTTTGCCTCGGGTCTCTATCTCCCCACAGCTGACATTGACCTGGTGCTGCTCTCTCACACCTTCTTACGCACGGGAGTTCGAACATTTGGAGAGAGGAAGGGCCAAATCTACGCGTTTTCGGCTTTCCTTAAGAGCACCAATCTTGCCGTTCCTAACTCGATCGAATGCATTGCCTCCGCCCGGGTACCGATTCTCAAATACGTGGACAAGCTGACTGGATTGCGAGTGGATTTGTCTTTCGACAATGACAGTGGCTTGATCGCCAACGAGACATTCCAGAAATGGAAAACACAGTATCCGATGATGCCGGTTATTCTAGCCGTGATTAAGCAATTTTTGTTGATCCGTGGCCTCAACGAAGTCCCGACTGGTGGACTAGGAGGATTCTCCATCACTTGCTTGGTCACAAGTATTCTCCAGCATCTGCCCCAGGGCCATTCGCAGCCAAACCTAGGAGTAGTCTTGGTGGACTTTTTTAATTTTTATGGCAAGCAATTCTGCTATGATAAGCTGGCAATCCGGATGGACCCTCCAGGCTATTTCAACAAGGTGAGTGAATTTATTTGCATTACTGTCAACTAGCCAGCTGATTGCGTCAAACAGGGCTATTATTTCGGCAATCCCGATCGTCTCTCAATCGAAGATCCCAATAACCGAGACAACGACATCTCAGGCGGCACAAAGGAAATTGGGTTGATTTTCCGAGCATTTTCTAATGCCCATACGGCCCTGAGGAATCGCATGGAATATCTTGCACTTGTCCAAGGATCGAACAAGAGCATTCTCGAACCTATCATTGCGGCGAACTTTGATGAATATATCGAACAACGCTACCAACTACGTCAAGTGTTCATGGCGGAAGAGAGGTTTGCTCGTTACAGGGAGGCTCTACCTCCGCCTCCACCGCCGGGATCCCCTCCTCCTAACGGAGCGTCTTCTCCTCCCCCTCCCCCTCCTGCCGACGGAGCAGGCTCTCCTCTGCCAGCGCCCCCAGCTCGCAAGCCTGCCAAAAAGCCCAAGTCAACGTCGAAGGGCACGAAATCGGAGCCAGAAGATATTTCTTCCGATGAAGCGCCCGGATCAGAAGCAAAGTCTGCCAAAGCTCGGAAAGGTGAGACAAGACGTCAAGTGTGTCAAGAGCGTGCTGCCCGCCTCAAACGCCTGAGACCTGACCTCCAGAAACTCCCCAATACCCTCAGCCTCCGCCAGGCTCGTCGCCATGCAGGGTACGAGACCGATGAGCAGATGAACGCGGACCTGGATAGAAGAGAGCAGGAACTTCTTGCCTCGGCCTAAATTTGAGTCTGCATTTCCACGCCCGCAACGACTTTCTTTTGGTTTCTGTTTGTATGCTTTATTTTGTACGATGATACCCCTTACTTTGAATGGTTTGGTGATTTGCTTGGGGAAGAGAGGAGGTATGTGGGGATGTATGCAATGGTGGTATGGTGGGCTTGGTGATATCTTCGCGTGTGCTTCGGCAAAACTGTGCGCTTCTATTTCTCCTCGGCGAGAATCGCAGCGAATGATTGGTGCAAAATCAAGAATGAGCATTCTTCTTTGAGCTTGAGACGAAAAAAGTGACTTACTATTTAGGATTCTCTCCCGGACCTCAACGTCGCCAGAATCTGTTGACTTGTCCCTCGGTTACAATTGATTAGGGCTGTCTAAAAGTTGAAAATCAGTTTTCGATCTTATTTGATTGAGAGTTATCTTTCAATATGGATAAGCCTCAACAATATCAAACCTTGGATAAGCTTGACTTCATCTGTTCGATTCCATCCGGCGCCTCAACGTCTAATGCTTTCCCGGATTTCCCTCGACGAGCCCCTAGTTCTTGCAGTTCTTTGATTCCTACATGGGATGCTTTTAGCGATTTCAATGAAACACCCCCCGACGATCATGGATTTGCGCCCAACGTGGATCTATGTTTGTTGGCATTTATTTTTTTTATTTTTTTTGCTTTTCCCTTTCCCCCTCTCGTTCCCATGCCTCCCTTCTCACCCAGAGAGCGCTAGATGCGACTTCTGGGAGAGGACTGGAGTGTCAGGAGCTACTGGGTTTGGGACTCCACGCCGAACCTGCCTTTCTATTATCGGAAGGTGGGCTCATTTTCATGCGTTTCTAAGTCCCTCGTTCCTGCCTGCATGTCGTTGCTTAACCCAGATCCTTGCAAATAGATATGGAAAGTACGGAAAGCATTGGGAGGCGCCATAAGGGCTGTCTCGATGTATTCATGAAGTCCTGTTTCTGATTCTATGCAAGCTGCTTTTCCACATCTGATGGTGGTGTCAGCATAGGATCCTCCTTGATATCCGTATCAGATATAGAGAAATATGGCTTCCGTCCTGTTCTCTCCTCGGCCTCGATCTGCTGCAAAGCAGCAACATGCTCCTCTGATAACGAATTCACAAAATCTGGTGACGGACTGGCCCAGGCATAATCCACCCACTCTTTACCTAAGATATCCTGAATTTCTCGTGCCAGCTGCAAGATGTGAACTCCACGTGTATGAGACCAGGCGCGGTCCGTGATAAGGCCCTCCTGAGGCGTAAGGATATTCGACGTGGGAACATCACCCATCGGAACATCCAGGCTAGGAGTGGACGGTCCAGCAGATTTCAACTTAGTATCGAAATATGAGGCGTCGTCATCTTCATTCCAATTCTCCAGTCCATCGACGATACTATGCCACACGCGCAAAGTCTCATCCAGTTCAGCGATATTACTAACGCCCATAACGCTGACACCCAGTCTCCTCCCCGTGCCCATACTAGCCGCAGACAAGAACCCAGGATCTGCGTCCGCAGCACGAGCAAGCGGCGCACCGAGACCGCCAGCCCGCGCACCAAGACGCAGCCACGCCTCGAGCGCAAACCGAATCGCAACAACCTCAAGCTTCTCTCCATGCCGCGAAGCACAATCCGAAGCATTACGAATAGCACTCCGCAGCGCATTAGGAGCGGGATGGAAATCGCCCATCGAGCCAATAGGCACGCCGTCACGACGAAGCAATCCCATACCCAGCGGCGACGCGTTAGGAACAACATCAACGCCCGCAGCAAGCAGCCTGGGGAGGGCGTGCGAGTGCAGCCGTGTATTCTGTAAAGTGAAGTTGGCATACGACATAACGATATCGAGCGGCTCGCCCGTCTCGCGGAGGATCATCTCCGCCAGCTCGCTGAGCGTGTCGACAGGGTAGCCGGAGATACCAACGTAGCGTAGCACGCCCTCTTCATCGCGCAGACGGCGCAGCTCCCGCACCGCAGTGACCACTTCCGCAGCAGTCACGAACTCCACGTCGTGGCAGTACACTACGTCCAGGTAGTCTGTGTGTAGGCGTTGCAGGCTGCGCCGCACGCTGTGTCTGATCCATTGCGGAGAGTAGTCGAACGATGAGCCGGCCAGGCGCCCGACTTTTGTGAGAAGGTGGTATGTCTCCCGTGGGAAGTTGGTTTGCACGTTTTCTGTTGCAAGGGCGCGGCCGAGAAGTTCTTCAGCGGGGCCGTAGTAAGGGGATGTATCAAAGGCGCGGATGCCGCGCGACAGTGCGCGCTGTACAAGCTCTGTTGTTGGAAGGGCATATGGGTCGGCATTATATTGGGAGTTGAAGGTTGCAGTGCCCATAATTAGCGGCGGCAGGGCCGCGGACAGTGGGGTGGAGGGGCGCATGGTGTTTGGGAGGTCAGTGCTGTCAATGCTTAAGAGTTTCCTATGGATTTGTGGGTTATCTCTTGAAGAATGGTTAATTGGTGGAGTCTTTTCAAATGGTAAGTGCAGTGCCTATATTTTCTCAAAAAAAAAAAAAAAAAGACCCCCCTTTGCTCCGCTCCGGATGGCGCCATGGCGGGGGATCGCGCTGCCCCTAGATCGGGACATGTGGCCACAATCCGATCGGCTTTGTGTTACATCGTCTCTTTTTGAAGGTTTTAGTTGAGTGGTTTGAATGGCCCCTTGATAGCAGTACATAGGTACAGGTACAACGCGAAGACATCTGGATGTTCCTAGCAAGGCGGCGGTGGCAAAAAAAAAAGAAAAAGTTGAGTGCAGACTCCGACTACGATATATATGTGCAAAGAAAACATGGCAAATAAGTCTAGATCGGACATTACACAAGTTAATGCAAGTATATAGCTATTGTACATGAATCCTTTCCTAGTGGGAGTGGAGAAGGGGGTCAACGAAACGCAGCGCATCACAGATGATATACACAGACCAAAAGGTCGATGAGAAGGTCAGAGAATGGAGGCAACACTTCCACTTCCGACCGGAGATGATGCCCAAGGAGGGCATTCGGGGGCCATCTAAAAATATCAGAGAGAAAGACCCCAATCTAGAAAATCAGGGCGTCTTTCTCCAACAACCCAAACGCCATGCTATGCCAAAACAAGAAAGACGAGCAGATCAAAAACAAAGAAGCCGGTTGTGGTCGAAGGCTTCTGTCGCAGGAAGCGTAGATGTGCTCGTAGGGAAACCGAAGGCCTCAGCGAACCGGAGAACCGCAATTATTGTGTTCATTTATCCTTGTAGACCTTGGGGTTCCAGCCTTCCTTCAATTCTTTGTCGTGCGCAGCTTTGCGCTCGATCTCGCGGAATTCCATTTCCAGACGCTCGCGTGCGCGCAGAATTTTGCTCTGCAAATAAAAACTGCCGCCCTTCTCGGGGTTGTTCGTGTCGAAAAGTTTCTTGAATCGGGTCATGACATGTTCGAGGTCATGTTCGCCGGAGGCCGGGGGCTTGACATTCAGGATTTTGCAGGCTTCATCGACGGTTACGCTCGAGGTGGAAGTTGATTTTCCCGCTGCCTTTTGCTGGCCAGCGTATTTGCCGGACGCCTGGGCTTGTTTGTAGGCTTCGGCGAAGGCGCGGCCGAAGACCCGGGCTCCGGTCACGACGACTTGAGATACGATGCGATGAGCCTAGGAGATAATTAGTTTGAATTTTGGGAATGGGAAGAATAAGGGGATCAATAGACATACCATTGAGAAAGTGCCGTGGGGGAGGCGGTCACGATGTTATAGGTTGAAGGAAGAAAGAAGAGAAGGGGAAAATTTCGGCTGCGGGTTTTAGCGTCGGGAGCTTCAGGCACGGGTATGAGTATACAGAGCAATAGTATATAGTATAGCCAGCAAGGTCATTTGAATTTAAGATTAAAATCAGTTGATAGTTCTTGGTAATAAAATATTCAATCCTATCATCTATTGAATTTCTATTCTGAAAAATAGTCAAAAAAAAAAAAAAAAGAATATTGGACCCTTTCACATCGTATACCGAGAGTCACATGCTCACAAGTTCGATCTCCCCGCAGATCTTCTTTTGACCGAAACATAACGAACGATCATATAAAATCTTCTCACTCATCCCAGAGGATGAGTTTATTGTCTCTCTATGAGGTGTCCATAATTGGATGGCAGCTTTAGGTATGACAGTTGATGGTACTTCTCCTTAAAACCCGATCACTGATGGAAAGACAGACAACTTTCCGTGGATAGACTCCATGGCACCCTCAACGAACGCACAGGATCACGGCCAGTCGGATTCCCAACCGCCGACGGTCGCTGCCTTCTCTCCGTCGACGATTACCGGCTCGGCCCTGACCTCGCGCCAGCGCTCCAGTGTCATCGTGCATCGCAAATCACCTCTCCTAGTGGCCACACCACCAGCTATCACGCGAGCTCTGGCCTACTCACACCCGTTCCTCCTCCCTCTCAATAAATTCGCAGGTCTCCTAACATGGACATCTGGAGACCCATGGCAGAGCTTTCTGCTGGTAGCTACCTTTTGGACTGTCGTGCTATATAGCGACGCCATCATTCTTTGGACAGGGCCGATCCTGGTCGTGGTCGGGTTGATCCTCGGCATGTATGGACGTCGTTACTCGCCTCTGTCATCCACTATATCAACAGGCGAAAAGCACAATAGCAAAGTTACCCCAGATAGCTCACTGCGTCATCAAAAGAGTCTTGATGAAATTGTTGAAACCCTTCGGATTTTCACAACCAGATGCAATATCCTCCTCGAGCCTCTACTCGACCTTACCGACTTCCTATCCACACAGCGCACTCCCACATCGGCAACCACCAGACCTGCCCTGACAGCGTTGTTTATCCGCATCCTCTTAGTCACTCCTGTATGGATCGGTCTAACACTACCTCCATTCTATATACTCACCACACGCCGTGTTGTCATGGCCGTCGGCACTATCATTTTGACTTACCATTCCCGGCCCGCCAGGGTCTCGCGTGTCATTCTGTGGCGATCCCGAGCCGTTCGTCGGTTCTGTGCCGCAGCCACGGGCCTATCCCTTGCCGATACCCAAAACAGCCCGCAAAAGGCCCCGGCTCAAACCAAGGGCGAAAAGCAAGGATTAAACATTTCAACTCGGCGGCGCGGAAACAACGCAGGTGTGCGGTTCACGTTTGTTGTCTATGAGAATCAGCGCCGCTGGCTAGGTATCGGGTGGACTTACTCGTTGTTCCCTGCAGAACGTGATCCCTGGACAGATGAACATATGAACGCAGTGAATCCCAAAGATTCTTTCGAGTTACCTGAAGTTCAAACAGGAGATGCCAAATGGCGCTGGGTGGAGGGAAGTGAGTGGCGCATCGAAGGAGCGGACAACTTTAATGGAAAATCAGACTCGAAGGGGTCTGCCGGCGAAGGATGGATATACTATGATAACAAGGTTGGCGCTTCCTTTTTATCGGCTTTATTCTATTATTTTCTAACAGACCTATAGTGGAATGACGGTCGCCGTGGTCAAGACGGATGGGATCGCTATACCCGTCGCCGCAAGTGGTACCGTGACGCTGAATTAGCGGAACTCTCACCTCCAGCCACCGAGGATGGCTCCGAAGAAACCATTTCCGGGCTCACGCAAGCTCTAGAAAGGGAGAAAGAACGAGAGAACGACGATGACGCCGACGCCCAAAGCATCGCGCCATCTACCTCCTCCAAATCCCATCGCCGGCGCTGGTTCAGCGGTAGTCAGGCCTCCCCCGTGGGGCCGCCCGCCGATAGTGGGCGTACCACAGGATCAAATGTCTCTATAACAGCCGATAGAGCAGGCATCACGCGACCCATCAGCATCAAAAATTCCCGAAGACCGTCTCATGTCCGCGAAGGAAGTGTGGCAACTAGTGACAGCGCTAGTTTGCGCGAGAAGGAGATAGCGAACTCGCAAGATCATCTCGACCGGTGGTCAACTCGAGCTGCGGGCGGGACGGAAAGGGCGGAAAGGGAATGGGGGCTCAGCGATGAGGTGAATATGGGGCTTAGTTGATCGTGTGTTATACATTCATGTATGCAATTATCCCTTCTTTAATTCCGCGACTTGCTACCTAAGGCACGTGGTTTATACATAATATTCTTATCTATTCTTAGTGTACTTCCTGTATCGGGTTAGTTTTGCCTTTTTTGGTTTAGTGCTCCAATACGCCGTGGAAGGAGATATTGAGAGCAATATTAGCCATTTTTATCAGAAGGGGACGGCACTTTGATAGTACCTAGGCGCCTCTGGCGGTGTTCTGAGCACCGCCACTTGCGGTTGTCTCCGCAGAGTCATCAAAAATGGATCCATGGGACTCCTCCGCAAGTATGGCGTCGTTAGCCTTCAGACCGTATTTGGAAATGAGCATTTCAGCCCTTTAAAAGATTTAGCCATCAGCCGCGAACATACATCAAGGGCATCAAACACTATCCCCGAAGACTTGGACATCTAGAGACAGTGCAAGTCAATACCGTAATTGGCTGGCTCTCGAGACATCTTACCAAAAGGATTCTCCAGGCATAACCGTCCTACCGCACCCATACCCCTGTTGGGGTGGGCTGGTAAGACGGCTAAGTGAAGAGGCACTTTTCTAAGCGTTGCCAGAGTGAAAAAGAGAGAGAAAACGACAAGTTTGAGTGAATGCATCTGGGCACTCAGCCTCATTTCTTTGTCATACTGCCCTAGCGACCCCTGCAAGATCTTAACAACATGTTCACACTACTTAGTCCTCTACGCCCTAATCACTTGGGTATTTGACACTGCGCTGCTTCCCTAAACAAAGGTTGCAAGACAATCATCGCAGCAGACCTGTTGAATTGCCTAGCTATGCTGAATTATATGAGATGTAATACCTGCAAACTAGTATCATATCCGTCCACCTTAGCCAAGCCTCGGCTCGGTACTCACCATCAACGACTTTGCCACCGAAGAAGGGTCCAGAGAATACGCCGCTTGGGCCTCGTGCATATTCCTAACCATCCTTAATGTAAACATCCGACTGAATTATGTCCAAGAACCCTTGGCGGTTTCTGTCGTTCAAACCCATCACGGACCCCTTGAATGGGCGCACGCCTTCGTCCACGTGTCTTTCAAACAAGGAATCTTTGTGATATTTCTGAATAATGTAACGGTACAGAACATACCCCTTCTTCACAAAGAGCTAGATCTAGGGGGCTGATCTGTAGAGGACCTACCAACCCATGTCGCATTGCCCTCTTAGTGTAATCAAACGAGGGTGGGTGGATGTTGCAGGCGTATGGGATATTAAGGGGTAGTTTACTGATATAGTTCAAGGTAGATTTAGAAAGTGCTTAAAAAGTGCATACACAGACGTCGTCAGACTTTTCGGACGCAGTGTAGTTTACTTTCCTCGTCCGCTTTCTACGGTCTCACATTGGCCCGGGACTAAAAATACCATAGTGGACATGAATCCTTCTACAGTCTATGTTACCTCCGATTTGGAACGGTTGTGTAGGAAGTAGCCTAGTTTCGCGATAGATACAGAAGCCCTAGCTTTTTGTGAAGGTCAAAGCGCATAACGCATGATACAGAAGATCAAGAAGGCTGTAGATGGAATATATCTCAATTGGGACAAAATCCAAGATGTCTATAAACGTTCGAAGAAGAGAGGGTTAATGTGAAAGGCGCGAATGCGTTTGGAAAAGAATAAGAATTTACAGCGCTTGAGTGCCGGAGTGCATATGGACGACGGAGTGTTTCTGTCCGTATGCCGTTGGGGGGCACTCATGGAAACCGATAAGAGATGGATGGGCTCACGCGATTGTATAGCCCAGGTAACTGATCTACTGTCGACGAGAACTATTCCCAGACCACCCGGATGAAACCTGCATCTCACACTAAACCATCACATCGTTGTTGTTTGTCTAGTTCCGGCTGGTTGAGGATAGTGGTTGGGGATAATGCTCCTCAACCTCCACTGTAACATCCACCGTCCTTAGCACGGCTCCCTTCCCTTGTAGTTCCTGCGTCAAATGCCGTGTACTCTCCGTCCCCTCGCTCGAACTAGACCGTCTACCAACCTCATTATTCTGGTTCGGATCCCGACCCGACGAAACCTCAGTGATAACCCCGGTCTCACCTCCCCATCCATCAAACGTTGATGGTCCGTTCTTTCTTGGCCGTCCACGCGATTGCGACCGGGAATGCGAGTGACTTGCTCCCGAGGAAGATTGGTTGATATACCCACTGACCTTGGTCCGCGAGAGCTCGAGCCCGACCCCGTTGGGGATCTGAGTTGTGGTTAGGCCAGAGTGCAGGCCGGCGAAGATGTGGTAGAGAGTTGGGATGCAGGCGATTACGACGGTTGTGAGCATCATTGCCTGGCCGATTATTTCCCAAATGGCTATGTCCCCTGTGTACTGGTCAGATCAATCCAATGAGACTTTGGCGGGAGTTGGAAGAGGAATGGGTTTCACCGACAGGAGACGTCGGTTGAGTGAACAAATGAAGGTATAAAGGCTAGGTGAGCGATTCCGAGGGCGACGATACTGCGATTGGTTAGTCTTATTGGATCCAGTGGGAAATCCCTGGGTCTAGTACTGAGATACCTCAGGCGCAAAGAGAATGAGCATCGGATCTTCATCCGCTTGTGCCAGACCATTTGAACATTCCGCATCATAATAAACGGCTGGACAATGATAATAATCTCTGTCAGGACGTTGACGACTGCTATCGGGTAGAAGAGGGCTCCCTGTTCGGGATTAGAAGAGGTTTTAAGTCAATTATGGCCTGATTTCCTAGTATACACTGACCTTTCCAGCACATCGCTCGGGGGAGTATAGCCATAGATCGGGCAATTCACACTGGAAAGCTATACTCAACACTCCAAATATCGACCACCCGACAACCATACCAGCGGTGACAACACAGCTGCGACGGAGGCTCATACTCGGCGTTAACTTCCAAACCAGCAGGATGGTCGACATTTTCGAAAGCGACAAGACAAGGATGAGTAGAATGTGAGCAGCGTAGGCGAACTTGCTCCATGTTTGAATATCGCCTTCGGTAAGCCGGTCCTGGTGCTTTCCTAGCCCATGGTCAACTGCCTTTTGCAAGAGAACGACTTGAATAATTGCAAGAATCAAAGCCGCCCAGATGGGAGTATTGACTGCTGTCCGTCATTGCTTGAAATAGATCGCCGAACCGAACTTAGCGAGCACAAAGATTATGGCCACAATAAGAAGAGATACCGAGGTTAAGGTAATGATGGTACCGCGATTATCGCTTGACAGGACCTGGAAGGCGTTCGTTTGGTCGGCCATCGCACCCTGACAAGTTCGAAGTTTTCAGAACTTGCGGAGATGGGTGTCAGCATACTAAAAAACCTACTTCTTCACATCCTTGATACTAATGCTCTTTTCTGTTAGAAATTTACAATCCTTGTAGTTTTTTCGAGTCCGGTCCCTATTCACTGCAAGGGGCCACATGTGGTGGCTGTTTGGCGTGGCACCAACGCATCTCATATGGTGCAAGGATGCGAACCCTGTCGTACTTTGTACAATGTATTGATTCAATTGAACATGCCAATAGTTTGAGACCACTCAGGTGGGTCCGAGATTTGTTCCCATCAATAGCATTATTTTCCATAAACATACATAACTGAGATTGTCTGGACATACAAAGTACGTCTTTACACTCCCCGCCCCCCACCCCATCAGATTGCATGTTCTACCAAAAAAAACTTCTATATACTATAGTTACTTCTATGTGATAAATGTAAAAGCACTAGTTTTAGAGGTCTAGGAAAGACAGTCTTGTGCTCATAAAAAAAGCAGCTTTGCATACTATATTTCAAGGTTCTCGGTCTACGTTTTTGGAAGGCAGTATTCCAAGACAGCTAATGTCCATTGTACTTATGTACGTACATATGGAACAGACTTCTGATTGTGGGGCCGAGGCTAGAAGGATTCAAATGGCTGCGACTAACTAGCCATTTCTTTTACTAGGCAAAATGTTTGCAGCCAACGACAAACCGCGGACGCCAGGCTGTGCCATTAAATTTGCGGTACAACATTCTGATGATGTCCGGAGAGTCTAGCTGCAGCGCTGAACAAGACTAAGCGGCACTAACAAGCACTAAAATGCGCTAAGAAGCACTAGAAAAAGCACCGGCCTCGTTATTAGAATACAAACAACAAGGGTTTGTGCCGAAGCGAACAAAGGCCATTTTAATGCGGCACAACTTGCATCCGGGGCATCGACTATTCGTTTCGTATTCATTGCTCAATCAAAATCCCTGTCTAGTCTCTATTTAAGTAAATGAGCAGGAAAAGATGACCCAAATACTTCTTTCCGTCCTCAGGCCGACTGGTCTATTTTCTGTCGACTTTTCTTGCCCCAACTGTTCTGTCCTCAGTCGTGTTTCGATATGCCGGAAGGGATGGAAATGAAAACCGAGAGCGCTGTGCGATCAGTGCCAGCAGGCAGTGGGAATCATGCCTATGAGACCGCTACAGTGCGCCAGAAACAACAACTCGAGGTAAATATCTAACGTTCGATTGACCTGTGCAGACTCTGATCTTTCAACAGAGATATCTCAACTTCTTTTCGTCGGTTGCATTTTCCGCATGCCTGCTTGCCACATGGGAATCTGCCGGTGGGAGTTTGCTCTCGGGACTGTACAACGGCGGCCCTGCAGCGATTGTTTATGGAATTATTTTGAGCATCGTGGGTAATCTGGCCATCGCATGCTCTCTAGCCGAGCTCGCCTCTATGTACGTGTATAAATGAATGAAATGTGACAATGCTGACCTCAGGATTGATAGACACCCAACTGCAGGTGCTCAATATCACTGGAGCTATTTCCTCGCGCCTCGTGGTCGCCGATTCATCAGCTTCTTCCAGGGTGAGCCCATGCCCTATTATTTAACTTCTGCTACATTCGAATTCTGAACATATCAGGTTGGGTTTCGGTCTTTAGTTGGGCGGCATTGGTCTGTATTTCGCCGTACTTCATCGGAACTCAAATCCAGGGTATGGTTGTGCTGACGCATCCTGAATATGAGCTTGTAAGATGGCGTGGTACGCTGCTCATGTGGGCAGTTGCAATCATCCCAATAATCATCAATGTATTTGCGCGTCGCCTTCTGGGAGCCATTGAGGTTGCTGCGGGTATCATGCATGTCGTTTTCCTACCTGTCACCATCGCAGTCTTCGTTATCCTCGCCCCTCGAAACCCCAATGCGTTTGTCTGGGACACCTTTGTTGGCGGCTTGAGTGGCTGGAAGGATTCCGGGGTTGTATTCTCCGTCGGTCTTCTTGGTGTTATCACTCCCCTGACTGGTACGTTCCTCCACTATCAGAATATTGAATAATCTAATGCATACCAACAGGTGTCGACGGCATAATCCACATGGCTGAAGAAGTCAAAAACGCCAAAGTCGTTGTCCCTCGCTCCATGATATACGGCACTATGATCAACGGGGTGCTTGCATTCTCCTACCTGATCGCCATCCTCTACTGCATGGGCGACTACGCCGAAGCAGTCACCAGCCCAACGGGCTACCCAATCATTACAATTGCCTACCAAGCAACCGGATCCAAGGCAGCCGCCTGTGTCCTCATGGCACTGGGCATGCTACCCGGCTGGATTGCCCTCTTCAACGGCCTCGCCTCCGTCACGCGTCTCACCTGGGCTTTTGCTCGAGACAACGGACTCCCCTTCTCCGACTTCTTTGCCGTCGTTGACCCGACCTACAAGATCCCACTCCGTGCTTTATTCCTAGTTGCATCATGCATATTTGCGCTCTCTTTTATCCAGATCGGGTCTACGGCTGCATTCAACGCCATTCTCTCGCTCAGCACGCTCGGTCTGTACATTTCCTATCTTATCCCTCTCGTCCTCCTTGTCTTAAAGCGCTTCATGGCGCCCAAGGAGATCCCGCAGGGAGCATTTACTCTAGGGAAATTCGGCCTCCCCATGAATCTTCTTGCCATTCTTTTCGCCACCTATTTCGTTATCTTCCTTCCATTCCCGGCGACGCTGCCGGTTACCGCTGAGAATATGAACTACGCCGGGCCTGTGCTTGGCTTTATTATGCTATTTGCCTGTGGGGATTGGATTGTTCGCGGACGGCATAAGTGGCAAGGCCCAACAGTGAGGTCTTATGAGAGGAACGAGTGAAGTTCGGAAGGTATGAATTGACCATGGAACAGGGAGTGGAAGTAATTGATCTGCTAACATTCGCTAATAGCTTTTTTTTTATCACCAGGGGGTGACTAAACTGTACATATACTTTTCTTTACTCAGTATCCAAAATATACGCGCTCTTTACGCTTAAGGTCTTCATCATATATTACATACAACGGGTCGGCGTACGGAGAATGTCTAGCCGTTATAGAAGGATAATAAGGGATGTCCGGGATACACCTTCGCGGGATGTCTTTTCAAACCCTCCTGAGGAGTCCTGACATCGAAATCTAGCAATATATATCGAAAGACACCTCCGTTGGCAGTTAAGGGCTAGTAAGCCAGGATTCGATCTGAATCAACTTTACAATACCCTCGGTCCGAATTATTATCTTGATAATATTATAATAAAAATGATGCTCGAGATACTCCTTTGTAAATCACCACGCAGGGCGGTTAGAGCCACTACGAACCGATACACATTCACGAGAATAGAGAGGGGAAAACCTACAACTTGTAATACTTCAATAAAGCGGACTTGGTGGGATAATAGGTGGCGGAGGATGCCTATCAACTATTGCTAGCCATGTATCTAGATCAACAATTCTTCGGTTTTGAGCAAGACCTAAACAGAAAGCATAAGCCATATGTGGTGAACGGATAGAGGGTGCTGTAAACAATTGTCTTACATTTTCAATGTAGCGAACGCCCACCACGATACCATCCTTATCCATGACACTACTCCCCGATGCCCCAAAGACATTGTCCTCACTGCCTTCATCAAGACAGCACAAGCAAGCAAGAACCAGTTTAGTGTAGCGATCTCCGACTAAGCTTGGAAGCCGTTCCTTGGATATGGCCACTAGTTCCTCCTTGGTGGAAAATCCACCACGGCGCGGATCCTTGTCGAAAATTGCGTCTTGTATGTTCAATTCGGACCATGGGTGTGGATGGCTCTCACCTGGCTCCCACTGTACAAAGGAATGCCACAGGCCAATCTCGAGTAGGCAAACCCCCAAACTGTAAATGTCATGCTGCATGATGTATGCTTCTTCGGTCCATTGCCCCTGGCGCACTGGGTGACGATATATATTCTTTTCCCACTCTAGATCTCCCATGAAATCAGTCTGGCCTAGGGCGTGTCTAACGCGCTCAAATCCGATAAGAAAAGACGGTCCCACCTCAGCGACACCATCATTGAATATAAGAACTGTTTCTGGGCGAATACCCTTGTGGACGAATCCTGTCGTATGGACAAACATAACTGATCTTGCAAGCTGTTTGGAAAGTTGAATGCGCTTGGTCAAAGATACATTTGTATTGCTCAACAGAAGGCTTCGTAGGGTCTTTGGATATCTTAGCTCGTCCGGTATTTCCAAAATGAATTCGAATTGGGTGGTTTGAGAGTCCTGTGTGGAATCATAAGATTGCACTTCAACTGCCCCCACGCATTTGAGAAGACCAAATGAAGCTGGGTCGACATGCATTAACATGCGTGCTAGATCTCGAACATTGTTTTTAATTGTCTGGAAATTCGCGTTTGTTCCATAGTTTGTTCGGTCTAACAGGACTTGGCTTGCGTTATAATTTGAGATACACGTATTCGTGCCTGGTATTATGGTGCGGTCCTTCTCCACAGAGTCTTTGGACTTGAAAATTGAGTCGATGAACTCGTTTCTCTGTTCGGAAACGTCACGGATAGCGTTTCTGATTTGGATGAGTCTTGTCGATGAAGGGTTATCGCCTCCATCCCGAAGTTTTTCATCGACAGTCGAGGCGGAAAGAAGTGTGATCAAGTACCATGATGGGTCAAACTTTCGCTGCCATTTTTCTAGATCCGCCACAACCCACTTGAGGGTTCTGACTAGATACAGCACTCTCGCTCTTTTGAGAGGATTGGAGGCGGAAAGTTGCTGGTTATTACTCTTTTCGAGTACTTTAAGAGCGCCAAGAATCTTCTTATAAAGGCTTTGTATGGCTTCCGCGTAATGAGCTTGTAAGGAAGGATGTAACGAAGAAGCAGAGCCCCATATGCGCTTCAATACACCGACCTGAACCTCTGTTTTGAGCCAAATACCCTCGATGATAATTGCCATTTTATCAATATCCTTGCTGAGGTTCCGTATTTCCCGGCATAAGTCGACAAGTTGTGTGCCCAAGCTAAAAAGTGAAAGCAGAGACAACTGTTAGCATATTTCTTGATTTGACTTGGTCCAGGACATTTATACTTGACACAAAGCTCCAATGTCCCTGCAACAGCTAGTACTAATGACGCAGCTTCCATTTTGGACTCGTCAGAAGTTCTGAAGCTGAATTATACAGAGTGGAAATAGTGAGTTGAGCGTTAACAAGAACGGAAGAAATCGGGTGTGTACTCCAATGTTCGCCCCTCCCCTCCCCCTCCCCTCCCCCTCCTTACCCTCCCCCTCCTTTCCAACAAAGATTACTTTCAGCCCGAAGAAGGAGGCTGAGACTCACGGATCAACAATATTCCTCATTCACCTGACCATCTATTATTGGCGAGAGCAGCCTAGTACCTGGGTAGTAAATACATAAGGAGTGTAGGCGAATTATCCAGTGTCCTAGAGGGCAATAATCCTCAAAATGGACGAAGACGGGCTTGCTCAGTCGCTCAGGCTTGATGTGCAAAATGTCAACGACCACTGTTTTCGTGAAAGTCGAATCATCAAGACAGACGAAGACGGTCGGCAAATAAGGGAAATCGTGTTTTGGAACCGAAACATCTCCCTAACACGTTCCCCTGCGAATAACGTATTCCTATATGAGTCGCAACAGAAAGACCTACGAGTGTTCAAACATATCCGCCGGAACAGTACCGTCAGCTATCGAGAGCTCAGTGTGATGGAACGAGTGTTGAAAGAAGTGGAGTATGTCTACCTAGAAACCTCCAAGATCAAGTTAGTAATGTTGATGCAGACCACACCAAAAAGAGCTGTTTGTTGACTTCGTTGGCTGGTTCCCATCCGAGGACTACATACACCTCGTAATGGAGTACTGCCCTTATGGGGACATTTCTCGATATCCCGGTCCGCTGTCTGAAGTGGAAGCGTGGTGTGTATGTAACCAATTGATGAAGGGCCTGTCTGTTTTGCACAAGCTTGAAATCACACATCGGGACATCAAGCCGGAGATAATTCTATCCCAATTGGCAAATTAAGAGACGTTGTCTAACAAGCTCTAGAATGTTTTGATCGTTGCCCAAAACCCAATTCGTGTGAAGATTGCCGATTTTGGCATTAGCAAGCTCTCACAGAAAGGAATTACCCAGCCGCGGACGCAAGCTGGAACAGACGGTTATATGGCACCAGAGTGTTTTGGAATAAACAACCGAACGAAAGAATCGAGCTACACACATGCTGTTGATATCTGGTCTCTGGGTTGTCTGGCCTACTACATCTTGACAAAAGAGGTTCCGTTCAAGGGAAAGAAAGATGAATACGCTACATATAGAGCACTTCAAAGCTATTGTGACGGCGCTCTTGGCTTCCCGGAAGAGCCTCTTATTAGGCAACGCGTTAGCCTTTCGGGTCGATATTTCATACAACGACTGCTAGCACCAGTCGCTGAAAACAGACCAAAGGCCTTGGGGCAAATTAGTATGTTGGACTGGGTGATTCCCTTGGTCTCGGATAGTGCTTCTCAGGATTTGACACCAACTAAAATCTCATATGAATTCGCTGGATCGTCTACCATCAACAGAGATACTATCACAGACTCACAGACACAGCTTCAGTCTAATCGGCAAGAATTATTTGACGTCCCACCGCAAAGAATCACTGAGTTTGACATGGTATGCTTTACTAATGAACGTGCGTCCGCTTTACTAAACGCAAACCGCTGACTGGCTTGTAGGACCTCTACTCTTCAGACCTTTGGCATCTCGTGAAGCTAGAAAAAGGAAGAAATTCCAACATAAAGAAGCTTCGAGCTCTCCTCGTGTCGAACGCAAATCCAAACATTCGTTTGAAAGGCTATACGGCTCTTCATATAGCCGCAGAGCAAGGCCCACCTGAATCAATTGAAAATCTTCTTGAATTTAGTGCAGACCCAAAGATCCGCACCAAGCCACGCCAAGAGACGGCGATTCACCTCGCTACCTGTCAAGGAGACTTCGAGTCTTTTTCCAGGAAACTACGACTGTTGTTAGAAAAAGGTGCTGACGTCGATGCCAAAAACTTCGAAGGGGACACAGCATTACACTTGGCAATTTGTAGGATGGCTAATATTGATGCAATCAAGGTTTTGGTTAGATCAGGAGCATCTATAGAAGAGAAAGGACGATATGGACGTGCTCCCCTTCAATATGCAATATTTCTCGGAAGAGAAAAGATCGCAGCGGCCCTATTGCATTACAAGGCCAATCCGAATTGTGCTGACGACGATGGTTTGACACTACTTCACCTTGCAATCAGATCCAACAAAATAAGCATAGAGTTCTTGAAGCGACTCATCAAAGCCGGAGCCGACATCAACCAAGAAGACGGGAACCATCATACACCGTTGTATGAAGCGATCGCAAAGGGGAGACATGATGCAGCACGTTTGTTGCTCGATCATGGCGCTAATTGCAATCCTCATCATCCGGAATTAGAAAGGCGCTTTGGTCGAGGATTTTGGCAGAATTTTGCTTTGCGCCGTCCATGGGCCTCTCAATAGATATTGTTATTATATTATTTCGCTAGTGTCATGTCTAAATAACGTGAATCTGAGACAAATTGAGACAGAAAAAGGAATGATGAAAGTAGAGATGGAACTTTCTGTAGAAGTTCACAAGGACAGACAAATCAAATATTCCAGAATCGAAAGATTATTTCCACGCTCGTTACATGGAGAGTGTGTTCTCACTATCCAAAGCGATCCCACCTTCACTGTATCTATGTTCTCCAAATGACACAAGCTCAATCTGCCTTCTAAGTACATAACGCCGGAATAGATACGGGAGATGAACATAAACCCGGTAAGATATGAGACCTTTGGGGAAAGGCTCCAATGCTGAACCGACGGATTCTAAAGGGAGTTTGTTGGTCTCCTTCATGAAGAGGTAGGCCAGTAGAATGGAAATAAGAAGCGATATGCTGATGCACGTTAGGATTAGAGGACTGGGAAAGAACCTTCCTAGCAAGCCGGAATTTCGGTACTTACAGTATATGCAGTCCAGAAGAAGGAATATGCATTATCATTTGCCAGCCAATGAAGGTGGGAAATATCTCAACGCCTGCATAGAAGAAGGAAAATATGATAGCAACTCCCATCTCTAGTAGCAAGTCAGCAAAGCTATCTCATTTCCCCGCTGGGGGCACCTTACCACGATAATATAACGGAAAGACCTCCGAAATATAGACAACCAAAACGAGCTCAGAAACAGGGTGGAAAATGAAGAAGCATGATCTTGAAAAGAGACTGAGAGCTTCCTCTCTGTGCGACGAGGCAAGTGATTGACCCAGCAAGGAAATGACCATTCCACAATAAAGACTTATTAGCGTGCGCCGTCGCTCTAATCGATCGAACATCAAAGCCGCCAGGAAAACTACGCAGTATCCTCCGATATGTGGTATGATTATTGAGTGGAAAGCCAGATCTGGTAACTCAATTTGCCCAAAGACCATTGATCTAAGATGGATGTCTGAAAAGATTCGACTGAGCGTTAATGAAATAGCGGTCATTAAGACGACTCTCGGCCGGCGGTTGGTAAACAGCTCACTGAGCCGGGGTAAAGGCTTTGGCCAAGTAAGATTGCCATTCCTTAAGTCGCTCTGGCCGTCGAGAATGTATATCTGGTAGAGGTCACGCGCGGCTATAATCTCTGTGTCTCGAAGGCTCCGGAGCGACTCATGTGCCTCATGGACTTTGCCATTCAGTGTCAACCAGTAGGGAGAATCCGGTATTTGGATGGAAAGACCCAGAACGACACAGGCGGCTAACGTTGAAATGATGAAGCTCAAAAGCGCCGGGTCATAGATGAATTGGGCAACCATGCTCAATAGTGAAGACCCACTATCAACTTGATTAGGAATTTTCTCGGATGCATCATATCAACTGCGACACTCACAAATACCATTTCGCCACGGTGGAGCTCCGTCTTGATGCTTCACTTATCTCGGCGATGTACAAAAATGATGTACAGTTCAACATCGTTGTTGCAACACGAGCGAAAATGTCAGCTATAGCAAGGTACTCCCAGTCATGGCAAAGAAACCTATCAAAAATAGCCACTAGTGCGAGGGCCGCTGCCACGGAAAACGCCCGACGTCGACCCCAGTATCGATTCAAGCTTAGTGAGAGCCAAAAGCCAAGCAGTGCGGATACAAGTGGTGCAAGACTTGTGAAAATTTTAGAACTCAGACGCCAACCGTTAAAGAGACTTGAGCCATAACGTACCTGTAGAGCAGAACTGTTTCCCAGAACCCTTTCGGGTATTCCCAAAACCAGAGCCCCTCGGACCCCAAATAGGGCTGACCCTCGTCTAGTCGTGGGTAAAACACCTCGATGGGAGCAGAGGAACCTAGGAAATCGCTGAGTACAATCGTTAGATTGCCTGTGGATTTAGCTTGCTAAGCGATGAAATACTCACCAGAGGAACATAGCCGCGTAGCATATAGCTATAGAAACACTCGACCCCGGTGGTTTACCCGGTCCCTTAATACTATTTCCTTGGTTTTCCAAATATCCCATCTCTTCTTCGATCTGCGCGAGATTATGTGGATGATAGAACAGTAACGCCCCCTTCCGTATAATTTCTCGGATGTCGGCCAAGTCATATTTGGTGACGAACTCGTCCGCTTCCAGGACGATTTGAAGAATCTCAGGCCTTGTCAAATCGATGTCGCTGTAAGTACCACTAGTTAATTAGGTGCTATCTATTTGAGGAATTGCATAAGTTTTCTTACCCCGAAGACAGGCTGGTCACATCGGAATCACCACCAAGCGTATAATCAAGTTCTATCGCCGGATAACTCCGTGAAAGGCTGGCCATCATGCATAGCAGTTCAAGCAATAGAGTGAGAAAAGTGTTGTCTCCAGTCCTCGATGGATATTGAAAGAAGATGATGGGGAAGTTAAGTCTTGCATCGCCTTGTCTACATGCGCCTATGCGACAAAATACAGCCACAATGACCGAAGATCCCTGCTAAATATATTAATGTAGTTGCCTTTCTCCATGCAGGCCAAATTGAACTCGTTTTCTTCTCTTAGCTACTTTTTTTTTGATAAGTTTGATCCACCTCGCTCCCTCCAGCTATAGGAGGGAAACCCGTACACAACATGGTGCTTATGTTGCCTTGGAAGAAAGTGATCATAATGCGACAAAGGTACGGAAATCTGGGCGTTCTTTGCTAACAAAAACGTCAGGCGCGCCCGTGCGGCTGTGCAAAATTATAGCAGATGTGAATTCCTTGGAGCAGAGAACCCGGTCAAAGTCATTATATGATTGGTCTTTTTTAATCTAGTGTTGATAAAAATACATAGAGTACCTATAGGACCAACCCCCTCCCAGATAAGGCCACCCCCCCCTTACCCGATTTGGCATAAATCCTGACCGCTTCTCTTACCGCTTAACTTACCGCTTTGATTTCCAATCCACCGCTTTCTCTGTCGCTCCTCCTACCTACTCCTGCTGCTATATTAATAAGCGGAATAGTCAGTTGTACGAATAAAGCTTCGATCATACAGAAATAAGCATCTTTTTCTGATAATAAACATATATTTTCAACTATGTAAATCAAAATTCATGTATACAAATATTTGGCTGGCAGAAAATAATTCTGCCATGACCAGGTGATCAGGGTATCCCAAATCGGGTAAGGGGGGTTGGTTATATCTAAGGGGGTTGGCCTTATCTGGGAGGGGATTGGTCCTAGTGCTACCCTAAAAATACGGACGAAAGGCACTTTTGAGTATAAAAATGGCACCAAGTGTGTGGAAATAGTATGTACATATTATATTTGTTTGATCCCTGGAGATATCCGGGCCTGCTAAAAAATCGCAATTCAAGTACACAAAACAATTTTTAAATCGCATAACGGAATTCGGGATTTTCCCGATCTGTCAAATCCAAAAACTCGTTGTTCTCAGGAACAACATACGCATCGCCCAGTGCCTCCTTCTCCAGGTCGCGTCGGCGATTCTCCCGCTGCGCCACCCACCAAATAAGGCCCAGATCAAGCGTGACGACGAAGTACAGCACGCAGATAGAGATCTTAGCCGGCATATATCCTGGGGCATCCTTAGCTTGGAAGGTCTGAGGCGAGATGATGTTGCCAACAGTGTAGGCGATGGTCTGGATGCAGGACACGGTGATCTTCTTGGTCGAGCCAGCCACATTGGTACTGGTAAGTCCAAGAATTGTCGTCCATCCAAGCGGAATACCTCCAGTGAGGTAGTATCCGATAAGGGCCGGCACTTTGTTGGTTGTCGCCATCAAGATCGCGCCCACGATGGCCAGGATGTGGCCGATGATGCACCAGAAGAGTCGTCGCTGGGTCTTCATTGCAAGATAGGTCAGGCCAATCAATGCAACCACCTCATAAGCGCCCATTGGGGTGACGAGGAGAAGACTTTCCGTTTTCGTGTAGCCCATACCGGTTACCATGATGTTTCCGAAACTCGTGGCAGTGGAGTTCGGTACATTTGCCGCCATGACCCAGAAGGCGTAGAGCCAGGTGTGAGGGTCAGTGAGGGCTTCGTAAACCTGAGCCTTCTTAAAGACAGTGCTTCCGATGCCCTGTCCGTTTCCGCGAAGACGCTCTGCGTGCATCGCCTTTTCTTCCGGTGTCAAGAACTTCGCTGTGAGAGGGGAATCCGGCAGCAGGAAGAAGAAGAGGATGCCGACGATCACGGTCAGCAGACCCAGGATCAGGAAAATAACCTGCCAGCCTTTCAGAGACGCGCTAGGATCTCCACCGATGTGGGTTGCCACGCCGTATGCGACGTAGCCGCCGAACATCTGCGCGAATCCACACATGCCGAACCACAAGCCGACGCGGAAAGCCTGTTCATCCTTGCGGTACCACTGCGAGGTGAAGACCACCCAGGCGGGGATGATTGATGCTTCAGCGGCGCCCAGAAGTGTACGGCAGACCATCAGGGAGGCGAAGGACTTGCAAGCGGCCATGCAGGCCAGGATAGTGCCCCAGATCGTGACGTTGACGGCGACGTATTTTGCCAGGGGGAATAATTGCATGATGCGCATTGTGGGGAAAGCGAGAGCCAGCTGGCCGAAGAAGAAGATACTCGACACCCAGTTGAATTGGTTGCCTTGGAGGTTTGCTGACTCGCGCAGACCCGTGACGCTGGCGTAACTGATAGCGATCTTGTCGAGATATTGTAGGAAGTACACGATGCAGATCAATGGCATGATATAGAAATCGATCTTGCGCAATAGTCGCCGTGATGCGGCGGGATCGAGAACGGCAGGCGAACCAGCTTCCAGTAATTGCAGTGCTCCATCGCCTCCTGTAGTAGACTGAACATGTGGTGTTTTCTTCTCGAGATCAGCCGAAACGCTCTCGACCGGGGAAGATGTTAGGTCGGTCATCTTTGAAGTGTGATATCCTTCTAAATCGGCAGAAGGGAGAACCCGTTGGTTAAGTAGAGGCTTATGGAGCTGGCTAATATCGATAGGCTAGCACGCCATCGTCCTCCGATCCTCCTCAATAAATTTATCTTCCGTGGCAATTTCTTCGGCCATAGTGATTTGATGGGTCATAGTGGGGGCTTTCCAGCGTTACAGCGGAAAAAATATTTTTTGTCTTATGCTAGTATAAGTGGAAAGGGACAATGACCTCCAAGTCGAGTTGAATATATCAAAGAGGACATACCCTAGAAAGTATTAAGAAAGGAGAATGCCTATACAACATATAGACGGGTATAAACGGGAAGTAAGTAAACCCTTTGACGGTGTGGTTCCGAGTCAATTTTCGTCGGGCCAGGTGCCCACCACATGGCGAACTCGGCCCCAGGGTTTTCAGTCGGCCCCACTGGATAGCAAAACTCAAGTCTTTTACCCGATAGCAATTCGTAATTCAGGTATCTTTTTTATGTAACTGCCATATAAAAGGTACATGGAAACAACATATATTCTTGAAGTCATAAAATAGTAACGGAGAATATAGGAAGATTATATAACATGAATCAAGCCTCAATTGCTTGGTATTGACCATATTATAAAGTATGACTCAAGAAAATAGTTAAATTGCTGCTAGTTACTAGTATGTACAAAGTATGTTGTACTATATATATATGCGTCAGGTTCTTCGAGGTGCGCTTCATACTTTTATATAGAATTAGAACTAATTTTTCGTAGTAACTAGATGTGTACTAGAACCGTACTAGAACCACACTAGAACCTTTTGCCTCCTTAAGCTTCCAAGGTTATATCCAAAGTAGTTTATGGCCGGTGTTATGCCTATGTTATTTTGATGTACCTTTTGTATGGAGTTCCTATACAAAAAATACCTCATCCTTGAAACTTTTAGCCCTCCAAAGCAGTCATTTTGCTTAGTTCCACCACAACTTTTCATACTGAGGTCTATACATATGTACATGTATGTATTTGCAACAATTAGATTTCGTGTCATTCATGCAAACATAACCCTATCTATCCCCAATGCAATAAATATATACAAACTGCCGTATCTATGCAAGAATCAATTCCCATCCCAGCTCCTCAACAATATCCAACCAGTGCACATTTTTCCAACCCATCCCATTAAACTGAGCATCAAAATTAGCATCCTGTCTCGCCCACAAGATTTTCAACAACTCCTTCGCACGCCTAACATTCCCAATCCCAAAGTTATCCTGCAGCTTGCCCAGAGAACGAAGCACAACCTCTCTGTCCTCTACGTTCTCACTCTCACATCCGGATATAAAGAGTGGGAACGTCAGCGCCGAGAACTCGCAGTGATCGCCCAGCGGGAAAGTTTCAATGCGGGCAAGACAGCGGTAGACGGCAAGACTTTTCGGCGTGGAGATGAGAGGAAGCCAGTCTTGTCTTGAAAGAGATGGGCTCTCCTCTAGTCTAGTGTTAACAATTGTACCAGGGCTGGTGATTGGGGAGGTATCTGGATGGTTTCTGCTAATACGCTCCATGATTGAGTGGAGATAGACAAATCCTGCGTCGCGGAAACATTCAGCTACAAGTTGAAGCCGAGTTATGGTTGCTGGTGACGTCCCTTGGGGAATTATGTAGGGAGTTGAAGTGTGAGACCAGGTGATGAGGGATTCGTTTCTGAGACGGGGTGTTAGTGCAGATGTTCGGCTGGATAATCCTTTAGTAATCATGGAGAGAGACAAACATGGACGCAACGCTGAGTTGAAGAGCTAAGGTATTATCTTGGAGGGAATGCAGCTCTGCGATGCGTGCACATAATTTGAGGATTTCCTCTGTGTATCCAATATAGATATCCAATTTTGGGATACCGATATCACTATCGACAGAAATATCCGTAGAAGTGATACACTTGCGGTTGCTGATCCGGGCCATGTTAAAAGCATATACGAATCTAGATGTTGATAAATTATATTAGTCTTCGATAATGTATGTTGCATCTTGTCACACATACAGTCCACGCAGGAATTCGGCTGCATCTCGATTCATTGACGCAAATCCACCACGTGAAACGATCAGACGTTGTAAAGCATTGAGATGTACAACCCATTGCTTAACGCTACCACGCACGATCTCGTATTTGCATAGTAGACCAACTGCCAGCATGGCATCTTCGGGGAACACCTCCGTTGAACACTTGTCCAGTGCTTTGCGGAGTCCGTTGAGCGTTCCACTATAGTAGCTGACTGCAGCCGTATGTGCCCCGAAGCCTTGGGAGCGATTTGCTAGATGGAGAGCAGAGACGGCACATACGGCCTTCATCAGTAGAGGTGATGACATTGCCCTAGGAATCAACATCGACCGCAGGGGGTTATCATCGTTCTCTAGATTTGCTAGCAGTCGGGATCCCTGCTCCATGTGATATTGGAGGTAATGGGTCTCATGCGTTGAGAGATGACTGATATAACCTTGGGGCTGTGGGATTACCGCGACAGAGTCATGCAAACTAATATCCGGGCCAGGACTGTATTCCTCTACATCTTGGACCGGACTGGTGGATGCATCAAGTGATACATATTCCTGAGGAGAAGATGGAACAGACCAGCCCAGGGAAGTCCCGGATCCAGGAGATAAGCGAGTCTCAAGCCATGCATCCGAGGACGGGGACGGCGCAGGCGAAGGCAATTGAGACAGCGAGGATGCACTGAGCCGTCGGCGCTTTGAAGGTTGCATCTGTGAGAATACCTGCGCCGATGGACCCAGTGGCTCTGCCCATATAGAGCCATAGCCCTCGCATATCCGGCCTTGTTTGAGACAATTGTTGCAACTGATCAAATTAGTTATGAAATAAAAACTCAAATTATAGTACGCACCTTGGTTTGGCCTTATCACACGCCTTGCGCCTTTTTTTGCAGGTTATGCATCCTGAGCGAGTCCATGCTGTGCCAGATTGCCGTGTCCTACACTTCTTCGGGGCGGAAGTGGGCTGGCTGGGTGTGAAGGAAGACGACTGCGCCAAGCCATTCACAGGAAAGCCATTCATAGTGTCAAGGAGCGCCGGGGTCGTATGGAGATGCTCTAACAGGTACTAGTGACGGCATGCTTATCGCAAATATTGGACAAATTCAGACAAGCATGCGCTGCTGCAGCAGGTTATTGCCCGCCCAATTTATCGGAGAGTTATCGATAGCAGATTCCACTAAACTAAATTGGGAAAATTTTACGCCGACCCCACAATCACGTGATACATTCATTGTGGGTTAAAGGTCATGTGACTTCAAACTTAAATGAGATCTTCGCATGTTATCTCGACAAAGAACGGGGTATATTAGTTCAGATTATTGAGATAAATTCTAAAAACAATATTTCGAGTAGCTTGGCTGAGTCCTATTGCTCTAAAGTTTGCCTCCTATCTTCATAGTTCATCCATATTTCCCCAATCTTCCAGAGCCAAGACTCCGCTTCTCCAACGCTCCACTTGCCCTGTCTTCTGTCCTAATTAGGCAGGTACAGCCAGATCAGATCTTATGTAACCAGATAAGAACCCGGGGCCCCCAATTGCGACAAGATATTTAAGTGCAAGCATTGGGTCGAATTATCCTATTCAATACTTCTCTTGCCTCTTTCACTTGTATCTTGTCACTTCTCTGTGGACTCGTGCGCCATTTCCTCCCTAATACCTCTCACAACCACTTCATATCTCCACCTCAGAAGTGTACCCTCAACGCCGTCAAAATGGTGACCAGCCACAGGCCTCACCCATTCGACCCAATCACACCGGAGGAGATCAAGCTCGCCGTACGCATCCTTGAGGCGACCTTCCCGGGCGTCTCTCTGCGCTACAAGCGCATTGATATCAATGAGCCTATCAAGAAGGATGTTATCGCATATATCGAAGCAGAGCGTTTACGGCGGCCGCTGCCCACACCGCCTGCCCGTCTCCTCTATGTGCTCTTCCACCGTCTGGATAACGGCTCATTCTACAAGGCTCTCCTCAATGCCGATAAGCGCACCGTTGTCTATGCCAAGGAGCTTCCCAAGGAGGTTCAGGTAAGCAAAGCCCTCTCTTTGAAGCAAGAATGGGGCCAACTAACGGTTCTACTTTATAGGGCCCCATTGATGTTGATGAAATTGCCGCAATCGAAGAGATGTGCATGAAGCACCCCGCCGTACTGGCTGAGATCGAGAAATTGCAACTGCCCACGGGCGTCACTGCTTGCAATGACCCTTGGATGTATGGCACAGACAGCGATAGCGAAGACCGACGTCTCTTCCAATGCTTTATGTACTTGGTCGAAGTGGATCACCCCCAGAACAATCACTACTCTCTGCCTTGCAAATTCTCACCGGTGTTCGACGGTCTCACTCACGAGTTGGTCCGTATGGACTACCTGCCCGGCGGTGCTGATTTCGAGACTACCGCTACTCAGCCCTGGAAGCAAGTCAAGACGGTCCAGTACGCCCACGACCTCTTGGATGAACCCGTCCGCACCGATCTCAAGCCCTATATCGTACAACAGCCTGAAGGTCCTTCTTACTCGGTGGACGGAAACTCCGTCTACTGGCAGAAATGGCGCTTCAGAGTCGGTTTCAACGCCCGTGAAGGCTTGGTTATCTACAATGTTACATATGACAACAGAAACATCTTCTATCGTTTGGCTGTTTCTGAGATGACTGTTCCCTATGGAGGTAAGTGGGATCGGAGCTTTATCAACCCCAACTCCTAGCGGATCTGACTAACATGTATTTAGATCCCCGAGCCCCCTACCACCGCAAGCAGGCGTTTGATGTTGGCGACACTGGTTTTGGTATGAATGCCAATCAGTTGGCTCTTGGATGTGATTGTCTCGGCCATATCAAGTACTTCGATGGTTACAGCAACGACTCCAAAGGCAACCCACTACAGATGAAGAACGTGGTTTGCATGCACGAACAAGATAATGGTCTGCAGCACAAGCACACTAACTATCGGTCTGGTGCTGCTACCGTTGTGCGAAACCGCCAGTTGGTCCTACAGATGATCTGCACTGTGGCCAACTATGAGTACATCTTCAACTACATCTTTGATCAAGCCGCCAATGTCGAATTGGAAGTCCGAGCCACCGGCATTCTTTCCACCGTTCCATTCGACAACGAGAACGGCGAAACCGTCCCTTGGGGTACCAACGTCGGTCCTGGTGTTATGGCTCCCTTCCACCAGCATATGTTCTCTCTACGGATTGACCCTGCCATTGATGGATTTAAGAATACCATCTACTATGAGGACAGCGTCCCTATGCCAGAAGACGAGAATAACCCCTACCTTGTGGGCTATACCTCCGAGTCTACGGTGATGCGCACGTCAGGCACAGCGAACACCAGCGTGGATCGCCACCGTGTCTTCAAGATCCGCAACGACAATATTACCAACCCAATCACCTACAAGCCTGTTGCATACAAGCTCATGGCTGCTCCCAGCCAAATGCTTCTGGTCAACAAGAATGCCCACGGCTACCGCCGTGCTGAGTTCGCCACCAAGCCGATCTGGGTCACCAAGTACCAAGATGATGAACTGTATGCTGCAGGCGAGTTCACCAACCAAAGCCGCCGCGCCGAGGGCGTCGAGACTTGGGTGCAGCGTAAGGACAACATAGAGAACGAAGATATCGTCCTTTGGCACAGTAAGCATTCCTCCCCGCGACTTGGTCTGTACTGTATAACTAACAAACCCCTGCAGCTTTCGGTCTTACCCACAATCCCCGCATCGAGGACTTCCCCGTTATGCCGATGGAGCGTATCAGCATCATGCTGAAGCCAGATGGCTTCTTCAACAAGAACCCGGCTCTTGACGTCCCGCAATCCTCACAGCTGTTCAACAAATCTTCACTCCACCCTGAGGAGAAGCCTGCAGCCTGTTGTGCCGGAACTTCGTCTGCTGGGTCCAAGGCCAAGCTTTACAAGCGCATTGAATAGTTCGCTTTCTTTTGAATTCGTAGATACCCCGTACAGCAGTCCCATGACTCAAGTACATATTCCTAGTTTCAGAGGGTGGTTTTTTGTCTATATGGATCGGTTTGGTGACTTTCTTTTTTTCCCCTTCCATTTGGACTCTTCTCGGTTGGGCTTAACGATATTTCATGATTTACCATCTCAATAAAACACAAGTTTTGATCAATCCTTTCCTTATGTAATGCAAGAGATATTGACCGCAAGAATGGCAAAATACTAGCAGGGATGTAGCTATATATATCCATAGTTGGATCGCTTTGTGAGGAAACTGAATTGTATTGACAAGGGAGTAATGGTTAATAATGCGCAGAGAAAGATAAAGTAGCAGATCACCTCACGTGAAAAGGTTTATAAAACGCCGAGTTGAAACAAACCCGAAATGAAAATGCACAAGAAAATAATAGATGTAGAGCAGATGGCAATGAAAAAGAGTCAGGAGTCTGAGAAATAGGTCGCCAATATCATTCCTTCATATAATGACCGGCATACCCAGTGGCATTACCGACGGCCCGAATCAGAGCTGTGAGGAACATGGCCCTCAAACAGATCCTCAAGGTATGCACTAGGGGCTCGACCCTGCGGCGCCTGGTTCAGGTTCAAGGAACTCGTCGAGGCAGCCGCATAAGACTGGCGCTGATTATGCGAATCATGGTAGACGCCAACAGGAGGCAGGGAAGGTGACGAAAGGGCAGGATTGGGCGAGTACGGACGCTCTGCACTTGCAGCGGGGTGCGAGGTACTGGCAGCAGCATAGTATCCAGCAGGCAGGTATGTTGAGCCACGATTTCCCGTACTTCCTGTAGCGTGCAGATTGGAATGAGACCCGGCTGGACCACCACCTGCGGTAGGCGAAAAGAAAAGACCGCTGTTCGTGGTTGAGGCCCGATTGGGCTTGTAGCTTGCGCGAGTGGCAGCACCGAGTTTTTCGAGGGACACGTCGGCGACCGGGGCGGCGGAGTAGGGGACCGATCGCTTCTTTCTGCTGCCGCGGAGGAGGCGCTTGTTTTCTGAGGCGTGTAGTACGGCGGCGCGTCGCACTGAGCGGTTTACGGACCATGCGACCATTGCGCGCCAGGCGAGCAGAGTCAGGCCGATTAGCCCTAGCGCGGCGCCGACGGCGATGAACACTGTGCCTTCGGGAGCGCTGCTCTCTTTCATATATGGGGCGTTGGCTATCGGGGGTATCGTCACAATGGTGGAATTGTTTGTGGGGGTGGATGTTGATGTTGTTGTCGTGGAGACGGACGTTGTCGTACTGTCGTCGGACGTTGTGGAGGAAACGGAGGACGTGGTGGTTTCATCCATGTTTGTGCTTGTAGAAGAGGAGGCGGTGCTGGTAGTGGACCTTGGCTCCGATGTGGAAGTGGTTGAAGATGTTGTGGTCTCACTCACGGTAGAGGTGCGTTCGGTGGTGGAGGGATCGTCGGTGGTCCTAGCGGCATCGGTAGTATCCGATGTTGGATCGTCCGCCGGTACGGCAGACACTTGAACAGCAATAGCGATGACCAGAACCAGTAACAGGAGGAACGATGGCTTGGCTTTCCCAAGCCTTTGCGGTAGAACTCGCATGGCGGCGTTAAGAATCGATTAGCTGCTTCTCAGCAATGTGCAAGGTCGCTTAGAAGAGGCGCCGATCCTAACGACAGCGAGGAACAAAGAAGATTATCGATTCTTGTCAGGTCATCAATGAAATCTGGGTAGCAAGGCTAAGATATCGGCTGATTCCAAAAATAACTGGGACTTGTCTCTCGCGGGCGGATGCTGAACTCAGGCTGCGGGTCACAGATCCACAATCAACGAATTTCCATATGAGGGTGAGGCCTTGGGAATCCCTCATAAACGAGTGACTGCCGTTGATGTGAGGAAAACGAGTGTATGAAGATGACTGTAAGACAAGTCCTTAACCGAGAATTAGAAGAAACCAAACCGCGCCAACGCTAGAGAGGGGCGCCTTAGGCAAAACTGAGACCATCACCTGACAGCCCTCAAAATAAGAGGGTAAGGACTGATATTTACGTAGGCAAATCTAACATTCGAAAACCGGGAGAACATGATATATCATACATGGGAATACGAGATAATAGCCTCTGAAATCCCCAACAGAACAGAAAATCAATTACAGCAATGGAGGTGTATTCCAAAACATAATCCAACAAACGCTACAAATCACTGCGCTTTCTTCTGCACAGCAGCCGAGGTGTCCTTCTCAAATGCAGCATAGGGAATCTCAAGGCTGCTTAGGGCACTGATGCCGATATACAAGATCGCGAAGAACAAGAAGGCAGCCATGAGTCCCATGAAAATGCCTAGAAAGAGGTGAGTATAGCGAACAGAGAAATCGAAGAATTGGCAGATACAAACCTGGAGTAAAGTATTGATACTCCTCAAAGAGAGAGGTATGGTTTGATGAGCTCGAGGCGCTGCCATGCGCGGAGTAGTCCCGCTTAAGCTCCATGTGGAGTGAGTCTTGGTACGAATCTCCAGAGGCTTCGTAGATGACGGAATCCGTCTCGGGGAACTCTCTCGGCGAGGTAATGTAGAGAATAGTATACTTAGATGAGGAAGGAAGTCGATCAACGACATCGGCAAGGAAACCATCTAGCAGAGTTAGTAACAATGAAGTGTATAGGTGGACTGTGTACATACCGAATGCAGAAAGCTGCTGTGCGCGGTCCGAGTCCAGCGATAGCATGGGGAATTCGACATCAATAATCCGGGGACCCTTCTCAAAGGATGAGGGGTACGATCCAGCTTTACATTGTTAGCTCTGACGTTGTTCGAGGGTTTGCCAAGTCTGTTGGCCACCAAAGCAACTTACAGGAAGCGTCAACGGCGGTAGTTTGGGCCTTGCATTTCTTCTCCAAGAGGCTTTTGATCTCCTTGGGTTCCACCAAGCCAGCGACCTCATTGATGCTCATCTTGGACCGGATCGCGCTGTCTTTCCCAAGCATCTTTGCACCCAAGCGGGGTGCGGACTTTCGCGTGGAGTAGTCGGAACTGTGCACCCCAGGCTGGTAGACGACAACATAGTAGTCTGACGGACAGGTACTCAGAGATGATGAAAGGTTCTCGAGGAGGGAAGCTCCTGTCTGTATGTAGGCGGAGTTCGTCAGGACCCTAAGGGAGGAGCGGTTAGTTAACCGCAGCGGGAAGGCAGCCAATCAAGCATACTCAGAAGTTGAGGCGAGGAAGAACGGCGAAGTATCTCTGAAAGCATTTACGGCAGCTGCCCCAAGGGCCACTAGCCCGAACCTGCTGAGATGCATTGTGTTTGGCGTGGGGGATGGGGTCAGGTTGGCGCGATGATGTTGCCAACGGGAGGTGTCCGACTTGGCCTCGGAGGCGGTCGAGAGCCCCGACCCGCCTGAGCTTTCATATTAACTTTTTTTTTTTGCTCTTGAACGCAGTTTTAACACAACCTACGATATATAAAGGTCTACTTGTTATTTGATTCAAATACTTGAGATTTGGATTTTCATTCATCATGGGTCCTAAAGATTTGAAAAAACGCAAAATTGTTGCTGGGCCTAAAGTTGAAGAGGTCAATTTCGACGACGAAAACCGACATGAATACTTGACTGGATTTCACAAACGCAAGGTGCAACGCGCCAAACATGCGCAAGAAAATGCCGCAAAGAGATACAAAGAGGAGAAAAGAGAAGCAAGAAAGAAGGTTCGACAGTCTTCAATGCGTGCCTAAAGACATCCCACTAATTTTTCTAGATCCGAGAGGAGCGCAAAAAAGACTTCGAACAGGCAATGGCGGAGCATAAAGCAGTACTCAAGCGCATGAAGGAGGATGCTGGAGATCTCGGCGAAATGGAAGGCGAGAAGCAGGAGGAAGATTGGGAGGGATTCGAAGAGCCTCCTGCAGTGGACTACGAAGCCGAATATGTCGACGAGGATAAATACACAACAGTCACAGTTGAAGAAATGGATGCATCCCGCGAGGGTCTCCTCAAGGCCGCCAGGGGGGAGGACTCAGAGACTGAAGAAGAGAAACAGAAGAAATATGCGGCTCAGTCCACAGAGGCCGACGCAAAAGCCAAGAAGAGAAAGCCCCGGAGTGCAGCCTCAGAAGCAGCCAGGAAAAAGAAGAGGAATTTCCGCTATGAGACCAAGGTTGAGCGCAAACAAACACAGTTAAAGCAGCGGGCTGTGAAGGCGAAGAGAGCAAAGGCACGAAAAGGTGCAGAGGAATGAGAAAACCACATCTTGAGAGAGATACGAGATCACATGTGCATATACTCGGCTTCAAGCAATTATTTGTTAGTCAATTTTACGGGTCACAGGCGTTTTACATTATGGAAAATGCAACATTGAATTAATGTGCAGGAAATGGTAGACACCGTAGTGCATGTTGTATGATGAAAAGTTATTGCTACCAAAGCGCTGTATCTGGCCCATGTAGTTGGGACCAGCGTAACACAAACAATCACAGCATGAAACAGCAGACAAGCCAGAGAATGGAGCTTGTATTCAACCAAATGTTTCCCGGTATCCCACAACCATCACCAGTTTGAGCCAGCTTAGATGTCGGCCATCTGGGATGCAAGGTCGTCAAGCTCCTTCTTCACACTGCTGTGTTCCTTGATGGCATCCTCGTATCTTTGTTCCAGCTTGGCATGCTGGTCCTCGAGTGCCTGCACCTTCCGCTCGTAGTGGCCAGCCTTGATATCCGTCTGGCGGAGCCTGAGTGCACAAAATGTCAGTACTTAATTGTGAAAGAGCCGGTGGCTAGTCGTACTTCTCGTTTGTTTCCCGAAGAGTCTTGTCATTCTCCTCAGCCTCCTCCTCAAGGAGCTGCACTCGTCGCTGCAGAGCCTCGTTCTGGGTGTCGTGCTGGAGGCTCTGGCTGGCAGCATCCTTAGCCTCCTTGAGGGCGGCCTCTGCCTTCTCAACCTCTTCCTCTAGAATCTGGTTGCGGTGGTTGAGCGATGTGATCTCTTGTTCCTTTGACAAATTCTCCTGTTCCAATGTCTTGACCTTGGCCTTGAGCTCATCGACAAGCTCGTGAGCTTCATCAGCCTCGGCGCGGAGGGCGACCATGCGCTAGAAGGAATACCAACCTGTCAGCAAAATCCTGAACCGGAAGGTGATAGGACGCTGGGGGGTTATGCATATATGCATATGACGAGGGGGTGTGTGAGTTTTGGAAGCAGTGAAGCTACCCCGCCGGCAGGGGTCTTAGTGACTTACCTCCCTAATCTTGTCCATTTTAGTATTGAAAAGGGAGTAAAGAAGAAAATATGTATTGTTGAAAGGAAGAGTAGTTAGGCTTTCGCTCAGCGAGAAACCGGGCGAGTGTTGGATGGATGTGTGGAAGATGATTTGGGGAGAGTTTTGGGAGAGAAGGGGAGGAATAATGGCTGACTAGTGAATAAGTAGATAGTACCAGAGCAATAGGTTGTAGCTCCACTATAGGGGAAGTACCGTGTACTTACTGTGTACCAACTGCGTAACCATGGTATGGTTAGGTACACAATCCGCTCTTTCTCTACACCAATCACCGCCCAAGGATCGCCGCGTCTCCACGGGCAACCATTCGACAACACCTGCATCTAGAACTCGTTCAGGCTCTTTGACACACCTAAGATAATAACGCGACTTGGACTTCTTCAATACAGTGCATGAGAATCATCAGTTTCAATTCGCCACTATGTTGGCTCTTCGCGACCAGGAGAACCTGGTAAACACTCACCAGACCGCCGCGGCAGCTAAGCCTTTGAACCAAAGCAAGCACCTAGCACCCAAGACACCCGGCAAGCAGCGAAATGACGAGAACAACCCGTTGGCATTCGGAAATCGCACCGTGAAGGGCAATAAGAATCGCCAAGAGAATGGAAAACTGGCCAACGCGTTTATGACTCCGATGGGTACGCGTGCTCCGCGAAAATTGGAATTTTGGAGATGAAGGTGGGATGATGACTGACTCGCTCTCTGGATTGTAGTGAAGGATCGTGCTCCACTGGGCATGAAAACAACCAATCTCAAAGCCAACAACCTCCAGACGCCTGCACCCTTCGGAGGAACCACCAAGCAACCGAAGACAAACCGCAGACAGTCGACTGCCCAGAAGATCAGAAAAGCTGCTCCAGCGGCACAACAAGCTCAAGCCAAAGTCCACATTGACGCTGTTGTGGATGATGTACCGGATATTGAATACATGCCGCCCAAGCCTAGAGGTACGCTAAGCACAACTGAAGCTGCGAACTCAGAAGCTCATTTCTAACGAGCTACAGATCTTCCGGACCTTCCAGACGACGTGACATACGACACCACATTCCCACAATTCCGACCAAAGAATCGAGCTCTGGGTTTGGAGAGTGTTTACGGAAAGCAAGAAGTTGGCAGGGATGGACTCACAGCGAAACAGCGCAAATTCAAGGAGGATTCAGCGGCTTGCGACAGGATGGTGGATGATATGATCATGAAACAACTCGAGGACATTGGTTTTGAGAGCTCTGGCGAGAGCGAGTCCGCAAAGGCACTTCAGCCAAATGCCATCCCCCCAAAGAGACCTACAACCACCAGACGACAAACTCGCAGTGTGTCTACGCTTCGAGCTCGTGATGCCGCCGCGGCGCTTGCTGGATCCCAACCGAATGCTGCACCTCGGGTGGCTCTTACCCCCAAAACTCGGGTGGCGTCGTTGGCATCGTCACTGGTTATGCCTAAGAAAAGCGCCAGGGTCCCATCTAACCCTTCTTCCATGCGCAATACTGCTGCTTCTGTCAACTCTCGCACGACCGTTGGGTATTCCAAGGGACGCAGTGTATCGTCTACCCTGAGGGATAAACATTCCCAAACACAGAGGGCCCCGAGCTCCCAGGTCCTGTCTCCCGAAATCTATATGCAGCTGTATGGACCCCCTCCACTGGATTCGGAAATGTGGATTCGTTGCAAAGCTGCTGGATGCTTTGACGCCCCAGACGAGATCACCCAGGAACCGGAAGAACCACTGCCTACGTTTGAGGAAGATGATGAGGCCCGGAGCTTCCAGCTCAGTTTGTAGGGGTACATTACGAAAGATACTCAGCATCGAAAGGGGACTACAATTTTACTTCAGTATGGTTATTCATTTGTTATCTGGAGATTGGAAGTTATTCATAGGGTTTGGCAGCAAGCCGAAGGATCCCGGCGTTATGGAATAGTGTATTAATGTACTTGCAACTGGATAGGTTGCAGCCCTTCAGCCGCGGATCACATTGTTTCAGGAGTTCTCCACTCTCATGTTGATCCTTTGCCAAGCCGCAGACAGGCGAGATCGCACATGCATTTCTGTCAGGGACCACGTAGGCAGTACCGGATTCTAGCGATGTGGACCTCCTCTGTCATTCACTCCTAATGGCTGGATATTGAGGTGATTCACAGGGCTGCTCACTAAGAACTTTATGAATGAGACAAAATCCACCATCCTACATATGCAGCTAATCCCTGCAATAATAGTTTACAAAGTACGTCAGTGGACCCAATAGACAGGGGAGTAGAGTAAACTCGGTGTACCTGACGGGTACCAGGTTCTCAGCTAGCCCGCCCATGGAACTAGAGGTACCAATCACGTACATACTTCTAGGTACCTTGTTCTAGCCCACACCGCCCCGGAATTGCCCACATGTTATTTACTCTCTGGCCTCTCCTTTTTCCCTTTTCATTCCTCTCAGACGCTTCGCCGCCATGACGACCATTCATCCGGACTCCATTGATGAGTTCGAATACATCCAGACTCCGGCTGCTCCCGAGCAGACCAAGCCTGCCTTCGACTGCGGTGTCCCGACTACCCTGGTAAGAGCACAGCTAGAGCTATCCGTAAGGGATATTTGGTGATCCCAGGAGCTAATTTACTTCTTTTACTATTCAGTACCCGACTATTAAGAATGCTCCAGTCCCTGCCGACTCACCCGGCAGCGATAGCTTCTCCAATGGCTTGATGATCGCTCTGGAGATCATTGTGCCTTGGTGGTTGGCTCGCCAGGTTGGCGGAGGTTTCTATACCACCATCTTCTTTGCTCTCTTCACCTCTGTCCCCGTTCTGGTGGCCTTCTGGGCTGTCTCTTCTGCTGTTTCTCCTCGCAAGACCGAGAAGGCCAAGTACTGTGGTCGCCCCGTCGAGCACTATCTGCAGTTCCACAGCGACCACGACCGTGCTACCTACCGCGGCAAGAGCAAGATCCCCATGGAGGTCTTCTACGAGAAGTACTTCAATGGTGAGGTTGACTTCAAGGGCGATGCTCTGGAGTGCCTCGAGTACCGTCATGATTGGGCCAACTTCAAGTTCACCACTGGTCTCTTTAAGCACTTCCTGTTTGGTTTCATCCCCGAGATGCTGATGCACACCCGTTCCCAGGGTAAGCAAGTTTCCGCGCACTTCCGGTGGCATGGTATTTCTAACACTTTTTCCAGATGAGGAGCAAGTCCGTGATCACTACGACCGAGGTGACGACTTCTACGCTTGGTTCCTTGGCCCACGCATGATCTACACCTCCGGTGTTATCAGTGATATTAACAAGGAGGAGACCCTCGAGGAGCTCCAGGACAACAAGCTGGCTATTGTTTGTGAGAAGATTGGTGTTAAGCCCGGTGACAAGATCCTCGATCTTGGCTGTGGCTGGGGAACCCTCGCTAAGTACGCCTCGGCTCACTATGGTGCTCACGTTACCGGTATCACTCTTGGCCGCAACCAAACCGCGTGGGGTAACAATGGTCTCCGCAAGGCTGGTATCGAGGAGGATCAGAGCCGCATCATTTGCAGTGACTACCGCGATGCTCCCCGTATTGAGGGTGGATACCAACATATCACTTGTCTCGAGATGGCTGAGCACGTCGGTGTCCGCCACCTCTCTTCTTTCTTGACTCAGGTTTATGACATGCTTGATGACAACGGTACTTTCTTCCTGCAGATTGCTGGTCTCCGCAAGTCCTGGCAATACGAGGACCTCATCTGGGGTCTTTTCATGAACAAGTACATTTTCCCCGGTGCTGATGCCAGTACTCCTCTCGGTTTCGTTGTGGATCGCCTCGAGGGCGCTGGCTTTGAGGTCAAGGCTGTTGACACCATTGGTGTGCACTACTCTGCTACTCTCTGGCGCTGGTACCGGAACTGGATGGGCAACCGCGACAAGGTCGAGGCCAAGTACGGAAAGCGCTGGTTCCGCGTAAGTTTTCCTCACGACTCTCTCTCACCGAGTTTTCTGTCTCAATGAATCCAACTAATCACTCTCTTCTTAGATCTGGGAGTACTTCCTTGCTTCCTCCACTATCACTTCCCGCCAGGGTGGTGCCACTTGCTGGCAGCTCACCCTTGTTAAGAACATCAACTCCACCCACCGTATTGATGGCATCCCCACTCAGTACGGTCTTGCTGGAGCTCGACAGAGCGCCATCGATCGTGCCGGCTCCCTTCCCAGGGCCCACATCGTCAAGAAGGACCTTTAAAGGATTGATGTACAATCTTGGCCCTCATCTGCTTCTCCGGGTGTCCATATCAGCCCCACTCGGACTGGTATGACGTTATTTGAAAGGGCGAGACTATATACGGATGTAGTTCCACTGTGAACATATTCAAACGTTTAACAAGCATGTATGACATGAGTGACATGACATGGGGTGAGGTGAGGGGAAGCTGAATTGCATGAGTGATGGTGGAAGAAGAAGACGAAGAAGAAGGCAGGAGATGGCAATGGAAGAAGAGCATGGATAGGTCAGAGGCCTATTTGGCCGGTCCGCCTGGATATTTATCCCAATATTTATCTGTGGTTGTGTTTTTATTTCTTATGTCTCACCTTGTCTTGGGAGGGTATTTGCACGAAGTCCACGAGTCTATCTTTGTGATATTATTTTTAGAAGTCAATGGGCTATTTTCTTTGGATCAATATTTTTGGCTTCTCCCTCGCCTTGAAATTAGTACGATTGTCTTCCACTAGGCATATTCTACACATGTCCGGTTATGAGTTGGTTGAGTCTCTCATCCGCTGAGAAGCTCGCAAAATAGTACAGTAGAATTTTAGGGATTCTCGTTTCGGCTAGCATTGACTCTAATTGAGATCATCTAACAAAGATATGTGCCTATTAACTAAAAATTATGTCTTCACTCATTAGGTTCGTCAATAAAACTCCAAAACCATAAACGCAAGCCACAAACACCAATTAGATTTCTCGACAGCTAAAGGCCGAGAAGAAACGAAGAAAAAGAAATAAGAAAAAAATCCAATAGAACATTGAATAAATGGTATATGTAAAAGGGGAAACAAAGGTAGGGTAGATGCAGACGTCAGACCGGTTAACCCTAGGTAAATAATTGGTACAGTGAAGAGTAAACAGGAATCCAGGGGAAAAGAAATTCATGCTTGCCTCAGGCCTAGAGGCCAAGTCCAAGGAGTCTAGGAAATCATTGTGTATGAGGTTACACATATTGCTGAATTGGGCCCCCAAAAGAAAAACAATAGGCGTACAAGGGCGTGTGATGAGATGATTCACACGCGCCGGAAAAACAAAAGGAAACAAGAGCCATGCTCAGGCCTCATCTATCGCTGCTCTAGTATTGGATTGGGTAGGGATATCCGGAGTTAGGTTAGTGGGAGCAAAATATGCCCGAAGACTCAACCGTTATGTTGGGCTGTGTTTGGTTGAGAGGGGGAGGGGTTTTTTTTGTGTCTCATTCGCGTTCCAAGTCGCTTGAGGTTATGATCAAAGATGAAAGGTTGAGGTAAATTTAGTCCGCGTCGAATTTGTGGTTGTATTCGCCGAGGAGGACGTCATCTGGGCCTGGGCCATGGGTATTCCGAACTAGTGCACAAAAGCGTGAGTCGAATTGTCCGAGAACCAGGATAGTGGCGCGTGGGTCACACGGCTGGGATCAGAGGGGGAGTGTGGGTGCGTAGAAAACTTACTCCATTCAGCTTCAGTCCGGAAGAATACCCACATCCAGCGTCGCACAATTTCAAGGAACATGAGCAACCAGACTCCACTTTCGCTTTCCGGGATCCAGCCGAGGCCTGGGATAATCCGCCAGAGCCATGAGAACCGAAGAGCCAGATCCGCGATAATGACGTAGTGATATAATTTATCGGATGTGAAGTAGCGGTACCGACGGAGTCCGTATGGGTGATCGCTGCCGTAGCGGTCCGGGGAGAAGAGAGTCATATCCCAATCCTTGACAATATCCCACCAGAAGGAGTAGGCGGAGTTGATAAAAGAGACGATAAATCTGTGGGGTGTTAGAGAAAGGCATAGACACACGACACATGAGGGGTAAAATCTTACAGAAGGCGCATCATGCTAACCTCGCTATATCCATGTAGCTCCAAGGGATTGTAGTTGCGCATTTTGGAGGACATCCAAATAACAGGGAACGCAGATGCATACTTGAGAGCGTTGGCCAAGTGCTGGTTTGCCTTTTGCGTCTCTCTCCGGGTGACTGTGCGCCGCGCACGAATATATTCAGTCAAACACTGACGAAGACGAATCAAGCTGGGGACAGCCACGATAATCGGAACGACGTTTGCACTTCCACAGGCCCGGTTGGGCATGGAAGTAGCGGTGAGGCCATCGATGAAGTACATGCAAAAGCTGATATAGATATCTCCAAACACACGAACATAGCTAGTTAGGGCATCTGCCAGCAGAATGTCACCAAACTTGCCATCCTGGGACTCGGCCAGACCACCAAGACTGATCCGCTTGAGGGTAAGGAGGAATCGGATTCGGCCGGAACGGGAGGCGCGGTTGAAGGGCCAAATCAGAATAAGGAGGAGGATAATGAACACCGACTGCGGTACCCAGTCCAATCGTTCCACCAATTCAGGGGACCGCTTGGTGAGTATCCAGAAGACAATAAACCACAGGGCAAGTGGGATGGTGAAGCACGTGGCCAGGCGATAGACGGCGGTGTGGTGCGGGCGTTGCGAGGGGGAGGTGCGGGCAGGATATTTGATGAGCGCGGGAACGTCCTGCAAGTATGGGGAACCTGGTTAGCGTTCGGGAATACGATGGCTAAGTGAGGGGTGCCACTTACAATGTTGGCTTTTGCCAGGTATTGAAGATTGAGACCCCATCCCCAGAAACCTAGCCCCTTGTGTTAATATGCCTAATCGAGACTCAACTCCTCAGGCAGGAATGTCACCTACCAGCGACCAAGAGGGTAGCTATACGTAGTGGCAATGGGAAAATCAACCCAAAGGTATCCAATTGAGGACGTTGATCAACCGCCATTATTCCATTGATCAGGGGGGGGAGAGACAAGAAGAAAAAGAAAAGGCTAAAGTAACAAAGAAGCAAAGAACCCTGTGGATATGAACCAAAAAGAATGACTAAGGGTGAGGTCGACGATCTTGAAACGGAAGTTGAATCTTTTCCCACCTACAGAGGTGACGCTGGGCAGTTTAATAAGCGGAGAAGGAGAAACTTGGAATACGGCGTCTGGACTAGTCGAAGCCCCCCGATGGTCTGGAACTCCACACAATGTCGAATTGGATATAATTAGAATTAATTAGAAGCACATTTCAGGAGAAGACAATGAAGGAAAAACCGATTTAACTGTCAAAAGGGAAACGTATAGATGGCATCATAGTACATTTAGTACATTAGGTAATTACATGCATTGATGTAGCCGTGGAGTTCTCTGTCGGCAAAGTCGCAGGCAAATGTCTTTTCAAGAGAACCTTGGAACTCGTGGACATTGTGTACGTAACCCCTTTCTGCACAAAAACACAAAAAAGGGGTACAAAATGAGGTACATTCAGCCACTGCAAGCCTCCCGCATTCGTCTCTGACAGATCCAGGTACACTTGGAGTACCTTTTTGACGTACCCTAAGGACGCTTGCGGCCTACGGTACGTAATAATTCGGTATTTAACCGTAACTGGTAACATCCGACGTGATACTTAATTCAATCATGTGACTTATGTCAGCCAAGTCACATGATGCGATTCTATACCGAGGCATGACATCCGAGGACAACTCCGGGGAAATTGTTATCTCCACCAGATATGAGAGCTGGGGAATTGAACTTATGACTCGTCTTGAGGGATGAATTAAGTGAGAAAATATCATCCACGGTCACACTCAACCTTAAATCTCCCCATCAACAATCTACAATCCGACATGGCGGACGACGACTCCCATCTCTCTCTACCAACCCCGAACTCAGCCCTCGGCTCATCTACCTCACACTTCTACCCCTTCGCAACCTCACCAGACATCATCCGCTCGCATGAAAAGGATGCATACCTCACGGGCACCCTAATCCAACAATCCCAAGGGATCATCCGTGCTCTCCGCGGCGCCCGATACGCCCACACCCACTCCGACGCCATCAAGCACCTCACAGAACTCCTCTACTTCACCCTCACAACCGCCATCGGCAACCGCACCCTAGGCGAAGAATACTGCGACCTTGTACAACTAGAAGACGACACACTTCAATTACCGTCAATCGGCCGTCGCGTGGGATACATCCTAAGCACCATCCTAGTACCATGGACACTGCAGCGGCTACTACCTGCACTGCGACAGAGAATGCGCAACAAGCTCGAGCGCAACATCGCACGCCAGCAGTCACGAGAGGCGCAGCAGGCTGGCCTACTCAACAAGCCCCAGTTCTCAACTACCCCGACTAAACGGCCGTTCTTTACGAAACTGCGCATCCAGCAGTATATCCTTGAACACCTGGACTCCATCACATCCCTGTCGCCCATTTATGCGCTGAGCATTGCGACATTCTATTTCACGGGCTCGTACTACCATCTCTCCAAACGGCTCTGGAGACTGCGCTACGTGTTCACGAAGAAGATCGAGGAGAATGAGCAGCGCATCGGGTATGAGGTTCTGGGTGTGTTGCTTGTTCTCCAGATCACTGTGCAGGGATTCCTGCACGTCCGCAAGCTGGGCGCCAGCATGAATGAAGACGAGAGCTGCTCTGCGGACGCGGGCCAGTCTGCCCCGGATGGAGCTGTTCTCGCTTCCATTCAGAACCCGTCTGCTATTCCTCTTCTTCCTGCGTCTGTGCCTCTGTATGATCTAGAGGAGGATCCTAGCGCCATCTCGTGGATCCCAGAGGGCCAGCAGCGAAAGTGCACCCTGTGTCTGGAGATGTTCAAGGATCCTAGTGTTACTACCTGTGGACATGTCTTTTGCTGGATTTGTGTTCGGGATTGGGTTCGGGAAAAGCCTGAGTGCCCGCTCTGCCGACAGGAAGTCTTATTGTCGAAGGTGCTTCCTCTGAGAGGGTAGCTATGTGGTTAATTGAGGTAATAAGCTCTAGGCCAGTGCTTTTATTATCTTCACGGGTTATCGCTGAAGAGATTGGCGCGGTCGATAGTTACATGTATATGCACTTATTTTGGATAAATATATACCCCTTTTCTTCTATTTCATTCAACATGATTTTCATGGACTAATGTTCGATTAAATCTTGAAATAGAGTACAGTATTTGTAGCCAGTTAATATACATTCCCTGTACAATATAGAATATACGTCGTTTCAGAAGAAAAGACACATAGGATCACACCAAATGAAAAAAAACCAAAAAAAAGCAGAAGACTGCTCCGGACCGAAGGTTCATAAACATATACTCTAGAACTTTCGCATAATAAAAGGAGTGGGTATTTAGAGGATAAAAATAAGTACATGTATGCATATCTACATGGTCAGATCAATGGGTCCTCCTCGCTATTGACTGCTTGTCCAAGTGGAAGAATAATGGGCTGATTGAGTTCAGCGTACGCGGGACGAGGCGGCACTGGCTGTATGGCTAGTCTTTTCGCCTCCATGGTATGAAACAGACGAACGCAAGCATAAGGATCAGTAGCAGCATCTATAGAAAAAAAAGACAAGATTAGCATTTAAGAGAGATTGTGCAGTTCTCCAACTACTCACATTGAACCTGACGATAATTCAAAGCCCGGGTCCAATCACCGCAACGGACATCATCACTTTTCTCGAGAGGAAGACCGAAATGCTCATTGATTTGTTCGCTGAGATTGACGCCCCTCTTGTTCACCAATTTGGGATTGTCTTTGCCGTATTTGATCAGTTTGTACAAATGGCTGAGCTCGAAGGTGGCTCTGGCATCGATGCCGAGGTACTTGCGCAGCCGGGTGCAGTCTGCCTTGATTGAAACGCCCACTTTCATGACATCGGGCGATTCAATGAGGCGTTTCAATGACGGGGAAACTAAGTCCTCCAGAGAACGTGCAGGCTTGAAAAGTGCAACCTGGAAGATGGCGATACGCTCCTCGTTTGCGATTTGGATCACCGAGACGTTGCTCTGAATGCTGTCCCAGCCGGATGCTTGAGCTTTCCATTCCATGTCGAATCCAATGACTTTGCTCCCGAGGAAGTGTTGCACGGCTTCTTCGGTGCTTTGAAGGGTCCGGCAATAATGCACGATGAGTTTCCGGCCATCGGGACTTTGCTGTGAACTATGGCTCCAGAATTGGGGGGTTGTAGGATTGGCACTGGAACCTATATCTGAAGATGGAGTTGGTTCATCTGTGGTAAGATTTTCTTGACTGGATCCTGGTACATCTCCGGTCGTGGCATCTGGGACCGAGGACATATGGTTTTCAAGTGGCCGTTCAGGAAGGGAATCATCACTGACACCGTCGCTTTGCTGAGGTTTTGTTTGGTAGAGAATTGCATCCGTGCTGTACTTTCTCCCATGATTCCGTTCTGGTTTAGCGAATGGTTTCCTCGGCAGCATAGTTGCCGGTCGTACTCCATTGTGTATCCGTGTGCCTGGGTATTCATTGCTGGTTCCTCTAGGAATTGGGGGACGGACATTATCAGGGCGTGGCTCCCTGCTGAGGCTCACCTCTTTGCTATCCGAGAGCATGGGTGGTGACTTCGGAAGGACCTGGCTCCCTTCCTGAGTTCTCTGACTAGGAGGCGTATAAACTAGGGATGGTTTGAATTTAGGCGTGTCGGGGCTCCTGGATTTTGTTTTCCAGGGTGTGGGCGGTGGCTTCGGAAGAACCTGGCTCCCTTCCTGAGTTATCTGACTAGGAGGTGTATAAACTAGGGATGGTTTGAACTTAGGCGTGTCGGGGCTCCTGGGTCTTGTCTTCCAGAGTGTAGGTGATGGCTTGTGAATAGCGTGACTGTCCTGACTGGTAGGCGCGTCAACCGGGAGTGGCTTGGATGTAAGCTTGCCCTCTGTTGTGCGGTCCTCGGCTTTTATTGCTGAAGGATCGGATGACAGTTTGTGTCCAAGGCGGCCTTTCTCTTCACTATCTTGGCTAACAGCTAATTTGGCTGCATGCTGTCGTTTCGCTTTCCGCTCCAGCCTTTTTCTTCTCATTCTGAAAGCACGCTTGGGGCCCGCCAAAAGCTTCCTGTGCTCCTCAATGTCCTGACTGGGACGCGGAGACTCGGGAAGGCCCGACTGTTGTACTTTGGTATATCTCGAAAGACGGCTTTGAGATAATTTGAGAAACGCAGCCTTGGAAATGGAAGATTTGGATTCCGCTCGTCCCTTCTTGCGCCTGGGCTTCTTCGTCGAAGAACCTAGTTCTAAAAACCGGAGGTTGGCGAAAGGACCCTGCTGAAGCGTGCTCTCAATCTTGCTGTGGATGGATTCCCACTCCTGTTGCGTTTGTCGTATGGCGGTTAAGATGACATGGGCGTCAGAAGTGATCTGACCCATGCGATAGGTCCATTGCTTGAAGCCATGGATATTCTGGCTCATTGGATTGGGGACTTCGAACTTTCCAGCAAGATAGACAGGTTCTCCCGCCGAGTGTAGCAAGGTTTCCGATCGGAGACGCAGCCAGTTTAAATGTACATACTCACCGATCATCCTTCGAAGATCGCTGCGATGTTTCTGGAATTCTATGCCCCAGTTGGGAATGTTTAAAAGAGCCTGTCGCAGATTTTCCCGAGGGAGCCAATCCCACAATGCCCCAACATCGCCTCTGAGGCTGCGGTGAAGGTACCAAATTTCATTTTGAAGCCGCCATGTCATGACATCGACCATGCGCAGTGGCGCTATTGCATCCAACTGTCGCCAGTAGATATGTAGCTCAGGGCTGCGTGCTGGTTTTGGCATCCAAAGACGCTTGTATTGGAGATAGATCTTGTTGGATATCAGGAGTGGACTTTTGTTGAAGTATTCGCTCGCCGGTGAGTTCTTTGGGGCCCCCAGTGCAAGCGCAAGTAAGATACGCCTGTCAGTAGCTTTAGGGGAACGTGCGGACGAAGCCGCCACCATGAAATCCTGTAGATTCCATAGTTCACTTTGTCGAAGCGGATGGAAAGTCATTTGCCTTCTGAGCCAGAATGAACGATGCTCATGTGCACATTTACGAATATCGGCATAACTCTGCTCAAAGATTTCTTTGTACTGACCAAACACCCATTTATCGTTGGGGCGAAGGTCCGAGTATCTTTGAAGCTCCGAGCACAGGTTCCTGATGGAAATATCTTGTGTCTTATTGGATCGCAGTCGCAACTCCTCGTAGTTCGTATGAATCAGTTCACTTTGATGAAGAACTCGATCAATTCGACTTCTTGATGTATCCTGAGGTCTTAGGTAGTCGTTGTTGAGCGTGTCTCTCAACTCACGCATGGATTCCTCAAAAATGGTGATCTGAGATTCCAAGTGTGTTATTTGAGCTGTACGAACAGCCTTCTGCCAACCACGAATCGTCTGGTCGTATATTTCCAGCTTTCTTTCCCATTCTGGAGTTCTGGCAAAAACAATGCAGCAGAAATCATGATCAATCATTCGACCGGTATTCTTTGCTTTCGCGACAGCAGTCCGTATTCGGTCTAGTATGGAAGTTGAAACACGTTGCACTTCAGCGATATACTTTTGAGTGGTTTTTTCTGCTTGTAGAACTGAATCCGTGGCTTCTGAGATCATAGTTTCAATGTGTGCGCGGATGAGTTTTGTCCGGCTTTCCCATTCAGTCACACATTTTTGAGTGGTTTCGATGCATTCCTGGGTGGCCTTGGCGGATTCAACAACAAGGTCATCGATGTATTTGTACTTCAATTCGATAAAACTGTCAACAAATTCCTCATATGGAGGCAGCGAATTGAGCTGCCTCATAATGCGCAGACGTCCAGAGACTCGATCTTTCACTTCTACTCGTAACCGAACCAAGCTGCCTAAGTCTCGGTATACGATAGTAGAGCGCGCACCAGCCGGCCGGTCTGGAAATCGTTGCACGGGTTTTTGGTCTGGGACTTCGTCGACTTCATCCCATATGCTTTCTTTGCGAGGAGTATTGGAAAAGTTCCGCTTTGATTGGGAGGTCATGGGAAGAATGTACAAGGAGCTTGTATTCGGTAAAGACACATCTCGGAGCCTTGAGACAGATCGTGTGCAAGTATCGAGGCCACTGTAGTTTAGTTAGAAAAGATAGCAATTGAAGCTGGACATAACAGAGCGTGCTTACCGCCTCCGCTCGGAGAGCCCCCATCGCAGTGGTCCATCGAGATGACCGCTATGTTTTGCAATCGAAGATCGGGCCTTCCGACTTGCTAAAATACTTGGCCGTATTGGCATAATGAGTGATAAGCATAGTGGACCAGCCTGGAGCCCCACGAAACAATTGGATATGATTGATTTGATAGACAGCAAGTGGTGGCTCAATCTATGGGCAATCAACGAAACAGCACGCAGAAAATCAATTAAGGGTCAGAATAGGATAGCGCCGGTGGACTCCATGGTGCGGAGCTCCAAACGCGCAAATCAACTTTGAAAGTTGCCTCTAAACCTTATTTGGCTTAGTGGCTCGGGCCGGATTATCAGAGGTGCCGAGCGACGAACGATCGCGTCCTTTTCTATATCGAACTTGCCCACGCGGAATACACGATCACCTTTGTTTTTAAATCAAGACGCTATCCAAGACAAAAATTGATCAAGCCCCTATATTTTCTTTCTCCTGACATCATGGCTTCTCAACTGCTTCCTCTTGGTCCGTGCCTAATGATCCAAGGAAGCCATGACCCCGCTAACTCGTTTGATAGAGCTCATTGACAAGTGTGTTGGCTCCCGTATTTGGGTGGTTATGAAGGGTGACAAAGGTCAGCTAAATTTCAATGGTTGATAATGAAACTACACCAGCGTACTAATGTTTCTGAAGAGTTCTCCGGGACCTTGCTCGGATTTGATGACTACGTCAGTGAGTATCCCTGTATGAAAGTGTGGCAATCTCACCAGGCACTAATTTCGACTTAGACATGGTTATGGAAGATGTGACAGAGTTGTGAGTGCTTTGATGTTTTGCTTTTCCAGCTTTGACTCCCCTGTTTTATTTCTTCCTGCGTGGCCATGTTTTTTTTGCCTTGGCTCCTGCGCGCCTAGGCAGTGTCCAATGCTTATTGGTCTCCCTCTGGACTTTTTAACTTTATATTTGAAAACCCGTCAAAATTCTCGAAAAGTTGCTGCTGTGATTGCTCCTCGGACTGGACTGACTTCGTCTCAGCGATTACACCGGTGCTCAAATCAAGCTCCCCAAGCTCTTGTTGAATGGAAACAACATCTGCATGGTAAGTGGAATTTGTCTCGAGGTTGTCTAGGTGCTTTATTGACCCTTCAACCAGTTGATTCCCGGTGGTGAAGGCCCCGTGGCAAGCTCATTAGCTTGAGATACCCAGTTCTTGCCGCAACGAAAATAAAACTTTGTGTATTAATGATACCGAATGCAACGAGATAGAACAAAATCGTTGAATGAATGAACCTCCATGCCAAGCGTGCTTTTGGTCTTTTCAGCTTTATCCCGACTCTCAGGTCATGCGTAGCGTTAGCGTTGAATTGAGAAGTAAGACCAGGAAGGACCTGCCTCTTAACAACACCCAAGCGAGGTTGTTTTTCGCCTAACAGGATATTCATCACGATAGAGGCCAGCCACGATTCAGGGGCGTCTTCCACACTATGCAGTACAGTTCGCCTACAGGGTCCAGCTGCAGCTCAATGATATGCGAGATAAAGCATGCATGAACTAGTCCACAAAAGACCTCGGAACAACTAGGGGTCCAAGATAAGCTCTCCAACCACAAGTCTCTATCTGAAATCAGGTTATTAACGGCTAATCCCGGTCGCCGCCCGCTATTTACAGTTTAAAGCCGGCTATTACAAGCAGAGGCTGCTGCAATGTGTTGATCGGGCAATTACTTGCAGATATCATGATGTACGATGTACGGAAACTGAACTCCAAATCCCCTTCATTGCACCACCTTCGTGTTAGAATGTTAGTCGATCGACCGATGTCAAGTGGAGATGAATGGTGTTGAACCTTGACCAGTAGCTAAGTATATGTAGCTAGGTGGAATGTGATCATCTGCGATATATTATTCGATATATAGCTCCTACTTACTCGGTAAAACATACTCCATAAATATGGACACAGACCCAATACTAGCGGTATGCTTTATAAATCATCCCTCGAGACTCGTTAGCTTGCAATAAGATGCATATTGTAAGAGGCTTTTTAGGAGCCAATTTAAAGCAAGCTAAGCTGCCTAGAAAGGGGACCCGTGTCACGGCGCATACGGACTTACAGGGTCGGATTACAGATGCAGTATCAGCTGTCAGCGGATAGTCATGGATATTACAATGTTTCACTGCCACCATTTCCTCAAGCTGAAAGCGGCGTTTCTTTGTGCCGTCTTTTCCCCAGATTCTAACGTGTGGAAACTGTTACCTAACAGAATGTCACCCCCGCATTTTATATGCACCTACCTATATAGGTAATGTCGACTTCAGATGTACATTGGATGTTCATTTGCATAAATTAAATTCTAAGTGTTCATAGAGGTTGTAGCTGGGCCTTCGAGTGAGACAAATCTCTGGGATACCAAGCGTTTTATGGTCCTAAAATGGGAGAGCTCCGACTTGGCTGTCGGGAATTATGAAGATGCCGAAAAAAAGAATTATTACAAAAAATGTAGCTATATTGTATTATGCACGGAGTACTCCGTACATTAACCTGGGGTAATTTTAGGCCATTCAAAGGTGGCGAAAATCCCAATGCACATTGCGTGCTGTTTGGCCCCCAACTCATAGGGGTTTTCGTCGGCTTGAGTGACCTCAGCGAAATATTTATACGGAGTATGCCGTAGGACATTTTGCGGGGTATTGCCCGTTGAGCTTCTGATGGAATCTTGAAACCCGACAAATAACATTGGAACGACGGGTGTGTCCTCGGAAGCTAACTTTGTGTTACCTCGGGAGTACACAGGTCTAATTTACCTAGGTACATCTGGACAGGCAGCAATGTTGTACTATTCATTTGAATACATTGGACCATCATCCGGCCACAGCCGTTGAGCTAACACAAAGGACGGTCGGGCTTCGCTCTAGTCACCGGAACACAAATGCCAACCCTGGCCGATGTTACCGTGGCTATCTGTTGCGGGAGCGTGGCCAGTAAAATTGGCTACTGCGCGCCATCAACTGGGGAAGGCTTGAGTGGCTGCCAGTCAAGCATAAATTCTATTCAGCTCCAGGCCGAGAACCCTGATGCGCCTTTTTTTCCCGCCCCCTATTCTCTGACTAGGTGGGCACAAATCCCAAATTGTGGAGCAACCTATCTAAGAAACTGGTGATAGGGACTTCTGACCAATGCAGACATGTAAGATAAGAGTCGCCCCGTTTTCACATTCCGAGATGGCCACAAAGAAGCTCTCTCACTTGAGTTATAGGTCACGCGATTATGAACACCGTGAGATCTTGACATTTGGCCACCGAATGTGATTAATGTTTTTGACGGGGATGCCCGAATCGAGCTACTGCTACTGGTCCACGAAAGTCTATTCACGGACTCCAGGATCAGGATTCGAGAGCACATAATCTCGGACCTACCAGAGCTTCCGGATCAATGCGTTCTGCACACTGCCCAGACAAAAAAATACGAGAATCTTGCTATAATGCGCCGGTGGCAGGCCAATCATTACGCGAGTTTCTAATAAACACCACATGATAGCATCTCCCCAGCACACCCCCTCTGGGCTTTCTGGTATGCTTCTCCCGTGCTTCCATGCATATTAGTGGCAGGACCACAAGCTATGCAGGTAGATATCCCTCGCCCCAAAACGCCAAAGAACAGGGTTTCATGGCGCCATCCCTTATCACCGCGGACCGCCAGATCCCATGCCAGGTAGCGAACTCAACCGCGGCTATTGAAATGTCCACAATCAGTTATTACCACACAATCAGGCCAAGAGACTACATAGTATACCAAGGTGACAGCCAAGGGAAACCAAACTGTGAAAGGCCAACTAGGCTCAGTGGAGCAAATTTCTCCAGCCATATGGCATTGCACGCATATCCTTGCGGCCCATAGCGTATGCCACAGGAACGGGGTCCGTCGGAAAGCCTTCCCATAGGTAAGGGATGAGAAAAACCAGGGTCTCCTTCTACCTGGTGAATTGTACATTGATTTTAGCATCCACCATTTTAAAATTAGAATAGCATAAAGTATTTCTAGAGTGAGATGAGAAAAAACAGTAAGAAAAAAGGTGTAGGGAAAGAGATACTCTTATCTCCAACCCGTTTGATTGGGCAATGATCGACTATCGCGCACGGGTACAGTGCGGAGAGACGGACAGATGGAGTTTAGTGGATCTGGGGAGTTGCCGTCTTTGGGCTCCCAAAGCTTGGCTTGTTCTTGAAGTCTACCTTGGCGGAGAGGGATATATAGCCATAGATAAAGTAATTCAGCCTTGGACATGTCAGCATGACTCTGCAATACGAGTCAGGGTCGTGGATATAATCAAGCTAGAGGGAAGTTAATAGAACATCCATGACTTTGGGGGCGAGATCGTCCCATTCTGACAGGCTGAAATCACGAGATAAGTGGCGTGGATCAGACAGGGGTTCCACATCCTGGATTATTATCTTGTCTTTTTTTCAGTCTAAACAATAAGACAGGTGAAACATGAAGTGGTGTTCCAAGTTGCAAGTTCCCAAGTTCCCAGCTTATCTTCCGGACCCTAAGAATTTTGACTGTTTGCAGCTCTCTTCAGCTCTCTTCCGCGCTTATATGCATATGTAGCTTATAGCCTCGAATCTCATTTGTGTATAGGGTACTCCGTACTCCCATATATTTTGTATATCATAAAAAATAAAAGATAATTCAGGCGTTACCCAGACTATGCCAAGAATATCAGAAGATTGGAAGTCTGAAATGGTTAGTAGTGCGAAATGATAGTTGGTCTAAGCGCATAAGAGTAGATTTAGGTTCTTTTTTTTTTAATTTAATTTGATTATATGGAACGTAAAAAGAATTGCTGCGATTATCTAAAATTGGCCTGGTTGTATTTATACCCTCGCTCCCCCTCCCATACCGTCAATCTCTTACTTGTTTCACCTTATTGCTGGTTTATAGACCTCAAATTCTCCGGAATCCTTGGGTCTACCAGAGAGATACTTTTGTTTATTCTTTCTAATTCCACCCTTTCTTGAAGAGAAATCTACTCATACCATGGAGGAGAAAAAGTTCGAGGCGACCACCGTACAGGCTGGCGTCGACACTCCCCCAGCCTATGGCGACTCATCTGCAACACGCGGAGGCATAGGCCAACGGATCCTGGACAGTTTCAAGAGAGACCCCAACTTTACCGTCAGTGGCCATGCTGGATCTGATGGCAATGGCTTCGATATCGAGACTGCCGCCCACAACACTGCGAACTCCCCGCTGCAGCGTCGCTTGAAGGGTCGCCATCTGCAGATGATTGCTATTGGTGGTTCTATTGGTATGTTCTCCATTCTTTCTCTCGTCTCATTCAACCTCGCTAATTTCATTTTACTGTCTAGGTACCGGTCTCTTCGTTGGTTCTGGAAAGGTTTTATCCGTCGGTGGTCCAGCCTCAGTGCTGATTGCCTACATTTTGATTGGATGCATGCTTTACTGTACAGTTCACGCCTTGGGTGAAATGGCAGTTCTTTTCCCCGTTGCCGGTTCTTTCGCCCATTACTCAACTCGTTTCATCGATCCTGCCTGGGGTTTTGCCATGGGTTGGAATTACGCCCTTCAATGGCTCATTGTTCTACCCTTGGAGATTGTCGCTGCGTCTATCACAGTCGACTATTGGAACTCAGATGTTTCAAATGCCGCCTGGGTAACGATCTTCTGGGTTGTAATTGTCTCAATTAACATGTTCGGTGTCCGAGGATATGGTGAAGCCGAATTTGTCTTCTCCATCATCAAGGTCATTGCCGTTATTGGTTTCATGTAAGTTGCCCTACTATCTTGCTGGAAACTTGAACATCTGTCTGACTTGACTACCAGCATTCTTGGAATCGTCCTTAACTGCGGTGGTGGCCCCGAAGGTGGATATATCGGCGCTAAGTACTGGTACGACCCAGGTGCTTTCCATAACGGCTTCAAGGGTCTCTGCAGTGTCTTTGTCAATGCTGCCTTTGCCTTCGCCGGAACCGAACTTGTTGGTCTTGCCGCCGCCGAAACCACCAACCCTCGCAAGTCCCTTCCCACCGCTGTTAAGCAGGTCTTCTGGCGTATTGCGCTCTTCTATGTGGTTTCCCTTACCGTTGTCGGCATGTTGGTGAGATATGATGACCCGAAACTTTTGAGCGGTTCCTCCTCCGCCGATGCCAAGGCCTCTCCTTTCGTCATTGCCATTGAGAACGCAGGAATCAAAGCTCTGCCTTCGATCATGAACGTCGTTATCATGATTGCGGTCTTGTCTGTCGGTAACTCCTCCGTCTACGGATCCTCGCGTACACTTGCTGCCCTTGCCGAGCAGGGTCAGGCTCCCAAGTTCCTTGCATACATCGATCGCAAGGGTCGTCCTCTACCCGCTATTATCCTTGCATCTGTCCTGGGTCTGCTTTCCTACCTCGCCGCCTCGAATAAGCAGACCGATGCCTTCAACTGGATGATGGCCATCTCGGGTCTGTCATCTATTTTCACTTGGGGTTCCGTTTGTGGTGCCCATATCCTCTTCCGTCGCGCGTGGAAGCAACAGGGCCACACCCTGGACGAGCTGGCTTTCCGTTCTCAACCCGGAGTTATTGGCTCGTGGATCGGTCTCATTTTCAACTGTCTCGTGCTGATTGCCCAGTTCTGGGTTGGCTTCGCCCCCATTGGTTATGGAGAGATGTCCCCCGGAGAGATTGCAAACAGCTTCTTCTCTGTCTACTTGGCCGCCCCCGTTGTTTTGGTTTGCTACATCGTTTATAAGATCATGTACAAGACCAAGTTTGTTCGCACCTCCGAGGTGGATTTGGTCACCGGTCGTCGCGACCTTGATATCCAGCATTTGATTGAGCAGGAGATGGCCGAGCAAAAACAATGGCCCAAATGGAAGAAGGCTTACAAGTTCTTCTGTTAAGCGGATGATTTATGTCTCTTGTTTTTTTTGCCTTCGCATCTCCCCCTATGTACTACATCTTGGTCTTCCGAGGCCATCTTACATAGACTAATCACGATACCATAATTTTTCTATGAAAATCACACGAAACGTTAATACATTTTAATGCACATAGTTAGCCTCCTAACAACCTAAACTACTTTGTAATGTATATTAAGGCTGATCATCGTCTTGAGTCTCCAGCCTTGGCATACCTGTGTGGGGGGAGCGTTTGACCTAGGAAGTCATGGCCAACGGCTTAAAGGTGCCACATATACTGTACTATTGCACTACTTTGTATATTTTTGGAATATAATTTGATTGTATGTACATCAATTCTTGCACAAGATTCACAGCCACACACAATTTCAATACAATTGTAAACAAAAAAAAGAGACACATCCCCCCCCCCTTTTTTTTTTCTTCTTCAGGAAGTGAAAAAAACATCCAATTTAAAGATTTGCAACCAATTACCACTTCGATGTAATTTTCAGCCCCAAAAATAGCCCAAGTGGATTCCAAGACGGTGGGGACAACAGCCAGGCTGTAAAGCCAAAGGACTCTTGGTAGGCGGTATCCCATGGATTGGTCTGAGATGTACACAAATCCCCGTAATATTACGAGCCACATGACGCCCTACGATCTGGAAATTCAACCCCATCTCTATCTCTATCTCCATCTCCATCTTTCCCCATTTCTGTCTTTCTTGGTTTTTGTTGCTTCCTGCCCGACTTGCATCGCAATTCGCTCGATCTGGCTTTCACTCATTTTAGCTTCGAATTCCTCCGCGACCCGGCGCTTAACACCCTGCGCACTATCTTCTCTCGCATTCCAAAGTGATCTTCTCTGCTTCGTCATTGGCGTCTCGGTTTATGCGCAGTACCATCTAGCGTCAGGACTGAATATTGAATTGTGAACCAAGCCAGCCGGTCTGCCCTCGGTGTCCTTGATCATACCGCAAACCTAGAGCCTCAATAGCCGCTCAACTTCAATTTCTTCCGATTGACTCTCAGACTCGCGCTTTCTCCGCCCTTCTACGATTCCCGTTTCCCTCCGAACATACGAACTCACCGGTGTCAGCTGCCGGATCACGTTCTTTTTTTTTACGCCGATTATAACGTTTTTCTGTTTGACGGCCTGAATTCAGCCCTTTAGCCGCTATAATGCCCGGTTTCGCAGACTCTTTCTGGACCCCCGACTATGCTTCGGGTTTGGGGGGTGCTATACGGGAAGTTGCAGCAGGGAGTTGTGGAGAACAAGCAAATCTTGGCCATTGCATCCATGCGTGCAGATGCAGAAGAGCAGTATGGACTCCGCATGGGAGACATTGCTCCGAGCGTGGATAGGATGACTGCTGTGGGATTCGGCAAGGATGACGGCGCCAGTGTCAGAAAGGTTTGTCGTAGATGCATTGAATGGACTAGAGCGAAGAAAGACTGACGTCCTGCGAAACCCGTCACAGGCATACGAAGGAATCCGCACTGAGATGGTCGAGGCCTCCAAGAACCACCAGAAGATCGCCAACAATATCCGTGAATTGGTCGTATCGCCCTTCCGGCGTTGGGGCGAGCAGCACGACATGCGTGTTCAGTATTCGCATGACCTCCTCCAATCCCGTATCAAGGAACACACCAAGCAGGCGGAGTTGGTAAGGAAGTTGCGCAGTACTTACTTCAACAAGTGTCGTGTCGTCGAGGACCTGGAAGAAGAGAACAAGCTTGCTTTCCAAGACCCTGAGTCGAGCCCGAAGATCAAAGCCACCCCCAAAATTGTTCTCCCCACCGAGGAAGAGCCCGAGGAAGACCCCATCGAGCTGGGTGAGCGAGTTTTCCCGCCGGACCACTTGAAAAAACTCCTCTCCCATATGCTCGATAACATCAAGCTTGGCGAGGCGAAGGTTCCCATTATCGGCACCTATTTGAATGTATCCACCGGCGCGGATATTTCGCAATATATCCAAACCTACATGGAGGCCGAGAATCTCGCTCAAGTGGAGATTATTGGTCAGGATATGGTAGACAATGGTCTTCTTCGCTTGGTTGGAAATATGGGCAATGTCTTTGCCAATAGCTCCAAGATGAACTATCAATGGCGTCCTAAAGTTTTCCAGCTCACCGGTATTCCAGAAAAAAAGAAGCCCCTCATGCGTGTCACCTCAGTAGCATCAAGTGAGGACGGTAACGGCAGCGACTCGCCCATTCAATCTGTCTCTGAGATTCTGGCTGGCTGGAACCCCCTCAATAACCCTTACCCGAACGAGACACCTTCGGAGAAGCTCCGCAGGGAGGCTTTGGAAGCCGATGAACGGTACAAGGTTGCTGTTCGTAGGCTTGATCAGATCCGCTGCCGGCTGGAGGAAGAAGTCATTGGCCAACTCAAATACATGGAACAGTGCGAGCTGGACCGCCTCAAGGCGATCAAAGCCGTGGTCCTTGATTTCTCAGGCGCCATCAGCAATGTCATTCCAAACCTGCAGAGCACAGTGGATCATATGATGCTATACCAGGAAACAATCCAGCCCCTTGGAGACTTGAGATATCTGCTGGAGAACTACCGCACTGGTGGATTCGTACCTAAGATCCAAGCATACGAGAACTACTATGGTTCCGTTGAAGGTACAGCCATGATCATGGTCTACAGATGAAACTTTGCTAATTTTAATTTTTCACCAGAACAAAACTTTGGTGTCGACCTTGAAGCTAGAGCACGTGCGGACCGCAAACGTGTTCCAGTCCTAATCACCACCATTCTGACCTACCTGGATAACCGTAAGAAATCTATGGAATGTGTACAGAATTATGAATTCACGCTCACAAATTCTACAGGCTACCCTGAACTTGAAGGTGATGAGGCACGGCGAATGATCTGGTTGACTGGAGTTGATCTAAGCACGACGCATAAGCTTCGCCAAGCTTTGAACAACAGCAAGGCCGATTATGCCGAGGTGTTGCCTCAGTTCGAAATCCCAGTTATTGCAAGCGTTCTAAGATTGTACCTTCTTGAATTGCCAGGTTCGTCGCTCTCTTGATGGCTTTAATATAGTTTCATGCTAATTCCCAGACAGACTCATTGGTTTCTTCACAAGTTTATGAGATCGTGAAGACGATTTATTCCACCACTGCTCATGAGACTACGGAAGAAGGACGGATCAAGGTTCTGCAAAGCACCCTTGGACAGCTCCGCCTCGTCAATATCGCTACGCTTGATGCTATTATGACTCACTTCACGCGCCTGATTGATTTGACCTCGGCTGACGAAGACTACATCACTTTGTTGGCACAGGCCTTTTCCCCTTGTATCCTCCGCCCTCGCATAGAGAGCAGTCTGACGATGAACGAGCGCCACAGCTATCGCCTGATCCGCGACCTGTTTGCCCACAAGGACTCTATCTTTGGCGAGCTGAAGCGCCAATCGAGTGCGCTCGGAATTACCGGCTCCAGCTCTAACCGTCCACGCGCCATCAGCACAGATGAGAGTAACCGTCGTGCGGCGATGGAGGCCCGCCAGCGAGCCATTGTCAACCGCAGCCGAGCAACCAGTCCCGCCAATCGCCAACGGCATCGACGTGACCGCTCGAGTGGTGCTTCGGAGATAGGCCGGTTCCCGATCAACGTCAGCAGCCCTTCAGATCGCAGATCTACCCGCGGTACTAGTCTAGATGTACCTGCCACCAAGACTCCCCAGCCCGGATCTGAGGAGGTTCCTACCGTGAACACCCAAGTTGCCGAGCCTGTTACCAACGGCACGTATACCGACTCTCCTGCCGAGGTTGCTCCCAGCACCAGCAGCGACTCGAGCTCCCCCAGCCCTCCTCCTGTTTCTCTTCCGGAAACAGCCTCCGATGACTCTCCTACTCCTACTCCTACTCCGGCTACAGCGTCCGCAGAGTTTGACAAGCGCAGTTCTATGTCCCGCTCTTCTGGCGGTCGATACAGCCGCAAGCCAGGCCTTGGTAGCTTGTCTAGCTTCCCCACTGGCTCGGCTGTCGGGGGCAGTGGTACAAACAGCAACCGAAGCAGCATTGCTGAAAGCGAACCCAACAGAGTCACTCTGGAGGACAAGCCTATGGATGACTAGCTTTGAGGATTCGTGGATGCAGAGGAAATCTTGTATAGATCGAACCGGGAGCAGTGTATTGGCGTGCTGGGAGAAAAATATGCATTATTGTTTTATATTCCACTCACATATTCCTTGCTCCCTGGTCATGCGAAGACGACCTGGCAAGTTGCGATTTCGAAGTTCACCTTTACTTTTTCTTGTCTTTTGTTTCTCCTTTTGAACTTCAACTTTTACTACATGCCTCTTAGGCATGCATGCATACATACCCTGTCCCTTCTGCTGTGTTACTGCAGTTGGGGTTGTTCACATCCCTTTTACCTTGCCTTTTTTCCTGCTACTATGTCTTTCCCCTTATGTTCCCTGATGCATTCCCTTTTGTCGCCCTCGTGGTGTTATCCACTTGGTGTATGTATACTCCTGATCCTTTCTCGTGCATATGAATTTCTTTCTGTCCTATATATATCATTCCTCACTGATGGTGTAATTCCGTAGAATTTGCGGAATCAAGCTAACTGTTTTGATCATTTTTATGCCTGAACTCACAGTCTCCACCGAGCTCTGGATTCGGGAAAAAAGCCACCGACGAGTCCTAGCTCCAATTAGCCTAAAGATCTCAACATTCTCCCGAAAAGATCACTTTATTTTATGAAAATCTCCAAACCAGAGCCACCGAGTATTTTGTACCAACCCCGCATCCCCATATTTTCCAATCTACTCAACTAAACCCCACACAAGCCAACCCAACCCAACACCTCAAATACACCACCAACTTGGGAAATCAAGCAATGACAGCAACCCAAATCCCAATCGTGGATTCCCACATCCACCTCTTCCCAGAAACGCACCTAAAAACCCTCTCCTGGCACAGCGCCAACAACCCACTAGGCGCGCAACACAGCGTAGACGAATACCGGCACGCAACAGCAAAAGCCAACGCCACCCCTCTCGTCCGCGGCTTCATCTTCCTAGAAACAGACCGTCTCTCCTCAATCACCGACTCAACCCCACCCAACCACGGCTGGAACCACGCCTTAGACGAAGTCTCCCTCCTAACACGCATTGCTCTCGGCACACCCGTCCCGGGCGAAGGCCACGTCCCAGATGACAAGAACCTCTGTCTGGGCATTGTGCCGTGGGCGCCTGTTCCCGGTGGTCCGGATGTGCTGAGCGCGTATATGCAGCAGGTTCGCGGTCGGACGGGGGAGCGTGTTTGGGGGAAGGTTAGGGGGGTTAGGTATTTGGTGCAGGATAAGGCTGAGGGGACGATGCTTGGGGGTGGGTTTGTTGGTGGGTTGAGGTGGTTGGGGAGGGAGGGGTTGGTTTTTGATCTTGGGGTTGATGCTAGGTCTGGTGGGTTGGGGCAGTTGAGGGAGGCGGTTGAGATGATGGGGTTGGTTTATGCGGGGTTGGAGGGGGATGAGGCAGTTACCATTGTCATTAGTATGTATTTTTCTGTTCTTTGGTTGTTGCTGGGTTCTCTTACTGACTTGTTATAGATCATTTGTGCAAGCCGAATCTTCGTCTGTCGGATGATATTCGCTCTCATCCGGAGTTCCTTGAATGGAAGGATCTTGTGACTAAGATGGCGAAGGTGAATTCTAAGACTTATATGAAGCTTTCTGGGGCATTCTCGGAGCTTCTACCACTAGAGGCAGAGTCAGAGCCGGATTTTGGGGCAATTGTTGAGCGTGTACAGCCATGGACTGATATTATTTTTGACGCTTTCGGGGTGGATCGTGTTATGTTTGGATCGGACTGGCCGGTCTGCAATGTTGGCGGTGGTGGGAATGATGTCTCTTGGGGTAGATGGAGACGTGTGGTGGAGGGGGTTTTGGAACGGAGAGGACTGTCCGAGGAAGAAAAGATAGGTGTATGGGGATCCGTTGCTTTGCGTGCTTATGGTATAGAGATCTAGAAATTCAATTACGATGGATGAAGCATAGAAGTACAAAGTTACTTGAGCTTGAATCACGTATATTCATGAATATTTCCAAAAAAAAAAAAAAAAAAAAGGAACAGCTACGTAAATATATATACCCTTATTGCAGGTTAACGAACAGCCCACCATCAACCAGTAGCTGCGCACCAGTCACATAACCACTCAGTTCCTCACAAGCCAGGAAAACAGCCGGCCCGGCTAAATCCCGCGGTTGACCCAGTCTGCCTAGCGGAATCCGACCCTCCATATAAGCCCGCTTAACAGGATCCTTCATATCCTCCTCATTAAGCTGTGTCCGGATAGTCCCTGGCAGCAGCGCATTACAGCGAATACCATACTTACCGAGTGCGCACGCACAAGACTGCATAAGACTCAATACGCCGGCCTTGGTGGGTGTGTAATGTGTCTGCTGGGCACCGCCGACCAGAGCGGAGATGGAGCTCACGCCGATAATGGAGCCGCCCGGTGGTGACTGGGTCAGTGCCATTTGGCGGGCTGCGGCTTGGGTGGCGTAGAATGCGCCTGAGAGGTTTGTTGAGATTGTGTGGTTTAGAAGCGAGGGCTCGAGTCTGGCGGGGTTGTTAGAGAGGAGAAGAGGGGTGGAATGGTACATGGGCGGGGGTGGGATATGGCTCACTCTAAGAATTCGGCGAACTGGCATACGCCTGCGTTGCTAACGAATACATCTAGTCGACCAAATGCCTCGACGGTCTTTGCGACGAAGTCCTGGCCTGTCTCTGGCTGCGAAATGTCGCCGGATACCGTGAGGAATCGGCTCTTGGCTGCTTCGGCTTCGATCTCGTTTACGTCTTTGCGCAGTGCTTCCAGGAGCGCGTCTTCTTTTGCGCCGCCGAGATGGCTGATGGAGACTTTGGCTCCGTGACGGATATAATCAAGGGCAATTGCCTGTATATAGTTAGTGCGCTGTTCTTTTTTGTGTTTCTGATTCCATTTAAATTCGGAGATGGGAAATCCTACCCGTCCAATGCCTGTGAGGCCACCGGTGATGGCGGCAACTTTGCCAACTAGTAACTGTGGGAAAGCCATTAGGGATGTTTGTAATGGAGAGGTGTCCTTCGCAACTCTCATAATTCTCACCTGGGTGGATGAATTTCTCGAGCTCGGTGTTTCGTGGTGATGTTACCCCGAGTGTGTGGGGAATCCCTGGAGCAACTCCGGCGGGGCCGGGAGAGGAGCTGCCCTGACTTTTAGTTCTCAAAGTGCATCTGCCCGGTTAAATCGCGGCTTTTGATATTTCCGGTTATTATATTCTAACCCTAACTTGTGTGAGGGTCTTTGCAGGACAACAATATAATATTATTTTGCCCCTACTGCTGTTACCCCTAAGTAGGATGCACCATGGCACTGATTTTCATTTGGTACGTTCCAACATGGAGTGTGTCTCGATGCTATTATTGATTCTCATCCCATAGCCAATATAAAGCTATGTTTGCTAGATGACAGCGACTACCACATATGTAAGCTTTATACTTTCGGCCTATATTCACTTCCATCTATCTCTTCATACTCAAATTTACCCACTATTTCCTTCAGCGGGACCATCATTGCTCACCGGCGCCTTCCCTTTGCCGCCTATTTGGAGAATCAGTAACTCGTGTTCGTAAGGGTATCCGATCGTGCCTCACTGCTCTGGTATAACATCGCAGCTAGAAGAACAGCAATAATCGAAGCCTACCGATTGTTAGAAACCCCATCAACTCTGTAGGTCCTCTGGGTAGAAACTAGATCATCTTACCAGCGAAAGGTCCATCCCTTCAGCCACCACTACTTCCCATGACGGTCGTTTTCCGGGTAGGTAGACCGCAGCCACATCCGTCAGTTTTACTATCATCACCAATTTACCACGATGATACACGTTTGTCTTGGACTTCCAGACATTCTGTCCGCGGACCTCCAGTATTGTCTCTTCTCCATTGGCGGCAGCATTACGAAGATGCACGTCAAACTTGTCTTTGAGAGCGCTCCATTTCGGTACAATTGTAGCAATAGGCTCGGAATTTTCTCCTTTGCTGCTACTCTCGCCAGGGAGATGAAGATACCATGTTACCCCGGCCTTTTTCCGAGATATCTCGAAAAGGGGAAGGCCTGAGGCGTCGCGAAAATGTCGTCGTTGAGACCATGAGGCAATTTCCCCCTCAACGGTAAAGAGCTTCTTTAAAAGAGGTTCTTCGGCAGTTGGAGTGCTTGAAACTGTGAAGTTACCGCTGGACCAGCTTGCGCTATGTTGCTTCACCTTGATTTTTGTGGTCGATGAAGCAACATGCTCTGGACGGATGGCAATAGGTTGTTTGGTTGGTGTGAGTGGTTCCATTTCATTACCATGGGGATTGACTCAGAATCAGGTGGTTTAGAAGGTCAAAGGGGGTCATGAGAGTGGGGGAAAACGAGTTGGGGTTGAGATAAACCAGATCTTCTTAATAAATACAAAGTTCGGGGAAAGTTTGGTGGCGCTATAACCTTGAAAGCGATCTGCTCTAAAATCAACGACCAATTTACATATGACGCATGTACAAGGGTGAAAGGCAGGCTTCTGTGTGAGAATTTGGGGGCGTCTTCTTTTCTAGGTAATGATATGTCTTTGGCCCCTTTGTCTTGGAAATAGGAGCCCCACCTCAAAATATACCATATACGATCATAAAATTGGAAGCTTCCTTATGACGATTTGTACACGAGGATCTGGAGTCCTGAGGTTAGACAAATGAGGTGTTTTAGCTGGGTTAGTCACCATGTTGTGCATGACCAAAGAAGGGGTGGGGGTTGTTAATCGGTATGAGAAGGGGGCATAAGATAGAATTTAAAGGATCCTAAAATTCGATTTGTATGTACATGACTCTCGTATAGTGCGTAAATAGCTGATAAACATGAAAAAAGAAAAATCAAAGACACTAAGATAGAAAAGCATTCTACCGAATCGTCAACATTTATGCAGTGCCATTGGCCGCCTCCTTGTTGTCGGGTGCGGGTAGGGACTTCTGAGGTGCCGGTGTGAGGATAGCAGCAGCAGGGATCAGGGGAGCGGCGGGGTTGAGTTCCAGACCAAACCCGGGCTTGTCCAAGATAGAGACGTCAAGGTAGCCATTGGTAGGAATGGGCTCATTCAAGAAGAGGTTTCCAAACACAGGCTGGACGGTGTGGCCATCGGCAGAGTTGGCAAGGTACTCCTGGAAGGGACAGTTGGACTGGGAAACGACATAGTGATATGAGTAGGGACCGGAGGCGTGGGGCACAACGGGGAGATCGTAAGCAGCAGCCATGGCAGAGACCTTGAGCAGCTCAGTCATACCACCAACCCACATGACATCGGGCTGGAGGATGTCAACGTTGCGGCCTTCAATCAGCTTGCGGAAGCCGTAGCGAGAGTACTCGTGCTCGCCGGTGGTGAAAGTGACAGAGGGGTGGGCACGCTTGAGGAGTGCTTGGCCGTCGAAGTCATCGGGCGAAAGGCACTCCTCCCACCAGTCAATATCGAGCCCAGCAGCCTCACAGCGCTTGACTAGCTGGATTGTGTAGTTGACAGTCAGAGACATATAGCAGTCCACGCGTAGCGGGAAGTTAGGGCCGACTTTCTCGCGCTGCTGGCGCAGGTATTCAACATTCTTCAAAAGACCTTCGGTACCCTCATCAGGACCGTGGGGCAAGGCAACCTTGGCACCGATAAAGCCGGCAGCCTTTGCGGAGCCAGGCTCGGGACCGGTGCAGTAGAAGTTCAGTCGAGTTCGAGTGGCACCTCCAATCATCTTGTAGACGGGCTCGTTGCGGATCTTGCCCTGCAGATCCCACAGAGCCAGATCAATGACCGAGATCACGGCGACAGGCAAACCCTTGCGGCCATAGAACATCGAGGCGCGGTACATTTTCTCAAAGAGGTCGTTGGTATCGCGGGGGTCTGTTGAAATATAGTTCGTCAGTAAGGTGCATTGTGCTATGTGAAATCGTGTACATACCAGCGCCGATCAGGAAGCGGTTGAAATGTTGCTCGGTGAGCCAGCATGCTGGGGGGCCTCCGAAACCAGTCGCAAAGCCCTTGGTGCCATCAGTGGCTTCAATCTCCACACAGAATGATCCCAAAACGTTGATGCCCCATGATGTTCGCGAGCCACGGAATTGTGCCCACTTGGTCATAGGGGTGGAGATGTTGCTGTCGATCAGCCAGTGGCCTCCCTTAACCTATGTAGATAGTTAGTATACTGAATATAAAGATAATAGACACTTCAGAGCTCTTACATTGTGGTAGTCACCGCCGGAGCCAACACCGTCAATGATGAAGGTGCGGACTGCCTTAATGCGGGGAAATTCCGTTGTTGAACCCATGATGTATGAAATGAACAAATCTCAGTGGAAAAAGAACTCAATAATTGTCCAAAAGACAAGATATAGAAAGAAAAAAAGCAGAAATACAACAATTGCGGGGGATTCATGTCTATTTCAACAAGTTTCATGTGCCGAGGAGCTCGGGGTATTGCTATCCCGAGAGACGAACAAACTCCAACGGCAACTCGGACAATTTGTTGCGACGCATAGTATTTTTTTTTATGATCTCAGGCTAGTGGGCCGGATAAAAATGCTCTCGAAAGTCTATACGAATTATGAGTTATAGTTTTCAAGCTTCGAAGCATTGAATATGGGGGATCCTCTGAAGAACGATTTGGGCAATTCTCACAACATCAGGATTATTCTCAATAACTATATCTACGCAAGTTTATTCTTTGCGGGAAATTGTGCTATCGCTATCTACTTGGGGTATCTAGATTCCGGAATATAATGTCCTATCGATCACTGTGTATGTATAGATTTGGAATATTTTCACAGTCGACAACTATAGAGCGGGTATTGGGGCAGCCACATCAACATATATATAGCAAATAATGATCCATATAGACATGACATAATAAATATATAACTCCAAATAGTTAGCAGCTGCCGATCGTCAATTGATTGAAAAGCTTGATACATATATACGGAGTACCCCGTAAATATTGAGGGTGTCAGGACTCCCACTCCTATGATATAGTGCCCAGTTAAGTTAGCGTCCCAAGGCAAAAGTACCTAATACTCATGCATGTACATCCACGGGTCCATAGCTTATAGTCCTTTGTAAGCAAAGAATACGCTTATGGGAAATTAGACCTTGTATTGGAAAAACTACGCCTTGCAACGCGAGTACAAATTTCTGTTGAACACTTTTCGCATCGCTTTTTTAATGTATAAAATGTTTCGTTATTCTATTCTAAATCAAATCATTCATTATATATTCTATATATTGAGTCCCATTTAAATACCAAAGAAATAGAAGAAATACAAATCGAAATACAAATCGAAATACAAATCGAATTAAAATCAGGGGATTCCCTAAAGCGAAAAATGCGGGGTGCCCCGGTTTCTGCCTGAGGCCTTAGCTCCATGAGCCCGACCATTTCTGTTTCTTCTTTTTCTTTCTCTCGGGTTCAATGCTGACTACCGTGAAGAACTTTTCAAGGCTCCCTCTATTTAAAAACAATATACTCGGCTATACCAGCCTCTCCCGACCTATCCATCGTGAAACGGCCTTGCGTCATGCTCGGTCCCTGATAGGGCGAATTGCTATCTCGCTAAATCAAAATGCCGAACACTACGCTTCCCGCCCAGGAGACCCAGTCCTCCAATCAGCAATACGACCCAAATCGAGATCAGAGTGCAGAGTATTCTTCAGATTCCGATAACGATCATGCTGGACTTGATGGCTCCACAAGAGCCTTGAAGCGAAAACGCCCCCTCACTGTCTCGTGCGTACCTGAATACCTCGGCTACCCGTGTTTGTATGAAATGTAACCCCGACTAACCCTACCAAGATGTGAACTATGCAAGCAACGAAAGGTCAAATGCGGTATGGGATAAAATATCATAGGCAAATTTTTCGTGTCTAACATAGACCAACTAGACCGAATACAACCAAGCTGTGGCTGGTGTAACCGAAATGGCCAGCTATGTGAATATAGGGAGCGCAAAAAGCCTGGGCTAAGAGCTGGCTATGGAAAGGAGTTAGAACAACGGCTTGGTAAGTTGCTATGCAGTCTGCGCGTCATCTCATGTCTCACTCGTACGTCAGATCGGTTGGAAGATATTATCCAATCGCAAGCTCGGCTTATCGAGATGCATATCCTGCAAAGCCAATCTTCAATGGGCCACGAGTTACCCCACGGGGGCTCTCTTTCATATAGCTCTCCTTCCGAGCCATCGGCAATCCATGGACCCAGTCCTAGTACGGCTCTTTACTTCAACGACCCCGGATCTGCTGTTACTCTACCCTCACGCCGTGCGGAGATGTCTACGAAAAGTCCATCAAATGGCTCTGTGAAGAATATCTCACATAATTCTCTGCAACATGACATGTCAATGCCTCCAGTTGGCCAGTTGTCACATAACCAAAATGCACATCACGATTACACAGGGAACGAATCGTCTTTGAAGGTTCCTGTCAACATATACTCAAGCCAAGAGCAATCCCTTGCTGATCCTGATCTGGATCTGCCACCATATGATTTGCTCTATGCTTTGGTAGATCTCTATTTTGAACATATCAATTCCTGGTGCCCGATCCTCCACCGGCGAACGACTCTGGACACATTTTTTGGTCCATCGCCACTAGACGAGGCAGACCGAATGGTGCTATATGCAATTGTGGCAACAACTCTGCGTTTTTCTTCTGACAGCAGGCTTAGTGACCAGAGTAGAAAGCGCTATCATGACTCATCCAAACAAAAGGTCGTCCTGTATGGCCTGGAAAACTCTTCCGTCAAGGCGCTTCAGGCACTCGTGATTTTAGCTCTTGATTTGGTTGGATCTTCTAATGGTCCACCGGGTTGGAAGCTACTTGCCCTGATTACTCGATCTGTCGTTCAGCTCGGGTTGGCTGTGGAATCCAAGTCATCTCTTATCAACCCTACCTATCCCTCAATCTATACTCTGAGAGCTGTCACTCTTTCGGAGCCAGACTCTTGGATTGAAGATGAGAGTAGACGTCGTTTGTTCTGGATGGTTTACTTGCTGGACCGATATTCCACCCTGGCGACTGCATTCAATTTCGCCTTGGACGACAGAGATATCGACCGCAAACTCCCTTGCAAGGATGATTATTTTGTCAAAAATCAGCCAGTTGAGACGCGGTTGTTCCAATGCTCCAGCGACCGTGCAGATTATATGAGTAAATCCGAGAATGTTGGGTCTTTTGGTCTCTATGTTGAAATCTTGGGTATCCTCTCGCGGATTCACCTGTTCTTGAAACGGCCCGTGGATATTGGTGCTCTGTCAGATGTTGCGGAATGGCAGGCTACCTATCGCAAACTTGATAGTGAGCTAACATCGTGGGAGTTCAATCTCCCAGCGGAATATGCCTACGAAAACTCGTCCCGACTCTTCAGTGGGTCTAAGCATGGCCGGGCTCCGCACAGCGATTGGGTGCAATTGCATGCAACCTATCAAACGTGAGTGAGCAGCATCTTCATCGTTCTGCTCCAAATTAACGCGTCAATTACTCTAGAGCTGTGATTCGTCTGCACTCATCGGCAGCATACCCGACAACCCGATCTCCAATCTTCACGCCTTCATACAGTGCTAGCCAGCGATGCCTACTTGCCGTCGAAAACATCCTATCGGTAACGAGGTTCGTCGTAGAGCATAACATGCTAGACAAGATGGGTCCGCCCTTTGCCTTCACTCTCTGGGTCTCAGCACGCCTACTCCTTGTTCACGGCTCAACCATTGCACATACTGTCAGCCCCGATATCATCTTTTTTGTGGATACTCTATTCCAGTTAGGAAAATACTGGAAAGTCGCTGAGCGATACAGCAGTATCCTTCAACGTGTCCTGGATGAGTACAACGAGTATCAGCAATCCATCGCCGTAGACGGCGAACGATCTACACCATCAACAGTCAAGATCCTTGCCGATATGCGTCGCTGTGCATTCGACTTGGACTTTTTGATCTCGCGTCAACCGCGTGAATCACCTGCCGACAATGGTATTGGCGAGAGCCACCAGCCCCAATTACCCCTCACGGCAATGCCCGCCCGCAACTTCGCCCCCAACGAACTCGAGTACCTCGATGTTTTTGGGTTCTTCAATGTTCCCCGTGTTCCTCCTCCTCGGGCTCCTGAATTGACTACTTCTACCTCTCATTTGGAAATCTCGGAGTCTGTGCCAAATCCAATGTCGATCCATGGACTGACGGACGGTGGCCCCGCGCCTCCAACTGGGACAGTAGATGATGTTGGCCATCCCTCCAATGCGAACGAATTCAACATCACCAATTACTTGATTCCGACGCCGGAGACGGATTGGCTCTTCCGACCATCATAAAGGTACCATCTACGCCTTGCTTGTACCTTTATTAGTCGCTTTTTGCCTAAAGACCGACGAAAACATTGAGCTTTGGGCGAACACCGAAGCCATGTGAGAACCTGATATGGTGGGGAACTCATGCCTTTCGCACAGTATTGGCTCAGCTAAGTGGCTCCAGACTGGCGTGAAAATCATTCTGTAAACTAGACAAAGAAGGCTTGTCACCCTCTTGGATTTTGCGCTCACTATCGAGTGCGCCTGGGATTTCGTTCTCTCTTCTGGCGTTGAAATGGCTCTGGATTTTACAGTGCATATAATGAAGGAATGCATATTAGTGGCTAGGAGTGAATGGCAGAAGGAGAATGCGTGCTACGTTCTACCGTACTAACTTGGGAACCCCATCGTGAGGATTTCCCTTATACGGCCCTCTATGGGTGAAGTTTGCGTCCTCATCCTCAAAGACTCTTTCATCAGTAAGATCTATTTTACTTGATAACTTTGGGCTTATGCTAATTTGTATAGAAAATCTGCTGGCCTTAATGTATCTCAACACAAGTCAGTTGACGATCAACGTCCTTCCACCGGCTTCATCCTCTCTGTCCAAGTCCATTGAATCCTCACACCTACAGTTTGAGTGAAGCACCAGATTTATGCGGAAAGTCAAGGAGAAATGTTGCCTAAACTTACATCCCCTCTCTTCCAACAACCTGGATCTGGGAGGAATGGACTAAAGAAAGAACGAAATCAGCTGTGGACATTCATCTCCTAGAAAGTGTCTGAGAAGCAAGCTAGTGGACTGACACTGCCTCCCAAAATGTTCCCAGAGGAGTTATGCCCTGATATGGACCATTTATAGATGCTTAATGAGTCCATTTTGGTGCACGACCCGGGTGTGTTCATAGTTTGGCTTTGGCCCACGCTACGCTAGCACTTCCCACCGTCATCACCGCACCCCCCAATTGTGCAGCTCCGTTGACAATCGCAAGGCCACCTCCTCCTGCGCCAGCACTTTGAATTACGGCTATCGGGCTCCCCGCTGCAATAGTTCCGATCCAACTATGAGCGGCTGCAGCTGCCGAGCCTGTATTTCGTGAAGAATAGGAATGGTTAATTGAGCGGGAAAAAAATACCTTTTTTTTTTGGATTCCTAGATTGTTGCACGTACCTGCCTGTATTCCCCCTGTCGTGAAACCCAGGCCTGATAATACCGGGGCTGTCGCAATACCAGGGGCAGCGAAAACTACAGCACCGGTAGCGCCAACAACCGCGCAAGTGGCTAGAACAGGGTTCTGCATTCCCCATTCTGCTGCCTGTCACCTTTTTAGCATGTAGTAGCAAAGATATTTGCATGTGCAAGAGAATGTATATCAACCTGAGCCGTAACTTGAGCGGATTTTTCGAAGGCTGGCTTTCCATAAGCTACGGCAAGCTTGCTACCCTCCAACCCCGCTCGGAGGAGTTTAGTGCCGCCAGAGATGACACTTTCGGGTAAGGAGGTTTGAATGGCCATGGTCAAGGGGGCGATACTGTTAGCTCTATTGATTGAGAATTGGGTTTTATAGGAGACGAATCTAAGCAACCAAATATTGGAAACACGTACGGAGTAGATTTGAAAGGCGAGAAGAAATGAAAAAGAGTGATTTTCTAAACGCAAGGGGGCTGAGCCCCCGAGCTGAACACCCCAGTCCTTCCCAATTACTGTTGAACAGTTTATACATCAATTATAACTCCAAGCTTACAGAGTCTAGCAGAAGCGGATTATTCTCCATGATTACGGGCGGTAGAAGAAAGTATAAGAGTAGGCAATTATAGGATTCGCTCGAAATTAGGACGTAGACGAAGAGAGGGGTGTCTAACAGCATAGGTCGATCGACATCTAGAATTGCGCCACTGTTATGTACACAGCAGGCTTAGAGCGGTGAGATCGTATGTGCCGTCGTGTTAATCGTGCAAACGAAGTGATCTGGATATATCAACTCTCTCCAAAGATTTACCCATTGTGAATTAGGGTGCTTGGAAGCGGATTCTAGTTCAAAGTAGTATAATTCTGTATATTCAATCAAATAACACCAGCATTGTATTGTAAAACGATAACTCTCAGATCTATCCCTGGGCAGTGGTGGAGTCTCAAGTACTGCGCGGATTGTAGCGCCTAAGCTGGTACGAAATACTTACAGCTCCAACTACAGACGCCCTGTCCACCCCGCACCTCACGCATTCATCGTATTTCTGATGAGCCGCTTCTTCTGCTTCTTCTGCTTCTTCTTCTTCTTCTTCTTCCTCCTTTTCTTAAGCATTGCCTGAAACCATCTAACCACATATAAAATGACGTCCTTCAAGGTAGACGCAGCTGCTCTCCTCCATGTCGTGTTTATTATGGTAAGACATTGAAATTCCAGCCTAGCGATGACCTCAGTTAACAAATCTTAGGGAGGTATCATCTCCTTAGTACTTGGAGCGTGAGTTACTGCATCCTTCATCACAACTCTAGCTAGCGTACAATCAATGAGCATAGTGACTAACAGCCTTCTCTCGGAACAGGATGGCTTGGGCTCGCACCTCCGCATTGCATCTTCCTTTACCGACATGGATTCCAGCCGTTGCGACCGTAATTTCTCCAATCACAGTACTCACACTGATATTTCCGCGAGTCTTTTCTACGCGTTTGAACAATGAGACTGCTCGCAATGGTCGATGGAGCACAATATCTGATATGCTCAATCAGGCTCAAACAATCATAGCGACCATCGTGGCCACGGCAGCACTTGCGTACCTCTTTCCCGACAGAATTCTCTCTTGTAACCTGGATCAGCAATGGCAGGAGTTTTTCAAGTCGAAGAATTCGCAGGCTATCCGGTCAATTCAAGATGAATTCCGATGCTGTGGTCTCAGAAGTCTTCACGATAGGGCATGGCCTTTCAAGGACCGGAACCACGGGGATAATGCGTGCGAAACGCAGCTGGGATATCAGAGTAGTTGCTTTGCCCCTTGGAGAGAGTACCAACAGCGTACGTCTTGGATGATTTTTGTGGCGGCCTTTTGTGTTTTCGCGGCCAAGGTGAGTTTACTGCATACTGCCAGAGTGAGGTTTGTGGTGTAGATGCTGATATTCTGTAACTCTGTGCAGATAGCTTTCTATCGGCTTTCCAGTCATCGAACGAGTTGGATGAGCGCAGAATCTGCCAGGAGGACCGATTACCAGCGTATCTCACACCAGACGGTGCAGGATGAAGAGGACAACGAAGATGGTATCCCCGAGGAAACGCGGAGGACATTGCTACCCCAGTCGAACACCAACCACTGGGAGGTAGATTAAGTCAGAGAGACCTTCCGCCCAGCCAAGAAGGAATGTATTATCAACGCGAATCCTTGGCCTACGTCCGGATTGATTAATAGCAGAAAATATTGACCTATCATATTCGTAAATTATGTCTCAGATAATATTCATGTCCTCTAATTTCACAACACCATAATATATGAAAGTGGTAACGGTCTCTCCTTTAGGATTGGACTTCGCTGAGGTTGACATGGGACTGAGTGAAGCCGGCCAGAGCAATTCGCAACTCTAAGAATAGAGATATTATCACTTGTGCTCTTTTGCCTTTTATGGCTTGGTTTTTCCCCAGTAGTCCGAATTGATTATGAAATGATATTCTAGTCAGAATCTCAATGAGCCTACAGGAGTTAGACAACCTTGTGACCCTAGGCAAGACTGTGACAGACTATGAATCCTAAGGGGAAGATATCGAAGCCGTTCTTGATGAACAGTGTTGCGACCAAAATGAAGTCAAGGTTCTCCTACCATCTAACAAAAAAAAAGATGATCAGGGCATAAGAACTGTCCATGGGTGGATTCCTAGATGATTATGAGCTCAGTGATGATAGAGGCACGGACGTACAAGCCTGGAAACCGACTATATCATAGCTTCTCAAGACAAATGTAGAGATTCTCTCTAGTTCTCACTTATCCAACCATTGAGAATGAGAAAATGAAAAGAAAGGAGAAAGGGCCAGATGAGACCAGTATCGGCCCTAATCAGTGGGCCACCTTTTCTGAGAACTAAGCGAGAGATCACAATAATCTTTCATGTAGTCGTACAAATGAGAGCGAGAAATGAGAGCATATACGAGAGTTCCAGTTCAAGTGTTAACTCCTACACATAACATACACATGAGAAAAACAGAGAGCAAAGCCTCAAGAAACAAAGAAAGTAAAGAGTGAAACGATGCAGAGTACAGGGCCTAGAAACTCCATCGAGAACACTCATTTATACTCAAAGCATAATTCAAACGTGTTCATTGCGCATCAGTACTGGGCTGCAGCCGGACGAGGACCTCCTCGAGGAAGGCGTCGAGAACAGCATCAACACCACCGCCCATGTCAACGGGTCTCTCCATGTCCCAGTGGTGGAGGTTACTGAAAGCTCGAGCGATATCTTCGGCAACCTTCTCCAAACCATGATGGATGCGGACACTGCGGTCAAAGTCCTTCTCTTCTTCTGGGGTAGCTGGGGGTTCGTTAGGGTTACGTCCAGGTTCGAGGCGGGCGAGATGGTTGCGGCGGCGGTCCATGGCTGCACGGAGGGCCGGGAGAATCACAGTCCCACAGGCAGTTGCCCGCTCAGCCTCAGGGAGAGGTCGGGTAGAACGCTTGGGCTCACTGGAAGTGGGAGTGGGAGGTGTGGGGCGGTGGGGGATACTACGGTCATCCATGTTCGCTGGTGCGCGCTTTGACTTGAGTCCTGAAGCTGGCTTTGCGTGCTGCAATGGCTCTGTCTGTCTTGGAATAGCGGATTGAGAGGTACGCGGAGACTGAGGCTGATTTCCCAGAGGAAGAGCAGCTTGAGGAATACGTGGAGACTGGGGCTGGTGTCCTAGAGGAGCAGCCTGGGAAATGCGTGGAGACTGTGGCTGTTGTCCCAGAGAATCAGCAACGGTGCGAGAAAGTGGAGTTGACTTCTGCGCAATTTGACCGGATGGGGTGCGGTATTGCTCGTGGAGGGGAATACTGGAGAGTCGCTTGGTAGGAGTGCCCTGGGTACTGACCGCGGAACTAGGATTGGCTGGAGAAGCAATATCAGGTTTGCTAGCATAGTGAGTTGCTGCCTGTGTGTATTGTTCGTTCGATCCCCTGGTGGGAGGGCTGTCCACTGCGGGTCTGACAGCCACTGAAGACACTGAAGACACGACTTTGCGTGGAGGAAGTGCGGTCTGGGAGGGGCGTTGCTTGAGGGGGGAAGATGGTGCAGATGGAGGAAGAGGGGTTTTTGTGGGAGAAATATTCAGAGCAGGGTTTGTTGGGGCCACTTGAGTGTGTGACTGTGTTTGGAAAGTTCCAGCTTGTCGGGGTGTCGCATCACACAGATCCCACTCCTCTGTTTCATTTGTTCGTGCATTGGTGTCAGAGCCTTTAGCCATAGGGCGCAATGGGGATGCATGTCCCTTTCCCACAGGACGGACAGTGCCGAAATCCCAAAGGTCTTCTTTTTCTTGCGTTCTGTCCTTTGCTGTTTGATCGGCTTCTCTATCGTCATATTCATCATATTCGTCGTCGTCGTCTTGGCCCCGATGAGTTATTTGCCAACGCTCTGCGCGCTCAATAAGTTCTGTCAGGTATGTTGTTCTTTTGGCACGCTTCACAAACGGATGCTCAAGAAGTTCCTTGGCTGATGGACGTTCCTTAGGGTCTCGGCGCAAGCACAGTTCAACAAATTGCTTGAAAGGCTTGCTAAAATCGCCTACCAATGTGGGGGGAGGGTTCTTGGGGATCAGAAACAGCACTTTCATCGGGTGAATGTCGGCGTATGGAGGATCACCACAGGCCAGTTCAATTGCCGTGATACCCAAGGACCAAATATCGGCCTTGTAATCGTATCCGGATTGCTTGATAACTTCGGGAGCCATCCAGAATGGAGTGCCTACAAAGGTATTTTTCTTGGTCATTGTTGCCGACAGCTGTCCAGACACGCCAAAATCCGCTAATTTAACTTGGCCACTCGCGCTGAGAAGAACATTGGCAGCTGCAATCAAAAGTGTCAGACACTTCACATTCTAATTTTAACCAATTGGGGTGTTCGTACCTTTGATATCTCGGTGCAGTTTCTGGTCACTGTGGAGATAATCCAGCCCGCGCAAGAGCTCCCTCAGAATGATAGCAATGTACTCCTCGTGGATTACACCGGGCCGCAAGAGACCGTGGCAACTACCACCAGCACAGAACTCCATGATAATCCACAGGTTGGACCCCTTCAAGTATGAGCCATGGTACTTGGTGACATAGGGCGACTTCAGCTCGGACAAGATGGCAATCTCCTTGATGATATCGTCGACATCATCCTCGGCATTCTCCACGTCAATGATTTTGATAGCCACTGATTCTCCAGTACGTCTATCTAGACTAATTGTCCGAATTGGATCAGTTGATTGTTAAACCAAGCCGTTGATATAGAAGGTCCTTTACTTACCCTTTGAACACCTTACCGAAACTTCCACCACCTACGAAGTCAAAGACAATCAGCAATCATATTAGACCCATGAACCCCTAAGGCCCAAGGACTGAAAAGCCTACCGATGCAAGTTTGTTTGGTGTAAATGGTTTCCGGATCGATAGGGGGCGGCATTTTGGCAATTTATCCAAGTCGCCGGAAAACAACAATGAACATAAATCAAGCTTGAATATCTCGAGGCTAGTGATAGATTGTCAGATTCAGGATCGGTAATCACATATCACAAGGATGGAGTGTGGGGTTAGGTCGTACGTGACGGCACTTGAAAATGGACCTGGGGTCGCTGTCTGGGATGGAATAATGTTGCAATCTGATCAATCTGATTCGATTGATAAGATCTGTGCAATACCTTTCAGGATTGCAAGATTTCAGGACTGCAAAGGAGAGAGGGGGAGAAGAGACGGTGTTGTTTCGTTTGGGTGCTAATCGATAAGATGTCAACTGGTAAGCAAAGACGATTGTTCAATCGGAGCAGGCTCGGCGACGGTGATCGTGAGGTTCCAAATCGTTTGTGACATGCTCTTCACTTTACGATCAACTTTTCTCACTGCCCGGCCTTCTCAGGGATATCTGTGTTGTGAGCTGCCCTTGCTTGTTTATCGACGCGGGGGCTTATTTTGCCGCGGCTTATCTGGGGCGGTGTATCTAGGCTTTCCGAGTCTAATTACAATATTGTATGGAGTACAATCATCTGAGACTCGAGGTTTAGACTTGAAGGGCTACAAATTAGAAATTGGACTCGATATTGAGGGTTGAAATGAAAATCCAGCCATATCCTTGCTTTTATCCTGAGAAATCGCACCATCTGAAGTTCGATTTTTACATTTTCCCTAAATAGGAATTCATTCGAATGGGAGTACTAGCAAGCGGTATACAAAGTAGCAAGTTGGGAAAACGGTAACAGAAGGGGTGCTAGAACTTTTACTGTGTCACTGTATTATTGGAGCTTAAAACATTCAATTACATCAAAAAGAGGTTGTTTTGTGCACAATTTGGGCATAGCAAAAGATAAATCATGTGAAGATTGCGACATTCTAAGGTTGTATAGTTCAGAGAGGAGGTCGCTATTAGGGACTGCGACATCGCCCGTCCACGGGTATACCCACTATGCTCACCATCATATAAGTTGTCTTAAATATATATCTGAATTAGTAGTATAGTAAATGAAACCACTATTATTTATAGGGGATTGTTATATTGACACCCCTTTGGCTAATCTGACAATCTATTCTGACACCTACGATCTTATAGCTATTACTTTCGAGATAAGAGGTTATATTAAGCACCTAGTATTAAAAGAAGTAGTTATGAAAGCTGTAGGAAATATAAAGTCTGTCACGATCTATGACTATCACATGCTTCATCACATGTCAAGGATCGTTTGCTACTTCCTTCGTTTGCTTCTTTCTTTATTTGCTATTTTTTGTTTGTTCTTCAAAGTGCTAAGCCTGATCGGGAAGGAGAGGTTTGTTTGCATGTGAGATCCCCTTACCACTATTTCCTTATCTCTGCACGTACCATGAGCGCTACAGTGAGCGCTGAAGAATTCCTGGCTAATGTTGAAGGCGGCATCGTGCCAGTGACTTGCCATGAAGATGTCTTGCGGATCGCATTCATCTATCTAGACGAGGGGCTGTGGACCGGCAACGGGGTGTTCGATGTTGTGGAGAAGCTGCACGCGCATTCCTGGTCCTTTGGTGAGGGTGAGTTACGCTTTAATCGGTAAGCCATATCCTCCTATGGTAATCACTGTATATAATTAATAAATAATAGTACCCTGGATATATTCTACCTCGTACAGCTAGCAGCAGCTATCTACCGCTATTCCTCCCAACTGGAAGGTGACTTCCCCTCCTTCTCTGATTTCCCTACCTTATACACAGCCCACCACGCCCTACTGCACTCCTCCGCCTGGCGCTCCTACTACTCCACTCCCTTCCTCACCCAGCGCACCACAGCGCGCTTCTACCGCCTGCCTGACCTCCAGGACCTCCCCGACTCCTCCTCACCGCTATGCCAGCCGCGCCACAGTCCGGTATCCGCACACGCCCTGAAACTCTCCCGCTGGGCCTACACTGTCGGGTGCACGCGCCGCAGACAGCCCTTTCTACCATTTGTGACTCTTACTACAGTAGCCCTTAGCTCGCTAGAGGCAACCATACCACGCCTACAAACGGCCTACCCTAGCGTACCACCTTATTCGGAATCACATGCGCGCTTCTGGCTTGACTATTTTATTCCTGATCCATCTCTATCTTACTTGGCTAAGGTAACTTCCCGGGAGATATGGGGGCCCGATAGCTTTGGGATATTGGTCGCACAGGGAAAGTATGATATACACGGGTTGGAAGCAGAGTACCTCGCAGAGGCATCGGGGGGAGAGGTTGCTGAGGGATATGGTGAGTCGGAGCAGGTGACATGGTGCGGGTTACCGGATGGAGGGATTGGAGAGCAGGCGTGGTGGAGGGGGTGTGAGGAAGAGGCCGGGAGTGAGGAGGTAGTGGAGTTCCTAGCCGCTGTTGCAGTGGAGGAGACAGTTAGACTAGGACTAGAAGGAATCGAGATGGATGAGTTGGACTTGTCAATCCGGTCACATATACTACTAGCGGTCATGCAGGCTGCGGTGAAGAACAGGCAGGAGAGAGAGCTTTTCCTGGGGGAGCTAGAGAGGCGGATGGTGCAGAAGGGGAGAATTGGGAAGGAGAAGGCAGGGAGGTGGGTTAGGGAGGCCTTGGGGATCATGGAGCCGTATGTACGCGTATGGCAGGGCGTGTGGCCTGGTGTAGAGGAGAGGGGGGAGATGCTGCGGCGGATCTTGGTGGAGAATACGCAGCTCCTTGCACGCTGGCGGGTGTCACCTCTTTCGAAGCAGTTCACTTTTGAGCTGGGGCCGAGGGATTAAGGGATTCAGACTCATTACGACCATTATACAACTATTAGACAGGTGTGTAGGTATCTATGTATATACATACAGAGTCAAGCAACAGAGTCAAGCATCCAAGGCCCCCATCCAAGCCCATTTATACTTCATGTCGGAATATAACATGCAATACTGGATGATGTCCACGGGTGACAACCAGTACCTGGCATCCATGGATACCACCTGGGCATACAGTTTGTCCAAAAGGCGGATTTTGTCATATTTTGCTAGTTAGATGCAGATTCATTGACCATACCATACCTTGCTGTACACGAGATTTCTGTCAGATATTATTCAACACTTGTTTCTGGGGATAGCAAGTAGTCTTCCGCACGACCCAGCAAAGCCCAGACCCAGCCCAGTACTAGGTCTCGGCGAGGTCAAGTTGGTGCAGAAGCCTAGTTACTTGTCAACAAGATCGTTAGAGTACACGGCTTCACAGGCAATATTAGTGCTGTAAAAGTAGTTGTTTATTTAGACTATCTAGTAGTAAATGCTGCACCTCTTATAGGTTACCTACGATCGCCTTCCTACCAGAATTGGTAGGCTCATGGCCACATGTAACACAAGAAGCTCATATTCATTGACTTTACGGCTTGCGCCGTGCTGCCATACGTTTAAGTTACTCTGTATCAGCGCCTATAGACGGCCATAGCTATATGATGCAACAGTCATCATCAATGCTGACTACGACTGAGAATATACTGCTGTCGCTCTAATCCCCATGTCGGTAACACTACCGACAACGGTGCGGGTTGCTTTTCTCCTCCTTGCCAAACGTCTGGATCGAGAGTGCGAATTTTAGCACAATGTGGCAGTCGGAGTCCGTTGTCCTCTGGAATCCCCTCCTCTTCTAGTCTTTCGATAGCGCGAAGCTGCTTAGGATTCGCTGCTTGACGAAGCAGAGTCCAAAATTCTGCGTCGGATACTTGCCACAACACCTTATCATCTATAGACCCTGCCTCTACTAGTTCGCCGATCACCCGGCCCGTCCGCTGATACATATCGATGTGGGCCAGATTTGACCAGACATCTTTGTCGGTAGTGATGTATGCGCGAGAAAGAATCAGCGCTATATAGGGATCGTCTAGCACCAGCAGACGGCGGGTCGCTGTAGCACTGGGAAACGCCTTCAGTGAGCCGACAATCCTTTTGGCGTCTTCTATAGCAAGCTTGCCGCAGCTGACGGCGTCGCGTAAAGCATAGTCTAGGCGATCGGCACACAGTTGAGGCGATGGCATTTCCACTAAAGGGAATAGTTCTTCTTCGAAAACCTTCTGGTTGATCCCATGTCTAGCGAGGATGTCCGGTAGCCGTGTCATCCCAATATACCGTGTCTTGTGTACCTCGTGATAGCTTCCTTCCCCAGGCTTAGAGAGGGCGTGATCGATAACGTGACTAAGGGTGGTATGAGAGATGTCATGGAGAAGAGCAGCGACTTGTTCTTCAATCGTGGCACCAACTCTTCGCACGAGTATAAATGCACCGACCGAATGTTCGAGCCGTGTGACTCGCGGTATCAGGTCCAAGAATCCAGTAACTCCATACTGGTAGATGCCTTGCAGTCGCTGCACCTCCGGACTTTGAAGAAGCTCTACGAGAACTGGCTCATGGACCAGTTCCTCTCCGTATATTTCATCTCGGATCAAGATACTATGATTCTCGATGAGTTGGTGTGTCTGGAGGACGCCGGCACTAGTAGGAGATGACATTTCTATTGGACCGATATGTATTGACAGAAGCAACCGAAGCAGGATGATTGGGAAAAGTATGTGGGCGGTCGAGGAAGGAGCGTGAAATAGGTTAAGGAATCGCAAGCGCTATCCAGTCATATAGTAAGCGGGGGCAGTGCTAGGAGCGAATGGCCATTGAACAGCTCGATATGGGCTTAGCGTTCTAGGCTTTTCACATGTGCATGCGTTACTTATGGCTTGCTGTCTCGGATCTCTGTCTGCGCCCGGGCTGAGACCAATTGAGGCGGAGCCGGCCTGCAAGCCGACAGCACCACCCCCAATGCTACCTATTGCCGTCCCGAGCACTGTGTATGATCCAACCGGACCATGTTCAAACTGTCATTGGGTATCCAGGGGCCTCAAGAGGGGTAAAAATGGAGAAAATTGGTTATCTGCTGTCGCGCAGTAAACTGACGTCGCCCTAGAAGTTCTCCGGTGTGCCGAGAATGATGTTTCCTTATCAGGGCGCCTCGATCGAGCGTTAGTGGGTTGGTAATACTAGGAATGTGCTTCCAGACAATATTGTACATCATGAACTTCTGTATTCCTCTGTTCATCGGTGGTTATTATCATTCTTATTAATTATCAAGACCTATGTACAGTCTCATACACACGGTATAGGCTCACGCACTCGGTACAAGCTCACGTAAAGGCGGCTGGCGGGGAGCATCTTTTTGTTTCGTATATACGTATATAGAGCACTTCTATGTGTACTTTCCAGGTGTATGCGGGGTAGCGGTATGCACAGTAATAAATTATAACTAGTAACTATAACATTTATACAACTTTCAGTAAGTAACTATGTTATATGAAATTAGATAAGATCTACAGTTGCTGAGACATAGTCTCCCAGGGGACTCAGAGTTGCACTCTTATAATCAGGCTCTTATATTTTGCTCAGGTCATACGTATCAACGTAGTCGATGACAGACATGTACATCCATCCAACATCCTCCTCCTCATCTTCCGTTGTCCCATCGTGCCAGTCGGGGTCAATTTTGTAATTCCTCTCCTCGGGACTCAAATTGCCCCATTGCTTATACAAAATTTTAACGACAGGCATATCCATATGGACCAAAGACTCCAAACAGATATCATCAACAAATAAGGCGAAGTTAAACCGTGCTCCAAAACCGTATTGAGGCCTAACAGTTTGATTTTTCCTCTCCGAATGCTCTCTGATTAGCCTTTCTAGTGTTTCAGAGGTGTCAACCACTTTTGGTAGTTGTTCAACCCAATCATTAAAACGATCGCGCACCTCATGCGAAGTCGCACCGTTGAAATTCTCCAGCTTGTCATAAATCACAAGATCGTGGGCCTCTAGGAGCCCTGTTCTTTCTTCTCCAGGTGGCAGGGAAAGTTCTACCGATTTTTGCACATGTTGCTGGATGAGCTGGAGCATTTTATGCCACGCAGCATTGTCTTTGAACGAGCATCGATAGATGCAAAAGCCCCATGGAAGATTTGGCTTTTTCCAGAAAGTCTCTGATCGTGACATTCGGATCCCTTCAAGTGGGATATCCTCTCCTGATGGTCCTGTGGTTGACATTTTGTGGATGATTTGATATGACTGACGGCGGAACAAATTAATGATTCGCGGTTTGAAGGGCAGCATTTCAGCTGGAGATTGTATTGTTATTTGTAGGATATAGAATTATTAGCAGGCAAGTGAATACTTTGAAATTGGAAGTAGGAGAGGAAGAGAAGGTGTATATAGCATTTTAGACCACCATATCACATGACTAGACAATAACCCCTTAACAGCCGTCAGAGATTTCTTCATATAGTGGTGTACTAGTATTTGTGAATTAATTTATCAAACTTCAGAACTTTCGAGTGTCATTGTGTTGGTGAATGGCTGCGGCTATGGCCTATCTACCTGACTCTATTTAGACCAAAAACAGCCCCAGATTATCAAATCACTTCTTAAGAGGAAAAGCAATCTGACTTAACGACTTTTTCAGCTCTTCTGACTCGTACAAAAGCTTTGTCACAGCGTCATTTCCCGTGGAATCACCCAGCGGGAATTTTGAAGCGATTTCTGTGATTCGGTTCGCCACTGGGAGGTCGACATAATATGATTATCCGGCTCAAATTCCTTCCAAATGGCCAAGATGCCCTTGAGCTTCGGTATATATTTGTCAGCGTATCCAATCTCAGTTGCCAATTAAGGCCGGGCTTGGTCAAGATATGGAGGCAGCTTTCTATAATTCAAGTAGTTCCATAAAGCAATGGTGTGGATCTATCAGCTCCCGACTTGACTAGAGAAAACCAGATTCATATATACCTGCTGAATATTGTCCAGAATACAGCTTGGTCGATTCACTGATTGAATACGTCTACACCCATTGTCCTATCACCTAGGAAGATACGCATCTTCATCAAGTCCAGGTCAGTATCAAGCAGTGGCATTCCTGTGCGATAGGAATAGGACCCAAAAATCTCGAAATTTGGCGCGATCACCGCCTTGAAATCTGTCACTTTCACTCCGGCCAGTGGTCAAAACACGCCGTATTTCTTGTTCCAGCCCGCAAGGAGCTTATATGCATCGATTGTAGGTGCCTTTAAATCAAGTCCACCAGATAAATTCCCGGGCAGTGTAGTTTTAAGGAATGCAGGTACCATGTTGAACTAGATGGTCTGTTAGTATAAAGCAGAGGAGTAGGAGCAATGCCGCTCGTAAGTCCCAAGGAAATATTCCTTTATTCTCAAGTCAACTTGTAGAAGTGAACTCTACACATTTAAAATACCCAGTATTCCTCCTTTATCATATTTTTCCGTTTCCTAATTCGGTACCATATTGATTATCGTGATTCATTGCATGCTTCCGAGGAAAGCTTTGGTACTATGTATACTCTCACATCTAGGTCTCAAGGTTGGCAATGACAACTGGAGAACCTGTTAGATTCAGTGATATCCTCTGAAATGATGGAAACAAGCCCAGGAATAAAGGTGGGAACCCACGGGATCCAATCCATTTCCATCAACGCCTTACAGAAACCCAGAAAACATTGCAGCGTGATGATAAGACGGAAATATTAAGAAAGCAAGAAGATCACTCTTCCAGATATCCAATCATCACTGTGCCATTTTTCAGTCCTGCGTCTGCAATGCTCGTGGTAAGTTGATCAATGAGATTGCGCCCCATGCTATTCAGGTCAAACTCGACACCAGCCTTGTCTTCCAAGGGAGGGTCGGCCTTGAGCCATTCATAGATTCTCTGAACAGGATCCGACAATGAGAAGCGCCGAATGACTCTGCCAGACGGGTGTCGGAACTGAATGCGTGTAGTTGTGGCTGGGTCAGCAGCAGGTTCAGTGTGTGGTTGGTCGCTGGGAATGGACGCGAATGGAGAAGCTTCGGCAACCGGCTCCGGTTCATCCATGATGACATCTTCCTCACTGATAGCGCGGCCCTTGCCCTTAACATTGTCTGTACTGCGCGTCAAATCATCAGGATCTTCGAGTGTCGGACCAGCTTCTGCTGCACCCCCAAGACTGTTTCTCATTGCCATCTCCATCATCTCCTCCTCGGTCATGGCATCCACGCTCTTCTTGTCTTTCTTATCGGATTTGCGCTTAGCGACAGGGTTGCGCACATTGCGGTTCAAGCTGTAGCGATCGAGGAATTCGTGAAGTTGCATGAGGAAGTCAGCGGGCTTGATCAAAGGCGGTCCAGACCAGACCTTCATTTGTTCACCAGTTCGAGGATCGACAATAGCAATGTGGGGGTAATTGTCGGAGACGTCGCTTCCCTGGAAGTAGTATTGGAGGTAGGAAGACGCGCGGGGGTCGTCTTTCGAGTACTGCAGGAAAATGAAATGTTCCTTGACGGTATCTTGAACCCCGCGATCCTTCCACAAATCACGGTTCAGAACCTGACAGTCAAAGATTGATGCATCCTGGACATTGACAAGCAGCCATTTCTCGGTGTCTTTTCCCTCGTCGCGCGCCACATCCCAAGGCAGTCGTGACATGATCTCGAAGGGAGGACGGTACATTTCGGCGAGCATATTGGATTTGGACGACACATCCGATGCACCTCCAGTAGCGGCGGAAAGTGCTTCGCGACGAGATTCATCATCGCCCGTCCATATGGAAGATGACTCTCGCTGGTTGAAGATTCCGGCTCGGCCTAAGTAAAATGTCAGTTCAAGTTATTGGAAAATTTGTAAACACAAATAGCACCAACCTCCTCTTCCACGAGCTCGTAGTTGGCTGAGAATATTGGCGTGCATGTCTTCACCATTGTCATAGTCCGCCCCAGGGCCCACCAAAGTCTCTGTTGTCCGCGCCAACGGCGCTCTCACTTCATCTGCATGATCTGGGCCACCCGGACCACCATACATCTCCTCCTGAAGGCGTCGAGCCATAGCCTCATCGTCATCGAATGTTGGTGGGGCGGAGTGTTGGGGGGTATCGTCATCAGTGTCCGAGTCAATATTCACTATCTCAGAATCGTCTGGGATCCCAGACCGATGAGAAGGCCGAGAAGGTTCACCAGTCAAGGGAGCGCCTCCACTTTCGAAGTAAAGCTGCATGGCCTGCTCGATTTGGAACTCGGTGATCTGCAGGTACTGTATAGCCAGCTCCGGCGTGGAGCCGGTAATTTCGGTGAACTGAGCTACCACGTCGTTATCCATGGTGGGTAGAGTGTTGAATGAGGTTCCTTGAGAAAGATATTAATGTTAGGGAAGAAAGCTAGAAAGGATTGACTTTGGATACCCACTGAAAGCTTAGGTGCAGTATGGAATGGGGCAAAGACTCGGAGGTCGTGTTATGTGGGGAGCGAGATTTGGTGCAAACTACTGCAAACCAGAAGATCACTAAGTCCCACAAAAGAGATTGAAAAGAAATTAAGACAAAAGAAAAACAGAAAAAGAAGTTTAGCTTCACGTAGGCTGAAAGAATTCCGTCATCTCGAATTCCAAAACGCACATGAGACAATCATTGACACCTCAGGTGGCTCCCAAGGCCGGGGCCGGTGACGCGGCTGACTAAGGCCTGAAGAAATGCACATGCGGTAGATATACTCGGCCGTAGCCATACGCGCGACGCGTCCAGCGCGTTGAACGATTAGCCCCAGTAGTGGAGCTGCCAATTACACTTCCTAACTGGGCTCTGGGCCTTCTTTCCTGACATTCTTCTTAACTTCTACGGAAATTGTGATTGTTCTTCCTGCCTTGTTTTTTTCTTCTATGTTTCCTAAGTCATGGCAGGAACCGTCCTAGGAAAGCGCACTCGTGGTGCTGTAGAACCAGCTGGAGGTAAGATCAGCCATCCCACCTTCCTCCTTATCTTCAAATCCTCACCTTTTTAGCATTGCCGGTACGAACTGCAAGCAAGCGCCGAACAGTTGCTCCCCGAGTCCACCAAGAAGACGCTATCCCAGCCCCATTACGGCGAACAAGGTCAACTGTAAAGAAAACAGTCGAACAACCTGATCAAGAAAATGGCGAGAGCAAGACAGTGTCGGAAAATGTTTCTTCTAAACATACCTTGCGCGATGATCATTTCAAATCTCCAGTCAAGATCAATTCGCATTTCACCGTCTCAAAACCAGTGGAAGGTAAGTTGGAAAATTTGGATGTTGCGCCTGAGGCAGCGCTAATCGCATGTGCAGAAGAGATTACGAAACCTATTGAATTCGAATTCAAGACACCTTCGAAATCGCGATTCCGAGATGCGCTACCGCAATCTCCTGTTACCCCTAGACATCGAGTGCAGGTCGGAGCGAAGGCAGTAACACCGAGGACTCCTCGCCATGCCGATCTTCCCCCGACCCCCAGACAGAGTGCCACTCCGAAAATTACGGACTCAGTGTATTCGCAAGCCAGGCAACTGTTCGCCCGAGGTTCCAACTCCGGCCGCTTAGTGGGACGCGATACAGAGCGGGAAAAGTTGGTGTCCTTTATCACAGAGGGGGTAGAGTCTCGCACAGGAGGGTGTCTCTATATCAGCGGCCCCCCAGGGACCGGAAAGAGTGCCATGGTCCATGAAGTGTGTGGAGATCTAGATCTTTCCAATGTGAAAGTCTCACATGTGAACTGCGCAAGCATGCGAATCTCTCGTGATGTTTACAGTAGACTTGTCCAAGATTTCTGTGGGGACTCGGATATGTTCAAGAAAAGTGAAGCAGATCGGTTGAAATCTACGTTCATTCCATCTGAGAAAGGGCAAGATCTGTTTCTGGTCACTTTGGATGAGATTGACCATCTGCTCAATGGGGATTCAGGGGTTTTGCAGTCACTTTTCGAGTGGTCCCTGCATAGCAAATCCAAGCTGATGTTGATTGGAATCGCCAATGCCCTTGATTTGACCGACCGATCTCTCCCACAGTTAAAGGCGAAGAACCTGAAGCCGCGCTTGCTGCCATTCTTGCCGTACAGTGCTGCATCTATCGCAAACGTCATGACCAATCGTCTTCGCTCATTGCTCCCTGCTGGGGCAGAATCAGACGCAAAGCTTGTTCCATTTGTTCAACCGGCCGCCATCCAGCTTTGCTCGAAGAAGGTAGCCTCGCAGACAGGTGATCTCCGCAAGGCCTTTGAGTTGATTAAGCGGGCAATCGATGTCATTGAACAGGAAACATTCCTCAAGTTAGATAAGCAAGCTAAAGAGTCCGAGAATATTTCGATACTAGGAGAGAACACCAATTTGTCTTCGCCTGCCAAAGTCGGTAGTGTTCCGAAGCCAACTTCCATGTCAAGCTACACAGTCATCACAGCACCCCGAGCCAGCATCGCCCACATTGCCCGAATCACATCCGCAGCTTTCGGTCAAGGCACTGTTCAAAGACTTCAAAGTTTGAATCTGCAACAAAAAGCTGCTATCTGCTCCCTGATTGCGCTTGAACGCAAGCGCCGCCAGCTTGAGGTCCCAAGCACGCCCTCCAAGTCGCGCAATTCAGTGCCCACCATCAAGCAAGCATTTGATACATATTGTGCTCTGTGTCGCAATGACAACATTCTGCACCCCTTGACGGCCACCGAGTTCAAAGATGTTCTCAGCAATTTGGAAACAATGGGCCTGGTTGGGGAGTATCAGGGTCGCGGCCGAGGCGGAACTGTTGCAGGTGGTACAGATGTACGCCGCACACCTTCCAAATCTGGCCATGCGCCTTCGACTCCTCATAAGGCCCTTGATGAACAAGGCCTAGTCTGCTTCGTTTCCCAGCAAGAAATTGAGAGTCAGATTGTTGGTCCCGGTGAAGGAATCCTTCGGCGCCTTCTCCGTGGTGAGGGACTATGATTCCCTTCCCTATCTCTCAAGTGCATTCACACAGCATGGCGAACTTTCACTTTTCATTCCCCATTCCCCATTATTGCATCGTCGGAGTCCCATGCGAGGGCATTTTTATCATGTGTAACATTCTAGGAGTTTTCTTTTTGGAGTTGGAGATATCCTCGTCTCGTCATTTTTAGCGTCTTTCAATCACGACTTTCCTTGTTGTCAACTCTCCTTTGTCTTTGCTCTTCCTCGATGTGAATACATGAGATCTCATCCACGAAAACAGATAAAAAAAATACATGACTTGATCAATGAAATTGAAACCAAAGGGATCTTCTCGTAAACTAACGCCACTGTGTCCAGATAGACCAAGTACATAGAATGGTCAAACTATCATGTGACATATCCTTACCCTGGCTCCAGGGGTGTGGAACAAGTCATGGATGGGTATCATTCACTTAAACAGTCAGCGAAAAATGCCGCCCAAATAGCGCCTCGCGTCTTTGGTGTGCTTATTACTTTGCAGTCATTTTGATCACACAGCCATTTCTGGTCGCCTACTTGACTTCCAGGCTGCGTGGCAAAGAGCCCGACCACCTTCATGACCCTGATCAGGCATCTGACACTAAGCTCAAAAATAAAAAGGTGTCCATACTGGCTCAGGTCTGCGTGAGCTCGCCCATGACTATAGTTGAGATGAAGCTAAGGCCATCAATTTTACTTTCGGAAACGTCTGTCTTCTTGGGTGAGTTTAATCTTTTGGTGTAATCCTATATCCGGAATGTTAACAAGAATTCATACGGACGATGATCCGGTCGTGAATACCAAGCAGATCGGTATTTCTGTCAAGACAAAGATAAAAGAAATGATTTAGACCCCTGTCCTCCCTATTGTATTTCTAGAGGTATGATCATCTAGATCGCATGATAGGTCGAACAATACGCGGGGTATGTAGAAATTATGCAATGTGATAGACAAACAAATAATCCATGGATGGAAAGCACTGGCATCTTGCTTGCATAACAGTTTCCAAGATTTACATGTATGAACCATGCCCAAGTTTGGTTTGTTCTATTGCACCTACGCCTGTTATCAGCCCTGCTCTTGAGCCTTTCAGGATACACTCAAGTTTAGTTGTCAACCATGGAGGCATTTGATTCAAGTCAAGCACAGGTGGAAGCCTTTGATCTCCTACCTGATAGCCAACCCAACGACCGTCAGCTGATGGAGAACCTTATGGAATATCATGCTGAAAAGAGAAACTCTGTTATACCGTACCTGCTAGAAAAGAGTCCAGAGTTCCGAGAACTCAGTGATGTGAGACAGCAGGTCAGTCAAATCCACCTCAGACATTGCATATACATAATTCTCACCATACTGTTAACAGGGATGGGAAACCCCAGAAGGCGATAAATACTTCGCGAGCCTTCGTCGAAATGCCGACAAGTCTGACGAGAAGACGTCAACTTACTTTCATAATCTTATGAAGACAATTGGATACGAAATTGATCGAGCTACCAATGCCTTCAAGATCCAGCAGGTTGATTCAACCCCACCTGCCATTCTCGACATCTGCATGGCCCCCGGTGCGTTCCTCCAGATAGCATTGAAAAAGAACCCAGGCTCGCACGCTCTGGCTTTTAGCTTACCTGTCTCCCGTGGAGGGTACAGAAGTCGTCTAGCAAGCGGCTCGAATACGAAACGAGTATACCTGGACGTGACTATGCTCGCTGCGGACATGGGTATGGACCAGATCCCTGAGGGCCACGAAGATGCTGAGAACTTTTTGCCCCGGCAATTTGAGGAAGGTCAGCTTTTTGATTTGGTCATTTGTGATGGCCAGGTGTTGAGGCAGCATTTACGTGGTGCCTATCGAGAGAGCCGGCAAGCGAAGAGACTGGTCACCACGCAACTCGCTCTGGGTCTTCAGCACGTTAGACCTGGCGGCACTATGATTGTTCTTCTTCACAGACTTGAAGCTTGGAATACTGTCAATCTTATTTGGTTGTTTCATAAGATTCCGGCTTTTCAAGCCAAAGAAAGGTCACGCCAAGCGATCATCGTTTTACATGGTTGCTACGGATATTCAAAGCCAAACCCCAGAGGCTATTGAAGCGATCAAGCGGTGGAAGAGAATCTGGCGGGCTGCCACATTTGACTCTGATGAAGATTACGGCAAGGTGATCTTGGATGAAGACTCATCCATAGAAACACTGCTCGAGGATTTCGGGCCGGAACTTGTGAAGTTGGGTAAAGCAATCTGGAAGATACAGGCGGATGCTCTAGCTCAAGCACCATTCATGAAGAAATCCAAGTGATCGATGGGAAGAGAAGTGGTAACTAGACAACCCATCCCCGAACGATTATTTGGATTGATTCTGTCAGATTTCATAGTCTAGAAACTAGCTTCTACAACTCTATACTCAATCAAGCTTCTTACATTCCACCATGCACTTCGATGTAGTCCTCTCTTGACAGGTTATTAGCCCAGGAAGCTCTCTATTCAACCGTCCTCGTCACCATCTTCGGCTTCGACGCCGCACTATCGTTATCATCATCGTCGTCGCCATCCCCGTTATCACTATCGTCAACCGGCCAGGCCAGACCCCCACCCACAACCACCTACAAACATTTGAACAATCTCATCAAAATACCCTTACCTAGGGTTTTCTCACTTCCCTTTCACCTCCCTTTCACTTCCCTCTCGCTGCCCTCTCACTTCCCTTCCCTCTCACTTCCCTTCCCTCTCACTTCCCTCTTACTGTCTGTAAGGTGGTATCCAGACCTCTCCCCTCTATCTGCCTCACCCAGAGAATTCAATTGGTGGATATACAAGATCAAGCACTCCTTAAGTTGCTACGAAGTCATCTTTTTGTTGGGTTTACATTACTATGTCGGCGATATATTTACAGATATTGTTACAACCTGCCCCTGGACTGGCGAGTTACATACTAGGCCAAAAATACCACTATATCTGAGCATTACGCTCAGATATTCCAGGCTACGATATGTATAGTGCGACATGATAGGTATAGACGTTTGTGTAATCATGGGAATTTGGGCCGCTTTTCATATTTACAAATGGCCAGGCTGGTTATATACAAATGGAGCCAGCTCTCTCTCCCAAACCATATTCATATATAATTATACCGGGGGACCAGCCCCCTTCTCCTCCCGTACCACCCGCGACAGCACCCCCGGCTCACTAACTGGTGGGTCCTGCAGGACGCGCCGGCGTGGGTGCAGGCTGACTACACAACAGAATCAACGGTCAGCACATTGCTGCTGTAGATCTGATATAGCAACAAATCACATACCCTCTAATCTTGACGCGAGCCCACTAAAAGAGAAGGCTTATTCCCTCCCTAAAAAGGAGTGCCAACAGGATCACTCTGTCAACTTTGAGGGCAATGATCGGGCCCTTCTCGGCAGTTAGGCGAAGGATCTCAACGCCCACGGAGTCATCATTGCTCCGCTTGTGAAGGGGCACTGGGGCTAAAAAAAAAAAAAAAAAAAAAACGTGTTAGAAAGAGGCCAAAAAGCACCAAGAAGGCACCAGACTTACCAGCCAGGGCGGGTAACACAAAATACAGCACAAAATATATAAGGATGTCCTTTTGAGGATGGTATGGTATATTTGCAAAATGATGTGAACGTGAAGTTCTTAGGTCGGCTACGAAACTGTTTTGCAGACTACAGGGGAAGCAATGGCTTGTAGGGAAGGTACGAGCCTGCTTGCAAAAGCTTAGTTGGGTAGTTATATACATCAAGATACAGCAATATCCATACCTAGCGAAGCCAATCAGCGAGTCTTATCCCTCTTCTTTACAGAAGCCTTGCCATTTGTAATCTGTCCATAGGTTGGTGGCGCATCAATCATATCAAACGGACTATCATAGCTATCACCGACAAGTCCCCATATCGTGACTCGTATAATTCGGTGCGTAGGAAAATGGCTCATTTCCTCACGGCGTCGTGCTTTCAGCAATTTCTTATCTTCTTCGGGAATCTCAAAGCCTCGGGCTCTCCGACAACAACCACATTCAAAAGTACAATGTCCAACTCCAAGCGTATGCGCAGGATCAATACTACGGTTAAGACAACATCCACACGCACGAGCACAGCATCCCTGTCGGCTAGCACAATCATCAACAAGCATACGGTCCATATACCATTGAGGATGGGACCGCCATAGCTCAAACGCTCTTTGTAGATACCCCTGTTCTAGACAAGAACGATAATCCACCCACGTTTGCATCAAGAGCCAGTATTTGACATTAAGAGCAGAGAGTCTCTCTTCGGCATCCTTATTCAAGGTCTTATGTTCCTCTTTAAAGGATATCTCTTCTTGGACAACTTCTCGGAGGTCTTCCTCCACAAACAAAAGCTTATGCAAGTTAAAAGGAGGCGCGGATTTGTCTTTTCTAACTTGCCTCCCGTATTGAATCAAGCGATATCTTTGGAGAGTATTTATATCCCCAGATTGTTCGAGGTCGACTTCCCATTGGTATTTGTCACCCTTTAGGGTGCCGAGTGCCTTTATGTATGCGTGATCGCGGATCGGCTTCTCTTTACGGAAGGAAATCGGCATCTCGGATGTTGGAACGTGTTGACCGAATTTGAGGATGAAGAATGCTTCTCGCTTGTGCTTCTAGTAAAATTTACCTATATGATGTCAGCTTACACCCTCCGACACCTAAAAGGTTGATGACTTTATCTTTTCATTGAAACCTTAGATCTAATCCTAAAGTAAATCCACCCTGCTATGGGTCTCTATATAAAGAAGAATAAATGTTCACAGGTAACGGAGCAATGGCTACTGTGCAATCCCTTTGCCTATATATTTAGACAAGGACTAAATATTACCCTTTTTCTGTGATGTGTGATGCAATCCAAATGTATATAACGGAGCCGATTCTATCCGTTCTGTCAAAGCCTTGGCTTCATTAGAGCTCCGAGATCCAAACCAAGAATACCAATCCAACATCTCCCTATTCCCAATCCTATGACCAACAATCTCCCAGTCAATTACAGCCTCCATACCCACCAAAACCCACCCTCCCCTCTCTTATCGCAAAGTGGACCCCACCACACCCTCATATAAACCCGCCATCAAGACCCCTGTTCTTCCCACTACCTAACCCTATCAAAAATGGACTACTCCCTGCAAAACCACGCTTCCTACATCGGCCGTCCGATCTCCGAGCTTCCAACCCCAGCCCTAATCCTAAGCAAGCCCATTCTAGAACAAAACATCCAGACCTTACTAGAAGATGTGAAACAGTTGGGAATTGAATTCCGGCCGCATGTCAAGACTCTCAAGGTACTATTCCTGCCAAGTATCTCCAAGCAATATACTAATTAAACCGCAGTGCATCGAGGTCACACGCATGATGCTAGGAAACGGCACGCACAGACGCATCGTCGCATCAACACTAGCCGAGATACGAGGGTGTCTGGATCTCGTCAAAGAAGGAAAACTAGACGAAGTGAGCTACACTACCTATCCCTAAAAAAAAGCCACCTAACAAATCTCAGTGCCTTTACGGCCTCCCGGTCTCATCCACCGCCCTCCCACAGCTGCAAGCCCTAACAAACACTCTAAAAATCATCCTAATGATCGACAGCGAGCAGCAAATAGACCTCCTGGAATCCTACGCCTCAAAGTCCCCATCCCCCGTAGCACCCTGGCCGGTCTTCATCAAGATCGATATCGGCTCACAGCGCGCAGGAATAGTCACCGACTCACCCTCCCTCCCAAGCCTAATCCAGCGCATCGAGTCGTCGTCCGCGGCAACCGTATACGGCTTCTACTGTCACGGCGGACACTCATATGCGTGCCGCACAGCAGACTCCGCTGCCGCGGTGCTACACGCCGAAGTCGAGGGTGTTGTCGATGCAGCGAAGGTGCTTTTAAACGGGAGGTCCGGGAGACGGGTTGTTGTTTCGGTTGGATCGACGCCGACGGCGCATGTGGTTAGAAGACTGCGTGGATTACCCGAGGGAATGGAGTTGGAGTTGCATGCTGGTATGCCGATGAAGATTGACTCTGCCACTACCACATGCGCATGAAATCGCATGGAATATCAGAAACAGATACTGACACAACCACTAGGAAACTACCCAACAAACGACCTGCAGCAGGTCTCGACGTCCCTCGTAGAACCCTCGCAGCAGGCAATGCGCGTCCTCGCCGATGTGTGCAGCGTGTACCCCACCCGCAACGAGGCGCTCGTCAATGCGGGGACGATCGCGCTGTCGAAGGAGACGGGTGAATTCCCCGGGTATGCGGTTGTCGCTGATCGGCCGCAGTGGAGTGTTGTGCGGATGTCGCAGGAGCATGGGATTTTGGGGTGGACGGAGTCTGAGCAGACGCGTGGGCTTGTTGGGAAGATTGGGTCGAGGGCTTGTGAGGGGGAGATGGTGCGGGATGCGTTTAGGGTTGGGGATAAGGTTTTGTTGTATATTCAGCATGCTTGTATTACGGCTGCGATGCATTATGCTTATTATGTTGTTGATGAGGGGGATATTGTTAGGGAGACGTGGGTTCCGTGGAAGGGGTGGTGAGGGTATTGTTGGGGTTTATGTGGTTTTGTATGTTGCTGGTGGTTGGCTGAGTATATATGGGTTTATATAGACTGGGATTATGTATTATTAGAGAAATTGAGTAGCAGATCGGAGAATTCGTGTGAAAGTATATGTTCTGTACTTTAATAAGTGAGATGGCCAGAATATTACATATCGCCCAATACAATAGGGTCCTGTGACATATTTGATATAGAGCTGGCGAATAGAATTTACAATGATTGGTACAATTACTGAGAATGGAGTAAATCTTCGTAGATCATGATCGTGAATTAATTATCAAGAGTAGAGAAATTTCGAAGAAATCGAGATACTCAAAACGGAGACTCGTAACCTTCGAAACCGACTGGATGGGTAAGATGTGGATATTTTGCAAGCCATAACTAACCCATCCAGAGGTGGAGGTGAAACATAAGTAGTAAAAAAAGAGTATTATGCACAAGTGAACAGAAGGTGAATGGGTATCATGCAAACTTGACTGGAACAAGACCCGGAGAAATGCGCAGCCCGACTGTTTTTCGTGGGCGATTTCCTTTCCATCGCTGGTATCATGAGGCCCTTTGTTGAGATGGGACCGAAAGTGGGAAGGATGAAACTCCATGAAGAAAAAAAAAAAAAAAAAAAATAAGAAATTATGGTAGAATGTAAAGGTTGTGAATAGGTGATTTTTTGGTTGATCATGGGAATCGTAAAGTCGTAATGGATAGCGATATTCAAGATAGCTGATTAGAAATGTTGGGAGTTTTTGAGATTTATTGACGGATGGAGTCTGTTGAAGGGGCGCGAGATGGGGTGCGCGAGGGAACAGGCGAGGCGGCAGGCGACTCCCCAGTGACGAGATCGTCAGTGGTAAAGCGCGGCAAGCGACCGTGGGTAGACCGATTGGAGGAGAGGGTGGAAGAGCGAGTAGAGCTGCTGTCCAATCGCAAGGAGTCTATGCGCTCCAGGTTGTCGTAGTCAGGGAGGGAACCGTTATAGTCCTCAATGAAGCTGTGGGCGGGATCGGGCTTGGTGTAACAGGGAGGGCTGGCGGGAACGTCCTCATAAATGGGAGGCATCTCCTCGTCCCAGCTAATCCCGAGACCACCACGCTGGGTGACGTGGAGGTGGAATTGCATGCGAAGCACACGGGCAGCACCGGTTGGAGTAATTAGGCGGGTGTTGCCATTGGGGCAGAACTCCTCGGCGACAATAAGCTCGATGACAAGGTTGTGCTTGACTTCTAAACCGCCAGCGGCATCCATGTCGCACACGGCATTGGCAGCCGGGTTGATGTTCGCATCGAATTGCATGGTGATCTCACCACCAGCGGTGTCAAAGTCGGTCTTCCAGCCAGTCTTCTCCTCGTTGTGTCCGATGACACGAGTCTCCTGATGCAAAACACCCTTGCCCTCGCCGCCGATCTTGTGAGCGTGCTTTTGGCATGCAGTAGAGATAATCTTCTGTTGCTCCTCAATGCGCCACATCATCTTTCGCAGACGCCAGCGGGTCTGCGTCTTATCTCCCTTTTCGACCACGCCACTGAGAGTCATCTCGACAGGGAAGTTTCCGATAGGGTAAACGACGGAGGGCAACACAATGCGGCCTGTGAGGTTGGTTGGGGGGAAGATGCGGATGGATGACTTGTCGGGGCCGGGAAGCAGAGAACGGCTAAGATCCAGAGGCAACTTGAGGCTATATTCCTCTCCGGTGATGCTGCGGGCATGCGCCAGTAGGAAGTATTCAATCTGGCCCAGCACGCCATTGCAAGAAGCAGGAAGGTGGCCGGGAAACAAGTAGCTGAAAGGGAAGTCGTGGTCTCCGCCATTGAGGTGCAGATCCTCGGTGATAAAGTTCCATTGGGTCAGCTCCTCAGTGCGACTAGCACAGCCAGAGCAGTGATGCGAGACAGGCTTCTTGGTGCTTGTCTTGTGGACGAGGCGCACATCAAATTGGCTCAAGACAACTCCACCAGGCAACTCTGCGACTGCGATGCGCAAACGTCCGGAGAACAATGCGCCAGTGGAGCTGGTGGGTGGGCCATAGCAGACCAGTGGTGGCGACTCGATCAGGACATCCAGCTTGGCCGCCGGTTGGTGCGCCTCATGGCTAGAACGCTCCTTCGAACGTCCTGCGCGTCCCAGACTGCGGCGCTTCTCTTTGCTGTGGTCCCGGAGAGGGTGAATCAAGTGATCCATGGAGAAGGATAGACGGCGGTCCGGAGATCGTGCACGTTCTGACTTGTGGGCTGACTTGTGGGCTGGCTTCTTTGGATGTCCGGGGATTTCATCAACGGAGGTTGTTGAGGAGGAGTTGGAGTGATTGGGAGTAGAGGTGAGGGAGGAGGAGTGTAGAGAACCCGCGGTCCGGATCAGGTTGGGGATTAGACGGCCAGGCATGTTGGGCTGTTGTAGAAAAGGCTCAATTAAATGTAGGGCTTCGTATGTTCAAGAAGCAGTACGATGATGAAATAATTGAGAAGCCAGTGAAGCAATCCAAAGCATAATAGGAAGTATGTAAGGTGAACAAGAAATATATTTCCACAAAGTGCGCAAGCCGCCGCTTTTGAATGGCAAGAACAATCATGTGCTAACAAGTAACTGAATCCGTGGAAAACTAAAAAAGGAAACCAAGAAAATTCGAATTTTCTTTTACATTTTTTTCTTTTTTTTCTCTTTTTGGTTTCCACTTAGTCCACTTGCCAGGTACCGGTGCATTCAATGAGAAAAAGAAAAGAAAAAAAGAAAATTAATAGTGGAGCATCACACAGCGTCATAGTGGAGTCTGACAATACCCATACAATGTAATGACATTTAACTTACATTACATCTTTACCCCTCCAAGGTCCCTATTTGGTTCAGATTTCAATGATTTGATGTTTGTTTGTTATTCTGAGATCATTTCTATGCCAAGTCGCCATTCTACCCGTGGACACCTCATTCAATGGCATCATCTCTTGTCTGAAACAAAGAACCTGAACTAGGCCTCGTAGAATATTTCATTCTATTTACTAAGTATTTAGGCAATATGCGGTGTATAGAATTACCTAGACTATATATAAACATCTATACAACATACAGGATATACTATACTCTCGGAATTTAGGATCGTCTGATTCCATCTACCCCACATCCCAAAAATTATAGACATCATGCTTCGATCACTGAAGTCCAGACTAAACCCCATGAGGGCAGTCGATGGGAGCACATGATCCTACTGTTGGCCAGAGCTAGACCGTGCGTAATGAGTCACGTACCCGTTCGGCTAAACCGGTCGGATATATCGCTTTGCGATGTCTCGGCATTCTACAAAACATATACTATACAAAGTATACAGACTATACGGAGTAATCGCATCTTTCAAGTTGTGTTTGCCCGTGACGTTGAATCTCAAGCCCTGAAACCCTAAGGTATATAGCCAATGTGGTCAATGTGGTCAATGTAATCAATATAACCAATAACAGCACGGTTCGTACTTATGTTGACCAGATGGACACGGAAACGTTACCCCGGCTTTGGATTATCAAGCAGTTCATAGCCCAGGGCTACAGTATACGACACATACACACGGAGAAGTGCCCGACGAGGCATGTGTCTTTGACTTGGAATTGCCACGACAACCTGCATGTCGTATCTTGTTTTATAGGTTTCATTTGAAATTGTCTATTAATATAGTACTTTTCATACTATATACTGCTTTGTCTGCTTACAAAGAGTAAAAAGATTCCCAAGTTCCAAGGTTAGATCAAGCCATCACGTGGCGTGATGGCGTAGAATCACAGTAATATGGAACATCCAGACCAGGATACGATACAATACTGGGTCAATACCATGTTCCATAGAAATTCCAGAGGATCTTCGACCTTAAATAATTCAATCCACTTAACCGCATTGGGACAACCAAACGCGATGAGGACCCTTCGGAGCTCCACCGGGAAAAAATTTTCATTGCATTTTTTTGTATTTTTCAGTCTGATATAAAAAGGACTATAAAAGGAAATATTTCTTACCGAGACGCATTTCCTTTCGAGGTTGGCAACTCTTGTACCTCCGTACCCTGTAAGCCTCTACCCCGCATTGCAAGCCTTCCTTTTTTGCGGGGGTCTGAGCAATTCCCCCTGGAGTAGAACATAGAAATGAAGCATCTCAAAAATATCATATCAAAGTGCAAAATGATATTCAACAAACGTTCTAGCCCTTCCATCTGTCAATATATGCTCCGTGCTCTTAAAATCGCCCCTTGACGAATCACCATCCCCGCCGTATACACTAATTACCTAACAACAATATCATCAGGATTTAACCGCTCACTTCTCGCCTATAAGAATCGACCTCGCGCGCAGGATGTCCAGGTACTGGTGCAGCACGGACACGTTGTGTGCAGGCTGCTTGAAGAATTGCGGCTTATGTGTTGGGGCTCGTGCGTCGGGTCAGGATGCCTAACTCGCCCGCTATGGGGCCGTATATTACACTCCGAACTCCGTAGAGTGGTTTTTTCTTTCTTTTCGGAGCTCTATACGGAGTAGCTGATCACGCCATGTGTTGCTCTCCATTGTTTATGTGGTATTTGGGCTTGGACTGATGCCATTCGGCTTCTTTCTTGCAATCCCCGCGTGAGCTGTGTCTCGCAGATTCTTAGATTCCAAGGTTTAGTGAGTTGCTTATTCAGGTCGATCGATCTATATAATACGTTGTATATTGCGCAACATTGTCTTGATCTATCTATCTAATACTACTCTGTGGGTAGAGAACTAATAGACGTATCCTTTTCAGCATTGAACATGTATAAAATTGCACCACTACTCCGTATCTCCTTTCCCCTTCTCCTCGGACCTACTGCATGAGGTATATACTAGAAATGATTCATCATAGTCCTAGATCAATAGTCACGATCGCAAATCAGTGGCTGTCGTCTGCCGGTCGGATGGACTAGCCAATAATGGTTGCTAAAACGGATGCCGGCAAAGCGTCTCAGGCGAACTTCCTCTTTCGGGGCGATCTCGGGCTGCTCCTCCGATCTGTTTTCCTTTTTTTTTTGTTCCTTTTTTTCCATTTAATTCGCCGAACTCCTTCACATCGGAAAAAAGTACTCCCTACACTATAAGTACAAAGTAGTATGGAGAGAACGTGCTCCGCCATATGCCATACAGGATTAACGCCAGCATAACGCCATCTCGTCATCGCCTATGTATATAAGCCCTAAGCAGTGATGTACATTCGTGTTACCATTCCTTTGCAACATTTAAATGGCGCCATTTAAACCAAAACTAGTCGAAACATTACAATTCAAATGAATACAATGAAATTAGTAAAATCAGTTCTCGGAAAATGCCCGGGTCTCCGCTTAAATGCGGGAAAGCAGAAAATTTCTGTCGGGGCCCTCCACCCGGAATTTTTATATTCGGCCCGTTGAAACGTGATCTTAAGCCTCACCACTCACGGCCCGCTATAGCCACTCTCGTCCCTGGTTGACAATCCTGCCCAGCGTACCTTTTACGCTTCCCCTCGCTTAAATACGGAATATATAGTAGTGGAATCGTATCCTTGAAATGAGGGCAACTATACGGAGAACTCCGTAGTGTCAGCAGTTTTAGGTTGTATCGGAGGCCGCGGGGGCCGGTCGTCTCTCCGGATGACGAGTAGCTTGGCAATGAGACGATCTTTATGAGACCATCGTGATGAGACCACCTCCGTTAGCCGATTTAGAAAGTGCAATGGCGTTGATTTGTCTGGCGGTGTGGGAAATATTCGTCTGTGTATTGGGCCAGACTCATCTATCGGAATCAACGAATATATCTTGGCTTTATAGTTGGCTGACAATATATAATGCGGAGCGTAGAGAAAACTAGCGCTGTTTGAATACTCAATCCATGTTCGTTTCAACCTTTGACTAAAGAATGGACCCAAATAAGACTTTTATATCGGCATGCTAAGACTTGTTATATCTTGGCTTGGAGCACAAGCAGACAGTGTGCTACACCTAAGAAACCAAGGTTTAGTCCATTTTTTGCCTGCGGCGGCCCCACGGGGCTTGTTGGTCTTGTGAGGCTTCTGGGGTTGTTGGATACTCCAAGCATCGCCGAGTGTTTCCCGTCATCTATTCACCTTCCATAAGGTGCTGCATTTTTGGTCTATGTGAAGTGAACCGAAACAATGTTAAGAGAGAAGAGTTTCAGAAAACCATTTATCTGGGATATCTCGAAAGACAGTTGAGGGTTATAACTAAATCAAAAACACCATAGAGTTGATAAAAAAGAGGATCTGAATTATCAAAGTCAACGTATGAAGCAAGAGAAATGTGTATAAGAAACTCGTTTCACCTAAGAAGTGGAGCATATAGGAGGTGTTACCTACATGTATACAATATACACTAGAAGCGATGTCTATTAATCCCGAGGTCTGATCTATACTTTTTGTGATGCCTAAGGCCAAGACTACAGCTCCGCTCTTTCCTGCCTTCTAGCTTGAGATCTCTATCCATCTCATCACCTGACAGGCCCTCATCGCCTGTAAATTCCAAGCTAGTCTCGGAGAGAGTGGGTTGGTACTCGATATAGCTTAAATCCCACAAAACGACGAAGTATATAACCTTTGATACCCGACTTCACTGGGACTCAATTGGCCGCAAACAGCAACCACTTTTTTGCAATTGCAACTACACAATTCGGAACTTGCATATATCATATCCCACCACACTGATCTTATATTGATCTCGTTTATTGCATTGCCGAATCGAGAGAATGCGACCAAAGCAGACATCGTGCAGCCGACACGTGACTCCGGGGGAGATCGCCAAAAGGAATCACTTGAGCTTCCCCTATTCCGGATAAGAGCTCAAGCCACCGTGTTCTTTTTTGGATTGCTCTAGCATCACCATGGTCTTGGCTATTACTTCTCCCAGAAGCAGTTGACTGTTCCGGAAGCTAACACGAGTGGGATGATTCGTATTTCCCCACCATACACATTGTCTACTCTGATCCACTCCCAATAAACAATTGCACCACGTAACAACCCAGCAGCGCATTGCACCAGTATCAGCCCCACTACCACAGCCCTAGCAAGAATCCAACCGAGCGACACAACCCATATCCCCACCCCAAGCTGATCCAACCCGGACACGGAGAACCGGAACCACGAGGCGCGTGGAACCCCACGAAATCCCCAGACAACCCAATCCAAACCCGCAACCCCCAATTGACCACCACAATGTCGACCTCATTCAACTGGACCGCAGTAGCGGTAGCCATAACCGCCGTCTTCATATTCTGGACCTTCTCCTCGACCTCCTCCTCCCCCTTCACGCGGTCCTTCCCCCGCCTCGAAAACAAGCGCATCTGCCTCCTAATCGCGCACCCAGACGACGAAGCCATGTTCTTCGCGCCCTCCGTGCTATCCCTCACCAAGCCCGAGCTCGGCAACCACCTCAAGATCCTCTGTCTCAGCAGCGGCGACGCAGACGGCCTAGGCGAGACGCGCAAAAAGGAGCTCCAGAAATCAGCAAAGCAGCTCGGCCTGCGCAGCGAATCCGACGTCTTCATAGTCGACGACCTGGCCCGCTTCCCCGATGGAATGGACAAGGACTGGGACGAGGGCCAGATTGCGTCCCTGCTGGCTTCAGCTTTCGCGCCGGAATTGGCTGCCCAGAAGAAATTGCCTGGAAAGCGCGTGGATCATAATAAGGCGCCTACCGCCACTATCGATGTTATCATTACTTTTGATAAACATGGAATCAGTAATCATCCCAACCACCGCTCGTTGTACCATGGTGCTGTGAACTTCGTTCGTGCTTTGATGAAGGATAAGGCTGGTTTTGCTTGTCCGGTCACGCTGTATACCCTGACTACGACGTCGGTGTTCAGAAAGTATGCGGGTGTGCTTGATGCGCCTCTGACGATGTTCCTTGGTGTGTGGAGTAACCTTGTTGCTGGGTTGACGGGCTCCAAGCAGAAGGATGCGGGGGCTGGTCCTGTGCGGCTGCTGTTTGTTAGCTCGATAAATGAGTGGTTGACTGCGCAGTCGGCTATGGTTATCTGTCATAAAAGTCAGATGGTCTGGTTCCGCTGGGGGTGGATTACTATTGGGAGGTACATGACTGTCAATGACCTTCAGCGGGAGAAGATCTAGGCGACTGTTCTGCTATGCCCTGGATGAAGGGCTAGTTTTCGATCTTGTGCTTTTGCTCAGATCTTGTATCATTTTGGCTGATTGCCGTTTGCTTGTGTTGATATCTCACGCTTCATGTCTGCATATGATTTTAAGGCCTGTATGCCTTCTTGTATCTCTACTATTCAACTTACAAAGCTCATTTACGCGAGGGGCTTAATAATGGACATACATGTCTTTCAATACGGAAATAATCCCAATATAAAAAAAATAAAGAAAAAGACAATAATCGTACTATGCATGAAATTATATAAATGGATATCATGTATGATCAATGTCATACGTAAATGCTTCAAACAGTGAAAGAGAAAAAGTCCTGCTCATCGAACCCAAGGATTGCTATCCTCCCAGAAGATAGAATTGTGCGGTTTAGCATCCAGGCCCACCGCATGAATACGACTATAAAACCCGGCAGAAGGATTATTCTCCTGCGACAAATGATGCTCCTCCGGGTACTCAACACGCGTGTTGAGCTTTTCGATTTTTTCTTTTAATTCTTGGCTGTGCTCTGTCTGGAACGAGTAGATGCGACTGATCGGCGAAATGGACGTGTCCAGCTGGGGGTACTCATAGAGCAAGAGGTCCCAGAATATCCTATCATCGAGGATCTTGGGCTCAACCGGACGGAACAGTTCCGGCCCATCTGGTATCCGCCGTGCGTGAATGCGGCCATGCTGGCTCATATATCGGCTCTTCGAATTCGTGTACCCTTTGAAATCGACTGTTCCAACCTCGCCGTCTCTGTACTCGCACCTATGACGCGCTGGCAGGAAATCTTTCCATTCTTCCAATAGCTTGGGCCGTTCTTGGAGCTCCCAGGCTTGGACTGATATGCCGCTCCACTCCGGTGTGATGATCATTGAATGGGCTATGCGCTGCAGTTGATAAATCTGCTGGAAGACTTCGAGCCGGAGGAGATCGTATGTGTGGATGGCTTCGGCGAGCAGGGGACACTGTAGCAGTGACAGGTCTAGTATCCGGGCGTGGCTTCGTTGGTATTTGATGGGATCCTGCGCTTCCTTCCCATCCGCCAGCGGTCTCATGCTGTCCAAGACTGGCTGCAAACACTGCATAACGGCATCTCTCGCTTCCTTCCTTTTTATCCTTGTTTGGCTCAGGACGTCGTATGCCTTACGCATGTCTCTTTTGCACGCCTCCAGGTCGCCATCTAACTTGTTGGTTTGGGTCATGTATCGGTACATTTGTAGAGTCGCAGGAACATTGTAATCCGTCGTCAATACCTGGAACATGTCACGAACCATATCTCTTGGGACTTGGCCTATGCGCCCATCTTCTGCCTGTCTCCGCTTGTGTTCTTTGGAGAGAGTAAATGTTCTTTCAAGCAGCTCAGACCAGACCTTGCCTGAAATGGGGATGTGGTACGAGGAAGCTATGAACTCGACTGTTCTCATGGCGGCGTGGGTGTCGTTGTTCGTGCCAAAGGCATGGGCCACGGCGAATAGAAGACTCTCGGATGGGTACAGACCGGACCAAGTATCATAGGGCGTAACAGGGGGCAGCTTCGAGTTATCGCTCTCAGCCAAGATAGCATCAACATCAACGTTCCATACAGTCTTGAGGATATTCATGGTAGCTTTCTTGTCGCCAACTCGGGACGACGCGAGGAGGATGTTGATGTATGTCTGCTCGTCGCCACTGAGTCCGTCCTGGCACATATGACTGAATATATCCAGCACAGTTCCTTTGACACTGTTCCACGCCGTTCCATAACCACGCCATCCAGGATTCGGATCTACCATGCGCCGCTTTTTGTAGGTGTAAGGAATGATGCGAGTATTGTATGCTTCTTTACCCACGTAACAGTGGTTCCAGACCAGTGCTGACATGTAGTGATTATAACACGCTGTGTCGGGAGTGACATTGCTGGCATGCATCCCATCCCAAAGGGCATTGATTAGGGGACCATTTCCCATCGCCTGTGCGCAGTCCAAGAGATGAGTGTACTCGGCTAGTTGAGGTGGTTGCCCAGCCTCCGATCTATATTGGATGATCGTAAGCAAGTCCCTCGTGAAGTCGTCGAACACCGCCTCCAACGTTTTAAGCCCTTGCATTAACACGCCCCACCCGTGCAGTGTATGGTGAAGATCTCGGTAGGGTATTACGAAATGAGCTGGAGAGAGAAGATGGAAAGCTTCGATAAACACGGTTGGCGGTAGCGAACCAACGAGCTCCACCGACCGTGGATCGGCCATGGCTTCTAACACTTGGTTCGGTTGTCCGTTTTCAAGAGCTTGGAAGAAGTTCGCCCTATACCGTTCCTCCTCTGCGAGTGAGCTCCATCTCGGTAGAGGCACTCGGATTTCATTTTCGACACTCGCAGGACGTGGAACAGCGAGTTCGCTGCTCCATCGTTGACTTGTTGTAGTCAATTGGCGGATGGAATTGGGATAGCAAGTTTGTCGCATTCGTTGTGCAGAAATATTCCACGTCTTTGTATTTGGAGATGTTACGACATAATTTATTTGCCTCGCGTGACTGAGATGATGGTGTGGGGGAAATTGTCTCGGTTTGTTGATGCCGTCGCCAGGCCGAGACGAGATACCCCAGCGAGAAGCGAACTTCTCGGTAAATGAAACCCTCCGCATGAGTGAAGTGTAGCAAAAAAAACCAGTACTTATTAAGAAACAGGAGCAACAAAGAGCACAAAATCACCAGGGGGCCTAAATGAGGGGAAGGTGTGCGCTTCGACCCCGGACCTTTTGTCAGGGTAGCACTTCATGCACGTTGTGCTTCAAACTGCATAAGACCCTGCACAAATGATTAGGCGAGACTCTCTAGGATTGATTGATTTCATGGCCATAATATGTGTTAACCTATGTGTTTGGTACCTTATACTACGCAAGTATACACATCTAGTTGCTCCATTCCACCATTTTGCTCCACCACCTGTCTAGTCCCCCATGTGGATACTTGGGGGAAACTTGAAAACCCGGGGTAAATTGCTGACTCATTCCAATCTTTGCCAAGCTCGACGCTAAACCCTATTAGGCACCAGCCAAAGCTCGTTGATTCTGCGTGTGTGGACCTGCACCTAAACCCAATCCAATCACACTTCTATCATGGCCGACAATGATGATGCCGGCGGTCCATCCGTCTCAGAGCCCCTGGATCTTGTTCGCCTTTCCCTTGATGAGATCGTGTTCGTGAAGCTGCGCGGTGACCGTGAGCTCAAGGGCCGCCTTCATGTGAGCTACCCCCCATCTGGCAATATTCAGGGTAAATACTGACTATGACACTTGTCTATAGGCCTACGATAGTCACTGCAACCTAGTCCTCGGCGATGTGGAGGAGACAATCTACGTGGTGGAAGAGGACGAGAACGAGGAGGAAACTTTGCGGGTACGGAATCATATGAAACTGGGATATTTACAAGCGCATGGGCTAATCTGGGTTCTCCGATACAGACTATCAAGAAACAGGAAGAGATGCTTTTCGTCCGAGGTGAGTCGGAGCGATTATGGAATCTCTTTAGGTTGCTAATTCTTGTCTAGGAGACTCCGTTGTCTTGATCTCCCCCCAGGCATGATGGGCTTGATATGCCTTTGATAGAGGGAATGGCGTCCGGCGATGAGAACAATAGGAAGGACACGAGATACCACAAAATGCAGTCAACATAGATAACGATACCATGGAAATTGGTTTATGATCATCCATACTAGTCCCGTTAGCCTAATCAGGCTATGCGATTGTTAGTCACAGTATTCCTTACGATTCGACATCCTTCCTAGTAAATTTAGATTGAGTCACTAGGGACATGCGGCTAATATAGCCCTTCAGAACTTCAAGGCTACGTGCGCAGATGGTTGGTCGATGACTCAACTGATGACTCCCAACTTATCGATAAAGCTCTTTCATTCCCCCTTATACTTTTGATCTGAACGATTCTTCCAAATATTCATCTTGATATTCCTCTATCTTTTGTTCAACCGAGCAAAAGAAAACTATGATCACTCGAATACAACTTCACATCCGCCAACAATAACGGCGATCCGATCCACCGACCAATAACGTCACTTACCCCAAATAGACGGCACAGCGTTCAGTCGACACGGTTGCACTTACCAACTCCGCACAATGCCTGCAACCAGGAAATTGAGCCATGAGGAGCGAAAACGAGGTGAAGTTGTAGGTATCTCCAGGGAAGGTGTGATAAGTCCCTTATCTTACATGATCTTCGATTTAGGCCCTGAGTGAATTCGCCGAGTATGCCGACAAACAGCAAGCCCACCGCTCCGGGCAAGTAGCACCCAGCGACAGCGGGTATTCCACCGCCAGCGTGTCGCGCGATCTTGAAGACCATGCAGAGCTCGACATTCTTGATCAACTAGGGCTGTCCGACACCCCCCGAACAGCCAAATTAAAGGACCTCCTTCTTGGTACAGGTGATGCCATCGAAGACAACCTGCAAGTGCTAGCTGGTATATTACAAACACGCATTGATGAAGGCCATGGAGAAACCATCTTCGATCTTGGATTGGAGGATGGCGGTGAATCCATGGGCTTCGACCTCGATCAATGGAAGACGGCGCTGCAGCGCCTACGCGAGGCCGCCGAGACTATCCCCGCCCATTGCCGAGTATTACTGGCATATAACGTTGGGGGTCCTGAAGAAGCCCCTGTTACCAATGATCGGTTACAGGGCGCTTGGGGAAAGGTCCTTGTGCGCCACCACGCTGATAACATCGAGGAGATGGCGGAACTCCGGATTGCCGTAGTAGGGAATGTCGATGCTGGAAAGAGTACTATGCTGGGAGTATTGGTGAAAGGTGGTCTTGACGATGGACGTGGTCGTGCGCGAGTAAATCTGTTCCGCCACAAGCACGAGATCGAAAGTGGACGCACCAGCTCCGTTGGGTTAGAGATCATGGGCTTCGACAGCCGAGGCGAAATAGTTGGCAATACGCAGGGCCGGAAGCTCTCCTGGGAAGACATCGGCAGGCGCTCTGCTAAGGTAATCTCCTTCTCCGACCTGGCAGGCCACGAGCGGTATCTGCGCACCACTGTATTCGGTATGTTGAGCAGCAGCCCCAACTACTGTTTGCTGATGGTCGCCGCCAATAATGGTCTTATTGGAATGAGTAAAGAGCATCTGGGTATCGCTTTGGCTCTCAATGTGCCTGTCATGGTTATTGTCACCAAGATAGACATTTGCCCGGCCCATATTCTGCAGGAGACTTTGTCCCAGCTGACCAAGATTCTCAAATCGCCTGGTGCGCGCAAGATTCCAATCTTTGTCAAGGACATGGAGGAGACCATTAATACTGCCACGCAATTCGTCAGCCAACGGATATGTCCTATCTTCCAAGTATCCAACGTCACAGGAGAGAACCTCGACCTAGTACGGACGTTCCTGAACATCCTACCCCACCGCGGTCAATATGACGCCGCGGGGGCTTTCGAATTCCTGGTCAACGACACCTTCTCTGTTCCTCATGTAGGAACAGTCGTCTCAGGTGTGGTCAAGTCTGGTGTCATTCATGCCGGAGACTCAGTAATAGTGGGACCTGACTCGCTCGGTCAGTTCACCACCACAGTTATCAAATCCATTGAGCGCAAGCGTATCCAGGTGAATGCTTGCTTTGCTGGCCAATCTGGATCTTTCGCCCTGAAGCGCGTCCGCCGGAAGGAAGTGCGCAAGGGTATGGTAGTGTTGAAAAAGTTGGAAGAGCCTCCAAAGGTGTATCAGGAATTCGTCGCGGAGGGTAAGTCGCCTGTTCGGAGTTTATTGACCACATGCTAATGAAAACAAACAGTCCTGATTCTTTCTCATGCAACTACCATCAAGCCTAAATATCAGGCTATGCTTCATGTCGGGGCAGTCAGTCAGACATGCTCGGTCATTGACATTGATCGCCCCTTTATTCGTACTGGAGACCGAGCGCTAGTCGCATTCAGATTCGTACAGCGGCCTGAATTCTTAGCCCCCGGGGACCGTGTCCTCTTCCGTGAGGGCAAGACGAAAGGTCTGGGAATTGTTAAGAGTATTGGTTATGACCCAACGCAACCTTTGAATCCAAATGCAAAGGAAGGAGCTATCACTCCTACAGCCACGACGACTCATGATTAGATTTATTTTTACTGTACGTTTTCAACGGAGTTTCTTTGTTTCTTCGAGTTTCCAATGTTGATCTTTTTCTTGCATACGTATCGTTAGACAATATGTACATATATGTCTTATCTCGTATTTCTATTTTCGTCCTATTGCGTTACTTGCCCTGTTAATCTACGAGTCGATTATATTAGTTCTATTAATACCTCTGCATCTATTGCTGCTTCAACTGTAGTGTGAGGTGAGGTCACATGACATATATAGCATGACGTCAATCTATGACATAGGCCCAGAGGATCGCCGCCCTTTTGACAATCCAATCCTTCGCTGGAATATTATTCGCAAGTCATTGAGCAATCAGTGGAAATCAAATGGGGTCTTACGAAGAGACCGGGGATCTATGTGCAAGCCACCGTGGCCCAAACACCACTGACGTATTGAACAAGGCTGAAAGCCTGTGGGTTCTTAAAGCTTGACCTGCCCAGAGCTTCTTAGCACTCAATCCACTCGCCACTTCGCAAAACAACAATACATTATCTCACATTACTCTTATCATCCTTTGCTATATAGCATTTGCCATATTATCCTCTATATCAGACTCCCATCTTCTGTATTCATTTGACCTAAACCATAATCATGGAGACCGTCAACAGATACGTCAGTGCCGCTTCCACTGTCATTTGGGGCGAGAACGACTCAACTCATGCCCAACAGCACGGTGAAGAGCCCATGTCCGGTGTCCAAGGCAAAGGACGCGCCACAGATCCCTATGATGGCGGCAACCGTGATGGTAAGTACAACCTAAGCATATATATAGTTCCCGAATACATAAATGTTCAATATATCTAACGCTTCGCCTCACAGAGCAACCTGATGCAATCCAATCATCAGTCGACACTGCACACCAGGAGCCCGTTCTAGACAACACACACGCAACCGACGTGACTAGCCTCACTACCCCCAAGGCTCCCGCCTCCATCAGCGCCTGCACCAGCGTCACCCCGGCTCTGCCCGTCACCGGGGACTCTACAGAGACCAATGAAAGAAAAGAAAGCAAGCCCATCTCCAGTGGTTCTACAGTAGCCAGCGGAAGCAATGACGACAACAGCTCCAATCAAGAACAGCGCAGTACCTCACAGGCTGAAGGTGGGGAGAGCAGTGAAGCTCCCCGCCCACCGCGTCCTCAGGATGTGAGCAAAGAGGCGCTCAAGGGCCCGCAGGGTCCTGCGCCGAGAGCTGCTGAGGACTTCGAGAGGGAGTATAGGGGAAATAAGTCTGCAGCTGATGATGATATTGAGAAGAGTATGTTTCCCTTTCCTGTGCTCGTTATATATAGTGGGGTTGATTGGTGCTGACTTTTTGTGATAGGCTCCGCAAGTGACTTCAAGGATAGCGAGGATAATAACGCGTCACCTTCTAGCAGCGAAAAGTCTGGGCTTTCTTCTCCTGGTAGTGATAAGGCTGGGAAGCAGGGCACTATCTCGAAGGTTAAGGAGAGCGTCAGGAAGCATCTTCATCATTCGAGCAAATAAAGGCAATGCCTTTGGATTAGATCTATCAGCAATTGGTGACAAAGCGTCCGATGCCTTGACTTGAGGTTTGGCTATGTTTTTTGTTTTATATCATGCGAGCGTGTTTATTCGATGCACCTTACTTCTGATTTCAAGTGTATTAATATCCATTTGTACTTCAATTATTCAAACTCTTCTAAATAGTGATGTAAAGTTACTATAAAACGAATGAGACTTCCAGGGCTGTAAATTGAAAATGCATATCTACACGCCGGAGCAGGGTATCTCAAGTGTAAAGTAGAAGCAACCAACTATAAAGTCATGCAAAAAATCACTCGAACAACATTTTCAACTCTTCAAGCCTCTCCTTCCCCTTATCAGAATCACCATCATCGCCGCCAATCTTCAACCCCAGCGAGCCAGCAATATTCATTTTGCGCTCTTGCACGCGCAACATGCGGCCTTCAATGGAATCCTTGACCACGAATCGCGTCACATTGACATCGCGTGTTTGGCCCATTCGATGGACGCGGTCAATAGCTTGCGCTTCGATTGCGAAACTCCACCATGGATCCATTAGGAAGACATTGCTTGCAGTTGTTAGGTTGAGGCCTACGCCGCCAGCACGCAAGGAGATGAGTAGGACTGTAGGAGCCGGTGTTGAGGGCGAGGGAGCGCTGGTCTTTGCAGGCCCGATTGTCCCTAGGGTATCATCTTCTATGTCAACGATATCATCGTCCGTAAAGCTCTCTGCTTTTGTAAACTCGGCTAGAACAGCGGCACGGGCCTTCTGGGGCATTGAGCCATCGAGGCGGAGATATGAGATTCCGACTCGCGAGAGTTGTGGGCCGATCAGGTCCAAAAAGGAGGTAAATTGGGAGAATACAACAGATTTGGTATTCGCAGGGACGCGTCCGAGGTGATTAATAAGGGCGTGGATCTTGGCTGAAGTGTGAGCGGATGGAGAGAGGGGGTATATGCGACGGAGGGAGATTCGCGGGGCAGGTTGAGAGCTGGTTGGTGGCGTGCTGCTCACAGTGTCGTCCCCGAAAGAAATTGAATTCGAGGATGGATGTCGTACTACTTCGAAAGTATTCTTTGCATCTACTGGAGCACGACAGTTGAAACATCGTGCCTCGACACCCTTGTTCATTTGGTGTTGCAAGAAGTCTTCGAGGCATTTCTTACATGCACTGTGCCAGCAAGCTGTTACTGCAGGATCGACCATAGGCTCTTCACAACAGATAGGGCACTCGCCACTGGACTCGGTTTGGATCTGCCGAAGAGCATGGGTAGTGAACTTAACCATCGTCCCGGGGGTATCTTGCGAGTCGGCATTATCGTTTTCTGCCGTGAATTGGTTGATCAATTCTTGAAGATCCATGTCGTCTTTGAACTCATTGGTTGCATCAGCTGCCACCGCCGCAATCTCCTCTTCTGCAACTATGTCTTTGTTGCGCGTCATTATAGGGTGACAGCAGGTCTGACGAAGGCGGAGAATTTGAGCAAAGATTGTGGTGTAAGACTTCAACAATGTGCCGGCCACGACGTTGTCGTTGTAAGTTCGTTTCGCTCGGGTAAATATACAGTCGTAGATTTCTCGTTCTTGCTTCGGTAGCTCCACTTCCTCAATAATGACCGTTTTTTTAGGCAAGGGGACCAATGGCTCACCCTCTGGGGTCTTCATCGATTTGGTCCGTCGAAGAACAAGAGGTTCCAGTACACTTTGCACGACGTTCAGGGCGCGCACATATTCTTTGGATTCAAATGGCACAGTGATAAAGGTCTTCCAGAAGGAGAAATTGCTCCATGGCTCAACTTTCAGGAAACGCACCAGACTGAAGAGATCTTCAAGACGATTGACAATAGGCGTGCCAGTCAGTGCCCACCGATGGGCTGCTTTTAACTCATAGCATGCTTTGGCAGACTTAGAACGGCGGTTCTTGATCACATGGGCCTCATCAAGAATTACTCGGAAGAATTCCACAGAGAATAGACCCCCATTCGCACTGGGTCCAAGAGCAGACTGGAGAGCGAACTGGCGGAATTCTGACAATACCACACCATAACTGGTGACGATCACCTGTGGAGCCGTTGAATATTTGGGTTCGCAGCACAAATCTCTCAAGTTGACAGCCTTGTCTGACCCATAATAAACAAGGACTCTCAACGTCCCTGCTTTGAGTGCCTCGCTTTCCCATTGAGAGATCAAAGATGTCGGCGCAACGACCAGAGTGGTATACGGCGCAGGCACCACTCCGGAAGAGTTCGGCATCCGAGCAAGGTCATTTACTGAACTAAGACCATTCAAAACCTGTGGATCAGGCTCGATTCTGTGCGAATGAACCAGACTGAGCATCTCAATGGTTTTCCCCAGTCCCATTTCATCGGCCAGGATTCCGCCCCGGCAGTGTTGCTCCTGAGCAGGAAAGTCAACACTGAGGTCTCCCGAATACGGGTTGACATAAAAATGGTCAATGTTTTTAACTTGTGGTAAATCTTTGTCGTCAACATCCTTTCTGGGCCAAGTGTATTCCTCCCATAGTGGATGCATTGACTTCTCTCGAATTTCTTTTGAGTCTTTCTCTTTTGACATCATCCAATGAAGAGCTTGTTGCTGGTACTTGCGTAGATCAAGGGTGAAACTAGGTGCTGGATCTGCCGTTGGCATATTGAAATCAAATGATTGGGCTTTTTGGTATAGTGTATCGAGCTGGTCTTCTTCCAGTTCTTCGCTATCGTCTTCGCCTGATGAGTCGTTGGAATCCTTGTTTGATTTGGGTTTGTCCTTTTCCTTCCTCGTACTGTCATATTGCTCTGCAATTTCAGCGGCACGCAAAATGCCTTCTCTTTTGTGCTTTTCCGTAGTCGGGTTGGTCGAAGTAGGATGAAGATTTATTTCGTGAAATAATTTCACTAGACCAACCTGGCGTAGCCGCAGACTCTTCTCCTCGGTGCTCTCCTTCTCTTCAAACAGCCCAGTGGACCTGTTATCATCAGTGTTAAAAGCAGTAAGTGCCCCACTCTGAAAGGCTTCCTTTCGCAAGTAGACTCGGAGTTGTAAATAGATGGTATCATTGACTCGCACCCTGTCAGGTACAAACACACAGACTCCTTCAAAACGACATATCTTCTGGTCAATCAGCGTAGAAACCCACTCTGCGGTCTCATGCGGTAGCCTTCCGATTTCTTGTCCCAAGGTGTTTGTGAACCGAGTCAGAACATCACTTTTGTGATTGACAAACGCTTTGCCTCCTCGGCCACGTTTCATCGTTGGCTGTGAGCGTGCACGTTCAATATTGACTGGATCACCATGCTTGAGAAATCCCAAGCCACTTCTCGTTGCCCATCCCCCCACACCAAATGCGCCAACATACCTTGCTGGTGGCTGATTTCGCAGTACCGATTTACTTTCAGCTGGCGTTTCAGGGCTGGGCTGTACCCGAGGAGCGGGTTTCCGGATTGTTGCCGGAAAGCTGCCATTTATCTGCCCAGGCTTCTTCCATGATCCATCAAAGTATATATTAACAGCTCGCTCGATATTATTGGAAGCAGCTGATTGAATGGTTTTGATTGAATCAGCGGGTAGTTGCTCTCCCACGATACTGGTGAAAAGTTCGACATCAAAGCCATCTGCAATTGTGCTTGTTGTAGTGGTATTGATATTTACTTCCTCTTCGATTTGTTGTTGGTTTACTCCATTCTGGCGTGGAAAGGGAGCGGGCGCAGAGTCCGCAATGGGTAACCCTCGGCTTTCCGTCGCTCTGACTCGTGCATGCTGCTGATCTGTTTTGTTTTCTAAGCTAGGAGAGCTTTCTGGAATGCGGTCGAGTGACGGAATCGCAAGAGCAGCGCCATGATCTGTACGATATTCGTCGTGTTCCGGGGAATGGGGAGGCAGGGACGCGTCTGTATCTCGTGGTTTGGTAGGTAAAGGTGAGGATGGATTGTCAGTGAAGAAACGCAGCCTCTTTGCTGGCCGTTGCTCTACATCCTTGCTCATATTGGCTGTACCATCGAGCTTCAAAATGAAGATGAAAAAAGGTTGCGGACGGGGAGACGCGCCGAGAAACGCGAAGTCAGGCGGATCGACGTCAGGGAAAATGCTGTAAATTGGATTTGATATCTGCACTTTTCAAGTTTAAATTCTCATTAGGTAGTTGCTTTGAATTTACTCCCATTTACTATAATTTTCTAATATATTTCTTTTATTTTTTTAACCAGTCAAACTGCAGTCTTCGAGGTGTCCAGGTATCGCTGACAAAGATTGGCTGGCCAATGCCTTTGCCCCGATTACATCAAATCTTTTTCCCCAGAGCCTCTCAGCTTCATGTTGAACATGTCTTTTCTCGGGACAGCTCGTCCATGCCAGGCAAGTAGGGCCTGTAGGTTTTACCTACAAAGCTTCCAGTCACAAAAACGATACTTCAGCCGGACACAATCCATTGCCGCGCCCATTACCGCAGAAGAAGTCCAAGGTGCTCACAAATACTGCGTTGCTCTTCTCTCGTATGAAACACCATCCCTGTGGCCCTCTGAGCCAATTGAAGCTCCGTCGACGTAAATAAGTCTGAAACCTAACATATCTCTCTTCCCATCAGAAAATATGACCGTCCATCCTATACACTGAGCACCTTCGTTCCACGACATGCGCAATCCTTCTACATTGCGCTGCGCGCATTAAATGTCTCCCTCTCTATGATCCCCGACACCACCTCCTCCCCCACAATCGGACTGATGCGACTCCAATTCTGGCGCGATTCAGTAACCAAGATTCTTGCCGGCACGCCACCAAAAGAGCCCGTCGCGATCTTGCTTGCATCCGCCATCTCCGAACTACACGAGCGCACGCAGGGCCGCGCGCGGATAAGCAAGGGCTGGCTGACCCGTATAATTAACTCACGGGAGCAAACCCTAACAAATGACCCGTACCCAAATATCGCCGCGCTTGAATCCTACGCCGAGAATACATACTCGACGCTCATGTACCTCACTTTGTCGGCATTGCCCATGGCTTCGGTAACTGCAGACCATGTTGCATCTCATATCGGAAAAGCAGTGGGAATCGCGGCTGTCTTGCGTGGACTACCATTTGTTGCGTTCCCTGCGCCGGCTGCTCAGGCACCTCCTGGCGTGGCTGGTTCCGCGATAGGAGGGGGTACGAAACAGGGCGCCGTGATGTTGCCTCTAGATGTTATGGCAGAGGCTGGCGTCAAGGAGGAAGATGTCCTCCGGTATGGAGCCCAAGCTGAGGGTCTCCGGGATGCAGTCTTCACTGTTGCGACGCGGGCAAGCGATCATTTAATTACTGCCCAGCAGATGTTGACCAACCTTCGCGCTGGAGAGGACGTCGGTCATGACTTTGAGCATGAGGGCGAAGAAGGCCATGTATATGATGATTCTCCTGGCGCTCGAAGCAGCGAGTCACCTCTCGATGAGGTCAACCGGGCATTTGGCGTTTTCCTGCCGGCGGTCGGCACACGTATGTGGTTGGATCGCCTCGAGAAACAAGACTTCGATGTTTTCAGCCCTCAGTTGCTTCGATCAGACTGGAGACTTCCATGGAAGGCTTATTCGGCCTATCGACGAAAGTCTCTGGACTAATGGCATGTAGGCCGTGTATAATATGAGGCTGATATACTTCTGGATTAAGACTATTGGTGACTTTTTTTTGTACATTAGAAATATAAAACCGGTTGTCACGAAGCGAAATTGAAGAATGAAATATGACTATACTGATCCCTGGAATCATAGTATTAGAATATGAGATTCAAATATGTAGTCTTCAAGTGAAAAGTATTAATACAAGACCCGACAAGGTCTGCAAGCAAGAAAATGTATACAAACAAAAAGTCACATGCCAAAACACTCATGTACAGCAACTTCTCGGTACAACAATAGGAACAGTAAGCTGCAGGATATTCACGATCTATTTCTTCTTCCTCTCTCGTCTCTGTTTCCTCGAGCTAACAATCAAACGTCGCTGAGCAAGCATGACAGCATAGCGCTGGATTTTGTCACGCCTAAAGATACAGGTTAGTGTTGGGTGTTTTCGACGGGAATATAAGGACTTACATCAGGAGGAAAAGGGTAGCGCAGACGAACGGCACTGCAATCTTCCAGAAATATCTACTCAAGTCAACAATAAGTACAGAGGGGGGGGGGGGCGGGAGGTCGAAAAACATACCCTTCATTGTTTTCAATTACCCCGAAGTGTGTGAAGTTCATTCCGAAATAACCCTAAGACTGTTAGAGATATTTTCTTGATAGATTCAAGCTGTACATACTGTCAAGAATGTCATAGGAAGATAAAGGCAAGTTACAAGAGTAAGCTGCTTCATACTTTCGTTCTGGTAGGCACCTGCGCAGCATATTAGTTAGGTTTCTTCATGTGTTGCCAGAAGGAACATACCAATAGTATTGAAAATGAGGTCAATCATGTTATCAGCGTTACGACGCATCTGATCGTACCCTTCAACAATGGTAATGCAATGATCTAGGGCATCTCCCAAATATGTATGGCACATAGAGCTGATCGTAACACCTGTGCCTCCAACACTCTTCAGATTTGGCGTTACAATCCCCACATGTGGATGGAAATCAACATCTTCCACAGCACCTGGACTAAGGGGATTCCGCAAGACACCAAATCCTGGTGTACCGACAGGCTCAGACCGGTGATCACGGAGAGCATTAATCACAGCCACCATGGGCTGCATGGAGTTCCGCAGAACAGCAATCTCGGATGTCAATATATACAAAGACTTTGACTGTTCAATGTCTGGATCAGTCAGGACCTCCAGCTCGAGGTCTCCGATAGCGTCTTGATAAGCCATCGTGACTGGAATCGCAAGATCAATCACGGCATCGAGAATGGCCTGCAAAAGCATACTGGCATCACATGACTGTCGAAGAATAGTCTCAGGCGAGGTAAGACGCCTGACAATTGGCGCCTCGATATCATCCGCACTCGTTTCGAAAAAGGATGTTACCGTATTATCGGCATGTAGAAAAATCGAAACTTGCTCCAAAGTGACACATAGCCCTTTAGCTGCAAGTGCAGCATGGCGTTCCATGAACTCAATTCGATCCTCATTGGGGCCGCCGCGATATCGCTGAAGACTCCTGGCAGTCGTTTCTGTGGCGGTCCCAACATTTCCGAAATGTGAGTTTTGTTTGGAAGCATGATCTAGGCCAGGACGAACACTCGACCCATACGTTGCCTTCTCCTTGCGCTCCTGGCGCCCGGAGGGTCTGACTCGGAAAATGTCCTTCAATGCCGCCATGATAACATTCCACTTCGTGGGGCGCTTCAACGAAATCGAGCTCTTGTCACTGACTACAGAACTTTTCCGGTCCCTCGACTTCCATCGACTGGCCGTAGTTTCCTCCTCATCCTCCGAATCGGAAGAGTCTTCTTCTTGTATCTTCATCAACTTTTGTAATGTCAGCACAACGAAGGCATGGTCCGAGTACCAATCTGCTTTCGTGCGATTAGTGGTATGTACAACATCCTCAATTGCAAGCCGATGCAATCTCTTATGGCTTCCAAGGATCTGGATAACATCCCAGCTCAACCCATTGACATTGATCCACCGGCATTGCACCCAAGGCTCTTTCTCTCGCTGCAAAAATTGCTCCAATGTGTCATTGTCTAGCTCATACTGTCGCATTTCATGTTGTGAGAAATCCACAACAGTAATCTGGCAGCGTCGGTGTAGGTCCGCGGGGATGTTGGACGCCCATTCTGATGTGTACGGCGGTAGCGGCTTGGTTGGGTCAATGCCAGGTTCGGTTCCTGGCTGCCAATTGGGATCTTGTGCAAATCCTTCGGGGTGATATGAGCGGGCAGTATTGCGCCTAGCTCGCCGTTTTGTTGTCTCGGTGGAGTCCACTCGTGCTGCTGTGGTGAACGCGGGAAACGAAGTTTCCTCTCCTTCTCTTCCTGTTGGAGAGATTTGGGAGCCGACCGACGGGCGACCGGCCTCAATATCGATATCAGTTCGTGTCGCACCGTGCTGTGCATAATCAAGCGAGTGTACGCTCATCTTCACGGTTCAAATAGATGCGCACATCCAATCGCATTGGTAGGATGACGGGTTTTCATCGGCTCCAAACTTCAATAAGCTGTGCTTCAATGATGTGAAACCCGAGGCAGGGTGTTATTTTGTTGGCGGGAATATACGCTGAATATATTTGAATAATCGATGCACCTCTCATCGAGACACCGCAGCTTCAGGGGAGAACATGTCGAAGTTGCGCGGAGATATGACGTCGTCGAGGGCGTTTTTCTGCCGCGTCTGCAGAGATAATTAAGATGAAACCCGTTTCAAAGAGAAAGGCTTTCAAATGAGAATGTGATGATTGAACATGAAAAACACGAGAATGAAGAAATGAAAGCAAGGAATAAATAGTGGGCAGAAAAAAAAAACAGGAGAAACAGGGGTTTTGCTGCACAAGGGGGTTCAGGTGGAGTACAGAGTAGCGAGCGCTACCTTATCTTATTTAAGGGAGACTGGGACGGGTACAGCCCCCGCAGTACTCTACTTCATACCTGTACATAAATAGATAGTTTAGGACTCTTGGGCTCATTAATATTGATTCATACAAGTACATATATAGGCACACAGCTTCCATTCCATCACCTCACTGTGCATCATGCCGTAACGCCGTCCCAATGCTGGCTTCCGATCACTCCAGATATAACAACATCCACAATAGTTAAAGAAGATAGGGAAGTAAAACAATAATTACAGTAAAAGTAGGATGTCAAAGAGAATTTTGTACAAAGAGAATCAGAGGAAGAGAAGGGGGAGACGGCATTATGCTCGGGCTGTTGCCCGTGGTTTCCAGGAAGGACGGTGGAATCCGATTTGAGGCTGCTTGTTCCCATGAGAACTAGACCTAGGGTGGCTGTGGAAGTCGGGGTAGAGGCCTGACTCCATATCCATCATAACTGCCCGCTGGGGCTTTGCTGAAGTCCAATTCGTATATTTGCCTTTCGGTTTGGTAGAAGGGGTGGAAGGGCTAGGAGCGCTAGCTGCCCGGGTCTTCTCCTTGATGATATCGCGGAGCTCTTTGTCATCTTTGGTGATCTGGGCTTTGATGAAGTCAATGTCGTTGGAAGCTTGGAAGGCGGACATGACAGACTCCCGTGGGGTGTATGGGTATTTTTCGGGATTTGGAGGCGACCGTGGTATGATGGAAGGGTCCAAGAAAGCTGCCTGATCCTTGTCCAGGAGTTGAGTAATATCCAGCGTTTCACCATGCGGAATTTTGTGGGGATGTGAAGGAGTCACACAGTCCATGTCGACTTCTTTGCGAAGCACATGGTCAATGTCGACGGCTGAGAAGTAGGCACAAGATTGGGGGAGGTCATCAATCCCCACTTGCTGTGAAAATAAGGCACGAGTCCAAACGTTGACAACCTGCAAAGCCATGGCAGCGCGGTACCTATCTTCATCTTTGACAAGGTAGCGAATTTCATCGTGAACAGTGATGGCCAAGCGGGCTTGAATGTTGAATTGTCGGATGAGATAGTCCATGCCAACGATCAAGAGGTGAAGATAATCGACACCAGACGACTGAATGGCCCAATTAATTCGGGATGTCATGAAGCTGCCTTTGTTGATGAAACGTCGCATGAGCGCCTCGGTTATCCCAGCACCTAAAGCAGGTGTTCTAGGTCGTTCTTGATCCGCAAACTCTTCGAGTTTATTGAATACAAATGATTCAGTGCCACCTCGCCAGAACGGCGTCTCGCTCAAGAGGCGACGTGAAGTGCGCGTTCCCTTAGTCTCTTTGTATAGGTTTTTAGCAGTGTCTTGTGTCTGCTTTTCAGTCAGAGACGGGTTGAACTGGCGAAGTAAAGTAGCGGCAAACTTGACGCCTGCTCCGTAGATTCGGCCGTAGTTGAAGACCTTGGCATCATTACGCGAGATTCCCAGAATAGACGCACTTCGTGAGTGAAGATCCGTCCCCTCAGCTTTGGATCCTTCTAAGCACATGAAACCAATTGCGTTTCCTCCGTGAATCTGGAATGAGGCATCTCCGACAAGACTTGCAATCCATAATTCCTGGGAGTCGACATCGGCTCCAACGAACGAGTAGCCTGGTGGTGATTTGATCATAGCTTTTAGCTCTGACCCGACACGATTAGCCTTTGCGTTACTGGCAGTCAGCCAAGTATTTTCCACGGCACGTCGGGTGATAGTTCCCATGGGAATAACTTGAGGCAGAATAAATCCGACACGATTGTCGCTTGCTTCACTTTTCTCTTTGCCCTTTTGCACTTGATCTTCATAGACCACGATTTGACCCTTGATTCGATCTCGAGCGCTGATCCAGTAGGAGCATGATGCGTTCATATCCAGCGCTTGTTTGGCGAGCTCATACTGAGATGAAAGAATCCCGCGCTCGAAATACTGCATATACCCTTTGCCAAGCGGGTTAGTACATCTGGCCTGTGGGCCGTCTTTGTGGGGGATTTTGAAGTATGTGGCTTTTCTATCGTCTCGCAACTCGGTGTTCTTTTCTTCGGCCATATCGCAGATAACGACTGGCTGATTCTCATACTGTTTGATTTGATCACGGGGAACACGGAACGTCCATCCGTGTAGGTCCGACCAAACAAGAGGGTAGCTGTCCCATGACAGTTTGAGTAAGATAGGTGCAATGCGAGTTCGCACTGTTAGATTGATCTCTGCAGTGTTTGAACTAAAGAGGTCCTTGTACCACTTGGGCATTCCTGGTTTCTTTTGCCTGGCTGCTGGCCGAGGAGGGTCACCCTTCTTTTTTCCTTTCACCATTTTGATCTCTTGACCGGACCAGTCCAGCTGTTGTAACCAAGGATCACTCGTATAAATGTCTGATTGGTCTTTACACTTCAATGCCTCGTCGCATAGTGCTAGCAATTTACTTTGGACGTCGTCAAGTCGCTTGTGATATGTTTCCTCTGCGCTGGCAAGATACTCTTCCCACGATTCGTTGACAGGCAAAATGACAGAGGACAAGTGTCGGAGAGCGCCGAAACTGACAGGATGCGGGCAAGTCTCGAGAAAGTTGGGGAAAACTTTCCGGTAAACACGGTGGGTGATGGCGACATCGGCGGCACAATAGTCAAGCAGTTCCTCCAGCCTGCTCAGGATAGAGTCACGATCAAGTTCACCGAACAGGTCTCTCTGTGCCTTATCGATGGTGACATCACAATGGAATTTGGCTACATCACGCAGGGAGTTCACCGAGCTTCGTCCAACCCAAAGCTCTTCCTCTTCTTCTCTTAACATGTTGTTTTCGAGAAGTGCAGCAAGCTCCACGGAATCGTGCTCGTTCGAGATTTTGTCTCTTAAGTCCTGATTCTTTTTGTGGCGCATCCAAGTTGGTCTCTGCTGTGAACACATCCCGTTTACAGCCACGTGAAGTGACATTGTGTCAAGAAAGAAGTTTTGGGACTGCCGCATGTCGTATTCCTCAAGGACTCGGGCTCGATCGTAACCAATATTGTGGCCAACCACGATGCGGGGCTGTGTAGGGTCCCCCAAGGGCACTAGCTGTATTTCATTCTTTGACTCACCGAGCAGCCATGGCGATATCCACGCATACCATGCTGTCGGGCTTACCGCACAAGCCATGACCGCAAATGAATTATTTTTGTACATGACCTCGGTGTCGAATGTTAACATTGATTCATTAGGGGCATCGACAGGCTCAGAGGTGCCATCCGTATGGTATTTGGTCCATCCACTGCGTTTGACCCATTTGCGCGGTTTGGCCGGACAATTCAGAGCCGCATATGATTTAGCCCATGTTAGATACGGTTCGGAAGAATCCATCCCGAGTTTGTAGAAATGCTCATCCAATGTTTGCCCCTTGAGAGCAGGAAGATCGAATGCGACAGGACCCGCGCCATTTTGAGACTTGCCCAGGAGCTCATGTCTGGCCAAATGATCCTTCGAAAGTGCGACTAATTCTGGGTCCGGAATGCGACCTTTATTTGGGAAAACTTGAGCATGGACATAATCGCTGAGTTGTTGGACTCCAATATCATTGAATCTGGATGAGGAAGGGACTGCGCGAGGTCAGTGATTGCAATTTGGTTATTTCTTATCGAAAAGCGTAAAAGACAGGGTATCTACCAGAAAGAGACCTTGTTGTGGCAACGTTGTTGGTGGAAGTAGAGGAGAGTCTTGTATGGCTTCTGTGGAATTGGTACCGTGATGGTAGTTTAACCAAGAGCGGCGAGCTCAGTCGTGAGAAAGACCTCACGGCACCCCTGGAAGAAGGAGTGCAGGAGGACTTCCAAGATAACATCATAGAAATGAGAGTCTGGGAGTGTTATGTCATATTAAAAGTATGGCCACAGCCGTGAGGCTGCACTGGTAGCCCGAAGAAAATTCTTAAAAAAGCAGTATTGAAGACGGACGTAGGTAATTTCGATATCATCACATCACCTATCGCGATATCTCAGATCTGGGCGTCATGCAGGTCGGAATAAAGTTTTCCCGGAGTTTTTGACCGCCTTCTACTTACAGACAAACGCATTATGTTAAGAAAGTGGGCGGGACTTGATCGCGTGTCCTGTCGGTATAATGATTTTCCGATAAACAACCCCTCTATCTTCTCACTGACCGCCTTCTAGTTATAGATCAGCTTGGCTTATCTGGTATCTTATCATCACATGACTGGTTTGATAAGAGTGTCCGTCATTGTCGCCATCACCTGCTTTGATCGCTGAAGAGAACCCCGATTTTGCTGATGATATTCACTGCTCAAACGCATTACAGCTGTGTTTCTTGTGGTTCCACGAATTCTTTTAAAATCTGGAGGCTGTTCGTCGGCCAACAATTCTAAATCGTCTCACGCCCCCACATGACAGCAGCACCCAGCCGCAGACGACTTTCTTTTCCAACCTTGACTATCGTTCTGTTTTAACCCCGACAAAAACTTCATAGAAATCGTCCTACTACCCAGTCTGTCAAAATGAGCCGAAATAGACCTGAGGTTGTCGACCTGACAACGAGAACACCGCGGCAAAATCCTATCTCTTTATCCTCCTCCCCGCTTGCCGCATCGGCCCACGCATCCTCTTCTCAGCAAGCATCCTCTTCTCAGCAAGCATCCTCTTCTCAGCAAGCATCCTCTTCTCAGCAGGCATCCTCTTCCCGACATGGACAGTCGGATACTCCCCGCGGTGTCAAGCGTCGCCGTAATTGGAGCGACGAGCACGGCGATTCCATCGCGTCCCCTTCGACTCCCTCCGAAGACGAGCCCATTGAAACGATCGACATGACTGACGACTCGGCTGCGGCTGCACTCGCTCGAACAGTGGCCAAACAGAGGGAGGATGCCATCAAAGCGCAGGCATTGGCAGATAGCAACTCGAACCTCTCCGCTCTACTCGCTTACAAATGTCCTATCTGTATGGAGACGCCTGTGGACGCAACGAGCACATCATGTGGTACGTGCCTGATTATCTACTATATAAGATTTGAGCACGCCATGGCTTCTACTAACTCACCATATCTAGGCCACCTCTTTTGTCATAAGTGCATAATCGACTGCTTGAAGATGAGCGAACAAACACGCGCTGGTGATTCTTCGAAACAACATAAGGGTACTTGCCCGGTGTGTCGCACACCGATTTCGCGCAAGGAGACGCCTGGAAAGCCTAGGAATCTCATTCCGCTGTTGTTTCAAACGAGGAAGCGAGGTGATCTTCTCGTATCTGGTCAATAGAGCCTTTACTTCGACTTTTCCCTCGGCTCTTCAAATTTTGTTTTTCTCTCGACTCTTGCGGCATTGCTAATCGGAGCATGGGAACGAATGGTATTTTCTTTAGGATTTTGCATTAGCGATTTGCGTCAGGGCTGTGGTTAATGATGTGCGATTTACGAATGGAGTTCCTCTGTATTGATTTACATGGTGCGTAGATGTAGTTGTATCGCAATATAGAATAGTACGATGATTGCTTCTAAACATATACTATTGCACATTCGCTCGATCCCTTCTTGCAGGATCGAGTGTATTCCGTCGACTAAGTGCATTTCCCAGAGCTCCCCGAATCATCGCATCCCCCTTTTTCCCCAACACTACCTCAATGGCCTGTACAAGGGCATTGGGGTCATATTGCATTCCCACAACAGTCTCCTTATCGCCACCCTTCGTCACAATCTTTCGTCCGTAAAGGCGAAGTGTTTCGATACCCATATGCGTGAGCCGCTCACGGTCCACATGCGGTGTACCCGGACCATCGAGATGCAATATATGAGTCACATAGTTGGTATATGGGAGGGATCTGTAATTTTGGACATTGTCTTGCACTGAAGCCGTCGCAGGGTTCTCGATTTGATACCGAGAATGAACAATCGGGCCCCGTCCACGGCTTTCCTCTCCAGCGCTTACAATCGCTTCAACGAAATCAGACGCGGCAAACGGTGCAGATGGAGGCCCCGTTTCCCGATCCAATGATCCGTTCAAAATGAGGATCTTGTGCCTAGCTGGACTCGAGACGATGCTTTTGCCTACACCTCGCAAGACGATGGCAGGGATGATTGATGTGTAGAGAGATCCGATACTGTAGATAATGGCCTGGGAGTCATTTATTGCTTCCAGCACTCGTGGGTTCGCCGGTGGTCGGATCTCCTGGCCATAGGGGTTTATGTACCAGATGCGAGTGATTCTGGAACTCAAATCTTCGTTCTCGGTTTTACTGAACTTGATATTCTTGTTGCGGAGAGTTGCCAGAGAGCCGGGAAGGTGATCCTCTTCGTAGGTCGTTGGGTCCGACATTTCGGAATCCGTGTAATCAATATCGTCCCCATCGGCAAGGAGCAGACTCGGCCTTCTTGTGCGGGGGTTGTGCTCGAGGGCTGTCGCCTCACTTGGGTGCGAGATGCTGTTCTGGCCGACAATGACAGTTCCATCCGCAAGCGATGCAGATATATGGTGAGAGAAATTGGAGTTGATTGCTGGGATTACGCGCACCAAATCTGATGGGACACCACAGATACTGCCGAGTAAATAGATGGCACTTTCGAAGCTTCCACTGAACAGCCGGGCGGCAGTCAAGAAAAGATTTCCCACACTTGCGGAGGTGAAGTCAAAGGTTGATGATGGCGGTCGGGCTCGCTTCAGGATTTCCAGGTTTAGTACATTGAAGAATGAGCGTATCAACTCTTTCTTTGCCGGACTGATAGCTGTCCATAGCTCAGATGTGCCGTCAACAATGGACTGCCATTCATTGGTTGCGATGCCTGCTTCCGCAGGGAGCCGATGGTTAAACAATGCCTTGACTGCTGACCTCTCAGGGTTTGCTGGCGAATCCGGAATCAGACGTACCAATCGACCTGTCCGACAAATTAGCAAGCGAGTTCGGGGAGATGCAAAGAGTTCGTACTTCGAACGTCACCAATCCCAGGGCCACCAAATATTCGAATTAACTCGGAAGAGGATCCTCCGTTATCACTGATTGGGATGATGTAGCTAAGTGGACAATTTTTGCTTTCACGGACGGCGCTGAATACATCGACCAGATTGTTCGCCGCGCTCCCTCCTGATATGACAACAATCCCTCTATTGGTCGCCATGGCCAAATATTTTGTTCTGCTGCTTGTAGCACCCGAAAAGCTTAAAATTCAACGCGAAGCCACTAATAAATTTTCAAGGTGTTCGAATATTTACAAAGATGAAATGTAAGACATTGGGGGCACGTCTGGGCCCAGACGCGCGCAACAATGACACATTTCCAAAAACAGCCGCGAACACAAAAACAGGCAACTGCGAGAACAACTCGGGCTTTTATTAAGAATGTCTTATATAAATAGCTGCCAAATTCAAATGGAACTCCAATACACAAATTCTCTCCTATGTATTAGCTATTTATATACTTATTTGACTACGTGGCTCTGTATAGTCATTGATTTTCTATAGTTGTAGACAGACCAAGGTCCTATGTGCCGTAGCATTTGCTACGATACAAGAAATGTTGTGAAATGCTTGTGGCATCGAAGAAGAACGACCACTCAGTGTCTGCAACCCTAATCCGAATACGGTCCCAGATCGAACAAGGAGTTTCCCTGTAAACTCACAGCTCCATGGATTTGACGATATAAGACCAGTAGTTCCAGACTAGATGCTAGCAAGAGTAGTTGAACAAAGTCGTCTCCTTGATCAATATCACTCTTCAACCTGGCAATTGATATAATCAACCATCCCTGATATGTCTATAGCTGAAGACGCCAAACCTCAGGCTTTGCATTCTGATAACCCCAGATGTATCGCTATCGATGCAGACGCCGAGAAGAGGCTAGTTCGAAAGATCGATCTACATTTAATGCCTTCGATCTTTATTCTTCACCTTTTGTCCTATATGGTACATTGATCTAGAGATTGCAACCTATATTCTGCTAAACGTACTAGGACAGATCGAACATTGGTCTTGCAAAGATAGCCGGAATGGAAGATGACCTGCATCTCACCTCACATCAATACTATACAGCGGTGATAGTATTGGTGATTGGCTATACTATTGCTGTGGTGCCCTCTAAGTAAGATAAGAGCCTCGTATCTTCCACATGCAAAATTCTAAATCTAGATCTAGCATGATTCTCTCTCAGACTCGCCCATCGGTTTTTATTCCAATAATCACATTTGCTTGGGGATCTATAGCAGCCTTGATAGGAGCTGTCCGTAACCAGGGCCAATTGATAGCCTTAAGATTTCTTCTTGGGGTCTTTGAAGCAGGCTTTGGTGTGAGTGCCTCGAGTAATATTCCACGAATCCACCTCTAACTCTAATGAAGCCCGCTGTGATCTTCTTGATTTCTGCATGGTATCGGAAGAACGAGCAGTATGTTTCCCTCTATCTACAACACTAGCTGAGATTTGAATTATTACTTACCGCAACTAGATCAAAACGGTGCATCACATTCCTAACCGCAGGCATACTATCAGGAGCCTTCGGGGGTGTAATCTCGGGAGCTATCACATCGTCATTAGATGGCGCACACGATATCCGCGGCTGGAGATGGCTCTTTATTATCGAAGGTGTCACAACTGCTGGAGTAAGTTTGATCATCCACTGGACTCTACTCGACTATCCGCACAACAGTCATGCACTATCCCCCGAGGAACGAAAACTAGGCCAACAGAGGCTCATCGAAGACGGAACGGCTGACCAAGGCGAATCAAAAACCCAGAGCATCTCTATATTCGTACTCTTGCTCAAAGCACTCTCCAATTGGCGAATCTGGGTACTGATCCCGGGCTACATGACCATTTTTGGAGCCTCGGCTATCTCATACTTCTATCCAACCTTGGTCAATGGCATGGGGTATGCCTCCGCCACCGCGCAGTACATGACAGCTCCGCTGTATATTGCCTCCCTAGCTGCTGTTATCCCCATTTGCTGGGTTGCTGACCGCAAACCCCATGCTAGAGGGCGGCTATTGGTGGGCGACTTGATACTCGGGATGGTGTTCTTCGCTCTTACAGTAGGTATTCGAGACTGTACTGCGCGATATGTGTTTTTGTGCTTTATTAACATGACTATCTTAACGGGAAGCGCGCTGGGTCTTTCATTTGCTGCTACGGCTCTGGCTCCGGTTACTCGTGATGTTCGTGCGATCATGCTCGCGTGGATGTCTGGCGTTGCTGCTTTGGCACAGTTATACGGGAGTGCACTGTTTCCAGAGGAAGATTCACCTGTGTATATCGTCGGGTTTTCTGTGTTTGCTGCTACATTCGCCATCGGGGCTGTTTCATACGGCCTGGCTGATATTTTGTTCAAGCGTTATCCATGAAAGGGGTAATATGATATGCTACATCATCTCAAAGTCATCGAGAAAGATGTCTATCTGAAACATTGAATCGCAACCACTATACTGCGCAATATAAATGCTAGGAATAAATATATAGTTGATACAATAATATATCCATGGATCAATTTCATGCAAGCGTTGATTATAAATCCTATCCCCAATGAAAACAGCCAAATATCGTCTATGTCCCCTAACTTTACATGCATGTTCTGTCCTGTCCAGACAAGACATCATCTTTATCAAAATTTAACATAAGCATCGGATTTATTTATCCGAGCTTGGATTCGTGAAACAATAGGCTCACGTGAAATGTGCACCGCGTGTTCCAAATTTCCGTCGATTGCTTCAGTTCGCCAATACACTCGCGTTTGTGCTTAGTGAGTCACCTGAGCAGCAGCAGCAGCGGGGGCGGAGCTGCCACTGTAGAGAACCAACAGAATGAGGATGCAGGGAACACCAACAAGGATGACCTTGGTGCGTGCAGGGTTGGTGCGGTTATACTCACCAACCTGGAGGCGCACATCGGTAACAAGGCTCTGGCACTTTTCAGCACCGAGCTTGTAGTACACCAGACCAGCCAGGGCGATAGAGTAACCGAAGAACTGCTGGGCAGTGACGGGATCGCGGAAAATAAACATAGAGGCACCGACAAGGAGGATATCCTTGAGGATACCAGCCATGGTCAGGACAACAGCAGAAGTCTTGCCAATCTATTGGTGTGTTAGCAAGTGGTTACTATCCATGCAATAAACATGACTTACCAGCAAAACAACAGAGGCGTTAAGAAGGAAAGCAACCAGTGCGTTGGCGACAAGAGTTCCGATACCGAGACCGTAGATATCACCCATAGTAAGACGGGGAGCCTCAGCGAAGAGGGTGACAACACCGTTGGTAATAGCGCAGGCCGGGGCATAATAGTATAGAGAGACCAAGGGGTCCATCTTGAACTCGGCGGAGCTGAGCAAACGCTGGACCATGACAAGACGAAGGGCCTCGAAGACGATACCGGCAATCTGGACTGTATAGTTGTTAGACATCGATTGTCAAATATACCGGAAGATAACATACTGAGGAAGCCGACCATCTCGAACTTGATCTCGCCGAACGAGGCAATCACAACACCAACAACAATGAGAGACACATTGCCGAGAGTCTTCAAGTTGGTGGGAGCGATTCCGAAAGCCCAGGTGGCCAAGAGGGTTGCGACGGCGTTGGTAGCCTAGAAAACATGGTATTAGCATTGAGTCAAGCCTAGAACTCGAGAGCGCGGGCGGAGATCGCAATCGAGGCCAAAATTCCCGGTTCAAACGCACCTTAAGCATCTGGATAAAGGAAACACTCAGGTAGAGGTATGCCAGGTTTCCGCAGATCAGACTCAAACTGAACATGATACCAATGGGCACAATGGCGCGCCTGTGTCGCACAAATCCACTGGTTAGCGATCGAGAATTCGGGTCGGACTCCAGCTGTGCTAGTTATTCCATGTTGCATCATCAGGGTTGCTCACGTATAGGTGGCCGGGTTCATGGGAACCTTGTGGCGCGAGTCAAGTACGGTGGTGAACCGGGCGAGAATCTGGGTCATCGCTGTGGCGAACACCATGTGCCAGGTCGTCAAGAAGAGCGCTGGTATCTCATGTCAATAACTAATTTCTGTGGACGCGGTTGAAACTCGATTGCGCCGGAGGAACTCACGGAAGTCTAGAAGCAATACAAGTTAGCATAGTCCAATGCGAAGAATAGGGGATCAGTGATAAGGGGTCCATACTGAACTTGGCGCTCGCAAGAACCCATTTGTTGAACAGGATGACGCTGGAGCTCAGAGCAATCCACAGGCTAAAAACTCGAGTCTTAATTTCATTTTCGACAGCAGCGCCCTATTCAGAGCCCTGGATCGTATGTAGATAGTGTTACGTACGCGATGTAGAAGCCGGGGTGGAGGCCGTTGTCCTTGGGAGCAGGAGAGCCACTCTCGAGCTTACGCTCATCTGAGCGATCGTTTGCCATTATGAAAAATCAAAAAACAGTATAAAAGAATGACTGTGGTGAGTAGAGAAAAGTTGGTTTGAAAAGGGAGATGATAAGGGGAAAGAAATGATTTATGAACGATCGGCAGTTTACACCCAAATGGAGACGCTACAGCGGGCACTTCCAATCACAACGCTGTTTTAACGGGTGTGTCGCCCCAGCCCAGTGCTTACACGTAATCCAAGTCCCTGAACTCAAGTTTCAGGGTATTAGAGATTAGGATCAGAGATTTTTCTGGTTTATCCCTGTCGATCTTAGCACAGCCCAGTTTTTATTTCTTGTCTAGCGTGTCACGTCTTCATGGGGTCAATTAGGGTGAAATAGGGTCAATTAAAGTCCATTGCCAAGAATACATGGAAGTGTCTATTTTAGCACTCTAAGACAAAGATTAAAACAACCAATCATACTAAAGTATGCACTATATGCATATCGAAGATTAGAGTCTATATCGATGTACATCTACCGTTGTACGTTGCAGTTGCTATATGATCACGTGATAGGGGTTGATATAGTTTTTCTTATGATACATCATCAACCTAAGACAATCCTGCCTCTTACGGATGTTCAATCATTCCAATAAATAATCACACACCCTTATCAAAATTTCCAATATGACAGACTCAAACACTGCGCCTGATTCTAAAATCAATCATGCTGCCTCCTTGAAATACTGGAACAGTGTCCCAGCCACCACGGGCAGCATGCTCGGCGAGTTCCCATCTGTGTCACGCATTGACCTACAAGGGTCTAAAAGCTTCCTAGCCAAGGTTCGCCGTTTACTACCAGGCGTTCAATCTGAGGGCAAATTTCATCAAGGTGTGGATTGTGGCGCCGGTGTTGGCCGAGTGACAGAGGGCTTCCTGAGCCATGTCTGCGATGTGGTAGACGCGGTAGAGCCGGTAGCCAAATTCACACAAGTGATGAAAGATAGCCAATTGAAACGAGATGGCGTCATTGGAACTATCTACACGCGCGGCCTTGAAGATTGGACCCCAGAGAAGAAATACGATTTAATCTGGGTCCAGTGGTGTGTGGGCCATCTCACGGATTCACAACTCATTGACTATACGGTGCGGTGTCGCAAGTCGCTGACTGAAAACGGCCTGATGGTTCTCAAGGAGAACCTCTCCACCCATTTCGCTGGACAGGATATGTACGACAGTGAGGACAGTAGCGTCACAAGGACAGATGCGAAATTCAGAGAAGTCTTCAAGGCAGCTGGCATGGAGGTCGTCAAGTCGGAACTCCAGAAGGGATTTCCCAAGTCTTTCAATCTCTTGCCTGTCCAGTTCTATGCCTTGCGGCCAAAGACAGACAATTAGCCTTTTATTCATTGTGTCTCTCATTTGCCTGATCTTTGAGGATCCACGGTGATACCAGGTTGGTGTCAGCATATTTTATTATTAATCGAACGGGGACTTTGATGGATGCCTGCATGAATATGAAGTTTCCGGTTCGGTTAAATGCATTGATTGATATCTTTAATCGCCAAGTTGCATATATGATCCCATCAATTGACCGTTATGTACATATGACCACTTTCTTCGATAGTCACTGTCGCATGAAACCAAATCAAAATTGATACAAAGTATCCGAATCTGCAACAACACACGGAGAAATCTTAAGTCGTCCACCACAAATCACATCCCTATTCAATTTTCCCGGCGGAGTCCACACAAACTCCGCAACATTTGTTCTCGACCGAGACACACCACACCCAGTGTCATCTCTATTATGGACCAGTAACAGGTCTGGTTGACACCCCTGCTTTACACATAGACCCGAATGGGATGGCGAGAGCCCAATAGCAGCCCTGGCTCGTGTCGAAACACATTCATAAAGCAGCTCCGCATCCGCCTGACTTCCAGCCTGATAGACTCCCACGCCTAGGCAAGCCAACGATAATGGATCGGGCAAACCCCATGGAGTAAATGAATTGCCAACATTATTCACCCCAATCACTGCATCCAGGTTGTACTTCCGGATCATTTCTATGACTTGTAGAGTACCCCTCGGGCGATCTTGCGGAGACTTGGAGTCCACGCTCGTTCTGGGAGGTGATGCCATGTACATATCACTTGTTGGCAGACCCACGAAGCTGACTGGGAGTTTATTCTCGTGGATTTCAATTGCCAGTCGAGCCCATTCGTTTTCCGTGAGCAATGTCAGTCGTGTACAATGACCAAGCATGACGCGCTTGTTTGTTGAGTCGGTGGTCCAGCTTCGTTGTTTGAGGGTCTGTAAGACATGCCAAACTAGGGCCTCTTTGGTTGAATCAAGGTTGTAATCAAGATGGAAATCGACGTGTTTGTTCAGCTTCAAGGCACGATCAATCGCCCATTCGATGTTTTGCTTTGCAGCCTCGGGATTGGATTCGACGTATGGTGTTGTCCCAATAACATCAATTTGGGAATATTTATCAAGAGCGGTTTCCAGAAAGTCCATGTTTTGCTTCCCGTGCTCACTGGAGAATATAGGATCTTGCGCGAAACAAGCGATTTGGATATCGCAAGAATCTTTCCATTGATTTTTCAAAGCAACAGCGGCTTCTAAACAAATAAGCTGCACAGTATGGTCTACCTCCACAAATGCTCTCATTGCAGTGACTCCTGATGCAACAGACTCAGCAAGGAGCCACTCTCCTCTTTTAATGATATCGGAATGGCTGAATTGTTGTTTAGCCTTGGTCGTGGAGGACAAAGCCTCCTGAAACGTGCCTGCTGTAGGTAGAAATGGGGCATACTCAGGTGCACTATGGATAAATGCTTTATCTAGGTGAATGTGAGGGTGTATCAAGGCTGGTAGAGCTAGAGGTGACTCGAAATCATTCTTGATAGTGGGTTCATGCGGGGTCACAGAGGTGATTGTGCCTTGTGGAGAGTCTGCATGGTATTCAATCTGGATATCCCAGGTGGACGGCTCCCCTGCCAATCGAACACCACGAATGGACTTAATCACGCTCGTCAGTTGTGGTGGAGGCATATCCTTGTGCAAGCGAAGTTTTGTCTGAGTTGGACCCTTTCCCGAAGTGTCCCCGCAGCGCGTGGGGGCTCGACGGCATGAGGATCACGGGCTTACTGATAACACACCCACAGTGGACAACTTTGAAACAACAATATATTCAATAGACTCAAAATAGTAGCCTCGATGATCTCCAGCGCATTTAAATTCACAAATATACATGCAAATGCGAAGTAACAAAATAAGTGTATCTACTTGAGTACAGATCAAGAGGCTCTCTACTAAGCTCCCCGAACTAATACTCGCACTTTCTGACGGATTGTCTTCAACATGCTGACAACTGTATCCGCTGTTTCGCAATGCTGCGCCCATGGCTCAATGGATTGAATTGCTTCTTTGACCAGATCGTCAAAGTCCGGAACAAGGGCTTCCAAAGCCGGCGTGGTTTTCGCAGTCGAGAGAGTGAAAATGGCAGCCAACATTCTAGATGTGTAAGATAAGTAAGTGAGATTTAGAAAGTTGCAAAAACCACTTGAGCGCAGACAGATGATCTTACCCTTGCATTCTATGCCAGTTTGAGTGTGTTCTTTTGCGCAGAAGAAGTGATCCTGCCCAGACGAACTTGCGGCAGCTATCGACGCACTTTTTGCAATTTGCGAAAACAAACTCCGGCAATACCGTACTGCCCTGAGTGTGGGCAGCAAAAACAAGACTCGGGCGGCAGATGATGTGTTTTGTGGCATAGTACCGGGCGAGAATGTATGTATCGTAAGTGTGATCCGCGGATATTGAATTGCCTAGGGTTGGCCTGATGGGGTTTGGGAGAGAGTCAAACCAGTTCTCTAATTGACGATCGAGCTCCTCGCTGATGGTCTTGAGAGAGGCAATCGAATACTTTTGCGGAGCTGCAGCCGGGGTATCACCTGTGAGTTGTGGCGGAGGGCTGGAATGGAAATTATCCTGGTTGGATTTTGCATACAGAGCGCTGTGCACGCGGTTGAGAAGCTTTCGAATTGAGCACATTGCAAGGAAAACAAGATGACCGTTTCGGCTATCTTCCGAAATTCGAGGAAAGGGCAATCTATCGACGAGGAGCTCAATACCACTGGGAGGGAAATGAAACTCTGCGAGATCGTCACTAGGGCGAGGTGATTGTTAGCTGGATGTGAGATAATCCCAGATTATATACCTACCATTCGAGAATAAAACAGCCCCAGGCAGTCCGATAGAGACTAGCTCGTTCTTCATGCGTGTTCATGTCATGTAGTCTGTATCCAATATCAATATCAATATCAATATTATGCTGGAATCAGATATCAGAGAAGACACTCACTCGGAAATCATGATCTGCACACTACCAGACGCATCCCGAATCATTTGCCATGCTTGAATTGGGCGCCCTATGTGACGCAGATACATAGAGCCGTAGAATAAAGCCAAAGGCAACAAGTGGTCCGCCGTAAAGGACGTTATCAAGGGATTGTTCAAGTAGTTATATGCGGACGCGAAATATTCCATCCCACTCAGATCTTTCTCCGCTTCGATATCAAAAATGCGTTGAGGATTCGAGGAGGCCTTTCCTAAAGCCAAAATGACGAGGTAAAGTGAAGTTTGGATGCTGTTAACCTTGGTGTATGAGGAGAAAGTGTCAAAGAGCATATGTAACAACTGCGGCTCGAGAACTGGGAAGTACGGATGGACATGGTTGAGGAACTCGGAGATCAGAGGTTTGGTAACCTGGGGATGCAGTCGGGATCTGTCGATCTGTTCAAAGGCCTGGGGTATACCTGGGACCTGGATACTGTTGAATGGGCGCTTTTTCTCTATCTGCTTAAAAAAGTCTTGAGGGTAGTCGCCAACCAAATTCTTGATTCGATCCAACGAAAATAGGCTTCCTGTTGGTGTATGGTGACCGGGAGGAATAGTGAATGCATATTCATGGCCGTATGGATTCTCTGGTGAAAAGAGGGTGAAAGAGGATTTATCGTATACATGATCCGATGATGGGTCCCAGTCGTATTTTGGCTGTGACGAATAGACAGCGGAAGTCGACCGACCCATATGATCGGATGAAGAGCCTACTCGAGCAGAGAGCTCTGTAATGGCGTCCTTCTGTTGCTCGATCAGGGTTTCCAGATGGGTTAAGCGAAGCAGGATTTCAGCCGGGATATCCTGCACCCTATCGATCGTCACTATCTAGGAACCCTTTATACGAGGTGACGCTTTCTACCTGTCGCTTTCTTGATAGACACACTGAGCCCCCGCGTCGGTGCAAAGGCCACATGTCGGCTTCTGACCATCGCACTTCCGTTTCCTAGTTTTTCTACTTAGTGACCGGGGTTAAACAGAGGAATTGAAACCCCTACCTATGTCGACAGAAATTACATGCAATTGATGCACGCTTCCGTGGATAATCAACGGGAGGGCGAGATTCAAATGATTTCATATTTGCTTGAGCGAAACGGAAGATCGACGTCAAAGGTTCACTGCGGGGTCGTCAGCAAAACGCCAAAAAAAACTAGGCTCCCCCCCTTAATAATCAAATCTGCTCCAAGTATAGATTCACCTATTAAAAATGCAAAAAAGGAGTTATATTAATTTACCGATAAGACTTTACTCCTGCTAGTTGAAGCAATCGATCTGTGTGCTCTGGCACTTCCAATGGCACAGAACGATTGCGAGGATCAACGGTACCATCCGGGAGATACACCACTTCATCACGTATAACTATATTCTCATGTGGCCAATGAGTCGTGGCTCGGTATGACTCAAAGGCTTCCTTCTTCCGTTTCAAGGTCTCCTCGGTGGCCAACTTAACAGGTGCATATGACGCATAAATCACCGTTCGGATCGTGTTGCTGTTCACTGTTGGTTCCCCACCCCAGTGCACAGTGCGCGAATCCCACACGATTAAATCACCGGGTTCCGCGAGCACCTTGATTGGTTTCATGCCATGATCCACAAACCATTGAATTTCTTCCTCGCTGAATAGGCGTATGTCCTTCTGCTCCCAGGTGGATGGATCGGTCTCAGTGTCAAAGAAATCTTCGATTACAGTGTTCGACCGCGGGAACACCATAAGGGACCCATCTTCGGGACCCGCATGGCTTAGATTGATAATTCCCTGAATACAGTGGAGCCCGCGACGAATTGGCGACTGATCCACGTGGGGCCATGGTTTTTGGGCAGGCTTGTCTTCTCGGTTGGGCAAAGTGATGTTCAGTGCGTCAAACGAGACAAGTAGCTCATCGGTACCCCAGATCTTGGCGAATGCCTCCAATACCTTTGGCTCCATGCGACAGTCCCACATGAATTTTTCATGAGTAACAGAATATCCATTGAATGTATTTACTTTGCTTTGAACAGGCAAGTTGTCTATGGTCCATGTGGAAGGATCATCAAGGTCGAACGCTGTATTGAAAGACGCGAGCCAGTCCAGGGCTTTTCGCTGATAGCCCTGGGCCCTTTCAGGATCGATGGCATTCTTGATGATTGCATAGCCTTGATCGTGAAGGTCGTCTCTCCAATCTCCATATGGGCCACTCAGCCTAGCGTTCTGAATTAGCAATTGTTGTCTAGTAGTGAGAAACATAGGACACTTACCTGAAAGAAGCTTGATTGATAGGTGGAACAGTGGTAGTGGTGGTAGTCATAGTGGCCATGGTAGCTGTCTAAAGAGAACTGTAAAGCTTTAGGACTTAAATTGACGACAAAATAACGGGGGGAGTTGCTAGGTTTAAGTATGTGAGATATCCCAATGTGATCTATCATCTGGCCATTCAGAACCAGGATGTATAGAAATTCGTATTGTCAACAGAGCAATCTGATCCCTTGGCGGATAAGCGGGGATCGACCCCGCCAACATTGAAGTTAACAGCGGAAGTGTTTCAGACGGTCCGTTTAGCCGCCCTTCCGCTTTATTCATGAACCAATCAGCTATGGCATTGAATGGAGAAAAAAAATGGAACTGTTTGATTGTATCGGGGAGCTAAATTCGAACCAATCCGGTCTTCCTTGAGGCCCATCAAAATTGGCGGTAACACGTCGAAATAGGCCATGTGGACGTTGTCGGCGCAGCTCCATCAGCGTCTTCCGAGTTGCCGGACGCCACCTGGGCAAAAAGACAACCAAAAGAGGCCTTATGCAGAGGAAAGATTCCGGGTATTTATATCCGTTAGTTCTTTACCAATCACACTGATTTCTGCTTCTAGATCAGGCTAAAGGCCTCTGGGCATCGAAAGCTTTCTCCCGGATACATCGTTAACAATGAACTATCTAATGCTCACAAAGAGAGAAATCTCCCGATTCAAACAAATTGTTATGGTTTACAGCCCCGACACTGCGCTCTTCCATGAGCTCAAGTCTGTAAGCTTCTGCCTCTTTCATGCTCATCATCGGGCCCAATATATCTTGACCGGGTGCATGCGGCGAGTTTGCTGACCCCCGTGAATGCACACTATCCACAACCTTCAAATTTTGCGGCGCCCAGTCCTCTCGCTGTGGAGGAACATTGGCAGATGAGATCACACGTCTATGGGGATCGATGAGAAACAGTGCGAGGATCTTGCGATGTCCTCTTTTTGATCTGTCGGCCAACGAAAATGCAGACACTTTGTGCTGAACAGAATTTGGGAATGTCAGGAGTCGACCCTCTTGACAAACCACGCCTCCAGCCTCTTGCGTAACTTTGGTTCCATTGAAATAACCATCCGTAACTAAGCCATAAACATCTTGGAGAAACTTGTGCCGATCTTGCTCGTATTCAACGTCGTCCATATAGCTACTTCTTTGCCGGAAAAACAGCGAACTTTCCGTGATGTTTTGATTGTCATAATAGTAGATTGAAGTTGCACATATGCGCTCATTCTAATTAGAGATTAGTAAGATTGGCGCTTGAGCTTCGGACATTAGAATAAGGTAAAATGAAACTGACCAGTTGCCCCTCTATGTGCCAGGTACCTCCTTCATAGTCAGGGTTTTCGGGGGTTAATTCGATATTTGCCAATTTTACAATCACTTGTAGTCCACTTTTGCCAAATTGCTCCTTCAGCTTGACTTTTTCCCAGTCGTCGACCTCGAAAATCTCGAAATCGCCTGGCTCAGGGAGTAGTATCGGGCCGGAATACTCCCATTTCTCATGTCGCTCCCTGTAGTCATCTTCATCAAAGCTATCATCGGCATCTTTAGGACGCATAGGCTCTGGTTCTAGGCGATCACCGTACTCGACCGCTCTATACTGGATCCTTTGACGCCTTGTCCCTCTGCTCAAGGACTGATCCCAAAGCGGGATCGTTCTCGTAATGACCCTCTTAACCACATCATACAGTGCCCGATGCTCAAGCGGATGGACATTATTGATGTAAGAAGCTATCTCACATCTGGAATCTTTGTTGATATCCACATCACACGGGAGCCACTGGAATTTTCGACTGAGTTCTGGCCGATCATAGTTATAATGCACCATGTGACGCTTCAACTCAACACGAGTCTCTTCTTCTGAGGGAGTTGGGATCAAAGTACCCTGTCCCATACTGCTCAGACAGTCATCGACGCCGATGATTTGGTCAGGGAGAACTCGAGTTCGACCGTAGACGATTGGAAACAATGAAGGATGGACTAGGTTAACAACTTTCTGATCGGATCCAGGATGGTAGTCCCTTTGGGCTTCGGGTACTTTTTCGAAAAGAGCTGCTGCCTGTCTCAATTCCTGCTGCAGTTGCCTGGAAATGGCGCTGTCGGATTTGACGACTCCAGAATCAAAAACAGTGACATGGCCTGTTTTTTGGAAAATGCCAGCTTTCCACTGCAGCTCTTTGATAATCCAATTCATCATTTTTGGTGTAACATCTTGTCCACTCTTGGCGACCTCTTCGCGCCATTTGGACGTGATGTGGCTGTCGAATACCTGGAAGAAATCAACATTATAAATACCATTAAGAGGAACCTAGACAGGTACCTTTTTATCCCAATCGGACTTGTCTGTGATGTTATTCATTACTCGCATCATCAAAAGTTCTCTGTGTGTGACGATTTCACTAGAGAAATTGTGTTAGCTTCAAAGCTGTGGCGTTTTGTGACTATGCCTTACTCCATGTATTCCATGTGACTTGGGTCTAAGGCATTCGGAAAGCCAAACAAGCTGGTAAAGCGGTCCTCGCAGATATTTGGCTAGTCATATTAGCATATGCTATGTTCCCAAGGGGGTGAGTCTGACTTCGGGTGGACAGTTCAGGGGCACATTGAAACCAGGCATTTCAAGCTTTCCGTTGGCAATCGAAGAGATGTTACGGGCTAGACGCCTCCCCGGTCTCAAAGAGAGCGCCATTGCATTTTTATCATGGTGCTCGATTTTATTTCAGTGAAGAAAATATAAGAGAGCAGCGCAAACCAACTTAACCATGTAGTTAACTAGGCCACAAGTGGAGCTTAGTGCCTTGATTGCAAGGCTACCAATATCTGTCAGAGCAAATACAGAGTATTTTACCACTAGGCCACAACAAAAACCAAGGTTCCTGTTTATAGCCTAGGGAGGCTTGTATTGCGCTGTCAATATCAACTTAGTTAACTAACAACTATCTACACAATTTACGGATCTTCATTGCATTCTATGCAAATACAAGAAGGTAGGCCTCTGAGAATATGTGACACATTGACTCACGTTCGCTATTTCTTCCCACTATTTTCTAGACTGCCTCGACCTGCGAGCCAATCCTTGATTTGTATTGGAATATTTGAAATTGCATTCCACTGGCATCTACTTAGGCCTTGCAGCTCATGGTAACCGTAAGTCTGCCAACATTTCCAAACTTAATGCTATTTTTTTGGCCTGACGGTGAAAGCGTGGTGCGATTCTCCAGTTTGTTCCCGGACCACGAGTCTAATCCCACCACCCATTACCACGTCGTCATTCACCTCAACGTGATTTTCCTTCCCAACGATACCATCATCAGCGGAAAGGTTGCACACGTCGGATAGCTTTTCTAGGACCAGGATCTTATCAACAAGGTTGCGCCGACATTTCCCTAAAGTGAGAATTCGGTCACTCTCGCTACAAACACGGACGACCGCGTGTCCCTGGACGAGACTGCCGGTACCATCTTTGATCCTTCTGTCAACATATGTGCACTTCTCCATCTACAACTATCATTCCTCTGCCCCCTCGCTGCGAGGATCCCTTGTCTTGGAAGACAACCAGTGCTGACTATTCTTAACAGACCAAGTATCGTGGTTTGAAAAAGGTGGAATTTTAATATCCTCCTTGTGTGTTTCCCTGTGCGATCTGACGCTTGAAGAAACGGCACCGCACTCTTCGCGACTGTCTTAACAAGCTCAAGGTTCGAGAGGTCACTGTTACCAAACCCCATCAAATGGAAACATTCGCCCAGCCCGAGACGCATCCCAGCAAGCTTTTAGGATCCCCAAGATCCTCAGCGTCATATTCGCCCAAAATAATCGTGATGGGGGTGAAACTCCATCCCACCATTCCGACTTCCTCAAATGGGCGCTTGTGCATGGCCGCTGGTACAACGAGAGTATTCCCCTTCTCTGGGCTCGCCAACACTCTTCTAAGCTTCAAACCGAGCGGCGTCAATATTACCCCAACTACGTGGATTAGACATTGGTCCTCTACTTTTGTCGGTCTCAAAAGGACGCATTTGCGGAGAATAGTGTGCTTCAAAGGCTTGTGTTTCTAATATCGATCAGAACTTTCACAAGCACCAACACCTCAAAACATCGGTATCTTCATAAACGCTTTGGATCTAGCACCCTATATATCCAGAAGTGTGCGGCTAAATTTAAGGAAGACATCGATTTGGATGTTGTCTTGCCGCCCATCTCGATCAGTCATCTTTGGTCTTACCTCGCGCTTAGATTACATTTACGAACTGCTATTATATGAACAGGATCTCATACCCAATCTTAACGAGATCACTGCAACTTATAAATTGCCTCTTGAATACAGAGGAGCAGTCGCGGCGAGCCTCAGAAGAAAACTTCAGATTGCTCGAGACGGTTACGTTGCAGTGGCTAGAGGGCTCCATTGGTTTATGCGTCCCAGTCAGCATGATGGAAATGCGGCGACGAGATTGGAAACCCCGGATTGTTTGTCCCTAGGACGGGCTCCTACTTGGCTTCGATATCCACCCACTTCTCCGACGAGGCCAAATAGTGGTATATAACTCGATTTCAGAGTGCCGGTCAGGGGAATACTTTGTCAATATCTCTCATACTGCAACATGAATACTGCAGCATTAATACCCCAATATGGGTATTGGCTTTATGCTCAATAATTTCTTGACATTTCACATCTATGAACAAGCCGTAAGTTTTTACGCTCTCTTCGCATGAAATAAATGGCTGCAAACACTAAATTTTGTGGCAGGAGCTTATTTCGAGAATTTTCATGTGTGTCTTGCGAACGATGCGACCTTGCAGTCAAATACAAAAGCTGCCGCCTGCCCATCAGTGAAAACAGCAAATAAAAGGGCACTTGATTCGAAACCACATGAAACACGAGAGGAAGGAGGCGAAGGCAAACCAAAATGCGAGTCAGATCATTCCAATTCGCCCCTCGAACCCTTCCGACGGCTTCGCGAAGATCACACAAGAAGACCATGAAATTACCATGGCAGATGGCACAAATACTGTGTCAACATGGCATCAGCTATTCCGCAAGGCTCCCTTGCGCATGCAATGGAGCTCGCAAGGCTCGGGCGAAACTCCCAGCACCGCCACGACAAGCCACCTGCATTCTTCGCTGGATCTCATTTTTACAACACTGGCTACTCCTACTGTTGCTCACGTCGCCATATTCACGACAACAGTGGCTAGAAAAGCCGCTCCCATTTTCTACAGAGCAATGAGAAAAGCTATCCCTGCTATGCGAGATACTGGTCCTGAGAGAACTATGGGACCGCACGTCTAAAGCTGATCTCGCATGGTTGGGGATCTTCAATATGAACAACCATATTTCGATTGGCTTTTCTCCCTCGGATTACCTCCCAAGTCTGAGCTGTGGCGATGTTCCACATGGGGGCTTAATTCGAGGCCATGCGATATCGAGGGAAGAGTTCGAGAGTGCGGCCATTCGGCCTGCACCAAGTTTTCTCACTCGGGGCGGTTTCGCCCATAGGAGAAGCTTCAGCGGTGACCATGGTAACGATTTCCGTGAAGTCTTTCGTGGCCCTCGTGGGGGACGAGGACGGGGTGGTTCTCGCGTTTCACGGGCTCTCCGTGGAGGTTCTCGTGATGGTCGCAGCGGCGCTTTCCACAGAACCAGCCACAGCTAATCCTATCACCGCAATCTCCCCCTCCCCTCTCGCTCCGGACGAACTTCGTCCAAGGCAGAACGAGGCGACTCCAGGTGCTGAATAAGAGCCCTACTAGAAGGCCAAAGACAATGGATGGATGGTATGGGTATGTCTAGTCCACTTTCTTTGCTTATACTTCAGAGCCTTAGGGCTTGGTACTTGGTACCCGTCATTCATACTTCTCATTACCCATCTCTCATTCTATCTGCTCATCAATTACCACTGGCATAGATGAACTCGAAATTGGCCGGCACGCCGGTATGATGTTTTTGTTTTTTTATCATTCTTCTTTTCATTGTAAATAGCTTGATCTTTCGCTTTTTCAATCCATCACTAGGCATGAAACCCTTCCAAAAAGCAGTAGATGCATCAGTCATTGAGCTAGGTATTGATGTACATAGGACGACCTAGATACTCTTACAATTTCTCATGTTGGCTTACAAGGTACACTTGATAGAGCAGCTCTAAGACTTTAGTGTTCCTCGTAGAGCGTTCCTGTAACATCCAAATCGAGAATAAACCACCTCTAAAGTCGGTTCATAAGTCAAAATCACAAGTAATTTGGGATATACTCATAACCTACTAGTTTAAGTTGGCAGTGAGATTCTCGCTCCAGAACAGTCCCGTATCTGAATCCGAAATCAAATTTATAAATAGTATGTAAGATGGACATGACTTATATCCTTAAGAGAAGAGAAAAGATGCCTCCATGTGTATATATACTTTTCCAACGCCACGAGAGCAGAAATAATCTGCCCTGACTCTAAACCAAACCCTCCCCCAAAAAAAACCCAGGTTCCAGGTTAACAACCAATACCGCTCCTTCCTATGCTGAATTCTTTTATATCCTGACACCAGAAAGCAACCATTTCAGATCTCCTGTGCATCCAAGGCCCAAATCTCCCAATGTCGCAAAGCCTCCCACCCTACCCGTCGCGCACGCCGTCTCCACACGAAACCATCCTCAGACAGAGTGTACGGGTAACAGCCGGGATAGAAGGGCGCAGCATCCTCACAGTCTTCGCGCCTATTGAAGGTCGGCGGGCAACTGGGTGGCGGTCTAGGTGTTTCGCTATCATCTTGGTCGCGTGATCGCTTCCCTAATGTCGATGGTAGGCCGGGTCTTGTTCCAGATTGATGCGTCCACGAAGAGATATGTGTTGTTTGTGTATCGGGTGACTTGTGGGCGACAGCAGGCTGATCCGGTACGCTGAGTCCAACGCCGTTGGTACCTTGCGTAGGAACAGGGCTCTCTGCGGTGGTCTCCAGGAATGCATTATGGCCATTCGTTGGTGATGGGGACTCTTTGTTGATCTCAGTGTCTGATGGGACGGGAGATTTATAGAATTCCTTTAGTTCCCAGGCTTTCCAGCCCATGCTGATGATCTTCACATTCCCATAAACTTGCTGGTTGCCAAGGTCGTAACTCAACATTTCGGTCAGGATCGAGTCGTCAATGTCCACAACTTCAGCAAGAGTCTTGGCATTCGCAAATGTCTCTTGCACCATTTTGATCGTATCAAGCGCACTCAGTCCTCGTGCGGATGGACTCGCTTTCAGTGCAGAATTCACAGGAGCATTTGTGGACTGTCCGGAAGTTTGCGGTATGAGAAGCCGAATTGCTTTCAACTTCCGGAGGAAGGGTATTAGTAAAGCCAGTGAGTCCAGACTGGCAAATTCGGTGGCGAGGGCGAGCTGCTCCAAATTCGGACAGCTATGGACGAGTCGCGCGACCATCCCGGTTGAGAGAGGCCATTTAGATGGGAGAAGGAGGTGGCGCAATGTCGCGCCATGATTTGTGGTAATGTGCGAAAGATAGAGGTCTCGCATGTTAGCTGTAGCATTGAGCTGGCTAGCCGGAGAAGCAGAAGTATTAGGAGAGTTTGTTGTGGCTCCGCTGAGTGCACCAGACAATTGGTGTTCGGATACTGGCGGCGTGAGTGCAGGTGAGGATGCCCCACCTCCGGGTCGTGGGCAATTGAGGAGGTCGCTTGATTCGGCGGTGACATTGACAAAATACAGCCGCTCGAGTCCAGTAAAATTCCCTATAAATTCGGAATTTCGTTTTGACACTGTATCAATTCGAACAGATTTTATGCGCAGCCTGGCATGTGGCGGGACTGTCGGCCAACTGCTCTCGATGAATGTGTTGACCAAACTAGAGTTCTCAACACCACTGAGAAATGTGACATCTTCAACGGTAGTCGGATCAAAAGCGAGGTTAAAGTCATCATTGTGGAAGGCGTACAAATTCTGGAACGAGATCTTCCTGACTGCCAGTTTCTGCTTGCTTGCGATCAGCTTGCGGAAGTAATCATGCAGAGAGACACTAGACTCATGTGCATCTCGCATCCGTGGCGACCAATGTAATTTTAATTCACGCAGTTTCCTACTGTTACAAAGAAGAGTTGCGATATCATCGGGGTAGCATAGTGGGTCGATATCGGTGATTTTCAAACACCGCAAATGCGGCATGCCCGGAATCACAAAAGTGGGCTGCGGATGACGGGTGGAGGGGAACCGGATAGTCAGGGAAGTAAGCTTCGGCAGCTGTGTCAGCCCTATAAAAACCGTGTCGAGCATCTTGGTGTTCAGTTCCCAATGGAAACATTCCAAATTTGTCATGCGATCTACAGCGGCGCGGGCGGCAATGTTCAACAACATTGATCCGTCGGGGACACGGCCGACTCGGGCATGCTCCTCCAGCTCGTGTTCCTTCCATTCCCCTCGCAGTGTGATCGATTGTACCAGTGGCGCATAAGATCGGGTAATAATTGCATTCAACCCCATCGTGAAGGGACTGGCGCTTCCGATTCCTTCTGGTTGTTCGCCACGATAACGAATTTTGTCGTAGGATGTCAGCGTTAGATTGCGGTATAGCTGCGGCAACGCCATATAATTGAGGACTCGACAAGTCCTAACGAGCCGGGACAGATCACCCGTGTCGTCGACCTACCAAATGTCATGTTAGATATGCGATCGGGATGTGCGGAGCTGTCTCTTACATGTGACACAATCTCGGCGATGAGGTTCAACGGTAGAACCATCAGCTGGGGACCGCCAGGAGGTTGAGTTATGCTCGCTCCGAACATATTTTGATTGACGGTCGCCATGATGCGACGTCCAAGATGAGTTGTCACATGAGGATACAAAGAATACGGGGAAAATAGAACCGGGATCGTGAGTTCCCGAGTGAAAATTTGTCTCCACTCCCGTAAGCCTCTAGGGACTTCCAAGGTTCCAGGGTTTCTCCCGAGCTTGGTAAGCCACCTTGATTAGCCAAGCAGAGATCACCAATAGTAAGATATAGGTAGTAAGATATACTCCGTAGTGATATATAGATCTATAAGTAATGTATGCAGTATGCAATATTATATATTCAATTTCAAAAATTATGATGGGTATCTTTCTAAGATGTTGAAGCAAGTTCCTAACACCCTTTTTCCAATAATATCAAATCCCATACTCCATTTAGCCCAATTACAACTAAATAAAAACAAGAAACGGCCAGGGGTCAAATCCCTCAGCCGAATCTGTAGGATCCCACACGCTATGCACAAACGTGGCGTTTTAAGTAGAGTTCCGACCATGTTGTTCGTTGGAAGGTCCGTGCTCGGGTTGAGATTCGACATGTGATGGGTCAGTTTGTCCAGCTAACACGTCATTTCTTTCTTCCGAGTATGTCGACTCTGTCCAGCTTCGTTGGTCGTAGGCTGTGACACGATCATTGCGATCTAAATGGCTGACATCCTCATTGATGAGTGCCGCCGCTTCCGGGTCATAGTGTAGGACATAATCCCCGCCTCCTCGCTCTACATCTGCCTGCGTCCATGGAGCAGACGCTTGTGGCCGAGAAGGAATTACTCGTACAGGTAAATTGGGCCGGTTAGATGGCGGTTCGTGATGTTGAGGAGGTTCTATCGGCCGGGTCTCTCCCGGTGGCTGGGTATCCTCCAGCAGTCGGTTTTGTGGTGACCATGTGTGTTGGCCGCGGCGACGTGCTGGAATAACGGTGACTGGTAATGAGCCGTCCGCGTTTTGTGTTCCAGTGCCCAATCGGGCTTTCCGATGGAGAGAAAAGAAGAGATCAGCTCGAGATCGGGCAGCATTTGTTTCTGCTTCAGCCTCTGCTGCTGCTGCAGATGGTCTGTGTTCTGATTGCTCTTCTCCAGCTTGTGCAGATGCCACTTCTTTGGGCAGAGATGCACGTCGCCTCTTGAATGGGTGCAGGAGAACATGCCATCGTGGGTCGGCTGGGACAATTTTCGGCGACTGCTCCCGGGTATTTTGAGCAGAAAGAGCATGACCATTTGTATCAGCGGTATGTGGTTCCATGACCTCCAGTTCCTTGTCTTCGTCGAATTCCTCCTCCTCGTGCATATTTGGCATTGCAACTGGAGGCGTAGGGCTAGCCACTGAATGATACCGGATATTGTATACTGTGCTTGCTGCACTAGTAGTATCTGCACGGCTCACTGGTGTCATCGCCGCTGGGGGTGGAGTGGGCCGGTTATCGTTTGGCCCCCGCGGCGCCGACACAGCTGTTTGGTTATTTTGTGGTGCTCCGCCTCCTTTCTTTCGATTGCCGCGAGGCAATCCAGCCCGGGCTCGTAGAGGTCGATGGGCTAAGCCCATCACGCCGCCCCATCCAGACGAGGCGCCATTGCCGCCACCTTCGTCGTCACGTCCTTGGCCCGAGAAGCGTGGCCAGTCAACTTCCTCGGATGGAGTGACTTCAAGCATTTCATCGCCATCGAAAACCTCTCGCCCAAGAATCCCGTCTTTGGTTTCATCTCGCTCCAGCGCTTCGATGCGTTCCACCCACTCCCAAACCACCACACTGGCCGCGGCAGAGCCGACCCATCGGATATAGGTACCCCAGCCGGCAATTTCTGGCTTGGCAATATCCATAACAAAAAAGACAACGGGTATCAAAATGGCACACAGCGAGAGAAGAGCCACTAAGCAAATGTTCCGCATCTTGGGGTGGAAAAACGCGTATCGGTGCTTAGATATCGAGTAGAAAATCACCCAAGCGGCATAGAGAAGGTTAAGCGACAACTCGAACAAGTAGTTCAAGGCAGGAATTGCATCCTCGTATAGCCTAGGTCGTGTCGAAGAAGAATTCGATCCCCTCGCCCAAAAATTCTCCAAAATACTAAAAGTCGTATCCAGCACAATTAACGCAAACCCAGCCCATTTAATCATGACTTTTTCCTTATGTCGCGGAAACAATCGAATCAATGTCTGGACTTGCGCAAGCCACAGAAACGTGCTTGATATGACACGCACGATGCGAATTTCCATTCCGTCAATAACCTCCTGGGAAAGCGCCTCTGCATCGGAATATCCATAGTTATACTGCCGCTCGGCGACTTTGAAAGAATCGACCGTGGCGATAGTCAGCGAAATCGCAACTAAAATCGCAGCCACTTTCTGTAGCCATGGTCGTCCGCCGACTCCGACCACTGACGAGTTTCCGCTATATGAGCCGCTGATCATCCCATGACGGCCGAGGAAATTGGCGCCGCCGCCGCCGGGGCCGCCGACGTAGAACGTGCGTGGTGTGATGAGAAGGATGATGACAAGTAGATAGCTAACGACGGTAGCGCAGCCGATAGCATATAACTGTGGGGTAATGGAGGAATAGAATGGATCGCGGGTATCGAGGACGGCGGAGATGTGAACCTCGTCGGTTGGGGATCCTGTGCAGAGAGGCTCGAATATGGCATTCTCACTGAGGGTAATAGCAAATGACTTGTTGAGGTATACGAGTCCTATGAAGAATTGCGACTCGCGATTAGACACGGTTCTAGGAGGGGGGGCTCTGACACCAAGTCTAGGACCGGCGACCTGCAGCCCGTGCCCAACGACCAACATGTCGGGGAAAGGGAAGACCACATACCATTACTAGGCAAAACAACAGGCGTACAGCCGGGCAAGTAAGTCTTCGTCGTAGTCGGTGTTGGATTCGCCCATATCTGGCGGGGAATCAAGTGGAAGTCATTTTCCATGATCGAAGTCGATATGGACGGCCTCGAATCGCCGTCCCTGGAACAGTTCAAATACCGCGCGATTTCCACCGATGCGCCCGTATCACAAGACCTTTCACTGTTTAGACTTCCATTCTTGACTTTGATCGTGTACAGACGTTGCAAGTCCGAATCTCGGGGGCAATTAAGATTAGGCGGGAATTGGAGGAATAGCGGCGGCGGTGTGAGTTTAAGGGGGCCACGAGACGATAATATTTTCTTTTTTGTCCCACTAAGAGAAAAGTGAAAAAGTGAAGAATCATATAGACTGCAACATAAGAGGGATTAATTAAGGTGGAAATCTGGAGTGGAAGGATGCTCCGCCAACAGACTTGGCATTGGCTCCTCCACAAATTGCTGGCGCTAATCGCCACTATTATTGGGGTCTAAGGCTCTACATTCTTTCATCTCACGATGTCACCATATTCTATGTCCAGTATATTGATATGTAAAGCTCAGCTGAGTCAAGGACTAATATTTACTTCGTCAGACTCGCTGATACCAAATCCAGTATATCTATCATCCATGTACCACATCGCCCTTCGTTGTCTGTACAACATTCATCACACATAGGAATCGCCGTTTTTACACGGGTACATCTCATCAAGAGATTTATGCCTGAGCGGCGAAGCCAATTTGAGGTCCTTCGGAGTCGAAAACGACATACTGACTCTTGAGGAAGATATCACCAAAGATGGAGAAGCCAATACCAGAGTTGCTCTGGATACCACCGTAGCAGGAAGAGCTACCAGTTGTGACCGGAGCGTAGTTGATGTGCTCACCGGGGACAACGGCATTGTAGCCATTAATGGTCACAGTGAAGTCAGGTAGAACAGCGGTGCAAGGGAAGATGTAGCCACCAGCGGAGTAGCTGTTCGTGGCACCGGTAACCTTCTTGTAGTAGGCGGAGACAACTGATGTGGGGAGCAGGAGGAGAGTGGTTCCAGTGTCTAAATAATTCGAGAGGTCAGTGCTGAAAAAAAAGGACATCCACACATGAAAAGATTGAAACATACCAGCAATGCCTGTGATAGAGGCACCAGCAGCACCTGTGCCGACCTTGTAGCTGTCAGCGGTGAAGCTCCAGAAACCATCGGAGCTGTCAACATCGGTGTAGGTCACAGATCCGGTGAACTTCTTCTCGTCGATGTAGCCAAAGTCATAGGTGCCAGGTTCGCCGTGCTTGAGAGTGACAGCGAACAGGGGCGAGCCAAGCTTGGACTTGACGGTATCAAAGAACGTCGTCTGAGCTGTGGGTTTGACAGTGTTGATGGAGCTGAAAGCCAGACCCAGCAGGCCATCATTGTTTTGGTCCGATTGGAACTGTGAGCTGATCTTGCTGGCAGCCTCAACAGCTTGGCCGGTGGCCGTGACTCCACCAACGGTGACAGTATCCTTGTAGACACTACCACTGGCAGAGCTGCCATCACCGTATGAGATCGACCATGTAGCACCCGAAATCTTAGTGCCACTGGTGCCAACGTTGTAAATGTCGTGGCCAGCTTGCGACGAAGCAGCAAGATCGCTAGAGAAGACCCAGCTATATGAACTGTCAGTTGTTGCTCTAGCCTGTCATATCATCTTAGCCAACTTACAGATCAGCAGAGCCGGTGTCAAAGTCCAAGTTCAAGGTGGAGCTGCCAATAGTGACTGGCGTGAGGTATTCAACATCATACTCCTCGGGCGTGGTGATGGCAGATCCGCTCACGGCAGCAGCATGAACGTGGGCTGGGACAGTACCACCATACTTAGCCAGTGCATTGGCGTATACACCAGCCAAGTTGATAGTCCTGGTGCCGGTAACAGTCTTGTTAACCTGCTTCACAGTGAAGCCCTTACGAGGGCTCTTCACTGGCACAGCCGAGGCAAAGGCTGAAAAGCAAGCGAGAACAGCGGTAACCTTGCTGAAGACAACCATAGTGATGGTGGTTCTATAGAACAATAGATAGATCTAATGAAGTGGATGAAGGCAATGCAGAAGAGGATGGACTCCATAAACAGCTGGAGGCAAGGCCTCCTTTATAGCTTTTTTGATAGAAGCAATCCGCTGGCGTCCGAGAGTAGAAGGCATCAACTGGGCTGTCTATCGCAACATCCAAGAGAAAGTGGTAATGCTCTTCTAGGAAGGAAACATGACGATCCAGCTAATCTACAGTCAGGTCGAGGGGAAACTTCGAGATCGTCACGGACGCCATCGGCTATCCAGGATAGCGCGACGGAGTCCGCCAAGTAGGCAATTGAGGGGTCGTGCCAAAGGAACATATTGACAGGGATTCGAGAAGCTGAATGATATCAAATGGACGTGAGAGGACTAGCTCGGCCAGCGCACGAGGGGATATGGATGGAAATGAGACACAAGCACAGTGCCCAGGGAGCTTGGTTGTGACAAGCTATCTAAGATGCAGAACGGAGAACTCCGGCCAAGACGAGGCGTTGTCTTGGGGGTGTGCATCTTGGTACTCATTGGACAAAGGCTGGTCGATCGCCATATTTGGCCATCCTTGGCCATCCTTGTGCAAGAGAACTATAGGTTACCGTTGGGCGAAGTAGAATGCACTAGATTATCTTTCAGCATGCGAGGTATGTTGCATGAAGTGATTGTTCACGGAGAGGACCATCGAGACTAGTAAGAGCCCTGAAGATCATCACCCGTTATCTCCACGCCGACCAATCAACTGCTTAAAAGCGCAAACTAGGTCACATCGCTCCATTTAGGTAATTTAGAAGACTCGTTGGATAAGACAATCATGTTGGTGAATCCTTTGGGATTAGCCCTTCCAAAAGGGTTTCTCGCCGCGATTCTGGCTTCTGCTGGGTTTCAATAAAAGGAAAACAGGTATAATCTCCGACGGGCATCCGTCCCTGCATTGCATGCTCTACCAATCCCAAAAAGAACATCAATAGCGAGTCCACAGATGATCTGGGACGATGTGACCCTTCACGGAGGAAGACCAAATATGCAGCGGCTCTTATCGCCTGCGCCGAAGGAATCGAAGGATCTAGCGGCCGTCGATATGGTGATCAGATCATCGTGAGATCGTCAGTAAGTCAGCAGACCCTAATTGGCAGAAATAATTGACTACCGCACAATACCTACATATGTAGGTACTAAGCACATGTACGGAGTAAGCGGAACCTAACACCTGATAGATGCCACCAATAGCATTGTTGCTTGCAGTCCATGAAGTGACTTTCTCATGGCCATTGTTCACCTTGGCCAGTGATGGACTAGGCACAGTAACCTAGTACAGCAATGATCTTTGCTATCTTCAAGTTTAAATGATCATGGTTACATCTTCAGGACTACTATAAGCACGCCAAAGCCACCAGCCACCCGAAAGCTTCAACCTCCGTGGTCCAGAAGATTTATGAAGTATCATGTGAAAGCCAAGTTAATGTTCCGTACTTATTCCTGCATGAAACGAGAGAGACCCCGCAATCTAATAGCACGCCGACGGACCCCGGCGGATAGTTACAGTGATTCGCAATAATAAATCATGAGATGCAATAGCACCATAACGCAAGAATATATTGTCATCGACTTGTGAAGCCGTGAAGGAATTGGTTTCAACCAAATTACGGCAAATGAGGTCGTATACAGCCAAGAAATAAGAAACGTCGAGCAGATCCCACAGGGGTATATAATTTCATGTATCACGAAAGAAGGGATGAGCTAGACGCCAAAACAAACTCCAGGGTCTGAGCTTAAGACTGAAAAACAATAACAATTAAAATATTCGTAATCATCGTTATTTTCGTCACAGGTACTGAGACGATAACCCGGCCCCAGTCTCACCTATACCCTCGCCATTAGTATTTCCATCATACCCCTCGTTGAGGAGCACCTCGAGCATGTCAAACTCGCCAAGCATGGGTCCAGTCCCACCAAGACCCTGGTCAACAACTCCGGTGGTGCTGTTGAAGAATTGATCAAGAGGCAGAGCGAACCAATCCGGAAGCGCGCCGGAGGTAGAATGGTGGCTGTCACCCATGTTATGTGATGAAGCGACATGGTTTGGCGATGATCTGTCTATATCATTGGCAGGGAATGTCGAGTTCGAGTCGTAGTAGTGTTGGTACACGGATGGCGGAGGCGGCATGAAGGATACGTTGAGGTTGGATGAGTTGATCGGCTGGGCAGGAATGTTCGCCAGTGGATCATGCCCCGATCCCATCGGGTGGCCCCCGGCGCCAGGAGTATCCACATATCCTAGACCTGACCCGCCTGATGCCGTGTCATGACCCTGGCTAGTGGACCAGGGTGTATTCGGGCCGTCACGACGAGCTGTTGAGTTCTCGCGTGATGGTGAATGAGGCCCAGAGCCTGTGGCCGAGGTGCGATCATGTCCTTCTCCGTCTGTGCCCCTATCATGCGGGGCAAAGCGTAGAAAGCGCGTTCGGATGCTGCTAGTGAGAAGCTCAATAAGCCGAGCTACCGTATTACTGAGGTGCACGTCATCCACGACATAATTGCGCAGTGCCTCCACCGCCCGGTCCTGCAGGTCTAGTGAGACTCGCACATCGTCTTCCCTGGCACCCAGTGTGAAGGTCTATGGCTGAGATTAGTGTTGCGCTTGCCGGGGTTTCTGTTAGAACCATACCTTCAAGATAAAGATCATTCCAGACAAGATGCGGAAAAACGTTCGAATGGGTGCGTGTCTGAGACGACCTTCGGGGACGAGACCTTCCAATACTGTCTGCAGAATTTTGCGTGAGGAATCGATAACTTGCTGAATATAATGCTCATTGACACGGTAGAGTTCATTCAACGTTTGGAACCAGCTGTTGCTGCTATGAGACGACCCCTGTCCTTGCTGACCATTTGGGGTCTGACTATGACTCTGAGCGGACTCATTGGACATGGTAGTCCACCGATCAACGACCGCTTGTAGAGCGAGAGAATTGATATAGAGGCCTGATTCCATGTTAGCTGTTATCCTTCAGCGCATTAACCTATGTCGACTTACGGGTGTACTCAAGTTCAATCAGCAAAACACTCCGCATAGCCGGCGAGACTTCTTCATGTTAGCTTTCCTCTCTACACCCAATGACCAATTGACTTACGAGTAACATTATCTAGCTGCTGCTGGAACTCCCGTAAATACGGTTGGAAGCGGTCGATCTGCTCGCGATATCTCCCACTCCTGATCAACTCCATTGTCTGGTCACTGGACGCAAACAACAAATGATTGGCTTGATAGACAATTTTTGAAATGCTGATCCAGCAGTCCTGCATCCGGTCAAGATTGGCATCGGCATCGTTTGCATCAGCAGAGGTTGGCGTGATATCCTGCCCCCATTGAGGTAATGGGAGCATAGAAGGAATGCCTAGACGTCCACTGCTGTGCGTGATAAACACAAGAATCAAACGTCGTAGTCGGCGTTTCCGCGTCTGCTCGGATGGCGGCTCATTGGCCGCCTTGGCATCTTCTTTGGGGTCGAAGACCCCAAGTTCAAAAGACAGAGCTTGCGCCGTACTTAGTAGCATCCATGACATCCGGTCCGATCGCCAAGCCGGTTCCAGCCATTTTTGAAACGCGACCCTTCCCTCTGAGCCTTTGGTGGTGTGCTCGCCGTCGTGGTCCCGACTGTGTGTCGGGGGATCGATATCCAAAAGAGAATTTTCATCGTCACCTGGTGGAAAATGCAAGTTTCGTGGGTGCCACTCTGTAAGAAGTAGCATAGCTTCCACGGTTCCTAGTGACCTCAATTGCCCACTCGCACTACATTTGCCTGACATTGGTGAACTCAGATCAAGTGATCGAGGTCGGCCAATACCCGATATCCCAGCATCAAATTTCTCTTGGCCCCAGAATAAGCGTTCTATCATGCTGCGTAGATACGCCCAGAGACGGTCGTGGATATAGAACGCTCGCGTATTAGCACCCTCGCCCTTGGGTTTCAGATGCCTAGACGCGATGGTGAGGATTGTAACCGCCAACACCGGCTCGTTGGTAAGCAATGCACGGTGGGTTGAAGGATGAGAAAAGTCGGGAATTACAACAGGGCTCATTGGCGCGAGGTGTTCATAATAATACTCCACATAGTCCATGCCTTCCTCCACTGTAAGCCAACCGGCACGGACGAATCGCAATCGCGACCAAGCTCGTAGTGCATCAAGATATGCCGGCTCTGGAGGAAGATTGTTGACCGGGCTTTCCCTTTGAGGGCCAGGATCCGCGATTTGGGGATCTACCGGCCCTGAAACACCAGCCGGGTAGTATGTAGATCCACCCATAGACATTCCTGATCGAGGTGTCCGCACAAAGGATCCACCCAAGCTTCGAGGTGAGCTGCCTTGGGGTAGAGGTGAAGGCCCTGAGTTGAAAGACGAGACGGACTGCCGTGCAGCAAACCGATTCTCGAGGCTCTGGCGGTTAAGATCCTCTGTCCTACCCGCAGCTTCAGAGAGAAGGTGTAAAGCGTCGTGGGTGTTTGTAATTGCAGGCGACAGTAACTCCACGGCAGTGCGATTCATCATCGGAGGCCCTCCATAGCTAGGTGGTGCGGGGCGTTCGCTAACGGGGTATGTGGGAGCTCGTGATGTTGGCGCACTGGGCGTGTACCGCTGGGCAAGAGCTGCAGGGGGTGCAGGAGGTGCCTCGGGCCATCTCTGTTGGGCACGCACAGCTTCATGGTCAAATTGAGGTGGGTCGGAAGGCGCAAATGCCGGGCGTTCGACTGGACTTTCCAGAGGTTCAGTTTTGGCCACCTCCCCGATCATCATTCGCTTGTCGCGATGCAGGATCGCTGCTGCCTCCACATCATCTTCCTCGACATCGGAGGTCTTGCGCTTTCGGCGAGTTGCTGAAAATTCACATCGTTTACTTTCGCGACGACATCGAACACAGGGTGGAGGACGAGGATTATCGACACCTGCGATTTTTTTGTGATCAGTCAGGCCACAGAATAATGAAAGGAAATGGACGCATACTTCCTAGGTCACACTTGACCTTGCGTTTGCGACATGGATCACAGGCCTGATATCCTCGGCGATGTTGTGCATCAGACTCCGCCTTGCTGTACACACTACTGTTGTCACCCATTTCGTGGATCACAATAATGATGGGGAAGGCCGACACAAAGCGATGGAAAGCGAGATAAGCTAGAAAGGCGGTGGGGGTATTCTTACTCCGACGACTCGGACAGAAGCTCCAGAGCACAGGACAGAAATAGAATAGAGAAAATAGACAGAATAGATGGTATTGCACTTGAAATCAGAAGAGATCTCTCGGTCAAAATATCAATTGAAGTCAGAGTTTGCTCTCAGCCACTGGACCAGTAGTTTCCATTGTATAATGAGAACTCTGCGGGGTAGAACACGGAATCTAGGGATATATATATCATTAATAATATTGAAGACTGCCTTGGAGATATTTATATACATGTACACTTCACTACTTTGCGAGTACATTTTTATATTATAATTACAACACCGAGGCTTACTATTTTAAATGTACAATATTTATGAAGCCGAGGGGGAAAAAAATCAAAGGGGGCACCAAAGTCCAAAATTGGTGCCATTGTTCACTTAAATGGCATGTTCAACTCTCTTCAAATCATCTGTATTAGGGGGAAAAACACTTGTCGGCAGAGGCTATTTCACTCTATGTGAGGCGAGGCTGACATTTATCCGCGACATTGACTCCCAAGCTTTGCGTGACTGGACCAGCTCACCAGATGCACCACTATCCCCGCTACCACGTCGTGATAGATTAGGGCTGGACCGCCCAGCAAGAAGAGCTTGGACACCACCAGCTTTGCGGGCGGGAATCACCGAGTCACCAGAAGTAAGAACGTAAAGGAGATACTTGAGGTTGGGAAGAGTGTGTCGAATATCCAAGACACGCAGTCCTTGTTTGATGAGGATGTATTCAATGTCTTTGTTGAGGAGGAAGACTGCGTACTCGAACCGGTACTGGACACTCACTGGGTAGAGGGGGTAGGTGCGCTGTGGGAGTGATGCAGATATGGGGTCTTGTATGAATGATGTTGACCCGTTCGCGTTGATCGAGTATGGGAGGTGCACAGACAGATAGAACGAGAGCAGATAGACCAAATGAGCCGTGTATCCCAATGCTGCTGCGACAACCTCACGGTCGATATCCTCAAAGGTCGAGTTTGGGAGGGCTAGTCCGGCGATGGTGAATGCCAGAGGTTGGTCCGGGATGGGTTCAATAGGGTAGATCGTGAGAAGATCTTCAGCAATACGTCGGAGCTGGCCCTTTATATCCTCATCATTTTGGTCAAGCAATTGCTCGCTGGAAACTAATCTCTCCTGAGCCTCGGGAAGATGACTGCGTGTCTTTTCTTGAGCACTACGGCCTTGCTCCATCGCTTCTTTCCGGGCTTTGATACTGGCAATAAGCTCCTCCTTGCGCCTGACTGCGGTGCGGACTCGTTTGCGCTCTACGGCGACATACTGCTTGGTAAGAGCAAGCTTTTCCTGTGCCGCAGCAGCAGCACTCGCTACATTCAATGAGCGCTCGTTCTGCCGTAGAATGGAGCTAATCTGAGCCTCCAACTTTTCCCTGGTTGCCAATGCGTCCTGTACACATTCGTCCAAATTGGCCAATTTCATCAAAGCATCATAGGATGAGGATGGCAAGGTGGTACCATCTGCAGTGATCTTCTGTCCTGCAGCTTGGAGGGGGGTTTCGACCGGCGGAAGGTCGGTGAGGTTGGAATATACGCCATCTGGGAAGTGAAAAAGGATCGAGTTCGCAGGAAGTGGTTGGTGAAAGCTCTCCAATGATTTCCCCAAGAACTGCAGTGATCGCAGATGCAGCTGTAGTTCAACTAGTAGAATAAATCCAGACATACCGCCAGTTTTTGCCCAGAGCCTCAGAGTCAATTCATCCATTCGCGAGACATATGGGCCACATAGATTCAAGTCAAAAGATCGAAAATTCGGATTGTTTGCACGATCGATCGTTTCGCTAATATAGACCGGCTCGTTAAGACCCTCACAATGAAGTGAAAAGAATGTATCCGCCATACGGCTGTTGGTAATATCCACTAGTTTGACCTGCCGAGTTCGAGGATTCGGGTCGTTCCAGAACACGGTACTTCTGCGACGCGACGAACGTATCGCGGGCTCCTTCGCATTGTCATGTTGAACCGAATGCGACTTGAGATCAGTGAAGGATCGCGAAGGGTGCAAGGCGTTATTTTCGCTTTGTGATAGGATCTTCGAGGGTGTCTTTAAGGTATTCGGAATATCGTCGTCATCAATAGTCTTGCCGCGAGCTCGAGTCGGGGAAGGCGTCACAACCAAGTTGCGTATAGATATTCCCTGGAGATGCCTAAGCCTACGGTTCTGATAGCCTGTTAGCATCTAGGACTACCGCGTTATCTTCCATTTCCCATACATACCCATGCATAGAGCCATGGCCGCTCTCTGCGGACACCTGTGTCATGCTCCGTGTCCTTATCCATAATGCCAGCGCTGCGGGGAAGCGCGATGATTAACTAGTGTGTCGCAAATAGAAAGTCCCTCATATTAAAAAAGATAAAAAATAGACAAAATGTAGTTGGAAGCAATTGAATCGTCGAGAGAGAGTAGTTGTGAGCTGATAAGAGATGAGATGATGCGGAGAGCAAGCGCCAAGACCTCAGCGTTCCCCGTCAAAAAATCGACCTCCCGTCTCTCTCTATCAACACCGTTCGGCGCCTCCCACCAATGCAATAAACCCGCGCCTCTCGCTTCCCCAATTCTTCTCAGATCGACTGTACGCAGCCTCCGGTCCGGCCGCAATGGCCTCCAACGCAAAGTCTTTCCAGAAAGTGCTGGATTCAACAGCACTTGCGGCCACGAAATTCATCCGCCGACCACCGATTGATCCGAAAACACCAATTCAAGGAAAGTCTCGAGTACCAGGCTCAAATGCATTCAAAGACCACCAAGAAAAGGAAGGTCGGCGGCTACAGAAGGCCTTGAACTCTGTCAGTCACGGCAAGAACATCTTCGTGTATAACAACATCCGCACGAAACAGGTCGTGTACTCATTGACCCGCTATCTGGAGGTGAGTTTCTTTTCTCTACTAGTGAGGGCTTTAAAAGCTCCGATCTTCAGCAAAATCCAACCCCCCCCCCTCCCCATCCTGTCGTATCCTTCCAGCCGTCATATCACAATTTTCTAACCTGTTGGACCTCTAGAAAAACAACCTCCTCAAGCAATGTGTCTACCACGGCAAGAAAACCGTTCCAGCCACAGTCCGTAAGGATATGTGGGTGCCATACTTTTCCGTGCACTTCAACGAGGCGCAAGTCGGACTGAACGTCTATAACCACCTTCGGCAATTCGCGCTGCTGCGCCAGCTCTCCCCGCCCAAGGAAATGATCACCGTGACAAAAGAATATCTCGATTCGAAGCGGCCAGTAGACCTAAGGGACCAGAAACAATGGGACAAGGAGAACATGGGAAGAGAGGGCCAGATTATGATGAAGAAGGAGCGTGCCTACGCCCTCATGAACCAGAAGGCCACCGCAATTGCCGACGTTGCTTTTGTTCTGCAGAAGCACCGCGAGCATATCGTTGAGGGTGTGCCGGAGAGCACCAAGTCTGGGTACAAGACTGTCAAGGCCCGTAGGCGCAGGCGTGCGGCTCTCCTGCAGGAGGCTGAGCAGGCTAAGGAACGTGCGGGCCAGGTTGCATCGCTCGAGGAGCAGCTGCAGGTTGAGATTCGTGTGGATTCTAATGCGCCAAAGGAGCAGGGTGTCAAGATCTTGTGGCAGGATACGTACGACGCGCAGTTCGCGAAGCACTGGCCGGATTACATTGAGCACGGTCAGCTGCGCTGGACTCGAAACCACATGATTGGCCAAGAGGACCTTCCGGTCCCTAGCGAGGACATCATCGCCGATGGTTCGTTTGAGCAGGCATAGACATTTGGCGTCAATTGGATGCTTCTTCTCTCCTGTCCGTATTTTGTGTGTTGATATCCACTTCCGTCTGGCTTTGGCCCGGTGGTTGGTGTTTTTTTGTATTTTCTCTCTTGTCTTTCTGTCTAGCTTATCCTAGCATTCATAAATTGTACTTTTAGATATATCAAATCACAAGAACGTATAGCCACCTCTAAGTTGTCTCTTCTTTTGACATCTTTTCTAGAGTACTGTTTAGGTGCGAGTTCCTATGTCGCTTGGTATCATCTTCATCTAGATGGATAGCGTTGAAGAAGATATTCAGCACAAAAAGCTTCAATGACTGATTACGGTGTTCTAAAACAAGGTCTTGATTTAGTTCATAGCAAGCCAAACAAAACGACCGCTTATTCTGTAGCACAGTAAACCATGCCCATCGCATCATCACTGATCATACTTACCTACATCAGCAGCGGATACAATGGCCGGGTACATACGTACCATCTCTTTGATTTAAACAGTCATTGGATGGAAAGCAACAAAAGAGCCTAATCTCAAGGAGGCCAAATTCAGGACAAATATCCTAATAATAGAAAGACTTATGCTAACAATAGGCATCAAGACCACCAAGTCTGATTTCCTAATAAACAAAAGGTTATCAAAATGAGGACAACGTGCAACCAGTGTGCACCATTGACGCCAATGTGCAATGTGATAAGTAAGCGACAGGAAAGGAAACTCCATAAGATATTTCGGGTCGGGTACATTGCTCCCAGAAGCACCAGACGTAGATAGTAGACGAAAAGAAAGAAATAAACACGTTCTATCAATTCGCTTTCACAGCTTCAGAATGGTGATTCGGCTTCATAACATGTCGTAAAATCACTTAGTCGAGGCGGGCGGGGCTTGCGGACTCCTATTCGGACTCAGGATGTCCACAGAGGGAAGTTCGTTACTCTCTTTAATTGACATCTCAGGCCCAGGTTCTTGTTTGTGATTTTCACTGGCCATTCTCTGAAGAGTCTCTTCATTGGCCTTCTCTGCCGCTACCGGATTATCTGCAAGACCGGAAGAAAGTATGCTCTTCTGTGCTCTCTCGACAATCTTATCAGCCTCACTCACGCCCCGGGCCACCTTTGTAAGAGGATCCCCGTCCACTCCTATCAGTTCTGTATTGTTGTTGACAACGTCCTTCACACGATTTGAGTCGAGACGAATCACCATGCAAGATAGGTTGTCGGTGCTAAACCGTGCAAGCGCATAGTCAACAAGAATCTTGGAGGCTTGTTGAGCATCTTGAATATTTCGGATTAGGTCGACAGATTCCTGATCACTGCAGACGTCCCACAGCTATTCGAATATAATTAGCTTTCTTGTATCATCAATACTGGGTAGATCTCAACTTACACCATCGCAGGCCAAGATGATAAACTCGTCAGCATCTGGCTGGATGACTGTTTCTGTTGTGTAGGGATGCCCGGTCACAAGGTCTTTCAAGTATGCATCGCCCAAGGCACGGGTGACGGCCAGAACTCCATTCACGCGGTTGTTCAGGATTAGCCCTCCAGCGTTGGCAACTCTCCTCCCTTCATTCTCATCACTACCCTTATGGTCGTAGGATAAACGAAGTGCTTTCCCATTACGACATAATACAATGCGTGCATCGCCAACGTTGGCTGTGTACAAAACCCGTTGCCGAATAGCCTTATCCTGCAATTTTGGCAGGACACCAGAGGCACCCGGGGTAGCTTGGGTCGGGGTTTCAATATTCTCTGAATTCGTGTCGGTTTTCGTCGCCGCAACAGCCGCCGGGCCAAGGGCAGAAGAACCGGTGGCCGACTGTGAGTTAGGTACACGATCTTCCCACCGAAGCACGGCGGTGACGGCTGTACACCCAGAGTTCTTGACGGGCAATTTCTCCAACTGCTGATCTACACTCGTAAAAGTCTGATCGAGGAGTTCTGGGACGGGAGTAGTTGGGCTTCTGCGCATGGCTTCCTCGAGAATCAAATGCAACTTCTTTCCACACCACTCTGCGGCAAAGGTGCCAGCATGTCCATCGAAAATTGCAAAATAACCATTGTCTGTTTCTACAACGGTAGATGAATCCTCTGATGACTGCGACGGAGCCCTAGGGGAGCTAGCACCATTTATCTCTGGTGCAGTCGGGGCAGGAGTGCCCAGAAAATTGTAGAGATAGGCATGCGTATCTTCCATTGTCCGGCGACATTTGCGATTCCGGTCTTCGGTGACGCCAACACGGAAGGATGATCGAGCAGTCGGTGCGGATTCTCCGGCGGAGTTGTTGAACGACCCTTGAGGGACGCTGAGAGCTGGGTCCATCTTTCCAAGTTTCTGTAGCGGGCTTTCCGCAATCGAGGGACTGGTACTTATCGCAGAACTGTCCCGACCGTTCAAGCTCAGGGAGCTTTTGGCGTTACTGAAGAAGTTGGCCGCTTTGGTGACGGTACTACTCCTGCGCTTCTTATCGCCAGCAGTACCCTGTTCTTCACTTTGTCGACGATTGAAAAAACCAGCGCTGGGCGGAGAGAATTTCTTCTCACGTGGACTGGTGCCGATTTTATCGGTTTGGAGGGCCAAGGTGTTGGTGTCGAGGTTGGTCTCTGGGAGCGCGTCTACTCTGTCTTTAGGTGGGCTCGAGGAGCCACTGAACATTCTGCTCAGTAACCCACCCTGCGAAGAAAAACTGCGGCGCTTATTTCCTGCCAGCTTGATTGTATCCCTTCAAGAGGAATTGGTTGACCGGGATGGTGGTTTAGTGATGGGCGGGGCGAACACGGAGGGGGCGCTGCGAGGCTGACGTAGGGGTTGGTCGGTCCAGGCGGAAGTGGGAGGAATTGAACTGCAAGTGCCGAATGAATCAGCGATAAGTATTTCTGGGGCGAAATGGTGGTTGAAATGAGAGATAAGGAAGAGGAAGTACAGGAGGAAGATGGTTTAGGCAGTGAGCGGCACAGGCTTGCGATGGGGGGCGCATAGTAGGATCACGAGGGGAAGTGTTCTCTTCCAAATCATAAAACATGAAACACCAATTAAGAAAAAAAAGACCAATGAGAGCAATTAAAATATATGAAACTATCAATCCTCCGAACAGGTACAATGCACATTGCCCATTTGGTGTATAGCGCATCTGATGCTCTGACCACTTCCCAACCAGGCACCAGATAGGAAATAGTATCAGATAAAACCAAGGAAAGAGACACACTTACTGGTGAAGGGAGATAGAATGGGATTGTAAGTGAAGGTAAAAGGTGAATGGTGGAAGAAGGTAGAAGAGGAAAATCACCTCCGCTGACGGCTCACACGGCACTCCAAACTTGGGCGGAGAGAGCCAAGACAACCGGGGTGGAAATCGATAGATAATCTTAGATCTGATATACGGGGTATTTCATATATTTCGTATAATTTGTTCATATAGAAATACCAAGGTGTTTATGATTTCAGCTACTTGAGAATTGTCCTACATATCTAACTCCACTCCGCATTTGGTCGATGACGCTATGATCTGGTTTCTGGTGCTTATCTTGCCACTTTCGTATATCCCCGATGTACGACATCAAACAGCTAATCTCGCAAACTCCGCGGACATTACACCTTCACCCACTTCATTCACTTTAATATGAACAGGTTTCTCACTTTCAGCACCGATGCCCTGCTGCTTGTCGCTTTCTTCCCTCTTCTTCGCGATATCGATATGACCTAGTGTATGTTCATCCGGATCCCACGCCAGAACTCTCTTCTTCATATCCTCCAGTTTCTGGACAACAAGCTCCTCCATATCACGTTTCTCCTCGGCACTCAAATGCCCAAGTCTTTCCCTCCAAGCATCGGCGGGGTCAGAACACCTAGTCTGTCCAAAAAACCGGCCATCGATCTTTTGCCAGTATATCGCATCGAACGCGAAGTTATTCCTCGCAGCGTACACAATCCAAAAATCCCCACTCTCCCAGCTCTCTCGCATTGGGCCGGAAAGTCTCTGGTTTTCTTTCAGTTGACACTTCCTGATCGCTTCATCCTCACGATTGATCATAGCCCTTAGGAATGTCTGGAGGCGATACTCAATACTCCTTGCACCAGTCTTCAAGACCGCCATCTGTAGGCCAGTATTCGGGCTTTTCAATAAGAAGCCACCAAGGTGGCGTGTAAGAGAACTCGACGGGGGCAGCGTAAGTGAACTCCCAGTCCACAGCTGCGGCAATTTTCGAGTCCTTGTTGAGAAGGACATTACCTGGTCGGAAATCGTCGCACCAGAGTTTGAAGGGACCATTTTCAAAAGATCTCCATCGCTCCGTGAGCTTTTGTTTTCGGGCGAGTTTCCGGAAAAGACATCTAGCAACGAATTTTCGTCGACAGTCATCAGCTGAGTCGACGGCATCGTTTCTTTGGTTCATAAGATGTAGAATATGTAGATCAGCTAAGCTCTCGAAATATGATGATGCAGTGTCGAATGTGGTGTCTAGGCTCGGTAAACATGCTTGAGGCAGCGACCCTAATCGAATAAGTTCATTCATAGGCATTGAAAGAGGTCGGTATGCCACTTCCCAGGTGAAATCATCAATCTGGCTAAGTGATCCTATATGAGAAAGGGATGGCTGGAAAAGCTGAAGCAAAATATCTGCCAGCTCTCCATATAGTCCCTCGAGTTCATTTTCGTCGAAATCCGGGCTAAGAATCCCACGGGATGCTCTTGGGCGACCTGACATATTAAGAACATCGTACATGTTCGTGTGGTGAACCATAAATTCCATGATTATGAAGGGACCCAACTCTGGATTTAAAGGGCCATCCTTTCGAGTACCCCAATGAAGGACGAAAGGAACTGGGATCGAAGTATGATCAAGAATGTATCGCATTGTAGCAACCTCATTACGGACTTTCTCTTCAGGAAACATGGTGGCACCGGGTTGTGGGAGACGGATGATAGCGGAATTAGTATTTTTGTATGTCATTTCAAAGGAGATATTGAAAGCTCCTTTTTCTAGAAAATCGAATGATTCCAGCTTGTCGGGTTCGTGATGTTTAACAAGGAAACATCCGAGATGTCTCAAGATGTCAAGATCGAGAAACTGGGCTATCCAGGCTTCAGAGATCTCTTCGCTTTTCTCCCAAGCGGCATCATCGTAGCACATGCGTGGTTTCATATGGAAAATATGTGATTTTAATGGTACAGATTGTATAGACGAAGAAAGATAGAGGAAGATCCAAAATAAATGCCAGCGTCAAAAAGTACAGGGGAGAGCACTAAACTGGAAAGGGAAGACCAATCAGGGGCAGAGAAGGCAACTCGATACATCATAAATACCTACATCTATGTAGTAATCCGTGCAGAGTCGGCAATTGCCCTTGATATAAACTACTAAAAGCTTTAACATTAAAATATCGAAGTCAACATTGCAACCTTGGAGTTTTCGTTTCTGTCCTGCACACTATACTAAGAGATATGTTCTCAAGCCTCAATCCCAAATATCTTCTACAGATCGTCCTGGTCTTCCTTAAATAACACTGCACCCGTCTAACACTGGCCTATCAACACCCGGGTTTTTGGCCCCCAGACCTCTGATGATATGCAATTACAGGGACTCAGCCTCCCTTCAGCCTCTTTTATCACATCGCTTTTGGATTTTTTTAATACTTTTTTTTGGGCTGAGATGGGATTTCTTCCCCTCCAACATCTGACACATAGCATACGTATCATACAAATTAAGCAAGGTCCATCTTGCCTTTCTCTTCTTCGCAGCAGATTATCATGTCATCCTGTGACTATAGCTGCTCAGCAAAAACCCCTCCCTTGTCCCCCGATAGTGACATTACGGGCATTGGAATAGTCATCAACTATGTCGTTACTGCAAGCATTGCTGTCTTGGTCATTCTTGTATATTATCTCGGAATATATGAACCAAATCATGATCCTTTCGACAGGGGTGGTCAGGTTGATAATTCATTTCGTCCTAACCCGGTGGATGATTTCTTTTTATATGGAGCACGGTGGTTACCAAAACGCATTCTAAGGTGGCCTCTCAAATCTCGCCGAAGGAGCCCCCGTTTCCGTATTCGGCTTCAACAGACTTTCATCAAGGTTGGTTTTTTTCCTTCTTCTTTGTTCTTCCGGGTCTCTTGGCCATGTTAAAATATCACTGATATTAACGTACTACAAGTGTCTTCTAGCGATGAGCGACCTCCAAGTAGTAATAGGTTTCTCGATCCTAATCAGCGGATTCGTACAACTTCGATGCGGCCTTTCTGCCTATCACTGGCTTTTTATTGTCAAGCTCGCTTGGTCCTCAAGTCTGACCCATTTGTCATGTTTGACAGTATTGCGCGGTCATCTCTACAGATTTTCTGGTGAGCGCCTATGGCGGCTACTTGCTATGGGTGGGCTTGCCACGTTCTTGGTCGTTGGACTCTTATCGACAGGGAATATCTGGTGGTCAAATCCCATTTCTGATATGGATATCGGGAGCCCCGCCATTTGCCATATGGGGGTTTTTTCAAGCTCGCAGACTGACGATCTCACGTTCTGGTCAGCGCTGGTTTCTGCTATTTTGACTATTATTGCGTTTGTTTCTCGGGTTATCAAACTATACAGGCCTCTCTCTGTGGGTGTCTTTAGTCGGGGTAGAGCCTGGCTCAGCGTTCGGGCACGTCGAATATTGCGCATCGTCTTTGTCTGGGCCTGTAAGGAGCGGCATCCACACAGCCTCAGACGCTCAATTTGCTACCGTCCCCTCTTGGCTATTCTATTAACTACGGGTTTAGTCTGTGATGTATGGAGCTCAGTCTTGTTCGAGGTAAGTTGCGTATTAAGTTGCTGTATTCCTCCAAGGTCCCGAGGTCATATCTAACTTGGAACAGGTGATTTGGTTACTAATCGCTTTTGCTTGGGGCATATGGCAGTTGGTAAATAATCTCAATCAGCTAGGAAGCCTTGTAGGCGATTGGACATTTGGTCAGGTTGTGGCTGTTGTGTTACTAGCAGCCCCGTTGATTACAATGATGCAATACTTCAATGAAGGTAAGCATGTGCTTTCATGCCCTCTACTTTTCAATCGAACAGACTAGACACTGCCTATAGTCCGGCAGCAGGCTTGGAAAATGATTCTGATCAACCATTATATGAATCTCAAGCAACACACCCTTTAATAACCATGTCAATTGATGAAGAGCTACCTGATCTCGAAAGCCCCGATGGTGACTGGAACTCATATTCAGGTACCTTAATCACCGGGCTTAGCTATGCTGCTTCTTCTTTCCTTATGTGGAGTGCCATTGTACTTTTTGTCTCCAGACAATCAACCCCACTCAAAGGAATCAGAACCCTTCTCTATGCATTCCCCTTTGTATTCATTGGATTGTATGGAGTTGTCTTGTTTTCGCTACTTATTAAAGCCGTCTTGTTCCCAAGAAAATTGTGGCTTATGTCCCTGTTAACCTATGTGCAGCTCAACCTCTTTCTGAACGCTCCTTTTCTTCCATTCCGCGAGTTTGGATATGAGTTTTCACCTCTTTCTTATACTCCTTCCATATATGCCCAGATCACTGCTGTTGGGTTGTACATTACGGTAGCTGTTGCATATAGGTTGTTTTATAGGTGAGCGTCATATTTAGGTACTAATGTACATTTCCGACACAGTGGTCTTGTTCCTAATCTACACAAGGCTCATATCACAACATACAAATTTCAAATTACTTGAAGCTCCTTCAAGCCCAGTGTTTCCTCTTCCGCTTTCTTGAGGTAGCCTTTCCCGAGAAAGTTACTAAGTATCGGAGTGTAATCAAAGATCAAGTCGCGTATGTTGGCGAAGGGCCGAGGCACAGAGTGGAACATTTTGCCAAGGAAACGGGCAAATTCCGTGTTATGATTGACATAGTCGACTCGTTGCTTCTCATAGATCTCAAATGCGGCGCTGACTGCCAGTGAATCACGCAAATCGACACCGTCGAGCGCTTTGGCAAGGAAATAACCGTCCTCAATTGCCATGCCCATACCATATGCTGCATATGGCGATACCGGATGCACGGCATCACCAACGCATACAACCCTTCCGGTGGACCACTTTTTCATGGAAGGTCGGTTGAAGATTTCCCATCTATATACTTGAGTTTCGAAGTTGGTGGCTTCTAAAAAGCGAGGCATTGGATGTGCCCAATCTTTGAGGATTCCGGTGAGATGCGCTTGAGGATCATCTGGGACAGGCTTCCCGTCCCACGATGGTTCGACCACCCACCATTCGAATCCTGGTTTACCATCATGAAGCATTGGGAAGAAACTAGCCTGGTGTTGCCAGTCATGTGAAACAACACCGTAGTTTTCGGGGATACCAGGTATATGGTCGCACCAAGCGAGCCAAAGACGAATCCCGGTGTGAAACAGATGAGGCTCACCAAATGCCTGTCGCGAGACTTTTGAGCGAATTCCGTCGGCGCCAATGACAATATCGGCCGTGGCCTGGTGACCATTTGCGAACGAAATCCCAATGCCGTCGTCACGTTCTGTATACGAAGTGAACTCATGACCGGCATGAATGATACTTTCAGGGACAAGGTCCAACATTTTTTTGAAGATTGATGAACGAAGGACGCCATAGTGCCAGCCTTTGATACCCATGCGCCTCTCAACCTCTGCATTGAATGACAGTTTGACACGTTCTAGCCCTTTTTTATTCGTGAAATGGGTGACAGTGTGTGAGCCAACGTTGTCCAAGTTCAAGCTATAGGATCGGAGAATGGCCAAAACGGGAGTCGATAGCAGGACCGCGCCTCCAATCGCTTCGCATGCCGGTTGCCGCTCAAATATCTTCACATCATAGCCTCGTTGAATCAAGGCTAAGCCACTTGAGATCGAACCGGGTCCTCCTCCAATAATGGCCACCCGTTTTCCAGGACGCCAGTCCGGAGAGGAAACCATGAAAAGCGGTTGATAAAAGATAAGTACAAGGTTTGATAAAGACAACAATGTAGAAGATAGTACACAAGTATGGAATGTGAACTGAGAAATCGCTTTAAATATATAAACTTAGACGGGGTCGTCACCTCGGTTTAATTTTGAGATGAACAATACTACTACTATGATAGAGCGGACAATGGGCCCCGACGCTACATTCCGAAATTATGCCATATTTTAGTCTTTCAAGTTTTAGCGGGGAAAGCTGGTTCTGTCCCCACGAAATACCCCAGTATTCCCTCCTGATGACGCCGTTTTCATTTTTCATTTTTCATTATTTTTTACATCTGCGGGGTGGTGCGTCAAGCCGAGACTGTGCTCGCCCTCGGGTTTGTGGACCACCCACCCGATCCGGGGCCCATCAACCTCGAACCGATCCCGAGGGCACATCCGGGCTTAAATAACATGAGACAATATAGTGCCGCAAGAACCAACAAAAAGTAACGCTGAAAACACGTCTATGACAACATAATGGGTGGGTTGAAGTTCTTCAACATGCATCGGACAGTGGAACTAACAATATCATGTTGCAGCGCCGACTCCAGTACACTTCTTCTCACATGGCTCAACCATGATGCTCGGCGAGGAGTCCTCGTCAGCTCAGTATTGGAAAAAATGCGGCGATGAGGCCCTCACACACGGAATCAAGGGCGTCGTTATCATGGTATGCACATCTTAATGAAATATGACCCGATCGTCCGTAACCCTAACTATCGGCTGAAATGCAGGGCGCTCATTGGGATTGCTTCGGAGACCAAATCCAGGTCTCCACATGCCCAAACCCTGGGAAAAGCCCGGTTGCCTATGTCCATCCCTCTAAATATGTTGATTACAAGCTGAACAATGATCTTGGAACGGCCGAGCGATGCATTAAGCTGTTGGCAGATGCCGGGTTCAACGTGAGCGGCAACGACACATTTGAGTGGATTCACGACGTGTATCTTATTCTCATCCGCATGTTTCCTAAAGCATGCCCACCCACCACAGTTATCTCATTAAACGCGCGCTACGATCCCCATTATCATATGAAAGTCGGCTCGACCGTTCGTGAGCTGCGCAACGAGGGATACCTTATCATAGGTACCGGCGGAGCAGTCCACAACCTGTATAGGAATCGGTGGGCTCCTATGCTTCGATTCCGGGACAGCTTCGCGCAGGAATCTGCCCCAGAGCACTGGGCGCTGGAATTCAGGCAGGCGGTGGAGGATGTGATCATCACCACCTCAGGGCCACAGCTCAGACGAGCGATGACGAGACTCATGAAGCACCCTGAGTACCGGGATGCACATGCGACGGATGATCATTTCATGTCAGCTATGTTCGTTGCGGGCGCAGCTGGAGAATTCGAGGATGAGGGTTCACCAGGGGTCCTGGGAGCCGAGACTTGGGAGTTGACAAATATGTGCAATTCTCAGTTCACTATTGGAAGTTGGTAGAGGATGAGCTTTGATTAAATAATCTGATAAGGTCATTCCTAAACCGTTGAGGTATGGAGAGTGGGCAATTCGGAAAAAGCCTTTGGGGGTTCATTGCTATTGGATTGTATAACTAACGTATTTCACATGCGAGCGGCGCACCCCACCCAACCCATTGAATTTAAATGTAAATATCTCAACCAAAACGCCATTAAATTAAATCCACTAAAATCATCTATCTAGCTGGACACCTATTAAATCTATGTCCAGTCTCTCTGCATCCACTACACCTTGGTGTAGCCCGCGTACGTGGTTTCAAAGCCGGTTCTTTATGTATACCGGTACTAGGTAGAGGTGCTTCACCTGCTTCTACCGGCGTAGTAAGCAATTGAGAAGCTTCCTGTACTGACAGGCCTACTTCCGCCTGTATCTGCCTCTGGGACCTAGTTCGCTTTTGCTTCTTCTTCTCGTTTTCCGCGCGTAATTCCTTGTTTTCTTTCGCTAGTAAGATAGCGCCTTATATTGTAAGACGGAAGCCTTTTATAAGCTGGTTTAATACACGATCCGATGGGCTAGGCGGACTTCGAGATCTTATACGAAGTAAAGTTTTGATTGACGAAGCTTATCGGCGTAGTTCTTTCTCTGTAAATAGAGTTTTTGGGGTGAAATTCCGGCTTAATTCGCTCCCCCGGCTTGGGGGGGGGGGGGGGGGGGTAGGTGTTCGAAGACGAATATTTAGCTTTGAGATCACTCGGTCGGGTGCAAAGGGTATTGAACCAGCTGCTCCGAAGCTATTTTTAATAGTCTCCGATGTGAAAGCTTCAATTCGTGAAAGGGGGTACGCTTCCAGGAAGTTAAGTTTATCAATATAGTTGATCCTACTCCGTATTTTTGTCTTAACTCTCCGGCTGTAAGAGCGTTTTAACACCGCAAAACAACCAATATTAAGAGGTTGTAAAAGATAAGATAAATACGCTGGTATACAAATTAGTATTATATTGTTTTGCTCGCAAATTTCGTTAAATTTCGGTGTTAAATAACTTCCGTGGCTGTTAAGAATTAAAAGCCGGTATACTCCTTTTATACGCGAAGAAGTTAAAGGAATAAAGAGCTTTTGAAGCCAGCGAAGTCCAATTTTATCAGAAGTCCAGCCGTTAGGACTAACTTCAAAGCGCCAATCCTCCGGGAGGTTATCGAACTAAGATTCAATAAAGACTTTGCCTTTAAAAATCACACACAGAGGAAGAACCTAACCAGAAGTATTTATACACTCAATAACAGTTACCTACTCTCGATTTCTAGGTTGTAAAAGTGATCGCCGACTGTAGTATTCACTCCTTGTAATAACCTTCGTAGTTACAATTACTCCTTTTGCAAAACCAGTCTTATCGAAGTTATAGATGTTATCGGGGTCGATTCCGAATTGAAGGATCGTTTTTTTAACTAAATTAAACCACTCCCCAATGATTTTAGGATCTTTATATTTCGCGCGCTCGTAGTTATATCGTTTCGAGAATCGAGAGGAGATAGAAGGATATCTTTTCACAAAGTTTGTAACCCAGTTGTGGCCGACCGAAGGAACTGGTATAGTTCCACGCTTTTCGAGAAGAAGATTCGCTATTTCTTATACAGTAGTAGGCCGGGGAGCCGCTCCACGAGAATCAAGAGAGAAAATCTATTTTTAAAGAGATTGCTCTTCAATTTCTGTCAATTTATACAAATTGGCGCGAGAAATCGCGCGGTGTTAAACACCCCGGAGGCGGCGGCGTAATATAGTATCGGATACATTAAAACGGCGCGCTGCCTCACGAATTGAAGAGATTTCTTTATTCTTAAAAGCCTGGATAGCTAGTAAGATCCTACCCTCTTACTCTATTGAATTTATAGAGCTTCGGGAGCGAATTGGTGGCATAGTGGGTGGTTGAAATGATAAAGTGCTAATTCCTGGACGCGTTTTAGGTAGGGTGCGCCGCTCGCTTGTGTGCGCCGCTCGCATGTGAAATACGTTAGATAGAAGGAAAAGGAAGAATGTATTTATCAGGACTCTCTTTATAGCTCTATAACTTCTCCAATGTGCAACGTATATATCTAACCCTCTAGCTTCCTTTGGCATGCGGTTAAAAAGTATGGGGCTAGATGAAGAGATAAGTGAGAGAAAGAACGCAGCAACTAGTGCTCGAGGCTGAGGGTAATCTAGAGCCTTAGGCATGAGTTCCCCTTTAGAAAGCTGATATAAAAAACCGTTGGTCAGGTATGCATTCTTTTCTTGAAAAGCTCTTTCAAGCTCCTTTGCAAACCCGACTTAAGGCTTTGATAATTGAAAATCATAACACCTTTTGTAAAAATCAAGCAACGGGCAACACTATATAATACAATTGAGAATGCCAATTTTTAACGTATCTTCAAAACGTGGTATCCAGCTGCAGCCCCCAAAGCGAACAGGGAGGTGAGGATGAGAAAGCCTCCTGTTATGAAGCCCTGCTCAAAGAATCCAATTTTGTGGCCAGGGCGTTGCTGTAGGGATGGCAGAGGTTTCACAAACTGGCCCAGTGAAGTCTCCATTTGCAGCTTACCGGGTGACTTTAGCAGGAATTTTGCTATAGTGGTGTTCGGGGACTTGTGCAAAATTTGCCCGCGGGGTACTTGGAAGAAATCCGGTGCATACCGAGTTTCTTGATTAAGAGCAGTGTTGAGAGGGAGGGCTGGCCCGACTAGGGAGAAATAAGGACGATTAGAAAATTGACAGCACCTAATAGATGAGGCAGTCTGTCTTACTTAGCATATCGTAGGGGACGTGATTGATCCATGCCAATCCAGCATCAATTGATTCAGAGACATACTTTGCCGCAGTAGGGGCAGCAAAGGTATAGGTTGCGTTTAGCGTGCCCATAATGGAAGGATTTTTAGCATAATAATAGGCAGATGAAACATGAATAGATGGTATACTGACGAATTGCAGAAGTTGATCGCGTCATCGAGACTCGAGACCTGGTGGATCAAGAGGAGCCGCTCACCGATCTTGGATTTCAGGAGAACAGATTTCCTAGCCGAATGTTAGCTCCTCTCAAGTTTACGGGGCGCAATTTAAGTTGTGGAAAGAGACTCACCGATCCTGAACATTTACCACGGCCCAACCAGTTCCAGAAACGATGACTTGACAGCCCTTTTCTGATGCAATACGTTCCAATAGGGAGACACCGCTGCCTTTCTTTGGCACCTTATTGGCCTGCTGCAATCCGCGACTCAAATAGCTCGTGGCGTGCTTAATCAACAGATCAATAAAATGCTGAACGCAGAAGTCATTCACAAGAATGATATCGGGCGAATATGGGGAGCGGCCATTGAATGTAAAACGGGAGATGACCAGATCAACTGCTGCGTCGTCCAGATTGGCAGTACGATCCACTATAGCAACTGTCCGCAGCTCCTCTGGCTCCGACTGTTGCGATAATACAACAGCTGATCGAAGGAAGTCATCATCCGGTCGTGTCTCAACTACAGCAAATGTATCCCTGTCGAGAGTCTTGGGAAGAATTGAGCGAAGGAGTGAAGAAACCCTCAAAGTCGTTTGGGGAAGCTGTTAAACAAATTAATAAGTTAATGTGGTTCTAAAGACTGAAGATTAAAGTGGGGATAGTGTACCTCAACAACGAAGGAGTTCCCTGCTGCAAGTGCTGCGCTAAGAACCGCGAGAACAGAGTAGAAGAGGGTATGCTGCGAGGGAATGAGATAAACAATCCCAGCACCTCTCTTCCGATCTTTATTATCCTTGCCATTTGCGATTCTGTATTCAACTTCCAAGCTTCTCGCAACATCGAGAGAGGCGTAGTGCGTGTGGATCTCTTTCAAAGCCAAAGTGACCTCTGTCTGCACCTCCTCTGGGGTGTGGCCCGAGTCATCTGCAATAGCCTGCTTGAAATCATTCAGATTCTCAAGAATAGCATTTTGCAGACGGTGGAATTCTTTTTGGCGATATCTGATGTTGGCAGTTCTGCCATCAATGCTACCAGCCACAATCTGAGCCAATTGACGGGGAAGCTTCGAACCAGTTGAGTTGGACTCCATTTTTGCAAAAAAATGTGACAAGATCCAAGCTGAACTAGAGTGAATGCTATATCTTAGGCTGTGACAATCAATATTACTCTGTCATCATACATCATTATGTTAAAGTTCATGGTATAGTTATGCCTCGGTTTCCTCTCGGCTGTCCACATTCCAGCCGATGATCCGTGTCGGATGTCTAGGGGGAGGGGTTTGATTTCCGAGTGACAACCGAGTGGGCCGCCCACCATGATGAATCCGGCATGTCCAGTAATTGCATAGTAGTTGTGCAATCGTGTGTGGAGCTTAGTAGAAAGGTACGCCCCCCAAACCCCGTATGAAGGACGTGGAAGGTGACTAGGGTAACTAACTTCACCCAGTAAAGTTGAACTTCATCTACTAGTTGAACTCCTGCAGAGGATCCTTCTTTGCTTTTTCTTTTAGTTTATCAATTGACTTCCGCTATCAATCATGTCTGTGACTACCACCAACACTCGGGAAACAGCAACAGTTCCCCTTGCCATTCTGGCGGGCTATGAAGTCCATCACAGTGGACATGAACAACTAGCACCTATGATACCTCCCTCCACAGCACCCATCAACCAACCTCCAAACTGGCCCGCTGATCATCATCGAATTCCCGCCTATCGTCCTATCAACCGAAGCCTGGATCAGAGCCAGCGACCACCAGGTGCAAATAACCTGGAACGGGTTATTATCACAGTCATGTTGCACGGTGTATGGCTCAACGCAGTAGGCTCTCTTCCTAATCACACATCACAGAAAAATCAAAATGACTGACTAGTCCCAGGCCGTATCTCGAGTTTGGCGCTTTACGGGAGGAAGATTGAATGATCGTTTGTTCCATTACGGGATTGGTGGTGAATGGTAGATATGACTTGGAAAGCCTATGGTTAAGTGGTGTTTGAATAAGATTATTGTGGTCCTGGTTGTTTTTATTATTATTGTTATGGAACAAGTATATGTCTGAATGGAACCACCGTATAATAGAGAAATATATGCACCTCGTCCACCTGGGGGCCAACGTGGAGAGCCGAGTAATAACTATATGTACATAGGTAGGTAGTTACACCTGTGGACTTCCAAGGCTGGCACGAATGTTTACAAATTTAGCAATAATTCAATACTGCGTGTCCATCCACGATTGCCTATACAATTCTTTTCGCAGCGGAAATATCCATCACTCCCTCACCTTCGATGACCTTAGCTTCAATAATATCGTACACCGGGATCTCGGCAAGACGAGAGATGATATGGTGCAAGGTCGGCAGCTGGTTCCAATCAAGGCCATCAATCTGAATGTTTCCTTGCGATGCTTTGAGCACGCGGGTAATTTTGGTTGGCACAATTAGGGACTCCTGTGCATAATCAACGAATACTGGGTATTCTGCCTCTGGGGTACCCTTACTCTCTCGGCCCACAGATGGCATATAGCGATGTACCAGGATACCTAGATCCCCAGACCCGGCTTCAGTTGGTGCAGTCTTCTCTACCTCACCAAGACCAGTCAATGTCATCCGACCCCATACCGCACCTCTCCAGCTTGTGGTAACATGATAAGAATCTTGACGCTTGTCCACATCGATGGCACTGAAAAGCTTTGGGAACCCAAGCTCTTCTCTTCCAGACAGGATAGGATCCGTCAAATCCTCGAACATGACTGGAAGATATGTTCCTCGTGTGATTTCTCCGTTGGCTTGCTGATACTCAATGCCGTGGATGTAGAGCCCCATGTGGTTATATCCCCCTCCTGCAAGCCAGTCCAAGTCATTCAAAGTGGTCTGGGAGAAAGTTGCGTAGGCCACACTACCGTGTCCGGAGAAGCTGTATGCGGAGTTGGGCAACAGGTTCTTGAGCAGGGTCCGACTGGTTTTGATCTTGATGGAAGATGTGCAAAAGCTGGCCTTCGCAGATGCTAAAGCTCGGCTACGACCCCAAAAGTCCTGACGAGGGCCAGGCATTGGGCCAAACACAGATGGCTGCCTGTAATAAGCCTCTGGGTTCTGAGCGCGCTGGTATTGTCTCAAATGTTCGGTAGCGGAGTCAAATTCGTCGTAGTCGTAAATCTCAGACATGATTCTCATAACTTTGGAAAAAAAAAGTGTTAACTTACACTAATTCTTTAGGGGGCAAACTGAAAAGGGAAACCTAGGGTAAAGTAGGCCAAGAACATACCTTTGTCCCTCGGCAAGTGGCTTCTTCCAGAATCCCGTGTATGTTCCTGAATTCGGGTAACTCGTTCGTGGCGTGCCTTTTCATAAAGCTTCAATCGCTCATGAATCTCCTCCTTTGGAAGATCACCTGGAAGTAGAACAGCCAGAGCAATACCATCCTCGAGTGCCATGGCACCGCCAGATGCTCGGTAGGGTAGGAATGGATGAGCTGCATCTCCCATCAATACCAGGCGGTGATCAACCCAAGTGGGGAGTGTTTCCATGTCGAGGAGAGGCCATATTTTCAGTGTCTGTGCATCCGCTTTCGCCAAAATTTTGCGAACCACAGGATCGTAGTCTTTGTATATCTCAAGCAACGTATCCTTATCCACGGCCTGGTCCCAGCCTTTAGATACTCCAATGTTGCTGAGGTTGTCCGGGTGAATGCAAACAAAATTGAGCATCTCGTTGTTGACGCAGGGGTATATAACCACCTTGCTATCGGAGCTGTGCCACATGTCGACAGATCCCAAATCCCGCACTAGATGGGCACTCTCAGGATCATCAAGCACTGCCTTGCGCGAGACCATGAATCGGAAGGCATTTTTGCCTGAGCTGAAGGCCTTTTTATCGGAACCAGCAACGTGACGCCGGGCCACAGAGTGCACACCATCAGCACCGATAACAACGTCACCACGAATTTCAGTTCCATTTTCAAGGATCACGGTAGCAGTCTTTGGATCAATTCCAGTAACCTTGCTCGAGGTATGCAGAGTCACAGGCTTTCCCTTACCGGGGGCCTTGGCCTTGTCTTTCAGCCCTTCGTGAAGGTGAGCACGGTGAATCAGAAGCCATTCCTTTTAACATTGTCAGCTCACTCCCTAAAGCCTGGGTAATACAATTTCTTACATGCTGCCAAGTATCTGCGAATTTGGTAATGCTCCCAGTGAATACGAGTTTGCCATCGGAGGTGTAGTCTCGAATCTTTTTTTTTTTTTTAAATTGTAAGTCTTCACGTTAATCATAAACAGTTTTGCAATGTTCTTTTTACCTGCTCCGCTTTTACGGCGCCATACTGAGAAGCATTTACCCCAATCCTCTTCAGAAGACCGTTTGCATTGGGAGTAAGGTGAATGGCTGCACCGACCTCGTTGGCGAATTGAGATCGCTCAAACAGCTGTCATCACTCGGTCAACTGAACTGAATGCAAAGCTATGATCAACCCCCAAAAGGCATCTTACCTCAACTTCATGCCCTTGCTGGTGAAGAGCGATAGCTGCCGCTAAGCCACCAATACCGGCCCCGACAATAAGAATTTTCAGGCCCTTTGCAGGGGGGGTTACGTCCATCTTGGTTTCAGGATTCATTGACACGGGGTAGCGATGATCAAAAGGAGGGGGAAATGCGCAATAGGAAATAACGCATTGTTTTCCGTTATTATCATCCAACTAAATGATGGCAATTATCTACACTCGGCTCTATCGTTCATAGCATATCCATCTGCATTGCCCCGGATTACCGATCCAGTTCGGCTCCACCTACCCGAACATCGCAACCCGATTGCATAAATCTATTTCTATTTATTAGTAGAAGACATTGAGGGTTCGTATCTCTATATAAATTTTGTACCTGAAATCTCATCATGCCAAATCCCATTAAGGACATCGCCCGCGTGGACACAACCTCATTCCCATACATTGTCGAGGAGAACGTTAGTATCCTTCTTGCGAACGACGCTGGCATTATTCGTTGCAATGTGTACCGCCCCAAAGATGTCCCCAACGCACCCGTTTTGGTGACCTATGGTCCCTATGGCAAAGATCTTCACTACAAAAAGTATGCTCTAGCGTTTTTTTTTTTTCCATATCTGGTGCTGATTTCATTATCTAGCTTCGCCATCAACTCCTACAATGAAGTAAACCCCGAACATCATTCTGATCACTCTGCGTGGGAGACTCCAGACCCTGGATTTTGGACTAAGCATGGCTATGCTGTTGTTCGCGCCGACGAGCGGGGCTTGGGCCAGTCTCCTGGTATCTTGGACACGATGTCTCGTGGCACCAGCGAGGCCTTTGTGGATGTGGTTGAATGGGCCGCACAACAGCCTTGGTCCAACGGAAAGCTTGGCCTTCTTGGTATTAGCTACTATGCTGGTAGCCAGTGGCGTGTCGCCGCACGCCAGCCCAAGGGATTGGCTTGTATCATTCCCTGGGAGGGAATGTCCGATTACTATCGTGATCGTTGCCGCCACGGCGGTATCCTGTCGAACGCCTTTATCAAGTTCTGGTGGGATCGCCAGGTTGTTTCGAACCAATACGGTCTTGCTGGACGCGCGGCACGCAACTGGGGTCCTGATACCATCGAAGGTGACCTCTCAGAGGAAGAACTGGTCGCCAACCGGAACGATCAGAATATTGACAATCTGAAGAACCGATTCCGCGACGATCCTTATTATTCTTCCAAAGAGTATAGCATGGAGGATATCAAAGTTCCTCTGCTTAGCGTGGCTAACTGGGGTGGTATCCTGCTGCACCTGCGCGGCAATGTGATGGGTTATATGAATGCCGGATCAGACTTGAAATATCTTCGTTTCATTACTGGCCGCCATGACTTGCCTTTCTACTACAAGGAGGAAGTTGAGGTTCAAAAGAGCTTCTTAGATGCCTTTCTGAAGGAAGAAGACAAGGCTGGCTGGAGCACAGGTGCAGCACCCAAGGTTGATGTCTTGTTAAGAAAGGGCAATCTCGGCTTTAACAACGCTGAGGCAGAGAAGACCTATGGTCGACGTGTTGAGAACGAGTGGCCTATTGCCCGGACTCAGTACACCAAATTCTTCTTGACTCCCTCTCAGCAGCTGGAAATCAAGACACCGGAGCCGGAATCCAAGCTGGCTAAGCTTAACTATCGTGCGCTGGGAACTCTCGATAAACCATCCCTCCTGCAATTTTCTACCCCCGCCTTCGAGCAGGAAACTGAGGTCACAGGTCACATCACAGCTCACTTGAACGTTTCCGTTACTCCAGACAAGGGAGGACCTTTGCCTTCTGATATTGATCTCTTCTTGACTCTGCGATACATCTCCCCCTCGGGAGAGGAAGTTTTTTATACCGGAACTGCGGGTGATCCCGTGCCTTTGACCAAGGGGTGGCTCCGTGTTAGCATGCGGAAGATCAACGACCAGCACTTGAGACACAATGAGCATATCCCCTACAGAGACTACTTCTCGAGCGATGTCTTGCCCGTCATGCCTGGGGAGGTTTATCCCGTTGATGTGGAGATCTGGCCTACGAACATCGTGATTGAGAAGGGCGGCAAGCTGATCCTGGAGGTCGCGTCCGGTGACACACAAGGCTCAGGCATCTTTCAGCATAATGATCCGACTGACCGGTACGTTCAATTTTTTTCTACAAGCCGATGATGACTTATTGACACGCTATATAGTGCCACCGAGAAATTACAAGGAACTAACCACATTCACTTCGGGTCATCCTACGAGAACTTTGTTACCTTACCGATCATTCCCGATGCGTAAGGATTTGAATAGGCACAAGAACTTAGCTTATTGCCGAGAAAATGAGCCGGTCTCTCCAGACAAGGTGGAGCCGGGGAGCCCGAGGGGGAGCCGAAAGGTGACCTGTGTCATGTGGATCATAGTATAAAACTAGATGTTGATAGTACAGAAATGATTTGATCACTACTTATGAATATATATATCTCCTTCGTACTCTGTGGGCACCAAGATTTAATTTTCGAACAATTATTGCCATTCACTCCTTCGATATATCGAATGTTACACACCATTACTCAAGATGAGCAACGAACTTCCCTCCATCAACCGGTATATTACCGCTCATGATCAAAACGGCAAAGCCGTCTTTTCCACCCGAGTCCCCGAGCCAATGCCCAAGCAGGTTGTCAATGGCATACCTTTCAGCTTAGCATATACCTCCAACGAATTTCCAGCCCAGCTGTCTGAAGATGCTGATATCAAGAAATATGAGGCTAATCTAATTACGCCCCCCGGTCTTGCTATTTCAACCGGAACTGTTTGCCGAATTGTCGATTTCCCGCCCGCTGCGGAAAGTCCTATGCATCGCACTGTTTCGTTGGATTACGGTGTCGTTTTGGAGGGGGAGGTTGAACTTTCTCTGGATGGTGGGGAGAAGAGAATTATGAAGAGAGGCGACGTCGCAATTCAGCGAGCCACAAATCATGCTTGGAAAAATGTTACGCCTAACGGGGGATGTGCGAGAATGTTGTATGTTCTTACTCCTTGCCAGCCCATCAAGGTGGAGGGCTTGGGAGTACTCGGCGAAAATGTTGATGGTATTGATGTGGAGGCTAGCAAATAAACAGTTCCAAGGCTCCTGGCCCTGTATTCACAGAAATGAATTACTTACTATGTTGAACATACATTTTGAGATTTTGGCTAGAACAAGTCTAGGACTTCACTAAATCTGAGCATTTAGGTAGGACCTCGAGATGGTAGGTACTAGTAGCGTTCCGCAAAGCCCATAAATGGGCCCGAACCCCGGGCCCAAAGCCCAACCAGCAGTGGGCTATGGGCCTAACCTTCGAAGCCCAACCCAATCCACAGCCCATTCGTGGGGCCCCATAAGGCCCCCATTAAAGCCCATTAAGAGGGGTTCAACCAGCATCTTGTAATCGCTATACAATATTGTATTCTAACCCTTGTGCTTCTTGTATAGAGTTTAAATCTAGAATTCAGAACTTTTATAGTTATATAAGTATATGTTTCAATTTTGAATAAAATCCGACCTTTAGAGGTCGAGATACTACGAAAATAGGTTAAATATTGATGTTGTGATATTCGATATACATTTTAGATTTGCAGGAGTACTACTACTTTCTAAGTGAACTTCTGTAATTTATAAATTATCTAAACAACGCACTTTCTCGCGTTTTTAAACATAATATAGAGAGACAACTAGCAATTAATTCTAAAACATTTAGACTAATAAAATATTACCTTTAGAATAAGGCCTAGAAACGGGGGTAAAACGGTACTATATTTGTACTGTTTGGGGCTTATTAACCCGCAGTGGGCTTCTCCTCAGGCCCATAGCCCACCCGTGGGCCCGAAGGTAAGGCCCAAAGCCCAGCCCATTTGCGGGTTGGGTTGGGCTGGGCTATGGGCTTTATGGGCTTTGCGGAGTTCTAGTAGGTAGATCCATTCATCCATGGTGGATCCATCCAATTAGAAGTTTTGTCGCAGCTTACTCAGCGGACGCTGTCAACCCTAGGATCCGGGGAAAGTAGATTCGGCGATGTGGTCCACCTCCTCCCGGTACCTTTAGGTAACCCCCAATTGACGACACTGAAGTCCCTTGAACGATTTCCCGACAGGCCATGAATAGCCCTTACCGATCGAATGTGGCTGCTCATGCATCTGATACAACATGCACCCCTTTGGCATCCCCTTTGGGCCCTACCAGAGGATTTTACCAATGTGGAGTCTGCAAGAAAGAATATGGCAGAGCGGATCATCTCATCCGCCATGTTCGATCCCGTATGTTGCTTGACCAGACATGAAATCTGAATGTATTTTGAAAAATTGGGACTGAGAGCTGATTGCCCTGGTACAGATACTGCAGATAAACCGTTCAGCTGTGAGATATGTGGCAAGGGATTCACAAGAATGTCAGTTCCTTGTTGATAAGAAATATCATGTAATTCGATCTTAATGTTTTCTCAGTGATCTTCTTCGACGACATGCTCAGGGTCATGGCTCTGCGCATGGCCATCATAGGTCCGATTTATCCATAAGAGGACGTGTATCGCAGGCATGCAAGAGCTGTGCGGCGTCAAAGCTCAAGTGTGACGATGAGAAACCATGTCGACGATGTTTGCGGCGAAATCAGACCTGTCAATGGTCCCAGAGAGATGACCTAAATGCGCCAGCTCACGGTAAAACACTTCCTGCATCGGTGGATGCCCTGAAATGATGTTGCTAACTAGGATATCAGAACAAGAAATTTGGCCTATCGATCGATCAGAGGAAGGGCAAAACGGTGAGTTCCAATATTTTTTAGTTCTGAACATATTTACGGCATTCGCTTACAACATAAGACTTTCTCCCAATTGCACAAGACCCAGAACCGACAAGCCCGCATAACGGTGGCAATTTGGGAAATGCTGGCCCTGAGGCTCCGTCAGATGATATGATAATGACAAACGAAATTGATGGTATTTCAACTCTTCTCATGACAATAAAACTATTCATTCAGAGACTGAGTCATGATTTAAGGGGCGAGTGTCAGCTCACTCCAATATGAAAGCTTCAACCAACAAATGGCAGGCTTGAATGGGTTTCAACTGACGGTCAGTAAAGATTGCTAATTTTTGTGGACTTATACTAATCAATGAAGCAGGGTTATGATCAGTGGAACGTGTATGGCAGTATGAACTTTGAGCTTGGGTTGACAGACGAAGATCTCGAATTCTTGGACTCCTTAAATAGGCCTGGCCCTCCTCAACCTCGGGTGATCCAAGAACAACCAGCTCAGCGAGGTACCCCGACTGGTCCAGATTTTTCTAACCACGTCAGCACAAATCCTCTCCACGATTCCCCTTTATCACATTGGACCCCCCGTGCAGAAGACAATGCGTATATGGATCAGCACTATTTGTCCGTACCTAAGCATCTTGACACTCCAGAATCTACAGGCGTCTCCAGGCCACGCATTTTTGCAGAGCCACTGTCAAAAGAGAGCCGAGATGCGGCATTTGCATTAGTTGTCAAACGATATCAGCAGAATAACTTGAATCGAATCATGCAGTGCTTTCCAAGCGCAGAGCTCTTGGATAGCCTGATTCAAGTTTTCTTTACACACCAGAGATCCCAAATTGACACTTGGATTCATGAGTCAACTATGCAACTGAAGCAAGAAAGCCCAGAAATGATTTTAACTCTCGCCGCGGCGGGAGCAGTTCGCTCCGACGTGGAGGCAATCCAAAGACTTGGCTATGCTATGTTGGAGATAGCTAGGCTCCAAGTAAATGGCAAAGTACTTATTGGCTCCTATGGCTATTAGATATTGAGGTGCTAACTTCCAGCAGTATGAAGACAACAATATTCTAACTCGCAACTTGAAACAACAACAAGAATATGTCCTAATCCTTCAAATTGGGCTTTGGAGTGGGGACAAACGGCGTGTTGAAATTGCTGAGAGCTTTGCGCAGCCAGTTGTGACAGTCAGTCAAGCGCATTGGTTCCTAGACATCGTTATCGTGTTCTGACTTTGAAGCAGATGTTACGACGAGCCTCGCGCTTTAAACATGAAGCATATCCCACCATCATTCCCACTGTGGCCGATGATGATGTAACTCTCGACCGCAAATGGCGCGAATGGGTAGAGCATGAGTCCTTCAAAAGGTGATAAAAAAGATGACTTCTATTAGACAAGCTGCATTTTCAAGAAGACACGCTGATACGGTATTACAGACTTGCTCACCACATGTTCATTCACGATGCGCAAGCATCTATTTTGCGATCCATAAATCCACTTATGTCATATATGGAGCTCGATCTCCCTATGCCCTTTTCACGCAAACTTTGGGATGCGAAGACTGCCGCTCAATGGAGATCCATATATCTCGAAGAGGTTCCAAAAACGACATCTCCCATACCATCCCTGGCTACCAGCCTACAGAATATCTCCAGTCTCGGCCACTTCCCTCGTCATGGAGATTTCCAATTAGCCGCGCTAGCAAGTATCCACGGCATATCAACGATGATAGCAGACTGCAATCAAGCACGTCACGGACCATCCGTCGCGCTGATCATGAAGCTATGGCAGCAAGAGCTACTGCAGGTTCTGGAGCAATTTGAAGTTGTCGCAATTGAGCCTCTGCAACGCTTAATGCCGGCTATTCCACTAATCTACCAAACCGTCTCACTTTCGTTATACCTGCCACTGGGTATCCTTGAGACCTTTTCAGGGAAAGACGGTGAAAAACGGTCGTCTAATATATACCAGTCATTTATTCAAAGAATCAGTGCTGCAAATCTGCGACAAGCGAGCTGGCATGCTGGCCAGGTGCTGCGCATCGCAAGATCTATGCCTCCTGGGTCACTCACTGATTTTTATGCCACTTGCCTCTACTTTGCTGCGCTTGCATTATGGTCCCTGAGCACCATATTCTTGTCAAATGATCTAGCTTCAGATACCGGAAGTTCTACCGGCGAAACAGTGTTTCTCCTGGATGGTGAAGCTGACAGCGCTGCACTACGTCGATTCACACTCTCTGGGCAGGGAGTCCCCGTTATTTCGTCTTCCGATCGACATGTACCTTTGAATGATCGAGCGGCGGTCATGCGTTTTTTTCGACAATTGTTACGCTTGAAGTATCACGGGGGTGCCTCCGATCAGCAAACGAGGGCTTTGAATAATGCCTTCTCCGTGCTGGGGAACACTAATTCCACAACCATTGAAGGGCAGCGGAAGAGGAAAACCCCCGAAAGTTGATAGGAGATGATTGCATAGAATATTCCAGACCCGCCGTTATAGCAGACAAAAGGCCCCTTGTTTCCCAAGTAGACATTCTTTTGATATTTCAATTCGCCCCAGAAAAGCCGCACAAAAGTGTGAGGGCGGTAGCTGGAACTCGTAGTAGAAATTGCTTGGACCTACCTACATGTACTTAGCCCTATCTCACCTTGTGGGAGACACAGTGCTTAATTTTAGTTAATAACTCCTCACATTCTTTTACTGCGCAGTTTTATGAAAGTTGGCAAACAGCAACTTCCTCGATTAAAGAATAAACAGCACCTTGAATCGTAAGGCTATTCCAATAAAAAAGCCCACAACTATCTCAATCAACCCACGGTCCGATGGACTGTACTGTACCACATTATCGAAGGCGTAACAACACGATGTTTTCGGATCAACAAAGCAGTCATATGAAGCACGTATAGCACTTCCATACTGGTCGAAGAATGCTTGAGCTTCAGCACGTGTACTGAACACAAAATCTTCATATCCTCCCGAGGTGACAACAGTGCTTGGTGTAAACTGTGTGTGTCCAAAGATCTGTTCTATTTTCGGGGCATCAAGAGGAATCGTTTGATGTCGTTGATATCGATCACAGATCGAGCGGCAGAATGCAGCATGTTCACTCCATTTTTGTAAGAAACTGGACGGTGAGAGAGGAGATAACCCAACCATCACACGAATACTGTCATGACTTTGTATTTCTACTTCTATTGCAGGGTTTAACTTCTCTGTCACGTAGACCTTGAGGGGAATAGCGAAAACATGACTACCAGCAGATTTTTGATAACCTTCAGTGGAGAGAGCTCCTTGCAAGACCGTAAGAGATGGCCAAGTAAGTTGGGCAAAGGAGTGAACAAATGTATCTGCTTCAGGGATTGGGAGGTGGAGTAGTGAATCTTTGTTCGCCGATAGACGAAGACCCTGGATATATTTGGTTATGATACCCAGGGTCTTTGCCATCGTCCTGGTCTCCGTGGCGTGTATGACTTGGAATTCATGTAAGAGAATCCAATTTCTCGGATAGGATTGTTAACTGCATGGTCGATAGATGTGGTTAAGAGAAGGGTTGCTAGGTACGTAGAAAAGTCCACCTATGAACAGAGTGCCCAGGTGTCCACGGTCAGCCTGGTGACGTAACGTCGCCTTCCCTTCCGGTCCTTGGGCCTACTCTAAGGATACCACTCAGTCATTACTTTCCAACGGGCTTTCATGTCCAATTCCAGGATGTAACCAATCATACACATGTATTCATGTTAAAGTACAAATTGAAGGAGGGCGAAAAAAGACTTGGAAGTGAGATCTATTACCACGAACTAAAGTTTCCGAAACCTCCAGGCCCCTTAGCCTTTTTACGAGCGGGCTCATGTGGAACCTCCTCGTCAGGAAACTCCACAATTTCGTCTTCTTCCTGTCCATCCCGATCTGCCAGTGCTGCCTTCAAATACTTTCCAACACCCGAGACGCCGCCGTCATTTGAGTCCGCCTCGGCGCCGCGGACTCGTTTCCCGGTCCAGGTAACACGGTCATCATCCGCACGGCGAGCAGTCTCATCTTCCTCTTCTGCAGAAAGACCCGTGGTGCCTGTGGCTCGTGCTTCTTCGGCTCGCTTCTGGGCCATGAAATCCTCGAATGGATCAACGAAGACCGTGATTTCCTTGATGCGAATATCGGGAGTAGGACGGTTCGTATTTGGTTCCACCGGGTGGACCTCTAAATTATTCAAAGTAGTGGATGAAGGAGTTGGGTCATCGATAAGACGGCCGAAGACGGTGTGCTTGAGGTTGAGATGAGGAAGGGCTCGGTAGGCGATGAAGCTGAAAGCACATGTTAGCGCTCATTGAGTTCGGAAATCGCAAGGGGTCACTTACAATTGACTGCTATTTGTGTTTTTGCCCTTGTTAGCCATGCTCAGTGTGCCCCGAGCATCGTGCTTCAAAGGTCCCTCGAACTCATCTGCAAAGTATTTGCCCCAGATACTCTCGCCGCCTCGTCCAGTTCCAGTTGGATCACCACCCTGGAGCATGAAACCCTTGATATTGCGGTGAAATGGCACATCTTTGTAATAGCCCTTCTTAGCCAATTGAAGGAAGTTCCATACGGCTTTAGGCGCATGCTCAGGATACAATTCCAGATTAAGATGCCCGGCGGTAGTCACAATGCGCGCGTAAGCCTTGGCCTTCACGCGACCCCGCTTGAGCATGTAATCCTCCTCCGATAGTAACGCTAGCTCGGCAGACGTGTGCGGTGTCAGGCCTGTGCTAGTGAAAGAAGCAGCCGCCTTGCCTGTGGTGTATTTTGCAGCGTTGTAGGGTGTTGGCTTTCCTATTGGCCCCTTGGAAGCCATATTCGCAGTCCCGGTCTTCGAAACTGCTTTTGAGCCAGTCGCAGCAGAACTAGCCTGTTGAGCGCGTTCTGCCCGTGCCTTTGCAACCGCCTCTTTCGCTTTCAGGATCTTCGCCGCGTTGCCGAGCGCACTGGTATTCACACTTCCGGAGGTCTGTTCGCCCTCCAAAATTCCCGTCTCCCCATTCTTGATGTAGTTGAATGAGCTAAGATTGCGCGACTCGATGTTCTGCGGGTCTTGCAAGGTGATAATATCTTTTCGGCTGAATTCCTCATCTGTGACCAAGTCGCGCCATAATTTTCCCTTGATGTTGAGTCGCTCCACCGTATCCCAGGAAAAGACATTCCCTGTATTCCGTAATGCGACGATATGTGTATTATCTGTCAGAATCTTGTAGGTCACCGGGTCAACGTAGTCGCCATCCTCATTCTTCGCGAGAGTCAACTTGATCAAGTCCGAGCTCTTCAACGGGGTCCCATCGACAGGATTTGTCCCGTGCTTCTTAATCCATGGCAGAATATTCGTGATATCGAAGAGTGTCCCTGTGGGCGTGCAAACCGGGTGTGAAAATGGTTGGAGGGAGAGTGAACAGAAATTGAACGGCAAGCGCTTGAATGCGGCGTGAGGACCAGTCTTCCTGGCCTTGGAAACTCCAGCACCAGCACTAGCCGAGAAAGCATCCTCGGATGCCCACTCGGAGTGTGTGATCTAGAAAAAAATCCATTATCAGCGGGGATTCAAGATGCGATAGGAGAGTATTCGGATGTAGAAAATGAAGGAGATGCCGCATACATAAAGCTTATCTGTTCCTAAACTCAAGCACGTTAGTCTGAATCTGTCCAAACGGCACCTCTGTAAGACATACCTTTTCCCATAATTGAAGATTAAGCTGTCCCAACAACTTTCGCGCAGCGCGTGAAGATCAAATGACGGCAGGACGCTTACCGCTTTGAGATTAGAGTATCGGTGGTCCGTGCGGGTCAATATCGCTGTGCAGAAAATTTACTACAAGTTTCTCTTTCACTACTAGGTATTTATCATGCAAGACAGCCTGGATTCAAGTATTGAGCTCTTCATGTCTTCGCTATCATAGTATAACTATTGAGGAGCGTCATCTACCCAACCCAAACTAAAGCAGACTGTGCTGGGATAATTCTACTGTATCGTCCAAAGACTTAAGCCGTCGCAGCTTCAGGTTGTGGCAATTTCGAAATCAGCTTTTCACACAGGGCAATCAAGGAGCTAGCATTGGTGATGTCGAGGGTGGTGAGATCAGCCTCCAGTTCAGAGCGCACCCAGTTCCTTAACTCAACTGCAGCCAAGGAGTCCAAACCATAAGCCATAAGAGGCTTTGCAGGTTCCATCTCAGTCTCAAGGCGAAGAATCGTGGTGAATTGAGCAGCCATCAGCTCAATGGCCAATTTTAGAAGAGCCGATTCATCCGCCCCAGATTTGTGCATCATTAAGAAGGCACGGAGGGTCTGGTCGCCCTTGTTTGCACCATCCTTGCCTCCCGAACCACCAGCTGCGCTCTGTCCGAAGTGGTAACCGAATCTTGCCTCTCGAATGAGATCCGAGTCGTTGGGCAGTGGGAACCCGATACCAGTGATCAACTGAGCACTACTAACCACGTTGATCGGGGACGAGGTTTGCTGTAGGATGGAAAGATCAAGTATATGGCGTAGTGTGCGCTCGTAAATTGGTGTCCATTGTCGCTTGTCAAAGTGACTGTCCATGCCACCCTGTTCAGCAACATATCCGACGTCCTCAATCAGTCCAAGGTCGACTGCGTTAGCTGGTAGTCCAAGGGACTGGCGATAGGTGGCAAACGCATCGAGGAAAGTGTTTGCAGCCGAGTAATTGGATTGTCCCTTTTTGCCGACAATTCCAGAAATACTGGAAAGCAGGGTGAAGTAGTCAAGTGGCTGCTTGCGTTCGAGAGAGACATTGTGTAGAGCCCAAGTGCCCTGGATCTTGCCGTAGATGGCGGTGTGGTACTCTTCCAGCGTCATGGACTCGTACGGCTTGTCCTAGATTGTACAACAGAATCAATAAAAAGATACTTGAGAATAAGGATTCATGATTTGACTTACCCGAAGGATCATAGCTCCCTGTATAACTCCAGCAATGGTTGGGGACGACTCGCGGAACACCTTTTTCAAGAAATCAACGTCGGCGACGTCACCCTTCGCTTCTATAATCTTGCAGCCGTATGACAAACAGTTCTTGGCCGTCTTTTGCGAAGCTTCATCTTCGATGCCGCTGCGCGAAACAACGATGATACGCTTAGCTCCATGTTGAGCCATATGAATAGCCAAGTTGCCGCAAAGTCCCTTCAGACCACCCACAATCAAATAGGAGGCATCGCCACGAAGCGCAAGCTTTGGGGTTTCTGGTCTGATTGGGACCTGTACATATGGAGTCTCCCATCAGAGATGACCACCTTTCCGATATGACGACCGCTGCGGATGAAAGCCAAGGCCGAACGGATGTCGCCGAAGCTAAATGTTGTGATCGGGCTGATAGGCTTTACATGGCCAGCATTAACCAAATCGAAGATCTCATCCAGAAGATTGGCAATTAAAGGATCCGAGATGTCCTTGGTGTAGGAGAAATCCATGGCCCTGAAGGAACAGTTCCGGTCAAATGGCTCCATCGACAACGCATTACGGTCGACGATATCTTTCTTTCCAATCTCGACGAATGTGCCTCCGTCCGCGCAGATTCTCCAGGACTCGTGAAGCATATCTCCAGTTAGGGAATTAAGGATCACGTCAACACCACGACCCTGGGTTGCTTTCGAGATTGCAGCAGCAAAATCTGTGTCTCTAGAAGAGAACATGTGGTCACGAGAAATGCCGAAATTATCGGCGAGGAATCGTCGCTTCTCTTCAGTTCCGACGGTCACAAAGATCTGGACTGAACTTAGTACACACTGAACAGAGCAAGGGAAAGGCAGATACGACTTACCTCTGCATCTTTATGTTGAGCTAGCTGGATTGCCGAGAGGCCAACACCACCCGAGGCCGAGTGAATAAGGACAGACTGCGAAGGATTAGTATGTTTCAAAATAGAGAATAATAATAACACCTTACTTGTCCTTTCTTGAGATTGGCGATGTGATATAGAGAATAGATCGAAGCCAGGTAAACAGACGGAATCGTTGCCGCTTCCTGTTCAAGATAAGTACTCTGGAGTTTAACTTGAAGCGTAGAATAAACATACCTCGAACGACATCGCGTCGGGGAAGACATGCGCACGCCCAACAGGGACCTGAAGACGATTGGCGTAACTTCCGTTGTTCAAGAAGCAGACGCGGTCACCAACCGCGAAATTCGTGACGCCAGGTCCCACTCTTTTCACGATACCAGAAGCCTCATAGCCCAGAGTGTACTCGTTCTCTGGCACAATGCCCATGGTGACAGCAACATCCTATCATTGCAGTTAATATTTTTGTGAAAGAATCGTACCACAGATGTGATACTAACCTTGAAATTAACACCGGCAGCCAAAACCTCAACCTCAACACGGCCTTCCTGCACAGGTAGCTCAGCAGTACTGTTCTCTGCCCATGTTAGGCTTTCGAAAGTTCCAATACGCTCTGCTCGCAGGGAAACTGCGGGTCCAGGTTTGTGCAGATCCTGAACAATTGGTTCAGCGCCTTCTTTGACGTCTAGCTTGAATTGGTTGATAGCTTCGTCCGGGACAACACGGTGTACGTAAAGTATGCCACCTCTCTCGGCGTATTCTGTCTCGATGAATTCTTTCTGTCTTTCCGACCTGAGAGACCGGAGAACAGTATCAATTGCCCATTCGGTTGCTGCGACAGACGATTTCTCGGTATCTAGAGTGGTCAACTTCGCATTGCGGTCTTCCATGCGAATCACTCGGAACAAGCCGTGGGCAAAGGCTACGTCGGGGTTGGTCACTTGATACTGTGCACCTTGAGTAACCCAAAGCAACTGTTTGCCCGAGCCAATGAGCTCTTTAAGCGCCTTCCATTGCTCTTCGTTGGCCTGTGTGAGCAACGGAGACGAAAGCTCATCAAGGACTAGAATGACACTGTTCGGTGTTGCCGACGATATGAGGAGTGTCTGCTCATTAATGACCCATCCAGATTTCTGCAGCTTCTCGCGCAAGGATGATTCAAGTGCCGGTGTGTCCTTTGACAAGCGCACCACATCTAGATCTAGGGGGCTCTTGGAAGCTTGAGTGATTGGTTTGAGAATGGCCAGGTAAGACTCAGTCCCGAATTGAGAGCCAATTTTGGAAACTGGGTCCGAGAAGTAAGATCGAAGGGTCTCTTCAACCATGTCAGCAGTATTAGGCTGAAGGGGGGTGCCTTCAACCTTAGCAACCGTCTCCTCTTTCAATGCCACAAGGTTAACTGAGGTGGCTGAGGGGCTGATTGAACTAGCAGGAGTAATTGCCTCCGAAGGTGCCTTGCTGAGTTCAAAACCGGAGGTCACTGCTGCTGCTTCTGAGTCTGGTGTTGACGTTCCCAGAGCAAAATAGCTCGTGTCGCTTGAATTGGGGACCGGGGTGTGTAAAAGAAGCAGATGACCAGCCTGCTGAGATACAAGGGGCTTGAGGGTCTGCAGGAGATCACCTAACTCAGATCGCGAAACCTGTCCAATCTTCAAGATGACGAGATCGAACTCAATTTCCGGTGCACCTAGTCGCTCAGCAGTAGTATTAGCTAGCAGGAATGATGTATTGTGCCTGCTTTCATGCTGGGTTTGTACATCGATAAGGCCCTTTGCATCCGATCCAAGGAAAGTATAGTCCAGGTATGCGGCGCGGGACACTCGATCCTCAGCCTCGAACCATAAGGAGGACGTATCATCTTTGATGAAGTTGATCTCCAAAACCTTAAGGGCTGGCTTCTTGTGCGCGATAAGGTCAATCGTCGAGTTGACAGTCTTCTCACTAAGCTGGCTAGCGGTGAGGAATGTTACATCGGGCTTCCATGTGATTTTGTCGAAGATGTGAGGGTCGACCTGACTGCCTACATCCAGCTTCACAAAGCGAAGTCCGGTCATCTTCATTAGGAGGCTGCCGGTCTCCGAGTCGTATACAGTGCAGTTGGCAAAGTAGCTCTTGGCTTCCTCAAGTCGGCCACGGCCCGAGTAGTGCGACTCTGCGAGGGAAAGGCCGTTCTTCAAACTGTGAGGAACCCTGTTAATGACGATGTCATCAAGAATCGAAGGTACCAAAACAGAGGTGAGAGAGCCTCGTTCTCCAGCCCACAGAGAAGGTGTGACGGTCTGGAAGCAGCCATCAAGTGACGCCGGATGAATTGGATAATATGACTGAGGGGACCACTTAGATGGTGGCTCTTTCAAAGAAACTAGACTAGGTCCATTCCGCTGGCCACTGACAGACTCGACCTGAATGAGCTTCTGGAAAGCAGGTCCAAAGCCATAGCCAATCTGACTCTGAGCCTTGTACCATAGTTGTCCAGAAGTAGGGTGAGTCAAAGGTTGAGAGTCCGGCTGTGCAATTTGACTGTCAACGGGGACTTGCAAGCGGATAAGCCCGGATGAGTGCTCGATCAAATTTCTCCCATTGACCGATGAAATCCTGAACTCATGCCAATCTTTGCTGCCAGGTTGTTCGGTCAGCCACAGCAAGACCTCGGCATCTTTTTCATCTTCGAGTACGAGCGCTTTGTCAAATCTGATATTGCGCAATCGGTAAGCTAGCTGGTTGGGAGAAGTAACAGTCTCGTCGGGGTCGGTTGCATTCTTCTTCTGCCACATCGCTTCCACTGCCATGCAGATAAACCCCGACCCGGGGAGCAATACGTTTGAGCCCATTTTATGATCCTTCAACCATGGGATATCGGCTAGGTTCAACAGCTTTCGCCAACTGGGTGCTTTCCATGGGTTACCAAGAATCTTACTTCCCAGCAAGTCGTGATTGACATATTTTTTGAACCGCCAATCTTTACTGGGAGAGTTTTCGTGCCAATATTTGATTGAGTGATTCCATGTGTAGTTCGGAAGATCAATAATAGTGGAGGGCTTCCTACTATCGGCAAATACTTGATTGACCTCGTCAAGTCTGATCAATGAATGGCCGGCGATGAAAAGCCGTCCCGCGAGATCGAACAAAGTGGATCCAGCGGCTTTACCCCTGGCCCAGGAAGCGGAATATGCGATGTCTGTACCACCTGCCACAGCCTTTCTGATTTGAGTTACAGGTCCGGCCAAAGCTCCCGATGGACCGATCTCAATCAGATAGTTCGGGGTCTGGCCATTTGGCAGAGAAAGCATAGCCTGTGTAGCTTCCGCGAACCGGACAGGTGAAGTCATGTTCGTCTTCCAATACAAAGCATCAGTGGTACCGGTCTTCTGGGTTCCTGTCACGGAGGAGAACATCGAGATATCCGTAGAGCCATTTGAAGACACAAAGTTGTGCTGCAACAAAATCTCGTACTCCTCGCCAATGGTGTTCATCAGCTCCGAATGATAAGCCAGGTCCACTTGCAACAATCTAGCAAAGTGCCCATCGGCTTGAATGTCATCTTTCAATGACTCGAGAGCCGCAAGTCTACCGGAAACTGTCAAGCTGCTGGGACTGTTGAAACAGGCAATCCAGGCATCCAATTCATACTTAGTCAAGTACGGAGTCAAAGCCTCCACGCCTAGTCCAACAGCAAGCATTCCAATATTTCCTTCAGCCTCAGCTTTGCGGTTCACGGCTGCTCTTCCACGATAGAATGCAGCAATGATTGCATCTGATCGGCTCAAAAATCCTGCCGCGTATGCTGCCGCAATTTCACCAGAGGAATGGCCGACAACACTTTGCGGCTTAACACCCCATGTCTCGAGAATGGCGACAATGCACAGTTGTAAAGCCGTCACCAGAGGCTGGGAGAATTCTGGCTCACGAAGATGTGCCGCACTACGAGGCTCAGTCAATTCGGCTGTTGTCATGTCAGTTATCTACCGAGGTATCAAGGAAAACAAGCAAGGGACCGTACAGATGAAAGACCATGTTGGCGGATCTGGCAATCTCCGCAGAACATCGTCAAGCTCTTCGAGAATCGAACGCGTCCATGGGAAGAATTCGAGAAGATTTTTGCCCATCTGGGACCACTGCGCACCCTGGCCTGTGAAAATGAAGCCAAAACGTGGTGGCTCGGAGCTCTTTTTCCCCAAAACGAAAGAGCTTTCATCCAATTCCGTATTTCGGGTCTTCACGAATGCTCGATGGAACAGACGCGTTCGCCGTTCAGACAGCGTATACGCCAGATCGGGAAGACTGACTTTGACGCGAGGATTGATCAAATGATCCGAAAGAGCCTTGATATTAGCACGCAAGGAGACTTCATCGTTGGCAGAGAGGACAATTGTGTACGGTCGCTCGGCACCCTCATCGTCCAAGTCAAACTCATCATCTTCGGAAATATACGATGAAACGTGACGCGGGCCATCCGGGAGCTTGACCTCTTCAAGGACGACATGTACGTTCGAGCCTCCATAACCGAAGGAGTTGACACTCGCGCGACGAATGGAACAGGCTGGCCATGGAATCGCCGTCCGAGTAGCTTTAACTTTGAAGCCAGCAAAATCGACTAGATAACAGGGAGTGTGAGCCTTCAATATGGAATGGGAGATGGGGAAAGATGAAATTTGCACCGACTTTTGGGGCTTGGGTTCTCAAACGTGGGATTCCCGGGGATGATGCCTTTCTCGATAGCCATCAACGCCTTCATAACTCCTGATATTCCGGCTGCCGGCTCTGCATGCCCGACATTGCTTTTGATCTGGATACTATCAGAAGTGTGTCAATCATTTGGAATTTTCAACGACAGCAACTCACCGAGCCAATTATGAGTGGCTTGTCAGGAGATCTGGTGCTTGAGAACACCGAGGCCACGGCGCCTACTTCCTTGGGATCCCCGGCCTGAAATACGTCAACAATAAACCTCAATGAAGCATGTTCAAGGATGGATTATAGTGTTACCTGGGTACCCGTTCCATGACACTCCAAATACGAGGTCTCATTGGAGTCAGTAATACCAGCTCGAGCGTACGCCGCTCGGATGGCGACTGCTTGAGCCTCCGCGCTGGGGCTGGCGATACCTGGAGTACGGCCATCGCTGTTCGTAGAAGAGCCTCGGATCACACCTCTGATCGGATCTCCATCGCGAATTGCATCTGACAGTCTCTTCACTATGATCGCACTGACTGCTTCAGCCTTGACATAGCCGTCGGCAGACTCATCAAAGGTATGACAGAGCCCGCTCGGAGAGTGGGCATTGCCGACTGCACCAATATCCATGACGTGCTCGGGATTGAGGTAAAGGTTGCTGGTTGCAATGATACCTGCATCCATTTCTCTTGTTTGCAAATAGCGACATGCTACATCCAAGCCGACAAGACTACCTGAGCAAGCAGTATCAATGGTCATACTGGGCCCTTTCACGTTAAGAAAATGGCTCAGTCGGTTAGCCAAAATAGCACGCCCAACACCAACCGTGATACTAGCTGGGCGATCTTCCGGGTCCCTCCCCTGCATATCACCATAATCTATGCACCAGCTATGTCTTAGTAATGACAAAAGCCAAGGGGATCCACAAGTGACATACCTGAAGCAAATGATCCGACAAAACATCCAACCGGAGCGCCATCAAGGCTTTCCAGGGTGATACCAGAGTTTTCAAGCCCTTCGAACACGACTTCCAGCATTTGACGTTGATTTGGATCCATGGAAATTGCGTCGGATTTCGAAATTTCGAAGAACGATGCATCGAAGTCAGCCGGGTCGGTATCTTCCAGGAACATACCACCTAGTGGTCGCATAGTGCGAGGCTTGATTGATCCATCCCAGTGGCCATCAATATTGAATCGAGACTTAGGAACCTTGTTTGATGCGATTCCGCCTCGTTCCAGGAGATCCCATAGCTTGCGCGGGTTTGTGCTTTGTCCAGGCAGCCGGCATGCGAACCCAACGATGGCGACAGGCTCTTGCGTAGGAGAGGACATTTCTAGTTCTATAATGATAGGACAATGAAATTGAAAGCCAATGATTGAGAGACGTCAGGGAATCTTCACTAGCCAACTAGATGAGTGGCTCGGAAGTCCTGGTGAAAGTAAACACAGGGCATTGAATTTGGTGCCGGGACTGTGCCTTCTTCAATTGTTCTCGCAACACCGGTATAGCTATCGATACTCTGGCTCTCCAGGCCGACTAGAGCACTAACCAGTCGAGATAAACAAAAGTACCCCAACTATCACCATCATTACCTTTGGCCAAATTTCAACTACTACCTTCAGCCGCACGCCATACTACTTCCAGAGTGGCGCTATATGACATGCATGAACATCATCTTGAATTGCCTGTCATGAAAGAAAGGGCAATCGTTGTTTCGCAGCCTATTGCCTAGAATTAGCCTCTATCAGGAGCTTATCTAGCACATGCTTGTCACCCATGATGTTGCAATAGGATGCATGTGAGACATGACCGTAAGCTACAACCTTGGAATCCTTCCATGTTGTCTATGCACCTCAGCATTGCGAATGTCAGTCACAGAAAAGTGGGTCTTACATGACAAGTCAGCCAACAGATAGAGTGTCCGGATCAAGGCCTTTCAAACTAGATCAAAAGACTCTTTGGAACCAGTGCACAACACTTTTCACTTTCATATTGAAAATTTTACCGGCCAGAGCGCAAGGAATCCTCCAAGACTCATCGAAAATTAGGGCAAGATGGCTCCCATTTCAAATTACGAAAAGGTCGAGTTCAAGACAATTGATGGCACTACTCTTAGAGGATGGCTGTATGCAGCAAATGAACGAGGACCGACCATCATCATGACTCCCGGCGTGAGTAGTCCATGGAAATGGCAAATTGAAGTTATACTAAATTGAGTTAGTTCAACTGTGTGAAGGAAATGCTCTTGCCTGAAGTTGCAGAGAAATTCCAGTCACTCGGGTATACAGCACTTATTTACGATCCGCGGAGTATCGGCGACAGCGACGGACTTCCTCGAAATCAAATCGACCCTCTCAAGCAAATCGAGGACCTCGCCGACATTGTGACCTATGTAACCACGCTTCCCAGTGTCGATCCGCGTCTCATATCACTTTGGGGCATGTCATTCGGGGGAACTATTAGTGCATGTGCCACTGCCGTTGATCGTCGAGTGAAAGCACTGGTCATGGTCTGCCCTATTCTGACCTTCTTCAAGCCGGAAAAGCGTGAAAAGGCCTTTGCCCAGTTGATCAAAGACCGGCAATCCCAACTGCGTGGTAATGAAGCCTTCACCCTTCCACCATTCAACAATAAGGGCGAGAATCCAATTGGAATGGCCGGCTCGGGTGGCCCAGGCGGAGTTGAAGCCAAAGGATTCATGAATGCCGTTATCGACCGGGGTGCGCCAAATTTCCGAAACCGCATTACCCTCCAAAGCTATTACAAGTTAGCCATGTGGCAGCCCAAGGAGTTGCTAAAAATGATTGATGTCACCCCTGTCATGATGGTTACGCCGGAGCTCGATGCCATGTCACCTCCGAATGAGCAAATTGAAGCTTTTGAAAAATTTGAGCAACCAAAGAGATTCTTCTTGGCGAAAGGGAAAGGGCATTTGACTGTGCTAAGTGGGGAAGGTTCGGATGAGATCTTGGATTCTCAGATTGATTTCATCAAGTCCGCATTTGAGGGAACCCTGGAAACCACTCGCTAAGCCATATTTATAACACTCTTGCAACAATCAGTATAGACTTTCGTGGTTTTTGCACCGACATCAAGTTCCAGTATTCGAGTTTGATTCGATCCTAATTCATTCTCATATTCAAGATTCACTAGAAAAAGGAATAGCATTCTTCATGTTCAACTGCCTAGATTTCAAACCCCTAGAAGCATAGCTCTCCCCGATCTGCGGCTTTCTAGTTTCTTTCGACTTCAATAGGATGGTACTGTCTCCAACTTGGATAAATCCCAGCGACAGTTTCAGTTGATCGCAAGTAGTATTCCAAAAATGTGCTATCAAAACCAAAAGAAGCGTCAAGTTTTCAAAGTCATCATTCCCAAAAATGCACTAGGTAAATATGTACAAAGTACGGAGTAGTTGAAGGAAGGTTAGAAGTAAACAAATTATACCCAATTCGAACTAGCCCCATGCAGTTGGCCCACTTTGCTTATTTCTGTGGCCCCGCAGTTGCTTACCTGTATACTGCTGACCTTGCATGGCGCTGTCTCAGGAACATTAGCATCGCTCTTAGAGTGATTCGTAAGGATTATTAATTCCTGGCCATTCATGAGATCATAAATCCCTAGTTTTTCCTATCAGTAGTACTTTTGATTGCATGCTTCGGAGACTTCCAATTTATCAAGCGCACGGTCACACTGGCTTAAAGTGGCCAGTGGCAACAACCCTATTCGACTGCACCAACACGTGAATGCTTCGTGTGGAACCTTATTATTGGCCAGCAGAAAAATGAAAGACTGATACTTAGGTACTTTGTAAAGGGGCGGTGTCTAGGACGGTCTATAGTTAGGCACAAAGGTCTATTTCCGCCTGAGAATTCAGGTTCTTAACACTCGCCGCTTTAAGCCTACGTGGGTAACACAAAGGAATCGGCCCGCTGCCTGACTCTCAGCGACAATTCGACGATGACCTTGCAGCTATTACCAAGCTATCCTAGTGACTAGAAATCATGATTATAAATGGTAGCACTTCTTTGTCAAACTATGTCAGCATCCTCATTTTGTGTAGGAAACAGATAACTAGGTATTTATTATGACTAACGCGTCTCTCATTCCCTCTGATAATCAACACAATTTCTTTTCTCAAAGTTGAATCTTTTTTGTCTCATCATGGCTCCCACTATTGTCCTCATCACCGGTGCCAACCGCGGCATTGGCAGAGGTATCTTAGAACTGTACCTCAAGAAGCCCGATCACACCGTCATCGCTGCGAACCGTGACCCAAGCCACGCAAGCTCCCTTGCTCTGGCTGATCTACCCAAGGCTGAGGGTACTACGCTGCAAGTCATCAAGATCGACGCTCTCTCTCCTACTGATCCCGCTGCGGGTGTGGAGACTCTAGCCGCCAAGGGAATCACCCACATCGACATCCTAATCGCCAACGCCGGTATTGCTCTTTCTTGGCCAAAGGTCACTGAAGTCCAGATTGCCGATATCCAGAAGCACGTCGATGTCAATATCTATGGCTTTGTCCGCCTCTATCAGGCTTTCCGACCCCTCCTCAAGGATGCCCAGGCTCCTAAGTGGGTAACTATCGGCTCTAGCTCTGCTTTCCTAACGGTAAGTCTAACAATCTCTTTGTATTACCTATAACAAGTGTTAATATTATTCACAGTAAGTGAAACGTCAATACTGGTCCATTTCCCCTTGGAGGACGGCTCTTTATACCTCAGCTAGAATAAGTATGTTAACCATTTATAGAAACTTCATTCCTATGCAAAATGCTGCTTATGCTCCTACAAAGGCTGTTCAGCACTGGTACACTAAGGCAATCTCTGTTGAAGACTCCTGGTTGAACGCCTTCCCCATTGATCCTGGGTAAGTTGTTATACATCGCCCCTAAATTATTCCTGCGTGTTGGGCTAATCATGACGCTGTGAAATAGCTGGGTTCAGACTGATATCGGCAACCGAGGTGCCGAAGCTTTCAGCTTCGAGAAGGCTGCTGTGACCATCGAAGACAGTACCACTGGCCTCGTCAAGATCATTGATGAGTCTACCTTGGAGACTCACAGTGGCAAGCTGTTCAAGTTTGACGGCAGTGAGGAGCCTTGGTAGATAAAACATAGATCTTGACCTGTGATTCGCATCGGCATGTTCGGTACTCGGCCCTTATGAAATGCCCGAAATGAAACGGGGTATTTTCCTTTCTATCTTTTGTCACTATGGAATGACTACAATTAGATTACTCTTTTTGACTTTCTACAAAGCTGCTACAAAGAAATCTAGTTTTTCCACAGAGTCATCCCAACGACTCGTAGTTTATCAAGTTATTTGGACACCTTGAGGCGCTGATAACGTATTAATAAACCTATCATTGTTCTGAGATTCTCTAGTCAATAAGGCCTTACTTAAGTAGCGTTCTAGGAGAAGATGTCCATAAATTTCAGCTTTAATAGTGGTATTTTATTTATGATATGCACTCCGAGGCACAATCTTGGAAGCATTCTGTGCTGGACGAAATTTTTGGTAGATAACCCACCTCGTGTATTATTTATTCTCAGAGATCCCATTGCGTAGATATCTAAGCAAAATCTCGAAAAAAAAAATCTGTTCTAAACTTCACTTAATATTTGGGCCTGGACTTTAAAATTAGTCCACAGGATAAAAGGTTGGAAATCTTTAAGCATCGGCCCGGCAAAGTCTGCCATCAGAAGCGACCTTCCAGTGCTCACTTCCCACAGACGCTGGTCCGTAGAGCACGAATCTTGGATCGTACTTCTTTTTAATCTCCAGTAACCGAGGGTAATTGCTTCCAAAATAGTCTGTCTTCCAGGTCGGGTTGTCGAAGGTCGCTTCATTGAGGTACGTACCACCATTCGGTGTGATAGACCTTAAAAGATCCTGATTGTGGTTCATCTGTGCCTGGTGTTCGCGTAAAATGTCGAGTGGAAAAGATGGGGCCACGTAGACGTCCATATTGGCAGAGTATAACGCATCACGCCAAGCTGGAACGACAGCATTCGATGCGGGGGTGTTGCCTACTCGAGTATGTGTGACGTTGGCAGCAATGCCGTTGATACGGTATCCTGGCAGTGCAGTGATATTGCGGTAGGCAGCGATCAAGCCAGACATATTATCACGCACAGTGTCTCGGGCAATCAGTCTTCCACCGATCGTTGAGCTTGTCGGATAGTCTCCGTAGGGGAGATCTGGCGTGTAGTAGGCAAAGTGATCATAGTAAGTCGGCTGTTCGTTTGTCTCGTAGGTATAGGTAAGGCCCAGTTTCTCCAGCTCCTGGATGAATGGATCAAATTGTGCTGCGATCGCAGACTCTGGTTGATCGGGTAAAGCAGCGGAGTAAAGTGTGAAAAGATCACTAGTGATGCCGAAGTAATTGCTGATTCCAGCAAGATCATCCCAAACGAGGAGCCGTTTATGCCATGCCTCCACAGCCGCCCAGTATGTGCCATTGTCACCATTATTTTGGAAAGTGAGTGATGCACCGGCAACGATACCGTCTGGATGGGCTTTGGTGGTTTGTGATATAACAACAGCATATGTACCACCGCCCCCTCCATTCAACGCCCAATATAGATCCTCATTCTCGGTGGGACTGGCAACGAGATATCTTCCATCGGGAGTCACAACTTCAAATTCCAGTGTGTTGTCTGCCGCGAGACCATAAACACCTTCTAGAGCACCATGGCCTCCGCTTTGAACGTATCCACCGGTAATTCCAACGGTCGGACAAAATCCACCTGTGACTCGAAGTCCATTATCAGCAGCTTCCTGATATACTTCGAACGCTTGAACACCTGCACCAAGCTTTACTGCCGATCCGTTATAGCCTGGACTTGAATAATTGAAGAAACTGATGTCTTTCAAGTTATGGGTCCAAAGAGCCAAGGATCCCGCACCAGTTGATCGACCAAGGAAGTCGTGCCCGGTATTCTTCACTTGGACTCGAATATTGTGATCCTGGGCAAAATTCAATCCCGCTTGTACATCTTCAACAGAGCTGACATTGATCGCATACGATGCTATGTTTCCCAGTGTACATGAGGCATTGTGAGATGTAAACGGGCTGCAGGAGTTGTTCAACCAGTATGGCGACATAACATTGACAGGGTCAACAAAACTAGGACAATTAGTCAGACCAAAGAGATCACTTCAAGCACACATGCATATTAAACTTACTAGGATGGTGAATTAGTCCAGTTCGCTTTCAATGCAACACATTCACCCTTGTCGTAGGTGGTACCATGACATACATCTGCAAGTGGCCTTCCAGCAATCAAGTTCCCTTCAATTGATAGATTGAATTGCTGCCACTGCTGCAGGCTAGGCCATTGCCGATCTCCAGGAAAGTAGTGACATCCAGGAACATGAGGAGCTGCAAGTACCCTTGGTAGAAGTACCATTAGGTATGAAACGCCAAGAGCATAGTTCGCAAACATTCTCATTTCTGCCACGAGGATGATGATTTTTGAGCGACTAGATATTACAGAGCGTTCAGACCTTATATATGAAGTCAATCATTCTATTTCGCCCCCACAGAGCTCCCAATCCTTTGCAATGATCCTTCTATACCTCGTCTAGGCCTTCCACTCTCTGATCTGACTGTCGTATCTCTTATTTCTTACCCGGGGGACTGGAAACAATCAGCCTCAGGTCCTACACAATACCGAGAGTGGAAGGACTTCATTGGACTGCATGAACTATGGATTACTGTGGACTTCGTATTCCTATGCAAGTTACCCGCTCATTATGTGCTCAGCATCCACAGATAATCCCGCTCTTGGCGTATTTTTATTTATGTAACTATGGGTTGCCCAGATACGCCATTCTACAATCCTGCAACTTATTGTATGGCCCCTTTAAGTGCTTATGCAGTCAGCACTACCTCGCATATTTTAGCATGATTACGTGCATATAACCAAGGGGCAGTACCCCCATAGGCCAAGGATACTTTATTTGGTATTTTGTTATAATTTGTAAGCAATGCATTGTAACCTTGGTTGTTATCTATCATATCATTCTTGTCGCAAACCTACATACCTAATTTGGTGTGCTAAATCATTAAGGCGAGAATGCTAAGTTCCTCCCGCTTAAATTTAGCGATTTCGCACCAGAGCTGTTTAATCCTATCGTCCTCTTGAAATATAGCCCTAAGGGAGGCTGACACGGTTTAGATCGGGGCACTACGACTAATTCAGAGGATAGGGGAGGGGTAGGTAGACTGGGCCTTTTGAAGGAGCCCGATGGCGAATTTAAAAGGTATCTCAAATTCGAAAGTATTTGTAATAGTGAGGTCTGTTGGGCATCGAAGTAGCAGTACGACAGATGCTTATTTGGGTTGCAGAATCCAGTTACAGACAAATTAATTGATGGTCTATGCGAGGAAAAGGAAACATAGTTCTAAGCCTGATCATTTCAGTCTATGGGCCACGCCCTATATGATTGACACTGGTCCCCATCCCATGTTATCGCCCACGTTATCGCTGACGATCCATCAGCGGCAATTGCCCATATATGGACATTTTTGTGCTTTGGCATTGACGTCTGCGCCTGCCTGGAGGAGCATCAACACTCCAGCCTCGAAGGCTCTATCTATAGACATGTGCAATGGCGTCCAGCCGGCATTGTCATACGCATCAAGATCCAAACTGCGCTCGTACTTAGCGCGATGGTCGAGTAGATGCTGGAGTATCCCGAGTCTTCTGTACAAAACAGCCCAGTGCAGTCCCGAGCGACCCTCACGATCGTACACGGCTATTCGAGCGCCGTGGGAGAGTAGGAGGCGGACTACTGGATCATGATTTTCAATGATCGCGTATATCAAGGGAGTCCGGCCGTCGCTATCTTGGTTATTTACATCTATATTACCACGGATTAATAGGACTCGAACGATCCTTTCGTGGCCCTTCTGAGCGGCAATATGAAGTGCGCCAATCTATCCCTTATCACGTCTTGCAGATGTGATAAGTTCTAGTACCGTATCGTCGTTGTGAGACTGTGGCAACTGGAAATGCAGGCTCTCTGGGCGAATGTCGGAATCGGATGTCCTGCGATGGAATGGCGGGCTATAGCTATTTTCAGATCGAGAAAGCGACCTTATATAGCTGCTTGATGTGCTGTTGGAGGGCGCTGTGTGTGAAGTGGGACCAGAGGAGTTGCTGGGAGGGAAATTCGCGTGTGCTAAGCTTGACTGAAGGGGCAATGAATCGGACAATGGAAAGGAAAGGTCGGGGTTCATTTGATCCCAGGATGGGTGAATCGCGTCGAGATCGAGGTGCTGTATGGGCCCTGGCCTTGTGCTAGAAATCTGGGTTTCGTTTGGAGACAGAGTTCCTGTCCGTCTGGGGAGTGCATTCGGGAATGCCGGCAAGGAGTTGACCGGGATGTCCACATTGTTGACAGTTGGAATAGATTGAGGTGGCTGAGACGTCCTTAAAGTAAAATTGTGCGACGCCCACCGCTTCTTCTCTATCAACGAAACTCTAATCAGCGGGATGGTCGACACAGCCTAGCACTTGCTGGATACTGAATACTCACCGCGGAATTTGCGTTGAGCTAGGCGATTCTGGTCGCGTCGCCGCTTAGCCGAGTCGCTCATGAATTGCACATTGACATCCATGGCCCCTCAAATCAGTGTGATGAATCAACAATGAGAACAGTGTGAGTATCTTCGATGTGGAAACTCAATTCTCGATCTCGACCGTGTTGGAGGAACGGCCGAGCCCCGTCAAGATAACAGCCCCGTCAAAATAGCGGCCCCCACAAAGATAACGGTCCCGTCAAGAAAATAGATCGAATAGGGGGATAGGGCATCCATCGGGCCACGGTAACCCCCGCCAGATACAGGACTTGGGAGAGGCTATCGTGGCCAAATTCAATGTGGCTGCCCTGGCTTGGCATTATATAAGACCCCGTCACCTGGAACCTTCCCGGGGGGGATGAATACCTAGTGCGAAACGCCGATTCCCGAGGTCGGGGCCTGATAGGTTCGGCCCGTGGCGTTGCCGCGTTGTGATGTGCAGGAGGCTCGGATGCTAGGATGATCTACTCCGGCGGTACATTCCGGCAGAAACCGGGGTATATTCCCCCGGGCCGTAGCTAGCAGATAATATATTATTAACCTTCTTTTATTTTCCATAACCTCGTGCAATTATTGAACTAGTCTAGCTTAGACTATTCAGGCTTGACCTCGTGCTGGTAGACCTTGTTGTCCCTGACCTTGCGAGGTAGGGTGGTATGTTTTCTTGTTTTCGTCTGACCGTGACCCAACCTGGTGTGGGTCCTTATCAGAGATCGCCCAGGTGTGGGTCAACTGCTTGAGCCTGACTGCGCCAGCTCGGGTTCCATACGCTAGTCTGACTCGAGCTCGTGTTGATCCCCTCCTCGTGTTGCCGGGTCTACTCCGTATCCCGAGGTCCAATACGTTGTTTACGTCATCTTCATTCTCGTGGTCTTGTTTCTCCTTGCCTCAGTGTTGCCACGTTACCACGCTAACAGCGGCTGCCGGCCCCCCGCCCCCGCCCCCGACGGCCCGCGACACAGCCTAGCCCAGCCCGGGATGAGGATCTCGCTTCATTCATCGGTTTCTACGGAGAACACCGTACGGAGGGGAACCCTACAGCCAATGCTTCAGAGAAATTGTACGGTGCTGATGGAGCTGGCAAGCTGCTTAATATATATCCCATCTTTGGCGTACAGCATGATTGGGACTCTTGCAAAATCCCGCCCCCACGGGCGCTCCTGCCTCCGGGGCGTGAGCGATCACTACACTCACTGAGCATCAGTCATTTTGTACGTGACTGATCTGAGCATGGATGATCACTGATATAGGTAAGCCCGTGCTGATATCTACTCAGTGAACCTGAGTCTGAGCACCCTTATACATAAAAGCGGCGGTAGTCAAAGAGGAAAGCCTCAGGGAAAATCCGGTACGTATAGGTACATATGGACAACAATCCATCCCTCTCTAGATTGTAAGTATATAAAAAGCTTTACCTAATTTATACAAAAACATTAAATATAGAAGAAAAAAACATGGAAGAGTTAGACAAATATCAGGATTAAGATATGTATAGTAGAAAAACTAGGGAATTTGATCTCTGTGTACGGAGTATATCGATTAAACAGGCGGAGAAAAAGGCAGTTAAGTTCAACCTACTCCGTACGCAAATCGCCAATTCTACAAGGAAAATATGAGCTTAAAATTGCATTTTTATTATCTGACTTTGAAATTTTGGGCCTTTTGTCCAGATCGTGAGGTCCGAACAAAAGAAGTGGATAATCATACATATACAAGTGCTATCCTTCCCGCTGAAAGAAGCCCATGCATCATTAAAACAAACGCTGTGAACGAAGTAGCTCTGCCTGAATCATCACGCAAATTGAACCTTGAAAAACGCCACCGATGACAATGTAGATCGTGGTAATTCATATGATTAGAAAGGGTTGGTTAGGAAAGCAAAGGCTGGTACTTCAATGGCACGACCCATTTGTTCCCAAAATCAATTCCATGGCGACGACGGGTACCGTACTTTCTCCAGACGATCTGAGGGATTCCAATGTCGGCAACTGCCAAATTCCAGGACAGTCTTTCGCCAGATAGAAGGGCATTTAGCACACCAGTCTTGGGTGCTCCGAGGCAAACCACAGATGTGGCATTGACACAAAGCCGGCCACCTTCGGCCAAAGTAACCTCACCTGTGGATTTTGCTGTATTAGTCACACCGGTTCTGACGGGTTTCCTTAAGTACTTACCAGTAGAAGCATTGAGTCCGGAGGGGACGTCCACAGATAACACATCGACGTTGCTGCGGTTCATCCATGAAATCATCTCAAACGCCACACCTTGGTCGTCGGTTCGAAGGTCGTCAAAAGATAGGTGCATGCCAAACAAGGCGTCGATGATCAAGTCGGGGCCTAGGTCAGAGGTGGCCAAACGAGCAGATAGTTCTTCCCACTTGAGAACGCGTCCCCCAACCTTGCGGAAAATATCAAGCTGTTTGCGGCAGTTCTCCAGCATTTCAGCTTCGTGTTCGAGCCCGAGCAAACAGACTGTAACCCGGTGACCCCGGTTACGCAGATGGCGAGCAGCAGCAATAGCTCTAGCCCCAGTACGATGGTTGCCAGTAAGGATAAGCATAGTAGGTGCAGCAGCATCATTGGACAGAAGAGCCACAGCGGCCTCTGCTATTCCTCGGCCTGCATTCTCTGTAATGATCTCATCGGCTAAGCCAAACTCGGCGACCGAGATTTGCTCAATCTCCAGAGTCTGCAAGGGGCTCACCGTAGGACAGCTGCGATTGGTGGTTGTGAGCCGGAGAGATCCAGCACCAGAAACATTGGGAGTAATCATAGGCGACACTGACGATCGGCCTGGTCGAGGGCTGGTTGTACGAGAAATATTGACGTGAAGCTGACTGCGGCCAAGCGCACTGAGTTGCGGCACCATTGGCGGGGCCTGTATCGCGCTATCTTTGCGGGGAGGCTGAGCGTGTGTAGGCGCCGTTGACCGTTCACGTCCGGAGAGGGTATCGCTGCTCAGTTTTATTTCACTAATTCCTTCAATATCGTCCCCAGTGTCGCTGTTCTGTGGGCTATCAAGTACATTCTCCGTCCAGTGTAGGTTCTTTCCGCCGTTGGTGCCCGGCTTGACTCTTCGATTGAAGCTCACCAGACGCTCCTCGTCTGCAGTAGTGTCATCGTTTCGAATTTGTTCAAACACAGTCCGCTTGTCAAATTTGGACAGGTTGCTTTCAAAGTCGAATTCGCCCAGCTCTTGGATATCAGTAGCATCTTCGGTTGCCCAGCCACTTGGATCCTCGGCATATCGGCGCGACTTCTTCTTGCGAAGTTTAGTTCCAGACCGGTTCATAGCTTCAGGCGAATCCTGGAATGCAGGGGCAGCTGGCTCCACAAAAGCAGTCTGGCGCCAGCCTTTGCTCTTTGGGTTGGTGCTTGCTGCGGCGCCGTGTTTAGCAACATATCCTCGTTCTTCCCGTACATTTTCTTGGTTGCCACGTCGATTCCGCTTTGGTGTCTGCTTTAAGGGTGACAGTTCCTGCGGGCTTTGGAGTAATGACTTGTGGGAGGTCCCTTGTATTCCGATCTTGTCACTATCTGCGTTCAATTCCAGGCTGCTAAATGGTTCACTCAAAGAGGCTGAAACTGCCCCAGAGATTTGATTGACGGGGACAACCTTCGGAGCATTCTCAACAAATGCGTTGGATACGAGAGGGGCTTTTGAAAAACTCAGAATAGCCGGGTCCATAAATTGTTGCTGTGTAGGAGTAGATTGAGTGGGAGCTGGAGGTAGATTCATTGCTGCATAGGTTTGAAGCTGGGGATTAGGTTGATGCTGGGGTAGCTGCTGACGCTGCGAGGGAATCTGGGTATTGGTTTCAAGGGAAAGGTCGGTGATAGCAGAGGCATCAATAGAATATTGAGGCAGGCGTTGACCGTTCCAGAGAAATGTGACTAGATACCAAAATATTAATGATTATTATATATATTGAAATCTTTCTTAGCTCACCATCCTGGAGCAGCAAGCGCTGCCCAAACACGTTGGCGACCTGGCCCACCAGCCTTCCACCTTGTGGCTCTCTCAATGTCACTAGCACATTATAGCCAATGAATTCAGAAGCCATGATGATTGTGAGCTTTTGTAGTCCAGCCAAACAATCATCAAGCGTGCAATTGTCTTTGTTTTCAAAGCACGTTAAACTTGAGATGACCCTATGGAGTTTGGACAAAAGAGCGTGACACGACTTAATTGAGGGGCACGTGATTTATTTTATCGATAAGAGATAACCGATAAGGTACGGAGTAGATACGGAGGGCTACCTAGTACCTATCCGTGGGCATCCATCAATTAGTGTCGTGGGGAGCCTCCAGGGCTGTGGAGATGGAGTGCCAACCTTGAAAGCTTGATGGTGAGTCATCTACGATATCTGTCCATGGATGCCTAGAGGTATTTTGGAGCAAGTTTCGTATTATTTATGATCAAAAATGTATTCTTGACAAGTTATCAAATGTCTTGGATATCGATGTCATTTCTAACTTGAGAAACCTTGGAAAGAAAGAGAAATTTCTCAACCTTATATAGAGATCAAAAGTCTTCATCATCAAAATCATCTGGGTTCAGAGCGCTTGACAACTTGGGCTTGTTGACCTCTGTGATCGTGATGAGATTGCAGTAAAATTCCACCACTTTCGGATGCACCATCACCTTGCGAGGCTCAAATCGAGTAACCTGCAGTCCCTCTTGTGACACCGCTCGGCTCAATGCAACATAAGCCTGGCCTTTTTCGAACACTCGGCCCAGATCAACTTTCACACGTTGAAGAGTCTGGCCCTGGGCCTTGTGTATGGACAGAGCCCACGCCAGTATCAACGGAACTTGTTGACGCTGGGCTTGCACTTCTCCGTTGGGAAGCTCAATTTTCCACGTCTCCGGTTGACACAATAAGTGACGTTCAGACCCATCAGGCTGAAGAAAAGATACTAGCGGCCATTTCCGAGCCATTGAGGCAGGGGCCTCCTTGTACCCCATAGGTTTGAGCTTTTTCCTAGCTCGATGCGCCTGCTCATCATCGCTTGCAGTCGCGTCATTAGTAAAATTTGTGTCGTTCTCCTTGTAGGAATCAAAGTAATCTTCACTCATGAAGGCTACTACTTTTCCAATTGAGCCATTGACAAGCGAATTCTCCATATTCTTAATGAGCATCACTTGAGCGCCCTTCTTTAACTGAATCACAGGAGGAGCCATGCAGTTTGCCAATAGTCTGTCGCGATGTTGAGGGTCCTGGATTGTCCCAGAATCCACTGCGTTGAACTTCATTATCTCGCCAGAAAGTCTCCCCATCCGTGCAGAGTTGGCACCATCCACTTCAGCACGCGTTGGAAACCTATCAAGAGTCAGCTTTAGCACAGTGTAATTGAATATAAGACATACAGTTCCGTTGCTTCAATCTGATCTTTAACATCAAGGGGCCGAGAGAGCCGTCTGAAGGCCTCAATCGTACGAGGGGTAATTTTCCCCAATCGCATTTCATTCAGCATATCAGCAAACTCCGGATCGCGTTGACGGAAGATGTTAGTTAAAAGGACGGTATGTTGAATACAAGTTGTCCAGGAAGCAGCTGCAAACGCAAATTTTGCCTCCCGGTTGCCTCCATCTGGGACAGGAGGTAATTGGAAAAAGTCGCCTGTTACAACAAGCTGGATTCCTCCAAAGGGACGACCATTGTTGCGGATTCGTCGGGCAATCTCTTCGAGTTTATCAAATAGATCCCCATCTACCATGGAGACTTCATCAACGACAAGGACCTTGGTACGCAGCCAGCGATTCCGAGCTTTCTGGTTTTTCTTAATCTGGAGGTTGTGAGCATCAGCAATTCCTAGTATATTAGAAACAAAACTCTACCTTTTTCACTAGTTCAGGCACTGGCTCTTTCCCTAGACCAATCCCAGCAAAACTGTGGAGAGTTACACCCCCGATGTTGCAGGCCGCAAGACCTGTTGATGCTGTAACTGCAATTCGGTCGGGCTCTTTGCGATATGTGTTGCGCAGCTTCGCAATAATTTCCCTCATGAGTACCGATTTTCCCGTTCCTGCAGAACCGGTGAAGAACATGCTCTTTCCACGGTCGACAACAGCTTCAAGAACAGCTCTTTGCTCGTCGCTCAAAAACACAGTGGCGATTTTCGAATCCTGTGCTTTCGACTTCGCATCGACTTTTTGGGTCTTCTTGTATTCTTGTCGCAACTCTTTCTGCTCCGCTTTGATGGTGCTCTCGGACTTGTTCCATGGTTCTGTCGGTCTTGAACGTTTAGGGGTCACAAAGCTCTTTTTTTTTCTCTTGACGGGGTTCCTCTTCTTCTTTAGTCCACGGAAGGGTACGAGGTTTCTTCGCGGGCGGCTGGAAATGGGAGGGGGGGCGATGACGACCATGGTAACACCATGCTGCTGGGAGGAGCCGCTGCTTCTTGAGATATAGGTGGAAGATCGGGGTAATTGACTTCCGTTGGATTTTCGTTGCCGTAAACCGACTGGCCAATTCTTGATAAAGTGTCAAGGCTTGGATATGTGACCGTCTTAGAGATGGTGGAGCCAGCCACGCTCGGTGCAATCAGTGGCTGTGGCTCATCGAGGTCCAAATCATCATCGAAGTCATTTTCATCGAAATAAACCGCGTTATGAAGAGACCCCAGCGAGGACTCGCCCACTTCGATTTTTCGTTTGACACCACCGGATTGTTGCTGAGGTTGTGGCTTCGAATGGGCCGTTACATTAGCACGCAATAAGTCGGTTTGATGGAGAGGTCTTGTGCCACTGCCTGGGTGGTCTTGGAGTGCTTTCTTGAACATTTTCTCGGAGGCTGCGACGGGTCGAGATGAGGATGAATACGCAAATGAACTCGGTAGTCTCCTTGGGCAAGTCAAAGAGAGCGATCGAATTATTTGTATGCCCCGCTCTCTGAATCTGGCGACATGCATAAAACGAAATGCAGAATGCAAACCAAGACGATGAGGTCGCGCCAGACAGTTTCTATAGGGACGCAGATCTATTTTCAGCAACGCGTTCCAGGCGCGATTAACTTTGTTATCTACACGTGACACGTCATTGATAAGAATAACCTCCACCGAGGTCCAAATCCAAGCAACACTAGATACAGATGTATCTCACTAGATTTGTATTATCATATATTGTGAGACGTTGTAGGCTTTTATTGGGGCTGGGTATATAGTCTATCAAACGAAAAGCCGAAGGAGTAGGGTTTATTATAAATTAAAGACCATATTATAAAATATTATCTAAAACATATAGTTCGAGTCAATCATTCAGTATTCACAATATGTTTATTCAAAACGACTCTAAAATACAAATTAATATATTACACGATAAAGCCAGAAACAAGAAGCTAGATTATCATTCTAGTTAAGTGCAATTTGTATACTTGCATCCAAGAATATTCAAAAATATGCGAGGGTCATTATATCACGTGATCATCAATTACCGCAAAACATGCGGGACGAGAATGAAGGATCTGGATTTATCAACCACCAGTCGCGAGAGTATCTTGCCAATCACGCGATTTTGAGGCAATTTGCACTCTGTGATCATGAGGAATGGCAGGGATGGCTGTTTTGAGTACGTGGAGCAGCTTTTTCTTTTCGAGTTCGAGCTTGAATTGCTAATAGGCTATATTACAGACAAAGACTACCCTCTGACGGGTGTAGTCATTTGCTTTACGTCCGTCCAAATTGAGAAGAGAGTACGTACCATATAGAGTTTTGGTGAAGCTCTAAGCGCAGGCTGACCTGTGTTCACATTGCAGACTCCATTGACTCAAATGGCGGAACAAATGGGCGCGATGCACAGTATCCACCTTACTTCGGACGTAACCCATTTGATCGTGGGCGACACGAACAGTGACAAGTATAGGTTCGTTGCAAGGGAACGGAATGACGTTGTGTCAATGAAACCGGAATGGATCGAGGCCGTACGACATTCATGGACACAGGGAGAGGATATAGACATACAAGCGCTGGAGAAGCAATTCAGACTGGCAGCATTGCATGGCCTCAAAATCTGCATCACTGGGTTCTCGGACCGTGAGTTGGCTGATTTCCATGACTGAGCATGGAGCAATGCTAATAAATGCGCTGCAGTTCCTTTTCGAGCCTACATGCAGAAGACAACGGAGGAGAACGGTGCCGAATATCGAAAAGACCTAACCAAATCTGTGACACATCTTATTGCGCGTAACTCGGACGGCGAGAAATACAAATTCGCGACGCAATGGAAGATCAGAGTTGTTACTGTGAAATGGTTTACGGACAGTATCGAGCGTGGAATGATCCTGGACGAGCAGACATATCACCCGCTGGTACCAACTGCAGAACAAGGCGTTGGGGCGTGGGATCGATCGTTACCGACAGAGAGAGAGTCTTCTCGAAGGGACAGCACTACTAAAGAGAATTCTTTGAATCCACGACCTCGAAAATTACGCAGAATTGCAAGCACTAAGCTGGTAGATCAAAACGAAAACATCTGGGGAGATATCGTCGGAACAGGATTCGAAAATAACGAGACGGCTGGACCCCAAAAGAACCGACAAGGACAAGCACCACCTGAAGCCTCGAAGCCTGTCATACAGGCATATCAGTCATTCGCCAGCGAGACTACATTTTCTGAAAGCACCCAATCTCGTCTTCCGCTACCAGTTGCTCCACCAAAAGACAATGGATTTCTACACAGGACTTATTTCCTCATCAATGGATTCTCTTCCAAGCAGGTTTGTGCTCATGCTCTTGTCGACATTCCTTGAAATTAATGCATCTTCTAGACTAAAGTTTTGCGTGAACATCTCACTTATAATGGAGCTGAGCTGGTGGATTCACTGAATGAGTTCTCTAGCCCTACGATTCCCAAAACAGGACATGGGCTGTTCATCATGGTGCCGTATCAGACTCCCAGGTCAGAGATTCCGTCAACGGATGAAATGGCATTTGAATGCGAGGTCGTGACAGAGATGTGGCTGGAAAGATGTATTGATGCTCGAGCATTTGTTCCACCCGAGTCTCATGTGGCGAGCACTCCATTCCCCAGGTTTCCTATACCAGGTGAGATCCCATCAAATTCAAAATTCAAACTTGGTCTAATAACATCAGGGTTTCCGGAATTACGAATTTGTTCTACCGGCTTCGGACGTATCGATCTTTTACACCTACGCAAACTGGTGGAGTTGATGGGCGCCACATATGGTGATTTCCTAACGCAAAAAGCCTCCGTTCTGATTTGCAACGACCCTAAAACAGCCAGCGTGGAAAAACTGCGGCATACTGCCGAGTGGGGGGTCCCAGCAGTGTCTGCTGACTGGCTCTGGATATCTATTCAAACTGGCCAAAAAAAGGCATTCGAGCCATACATTGTCCGACGACAATTACCCCAGAACGCTAGCAGCATAGAAAAACTCGGTTCTTTATCGGCTAAGCGAAAGCAACCTGACAGAAATCTCGATGGACAACGAGCAAATTCCCCGTACAACACCTCTACCGAGTCCACGAACGCTAGTAGTACTGAGAAGCGAAGGTTAGGGAATAGTTCTGTATCCCGAACAATCCCTGTCGTTGGTGATGGCTTTGAGGTCGATGCACCGAAACCCTCCGTTCCAGAGTCTCGATCTCCAACCCCAGTGACAATACTAGATAAACCAGCCTTGGAGGAACCGAATGCCAAAGAGCTCACGCCGAATACCGACTCAGCACCATCAAATGCCCCATCTGCACTGGATACCGCTCTGAGCGGGCTCCTACAGCAAGCCCGCGCTGCCAAGTCGCGACAGCAGCCCGAGGGTATTACGACTAATGATGATGGGAATCCACCCCGACGAAAGCGCAAGCCCCTCCTCGGCCGCGCGCCATCCCACTCTTCAAACCGAATTCTTGAAGGCCCGCGCCCCGTCTCACGTGCCAGCTCGATCGACACACTCAACGACGACGGCCTCGGCAGTGCCTTGGAAAGCGCTCATCCGACCAGAGACAACTCCATATCCCGCAGCAACAGCCGTGCCGAACAAAGTCTGTCTTCTATGCTCAGCGGTGGGAAATTTGATTTCCTGAATGATAAGCTCCCAGCCCATACCGAGGACGAAGATGAGGAAAATCAGGCACCGCAGATGACGCAGCTAGATTATGAAGATCCCGATGCGGCTGCCATGAGGGCGGAGTTCCTGAGGGATGCCGGGAAGTTGTCCGGAAAGATAATGAAGGCCGATAGCTCGGGTTTGCTTGTTGGTGAAGTGCGGGAGCTGGAGGATATTGGATGGGGGTCTGGGCGGAGGACGAGGAAACAGCCTGTTAAGGTAGATGATTGATCGTTGCATGTGGGCTGGACTCTTGATTTTTGCTTTTTTTTTCATCGGCGAAGGAATGGCATTGCATTGCGAATGGCGCCCTGTTTGGTCTATCTACTGTTTTGAAAGAGCGATATCTGAAGGTTGTCAATGATACTCCAATTTGGTTCAATACTAACTAAGTAAGCTACATGTCCTTGGGCCTACGATCAGGGTAATAGCGACAAGTTGTCTTGAGAAGCCGAGTTGAAGCTGCATTCTGATACTAGGCATTGTAGGGACAGAAAGAACGACGGAGGGAAACCCTTCGATCTTGAGACCACTAACAAGAGAGATTTTGAACTATGTGGAATCTTAATTCAAGGGGGAATCTTGGATAAGGATTAGACTCCCTCTAGTGCACGCCACCACGCCATGGAATACAATAAAACCCAGCAGGGCAAGAGAACCCTTGGCAGAAGTGACCATAAAGCCAACGTGGAGGAACATCATAAGAAGAGTTAAGTAGAATATGAAGAATGGGCAAGAGAAAGATGTAAACTGTACAAGTTAGGAGGTAAAAGAAAAGGAGCGAAAAAGAAACATCGTAGTAATCATGAGTGGTTGTACAAAGGTGGAAATAAACCTAGGCTTGCATTGCCGCAGCCATTCCGCCGGGCAAAGGGGCATCAAGATCTAGATTCTCGATCGAACGGCGGTTTTCGCTGCTGTCCCGGAATAGGTTAGAGAAATACTTAGTGGCAACATCGCTCTCCTGCTTGATCTTGGTGACCTCTTGCTTGCGTCTGCCGAGATCCTCGATATCCTGAGATAGACAGGTTTGAAGATTGCTGGCAGGCATGCGCAACATGCGGCGAACCTCAGTCGAGATTCGATTGGCATTTGAGTGGATATAGTCCATCTCAGCAAGGGTGGCGGCGATCTTCCGTGACAAGCGTGGGGGAAGAGTGGACGGGATGGAGCTGAGCACATAAGCCGTGGTCAGAACAGCTTGTATGAAGTTAGTATATTGTTATTATTTGTGAAAACGAATGAGAAAAACATACCAGCAGCGAGGATAGTAGGGAAGAACAGCCGGCGCATGTTGTTCGGGCCAATGACTTTGACAGCACTTAAGGCACTATCTACCCAACTGAATCCGCCCAATGCCCTACCACCAAGTACAGTGACCGCAGTCATTGCAACACCTGTTCCTGCCATCTTCTCTTGGCGCTCCCAGAGACCAGCAATATCGAAGAAATCCCACAGCTCAACTTCAGTGTCGACTTGTCGGGCAAATGTGTGGCGACGACCACGGCGGAACATCGCATCCGCACGGAAGTTGAGTGGAGTGAATTTGTCTTCACCAATGTGAAGGAGACCGATATTTTGGATGAAACCGACTCCTTGAACTGTCTTTTCCCGGGCATAGTCCTCGCAGTCGTTGACAGACGAAGCAATCTGATCCAGCATTGCTAGCTTCAGTTGCTCGGCGTACTGGAACGCCGAAAAGAGACCATGATATTCAACACCGAGATCTGCATCAGAAACACGCGTGATGGTGTCAGTCAATGTCGAACGAGTGTGATTGTAGACATCATCGCATGAGTCGTCGATAGCCTTGTTGACGCCCTCTGCAAGCTCTCCCTTCTTTTTCTTGCCGTTCTCAAAGGCCGGTACAAGCTCCGCCAATTCATCGGTCACTCGCTTGAGCTCAGATTGTGCAACATCACGGTTGACTGTGGCAAGGGAGCCAAGGTCAGCTAAGAGATTCAGAAGGTAAGTTCTGGCAGGCGCAAGTTTGGACCGGGAGCGCTTTTCAAGGACGAAACGTCGCAAGGCTCCTTCAAGGTTCTCGAAGTCTTGGAGTTTCTCCCGTTCTTTGCCCTTGCCTTTATCCTTAGAGTCCTTATCATCGTCGTCATCATGAGGATCAGAGCCACCGCCGTCACCACCGGAGCCAGACTGCGAGATAGCAGGTGCAACAGGTATAGCATTGCTTGAAACGAAATGAACTAGTTCAGCAGCCTCCTTGTATGTACGAGGGCTGAGTTTGCCGATCTGATCCAAGATCATGCGCTCGCAGCGTTGCTTGTCACGAATTTGATCAAATCCATTGACTACCATGAAAATATATGCCTTTTCATGCGCAGCATTCAAGATGAACTCTTTTGCAGACAATGTGAAGTGATTTGCGGCGGAAACCACGAACACAACGACGTCGATCTCCTCCTGCCTAGCAAAGACGGCTGTGGTTTTCAACGAGTCCGAGTTTAAGCCGGGCGCATCGATCAAAGCGATATCAACCACGCCGTTGTTGAGCAGCGATTCGTCAATAGACCGTACATCCTTCACGTAGACCTTGCACTGCATGTACTTCGTGTTGTCGATGACGATGTTTTCGAGTTCGGTGAGAGCATAGACATCAAAGGTGCTTTCATCGTTGCGGTTGTATGGCGTATCTTTGTGAACGGCGTGGACTTCTTCAACGCTACCGTTTTCACGTGCATCGAGAACCTCACAAAAGATGCTGGTGCAAGGCTGCTGGTCCTCTGGCAGCACCTTCCGGCGCAGGAGAGCATTGCAGAATGTCGATTTGCCTGCGTTCAAGTCTCCTGTAATCAGAACCTTACTCGAGGTATCCTCAATTCTGTCTCGCAGCGAGAGGAGATGTTTCATGCTTTGGCTGATCTTTCCATCCAACAGGGAGGCAATCGAGGCCTTTTCCAACGAATGCACTAGCTCTGCCTGTGAAAGAGCGCCGAGCTTTAGGTCCAACTTGAGAATAGAGAACTCTTGCGCAATCTGCGGGGTCATCAATCTAGGCTCTGTCGGGACGCGGCGTTGAGCTGAGGCACTGGATTCTCCCAATTCGTCGCTACCCGCCAAAGTGGCTGCGCGCCTCAGATCTGGTCGGGGCGGTGTACTGGGTCTGCTGTCATTGCCTCCATGTTCAGATTGAGTTTGATGCAGTGACGGTCGGTCCATGGGGGAAGAGGGCGTGCTCTGTACGGAGGGATAGTGGGCGGGCCACTGGCGGTTCATTTCCTGAAGCTCCTTCAGTGTGTCAATAGTCCGGGAGATCGCGCGAGCAAGCTTGGTTCGATTTGAGTTGCTGGAAATACTGTAAGCCTTACAATTCCATAAATGCGTTGTTTGCGAGGAGGCGAGACATACTAGAGAAGTTGAGAGACATGACTAGCAACGACTTGCTTCTCATGCTCAGCTGTATTCAGAAATGTATTAGCTCAAAAATTTCCCTTCTATATCACACCGCTGCATGGCCTCGAGACACGTACCTGCGGGATTCCATTCTCCAGGCCGCGTTGGAGTATGCACCGGAGTCGGCCTATCCTCCATCAATCCTGCGCGCCAAGCAGAGCTCGCATCCTCCTCCGTATCGGCAATGCTACCTCCATAGCCAGAGTCTTGATTTAGCGAAGTCATCAAGGCCGTGGCACTTTCAGAAGTCGAGCCGTTGCCCACAGTCATATAAGTCGGCGGGGGACGGAAAAAAGGATTCTTCTCGGGAAATTCTTCCTCGCCTGAGAATCTAGACGAGCCAGCTCCGGAAGACGAGCCTTCACCAGGGTGATATTCCTGACTCATAACGGATGAAAGACCTTAACGTGGGGGCGACATCCATCCAAGAGAAGTTGTGTTTTTTGTTTGAGATGATCGATTTCTTGTTGGAAGGATTTCAAAGATGACGTCGGGCCAAAAGGGGATTAGCGTGCATGTGACCCTGTATCGTAGTAATGCGCCTGTAATCTTACGATACCGCCATTGATGTCACTGCACAGTGCTTCTACTCAGGCTCCTACATTGTACTTGAATTTACTTCTCACTTCCTTCGAACGGACTTCCCACTATTACGTACAATCATGAATGTAAGGCGCATATCAAATTCTTGAGCATTGCTATTATACTTACACGAGGTCTCTCAGATCGTCGAGTGGGCTTTCGGGAAGCGCATGACCCCCGCGGAGCGCCTGCGTAAACACCAGCGTGCCTTGGACCGAACACAGCGGGAGCTTGACCGAGAGCGAGTGAAACTAGAAAATCAAGAGAAGAAGCTGGTACAAGACATCAAGAAGAGTGCCAAAAATGGGCAAGTTGGAGCTTGCAAGATTCAGGCCAAGGACCTAGTTCGGACACGGAGGTCAGTTTCTCTTGATTGTGTACTGCTCATGGCAGCATTTGCTGACTAGATGGCGAGAACAGATACATTCAGAAGTTCTATCAAATGCGCACGCAATTACAAGCTATTTCTCTACGCATCCAGGTACGCGCAAGCTGTCCTCCACTACCCCTCTTACTTCCGCGATGCGCTGACTGTTTCTGCTTCAAAGACTGTCCGAAGCAATGAGCAGATGATGCAGTCAATGAAAGGAGCCACAATGCTTCTGGGTAGTATGAACAGGCAGATGAATCTTCCGGCACTGCAACGGATCGCGATGGAATTTGAACGAGAAAATGACGTTATGGACCAACGGCAAGAGATGATGGATGATGCGATCGACGAGGCCACAGGAATGGAAGGCGAAGAAGAAGAAGGAGAAGATATCTTGAAGGAGGTTTTGGATGAGATTGGTGTCGATCTGAACCAAGCAGTTTGTTCCCCCGGCCCCCAAACATCGCAAGGTGGAACCCGTGGACTAACATATTCCATTTACAGCTTGGTGAAACACCCGAACACATACAGAAAGCACCAGCGAATGAAACTCGGGTTGCGCAGGCCATTGGAGGGGGAGGCAATACGAGTGATGATGACCTTCAAGCAAGACTAGACAGCCTTCGGCGATGATTACGACTTTGTCTGTTATATGCCATCGACGACAGAAGTCATGATATGGCCTGATGTGTTGAGCCCTAATTGAGTTTACCTGCCTTGCTGTTATTATTAGCATACCTTGCAAGATATTTCTGCCACTTACATACCAATCCATTACTTCTCGACTCGCATTTTCGTCAACACGTCAAGGCCATATATGCCGTGAGCACTACACATTTAGCTAGATAATTTTTACAAAGGCCCACATTATACCCGTGGACCTACATATGCTCAGCAACAAGAAAATATTCATATATCAGAATCATCGCTACTAAATTCAATTCAACTTCAATACTACGGTTATGTCTGATGCAACATTCTTGACATAAGATGAGAAGCCTTAAGGGGATGCCTCTTGAAGGGATGAATCGCCTTCGTATTGAGGAGTTACTTCCTCATATTCGCCATCATCAGGCTGATCAGAATATGTAGAATAATAAGAAGAAGAAGAACTAGAAGAACTAGAATACCCAGAAGAATATCCAGAGGAATCAGAAGTATTATATCCAGGACTGTTAAGGATGGGGATTGACATGCCGTCGTTCGATGATATACTTGCCCATGGAAAACCCCTTCGACCATCATGGCGGCTATTATCATAGAATTTCTTGATAAAAGGTCTTTTGAAAGAACGACCGGACTCGAGTTCTTCGGCAGACCAGTGAGAAAACCAAGGAAAAGACGATAACTCTTCCAACGATGGCCGGTCGGACTTTTCTCTGGACAATGTGGTTTGTAACACATCTCTGCAGTCCTGTGAGAGTGATTCGCTGATCGCTACATCTTCGTTAATCATTCTCTTGCGTCTGCATTTTACCACTGGATAGAATGGATCATTGTAAACACCATCATACCTAGCATGCCAGTCCTGAGTTTTCGGCACTGGTTTAGGCTCATCCCAGGGCCAGAAGCCATGCAGAAACCCGTAAACAAGGGTTGAATATTTCCACATGGACTTGTCCTGCATATCTATAGGCATGTGAATTTTTTCAATAGAGACATCATCATGGCATGGATCCCTCCAAGCATCGTACTTCTCCAGTTCGATGGCTCTCTCAGGCATCATCTGATACTCCTGGTAGGGGATATGGCTGTCTATGTCTCTTCTGAATCCTGATTTCTCAAGCGAGAAGTAGGCCGCTCCAAGATCGATTAGTTGGACGTTGAGGTTTTGGTCCATAAGATAATTTGTCACTGATATGTCACCATGGCAAACCTTCATATCAGCTAGCTCTACCATAGCTTGGAGAAACTGGGAAGCGACTTTACAGCCTTCTATTTCCCCCAGTTGGGGTTCTTTGGTTGTGGACATGAGATAGCTGCCATCAAAAGCTGGAAACAGGGGATATCTCCTTCGGATGCGCGGTATGGCACCCTTCGACTTGACCCTATTAAAATGAGCCTCATCAATAATTGAAACAGCTTCATAGCTAGGGTCAACACATGGAGTCATAAGGATTGCTGTTAGCATACCGTGAGTATAGACCGAGTCGAGCCGCGGGAAATTTTTGCTATCGTCGAGATAGATCAGAAGGATGGCTTCTTCTGGGATGTATCGTTCCTTTCCGCTAGGTTCACTAAATGGCGCCATCGTAGGGATGTAATATTTGATTGCGTCCATCAACTGTGTTGTGTGGGCTTGAGATTTGATTGCGTATTGTTCAAGGTCCTCTAGGGAAGTACCAGCAGCGCCTTTCTCGCGTGCAATAAATGCGACACCAAATGCTGCTATCAGTTAGCAATGTATTTATACAAAAAAGCATCATATCAAGAGGGTAGAATGGTCTTACTCCCTGCGCCTATAAATCCATAGATCTGCACTCGCTCTTTAAGGCTCGGACAAAGGCATACCGCTTTAGCAGTGAACTTCCCTTCAGCACTCAGGAGATTGGAATCTTCATATGAAGTGCGATTATATTTTTGAAACATTGCGCTGTCGCATCTATAACCTTTATCGTCCCGGCAATTACACCTTGAGAATTCGTCGTTATTCCGTTTGGAAAATGCTATCCCTAGGCGTTCTCGAAGAACTTGACTCACTTGGGGATACTTTTGGGATAATCGGCTTGAGGGGTCTAAAAGATCTTCGGCATTGTAAGAGAAGCTGTCATCGCAACTGTATCCAGGTATGGTTGGAAAGGGACTGCAGGGGATATGGTTCCCTTTGATTGCGCCCAGGTCTCTCTCTAGAAGGTAATTGAAAGCGTAAGGATCCTGTGGATTAACGCCCATCTGCTCAGCCATCTGTTCAGTCACATGTTCAGTCATGGTAGTTAGTTAAATTGATGAAATAGAGAAAAGTGGTGTGTGAAGTGTACAGGAAAGATCAAGGAGCGAAGAAAGTCATTTATATACAATTTTCAAAGAATCAATGTATTGTTATCGGAATAGAGAGAGAAGTTCTATAAATGAAAAGAACCCCTCGAAACAATTCCTCCTAAGAATATCAAAGAGTTATTTTTGAAATAAACAAAGAACCCAAGGTCACCTGAAACAGAGAACTAAAATTGCCTCTTCCATTTATCAGATGATCCTGGGATCGTATCCATGTACATACAATCAATGTTGCAACCTTGAAATCACCCGGGCACCCATAGTGCTGCGGCTGAACAACATTCCAACGCCGGATGTTCAAGGTTGATTCGCCCCCGACCTGCGGCATGTCAGCCTCAAATCACCCGGGTGAGAAGAAACGAGAGCCCTGAAAGTGAGATTTGAGTGTCTAAAAGCATATATAAATAGGTTGTTATCCTCCTCAAAGAACCAGATTCCCTATAATAATTCACTACCCTTTTAAAGAACAAAGAGATCCAAAACAATGTCTGTCCTTAATGTCGACAATTCAATACAAGTTCCGAACACTCAAAACACAACACCATTGTCTCCGGTCGGTCATTTGCAATATGCCCAGAAAGATTCTGGCTCCGAATCAATAAGTCCTGTTTATGAGGGCTTCACCTTTTCCAAGGCTATGCCAAAAGAAAGCGCAACCTGGATATGTGTGAAACGGACAGCCATGCATCTGAACCAAGATGAGTACTTCAGAATGGTTCAGAAGAGGGCAAATAAAAAGTCTGTTGCCCAGCAATATCAGGGCCTATCCTCTGATACCAGGCGTGCTCATATCAATCAACTGATTGACGAAAAAAGGCACAATAATCCACTTGTTGAGTGGAGTTGCGTCTATATAAAAGAGCACACAAAGATATTCAAGGCCAAACATGCTCGTCATGGGGACTATGAAACGGTCTCCATGGATGTCATCATCAAGCAAATGCCCATGAAAGCCAAAGCCTATTACAGGGCCTCTGTGGGTTGCTCAGTGGCTATTGGGAATATTTTGCGGCCTACACTTCAACAACTGGCTCCAGCGATGAATTCTTTTGCACATTTGAATTCAACTCGGGGACCTGCCTATGAGAATCCGAATGGACAGTTTGAAAGTACAAATCCAGACGTTGAGACAAGTCATCCAACAAGATCGCAAGACCATGAACCCATCCGGTCAACTGTGACCAACGATAGACGGGAAAATCTAGCCTTCAGTACCAGAAACAGCAACGAGATGAGTCTGGACCATACTTCAGATTATTCATCGGACAGCAGCAGCGACCCAGATGATGATGATGCATCTATGATTTCCGACCAATCCGACGAAACTTCTGCAACAGACGACGAGACTGAGACTGAGTGTCAAGAGCCACAACCAGACCAGGCCTCTCTCCGACAACAGAATGCCAGTCCTTACCGTCACGAGGCAAGCTATGCGCCTCATTCTTGGCGAAAGTTCCAAGGCCATAATATCGACAGAAGAAATGACAGAAATTATCCTTTCCGCGATCAATTTGAGGTACCTCCAGTCAAGACTGCTAACCCAAGACGGGCTCAGAGCGCTCGGCCAGGTTCAGTGCCTAGTAAAAGATATCGAATGCAACTGATGAACGATAATGAGATCAGAAGCAGAATGCTTGATCACCGTGAAGCAAGTCTTGGACATCGGGAGAAATGGCTGAAGAGAACTTTTTCTGAAGCGCAGCTTGAGGGTACTCAACCAGTGAGGGATCCGCCAGCAGTGTGCCGATGTACCTGTCGTTGCGCGATCAAGGGGAAGAGAGAAGCTGTGTGACTGATACATTTTTTTATTTTACTTTGGATCTTTTTTGATGAGGCTATTGGCTTCTCCTACCGTCAGAAGAACAATCTTTTAATTGCGCAGTTAGTTTTGAATAGTCAAATTTATATAAACAGAACTCGATCAGTGCTGGGGATAGCATAGTGTAGACACCTTCCATTTTGAAAATAAATGAGCGCTATTTACTTCGCGATCTGATGAGTTCAGGCTCTAGTTAAGGCAACTAACTATGTTAGGTGGCATTTTGCATTAACAAGCCCAGCGTTTGTTATTATTTTGGTTCTTATCTTCTTATTAGGCATGAACATCTTCAATTTGACTAGGAGAATCTTTTAAAAAAAAGCCTGGTTCAGGCTTGTTTCTGAGATGCTATTCTTCAAGTCCTACCTGACGTTCAACATTTGTTTTTTTCCAAGAGTCGACGTTCCTTTTTTTTTTTTTTTGCTTTTTTTGAAAAAAAAAGAAAAGAAAGCTCATTGCTGATAGGACATAGTACATGTATAGTAATGTTCAAAGCTGTGAATGCAAATGTCAACCTTGGAAACTTATGATGTCTACTACCCCGGTCAATTATTGAGGAACTCCCCGGTGAGCCCCGAGGGAGATGTCATAATTGACACCTAATAATCCAGGCAACATACTATGGTGCCCCTCCATTTGCATAACTTTCCCTCCTCAAGCCTTCTTCCTCTTCCATAGCTATCAACATCCCTCAAAACTTCTTCTCCCTTCAATACTCACCTAATTTTTCAATATGCCTCGCCAGTTCTTCGTCGGTGGTAACTTCAAGATGTACGTTATCTTGAGCTTCGCTACCCCGCGGTGTCAAGCCCCTCAATCTTTACCTCTCCCTACTCATTTCATGAAAGAGCGCAATTGACCCTATTAAGGAACGGTGTTGCTCAGAGCATCACCGACATCGTGAAGAACCTCAATGCCGCCAATCTCGATGAAAACACCGAGGTCGTTATCTCTCCCCCCGCCATCTACCTCGCTTTGACCCGCGAGCTTGCCGACCCCAAGATCGGGGTTGCTGCCCAAAACGTCTACGACAAGCCCAACGGTGCTTTCACTGGCGAGATCAGCGTTGAGCAGCTCCGCGATAACAAGATCAACTGGGCTGTCATCGGCCACAGCGAGCGTCGAGTGATCCTGAAGGAGACTGATGAGGTATGCATACCCGCAGTCCCCAACCATCCGCAGACACTACAGCCAAACGAAACATAAACTAATTACCCCTCAATAGTTCATTGCCCGCAAGACTAAGGCCGCCATCGAGGGTGGTATCTCTGTCATCTTCTGCATCGGAGAGACCCTTGAGGTACGTCATTCCCACCCGGTCTTCCCATTTTCGTCCCGATAGTGGGTCATCGGGTCACGACCGGCTATATGTTCTCTGAATGCATCCCGCTCACACCCGATTTCTTATGCAGGAGCGTGAGGCCAACAAGACCATCGAGGTCGTCACCCGCCAGCTTAGCGCTGCCGCCAAGGAGCTGAGCGCAGAGCAGTGGGACAAGGTCGTCATTGCCTACGAGCCCGTCTGGTATGAGCTTACCTCATTGCTTCTATATTAACATCCTTGGACATCTCTAACATCTATATGTAGGGCTATTGGTACCGGAAAGGTCGCTACCACTGAGCAGGCTCAGGAAGTCCACGCCGCTATCCGTAACTGGCTCGCCGAGTCCATCTCTGCCCACGCCCAGGAGAGCGTTCGCATCATCTACGGTGGCTCCGTCAGCGAGAAGAACTGCCGTGAGCTCGCTACTCAGCCCGATGTTGACGGTTTCTTGGTTGGTGGTGCCAGCTTGAAGCCTGCCTGTAAGTTCTTATCACATGCCCATCTACTGAAACTATTCACCAAAATCGGTACTAACCAACATATGTAGTCGTCGACATCATCAACGCCCGTATCTAAGGGGTTTCCTAAAGAAACTAATACCACCATAGTGCCCCTATTATCAGGGTAAATATCTCTGACATGTAGGCGTCAGATAGCAGACAAAAGCTTGAAATGTCAAGTATATTATCATGAATCTATGTACAATTCTGAAGTATATTTCGATAACATATAATCGTTGCTACCCCAGCGGAGTAGTTATTTTCCTGGTCAATTAGGCCGTCCAATGATATGCGCCTAGACAACACAAGTGGTCTTAAACAGCATGTAACCTATGAAGAGTACAATACCGAGACCCCAACCCCACGCCAATAGGACATCCCAGGATTCCCACCTCCACTCTGGGCCGAGCCGCTACTCGAAGTCGACGACGCAGAAGGCGATGATGAGAATGAACCCGGACCCAGCCCGACGCCCGCACTCACTAGAAGTTCCTTAACCCGGCCTTCCCAGAGAAGCCGCACATTCCAAGATTGATCAATGCGCAGTTTAATGACAGAGTCACTTGTCTCGGCCTCACTGTGAGCGTTGGAAGCCATGGGGCCCTCGGAACGAGCCGGGTCCTCTAGGAGCGGGGAGGCTGGTGAGCCAGGCAGAGAAACACTGAAGTCATGCATGCGCATTTTGCGGCGTGCCCATTCAAGGTCGTCGTCAACGCAGGAGCTGGGTTTCTTGGTTCGACGCCACAGCTCGCAGCCAGCGACCATTTCGCTTTCCCAGCTGTAGACGTTAAAGCCGAAGCGAGAGCTGAAGGCGAGATTAGGCGAGGCGCGGAGGGAGTAGGTTGTTGATAAAGAGCCCACAATTGGGGCCAATGTTAGTGTTAGAGTGTAGGGGAAGGTTGAGATGGGTGTTGCGATACTGGAATGTGATGATGATCCTAGCGGGACTTGCGTGGCTGCGGGCAATGTGGTGAATCGCAGGCCGGTTGACATGCCGATCAGTGATGAGATGGGGGAATAGTACGCCTCTGCGCCTGCGGAAAGGAGAGACAATGGCGGCGGGACACCATCGCGAGGGTAACGAGGATCTGGGCCGAAGTTCCAGAGTCCGCGCCAGCCGAACAGGGCGTTGTCTGTGCTGAAGAGGTACTCATTACTGTACTTGCCCGTATCGTGGGATAGTTGGGTGAGCATTGAGGCCTGTGGTGCGGATTTGGATTGCGGCGGTCCTTGAGTTGAGCAGACTGCTAGGGAAAGCTGCATATTGGTAGAGATTCTGCGTAGAAAGAGCGCATATAGAGTGGTGGGAGGTGGAAGATGGAGAGAAGCGTGGAGTAGAGTAGCTTTCCGCTTTGCCTCACTTTCTCTGCTGTTTTTTCCATCACTATGATTTGGTTGTTCTGGGCGACTTCCGTCTTTGAGCCCGGGGATGCTCACGCTGTCTAATAGCGAATCCCATCCCCATGTCTCGATTGGGGCCGCGGGGGCCTGTACTTGGCGGTATCCTAGGGATATCTTTCGAAGCGGGATTGACGCACTTCCACTTGGTAGGTTGTTGAATGGGATAGTACTGAATAGATACGACACAGATCCATCGAGTAATCCAACGGTGCCAAGTGTGTAACTGGTCGCAAAATGCGGAGTGGATAGTGACGAAAGGTGAACGCGCAATCTTTCCGGGGTTGAAAAGTCCAGGATCGCTGCACCAAGTAGGTTAGACTAGCAATTTCCCCTTCCTATAAAGAGGCCGTGGGGATGTATCAATTACATACATTGAGCGGTGGTGTTGAGTGACGAGTACGAGTTGTCGCGATTCCAGTGGGTCGCCTCGGCGAAGGATAGCTGGATGTAGTCCATAAAGTCCAGCATTGTCCAGGCTTGGCCTCTGCAGGCTACAATATGACTAGCACCGTATGACCAAAGTAACAAAGAGCGTTTAAATCAAGCGCAATTAACGTGAACTGACCCTGAGAGATTACAGCTGATTGCCCCATTCAGGTTAGCGTTGGATAAGCCCGGCGGTAGGTTGATCCGGTTATCAGCGAAGAAAAAATGTCTGTGGGGGAAACATCTAACCTTCTGTCTGAATTCATTGAACCACCAATTCTAAAATCATAATTCATCATGCCTCGTTCAAAGCGTGCGCGCGTCGTCCACGAGTCGAAGACTATCAAGAAAGATCACAAGGAGCAGACCCGCCGGCTATTCGCCAATATCCGGGAATGTATCGAGGAATATGATCATCTTTTTGTCTTTGCGGTCGATAACATGCGAAACACCTACTTGAAGGATGTGCGCACTGAATTCGCCGACAGCCGGTAAGAATAATTTCTCCAATTGGAATTTGCTTGATATATTGAATCAGAAAAAGCACTTGAATACTAGCAGTGAATCTGATATCAAATATTGACATGCAAATCCTTCAATGAAGATCAGTTGTCTAATAATATCATTCCAGACTTTTCTTCGGCAAGACCAAAGTCATGGGCAAGGCCCTTGGCACTGACATCGAGAGCGAAGCCGCTCCCAACCTGCGCAAACTCACTCCTTTCCTCGCCGGCGCCGTTGGATTGCTCTTCACCTCCCGCACTCCGGAATCAGTGATCGAATACTTCGATAACTTCCGCCCCCAGGATTTCGCCCGCGCTGGAACTGTCGCTACCCGCTCTTTCACCCTCCCCAACGGCCTGGTCACCGCACGGGGCGGTGAGATCCCCGCTGATCAGGACGAGCCTGTCAGCCACACCATTGAGCCCGCTCTGCGCAAGCTCGGTGTCCCCACCCGTCTGGTTAAGGGCAAGGTCATGCTTGAGTTGATGGAGGGTCAGGAGGGCTACCCCGTATGCAAAGAGGGAGAGACTCTGGACTCACGACAGACTACGTTGATGAAGATGTTCGGTGTCACCTCGTCCGAGTTCAAGGTCGATCTCAAGGCCTACTGGACGCGGAGTACCGAGGAGGTCAAGCTTCTTGAGACTGAAGGTGGAATGGATGTTGATGCATAGATGGGGATCTTCATGTTTTTCCGTTTTTTATTTATCTCTTTCCCATTCGGCTTCCATGTGGCCGAAAAAAAGAACTCTGCTGGGCATCTTTTGGAGTTTGGTGAGGGCGCTTTCTTTGCAAATATATTGAAGACTTGTGTGTTT